TGGTGGCGTCGCAGGGAGATGTACGATGGTGGCGTCGCAGGGAGATGTACGATGGTGGCGTCGCAGAGGGTACATCTCCCATGGCTAGAGTCTCCGAGGGATAGGCCTTCACGTGGATCTCCGTGGATCACCGGCGCACTGGGCTGTGCCGCCATGATCCATCCGTATCCGTCCAACGATGGAGTAACAGCGAGCAAAGGTTTTTCACGAATGGGACGCGGTTCCGACACCCAACTTGACTGGCGGGAGTCGCGGTAGCAATAGGAGTGCGTATGTGGTACCTGCGAGCCTGATAGTATGTGTGCACGCACTAGAGGCCACAGGGACGGAATCATCGACGAATTGGCAACGCTTTATCACAATCAGGCCCGTTCTGCGGTTGTGCGGTCCCGCGCGCGGCGCGGTCGAAATCCCGCTGCTTCTTGTGTTGGTACCTGCATGAGCGAAGACGTCCAGCGTTCTGCACACCCATTGGACAAAGTGGAGTTTGATAGTACTTATCTGAGTACTCATCATCCCTCACTTCGCTCGCTGCGGAAACACGCCGTCGTGCGACGTCTGATGGAATACATTGCCGGGTATCTTACAACACATACAGAACCACATTGCTTCACTCCTTCTCGGTGTGCTTGATGAACACGCCGAACGGCAGCTGAGCACCGTTCACCCATGTGATGGGCCCGGAGCCCTGCATCGTGTAGCCAACCGCCTCGTACATCTTCGCGGCCCCCTGGGCGTGCAAACAAGGGCGTCAGCGCAGTACGTCAGTCGACAAATGGGCACTCACCCCGCCGGCCATGGTCTCGAGGCACGTCGGAACCTTCTCCTTGCGAGCCTGCGCGAACCCCCGTGAGCACGATCTATATGCGTCCTGCACGTCGCCGATGAAGGACGCACCTCGGCCTCGACGGCGTCGAGCAGCGCCTTGCCCGCGCCCTTCTTCTGGCAGGACTGCTTGATGCCGATGAGCTGCAGGTGCCACGCGCCGAGCTTTACGCCGGCGCCGAGCACGGACTCGACGAGCACGTCGTACTCCGCGAGGAACTGTGCGCGCGCAGAGCGGCGTCAGCCCACCGCACTCCGCACTCTCACCGCGCGCGATGGCCGCGGAGGCGCACCTTCGGCCACCAGTCGCGGCAGGTGTCGTCGAGCTTCGCCATGAGCTCGTTCCAGCCCGCCTCGCGCTGTTTATCGCTGCGGGCGCGCGCCCCCATGGGGAAGTGAGAGTGTCAATGCCTCACCGGGTACCCGTGCGATCGAGGACGACGTACGTGGACAGGAACTTGAAGCCCGGACCGAACCTGGCGCGCGGAAGTCAGCACCCACGCGAGACCGAGCGAGCGGGCGAGGGCACGTGTGCTCACCAGACGCCGACGCCGACGACGCCCTCCTCCGGCATCTCCGCGATCCAGACCTCGCCCTCGCCGGTGAGCGCGGCGGCGACGTGCGCGCGGTGGATCGGGACCTGGAGCGAGACGTCGTTCATGAGGGCGCCCGCGAAGAACTCTACGAGATCGCGCGCGCGCGCGCGCGTCAGCGGCGGGGCGCGGAGTGGTCGAGTGGGGGCGGGGGTGGCGCACGTACGGTTGTTGAACGAGTCCGCGAGGACCTCGCAGTAGTTCTGGATCTCAGCCTCTGCGCGCGTCCAGTCAGCGAGGGCATCGGCGGATCGAGGAGGTGGTGCGCTCACCAGAGGGGCTGGACACCTTGCGGACGGTCACGGACATGATGCAGCAGCTAGCGAGTGGTCGGGGGAAGGGGGGCGATGGGCGGGGCGATGGTCTAGCGAGGCGGGGCGGCGGGGATATATCACGTTATCGCCTCGATCGCGGCGCACCGCCCCCCGCGAGCGGTCTTCCAGCATCAGTGTCGCTCTCCATGTGGGGATCGGCCACCGGACGTCGTGGGGGGCGACAAGTCGGCGGCGCTTTGCCCAGGAGATGACGCGCATGCGCCCTCTGTCACCCGCTCCCTCCGAGTAGGCTCGCCTCGGGCACTGTCAGCGCAGTGGGTCATCCAGGCGCCCGCTTGCGTGATCATGATGGGGAAAGACAAGGGACTTACCCAACAGAGTGCTTGCCACCTTAGATGGGCAGTTGCGATCTTTGGTCTAGACCGCTTACGCACTGGAATTGGACGTCGTTATTCAGGATACACATGTGAGTGGACAGCCACAGACCTGATGCCAAAACAATGTAGAAGGCGCCTCAACGTGAGATGCGCCGTCCTCATACAGATAGCAGACGGTTCGAAATGGCTAGAGCGCGGGATTAGAACGCGAGCGCGAGAACACGCCGCTCACGACATAGGCCCCGGGCCAGGGCCATCTCGCTTCAACGACGTGCCGCAGTGGAGGGCGCGCGGTGCGAAGAGGTGGTTGTGTGACCAGTGCTGAGTGAGCGGTACGTATCTGGTGAGCGTTGGCACAACTCTTGTGTCAATGAGATACGTGCAGATGATTGAAGTGAGCCGCCGACGCCTGCGCAGTCTGATCGGGGGCCGCTCCAGTCCGTCCCTCTCACCAACGTCGAGTCGAGTCACCACCCTCGACTCAAAGCGACAGTGGGAGGGGAGAGAACCGTATATAAATACTGCGAGGTCGTTCGTACCACTCATCGGACCAGCCGATTCTCAACGCCTTCATCCTCTTCGTCATCCCTACACCCACCCGTCATCAGCCATGCAGTTCATGCTCAAGGCCATCATCGCGCTCGCCGCATTTGTCCTCGCCGGTCAGGCTACTCCTGCCCCGGAAGCTAGTACGTACCTGAAACGTTGCGATGTCTTGGCTCACAGTACTGACCATGGCATTATCCAATAGAGGCCCAGGCGTGCGACTCCACCAACCTCGAGGACTGCTTCTAAGCAAATTACCCAGTGAGCCAATCGCGTAGAGAGTTAGTTATCACCTGGCACTCATCAGCGGATTGTTTAGGAATTCCCCGAGGGGATTAGCGTTGACTTTGATTGGTTCGGTGTAAAGCCTGTGTTGTATTATTGTGCGGAGGAAATGACATATCTATCAACGTACTGAACCTGTGTGATTTGAACGATGTAGACTTACCCTGACGCTGAATGTTTCCCCTGGTTCAGATCGTTCCGAGGCGTGATGAATCGGTATACTCACACCTTGATTGACCGGAGCCATCATCCCCGGTCTCCCTCGGAGGTTTTTCTCGAATATGGAGCACGGCCGACTAGTTCGGTTGATGCCATCTGTCGAACATGGACCACACGAAAGCGTGGTATCAGCGGCAGGTGGAAATACTACGGGCGCTGTGTGGTCAGTCCAATTCACCTGCACATGCTGCACGACACGGGGAACCTTGGGGTATAAAAGACCCACTTGCAGGCCTTGGTCCTCCATCGACCTCAGTCGCTCTGCCTCTTTTCAGAACAGCCACCTGCCTACCCCTCGTTCGCAACCATGCAATTCTTCTCCAAGGCCATCGCTCTCCTCGCCCTCTTCGTCGCCGTCCAGGCCGTCCCGGCCCCCGGTATGCATGTTGCCGATACTCCCAAGGAGCATTGAACGCTGACAAGTGGCTCCGGTTCTTCGTTGTAGCTGAGATTGGCACCGACGGGCTCTGCGCTCGCGGCGTCGACAATGAGGACTGCTTCTGATTCATCGTCCACGAAGACTCTCCGTAAGTCTCTAGAGACAACTTATCAATAGAAGACTTGGCTAACGCGCCACCTCCGCAGGTGGATCAGGTCGGAGAACGCGTTTTGGAGTTGGATTGGCCTCAGGGTTACTTATCCGAGCGGCCGCGTTTGTAGCTTCTGATCCTCGACCGTGTCCATAGCATGTTTATTTTCAGGTGTTGTTGCGGCGTGGAGTTGAAACGTGAGCGACTGTGTGCAAAGTATATGCGGGGCGAAGCGCGTGCCATACGGGCGCTGAGCCGGTTGTACCCTGTTACGAGCGACGCTTGAGCCTCATAGAGTCCTTTAGAGCCCCCGATCACGGCAACGGATTTCACATTGAGATCCGTGTGGCTTGATGAGACAGTGCACTTCGGGCGATACGTGGCGAAACGTGGCCCTGGCGGTGACTCGGTTCCTAGGATGGACTGAATGTGCCATTTTACAAGGGAAAAGGAAAGAGCGCTCACAATCCATTCCCTTCGTTTCATGGGTGTATTCGGTGCTTCGACGACAGGTGGTTGATCTAGATAGATGGACAGTAGGCGCGACATGGAACGCGGCCATGCGCAGCTTTCGGAGGACTAAGTTTCCGACGAGTCTGTATAACAAGGGTGATAGTTTACGCATGCCTTCGGCTTCCATAAACCACGGGAAATTACTCATCTTATCCGTGTTTTGAGAAATGTTGTAGCATCTCATCACTTTTGCAGCGCAGAATTGCTGTCCATGGATTAGTTGAAACCCCGAGTCAGCGCTACTGCACTTAGACTGATTGAAAACATGAAGAACGAGATGCTCGAGCTTTTTTCTGGCAATTGATAGCTTGAAGCAGGTGCCAAGGGAACGGACATGATGGGTGCATCCCACATGGGCGTCGCCACAAAGCCTGACAAGCATCATGACGTTGCACGTGGCTAGCGCAGGAGTGTTTGGCAATATTTGGCACCATCACAGATTGGACGCCCGAAAAGCCACGGTATCAGTCACTGCTTGCAGCTGACCACGACTGCACGCCCGAGCTCGTATGAGCTACGGCCCAGGTAAGTGTGGGCGGCTGAATTATACAAGGAAAGGTTTACCTGAGAAATTCCTTTTTCAGGTTCAACCCACGAAGATCCCCAGCACACTGGCGGCGTTTCATTACACGGACTGCTTGTGTACTAATATTCCTCAGCGGCCACTCGGGTCATAGGAAAGCCAGTCTCTTGTCCATAAACGTGCCTGAAGGCGTCTTCTGTTGAAATCAGTACGTGTCCCGTGCTTTTCCACACGGCACATTCTCATGCAGTCTCGACTTGAGCAGCTTCACAGCGCATCTGTGTGTTTCCTCGCCTCCGCCTTATCTCCACACCATGCTGTCTCCTCGGACTAAAGCCATGGGGCTTCTGGTTGTCAGTCTCTTTAATCTCCTGTACATCTGGAGACACGTCTCCAACCTCGTGTCAACGCCCAACGTCTCGCACTGTTCGTACCCCACACTCGCTGCCTGTATCGCCCCACTCTCACACATGACCGCGACAGCGTGGATTCGGGGCGACTTTCCGCAATTCCTCCCGCTCCCCAACGAGCCCAAGGTCTTCGTACCCTTCGAAGACACCGTCCACTACCTCCCCATCGGCAACGACTCCGAGATGGCCTGGAGGTCGGCATCGTCAGCAGGCTACGGCTACGTGCGCCTCGGGCCCGAGGACCGCGTCTTCGTCACCTCAATGTTCCACGAGCTTCACTGCCTGCGGATGCTCAACCGGGCGTACTCGCCGAGCCGGGGCGTGCCGCTGGGGCATATCGGGCACTGCCTCAACTATATTCGCCAAGAGGTGCTGTGCGCGCCGGACCTCGCGCTCGAACCTCCTGACCTGGAGGAGCGGGACTTCAGCGTGGAGCGGACGAATGGGGTACACGCGTGCAAGAATTGGGACCCCATCTATCACCTCATGGACAGCAACTACCATGACTGGAAAGCGCGGACTGGATACGGTTGGTGATGACCTTTCTTCTCTGTCATAGCCGTTCCTGACCGAGCTATGGCCGCTCGTTCTGTGTTGCAGACCTTGACGCCGAGGGCGGCGGACATCATCACCATTGAGTTTGAGCGGCGGGCGGCAGGGCGCTATCTATTGAGGAGATAGGACGTGATGTCTCCTGGACGGTGTATGTTCTGCACGATCACGTATGTATTCTGATTATGGGATTGCTTGATTGTTCTCGATAGTTCTGCGTGCACCCTGCTTAGCGTGTCAGCTCTCAACTGTGCACGTCGCCCAGAGCTGGTGACAACTTGTACCCGCATGCACCTGCCAGAAGACTTTACGGGCATCTGCTCTGTGAACGGTCTTCTCTGACCTCGACCTGACCTCGACAGCTCGAGGACCTCATTTTTTCCTATCTGCCAAGCTGGCTCCCACGGAAAAACATCAGAAACGGGCATCTGCGAAGTAAACAAACATGCTTCTGTCTTCTCTGCAGCTTCTCGTCCCTGAGATACCCAGGGGCGAGCGCCGGCGAGATCCCGGAGGATCTGCGAGCGGTCCGGCGCTCCGGCTCGGAGGGGCGGACATGAGTGGCGGAACGTCCGTGGGCGGTGACCGGTGACCTGCCAATGACGTGCTTTCCCCACGGTCCGCCTGTTTCGTGGGAAGGCGAGTACTGGATTCGGCGGGCATCATCGCAACCGCGTGGGTCCTCTGCTTGTGCGCCCGATCATCTGCGATGCGGGCTCGGCGCCGTGCCCCGGGCTCTGCTCCCGCCCGCCCGGAGTCGGCGCGGACGAGGGATACACCCGCAGCGTGACCGACCCGAACGCGTCTGGGCTTTCGATTCAGGGAGCGCCACTTGCAAGGCGGGCTCGTTCGCTCTCCCCCCACCGCCCCCGCGCGATGCCTCGCACTGGCGACTACATTGCACTCCAGTCTTCGGACGAGTCCCTCCCCACAGCCGGCAATGTTCAACCTGTTTACTGTGAGTGTCCCGTGCGTTCGTTGGCTCGGCCTATGCTAAGTGAGCGCTGCTTTCGCAGACCATACCGATCGCCTCGTCTTCTGGGCGACTGTCGGCGTACTATGCTCTACCCTCGTCGTAATCGCCACTGCCGCTGGGCTCCTGGAATCCCCAGCCCCTCCGCCGGTCATTAGCGACCACCGACCGAACCCCTACGTCCACCTCGACGTCCTGCTTCAGAACGCCACCCTAGACTGGAAACCCTTCGTCAACTTCCCCCCCGTGGCCCTCCAGTTCAAGACGTCCGACACCTCCCGGAGGCTCTCCGAGGAGGGCCGGGACCACCCCACCGACTTCGGCAAGGTCTACCCCGACGACCGCCATGTAGTCGCGAACAGCACGGTACGCCCCTCCCCCTTGCTCCGCTTGCCCACCCCAATCCGACGCCGACGCCGCCCAGCACTCCACCGTGCTGCAGTTCCGCAACATGGACTACCTGATGGAGCGCTGCGTCCTCCACTGGGACGCGCCGCGCTTCTCCGCCGGCTTCCCGAACCCGGACATCCGCATCGACCCCTCGCCCGCGCGGGTCGACGTCTGGCTGCTCGAGCGCGAGCGCGAGATGTCGCGGTACCTGCCCGGGTCGACGGACTTCGCGCCCGCGCGCCGGCGGCTGCTCACCACCATGGCCGTCGCCGACGGCGCGCCGAGCGAGAGCGTGCCGTTCGTGTGCCCGTCGCAGAAGTACACGACCGTGGAGCTCACATGCCCCGCCGGCGGAGGGGCCTGCGGGGTCGACTTTTGGCAGAACCGGCGCGTGCACCCGCCGGGAGGTGAGTTCCTCTCTTCTCGTGTGGGTTTTGAGGGAAAGGTTGACAACTAGTGCACAGGCATCTTCATGAAGCAGCACCCGTACCGGGCATCGGGAAAGGATATGGTGTAAGAGGGTTTTTTTGTATCGTGTTCTCTCATTATGCACGGCGCTGTATTCTTTCATTATTGTTATTGGATACTTTCTTCATATGCTCTCGAGGCTCGTCGCGAAGCTACCCGGGCCTGCCGGGCCGCAGGGATTTGAGACAAGCGCCCGCTGCCGCAGTCGTCGAGTGCCAGCTACTCACTTTCACTCGACACCCCTCACACAGTGCACACTTGTTTCTCGAAAACGTACACCCCATGAAAGCATTTTCCTCTTGTGCACTGTCTACTCGTACACGCTCAGTCGAACTCAAGCCTCCAAGAACGACGCAATCGTCTTCATGTACTCCTCCCGCTCCTCCCAGCACGGCAGGTGGCTCGAGTTTTCGAACTTGACCCACTTCGCGCCAGGGATGTTCTTGTGGTACGCCTCCACGACCCAGTCCTGCGCGATGTCAAACGCCCCGTTGATGACCAGCGTCGGCACGTCCACATCCTTCAGGCGGTCGATGACCGTCCAGCCACTCAGGATCCTGAACAGGCGCATATGGTCAGGAACCCCACCCCGCGTACGAAAAGGCAGACGCATATACACACCCAGCATTCGGCACCGTGCGGTCCGCGTCGTCCCCATACCGGTACTCGAGCGTCGTCAAGAACTCCTGCGGGAACGGCTGGATGCGCAACCCATAGACGGCGTACACCTTGAACACGGCCTCCCGGTACGCCTTCAGATCCTTCTCCTCCCCCGCCTTGACGGTCTCCTGCACCTCCTCCGGGAACTCCCCGAGGAGCTGCATGAACGACTGGCCCCACAGCGCGACGCTCGCGGGGGAGTCCGCGATGACGAGCCTCCTGAGCCCCTTGGGGTGGCGGCGGACGACGAGCTCGGAGGCCATCATCCCGCCCCACGAGTGCCCGACCATATCGAACTCGTCCGCGACACCTAGGTGGGCGAGCAGGCTCTCGAGCTCGTCGAGGAAGAGGTCGACGGTCCAGAACGCTTTCGGCGCGTCCGGTCGGCGGGAGGAGCGGCCGTTGCCGATCTGGTCGTAGAAGACGACGACGCGGGGGTGCGCGCCCGCCGCGGCGAGATCGGCGTGCGGGAGGAGGTAGTCGTGGGTCATGCCGGGCCCGCCGTGGGCGACGAGGATGGGGGGCGCGGCGTGCGGGGCGCGGAGGTCGCCGAAGACCTTGTAGTAGGTCTCGTATGTCGCGCCGTCGTAGGTGAAGGGCGCACGGCCTTCGTGCGTTGCCGGCGCAGGGTGGGTGCTGGGGGCGGTCATGGTGTGGTGGGCTGCGAATGTGTCTCGGTAAGCTGACTGGATCGATTGAATTCTCGGTGCGTTACTGACATGGAATCAAGCCTGGGAAGCGGACAAGGAAGTCAACGGAGGACTGCCAGAGGGCGACGGCGAGGGATGCGGCGACGAAGAGGGTCAGCACCACCCGGAACGAGGACGACGAGCGAGGCGAGGGCGGGGAACCCATGGTGCTGCGACAGAAGAGCAGCACGACAGGGGCATATCGACTGCTAGGTGCGCACTGCGTAGTGGATATCCATCATTTCGCGCCTTCTTGCGCTTCTTCCCCATCCCCATCAGCAGAGGACTGCGAGTTCCTGCTCGACGCGGTGATTGAATACTGTTTCTGGTGCGGCCTTCTGTACGGGCTGATGAGGGATCATTGGAGAAGCCCTTGGCCACCTTCGTCCTCCGGCTCGTGCGCACATAGCGCGCGTCGGGCGAAGGGCACATGTCCTTTGCTCTAACCGGTGTTGACGTAGTTCGCCCCGCGGTTACCACAAGACCGCTGTTTACGGGCCTCATGCCGCCCCGTGGAGTCTAGTCGACCCAGTAAGTGGCGAGAGTACTTCCGGTCCGAACGTGGGCGCTGATGCGGTGGAATCTCTGTTGGGACAGGCCCTGGATGTGGACGTGATCGCCCTCACCGAGGAAGGAGACATTGTATGTTTGATACACTCGTGGCTGCCCAGTCATCCTCAATACGGCGGCAGACACATCCTGGCAGCGGTGAGTCAGCCTCGGTCAGTGGAGATGCGGCGGATACGACGATGGAGCTACTGTGCAGCCCACGGCCTCGTCCGAGGTTGGGTGCGACATAGTGGGGGTTGCGCCCTCTCCAGGCAACGGGTCGAGTTCTGAGTACCTTGATCAGAAGCCGCCGCTGTACCTCCGAGAAGTGTTCTTAATTGTACGTCCTTCTGCCAGGCGACTGGCATACGGCTGACACGTTTCCCCAAGGTCCATGTTGCTGTCGTACAATGTTCGCATCGCACGGCGGCAAGGTCCAACCAACGCCACGAAGTCCCGCTCGGAGCTCGGAGGTCTCCGGGGGCGGGCAGACATCTGACAAGCGTCGGACACCGGGCGGAGATCCGAGCTGGGGGTCCCGGTCTGTTCAGACATGGTAAGGACCGCCTTTGCGGGCGAGCGCCTGTCGCGGATAGGCACGGCTTCGAGTTGCCGATCCGATCTCACCCCTCGAAGCCATACGGTCCGCCCGCTGATCAGAGATGGCGAGGCGAGCGTGGGTGGGCCTGGGTGGGCGGGGCACAGGGATCCTCGCGCGCTCTCCTGCCCTCCAAGCGAGCGATACGGCCACACCGCCCTCCGCGACGCCCGTCCGCCAACGCCTGTTTATAATCATTGCCTCGCGCCCGCGGTCAGCCAGCCGTTCCGGCGTTCCACCCCCCTCTCTCCACCCTCTCCCTCCCCACCGTCCTCCGGCCATGTCCTTCGTTAACGACACCAACCCCTTCGCGCCCCCCGGGGAGACCGCGGATGACCTCTGGTTGGAGAAGTCCCAGCTGGTTGGCGCCGTCTTGGGCGGTGTGGCCTACGGTATGCATCATCTTCTCTCGCACCCCTTCGAACATCAGCGACTGACTTGCTTCTCTTCTCGCGCACCGCGCCCACAGGTGTGCACGTGGCGTCCTTCGTCCTCTGCGCCGACGCGATGTGGACCTCCGCCCGGACGAACAGGGCCATGCGCACACGCAGCTCCATCTTCATGATGTTCATCTTCTTGCTCTTCTTGTCCGGCACCCTCAACTTCGCCTGCAACACCCGCATAGTCCAGCTCCAGTTCATCGACAACCGTGACTTCCCCGGCGGCCCCATGGCCTGGCTGTTTGCCTTCTACTCCATCGGTGTCAACACTGCCGGCAACGCTGGCTACATTATTGGCAACTTCCTGGCCGACGCTCTCCTCGTAAGCCTCCCCTTTTCCTCGCCATCTCCGTCGATGCTGATGGTAGTCTTCAGCTCTGGCGTGTGTACGTTGTATGGAACAGTATCTATATCGTCATCTTCCCCTTCCTCGTGTTCCTTGGCTCGACCGGTACGCCTGTCCTTCTCCCAATCTCCGATCATTCACTCACCCGCATGCTCGCACAGCGATGTCCTTCCTGACGCTCTACCAAGCCTCGCGCCCCGACGCCTCGCTGTGGACGCACCTCACCGTGCAGTTCACGCTGCCGTACTTCAGCATCTCGATAGCGCTCAACGTGCTCCTCATGCTCCTGCTCGTCGGCCGGCTGTACTACATGTCGTGGAACGCGTCGCGCACGCTCGGCCGGCAGCACGGGTCGACGTACATCTCGATCGCGACGATGCTCGTCGAGTCCGCGGCACCTTACGCGATCACGGGCATCATCTTCATCATCACCTACGCCCGGAACTCGTACGTCCAGAACCTCGTCCTGCCCGTGCTCGGCCAGATCATGGTGCGTCTCCCTCCGTCGCCAGCGTGACTGCGTGACTGTGGACGCTGACCGTGCCCTCCCATTTCCAGTGCATCTCCCCCGAGGTCATCATCCTCCGCGTCGCGACCGGCCGCGCGGTGACCAGCCGGCCGTCCGCGACCGCGCCCTCCGGGCACACCGGCTCGTCGACGGCGATGCCGAGCATGCAGTTCCGCTCGCCGAAGGCGTCGCAGGGCACCGAGACCTTCGCGCTGAGCTCGATGGGCGCGACGGACCACACCGGCTCGATGACGCTCGGCTCCAAGGGCGGGCTCTTCAAGGGCGAGGAGGTCTGAGTCTGTCCAGGGGTGCGGACGCTTACTTACTGTTTATCTATCTACGAAACGCGCGGACACGACACTGTTGTATGCTGGGGCCGCGGGGCCCGTTAGGGGCCTTGGGCTAGGCCCTTTCCAGTAAATTATTGGTCAATCAACACGATCGTTACCCAGGGTTATACTGTGTGGTGCACGGCTGTCCATGGACGCGAAAATTTCTTCGACCTTTGTGCAAGCAGACGGCATCGACGTAATCAAGTGTATTAGGATTTGCACTGAAATCCACTATGGGAGACGACGTCTGACGAGCGTAGGTTATTACGACAGCAAGGTACAGCAAACAGACATATGATACAGTTTACACATACAACGAAGCCAGAGTCTGCCAAGCACGCTCAGGGCAGGCGAGTGGGGGACTTCACCACCCGCCCGACACCCCACAATACGCGAATAAGGATACCGCACCAGTAGATCGTGTCCCGTCTGCGATCCTCGACGTTTTAGAACCACCACACCACTCTCCCGCCCGTCCCCTCCCGCGTCCCCACCCTGTCTGAGTCTAACCGCCATCCGGGTTTACTTCAACCAAACGCCGGGAGCGGCATAGACGGCCGCGGTCGCCCCTCGTCCGGTCTCCCGCCGTCGAGCTCGGAGCGCCGCCGCTTGCGACTTTGCAGTGCGAAGCTGGGCGGGACGGCAAAGTACTGCTCAATCGGTGGCCGACGGGAGCGCGACTGGCGAGCAGCCGCCGAGGCCGAGGTGGGCGCAGAGGGGCTGGCCGGATTCGAGTGTACGAGGGCGTCGATGGACATCGCGCCGTTCGTCGCAGTGGCGGACCCGTCTTGGTCCTTGTTCGTGATCCAGGCCGCTTTCTTGTACTGCATGATTGGTTGAAGAGTCGATGATTTCCGACGAGAAAAGAAGGAGAGAGAGTGAGCGACGTATGCGAAGGCATAGGGACGGTGTGACGTACCGTCTCGAGCTCGGGCTTTCCGCGCCAACGCGCGACGGCCTCGCAGAAGCGGACGGCGGCACGCTCGACGGCCTCCGCGGGGAATTGCCATGCGAGGTCCTCCATGTGCGTGGCCACATCGGGCGTCGTTTGCGGGACGGCGTAGAACTGTGAGATTCGAATACCGACGGCAGTCAGCACTCGTACCCTTCTCCCTCGCCGTGCAAATGTGGCCGCACTGCTGCCAGAAGCAGAAAACGACGGGGGGCATGTTCACGAACCCAATGCCGGCGCGGGGAACGGCGAGCGCGAAGGAAGGGTGGGGAGTAAAGAGCGACCACTCACCCTAGCCAGGCGCTCCGTCATCTCGATCTCATACTCGAGCTCCGCACCCTCCCGAGCGTAGTACACGGGCGAGTTGCCCCCGCCCATCGGCTCCCGCAGCGATGGGAACAGGATCTTCGCCGCCTCGTCTAGCACCGGCAAGTCGTCCGGGTCGAAATCGGTGAACTCGGGATCGTCCCCACCGCTCGCACGCCCTGCGGTCGCGCCAGACGCGCCGCTGTCCGCAGGCCGCGACGCCTGCGGGCGGGCGAGCGGAGGTGACGTCGCAAGCCCGACTCCGAGCAGGATCTCGAGCGGCTCGATCCCGCGCCAGTGCCCGGTGAGGTAGCCCTCGAGCACCGCGCGCGTGAGCAGCCCCGCGAAGAGGTAGTACCACTCCCGACTCGGCCGAAGCGCGTTGAAGAACACGCTCGAGTCCGTCCGCTGCGTCGTGGACGCCCGGGGCGACGTCTGTGGGGACATCGGCGCCGGACGTCCGGGCGTGGGCGGCGCGTTGCCGTTCAGGTGCGCGGACCCCCCATCGTCGTCGCGGCCGCCGTCGACGGACGCCCGGTCTTCGGTGGCTTCACGGCCGAGCTCCATCGCGACGAGCGCGCTGAGGCGCATGAAGCGGGGGATGAGCTCGCTGAGCTTCGTGTTGTGCATCGTCGGCGCGAGGCTCCCTCCCGCACCTGGTGAGGTGTTGGCCAACGAAGGTCGTCGGAGGACTGTTCCCGTCTGCGCAGGGCGGGCGAGCCCGGAGCCGATTCCACTGCCATCGAGCCACCCGGTGACCCCGACCGCAATGACGGCGCCGTTCGTGCCTCCCGAGCCGTCCCCGGGGCTGCTTCCTGTAGCCGAACTTGCGCGCGCGGAGGTTTGACGGCCGCGCTGCTGGCCGCCGGGGCGAACCGTGAACTGGGACTTCGCCTCGACACAGATGCCGCAGCTCATGTGGAGGTGGCGAGGGCAGCGCAATGACGGGGGAGAGTTGGCGTTCTCTGGGTCCGAGCCAGTGGCGTAGAGCGAGTGCACGTACTGCGAGGGGGTGGGTTTCCGTTGCGCGTGCGGCATCTCGTGTGGGACCGCCGCGGCCGAGACGCTGGTAAGCGGGACGAGCGAGGAGGGGAGCATCGTCGCGACCTGGTGCGCATGCGCCCCCGGCGGGCGCTGCGGGGGGTCGGGCGGGCGACGGGAGAAGAAGTCGTTGATGACCGTCGCGAGCGCGAGCCGGAGGCGGACGCCGTTCGGGAGCCTGTGCTTGTGCTGCCGCGCGTTCTGCGGCTGGAGCGAGGGCGAGGTCGGGGGCTCGAGCAGGTCGTCGGGGTGCATCGGCCGCTCCTCCGGCGGCTGGTCGAGCATCGCGGTCGCGACCTTCTCGACGCTCTCCGCGCGCTGGCGCAGCGCGCGCGCGAGCGCGAGCTCCTGCCGCTCCAGCCACTCCTCCTCGTCCTCCGAGTGCGTGTGCTCGGGCCCGCCCTCGCGCGCGCTGAGCACACGCACGTCCTCGCCGTCGCTGTACACCTCCTCCTCCTCCTCGAAGTTCTCCGGCCGCTCCCGGTGGGCGTAGTTCGCGCTCGAGGGCCCGCCGGTGCGGTCGATCATCCCGAGCTCGGCGCGGGCCTGCGCGAACCGGGTCCGGCCGTGCACCCAGAGGAGGTGGTCGATTATCAGCGTCCGCGTCGACTTCTCGCGAGGGGGTATGGAGTGCAGGTGGTGGGCGTGCTTGTGCGCGGGGGCGCGGAACGGTTGGTGGGACGGGTGGGGCGCGCCGGGGGGCATCGGGACGCGTTGCATGATGGGGGAGGAGGAGGGCTGGCGGAGATACGCGTTTATGTCGTATACGGACGCATGCTGGGGGCTGGTGTAGCTTGGGAGGGCCATGAGGGCCAGGTGTGGGGGAGGGTTGGGTTGGGAATGCTTGTATTCGGCACTTCAGGATGAGATGGGTTCCTGCGAGACTTCAATCTATACCATGGACAACGCAGATGAGGCAGTGAGCTCGCAGCACGCGCAGGGCCCGGAGAATGGTAGACTAGGACAAGTTGCGATCACTCACCAACAGATCCCTCTTGGTTAAGCTGCCCACAACACCTCCGCCACCGTAGTGCCACAGAGAGAACGCGAGACGGATTGCAATGAGAGCGGAGCTGTCGGACGGGTGAGAAGAGGCGGAGCAGGGTCGAAGAATACCAAGAGAGCATTACTCTCGTTCCCCGTGACGGCTTCAAGCCCCTCCAACATCCCAGCCCCGCCCTAAACCGACACACGTGACTGGCCATGCGCGCTACGGTTTGTTGCGTCGACGCGCCAACGCCTCATCCAGACGGGGTTCAAACGTTCGTGCGGCATGCTGCTCAGAGAGTGAGAGAAAGCGAGATGATCAGATATGTTAGATGCGGGAAGAACACTACCGACGAGATGGTGGAGTATAGTACATGGTACAGGGAATAGTGCTCGTGAAACGACCACAGGGCCAGGCGGAACGAACGTGGACAGCAGCGGCTGCATACCGCTGGCCATATCATGGACAGGATAATCGAAAGCGTGAACGTAGATAGCCATAAAGCCAACAGCGAGGTCGGCGACGGGTGAACGGGCGCAATGTAAAGCCTAGCGTAATATCACCGTGAAGAGAAAGTAATGGGACTATGGTTACAATAGAGACGAACGGAAGAGAGGGCGATCACGAAGTGCTATAGACAGCAAGACAAGACAGCAGGCAGGTAAGGCAATGGGTACGGGTAGGAAAAGACGGGACTGTGCTGAGAGGAAACAAGAATCGATAGCGAGAAGGTCCCAATGGTCGTACGAAACGAGGTATGTTGGTGTGGCATGCTCCTGAATCCGTGGAGAACGATGTGTAGTGGACAAGAGATAAGGGGGCGGGCGGGGCATTTGCTTGTGTTCATGTGTGTCCTCGAGCGATGCGCCGTGGGGCCCTGGGCGTTGTCTGATAAATATGTAATTCAACATTCGACGGAGAGCGGGCGGGTGGCAGGCGGGGCAGGTCGAAAGCGGACCACAGATCATCGTGGCATAAGAGGCGTGGCGGCGAGACACGGAACCGGGGAATGCAGGCGTCGATCGTCGGCGTGCACGCGCACGCGGGGCGAGGGGGCGGGAATAGGACAATGTGCTTGTCAATATGATGCGGGCTACAGGATGTGTGCGGGCTTGGATACAGGACGACTCCATCCACGATCTTCAATGGCGCCGTAGGACTGGACTGGATGGACAGACGGATACAGTGTGTGCGGAGCGGAGCGAGTATGTACGAGGCCTGGTCGAGACTGAGCAAGTCGAAGCGGTGTCCAGGGAATTAGCTCTGTGAAGTCCGAGGGCCAGCTATGCGGGAGGGGGAAGAGGGGACCTCAGGGGGCGGCATAGTCAATGGGTGGCCATGGTGGTCCTCGAACAGTCTGCGTCCAGCATGAGAGGGGAGGAGCGACAGTCCTGTCATCGCGGTGGCGGGTGACGGGGACACGTGCATATATTCGCTCAGACTGAAAGCAGGATTGGGGGTGTGCGGATCAGGAACCGAGGGGGGGAGCGTGTACCGGGGACCGCGAGAGGGGGATTGTAGATGCTGGTGTGGCCGCTGAGAGGCGGATAATGCGGGGGGTGAGAGTTGCGAAGGGGCTGGATCCGTTGGAGTCGGCGGTGTTACTGTAGGTAGCAGAGGTACTTCCAAATGGCCCGTGGCAAGCGCACGAGGCGCATCATGAACGCTGGATAATCTCGAAGGGGCATTGGGGGCATTCGAGTCGCGCCTTGCGACCAAGGCCGGTTGGGCACGTGGCGACGCCGGTTCCGTGGCGATACTGGAGACGGAGGCAAAGCTACCGCTATAGTCCCTCTGAAGCATTCGAGGGCTGCCGATGCCCTCATCTCCAGTGAGGAACAGGACGCGACCTTTGAGACCCGAGCCTCCTCCACGGAGGGCGCGGAACGCGGCTGCATCTCTTGCGTCAGAGTCTCGACTTGCCGACGGGCGGGCAGGGGACGGAGAGGTGGCCATAAGAAGCAGCATATCGGCAGCATCCGTGTCGTCGACACGGTCACGGGGTGTCATCTTCGGAGTCCCGGCGCCTTCTGGGCGTAGACCGCTACCATGGGATACGCTCGGCCGTCGTGCCTTCGCATGCGATAGCGCGGGCGACGCTTGCGACATGCCGGGAGAGTGTGGAGGCGTGGCCGTGGAACGAGTTGCTCTGCCGAAAAGCGAGTGTTGCGACGCGGTCCGCGCAGGCTTTCCTCCGGGGGCAGTTCGGGCGGCACTTTGAGCGTACTGCGCGAATGAGTGCACAGAACCCGGGTCGGATCCTGCAGAAATGCTGGACCTGGGAGAGCCCGCTGTGGTCGACGCGGAGGTGCGCTGCTGATTCAGAAGAATCGTGGTCAGAGTCGTCGCTGCCTCGATGTCGATGTCTCGTTCTTCGAAGCTACCCTCGGCCGTGACGCGCTGTTTGCCCTTGCCCTTGCCCTTCCCAGCGGGCGTACGCCCAGCCTTCTCCTTCTCCTTCTCTTTGGTTTTCCTCGACTTCGATTTGCTGTGGGTGTCGGGTGTGCGCGTGGCCTTGCTGCTTCGATGAGGAGTACGGTGGGGCTCAGCAGGTTTCTCCGGGGCGGCGGCCGGAGGGTCTTCGGGATTGTGAATGGTACGAGCGCGCTTTGCGGGTGGTGGCGCCAAAAGCGACGAGAAAAGGCTTTGCGTGGCGGACGCGGTGACCGATGGAGGAGGAGCCATTGAACCCTTCTTGGCTGAGCGCGGGGCATGTGCTCCGCCGCCGCCGGGGCTCCCAGGCTCGCCGAAGAAGTTTGCCGTTCGCTTGGTGCTTGGAGTATGTTTGCCTGGGGCTGCGTGTTGATTGTCCAACTCATGAAAGGAGTTGCCTGTCGAGCTGCTCTTTACCTTGAAGTTGGCGTAGAGCAGACGAGCGCGCAGGTTAAGGGCAAGCTGCGGAAACGAAAAGGGGTCGTTAACGGCGTGTTCTCTCGGAAACACGGTACATATATGCGCAAAGGGATTGCGATGCAGAGGAAGAGGGTGGGAAACAGAACAGGCCGCGCATTTAGACGCAGCAAGTCGAACAACAGTGATGTGAGCAGAATGGTGCGAAGGTGCGCATGGGGGTTGCATCCTGCCACGGCGTTGAAGTGTGGCGGACGGAATACGCGTGTTATCGGCCGTAAAACCGGCCGAGAACAGCAAGAAGCACATCGGAGGGGAGTTGGACACAGGAAGCGGAGAGGGGCGATGGCACGGATGGGACGAGGGTGGGAAGACTTTAGGAAACGCGTCTGTGCGTACCTCTCCGAGATGAGCACCGGCCGTGATCTTCTGGGCGAGGTGGTCTCTGTCAACGCCTTCGACGGACGGCATTCCGTTTGGCGCGATGGCGGAGGACGACGCGCTCCCTGCAGACTGGAGATAGCGAGGTCTTGGGGAGGGAGTTGTTGCGGACGAGGAGGGCGTGGCCATGGCCGCTTCGCGCGTCGCCGGCTTGCCTGTAGCGGTTGGGAGCGTTGGAACGACGCAAGCAGGCGAGGGCGAACGCGGGACACGGGCAGGGGAGGTGGTTGGAACGTCGGGAACGTGTGACTGGGAGAGACGCGGATGGGCACACCGCGGCGAGAGCGCGTCGCGTCGAGGGGCAGCCGGCGCCATCCTCCCTTACGTAAGAGCGGCCGCGCTTATTCCAGGCGCCCATAAACACGCCTCGACGCGTTTCAAGCGTCAGCGCGTCAGCCACCGTCGACGCGTCCCCTCCACGCGCCCATGACCGCGACCACCACGGTCGCGCTGCTCTCGACGCCGGAGGGCTCGCTGTTCTCGCCGCCTGCACGCCCTCTGCGCTCGTCGCTCGCTGTGCCGCCCATCACCCGCACCGGATCACAGGGCCTGTGCCGCCGCTGGCGCTCGCCCTCCCCGGATCCGGTGCCTCTCCATCCCGACCGTCCTTTTCGAGCAAGCAGGACACAGCGTATGACACTGTCCGTGTAAGTGCGCGTCTTCACTGAACGCGCATCGCGCGCCTCTCCCCGCCGATCGCAAAACCGTCGCCATGGTCGCCCCGCTCCGAGTCCCGTGCACCCCCAGTGAACAACAAGGGTGCGACAAAAGGGCATGCTTTGTGGACGCATGATATCACTCATCCATCGATGAGCTTTTCTAATCGTATTCAGACCCACGCGGCTGCTTCTCTTAGCGCTTTCCCTCAGCCTGCAGGTGCTTCCTCGCCCCAACTCTCCTTGAACGGATAGCTATACCATTCTGGGTACAGCTATGATCGACTCAGGTCCACCGAGTCCCGTCAACCGTGATCTTCCTGCCACCGGCGCCATCGAAACGCGCTCGATCGACGCAGGTCTGCCCGTGGGTCCAAGCACAGTACTCAAACAAGCCTTAAGCAAGCCACGACTGAACGTGAACCCCCGGCCGCCCACGACAGCTCGGATGCCATCCCAAGGGTTTTTCCAGGATGCTGTCGATCAAACATTCTTCCCCGCCGCTTCAAATCATTGTCCTGAATGGTGCAACACTATCGTGTAAGGAATGGTGTGCGATTCTGAAACCGCTAAACATTGCTATCGACGTTAGGCTTGTTGCAAGTGTGAGCCTTTTGTCATTTGTTGTCATCACTCGTTTCGCTGATTATCGTCCACGATCGAGTCACGGGAACGAGGCCAGAGTCCTCATGTGGTTAGGGAGAATGAAGGAATACAAGCCTTCGCCCTTTCCAATCGTTTTCTCATTCTACTGATGGTCTGCCCGCTTCCGACGACAGTATCCTCCAGTGACACTTCAATGAATGCATTCCGGGCCAGCTTGGCTGCTACATCACTACCGGCAATATCATAATACTCATTGCGTCCAAGCTCATCCCGAGCCGCTATCAACGTTTCCACAACTCAAACGTTTGATGGTTCCTTCGAGCCCGTCCCCATTGAAGCTTACGATGTTATAGCATTTCCAGATATCTTCACCAAGATCGAGGTCATCATAAGCCCGAACACTCTCGGCGGCGAGAAAAGAAGCCAGTAATTGTAGTACACGGTGACTGATGTTGGGAGCCCCCTTCCAGCTGATTTCTCTGGGCGACGTTTGAAAACAACCTCATATAGCACATCGGAATCTGGTGCGTACCTACTAGCCTCCGTGTCGAAGGAATGATCCGAAAATTTGACTGGACGGGTTTGAGGCAGGCTATGCTAAAGGCGTCGTGGCGATAAAATTTTCGGGGCTCGATTGCGGTGGCATGTCGTGCAGAAGAATTCGTGTCTAAGGCCGAGGCGCATGATAGCATCCGCACGGAACATCGGATGAAAAGCTGCGCAATATTGCATACTAGAGCATGCGCTTCTGCGCCTCATGCATCGCCGCTTGACAGTCCAGACACCTTCCAACTCTCCTTCGGAAAGCGACTGCGCTTCTACCTCTAGACAAACGGATGTACGGCAGCAACGCCAAAATCTTTCTCTGCAAGTGTATGCCCGAGGGTCTTCTATCCTCTGAATATCACATTCACCTGCGTCTTAGCTTACTGCGCCCCGAGGATGACCTCCGGATTCCACCTAAACCGCGGAAGTCCGTTCGGAGAACCCGCCGCCGCAAGGTGTGCGTGACAGTCTGGCCGACTCGATAGGCTGCCCATGCTGTAAGACGATTCTCGTACCGCACGGCGAACACGTCGCTTACGTGCATTCAGCAGCTGCAGCCACCATCTGCCCGGGTGTGTCTGTCGTACAACAACGGAGGAGCAACACCTCCGCCACGCTTCTCCGGCAGCGGGTATCACGGGTGCCGACCAAGAACATCCGAACCGGGCGTCCCACGATACGCACTGGGCGCCAGTGGCTCAACTCGGTTCGAATCGCGCAAGCGCCGTCTTATCCCCACCGGGACGACCGCTTGCGTCGGGTCCGATCCCATCGTGTTTGTCCTCGACGCCTCCAATGTCGTAAAGCCCCAGTCGGTGATACCCGCCTGACACACCACCGTTCACCAGGACTCCCGACCTGCGCGGGCTTTCGACTGGGCTGCTTAGACCTCAGGAACGCGGCCGCGTCACGTCGGCTGGGCCCCTACGGCTCGCAGGCTGCAGCTCGGCTGCGGGACCGTCGCCGACTGCGGACAACTAGCGGTGGCATCTTCTCTCTGGCGGGGCAGACGACGCGCGGACGACAATTCGAGCCCCATTTACGGTCGCCGTACTCGCCGTACCCGCACCTCGCCGCGCGGGGGAAGCAAGACAGTACCTCGGGAATCTGACTTGTCGCCTATCTCGTGTGCCCGCCGGCCTCGCGCACGCGACCGCAGCATGGATCCATGCTCCACGGACGAAGCCTGCCTTGTTGGTTATTCGATCCAGGCGCACGCGACCCCAAGGGCCTTTGATTTGTCCGCTTAACGGTGGGCCTGGTCAGGGTTTCTCGGTCACGACTCTCCATGATCTATCTCTTCGCCAAGGGCCGGTGTTGCGTGGTAACCTCTACTCCGATTTGCTTTTTTTTGCGTTGCCTCTTGGACGCGGATCCGTCAAGCGCGGGAGCTGAGCTCAGTCTGCTGTGTTGAAAGTTTGTTTGACTGCACAGGTGTTTGAATGGCCGCACCGGCTAAAATTACATTACAAGGGCATCATGGCGCTGACTGTGACGAGCTGTGCTCTGCGGAGTTCACCGTCCGCGTTGAAATCTAGTGCGCGCGCCCTAAGACTAGTAAGCACTTGGCCGTGCATCTGACGCTACTGTGGGCTGCACAACCAAGCACGACGTGTTGAATACTCCTTCTCCGATGTCGGAGATTATACGATTTCAAAACAAATGCATTCATTGGCAAAGCACCTGGCACACGAAGTCCGAGGGAGAGTGATGAAGAATCCCAAATTAACGTATTACCCTACGGCGCAGTATAGAACACGGTCGCAGTTAACGTCCAAGTCAGTCCAAGAGGGGAAAGGGGAACACGCAACGATAATACGGGGTATAAAGAACGAATTATCGGGTCAGCCTGGGTACATAGATACAAACATCGAGAAATCAGAATCGAGAGGGCAGAGATACAATCAGAATACAAGGCGTGAATAGATAGAGCAGAGCAGCGGGAGCACAGCAAAAAAGCAGAAAGCAAACGGCGAAGCCACCATTTGGCGGACAATGAAACTTGGTCCTCGAGTTCGAAAAGTCGTTGAAGTCGGGCTGTCCTTGAGTCGTGTCGAGGTTTGTGTATCAATGAGGTTATATTGTCCCCGCGCGCCACTACGCGTCGCGGGGCTCTAGTTGTGTCGTGAGTGGAGCTATCGAGACGAGAAACGAGGACCATAAGCATCTAGGAAAGTAAACGAGAAAGGAAGCAGAAGAGAGAGAAGTCTAGAGAAGGAAGTCTAAGGAAAAAGAGAATCCGAACCTGCGAGTTGAGTCGAGTGCGCGTCCCCGGCACTCGTGTGGCTCCGGCCCTGTCTTAGCGGCCCTGCACGCGTCTGCAGACCTCTGCAACCTGCGCCGCTATAGAAGAGGCAAGAGGAAAGAGAAGAGGAAACAAGGCGCGAACGTCCCAACGCCACCGTCCCCCAAACCCAGTCAGCCTACATCGCGTCTTGGAGAATGGCGAAGCCATCGTGGATCATACCCATCAGCGGACACGCCTCCCGGGAGCGGTTCATCACGGCAAGGATCCGATCGAGCACCGCGCGGGCGGCGGGGGGTCCCGTTGGGCCAGCGTCTGGGGCGTTTGCGGGCGTGGGGTTGACCCGGGCGGACGATTCAGAGAAACCCGAGAGGGCGGTGGATGTAGAGGGACCCGGTAAGGCAAAGGACTGCGATGAGGAATGCGCCTGCGTTCGACCACGGAGTATCTCACCAATGAGCGTGCGGCAGACTGCGGTCCAGAGAATCTGTGAAATTGTGAAGATATCAGTGTGGATAGAAGGGAGGGGGGTTGAGCAAATAAAAATATAAGCGAGGAGAAAATTGGCGTACCGCAAGGATGGGATCAATGTTCGTCGGAGGGAGGTTGAGGTTTTCGAGTACCGTCGCGGCTGCCTCCGCGGCGGCGAGGTCTTTGTGGTCGTTCATGCGGTCCAGCGGCTTGAAGCTGCTCCGGATCTGGATGGTTGCCGCATAGGCGAGGGTATGTGTGACGAGGCAGGTCAGCGCGGCATCAGGCGTCGAGCGGTCAATTGGAGGAAGAGAAGAAGTGAAGCGATCGATCAGCGCATCCAGCGCGACGTAGCGCGCGAAGAACTCGTTCCGGTCGACTGTCGCTGTGTGTGTGAGCGTGGCGGCGCGACGCAAGTGGTAAACAGTCATGTTAGTTTTATAAGGACATGGGAGGACTCGGAAGGGACCTACGAGACGTCCATTGCGCTGACAGGTGAGTCGCACGCTCGAAGAGCGTCGCGGCCTTGGCGCGGAGGGAGAGCTTCGATTCCATAACAGAGGTTGGGGCAGTCGCGCCGCCCACGAGAAAGTTGTTGATTGTCAGGGAGCTCCGGAAGCCAGGAGGCATCCCGCCCTGCGCGGAGCACATGTCAGTTTCCTATCAACTCGTACACGTAACATTTGCCAGATGAGTACTGACCGCTTCATACTGCGCCATTTCGAGCGGCCAGGGGGTGTCGACATGAGAGCCATTGTGGTTGAAGTGCGGCGGGGAGCCGAGGGCAACGGCCCAGGCTTTGTCGAGCGCATAGACAAACCAGAAGGCCTGGATCCGTTCGCCCTCCTCGATAGCGTCGCGGGGCGGAGGGATCGAAGGAGCGCGCCTGTGGGAAGTCAGCCCCATGGGTGCGCCGTGCTGATCCGTCGAACTCCGGATTTTCGTCAAGCGGCAGCTTAGTGTCAGGGCGACTGCAGCGCTGCTGTGGTAGCGACCCTCGAGGAAACGAGACATGGTGAAAAAGTAGGTCGCAACGAGGACTTCGGCCTGGATGAGGTACACCACGGCCGCGGAGGGCTCTCGGACCGACGTCGCTAGAGCGGCCTTGGCCCGCTCCAACAGGACGGCCTCGTACGCGCGGACGTTTGGGGTGCTGGATAGATGCGCTCCCCATAGATAGATGGCATTCAAAAGAGCAGGAGAAAGCAGCGCTCGGCGAGGATCTCCGTACGGAAGCTGGAGGGCGTGCATGAAGCGAGGAATGTTGATGAAGAAGTTTAGAGAGCCGGCGCATGGCATGAACGTGTTGATACTATAAAAAATCAGTATTGCGATGAATTCGCAAATTCTACTATTTACTCACAGGGTCCGCACCAGGTCGGCAGGAAGTTCTACACTTGGGTCCTGGGACAGGGCGGGCAGATTCATCCCGAACATGGCCGGCAAGGGTGCAGGGCTGCCGACACGGCTGATGTCTAGCAAAGGTCTAATCGGGGGAGACGGCATCGAACCTAGGATAGTGTCAGTGTGACTAGACTCGGTATGGTGTAATCTCAAGGGTACCTGGACCTTGGGTGGGGTTGAGCACGACGGAAGGCGGGACGAGTTCAGGGTGTTCAAGCTCGCGGATACGAGTCTCTAGTCGAACGATCTGCTCCTCGAGCTGCTGGGTGGGACTGAGGTCGGGCCCGTCGGTGTACTCGCAGTCGTTCTCCCTACCGGTGCGGACACACTGGAGGCAGATAGGGCGAGTACCGTCGCACCTCTGCACATGGGTGTCAGTGTCAGCGAAGAGAGAGGTCCGCGCGACGAGCACTGACCATCTTGCGTCTGCGGCAGTTGAGACATGCTGCCCCTCGGGGGGCCCTTTTAGAGGATCCCCCAGAGGATCCGTCGCCGGCGGATGAGCTAGCTGCAACATGAGACATGGTGAGTATGAGAGAGGGAGATGTTCAGGAGGAGGGATGGGCTGTGTCGAGTTGGATGGGACGGCATGAGGAGGCATGAGGACTTTTATAGTATCGGGAGAAATGGGATATGGATGAGAGTACATAGCCCGGGCGGTGGACCGAGTCACAGGCGAAGTTCGGGATGTGAGACGCTGGGAGAGACAGACCTGGAGATGGGCCTTTGGATTTTGGGTGCGGCTCGTGTTGGTCAGGACGTCAGCCAGCCTAGACGGCCATGCTGACGTAGGATCAGCCGCATCGTACGCAAGCGGGCCTGAAGACACCGACCGGGCTGACTCCATGCTCCCACCCGGACGGCGCGGCCGACGGCGCATGTCGTACCAGGAACGCCGAACATGACACAGTGGTGTGCGGACGCCGCGGGCCACAGTGGGCGGGCAGACGAAAGAGGCACCGTCGGGCGTGGCGCGCTCAGCGAAGCGGGGCTCGGGACAGCGCGGAACTGATCCCCGCGTCCGTCCACGCCAGCCGGGTTGGCCTCGCGTCTGAGATCTGACTCGAACTGTTCGGCCCAAACCGACTCGGTCTGACTGCTGATCATCTCCATTCAGCCAACTGTATTCAGATCGTAGATGCACTACGCACACCCTGATGCGCTGAAGCCATCGAGGAACAGCTTAGAGGCACCCGGGTCGGCGGGAACACGGAATCCCAATCTCCTTCCCGTCCCGTTATCGTACGGGACACGATGTCACGGTCCTCCTCCCCGCATGTTGTGCACAGTGGTGGCACTGCCGCACAAACAAGCTTGAAGCAAATAGCCCCTCGGGCGAACACGGGAGGAGCCCACAAGGTCAGCGAGACAACACGAAGTTGGTTAAAGTTTCTCTGCGGGCCGGGCCGTGAGTTTTCCGAGATGCAAATTGCTGAGTGCTCGGCGTCGAATTCAAATTCCTCTCTGGTGGGTGCCGTGACAAAAGCATCTCGGAGAGTCCGATTGCACGCGCTCAACCACTCCGCGGAGACTAACGTGCTGCTCGTCCGGGAGCTGACAGTCGGCCTCTGGCATGGACCGACGCCGTGCGCCCCGATCGGACGGGAACGATACCACCTCAGCTCCCCAGGACCTACACCGGGGCCTTTGGCCAGCATTTGTCGAGGGCCCCGGCGACGGTGAAATGGATGAGGGGTCCTAGTAGCTGTGATAGCCTGTGAAGGTGGCAGTACTGGAGTTGTTGGTACTGAGCGTGTGAACGGTCACGCGACGCTGATACTTATGTCATACCGCCTTGGCCAACACGCGCAAACAAGCTCGGCCACCAGAGCCACCATTGCCTGTATTCGATCCAACCATCTGCCCTCAGCTTCCTCTACCTCCACACCGCTACCAGAGATCTGCTCTTAGCTGAGTTAGACATCACACACGCCCCAGTAACGATGAGCGCCGTCGAATCTGAGACTCAAGTCGTGGCTGCACCGGCCAAGAAGACGAAGCAAGTCAAGCCCGCACGTAAGCAGGTCAAGCCCGGAGAGGTAGAAAAGAAGGAAGCACCGCAGACAGGAAAGGAGTACAGTGCGTGACCCATGCCTCATACATACGCTGTCTTTGCTCACTCCACCTTCCTCAGACATCTGGTACAACAAATGGGCCGGCGGTGATCGAGAAGACAGCTACTCCAAGTACGTACCCTCCTCTCCAGTCCCTCCCTCACCCCATCTCACCCCCTCCCCTTTCTTCCTCCGCGCCGCGCAGCAAAACAAAGTCCCAGACGCGCTGCAACATCAAGCGCGACGCCGGCCTCACGCGCGCAAACACGACCGGGGTCAAGTACTGCTGCCTCTTTTTCGCGCGCGGCTGCTGCCCGTACGGCTGGGAGTGCGAGTACCAGCACGTCCTTCCCGACGCGTCGATCACGCTCCCGGACACGTCCAAGGACTGCTTCGCGCGCGACAAGTTCGCGGACTACCGCGACGACATGGGCGGCGTCGGCTCCTTCCAGCGCCAGAACCGCACGCTCTACATCGGCCGCATCAAGGAGACCGGCACCGGGGTCGAGACGGAGGAGGTCGTCCGGCGGCACTTCAAGGAGTGGGGCGAGATCGAGAAGAGTGCGTCTTTTGGTTTTGACTTAGAGCAGTCGTGTGTGTCTGGGTGGGTGCTTGCGCTATGCTGACACGACGCCCCCTGCAGTCCGCGTGCTCCAGTACCGGAGTGTCGCATTCGTGACGTACGTGTCTGAGATGAACGCACAGTTTGCCAAGGAGGCCATGTCGTGCCAATCCATGGACAACGATGAGATTTTGAACGTGCGGTGGGCGACAGAAGACCCTAACCCTACGTCCAAGGTCTCGGAGAAGCGGAGACTGGAAGACATGGGACGAGAAGCCATCCAGGCGAAGATGGACCCTCGCATCATCGACGCCATGCGCTCAATGCGTGCATTGGAGGACGGTATCGGGCTGGATGCGGATGATGAAGACTTGGAGGATGAACGGGGCGCAAAACGCCAGCGTCTACTCGAGGATGCGCAGGACGATGACGACGACGACATCCCCTCACCACCAGAACCTCAACCGCAGCAGGAGCAACGGACAGGCATCCTGTCGTCTGACGCCATGGAGGGGCTAAAGTACTTCGCCGAGATCCGCAAACAGAACGGGCTGGGACTTGCTACAGCACAACCAAAAGTCACAGCTCCTCCGCCAACAGGCGGGCTTGGGCTTGGGGACTATGCGAGCGACGACGACGACTGATACATTTACTGTAACACTTCTGCGCGGATGTATGTAACTTTGGACATGGTGGTAGGAATGCATGTGCATGCTAGAGTTCTTGTGCATCGTCCGAGCAACTGGTGGCGAAAGCATGCGGCAAGTGAGGCTGGGGATGTTCACTCCGTTCCGCCGTCGGCGTCGTCGGCAGCGACAGAGGTTGAGGAGCTTGAATCGCCGCCGTTGAGCGACAGATTGCGAATGCGCTCCTCCTCTGCCTTCAGGTCCTCCTCTTCTTTCTGTTTCCGGTACATCTCCAAGTCCCACTCCTCTTCGTCTGCTTCCTCCTCGTCTTCGAACCACTCGGGGTTGTAAGTGAACTGCAGCGCATGTCGGCGTCCTTCTCCCAAGACCCAAGTGCAGTGAACCACGCACCAGATCTCGTCCACTCATTCCGCTGTTTTTGCCTGCTGCGTGTCGATCATCCTTGGCCTTCTTCATTGCCTCCTCTGCCGCCTGCTTCTTGTTCATCCGCGTCTGTTTCCACTTTGCGAATGACTCGGGCGTAACTGGTGTGAGGTTTGGTCCAAGTTTGTGGCGCTGTAATTGACTCGCATCAGTTTGCTCTCATGGCACGAAGTTGGGGCCAACAACACACCTCGACTTCCAGGAACTCCTCCAAACTAATCGCGTTCGCCTTCTCAGCGTCCTCAATCGCCTTCTTCTGTGATTTGAGGACGAAACCGGGCGGCAGAGCGTGACGGTAGTGGCAGTTGTCACCGTTTGGACATTCCCAGAACCACCCGTACTTCTCCGACTCGATCGCTTGGATAAAGAACTTGCATACGATCTAAAAGAACAGATTGCTTCTGTTCAGAGACATGATATGTCGCTCTCGGTGTGGCACGTACATCTGTGGTCGTGCGAGGGTTTCCGGTCTTCGAGAGCACGACTGTTCGGAGCTTCTCTTCGTCCCAGGACTCCATCGTGTCTGCAGCACACGCCCTGCTCAAGCCCAAGGTTCCGCAGCGCACGCACGCAACCACGCACCTGTGAGCTTGTCGTCCCGGTTGTCCTCGTACAAGTTCTTCTTCTCCACCTTCCGGTTCACGTTCACGTCGTGGCTGAACTTGCACTTGGTCCCCTTCTCGCACGTCCCCGCCTTGAAGAACGCGCACAGCACCGTCTTCGGGTCGACGCCGAACGGCACCTTCTGCACCTGCACCGGCTTGAAGAGCGCGGCCTCCTCCCGCTTCCGCTTCTCCTCCTCCAGCTTTTGCTTCTCGCGCATCTCCTTCTCCTTCTCCTTCTCGAGCGTCGCGCGCGACTTGCCCGCCATCGACTGCTGCTTCTCGATCATCGCGACCTGCTTCTGCACCTTCGCCGACCGGTTTTTCTGTGCGATGCGTGCCGGAGGGTCAGCACGGGCGGTCGCGGGCGCAGAGATCGCAAAAGGTGTCACCGACGTTCTTCATGCCGAAGGTCTGTGAGTGATTTGTAGGACATGTCAGTGCGGGGAGGGGTGCGGAAAGGAGAGAGGGGAGGCACCTTGTCGTCCTTCTGCTTGCTGCTAGACCCTCCCTGGGGCTGCTTCTTCGGCGGCATGGCGGCAGATCTTCAGTGGGGAGGGCGCTGTGGAGAGTCTTGGTACGTGGGTCAAAAAATAAAGGAGGTAGATGCCCTCGATGAGATTGCTTGCATGCGGGTCGCTTAGAGGAGCACGAGGGACGGAGGGCAGAACGTGGATAGGCGCCCACGACGATGCAATGAATGTGTCATGTGCTCCGGCTGGCCGTGTGTCCAAATAAAGCAGGCGAGTATGTTGAGGGCACGAGTCTTACTGCAGACACTGTGAGATCGATACCTGTGCAAGCCTGGTTCTCCGCTCCGAAACCAGAGCCGGTTTCGAAGTTCGGCTCGAACGGCACAAGCTCAGCTGCCGACTCACCCATTGGTTCGAAACAATGTTAAGTAGTAGACCGTGAGGAGACAGAAATATGACGGGGATGTGGTATTACTTTATTACTGAAGGGTTCCGATTGTGACAGAGCGCACTACGGGCAGACCACGGGATAGAAGGCACTGAGACAGCAACAGCAGAATTGGGACCGAGCCACCCGCGTGGCAAATGAGGCATTTGCAGTTACAGATATTACCCGCGAATCCCCGTCTCCAGAGGTATTTTTGGGTATAGTGCGTTCCAACCGGAAGCCTCCCTAGTGCAACTCGGCGGATTGAGGCATAGGTGAGTGGTTACGATGGATAGAATCTAGAGATTTTCAAACGGCGGGTGGAAGGACAGGATCCCGAAAAGTTCGGGCTTCGTGTACGCCTGTGCAAACGACCGACAGGAACCCTCTGTGAGATAGATGAACAATGCCCGTAAACGAAAGGAAAGCTTTGAGTTACCAAAAAAGTTGTTACCTGCTCACTGACACCAATAAACCCAACGGAGGCTCCTGGCAAATGGAATGTCCATCTGTTCTTGCGCATGTAAGTTGTATTTCACTTCAGTAGAAAGAAACGCGAGCCCCGACAGTACATGTCACCCTAGATCGTATCAACTACATAACCCGAACTTAGATCAGCAATAAGTTAGCCGAGGAGGGAGCACCCAGACGCATTGCTCCACAGGAAGCCCGCCTCCGCGCGGAAACGGGAGGAAGGACCTTCTAGTACGTGTAAGCGATATGCCGCGCTTGTCGTCCAAACCTTCCTCCCATACACGTTGCGCACCCAGCATTCATCGCGACCAGCAGCATAACTGCCGTAGCCGCGAGCGCCATCCATATCTGGGCCGAGGGATCAGCCAAGCGACATGGAGACACATGGAGATCATTACGACGCACTGCAGGCCCATATTCTGCTTCCAGGCCTGTGGCGTGGAACCGATCACGCGCCACGGTGAAGAGATACATTGTGATGGCGAAAGCTCCGGCGGTGGCGAGGAACGCCAGGGCAGAAAGCAGCCCGAAAACAACGTAAGGCCATCTTGGTTCTCGGCGAGAGAAGAACAGAGGTAGCAGAACAACAGCACTGACAAAACAGACCCCCGCAGCTGGTGTGATATTCAGAGTTGGAAGTCGGAAGGCTTATCTGGAGGCACTCACCTGCGGGGTATAGAACAAGAAGCATAGGAAGAGGTTGCACAAGTTGCTGGAACTGGTAGCCGAACCTATTACGAAGGTCATACCTCCCAACGTGTTCTTGAAGATTGCGAGAAGGAGGCATGACGTACTGTTTAGTTGTACAAACACCCGTCAACTCGTGACAAAAGCCCAATACGCCAAAGCGAACGCCTCCTTCTGCCGAAGTCCGCAAGAAGTAGAACATCTTGATAAATGGTGTGGAGAAGATCACAAGCACGCTAACGTGTTTCATTGAGCCCTGTACGTCTGTACGATCGCGTGTTGGACCACTCACAGCAGTGTCAAGACGGCGATAGTAGCCAGAAACATGGAGAACACGGGGCGGCACATTTCGAAGGTCCACTGTTTCGCATAACCCACAGACGCTGTTCCGGAGCAATAATTCGCGAGCGTTGCCGAAGAGCGTCAAGATGATGCGTCGGAGCAACGTCAGGCCAAGCGTGCGTAGAACACGAGTACTACGCTCTTGCGACTTCGCGTGTGAAGGGGCGGAGGATGGATTGCGGTGCCAGTTCGACTTGTCCCGACGGGCGCTCGGAGTCGACCTCAAAGGTTTCGTGTATGACTCGTGGTCAAAGCCGTGAAGGGTCGTGGAATGGGCGTGTTGAGCGGAGGAACCAGAGGGGTCAGCGTCCAAGTCACGCAGGGCGGGCAGTTGTTGGGCAGTTGCAACACTTCTCGATCAATGTTGGACTTTTCCCTCAGACGCCCGCAGCACCGGTCCGGAGAATATCCGTGGTGAACGGAGCTGCGGCTAGCTGCGGGTGGACCTGGGTGGACTCGGCGCGTGTGGCTTCGCTTTGGGCGCCCCGCCACGACAACTGCCCCACAAGCGACCTCGCTTCATCCGTAGCAGGGAGTCCTTCTTCGAGTCGACGTGCTTCTAAAAGGGTGAGTTTTGCATAGTGTTTTTCTTGCAAGAACCTTAGAGCTGTGGAAGACTCGGTGTATTTTTTAACCGGTTTTAAGTTGCCAGATCAACGCTCACAAGTCACATCTACTCCGAACGGCCCTTTTCTGCACACTTGTACGCACAATGCCTTCGGTAGACTACACACAGCAAGGTTTCACTTCAATTCGGGTCAATATCGACAAGGGGGTGGCCATCGTGACTTTATGCCGGTCAAACCAGTACGCTATCTGCCACTTTCACAAGTGAAACTTACTGATCAGTCCGTTTTGCAGGCGAAATACTTTCGTGGAAGCTACCGTTGCGGACATCGTGAAAGCTTACGACCTTTTCGACAGAGATGATTGTGTGCGTGTCGTGTTGATGACAGCGGAGCAGGATTCACCTGCGTTCTGTGCCGGCGTACGTGTCAATGACTTTCCGTCAGTGACCTATGGAGTTACGCGGCTGACGACGAGGTGCTGGTCAGGCGGAGCTAAGCAAGGGCTGGGGCAGCCTTTTTACTCCGGAGGTTGAAGAAGAAGGCGACACATGTGCGTATATCGGTCACGTCGAGCCGATACCGCCTCACTCATGCCACGGTAGTCCACAGAGACTCAGGTGGCATTGTCACGCTGGCCATATTCCGATGCAGGAAGATTACTATGGTTGCCGTGAATGGACACGCGGTTAGTTGAATGCGTGCAGCAATGTGATCCAGATATGTCAACTGACCCCTGCTCCGTTCATCTCAGGTCGGAGTCGGTATCACCGGACTCCAGTTGCCCTGTGACATCCGTTTTGCATGGGCAGGCACTAAATTGGCTTTCCCTTTCGTTCGCCGGGGCATTGCGCCCGAAGGTGCGCCTCGTTCTCCGTCTGTGTCACCCAACCTCACCCTCGCCATCCAGCCGCATCTTCCTATCTACTTCCGAAGCTCCTTGGTAATTCCCGCGCTCTCTCCCTCTTCCTTACCGGAGCTACAGTGACACCAGACTCGCCCCTTCTCTCCGGCCTGTACCACACCATTCTTCCGAACCGCGAGGACGTGTTCCCCGCTGCCCTCGCGCTCGCCAAGGATCTGGCGGAGAACACGTCAATGACCGCGGTTGCGGTTTCGAAGGCGCTGGTTTGGCGCGGATATGACAATATCGAAGAGCAGCATGTGCTCGACTCACGGGCTATTCGTGTCCTCGCGACGGGGGGAGACGCGAATGAAGGCGCGACTGCCTTTATGCAGCGTCGGCCTCCTAAATTCTCCGATGCGCCCGGCTCCCTCAAGCAATGGATGCCCTGGGTAAGCGCAGACCTTTGATGCATGTGTTGACCTTTTCTAACGGAGCCCTCTTGCAGTGGCGTGAAGTAGCCGTGGTCCCGAGGAAGGCGAAACTCTAGGAGGAAGGCTTGTCTTCGGCAACGCCCCGCCGCGTCGCAACCGCTATCTATGAACGCATACATTGGATTTTTAACTTAGAACCGTGTTTGAAAGGAATGGAATCAACTTTTTCTGGTCGATTGGGTTGCAAGGGGCAGCCCACCCATTCCGGCCCGATTAGAGCGGAACACGTGCGCAGCTTACTTGCCCAGGACATACGAGCGCCAGCACAAGAGTCGCACATGCCTTCTGACAGTGACTTACTACCACCCGCTTCGGCTCGTATACCTCTCGCTTTCTCGGACGGTATACCCATTCATGACCTCCTACCTTCGTGGCTGGTTGTACGGGCCGAACCCGGACGCCGCGTCGTCTAATGTACCCACCATCGAGACCTCCACATCACAGGAGGAAGACGACGACACAGACACCATCCACGAAGATGACGACGATTCGCCCCCTGCGTTTCCTGCCTTGAACAGCGCACAACGGGCGACTCTCAATACCACCAACACTGGAGGGCTTCCCCGCATTCTGACGGATGCGCAACTGATGCCACCTCCCCCACCTCCGTCGCTTGCGTCTCGACGTCGGGTGGCGTCAGCCTCGCCGTCATCGTCGTCTTTGCTCGTGCCTATGGCCACCACGACGGCTCCAACACAGTCTGCTAAGAGAGCGAAGGTCGCTTTAGCCCCCGGACATGGTCCGTTGGACTGGGCGAACCTCAAGAAATCGGGGCAGAACCTTAGGGTGCGTCGTACATGTGGTGGTACTTTTTGGCGAGGCATCGCGATTCTCATGCGTCTTTACAGGGGACAGACGAGCTGCTGCGCGTGACCCCGTCGATGTTGAAAGAACACAGATCAAAGGATGACGCTTGGACAGCCATCAACGGCAAGGTGTACAACATGACGGCATATCTGCCATACCATCCCGGAGGCGAGAAGGAACTCATGCGGGTTGCCGGACGAGACGGCTCGAAGCTCTTCGGTGCGTTTATCCTCACCTCGCGTTGCCTTCGCCCTCATCGTGCCACCAGCGTTGACCCATGCATGGGTTAATGTTGACTACATGCTCGACGAGTGCATGGTGGGCTTTATGACATCCGAATCGTAGTCGGTTATGGCGATGTTCCGATTGGCTTGTTCGCTGTTCTTCGTCGTCTGCTGTCCAATAGGCTCTGACTTTCAGCGTTTTCTTGTCCACACACCGTTCCTGCTGTCTGTTTAGGCCCCTTTGGGCTACCACCTCTCCCATGTAGAGACCATTGTAGAATGTAATTAAAGCGGCCTGAACGCGAAGCGATTGCTTCCTGCCGCTCTCCCGGGCCCAGCGCGAATGCCCATCTGTTGTCTTCTGCGCTCTGAGGTTTCTATCTCATGACAAAGCTCGTGAAAGCGGTGCGTTCCTCTCAACGCGGCCCAAAGGTGCCAGCCAAAGGCTTGCCAAGTGTGTGCGGCATACGCCCACAAATGTGACCTCACGTGTCCACCAGAGACGCGACGCGACTCGATCGCACTCGGTCCTTGGCTACATAACTCTTTCTGCTTGCTCCGCTTCGTTATTAACCCGCCCAGGTACAAGACCGCGAAGGCAGGTCCACGTATGTCCACACACCCCCAGTCCACCACCCCAGCTCTCAGAAGATGCACGAACCCTCCGGTAGCCACCATCGACACACCTCTTCTGGTGCTCTCTCGCCCCGCCCCGCTTCATGGTCGCCCCGCGTCTCTCCGTACAGCAAGCCCGCTGATCCTCGTCACGAGCGAGAACGTGGTGCGGGGTCTGGATATGGCGAGTCTCACCCTACCCTTCACGAGCGAGTCAAGCTCCCGTCGCGCTCCCAAATCCCCCCTACCATGCCGCGCGCGGACCGTCTTGCGATGGAAGCTGCACAGAGCTCTCCTGGACCCTCCACTGGGCATATGGCTTCCGGGAGCTCCCTGGAAGACGGCGAGGTTGTGTCAGGCTCATACCGCTCGGGACGGTCGTCGAGAGCGAGAACGCCGCCGGAAGACGGCGAACCGGTTCCGCGCAAGTCTGAACCTAGGCGTTTCTCTGGAGACGACGCTCTCGGCGAACGAACTTCACGGGGAAACGCGTCGCGCGACCGCGTGCGCGTCAAGAGCGAAGAGAGCGGGGTCGCGGCACCACCGGTTATGGAGAGGGACTCGTCCAGTGGGAGGAGACGCCGCACGGCTACCATTGACGTCGTGAGTACGTTGCTTCACTTGTTGTATCGTGTTTTTTAAACATCTTCAAGTTTGGGAACAAGCTCGATCCATCTCCGGCGCATACAGCCAGTCCCCCGACCCCCTCTCCGTCAAAGCAGGTCGCAAACAAGCCCACTCAAGCCGTCCCTTCGTCCTCCTCTTCTAGTTTCGGTTCTAGTACCATCTCTATTGATCCACTCTCGCGACCCTCGTCCACTCTCGCGGGCTCCTCCGGCCTGTCTCTTATCAACGCACTCCCCGAGGAAACAGTCAATTCGACCAAGTTCTCTCGCGAAGTAATTGATTCTTGCCGCGACATCATGGCCAAGCTCATCGCAAGCACCTCAAAGAACAATACCCCCGAAAGCGCCCGCTCACTGCTGTCAGACGATAAAATGGTCGACTTCATCCGGCTCGCAAGAACGATCCGCGCTCAGGTTGCTCCCAAGCGATCTCTTGAAGACGACTCTATGCAACCTCGACCGCTCAAGTCGCCGAGGTCGGACCCGCTCGCTAAGACCGAGGAAACGCCTGCTCGTACCTCTGCGACCAGTAGGTCGAGCACGAGGTTCGGACCGGCACTACAAACTCCTGCTTCTGAGTCTCGGCTTCAAGAGCATGCGACGGTGCTTCCTGCGGACCTGCCTCCTGGAGCCTCGACAGCCTCCGCCCCAGAAGTCGTTATGGAGAGTGCCAATATCTCTAATGTGGATCACCCGCAATCGTCATCCTTCACTGTAGAGCAACCTGTGGAAATAAAAACTGCTCCAGCTAGACGCAGAACGAGAAGCCTCAGTCCCACCGTACCCACGTCGTACCTCCAACAACCGTCGTCTACATCGACCCTGGTCGATCTCGGCAAGGGAGCGTGGACCCCTCAATCGCAGTTGTCGCCGTCATCTACGATGATGCACGATGCTACTCACCTTGAAGATGCAGAAATGAAGAACACCGAGGCCACCCGAATTCCAGACGTCGTACCCGACGATCCATCAACCCCCCGCGAACTGGATCCTGCCCCGTTTGGAGATGAGCCCCCGTGTTCTCCGTGTCCGGTCCCCGGTATCTGGGCGGAGTTCAGGGGTTGTAAAGCAAGCGTAAATACTGTTTCTTTCCGGATAGATCGATCTACGTTGGATGCAGTTAAGAGGTGGTCACAGCGGGAAGAGTCATTCGAGTTAGTTTTCTCCGTTGTCCCATTGAAGGTATCTGACCGGGGTCATTGTCATTCCAGTCCGCAAGAAAGACACGTCAAACTACACCTGCTGTGCGTCTCTCGTGACCGCGCGAGCACTGTCATGGACTCCAAGGATGCTCTCGCTGCGGCTTTGTGGGAAATGCCGTCGAATTGGCCGCCGACGGGCCATGTTGTCTTGAGCTTTACGTCGGAGGGCGGTCCGACTCATAAGATCTCTCGGGTGGGTCTTGGAAGGGGGCGGCTCTCTGTCGCGTGGCCAGTTTGGTGTTCTGATACACGTTTTGCAGTTCCCTAGCGAAAGAGACGGCCCGATGCTTCTGAGCCCCTACGTATGCGGGAGCTTCAACACGCTCGAGTTCATTGCTCTTGAAGACATTTCTGACCGCTTATTTGTTGTGCACGCTGCCGAGCCCTCGTCCATGGAGAAAAAAATAGCCTTGCGTATTTTGCGTTCCAAGGCTCCCAAGAGCAAGCTTCTCGGAGACTAGCAGGGTCAAGATGCTTCCGCAACGAATCCCTCGTCCTCCCGCACGATCGGACGACACCCAACCACCTTCTTGTTATCGTTTTTGACCGTGTCCATGTATGGCTCACGCGACTAAAGTTCCCCTCCCCCCCATTCGAGCGTTACAATGAGGCTCAGCTGCTCGTCAATCTCCCGACACTTCCAGCACCCTATGTCCACTCATTTATCCACCTAATCGCGAAGACACGGCGAAACGGTTCTGCAGGCTTAAATCGTTGGTTGGGTGCGCCACTTGGTCCAACAGCCTCTCGGTCTCCGGTTTGGGGACAGCTAGGGTGATCGGTCCTCTCCAACCCAGTCTTGGCCCCCAACGGAAGTCAAAACTCGTTTCGGCCAGTCACAGCGATGGTGCTACAATACGCAGCCCGGGACGACGTCAACACCTGATCAAGACTCTTCGTCGGCCTGCCTGCAATCACTGGATTTGAGGGCCTAGCCTACCGCTCTTCTTGTACTCGTCGCGTGTAATGATCCCGCTCAAAGCCTACAAATGCACATGGTTCACCCTGGTCACACCGTGCCTCGTCCCCATCACCAGCAAACCTCAAGCCCCGCGATTTGAATCAGCGCCAGGTATACCGCCACATGCAGCTGAGGCCGCCTGCTGCCTCCCGCTGCGGGTGCTGACACAGATGCGGGTTCGTGCGTGGCGGTGACACAGCACGTAACGCAGCGAGAACGAGCTGGGCAGGACGGGCAAACGGGCATATGAAGAGCGAAGCGGCGGCAGGACGAAGCTCATCCCCCCGACCCAACCTCGCGGCGACCAACTTCTAACCTTCTTCAACCTTTTTCTTTCCGACTCCCAACCAACCCGGATTCGCGATACAGTTCTTCGCCAAGCTCGCTGCCGTCCTTGCTCTTGCGCGCGCCGCCCAGGCCATCGCCGTCCCTGGTGAGTTGGCTGTCTCGGAAGGCCTGTCGAGCTGCACGCTAACAACTGCATTTTGATTCAGCTGAGATCGGCGTCGACGGCGGTGGCTGCGCTCGCAGCGTCGGTCTCGAGGACTGGTCTTAATCGATTTTTCTTCAGTGCATGTCCTTCGCTCAAGTGCATGCATTTCACGGGCTGACGATGCTCTCTCGAACAGCATCCGGTGATCGGCTAGTCTACATGCCTCTAGACGGGAGTCGTTTGGGAGACGGGTCAACTACTTGCGGGGATCCGCCGTTTTGTGGTGTTGTCGTTATTGGTGGATCGTCTATCGTTTGGAACATGCTCGTGCTGGCCTCCGGTCTGTGTGCGATGGATACAAAACCCAGACTACCGTACGTGCAGTCAAATATCGGTATATAGACATAGACATACGAATCAGCATGCTATTACGAGGGGGAATGCCGAGATCTAGTTGCATGGGTACGTAGGGGTGAGAGCGGTATGACAAGCATAACAAGCAAAACGCGAAAGCAAAATCGACAGTGGAATCTACACGGCGCATAGTCGTACACATGGATGACGGAGAGAGCAATAGAGTAATAAGCAAAATAGAGTCCTAAACTGCCGGCGTCGCAGCATATACGAAGGCAAACCGGCCGACCCATTAAGAGTGATGGGGTCATATCGACACCGTGACCCGGGCGTGCAACTGCAACCCAACCACGGCAGTCAGACGCGGTCCCCCGACGGCGCGCACGAGGCCAGAGCTTCAGTCACTCACGACGTGTGACGGTGGCCTCGGTGGCCCAGGGATGCTGATCGCGGGGACGGTGAAGCGGCCGAGCCCGGCGAGCGTCGCCTCCCACTTGCGCTTGCTCCGGCGCGACCTGGCGAGCTCGCGGAGCTGCGCGTCGGTGGGATGGTGGAGGATGAAGGCGAAGAAGAGCCGAGAGAGGTCGTTGTACTGGTAGAGATGGAGGACGTTCTCGGCGGGGGATGCGAGGAGGCCGCGAGCGCCGATGTCGATGATGTGATCGCGGTTGGTCTGCAAAAAGACGTTAAGTGTTGAAAGGGATGCGGGATAGATGTGGGAACTTACCCATTGGAACGGGGGAGAGATGGTGATTTCCCTCTTCTTTCCTCCGCTACTTTCGTCCGGATGCAGGACGAACCAATCGGGGTATCCTGATGGTTGGGCGGTCCAAGGCACAGGGTGGCCACACTGGGTGATGTCGATCTCCCCGTCGATGTCGTCGTCGAGTGCCTTCACGAAGTTTTCCATGGTAAATTTGACCAGCGAGACACACATGCTATCCGTCATAACCTCCCTGAAAGCAAGATGAGCACGTCATTCATAGGTGGAAGAAAGAAGGGGCGTACTTAGTTGACTCGCGACTGTTCCAGCGAGTGATCTGAGCGACCTCTTCTTCTGACAGAGTGAAAGTAAGCTTCGTGGGCTCATTGTGAGGAGTACACTTCGCTCGTCCTTCATGGACTACAAGCAAGCGTATGCAGCGGCCCACAAAGGGCGATGCATCGTCGTCGGTCATATTCTCGTCTTCAGCCTCTGAGATAAGGTCTTCGTCTGCGGGTTCCGGTTGTGACGGTTGTGATGGGGGCTCGGACGTCGTGGGTGCTGAAGGCAAAGAAACGTCTATGCGGGTATTAGGACGCGATCCAACAAGAAAACCTTTGTCTTACCCATTCGATCACCATTGGACAAGCAGGAGTCCGAAGTTACCGCGGGAGGCGGTGTTGTACTCTTCATGCGAGGTCCAGGGGTGTTCTCTCGAGCGTCGTCAACAACTGTGTCAGTCGACGTTGTTGTTTTCATTGTTGCTTCGCTCGACACAGATTCGGGAGGTTGCGCCGTCGAGACGTCGGTCAGCGGTTCCCCAGCAGGCTCCTTTATTTTCGAGCTTTGTTCTTCGATTTCGATCTTGTCGCCTAGTACCGCATCTATAGATTCGACGCTGACGTCTATTGGTTCGGCGTTCGTGTCGTTCGGCTCGGTGCTGACGTTCATGGCGTCGGGGGAGCGAGTGAAGGACGACGTGTCTTCCAAGACCGTAGCTAGAATTGCGCTGTCACCTGTCGCCGGATCATTTTCAGTGGTGGACGGTGTTGTTTCCGTCACCGTACTTGCTTCCGGGAGCGTAGGGCTGGGTGGCAACGGAGCAGGCGGCTTATCTTCTGCGGCATTGAGGTCCTTTTTGAGTTCCGCTAGCGATACTGGAGAGGATACTAGTGTGTCGGGCAGAAACCTCAAACCTGGCGGACCTTTCTTCACCTTCTTCCTCTTCGGCAACGGCGTTGGAAGCTTCTCTGAGATTGGGGACTCAGAGGGGGTCGGGGGTAGCTTGGCTGGAGTCGCAGGAGCTGTCTCCCGACTCTCTGCGGACAAGGGTGGAGAGCGGCGGCGCTTCAAGGAGGGGGGAATCACGTCCGTAGAGGATGGCATTACGTCATTTTGCGGAGGAGCATCGACCAGGTCGTTTTGTATCGGTGCGGGCGGTGGGGGGTGGTCCTTGGGGGGGAGGGCGGTAGAAGCGGGATTGCCGTCAGACTCTGCAGAATACTTCTCTATGAACCAATCTAGGTCGGCTTTGAGGAAGTCTTCCGTCGGTACAATGGATTTCCGCTTCTTCGATTTATGCACAGAAGGCCCGGATGACATGACGCCTTCAGAAGCGTTAGATTTCATGGAAGCATTTATGAACGGCTGAGTAGGCTCCGTGGGGTTGGGTGAACCTGCGCCGAACACTGGCGCTATCGCAGGCCCAGAGGTCTGGTATGTCTGCGGTGTTTTGGGAGCGGTCGAATCTGTCGGGGTGGTAGATCTTTCTCCGGAGTCAACACAACAACTTCAAGAGTTAGAAGAGGACAAGAGAGGTGTTCCTCAGGGCCGAAACCCTGCAAAACTTGCAAACGGACGAAAACCTCAGATGTCCATCCGAGCTTTGGAATGCTTCCGCCGAGTCATCGCACGTCAGCGCGGCGTGCGCTGTTGGGTGACGGAGTCTGACGATTGAGGACATCGCAGTCTAGTGGAAGAGTGGAGTGACCACGTTGAGTCTAATCGAGGGACCATGGACTTAGGTCAAATTTGAGAGATGAAGGCGCATTCAGTGTGAAAGCTCCAGACAAGCTGGATTCTCACTTGTCTAGCGCATAGTTCGGGAGCAACCATGCTCCGAGTTCACTGCACAGGCCCTTGAGTCGCAATTGCACGCGATGCTGGCACCGCCGAAGAGCATTCACAGCGCCGATTGCTTTGTGAATGCACGCCAGGTCGCCTTTCGCCATGCTCGCCCCTCCACAAACGCAAGAGCAAGCAGGGACTACCAAGAAGTACTCACTGTAGCGACGCAGCCCGCTTGGTGACAGAAGATGGTCTATGGTGGGACAGAAACTCGTCAACGTCGGGGATGATGATCTTGAGAATGGCGTAGAGGCGGTCTGCAGGCAAGAGTGCGATGGGTCAAGGGGCAGAAAACAGGCCTGAACAAAGCACGCACGCTGGAGGTCCTCCTCCACAAAATGGGTATAAAAGCGACCGACAGTCCGGACCAACTTCTCAAATGGCTGCACCCAGGCCTGGATTTGGGTGGCGCGCTCAGGGGAGGGGACAGGGGTAGCATGCGGCTGTAGCCCTCCTTGTCCGCGCACTGTCACTAAAGCGGTCTGTTGCGCATGATTTGAGCTCACGTGCCTCGCGTCAACCCGACGGCATACCTCAAGGAGTCTGATGATCTGCGTCGAACATAACACGTTGAAGCAAGGGAAGGTGAACGCATACGGACGCCTGTACTCACCACGGGGCGGGCACTGGCGTAGTACGCCCTGTCGATCTTGCAGAACACGGCGAGTTTGTTGGCGCTGGAACGAAACACTTGGAGATCGTCGCTGGCAAAATACTTAAAGAAGTCGGGCCAGACGCGGTCGTTGTTAGCCTCCGCCTCGGTGGTCGACCGGGCGGGGTTCACGGGCAGCGACATGGGGGGAGCGGCGGGGCACAAAGACGCCTGCGGGAGTTCATCGCCGCGTACAGTGACCTCGGAGATTATACGCACGCATCTTATCTGATTAGCACGAACTATCTTATCGCCAGACTTTCTCCCGCTTCAGTGACGCGTCACGGCGCTTGCGGCGTCTTATGCATCGTCGCCCTCCGCGTCAAGCGAGCCGCGTCCACTCTCCCTTCCTCCCCCTGCCTCCGTCCCCGCTCCCAGACCTCAGGCAGGTCCTCCTGCTCCCTGCGGCGCCCATGAATATTTTCGGCAGCCTCAAGACCGCGGCCGGCGCGTCCTCCCGGTCGTGTACCCGCCGTATATGCGAGCCGGGTCCCTCCAGAGTGACTCTGCACGCTGGTCTTGCGGGCCCCTCGTGGCAGGCGTTCTACACCGCCGGCAAGGTCGTTGGAGCGCGTCGGACGTTCTATTCGTCTACTGTCGCCGACTTCACTCCTACTGCTGCCATCCGCCTCCCGCGATGGGTAAATGCCAGACTAGGGCCCTCACGCGACCAGAAGCCCGTAGAGGCGGACTCCCAGACGGACTCGTCTCAGCCCCGGGCCCGACTCGACGGGCCCGAGGATGAACAAGGAGCGGCACCACCCGCGTCAGCCCCTCCTTCAGCCCCTCCGTCCTCCTCGTCTTCGGGAGACGGTGCAGACAACGCCGATGCCCCGCCACCTCCGCCTCCCTCCGACGCCCCTTCGCAACCACAGACGTCTATTTCCAAGCAAACTGTACCGGAAAACTACCCTCAGGTTCTTGCTCTCCCCATCGCTCGTCGTCCCCTTTTCCCCGGATTCTACAAGGCGGTCGTCATTCGGAACCCGGCGGTTGTGGCGTCGATTAAGGAGATGATGCGTCGCGGCCAGCCCTACCTCGGTGCCTTCTTGCTCAAGGACGAGAATGCGGATAGCGACATCATCACGGACATCAACTCGGTACACCCTGTCGGAGTCTTCGCGCAGATTACCAGCGTCTTCACAGCGCAGGGCAGCAAGGATGAAGATAAGGAAGAAGGCCTCACCGCCGTACTCTACCCCCACCGTCGAATCAAGATTACGGAGCTCGTAAAGAACGGCACTGCCGCCAAGATCGAAGAGGTCGAAGGTGACAAGGTGGATGCGGTTACTGAGCCTGAAGGTCAGCTTCCAACACCTCCTCCGGAACGCGACGGCCCTCCTATGACGATGCAAACGTCTTTCCTCGAGAAGTACGCTGTGTCCGTCGTAAACGTGGACAACCTCGCCACTCTGCCTTACAACAAGGATGATCAGTACATCCGCGCCTTTATGTCGGAAATTGTCTCCGTCTTCAAGGATATCGCGCAGCTCAACCCCCTCTTCCGTGACCAAATTGCAAACTTCTCCATCAACCAGGTCGCCTCGAACGTATTCGACGAGCCAGACAAGCTCGCCGATTTCGCGGCCGCAGTGTCTACCGGGGAACCGAACGAGTTACAAGACGTCCTGGAGAGTCTCGTCGTTGATGACCGTCTTCGGAAGGCGCTCTTGGTTCTCAAGAAGGAGCTTATCAATGCCCAGCTGCAGAGCAAGCTCGCGCGTGACGTCGACAGCAAGATCGCGAAGCGTCAGCGCGAGTATTACCTCATGGAACAACTCAAGGGTATCAAGAAGGAGCTCGGCATGGAATCCGACGGGAAGGACAAGCTTATCGAGAAATTCAAGGAGCGCGCGGCGACGCTGAAGATGCCGGAGGGTGTGCGTAAGGTGTTCGACGAGGAGCTGAATAAGCTTATGCACCTGGAACCCGCGGCATCGGAGGCGAATGTGACGCGTAACTACTTGGAATGGCTTACTCAGGTGCGCATCGGCTTGATGTTGGTTGAGCGCATTACCAATACCCCGTTTCGCAGATTCCTTGGGGCCAGCATTCTCGTGAGAACTATTCGATCGCGAATGCTCAGTCGGTTCTCGACGAAGACCACTATGGGCTCAAGGATGTGAAGGACCGTATTCTTGAGTTCCTCGCTGTTGGCAAGCTGCGCGGAACGGTTGAAGGCAAGATCATCTGTCTTGTCGGTCCCCCTGGTGTCGGCAAGACGTCAATTGGCAAGTCTATCGCTCGGGCTCTCAACAGACAGTTCTTCCGTTTCTCGGTCGGCGGTTTGACAGACGTGGCTGAGATCAAGGGCCACCGTCGTACCTACGTCGGGTAAGAGCGTCATCATGTCTGAGCCTTCATTGACTCACAACATATGCTCCCAGAGCTCTTCCTGGAAAGATCATCCAAGCACTTAAGCGTGTAGGAACGGAGAATCCTCTCGTCCTCATCGATGAGGTTGACAAGATTGGCCGTGGACACAATGGTGATCCTGCCAGCGCTTTGCTCGAGATGCTCGACCCTGAGCAGAACACGGCTTTCCTGGATCACTAGTAAGTTCTATTGCATCGTGCACACAGGCGGCTTGCTCAGTGTTCTACAGCATGGATGTCCCCGTGGATTTGTCGCGCGTGCTCTTCGTCTGCACTGCCAACATGCTGGACACCATCCCAGCACCTTTGTTGGATCGTATGGAGGTCTTGGAAGTAAGCGGCTACGTCTCTGAGGAGAAGGCACAGATCGCGTCCAGGTATCTTGGTCCTCAGGCGAGGGAGGCTTCTGGTCTGAAGGACGCCGATGTCGAGCTGGACCCTGCCGCTGTCGACATGCTCATTAAGTACTACTGCCGCGAGAGTGGTGTGCGTAACCTGAAGAAGCATATCGACAAGGTAAGCGCCCCCGATTCACGCTCGCTTTGCGTACCTCCTGACGGAGGCCCATTTGTCAGATCTACCGCAAGGCTGCTTTGAAGATCGTCCAGGACCTTGGAGAGGAAGTTTTCCCCGAACCTGTTCCTGCCCCCGCAGAGGCTGCCGCCGCCGCCGACGTCAAGGAGTCCAAGGACGAAAGTCCGGAAATGATCACTGTTGAGAAACAGGACGCACCGTCCTTGAACCCTGCCGCGCCTGAAACGTCAACTCCCCTCACGTCTTCCGAGGATACTGAACGCGTTGTCACCACCATTGAGCGCCAGCCGATGAAGGTCCCTGACACCGTCCACATTAAGATCACTCCCGAGAGCCTCAAGGACTATGTTGGGCCTCAGGTCTACCAGAAAGACAGGCTGTATGTTCAGGCTCCTCCGGCCGGCGTCAGCACTGGCCTCGGATACTTGGGCAACGGTTCCGGTGCAGTCATGCCGATCGAGGCTTTGGTAGGTTGAGCTACTTTATCTATATAAGATATATGTTGATAGCATATTTTCACAGACTATGCCTGGCAAGGGCAACATTCAGCTCACCGGTAAGCTCGGCGAGGTCATCCGCGAGAGTGCGCAAATTGCGCTCTCCTGGGTCAAGAGCCACGCCTTCGAGCTCGGCATCACCAAGTCTCCCGACGAGCAGTTCCTTACCGACCGCGACGTCCACGTCCACATGCCCGAGGGCAGCATCGGCAAGGAGGGCCCCAGCGCCGGCACCGCCCTCCTCTCCGCCTTCGTCTCGCTGTTCACCAAGACCAAGATCAATCCTGACATCGGTACGTTCCCCTCTCGGCCATTTCTCCCATGCAGCCTGCTCATGACTGTCCTTCAGCAATGACCGGCGAGATCTCGCTCGTCGGCATGGTCCTTCCCGTCGGCGGCCTGAAAGAGAAGATCCTCGCGGCGCATCGCGCCGGGATCAAGACCATCCTCGCCCCCGCGGGCAACCGCCAGGACATCGAGGAGAACGTTCCGGCGAGCGTCAAGACCGGCATCCGCTTCGTCTATGTTGAGACCGTCGACGAGGTCCTCCAGGAAGTCTTCCGCGGCGAGCAGGTCGCCGAGCGTTGGAAGGAATCCTTCAAGCTCTGAGCCTCATGAGCGACACATGTCGCGCGACGGGTCCCGATGCAAGGGCGAAGGGCTGGGGACCCTTCTTCTGCTCCGCCTTTCCTTCACGCGACCACCCTCGGGCGCGCTCCGAGGCGGTGCGCCCTGACGGAGAACTTACAAGTACCACAATCCTTAATGCGCGCTTCCACGGCTTAGAGCTGATCCGTTACTTGCACTCTACACATCGGCTACCTGTATAATATCACACGCACGCTCTGAACACCGCTCACTTTCATGGCATGGAAACTCGCTCGTATGCGTCGTCTGTTTGCTCTCAATCGTTGCGCATGGCAATCAGGATGAATCCCCCAGACGTTGGAGGCGTCGTGGTTGCGCTTGGATCTCCGCCACAGTGTTTGCGTCGAGGAATCTGATGCACCAGTTGTCACGAAGGGAGGATGAGGTCCAAAATTGTCGCTCGACCTCACTCGAGAGCTCAATATCATGCTTGTCCTGTGTATCACTCCTATCCTTACCCGGGCCATCCATCCCCGCGAACAGTGCGAGGCCGTTTCGTTGATGTCCTGCTCCCCCCGATTCGTGAACCCAGCCCTATGGAGTAGATTTGGCTCATGTACGCCTACAATAGGGCGCTGCCCTCGAGGACGTTGAAAAAAATTGGTGTTCGAGCAGCGTAAAATGATATCCACTACCACCGACGGGGATCGAACCCGCAACCCCCACCTAGCATCCCACCCCATGTAGGAAGGTGATGCGCTACCATTGCGCCACGATGGCGACATCAATGTTATCCTTAAAACAGTCTTGTCATCTTAGCTGCCGCTTCCACTCGATGGTCAAGCGGTAGTCATCACATGCTGCATGCTGCCCAACTTCCTCCCGATTTCCACTAAGACACTCGCCGCTACGAAACGGCCGATCCACCCACGGGCGCCCTGAAGCCCCAATACTGACCTTACTTGAAAAGATGGCACATCACACGTGGAGGTATGGATCCGGGAAAGCATACCAGGGAGATCGCCCCCGTGCAGTGGCGGTCAGCGAGCAAGCGCGCCGATTCGCACCTTCGTCCAATTGCGCACGCGCGGCGAGCCGTTTGTAAAACAGCTGCAGGAGTCGTTGTCCGCCGGAGATGTGCACAGTAGGAGCATGATGCGCCCGTGGTTCACACCGTGTTCCATGTAGTGACTGTGGGGAAAGAAGCCTGCGATAGGCGACCGGTACCTCGGTGGACAATGGGCGTCGAGCTTGAAACTGGAGTCGCACATGCTCAGAACAGCGGTTTAGACCGGGAGAAGAGTGACGATTGATTGTGCTGAGATCGGGCGATCGCCTCGCGTTGCGCTGCGTCGATAGACATTGCACCCAGTTCGAGCAGAGCAGACCAGAGTCCGTCCGCGTGCAGACCGCTTGTGCCAAGCGGATTCGGAAAGTCAGCACTCCGCCTCCCCGATCCCGGCGTCGGAACCTCCGGCCCCATGTCCTGACCCATTCGCCGTTCGGACGTCCAGCCAAATCTCACGTTCGGGATCCAAGACGCCGACCGGCCGTCGTTCCCCCTTTAGGACCGTACGGAGGTTCGGCGATCGTGGTGCGTTACTGAACGTTTGATGTCATCAAAGCGCGCCGGACCGCGACGGAGCAGCAGCCTTGAGGCGAGCCAACTCGGTGAGCGACGGGGGAACGCCGAGCCGCGGGTTTGATCGTGGCCCAGGAACTTCACGAGCAAAGTTTAGAGGCGTCGCGGAAGTTCGAAACGCGGCGGCGGTGAGACGGAGCCGGTTGAGCAGGGCCCGGACGACTCCATCGAGGGAGTGAGCGGCATGCTGCTTACCTTCACGGTGGAAGTTTCAGGCCTTCAGGGTGCTTCAGATTCGGGGCCGGCGTCTGCGAGCAAGTGGAGCGCGCGGCGTAGATCCAAAGATGAGGCCAGCGGAAGAGTGTGGGGCGTGCTCCGCGAAACGAAAGAGTCACGCTGCCGATCCAGTCGCCTTCCTCTGCGATCGACGGACCGTTGCCTCCTCCGAGAGTGCGCGGACTGCAGGATGTGCACAATTATTTGCCCATCAGCCGATTCGGTTGAACCCGCAAGTACATACGTACACGCTGGGCAAGAGTGCAGCAGACTGTCTAGAGGCGAACCAGACTTCGTCATCGCGCACGACCTGTCGAGTGATGATCAAAGTACTCACGTATCGAGAGCCCCGGAGGCACGCTTCGCTTGGCGACGGAGGAAGAAGCTGGAGGAGGCGAACGTGCGGCACGCTCCGATCGGACAAAACGGACGCACCGGCGAACGCGCCGCCAGGTGCGCGCGCTGGGATCCCGGAGGCACACCCAGTGCGTGCACCACGGGCCTTCGGAGCTTCGAGCTTGAATCGTCCATCGCCGCGCGCGGTGCGCCCATACCCTGCAGCCCACGCGGCTCGCGGGCCTCGAGGGCGTCGGGGGACGCTGGGGCCCTTCGTTGTGGACGCGCGCAACGACGTCAGCGCGAAACGCAGTGACCGCACCCACGCACGGCACACGACCATCAGATCCGTGCTCCGTTTCCTCCGTGCGCCGTGCACCAATCGCAGCCGGGCCAAGGCCGCGGAGATTCGCCCCAGACGGACTGGACAGACGTCCGCGCACCACGAATCGCCTGCGAGCGGCGGAGCGAGCAGCTTTCGTCGTTCGACGGCGACCGTTGAACGTTGACAGCTCAGGGGCCCGCGCGCCTGGGGTGTGGAGGGTGACAGATGGGAACATTGGCCTTGAAGCTTCAAGGCGCGCGCGGGGGACGCGATCCCCAGTCAACGCCCTGGAAGCCACGCCAGGAACGCCGTAACGTCCGAGCGGACGGACGCCCTGCGCCGAAAGACGAAGGATCAATTGACGATATTGATGTCAATGCAGCCCGCCGCAGTGACAGCGGGGAGCTCGCGGGGCCTGCGGCGCGCCGCACAAGCTGTTTCGTCGGCCACATTGCCGCGCCCGCGCCGCTTCGCGGGTGCACCGGGAGGACCTGTGGTACGTAACCTCTGCGAGCCCAACAATGAGCAGAGATGGCGAGCGGCCGCCGCATCTAAGGATCCGGACACCGTCGTGGTCGGCAAGGGTCATGTTTCCGGGGTCGAGATCGATGCACCGGGAGGTGATGAGATGGGCGGGTCAGGGATGCCGACCCGGAAGCTTTGTGGCGTGCGCAGGCACGCGCGCGCTCAGCGCCCCGACGTGCGTGCGGGGAAATGAGTGGGGGACGCCGGGCGGGCCGGGGACGACGCGAGGATCGGGCGGCCTGCCCGCGAACGCGACGGATCTGCCAAGGGCGCGCGGCGACAGAGTGGCAGATTGGGATGGCTGAGATGCGCATTATTGCGGGAGGAGGCGCGAGCCCGAGGAGCGCGCGAAGTGTTGAGGGCGTGAGAGCGCGGGCGGGCGATCCCCACGCGCGTGAGTGGAGGGCGGAGATGTCGGATGGGGGCAGCTCGGCCTGGGCCAGTCGAGAGGGAGATGCGGGGGGCGGCCAATGATTAATGAGCAAGGCGAGCGAGCGCAGCGGCGCCGCCGCGATCATGGGAGGCGCGGGGACGGTTCGAGGACCGCTTTGCTAGGGCGCGGCGCGGCACGGGCGATACGTCTAGTGATGGGTCGTGCCGAAGCGCAAAAACGGGCACATGCGTCGGTGCGGGAGATGGGAAATGTAGGTTTGCGCACGGTGGATGAATGCCATGACCATGCTGGGTGGTGGGGTCATGTACGAAATCTGAGGTATTGAGAAATGTATGAGACACAGGTACATAGCATGCCCAAAGAGACTGTAAAACATGCCGTGCTATCGCGACCACAGGTGAGGATTCAGCGGGGGCCATGTTCACAAGCTAGCCATCTCGGGGATGTCGGACCCGCTTCAGGGGAGATGTGTTCTACCTAGTGTTCGGGAGGGATTGTTAGGACCCAGAACTCGATGTGGACGGGGTGCGTGATGGAAGCCTACCTTGCATCCCGCCGGCTCCCGGCCGCGGTAGCGCATCACACGCCGCTAGTATTTCCTCCTCCGTTCTGTGCCCGCACAACCTTTTCTCAGGGCGCCATATCAGCGACCGGCCTATGTAGAATTGCGTGCGAGGCTCGGCCTCGGCCTCGTCGTGAACATTGTAACGTCCGCCCGTCGACCGACGTCGACCATTGCATCCGCACCGCGCAGTTAATGCCTTAACTTCATCACCCGCTGAGGCGCAGCTGCCACAGGCTCGTTGATGCAGTTGGGGGATGTCGCCAGGGGTTGGGAGCTTGAATCCAAACACTGATCCGTCGCCGCCAAAGGACGGCGTGCTTCCAGCGTAAGTACAGTCCACAGTTGTGGCGTTGAGTGTCCGTGGCCCGTGGGCCCGGGGTGGCTAGTCCAGGTACAACATCAATGCTCAAAGCGAAGAAGGGGGATTAGCAGAAGGCACACGCAGACAGTTTCTCGGTGGCGCAAAGCACGGAGGAGATGCTTTCAATTGGGTTGGACAGATGCGTGGAGTCGCGTTGTATTCTGAGGGTTTGGCTTTGATGTTGGCGGGGAAGAGACAAGGGAAGCTTCTTTGGGTGACCGGTTCGATGGATGCCAGACGAGGGGAGCAAGCAGACTGCCAATGGGAAGGACATAGACAAGGTTGGCCATCTCGAGCGCATAGTGTCGCGCATAAAGAGAACGTACCTGTGCTCAGAACGAGGCCGTCTCTGCAAATGAGCCCGAGAACCTGCTTGCTGCGGAACCGGCTATCCGCATTGTACGAGCAGAGCGAGCGACCAGAAGACGACGAGCCAAATACCGTCGAAGCCATCTCTGCGAGGCCGCCGGCTTCGCGCACGCACGGAGATGAATCCGGTGCGCGCGCGTCACTCGCCAGCTGCACGATACGCACCCATGTGGCGTATCCGGCTTCCCCGCAGTATGTACAAGTGCCCGAGCGGCCGAGAGGGCGGTGAGCCATGGGCCACCGAGGCGGTGAGGCGAAGCGGGGCGGTGCGGGTCGAGCGCCCGGGACCTGGGACCCAATCGCGTGCGCGTGCGCGTGTGGAGGCAGCACTTGGGTTCCACCGAGTTTAATGAAAGACGGCGCGCGCATGCATGCACGCAGGCTTGTCGCAGGCTCGCAGGCTCGACAGACCGCTTCGCGCTGCGTCTTGGGCGTCGGCAGGTGGGTGTAGGCGCGCGGGGCAGGGAGGAGGCTCGTGTCGGGGATCATATTCGGAGACCGGAAGGGAGGGGCGATCGCTTCTGGCACAGGGGGTCTATGGGATTCTGGCCGCCGGCAGAGACTATGTTGTTTGGCATACCGGCCACGGCCGGGGGCAGGGACTGGGAGGCGCGATTTGAGGACGGATCTGATCGGGGCCGACGGCGGGTCGCTGCGCCCGCCGCATGTATGCGCTTGTAGGTCCAGCCGAACGTTGCTGATGCTTACAGAGCGTTATAGGAGCCAAGGTGCGCCGAGGTTTGAGTAGCTGGAAAACTGGCAGGGATCAGGCCCAGGGCCGTGAAACGGGTAGACGCATCGCTGGTGTTCTGTTCTTCGGCATTCAAGCATGCATACTATGTACCCCTTGTGCAACTCCAACCATTGATGGTTAATTTGGCGACGGGGAGTGATTACCGGCGAATGGGGTGAGGGGGCTGGATGACAGATCGCGTCCACGAAGGGCGAGGCGCTTCTTTGCGTCGGTGAGCTGCTGAGGATGCGGGTGAGTACACATTGTTGAGGATCCGGGAGAAGTGCATCTCATACCTGATCGCTAGATGGTGCACGTAGTGGTTTACTGGGAGGGCACACCGCCTCATGCGGGGCAGTGCGTGCGTCAAACAGTCCGCACACGACCCATATGGGGAAGGACGAACGCGCGCGGCTGGGGTTCGAGAGGACGAGCTTGTGTAGGTTTCAAACACGGATCTTGAGTTGCATCTTGATAATGATATGCACTCTGTCGCGCGTGGTGCCTTTGGATGGCGGCGAGCATGGCGATCTAGAAGATTGCGGACCACTGTCAGCTTTTGGCTCGGGGAAGACGGTGAAACATGACAACGAATGGAGCTCGTGGGTAGCCGCATTCGGGGATTTTATGATACTAACAGAGGCGGCAGCGGCTCGGCGGCTCGGCGAACCTTCGAGGGGCCTGGCGAGAACGCGACGATTTGCGCAGGCGTGCCGACTGGTGGGCAAGCTTCGGCCGGGGAAGCGGATAGGATGAGAGCTGGATCGCGTATAGTCTGGGGTCGGAGGAAGAGATGACGCTCGGAATCAGCAGTGCGGGCATCTGGTCATCGTCGCGGTTGCGGTGATGTTGATCAAGAGGATGTGATCGCGCGCGCGAGAACTTTGAGCTTAAGTAACTGGGTCCGAAGCGGAAAGGAGGCACGTATTCCCGCGGGCAGAGAGCGGTCTTCCCCGTTCTGGCCCCAGCCTCTTGCCAGCTGGTGGCGGCGGCAGCGCGAGGGCTGCACCGTCGTGCGCGCGGAGACACGGAGAGGAGGTGGCACCTGCGCGATCTCGTACGCGCCGGGGCACGCCGGGTGCGACCGTGCAAGAGGGAGAGGGATGCGCCTGGAAGAGGGAGACGGACGGCCTCGCACCGGGTGCGCACCGAGGGCAGAGGAGCGCCCGGAGGCGGAAAGTCGCGGCGGGCGGCCACGCGGCGGTGCCGTGGGCGCCGGTCGGCGGGGCAGTGCGCGGGAACGGGGAGGCGGTGAGCAGGCGAGAGAGGACGGGGCGGGGGGTGGGGGAGCGTCGAGGGAGAGGAGGACGACGGCGGAGAGGGGCGGCAGGCAGGGGCGGCTGGCCATGGCGGGCGTCGGTGCAATGATAGATGAAACGATCAGGCGGAGTGTGAAGTGCCCGCCCACGGAGGAGCGGAAGCGTTGAATAAAAGTCGGAGTGTAGTCCGCATCTCGTCAACTCTGCCCGTGCCATCGTCCTCCGTCCCGTCCTCTCGCCGTGCCTCCGCACAGCCCACTCCTCCTCGCTCTCGTCCCCCTCCCTGCATCGCCCCCTCCTCGCAACCGCCTCCGTCAAATAATCGACATCACCGCCTGCGCTCTCCTCTCTCCGTCCCCGCCAGTTAAAGCATTCGGCCATGGACGCCCTCCTCGCTCCCGCGGTCCGTACCGACCACCAAGACTTTGCCGTCCCCTCCCCCCACACCCACCTCTACGACATCTCCCCCAACCCCGGCTCCTCCTACGATTTCGACTCCTTCCCCGACTCGGCCCACTTCCCCCACACCCCGTCCTACAACGGCTCCTATCAGAACTCCCCATACTCGTCCTACTCCGATCTCCCTCCAATAGACGGCAACGACCCAGATCTCGCCCTCTTCAACGACGACAACCCCTCGGGCATCTCAATCACAGAGGAGTACGATCCCACAGACTTCGACCCTCCCTCCTCCGGCGGGCCGCTCCTCATTGACGACCCTTACATTAACGCCGCTCACGTCTCTGTGTCCGTAACGCCCCCGCTCCACGACTACTCGTCCCCCAACGCTTTTGATCACGCGTCCCCCGCCTCCTCCAACGGTCTTGAAGACGACAATCACAGCCACGCATCCTCCAACTCTTCCTACATGCACCCTTCCTCTCCGCACGACTTCTCCCAGACCTTCCAGGACAGTCTGTCCTTCCGCTCCCCTGCCTGGCCCGTGGGTCAGCTCCCTGACGACCGCCGCTCCCCTCCTCTGCACAAGCCCCAGTCCCCTCCCCAGCTCCTCATTCCCGATCACTCTAGTCCCGGTGCAGACGCACCGCCCACCATCAACGCACCCGACGGAGACGGTGGCCTCATCGGCTCCGGTCCGACCTTGCAGATCGTTCCTGCTACCCCGGTCAGCGGTGGCGGAGTGACTGCTCGGAATGTCCCCTTCCGGGACACGCTCGGGACGCTCCAGCAAGGTATGTTGCAACGCGCTGTTCTTGCTTGCTCCCCATCGCTGATCAACGTCGGACTTCAGGCTCGACAGCTGTCGGTGGATCTTCAGATGCGGAATGGCAGCAGCACGGACGGTACAACACACAGAGTGGTCAGTTCTCAGATCCCACGTCGTTCACCTACCCGTCTGCTGCATCAGCAAGTTCCTCGGCGCTAGGAGACGACAGCGCTCAGCAGCACCACCGTAACTACTTGCTCGCCCAGGCTCCATCACGATCAAGAAGCCTGTCGGACACTTCGCTTCGCCCGCCGACCTGGAGTACCATGCCCGCGGGCGGCGACCAGCGACAGACCGGGACCGTGAACATGAACGACGTCCTCCCGGGCCCTGGGCAGGGCCAGTCGTCGGACCCGTTGCTGGCAGAGTACCACCATCCTTCCTCCGCAGGGCCGCACCAGACGTCGTTTGGCAACCAGGCGAACTTTGATTTCGCCGGGAGCTCGTCTCACTTCCTCACTGTGGGCCGGTCAAAGTCGGACAGCTCTCGTCACGGAGGCCACCGGCAAGTCCGTTCGCTCGACATCCGTCCCTCATCATCCATGTCTGGTGCGGGCAACATGTTCTACCCTCCCCCAGGGTCCGCGCAGCAGGACTTCATCAACAACACGCAGCGTTTCCTTCACCCGACGGAGGCCTCTGTGCCTGGGCGAATCAGTCACCACCGCCGCTCCAGCTCCGGTTCGCGCGAGCGCGGGGTCGGTGGTCTCATGGGTGGTTCCATGGGCATGGGCTCCGTCTCCGGCTGGCAAGGCAGCTCTTCCGCGTCGAGCGCGCGGGCAAGCCCCTACCCCTCTCCCTCTGCTTCCCCACGTCCTGGGTATGGTCAGCTTCCGCCTGACATGAGTCTCGGCGGGCTCTCCGCTCCCGCCATTGGCGGTATGGGCATGAACATGATGAACAACATGGGTATGCCGGGCTCGCTCCCTGGGCGCATGGCTTTGCCCAACAGCATGAACGCGGCGGTGGCGGCTGCTCAGATGAATGGCGGTCACACAATGGCATCGCGTTCAGGCGTCCTCCAAGTCGACATGCCGGGCACAGAGGGCAACGTGCCGATGACGGTGACGAGGCCACACGTCACGACTCCGAGTACTGCGAAGGCCAGCCACGATCGTCGGAAGCAGCCGGCAAACTTCGCGTGTCCTGTACCTGGATGCGGAAGCACATTCACGAGGCATTTCAACCTGAAGGGTACGTCCTAGTCCTTCGCTCGCATGGCGGGTTGAGCTGATGGTGGACGTGCGATAGGTCACCTGCGCTCACACGCGGAGGAGAAGCCTTATCAGTGCAAGTGGCCGGGATGTGGAAAGGGCTTCGCGCGCCAGCACGACTGCAAGCGGCACGAGCAGCTGCATCTCAACATTCGCCCGTACCCCTGCGAAGGCTGCAAGAAAAACTTTGCCCGGATGGATGCGCTGAACCGTCACCGTGAGTGTCCCTCCTCCCGTCCTTTGAGCTCTCCCCTCCCTTTGCTGTCTGCCCTCCCCATCACGCGCCTCGTTTCTTCTTCTCGCGCACACCTTTTTTGAAACTTACTTCCTCTCCGTTTGCTAACGAATAGGGTGTCCAGTGCGCTCAGAAGGTGGCGCAGAATGTCGCAAGATCCAGGAGGAGCTCAGTCCCGGTTCGACCGCGCACCTCGACGCCCCGCCGACCGCGGCATCATCTTCGGACAGTGGTCCTGAGAGCTCGGCACCGCCGTCCGGGGCAGACGTCAAGCCCGACCCAGATGGCTGGGGCAACGGCGGGATGATGATGTAGTGGGTCTCTGCCTTGCACCTCTCTCCTTTTCTGCCTTCGTCGCGCCCTGGCGGCGGCACGCTTCGTTCCAATCAAGCGCGGGGCGGCCTCGGCCAGCACGCAACATCCTCTTTCTCTCCCCTCCCTCCGCCTATATCTATAGCCCCAGCTACGGTCGCCTTTTCTCATCTTCGTATTGCGGACGCTCCGGCGGGTTCTCGTGGTTCCTTGTATCTAATCTCCAGCTCCCGTCCTCCTCTCTCGTTCCTATCCCATGCTTTATCATACTACGTGTTTTACGCTTGCTTTCGATTATCCCGTTCGAGCGTGCTGTGAGCAGTTGAACCCTCCCCCCTTTCTTGTTTCTTCGCTACCGCGCCGGCGTCGCATTTCTGGGTTGCCGGTAGGATGGACACCTCCCCCTCACGTCGCGCATCACATCCACCCTCATTAGTATTTTATTGTGCCAACGCACACTCACTCGTTGCAGAAGAAGCCCTCACATCAAAGTCAAACACTCCTTGTACCCATATGGTGTCGATATCCTGCTCTCCCTTCAGTATGCTTGCCTCACCCGCGTCCCCCCCTTTCCGGCTCGCTAGCGAACGCCCTCTCCCTCTCCTCATCGGTTCATTGTGCACAGTACCCGCCCGTCACGCAGTTCCCATCTTCGCCTTCTCCATACGATACTTACAGTCTCATCGCACCCGTCTCCAGCAGCAAGAAGATTTGTAGCCTAGCATCCCGGTAGAACTGGAACGAATCCCGCGCTATTTATTGTAAAGAATACAGATTGCGTTTTCCCCGTCTCTTCCTGCGTGTGTCTGCCTCCCTGCGCTATCTCAAGAAGTTAATCAATTACGACACTGTCCGGGAGCGACGAGATGAACAACTGGAGCGCCCCCTTGATCCGGGATGGTGCCTCGCTATACGCTCGATAAGTAGGTCCCGCCGGGAGAACCTGCTCGATATCTGGGCAACCAGAAACCCGGTACGCCGTCACCGGTCACCCGTCGCTCACATGCGGCGTGAGCGGCCCTTCGAGCGTGGCCCGTCGCCGCCCGGAGCTTGGCCTGCGAGCAGCAACGGAAATTGCTGAGCGCTGAGCGCTGTACGTTGACTGGACTCTTGTTTTTCGAGCTTCTAGCCTCCAGTCGCCTTGAGGTCGAGGCCATGGGCGGCACGAGAACGCGGACGAGCGAGGGTCTCGACAGCCATTTCAACTTCTCAAAGCCCGAGGTCCGTGACTGCGGCAGGCCCCGCGCGGGTCTGCAAGCGTCAAGCTTCAAAGCTTCAATCACGGAGCTTGGTGTACTTGTCGACATGCCGACGGACGAAGCTCGACGCCACCGCATCTGGTGTTTTGGAAGACGCTGCTGCGTCATTGCTCGGCCGCGTTGAATATATTGTGACAGGCTATGCGGGCGACTACTAAATAAAGAGGCGTGAACGCAGTACGGACTAGAATTAGGGGATGGAAGAGATACCACCCATTACATACTGAGACCGCGGGTTGATTGTTCGTGGAGGATTGCGTGCACACTGCAAAGTTGGTGAGTACTTGCAGTGTCAAAGGTGACGGACTCGCCGGCGCGCCCGGGCTCCAGGAAGCGCCAGAGCGGTCGAGCAGGCCGTGTCTCCACCGTTGACCCCCGCCCACTACCATCGCCCGCCCGCTGCCATTGCCCGCCCGCGGTCGTTCTCTCTCCTTGCTCGTCGTCGCCCGCATCTGGGCGATCTGCACCCACCGCCAGCCAGCTGACCGCCGCGCTATCTTCTTCGCACGCGCCGGGTCCCAGGCTCAAGCCAGGCTCCGCCCACCCACGCCGCACGCTCGCCCCTCGCGCGGTCCCCTCTTCAGCCCGAGCTCTCTGGCCTGGACCCGCACTGCTCGCAAACGCACGCACGCACGCCCACATCCCCGCCGCACGAAGCTTATCAGTCCCTTCGAGTGCGTCACCGACTCCCCCCGCGCACGCTTAGATCCCGCCTCACGATATCTACGCCCCCTCGTACACGCATATAGTCGCCCTCTCCCCCTTTTCGACCTCTCCCAGCTCCCGATTGCGTATAGCCATCGTCCATCCGCCCCTCTCCACCGCCACCCGCCACTCGGCCTCTAGAGAAACCAGGACGAGGCTCGTTACTGCGGGACTTGAAGCCTGAACACACCTGTCTGCGGCCCAAGGACCGAAGAACATACGCACGACGGCCTTCCCCTCCACCCCTACAGACCAGGATCGGACACCGGCCCTGCCTGTCCTGCACGCTTCGGAGATGGCTCGTGATTCCACCAGCACCCTGCTCTCGTCCCTGGAACCTTGCGCCACCGCCCCGGCGGAGGTCACGATCGGCCATGTGTGAGTGTCTTCGCTGTCTCCGTCTTGCGAATCGGTGCCGTGAAGCAGGCGGCTTGCGACGGGCGGCTGGATTGGGCTGCGGAGGTTGCCAGGCTGGGAACGGTTTCATGGGCGGAGACGTCTTCGGACGAGATGCTGAGGGCGGATATGTTCGGAAGACTGTTTGCTCATCCATTTTGGGGTGATGCAGGCAGCTACGGGACGTCGTCATATGCCCTCATGAGAAGGGCATCGTGAGCTACCCGTGCGAGCAGTCCATCGTCGAGCACGACCTCATCACGCCCAATACCGTATGTTCCTTCCATCGCACGTTTATGTTTGTGTGTGCACTAAGTCGCGTTCCAGTCCCCGCGGAAACTAGTGAACCTCAAGTTCCCTCCCAACACTATCTCCGCACTTGTGCTCCCCGACACCAATGATACTCTCCTCGCAGCTGGCGGCCAGAACGGGCAGCTGCATCTCTCGTATTTCCGCTCCCCGGACAGCTATTCGACACCTACGGCTTCCCGCCCGATGCGAACTTGCGCGCGTGGGTTTGGCCGCAGGTTATGGGAAAGCACCTGCGATCTCAAGCACATGGCGATCAACAACTCGGTCATGCTCACGTCGATGAACTTCGCTCGCTCAAATCAGAGCTCCGTCGAGCCACGCATCGTCGTCAGCCACAACGAGAACACCGTCAAGTTCTTTGACATCGCGTGGAGGAAGCACCCGAACGGAGACGCGAACCCGAGCGGCAACGACGGGCGCATCATCGACGTCGGCCAGCTGCGCCTGGATGTGCCCGTCAACCACTGTGCGTCCTTTCTTGCTCGGCCCCGCCTTGTATTGACAGGCTCTTGCCGGTGCATGGACAGCCTCCATCTCTCCAGATGGGCGCACCCTGCTCTGTGTCGGCGATTCGTCCGACGTGCATCTTCATCGAATCACCGGTGGGGCGAACGTCTCCTTTACGCCCATCTCGAAGCTGTCGCTCTCGTCCCACATCATTCGCGCCCATGAAGCGTACGGGAGCCTCTCACAGATCTCCTCGACTCCCGCCTCGTTCTCGACCGCCTTCTCCGCCGATGGCTCCAAGTTCGCGGTCGCTTCTCAAGAGGGCATCGTCGTTGTGTGGGACGTGCGGAGTACGAAACCGCTCAAGATCTTCAACACCGACAAGTCAAGATCAACGGTGGATATGGGGTGGGACTGGAGCCGAACCCATTCGCGCGCCCCTGGGTGGGGCGTGCGAAGCGTCAAGTTCAGCCCGCCTGGTGTCGGGAGGGAAGTGATGACCTTCACCGAGGTACGGAACACAGTTTCTTGCTCGGGTCTCTGTTTCTGATCAAGCATGATACAGCACACTTCGCTGTTGCATGTCGTCGATGCACGTACATTCGAAACCGAAGAGATCGTGCAGATGCCCGGCTTCGACTCCCCTTCCTACAACACCCAGCCTCCATCCTCCACCCGCCCACGGTCAACGTCACCCGCGCCACGCACATTGTTCCCTCGCACCTCTCTTGCTGCAGATATCGTAGCTTCTCGCGTGGTGCGAAGCGCGCTCGACTCGTTCCGAGTACCGCTCACCGAGACAAGCGCGACGACGAGCTGGACGCTCCCTCCGCGTCGCTCCCGCCGGCCAACGACCGACCGCGACGAGTACGGCTCTTCCACTGCGGATGAAGACCCGGAAAGCATCGCCGTCATCCCACCGTTCGGCGACGTCCAGCTCGACAGCGACTTCCGCCGGCTCCTCGGGGGCTCCCGATACGGCCTCGGCTTGCGCTCCCTGACGAGGCCCTCGACGCACCTCGATGTGGGGTCCGACCCTCGCGAGCCGCTCGACGGCGAGCGAGAACACGACCGGCCGGAAGTAGGCGAGTCTGAGATGGACATCGATGAGCTCGAGAACGACTGCATCTCCTCGCGCGTCCCCTCTCGCGCGGGCTCGCCCGCTCCAGCCGGCCCACCTGCGTCGGGGCTGGCCTCTATGGGCGTGCGCCCGTTGCAGCTACCGGCTGGTCGCCCCGGGATGATGGCCCGGCGGGAGAGCGCGGGGCCGTACGCATCGGCGGCGCGGCGGGGGTCCGCACGGCGGTTGCGGCGCCCCGGGGCGTGGGCGGGTTCTGGGGACGACGAGCTGGACATCGCGGGGATGTGCTTCGACCCGACGGGGACGTTTGTGTACGTCGGCACCGTCGAAGGTGTCGCCGAGTGGCGAGTGCGCGGGGCGGAGCAGCGGTGGTGGACGGAGCCCGGGTGGGCGTAGGTGTGGGGGCCAGGGCCATGACTGGAGATATAGAGGCTCGCAGGCGTGGTACGATTCCGCTCGTGCCCCTCGCTCGTTGGCTTCCCTCCTGGGCCGTTATGCTTATCGGGCGCTCGCTCTGAGCGTGGTCTCGCGAGATGCCCCGCGGTACCTCCATTTGCTCGGTCGTGCCCCGTGAACGAGATTTACGCACGAGTCACGCCCTGCACGATCTGACACGTTCCCTTCCGTCCTCGCCGTCCACGCTCGCTCATCGCTGGTCCCTTCCTCGCTTTCGGCATCTCTTCCATCTTTCACGCACCATCTCCATCACGTCCACGTCCACACGCGTCTCGGCTTCTCCCATCCATCTCATCCCTGTAGTTTCTGTACCACCACACATCTGTACATGTATCGCGGATCTGTCGCTCGTCGTGCCTCCAGTCGCTCCTCTCGTCCAGGTTAGGTCGTGTGTAGCTATGTGTCGTGCGCGACTTTGTATAGCGTAGCATGTAACGTAGGTCGCTAGTGGATGCATTTTCCGTCGTGGCTGCTGTTGAATTATCTATGGGTGCACTGGTATCCCACCGGCTGAGGCACAGTAGTGCAAAAACACGTCGACGCCGGGCGTGATTCAATTCCGCTGTTAGCGTGCGGTCGACTGCATGGATTTTGCTTCAGTCTCTGCACATTCGTACGCATACAGGGAGATTCATCGACTACGGTTATCAGGCGGTCATTCAATGCCGCCATTAAGACCGTATTCTTGTGACCATGAAATCTCCGAGCCTTGCACATGCCGCTGTAGTGACTTGGCTCTGGAAGAGACCATCAGGGTTCTGGATATAAAATCAAGTCCATGTATCAAAGCTGAGAGAGATCGGCGGAGAAACGGAGGACACACAACGGCCCGGTTTACGCATCCAATGAAAAGCTAATAGTATGAAGTGTGTGTGGGTGTCGCGCCGAGTCCTGCACACCTTGAAGGCAGTGAGCCGTGAATCCGAGGGTCAAGGGTATTGTTGTTCTGCATATGTTCCTACCCTTGTACTTCAAAATATACGGGCCAACCATCCTCTCCGTTTTCCGCTGGCCTCTTGTTGCCTTCCTGCTAAGATGAGCGTGCTTTTTGAGAGACAAGGCACCACCGTGCCACTGGCCGAACGCGGCGATCAGACGCGGGGTGGCGCGCTCACGTGACTCGGGTAATGAGAGTTCATGTTGGCCTCGCTGCCTTGGTCCGTCTTCCTTGTCTCGACCATCTTATCCCTCCGGCACCCTCCTCACGACGCTCACGACCTCCCTTTCACCTAAGCCATGTCCAAGCCCCGCAACAGCGTCCTCTTTCTTTTCGACCCCCTCCACCAGTCATCGGACGAGGACCCCTGCACGCCCACTCGCGACTCGTCCCCCGACCTCGGGCCCTCAGACAAGGAGAACGACCCAGGCGAGCTCACCGTCTTCTTCAACCGGCTCTACACCGCTCCCAAGGCCGCTACCGCGCCCCGCACGCCCAAAGGCAAGTTGATCGACTTGGGGGACACTCCCGCGCCCGCCCCACGCCTGCAAACGGACGCCTCCGAGGACGACGGAAGTGACGCGGATGGGGAACAGTCCGAGAGCGACCTGGACGTCGAAAATGGCTGCGCCGGTCTGTTCTCGTTCGCCTCGACCACGCGTCCCCACCTCCACTCTCAGCGTCCGTCGTCGTCGCCTAGGATGCCCTTCGCCGAGCTCGACGTCGAACGCACCCCGCGCGCGCAGCAACCTCAGACATCGGCTACCACCCTCACGTTTGGGGAGCCGCAGCCCCTCGCGGCGCTGCTTGCCCCTGCGCCCATGGCATCGCCGCTCGCAGACGTCGTCAACTCCATCAACTTCGAGCACGGTAGCGACAGCGACGCGGACGACAACGCCACCCCGGTGTCCCCGACCGCGCAACGGCGCCCACCTCGCTCACTCCTCCCCGTGGAGACCACCTCCGTCACGAAGGCCCCGCTTCCGCTCCGTTCGCCTACCTCCCCGTCGCCGTCCCGTTCGCCGTTCCCTGCCATCAACGTCTGCCCTGAAACACCCGTCCTGGGCGGCTTCGGCTTCGATGATGATGAAGATGAGGAGGAGACGATGGAGGCACGGGCGGCGCACCTCCGCCCGGCAGGGACACGCACACACGTCTCGCCCGACGACCCACGGCGGACGTCGGTCGACCTCTACTCGTCCTTCCACCTCCAGCTGCAGTCAGAGGACATGTCTTTCGACCTGCTCAACGACAGGATATCCTTCTTCGCCGGGTCAAACGGCCAGGACTCCTTCTGGGCCGGGACCGACGCCACATTCGACACTTCCGACGCCGACGCCGACGCCAGCAAGGACCATGAGTTTGACGAGATCAGCGTGCCCCGGGCGATGTTCGCGAAATTGGAGAAGCTCGTGCCCGTGCAGAACGCGCGCCCCGTCTTCCATTCGACCCCACCTGCACCGATCCGGGTCGTGGACTTCAGGGGCACGCCGGAGCAGGTCACGTCTCCCACCACAACCTGGGCGGCGAATGTGCCGTTGCCTATGTCGCCCACCGTGGCGAGCCCGCCGTCCAAGAATGGTGTGTACCGCCCCATTTCGTGCACGCGCTTGGTAACTGACGAGACGTATGACAGCCACTCCGTCCCGCGCTCAGCAACTCACTGCGGAGCCACCTTCCCCGCCGACCACGCCGATAGCTGACGACGAGGAGTCGCTCATGCTCGAGTGCGAGCTGCTGCCACCGCCAGTCCCGACCGCGCCCATTCCCGCCCTCCGCATCGTTAAGAAGGCGTTCCGGCTGACACGGGACAAGAGCACCTCCGTCTCCACTGCGGCCTCTACCGGCAAGGCAGAGAAGAAGAGGCAACCGCTTGCCCCCACCCCCGTCGCCGCGCCGCAGTCGGTACGCGCCGCCATCCGCGGCGTGCAGCGGCCCCCTGCGAGCATCCAAGGCAGCGTCGTGATCGGCCTCCCTCCGTCCACTGGGGGCTCAAGTTCCACGTCGTCGTCGAGCTCTGGCGCGAGCTCCGGTGCCGGTGCCCGCACTGCGAGCATCGGTCGGTTTGCGGGGATCCAGCGTCCGACCCTGGCCGCGAAAGGGCGTACGGTCTCCACCACCGCCCGCCCTGCCACGCTTGGCGCAAAGACGGAGACCGGGATCCGCCGTCCTGCCTCCGTCGTGCCCAAGACGTCCGCAGCTATAGCGACGTCCCGTAGTACAGCGCCCGCCTCGTCTGGGCTGCCGAAGCCTGCGTCGAAGCTGCCCGGTCCGCGCATGAACAGGGCCGCGAGCTTGAGTGGGGGTGCGGCGGCGGCTGGCACTGGAGCTGCTGTTGCCCGCCCCAAGGCTTTCACGCTCTCCCGCGCGACCGGCCGTTTCTGAGATGCCTTTCGTCGCTAGACCAAGACGAAGGTGAAGACAACGCTGACATCGAACATCCCATCAACTCCATTCTCATCGACTGAACTCATCACGCTTTCCCTTTGATTTCGCGTCCCGCTGCATTCCTAGTCCACCACATCCTCTCCTCTGTCATCGCATCCCTCTCGCTTGTCGTGCACACCCCGTTGTCCTATCCTCTCACCTCCGTCCCGCCCCGTACATCATCTTTGTCCATACATCCCCGAACCCGGCATCTCGTCAAGTACTTATCGTGTTATGCATCATGTCTTTCCTCCCCCCTGTCAGTTATGTCTTATGTCTACCACGCACCAATCACCCGCCCACGCTCATCGTCGCTCTCGCTCCTCGCTCTATGGCGTCCGAAAGCCCGGCTAGAGTTGAGTCCGGATATATACGTACATCGTCACCCATATACTTCGAAGTTCGTTAGCTTCGCACTGCTCCCAGTTGATCTCTGTCTAGAACGCGCTCGTCACAATGGATCAGTGGTCTATAGCCTGTAACACAGAGTGCGCGTGCGACAAGTAGCGCAGTGAGAACAAGTCCGCAGAGGCCGCCGCTGGTGGCAGCAGACAGTCAGTCCGTGCGCAACGATACAAGCGGACCATCACTCACCGCGCTCACGCCGCCTTCGCCTCCTTCTTCGGCCGCGAGCCAAATATGCTCGTCCCCACCCTCACGACGTCGCTCCCCGCCCTCAACGCGGCCTCGAAGTCGCTCGACATCCCCATGCTCAGCACCAGCCCCCCGCCCTCCTCCGCGCCCCACGCCCCGCGCTCCCTCGGCCACCCCGCCCGCGCGAGCGCGCCCTCGAGCGCGTCCCGCGCCGCCCTCAGCCGCGCAAAGTCCCCGTTCTCCTCTCCCTCCACCGTACCCGCCCCCAGCGACTCCGCGAGCGAGCCGATCGTCATGAGGCCCTGCAGGCGCAGGCGCGGGCACTCGGCGAGGACGTGCCGGGCGAGCGCGAGCAGCTCCGAGCCGTCCGCGGCGTCATCGTCGGCGGGCGGCGGCGGCGGCAGCCCGGACTTGGCGTCCTCGCCCGAGGTGTTCACCTGGAGGAAGACGTGCAGCGGCGCGGGGCGCTCCGCGGGGGGCGGGAGGGCCTTGTGCAGGGCCGTCGCAGCCTTGGCGGAGGAGACGGTCTGGACGGCGTGCAGGTTCGGGATCGCTGCGGGCAGGGGTCGGCGCGCGGGCGTGGAGGGGGAGTGGGGGCGGGGGACGTACAGGCTAGGACCTTGGCCTTGTTGGACTGCAGGGTGCCGATGAAGTGCCACCGGATGTCGGCGGGGAGCTGCGAGGCGTTCGTCCAGACGGGCGCGGAGATGAGACCGCCTGTCCGTCGCTGCAGAGGAGGGGGAGCGAGAAGACGCACCTGGGGCGCCTTGTCGGCGAGCTCCTGCACGTAGTTCTCGCCAAAGTCCCGCTGCCCCGCGTCGTAGCAGGCCTGGATGTCCGACGCGGGCTTGTACTTCGACACGGCGACGAGGATCGGTTTGCGCGTGGCAGTTGCGGGGGTGGCTGCTTCTACGCGCTGTCGGATCTCAACTAGTGATTCCTTGAGCTCCGCTGCGCGTTCTGGGGTCGCCTTGAGGGAGGACGCGGCAGTGGCCATGGTGCGATGGAGGTGGTGGACGAGAGAGTGACGCATACAGTCAGATTAGATAGGCGCGCTGTCTCTTGCTCATCTGCCTGCTTCTCTTATATCGAGTCGCTCGACCTTGCTCAACCGAAGATACAAAGGACACATATATGATACTGTGGAGAGAGCATTGGTACAATTATCATCATCGATATCGTACACCGGTACGACAGCATGGGTCTGCCAGCCATAGAAATATGTACTGTAGGGGTAATCCAAGCTGGCTCACAGCCATCCAACGGAAATTTCATAGCGACCGATCCTTCAAGAAAAGTAGGGCTCGAACATCTACCGCTTCTCCTTGACGTAGAAGTGCAGCACCAGGAAGCTGGCAACGGTGAACGTGCCAAAGAAGATACCCAGCGAGGCAATGTTGGGCCACCAGAACGACTGCATCAAAAGTTTTGGTCAGATTTATGTGAAGCATTATGAGAAGAGAAAACGAACCCCTGCACGGAGACCGAAGGTTGACAAGATGGCGGCGGCGGGAACATCGATGTTCACGCCGTACTTCTCTTCGTGGAGCTGAAGGTAACGAAGTTCGTTCACGGAAAGTGCCTCGAATGCGGCGTGGAAGAACGAGATGTTGTGCAGCCATTGGAAGGCCTCAGGCACGGACTTGCGGTTGATGAGGAGGCCCGTGAACAGGAGGCTGCGGACGACACGTTAATCCGTGGTCCAAACAATAAAAGTATGTAACGCACTTGAAGAGCATGACCAGAGTGCCCACCAAGCTGGCGACGCTCGTGCTCTCGAATGCGATCGACAGCAGAAGGATGACGCTTGCAGTGGTCAGGTTGAACAGTACGAGCGTGAGCATGAACTTCCAGAATATCGCAATCTCGGGGACGAGTCCGATCCAGGCGTAGATGATCCCGCCGAACACGATGGGCGGGATGACGCGCAGAGGGAGGATGTCGAAGAGGATCTTGGATGCAAAGTAGGTGAACGACGAGTAGTAGCCGTTGGCGCTGTGATCAAGTATCAGGTGGACGTCCATCAAGATGTAGGATGGAAGCCCACGTACCGCTCCCGAATGAAAAGGATCCGCTCGCCTGCAAAGAGGTTGAGACTGGACAAACACGAGAATCCGAACAGCGCGAGCGTGAAGAAGAACACGCCAAGTCGGTTCTGGAACCCTGCGATATCGTCTGTGACATGCTGGAAGAAGAAGCCGCAGATCACTAAAACGCAATCTCAGCTCTCAGGACCGGATATCACATCGCGTTGAGGTGGACCTACCAGCGACAGCGACAGACGAAATGTAGTGGGCAGCGAGCAGCGCGGGGTCGCGGTACAAGTTCTTGAACGCTCTGCCGCTCAAAATCCTAAATTGAGTGCCCCAGCTGGCGCGCTTGCGTCCTCGCGAGATGCTGCTTTCGACCGCGACGTCAGGGAGCTCCGCGCTGACCCCGTTGGTGTTGCCGTTCCCAGTTTGCACAGCGTTGCGTGCGGCTTCGTCGATCTCGTGGGTGAGAGCCTCGTGCACCTCGCTGCGCCTGAATGCATCGATGAGTGCGTGGAGCTTTGGCGGGATGGGTCCGTCAACATGTTGCGAGGGCTTGATGGCTTCGAGAAGGCGTGTCGTCTGCCGGCGAATGTAGGCGGTAGAGGAGTGGATCGAGCTCGGGGCACGGTTGCGCTGTTCCGGCTCCTCGGGTCTGGGGGTGAGAGCCTCGCTTTCGTGGTAGGTGGAACGAAGGGAGATAGACGACGGGTGATCGCCACGAGGGTAGGCACGTTCTTCGTCTCTTGCTTCATCATCGCTGATTTGGCCATCCGTGACAGGTGGGCTATCAAGGGACCGCGGCTCCATGCCCGCTTGCATCGTAAGATCGACTAAAGCAAGAGGACGATCAATGCGGAATACATGTTTTTCAACAGCAATACTTACTGAGGAAGTCCGCGACGTTGAAGCCAAGTGGACAAGGGTGGCCGATTTCGGAGAGGTAGTCGGTGACCTTGTCGGCGTCACCGGAGTAGATGACCTTTCCGCGAGCGAGAACAATGAGCTGATCAAAGAGGGAGACGATGTTGCTGCGAGGCTGATGGATTGTGAAGACGACCGTGCGGTTGTAGTCGCGAGCAAGTGAAACGAGACTGTCTATGACACTGAGTGCATTGTATGCGTCCAAACCACTGGTCGGCTCGTCGAGGAACAGGATTGAAGGACTGGTGACGAGCTCGCAAGCGATTGAGACCCGACGTTTCTCACCCCCGGAGATGGAGCGGCGTCCTGCCAAAGGCGTCAGCCAGGTCTATACTATATGGATACGCAGGGCTTACCAGTCTCCCCGATCCTCGAATCCTTGATTCCCAATAGACCAAGCTCATTCATCGTCTCCAAAGTGCGGTATTTCTTGGCCGCTAAGCTCATCTCCCTAGGCAACCTGAGGAGGGCAGAATACAAGATCGTTTCGTACACTGTCAAGGTGCTCATGAGGGTGTCTTCTTGGTCGACAAATCCCATGACTTTCTTGAAGTCCGAGTCCGCGATCTCGCGTCCATTCACCAGCATTTCGCCACCGACGAGCCCCTTCTTGTTCTTGCGAGCAAGGATGTCGAGGAAGGTTGACTTGCCTGCACCCGACGCGCCCATGATAGCGAGAAGCTGACCAGGCTTGGCACTGCCAGACACGCCCTCAAGGATAGTTCGCCCGTTGAGGAAGTAGGAGACGTTGGAGAAGTGCAGCGACGCGGGAACATGATCTGTCATGAGCTTGGCGGACTCGTTCTCTGGCAAGCGGATACCGGCGAAATCACTGGAGTGTGCCCTGCCAGCATACCACAAGACTGGAACGCAATGAGTCCACCGCACAGACTGCACAACACGCGAAGATACTTACCAGCAGATACCAGGACGACCAATAGTCCTGCACCCGCAGCGCTCAATGCAAACAGTGCAGTATTATCAGGTTTGGGAGGAGGCTACAATATATTGTAAGAGCGATATTATAGCACTAGATGTGTGAACTCACCGAGTACCCAGGTACCTGAGAATAGTGCAGACATTCACCTCCCGCACACTTGAGCGTAATGTACTTGTCACCAAAGAACGTTTCAATGAGGTCGTTCATTCCAGGTTCCTCAAACTTGCATCCTTGGTCAGAGGCGCATGTGAAGGCTGCAGGTCCATGGATGTATTCCTTCAAGAAGTCAGTGATATCTACAAAGGATGTCAGACACGCATGACGCATTGCAGCGGAGAAGGGTACCTACCGAGGCTTCCATCCTCTCCACAGATGAACCGTCCGGGGACGCACTTGCATTCGATCTTGTCACAGTTGTAAAACGTGGAGTTCCTCTCGATGGCATGTTCCGAATGCGACTGGCACTCGCTGAGCTGGCAGTAGAATGATTCCACTTGTGCTGTCCAGAACTGGAAATGACACATGTCCTCGTCCTTGTCGCAACTGAAAGTCACTTGTGGCGGACGGTCGGGAAGCATATCCAAGATCTTCCGGTCTGTGAAGTGTCAGTTAAGGTTCACGCTGATGAAGACATACTTACTCGTGACATCACAGAACTGGTGGTTGTTGAAGACAGTTTCGCCCCCCGTGTAACACGTCATGTTCCCAACCCTGTCGGCATCATCGGGGTCGGTGGGTTGCCCTCGTAGCGGGAAGCCGGCACATGCGTCATCTGTCTTGCATACTGCGCCCAGGACATCGGTTTATGCGATTAACAGAGCAGCCTGGTTGCTCACCGTTGCAGTTGATTCCACTCCAACCATCCTTACATTCGCACTGCTTCCCGTCCTCTCGTTGCCTTCGATGCTCTCCGTCAGCGAGTGAATCACATTCTGCGAGTCGTTAGTTCACGTTGAAACGAAGGCAAGGAGAACATACGAGGCGTCAGACAGTCGATTCCAGCCCAGCCGGGTGGACATTTGCACTGCCCGTCGAACTTCGAACACTCTCCGAAGTTCCCACAAGTAAATGCGTCTAGCTGACAATTGAAACACGGAGGACAACGCTCTGAAGGATGGCACGTAAGTTACTTGTGAAAATCAACGTGTAGAACAGCGCATATACCTGGTCTACTTGCAGCGACCACGCCGAAGGGCTGCTCAGGAGTGAGCACCAATTAGCGTGAGAGTGAGAAGGACGCACCGACAGGGAAGCCTGGTTCGTCAAGGAGTACTGTGAAGACACATTTCTTGCACCCTGCACTTGCTGCGCTCCTAGGAGGAAAGTGGCGAGGGGGATGATCCAGCGGGAGGCGCCAGCTGAGAGCATGGTGCCGACCGAGGAGAGGTCTTGCGCCTGGCGAGCAAGCTTAGCGATGCGTATCCAGAAGGGGTGCGAAGAAAGCCAGAAACAGAGGCGAGGGAGGAGAGAGAAGACGGGCGGCGCGCGTCGTAAGCGGATGAAAGGCGGAGGGCAGGTGAGGATGCCTGTGCTCGCTGTCGTGGACGGCGCGCGCAGTCGACCAGGGTTCTCGCCCTGAGTCGCAGCCAATCGGGGTTCCTTCAAGTTCCAGGCAGGATCTCGATCCTTGGCCGGATGATTAGATTGGATAGACGCCTTCTCCCCGACTGCGGTTGCAAGTTGACGGTGACGATGACGATGATGCTCCGTCGACCATTCCTGCGATGGACTCTGCGCCAGATTCCTCGGGCAACACCCACCTCACCTGGGCAAACGTAGGACTCGCCTTCGCCTTTATCCTCTTCGATGGTGTCCTCTCCACCACTTTCGGTCTTGGAGTGGGGAGCTCGCTTGTCACGGCCGCCGTTCGCTGTGTCGTGCAGCTGAGCGTGGTGGCTCTCATTCTGCGTCAGGTTTTCGAGAGCAATAACCCGTGGGCTGTCGCGGGCCTGGCATGTCTGCTGAACCTTATGGGCACCATTGAAACAGGCAAGTGCATGCCAAGCTGTTTGTGAATGTGTAGCACAAACTATAACACTGCGTACATTCAGTCGTAAACAAGTCCAAAAAACGATACGACCATATGGTACGTACCCTCGTATCGCTCCGTTAATATCGGTATTAACTGAATTATTCAGTTTCCCACTGTGTTGATTGGCATGCTCGGGTCAACACTTCCAGTGTCTATCATTGGAATACGATTTGCCATGGCCGTTGAACCGTTTTGGAAACCAGAGCAGTACAGTAGGCCACATTAGAGATAATTCATCTCATGCAAGGGCTGATGATTTGGTCTCTCCTAGTACCTGTTGTCGGAATGCTTTGTGGTGGCACGATTTCCGCAATCGTCGTTTCTATAACTTATGTACTCAAGGAGATCTAGTGCGTATGCATCCGCATCCACCCTTCCTGCTCTTATAAATTCTTTGCAGCGATAACAAGGATAAAGTCGAGATGTACCTTGCCTTCGGTGCTTCGCGATTTGAGGCATGTAAGCCGATCGCAAGAGACGCGCTGCGTTTAGCCCTTACGCCCAATATCAACCAGATGAGGCACGCCTGTTTCTTTTATCTCATTATGCTGCCTGCTCACAGGTCTCTCCAGCGTTATTGGTATCATCGCCATCCCTGGCATGATGACCGGTGCGATCCTCGGTGGTTCCTCCGTCGAACAAGCGGCCCGGTTACAAATGGTCATCATGTTCATGATCTCCTCATGCACCGCGCTCGCGTCTTTCACGACCACCATTCTGGCGCTCAGCATTGTTGTTGACAATGAACATCGTGTACGTACGGACAAGATTGACACTCGCCCGCACGCTGTATGGCGCGCGCGGAGCTGGCTCTTTCAAAAGGTCGTTGATGGTGTCAAAAATGGTGCGGCTTCCACGGCAAAAGGTTTTGCAAGACTGTCAGGTGGGCAAGGCAGCACGGAGGATGGTCAAGGGGAGCGTGAAAGACTGTTAGGATGAGGCTGTCCGAAGTTGCACTTGTTAAATTCATTGGTTCGTAGAGCTGTGTTGACATCTGGTGCGGGATATGAAATGCATCCATAGCCGCATGCTCATTCTCGCACTTCTTCCTATCTTTCAAGGTCATATGAGCGAAGCCGGATGAAAAACAGGGAGGGAGATTTATTATTCCACGACCACAGGAAGCTTGCCGACGGTCTTGGCAGAAGGATGAGCATGCCCACTGCGAGCCCATCGTTCTCCCGAGCGGTAGTTCGTGACGCCAGAGAGTAAGTCGCCCCCCCCCCCCCACATCCGACTATGTGCTTGATTCGAGCAGCAACCTATCCTCCATAGCAACATCGACTTGCCCCGAACTCGTGCAAACCGTTTGCCTTATCTTGGATCACAAATAGCGATGGTGGCTGGTCAGAGTGGATGTTTGGCTCTCCCCTAGGCTTCTTTCTTGCCAGCACGCGTTCGCCCGAGCGCCAAATCAACTTCTTCGGACACCGGTGATATGTGCCGATAGGAGCGACGGCTACCACTTCTTCTAACCTGCAACCCCCTGCGCAATAAAAGGACCGGGATGCCCACACAACTACCCCACCCACCATGCGCCGCGCCGCGCCACCCGCAAGCATGGCCATCCACTTCCTCGCCGTTGTGCTCGCCGCGCTCCCCGCCCTAGTCTCCGCCGCTTCCACCCCCGTGGGCTGAGCACCGCGCCACCCCTGACGATTACCTCCCGCTCATGTTCACGCTCACCCAGCGCAACGTCGAGCACCTCGACACCTACCTCCGCGCCGTGTCGGACCCGGCCTCGCCTTCGTGCGGGCGGCACTGGTCGCCCACGCGGATCGCGGAGACCTTCCGGCCCGCGCCCGAGAGCGCCGCAGCCGTGCGCGAGTGGCTCGCCGTGGAGGGCGAGATCGCGGAGGGCCGCGTCGCGCTCGCACGCAAGGGCGACGTGCTACGCGTGAACGCGACCGTGGCGGAGGCGGAGCGGCTGCTCGGCGCGGAGTTCTTCGTGTACGCGCACGACGCGAGCGGGCGCGAGACGGTCGGGTGCCACGACGGGTTCGCGCTGCCGGAGAGCGTCGCGGGCCACGTGAAGCTCGTGTCCCCGACGGTGTACCACTTTGGGACGGAGGAGATGCGGTCGAGCGTGTATGGCAAGCGGGTGGCGGAGAGGCCTGGCCCGAACGCGTTCGCTGGGCATGAAGGCATCGCGTCCAAATTGAAGACGCCTATCTCGGTGGGTCCGACATCGGTGATCTTGATTGGCCTGTGTCCTTTACGAATATTGGTTTTACCAGGAGTCCAAGCTGGCTGTTTCCGGTTGCGATACGGCGGTCACCCTCGGCTGCCTGCGCGCTCCGTACAACTTCAACTACGAACTCCAATCGGCCGACAACAATACTGTCGGAGTCTGTGAGTGCCGTCATCAATGATTTCAAAACCTGGTGCATGTGCTGACCCGTACGGGCAGTCGAGATCCAGGGCGGGGAGGCTCGCCAGGTTGGTCTGGGCATGTTCTTCAAGAAGTACTCCCCCGATCAGGTTGGCACGTTCCCGAAGCTCGTCAGCATTGAGAACGGTACGTGGTACCTTCTGAGTGCATCTACTCCTTTTTTGACTGTTGTTGTGATAGCCACTCTTCTTGGGGATGGTGATCTCGACGAGGCATCTCTCGACATCGAGCTCATGATGGGGATCCTCGGAAGCAAACAAGAACTCCTGCTCTACCAGGTATCAACCACGAACTCTCAGCAAGCATGGCGTAAGTGATCTCTGATGAGGAAGCGTCTATGCAGCCTGACCGTCCTTCAATCGTGTAGTGGACAACCTCATCGCGGCATTTGATGGCTCTTATTGTAACGACCCTGAGGTATCCTACGAAGGTGCGAACCGTAGTATTCTCGCCATACACTACAATCAGATCGACCTTGTTCTCCTTCAAACAGACTTCATCGACTGCGGCAACAAGCCCATCCCCAACGTCATCTCCATGTCCTACCACTTCAGCCCCGACTGCCATGGCGCTGCTATCGCACCCGTCCTCGAAAGCCAATGCACGGAGTTCGGCAAGGTGCGCATCGACTTCCCTCGTCTGCTTTCAGCGCTTCTCACAGGGGTCCCTTAGCTTGCATTGGGCGGCTTGACCATCGTCGCCTCCTCTGGGGACGGCATTGTCGCGTACTCGCAGTCCCACGGCTACCTCGCCTCGCACGGCTCAACTACGGCAATCCGTCGAACAGCAACTTCGTCGGCCCGTTTCCCGCGTCGTGCCCGTACGTCACCGCCGTCGGCGCGACGTCGGTCGTCTCTGGTGGTTCGGTAAGTCCCGCTCGCCTCGTTATCGTGAGTGCGCTATGCTAGCACAGAAGGAGGTTGACGCGCCGGCACAGACTGCCGACCCGGAGACGGCGACGACAGAGTTTCCCTCGGGGGGGGGGGCGGCTTCTCGAACACATTTGCGATGCCCTACTGGCAGCGGGCCGCGGTGACGAACTACGTCGACAAGTATGCGCCCGCGTACGGCTTGGCCGTGTACAACCGCGTACCCCGACGTCAGCGCGAACGGGTAAGCGTGTCGAGTACCGCGGGGCTCGTTGCTTTTGTGCCGAAGGAAACTGACGTCGTCGCGCGCGCCGGAACAGGTGGCCGCTGATCATTGCCGAGTACGGCTTCTTCATGCAGACGGGCGCGACGTCCGCGTCCGCGCCGATCTTCGCGTCTTTCGTCGCCGCCCTCAACGACGCTCGGCTCGCCGCGGGCAAGAGCGTCGTCGGTTGGATGAACCCCCGCGGTGAGCCCCCCCCTTTTTGTCTTCAAGTGGCAGAGCTGACGGCGCCCGCACGCAGCTGTACTCGGACGCGCTCGCGGCCGCGTACCACGACGTTACGAACGGGACGAACCCCGGATGTGGCACGCAGGGCTATGTCGCCGCGCCAGGCTGGGACCCGGTGACTGGCCTGGGCACGCCTAACTTCCAAGCCATGCTCGAGGCGTTCCTGGCGCTCCCTTGAATGAAGAAATGATCGATTCTCCGACTTTCTTGAGGACTCTGGGACTGAATAGTTACAATGAGAAAGGCATCTGCTGTGCTGTACTAGATGATTGGAACGTTTGGGGTTGTACGCGGTTATGTCGCGCGTGCATGATGTTACATCTAGCACGAGAAGTTAGAACAGCATTTGGCGGCAAGACGATGAGTCCGCATGACTCGGGGGCTGCTGCACGGAGCCCAGCCCGTTTCGATGTCAGGGTGAGCACTTCGCGACTGCGAACAGTGCGAACCGCTCGAAGGCAGATCATAATAAACAGTGGGTGTTCATCCCAGGACGGACGTGGATTCGGTTCGCGTGGGCCTTGCGCGGCAGGGGACTAGCACTTACTAGCACCAGATGGCGCCGATGATGGTGTGCCCGAAAGTTATGACGCCGACGACCACGCCGAATGTGGCCTGAACGCTCAACATTCAACCGCGCAGTGACTGCCACCAGAGGCCCTCTTGATCGGACGGACGAGCTCGACGAAGTCGTCGAGGAAATATTTTTGAGCGTCATGAAGGAAAGGGTTCATCTGGCCCTTATCTAATCCGTGTTTTCACCACCGAGATCCCCGAGGGACGCCGCCACAACATCAGGAGGAGTGGAAGAGCGTCGCGCACGGTGTCGGATGGACGTATAGGCGCTAGGGTGAGATGCCGGCGACGGCGTCCGGCGTTCCGCCGGGAAATCTCCTTCCCGGACATGACTCTGGCATAAAACTCGAAGCAACGGGGCTCTTGAATACCTTCCAAGATCCTGTACGGTCCGGTTCGTCAGGAAACGCCCCACCGTTGCAACGAAGGTGAGTCGGTCACGGACCGATTCGCTTTTGTCAGCTTTCTTAACCACACCGCATATCTAGTTATAGATTCGACCGACCAGCAATCATGGTGAAAAGCCTGCCCGCAGAATACTACGCCAAATTCTTGTCCGATGCTGCCCGTGCACGCAAACCGAGCCCCAGTGAGCACCCGCCACGGATCGCCATCGCCCGCTGGTCCAAACATAACCTCGCTTTCCAGTCCGTGCGCTCTTTCCGCTTGAGGCCCGCCCGGGCATGCTCTCTCTGCTCGCGGGCAAGCCAAATGCGCAGACGTTCCCTTTTATCTCCATTACTGTCAAGGCTGCCTCACTCGTAGACCCTTCCAAGGAGATCGCGACAGAGATCAGCGGCAGAGCGCTCTCTGAAGGCCTGCAGTATGGGCCTACCGCAGGATCATCCGACCTCATCGGCTGGATGAACACGCTGCACGAGCGCGAGCACAAGCGCATGCAGGGAGAGGGATGGCGGGTGTCTGTTGGCAGCGGATCGCAAGATCTCATTCATAAGGCACGTCTGGCGGTGTGCCCCGGAACGCACTCACACACTGAACGGATTGGTCGTAGACAATCAACGCGCTCGTCAACCCCGGAGACTCCGTACTTGTCGAGTCACCGATTTACGCGTGCGCAGGACACTGCGATTCATGTTCGTTCTGCACTAACCACAGTCTCATAGTGGAATGATTCCCACCTTCGAGATGCTCAACTGCGACTTTGTTGGTGCGCATTACTCCGGGCCAAGTCCTTCGCCCGTTCGCTCATCGCAAAATCGCCCAGGCGTTCCTACTGACTCCCAAGGCATTGACTCCAGCGCGCTCCGCAAAACCCTGGAGAGCTGGCCTGCCTCCAAGCCCAAGCCGAGAATCCTCTACACCGTTCCCGTACGCTCCGCTTACGTCTCCCACCAGCCTGCTGCCCCTCTTACGCTCCCCTTCCTGTGACCCAGTACGGCGGAAACCCGACAGGAATGACGACCATCGCCGAACGCCGGCTCGAAGTCCTCGCCCTCGCGCGCGAGCACGACTTCCTCATCCTCGAGGACGACCCGTACTACTTCCTCTACTTCGGGCCCGAGCCCCGCCCGCAGTCCTACTTCGCGCTCGAGGCGACCGTGCTCCCCGAGGTCGGCCGCGTCCTCCGCTTCGACAGCCTCTCCAAGGTGCTCTCCGCCGGCATCCGCCTCGGCTTCCTCTCCGGGCCCGTGCCGGTCCTCGCCGCCGTCGACGTCCACGTGCGCCTCCTTCCCTCTTCATCCCCCCGTGGCGTCGTGTGCTGACCCGGGGGCCGGCGAGCAGACCGCGCAGGCGAGCCTGCAGGTGTCCGGGCTGACGCAGGCGATCGCGTTCTCCCTGCTCGACGCGTGGGGCCACGACGCGTTCGTCGCGCACACGCGCGCCGTCTCCGCCTTCTACCGCGCCAAGCGCGACGTCTTCGAGCGCCACATGCGCGCGCAGCTCTCCGGGCTCGCGCAGTGGGACACGCCCGAGGCCGGCATGTTCTTCTGGTTCAAGCTCCTGCTCCGCGACCCCGGCGCGGGAGGGGAGGAGGAGGACTCGGAGAGCGTGGTGCGGACCAAGGCGCTCGAGAAGGGCGTGCTCGCGCTCCCCGGGACGGTGTTCATCCCGGGCGGGAAGAAGACGGCGTACGTGCGCGCGTCGTTCAGCCAGCTGGACGAGCCAGAGGTCGAGGAGGCGTGCAAGCGGCTCCGCGCGGTCGTGCTCGATGCGCGTGGAGCTGTGTGACGACGAGTTGGAGCAGAATATCGATAGCAGAGGGGAATGTATACCAGAACATACAGTACCGAACGCACGAACCTACGACGACGCAGGATGCGACTGCTCCTCCGCTGCGGGCGCCCTGGGACGCGCCTTCCGCCACCACATCGGTACTGGGGGGTCCCAGATGCCGAACTCCCGCTTCATGTCCTCGAGCTGCATCTCCCACCGGCGCTCCCAGTACACAGTGATCATGCTTTGTGCCGCCGCGCCGCACTGCAGCGCCCACGGGACGTAGTCGCGGAACAGCCGCTCGCGCTTCGCCTGCGTGAGCCGCAGAGGCCCGAAGACGGCAGCGAGCCCGGCCATGGGCAGCCCGAGGTTCGCGAGCTCGAAGGCTTTGACGGCGAGCTCGCCCTCGACGTGGACGGGCATGTTCAGAAGGCAGTGGTAGAAGTCGTGCGACTCGCGATAGCGCTGCATGACGTACGCGAGCTCGGGGTCGTCGACGTAGTGCACCTGGTGGAGCGGGTCGGTCAGCGGCAGGTGAAGAGAGATGGTGATGGAGGATAAGGTGGGAGTAGGATGCGCCCACTGAACGCGAAGATATGATATGTGCGGGTAACAGCTTCCCTCTCCAGATCGCCTGACAGTATGAATGTGGGAGCGGCTTCTGTGCCGACGTTGTGCCTAGGAAAAGAACGGCATTACGGCCGGTGAAACAAACTGCGCTCGACCACGACGTCACACACGCCTGCGTCGCGATCCCGTAAGACGCGTTCATCGGGGCGTGTATGTCCGCTTCGTGAGTATAAGGCAGAACGCGGTGTCCTATGGGCATTCTCCGCATACAGTCAACGAGACTGTGCACAGAATAAACATATCTTTTGTAACCGGCAGTACGGCGACCCGTCATTCCGACTGTCCGCATGCCCCTTGGAGAACGGCATACACGTACGTGACGGGACCTCCAGAAGCCCCGGTGCGAGTACGCTTGACTACGAAGAACACCTTCTCCCAGCACCTCTTCCTGTGCGTATACAAAGAGCAATGGAAGCGCGACGCACCGGTTCTCGCGTGTCAGGCGTGACCGCGCAGCGCTCCAACCACTGGATGTACGCCCGGCCGAACGAGCCCTCCGGCATTTGTGCGAGCTTGTTCAGGTCCACGGTCGTTGTGTTTATGCGCGGCCGCTGCTTGAGGATCGCGCGGCCCTCCGCGCTCGCGAGCATGTGGTCGCGCAGGCGCGGGAGCACGGGCCCGGACGTGAGGTCGCCCAGTGCCGCGACCATGTCTGTGTGAACGCATACAGTTACATTAGCCCTGGTTCACAGTCCAGCAAAGATAAGAGCCCACCGTGACGATAGGGATCCGCAAGGGACATGACAGCGGAACCGACGGTCAGAATCCCCGTCTGGAGCCAGTTGAGAGGGATGTGACCTTCGTAGTTTGGGGGCGTGGTGACTGAGCGGGTCTGGCGGTGCATTCGCGAGGCGGACAGTGCGGCGGGGCGGACAGTGGTGGCTGCAACGTGACGCGAGGCCCGGAGAGACGAGCCCGCGAGCGAGAGCGACATTGTGGAGGAGGCGGTGGTGAGAACGGTGTGCACGACAAGCTCGACCGACGCGTCCCCGTCGAGGCGCTTCCTGGCGCTTCGAGACCGCGTCGGTGGCGGAGGGCGCCAAAGAGAAACGCCCGGATATCGAAGTCCATCGAGCCTCGCCATCGACCACGACCACGACGACGGCCACAACGATGACCACAACGCATCGCTGATCACCGCTTTTACAGGTCTATGCTCAGCATTCCGTGGCCGCTGCTTCTGCTGTGGTCGGACCGGGCGCAGGCGCGGCCACCCGTGGCCCGCGACTGCCATCTCCGTCATGCTGGGACCAGGGGGCGCAGCGGGGGCGGGACCCAGCGCGCACCCCCGCGCCCAGCTGCGCGAGCAGCCGCTTCCCGATCTATGCTCTTGACGACAAGTGCCATCCTCGCACCGCGGATGCCGACTCTCACCCGACGCTCGAGGTTCGATGAATCTTCGCAGCACCTCCGAGCGCGCCGCACCCCGGTGCGACAGTGTCAGAACCGACTCCTTCGCGTGTTCGCCCACTGTGGCCCGCTCCGCCGCCCGGCCACTGGGCCTCTCTGCTCTGCGTACCGCCGTGCGTACAAACCTATCGCTCTTCTGCGCTGTGCTCGCGCTCAAACTCGCCCCCGCCATAAAGCGACCGGTCACGGCCCAGGCTGAGGTGCTGCTGCCAACCCCTCTCCCTCCTCCTCCTCCTCCTCTCCCTCCACCATCGCGTCCCCCCGAGGCCCACGATGTCGACCTCGCGTCCGTCGCGATATCAGTATCCCCCCGCGGTACACGCCGCGACAAACCAGTACCTCGGGATGTCGCTCGCCAACCAACCACTCCTCGTCATCTCCCGGCCGTTTCCTCAACAACCCATGCCCGCCCTCCCGCGCTCCGCGCGGTACCCGCAACAAGAGCCTCGTCAACGCGCGCACATTCCCGCCGCGCGCGAGCGCAGATACTCGCAGACCCACCACACCCAGCAACGCTCGCGGACGCAGGAGCAGGACCCAAGGAAGCGCCACGGCGTGATCTTCACCGGGGACCCACTCCGAGCGATGCTCGCCGACGACGACGTGGATGACGAAGAGAGCACCTGGTCGATGTCGCGCTCGCGCCTCTCAGCTCGGATGCACCCCAGTCGTCGCCGCCCTCCGAACGCGCGGAATAGGAACGGCAGCCCCGCGCAAGAGATCGCCGCGCGGTACCGCGCGTCGCGCTCCGGCGACGAATGGGGCACAGGGCGCGGGGAGTCGTCAACGTCGGCGCACAGCGTGAGTTACGTCGACGGGTGGACGCGACCGCGGACAATGTCGGGCTTGAGCGATGTGTCGGGGCCTCGCCTGCGCCATCGGGACTCTCGGGTGCATGCGATGGATCGAGCGGTGAGTCGTTCATTCATTGCGGCTGCGACCGAGGCTGACTGTGTGCGCCCATTAGAAGAAGGAAGCGTTCCTCATGGCAATCCAGGCGGGAGGGTACTACAACGTTCCCTGCCGACGGGCAGGGTGCCGCCAGATTCTGGCCACAATCAGCGACCTCGCATCCCACCTCGTCCTTCACGACATCGATCCCCGCGCGACCGATTCCAGGTGCGTGTTCTCCCCTGCGGATCGCCGCTCCCATCGTGGCAGTCATCCGTGGACGCCAGTCGCTGACGCGCGCGCCAGCTTCCCCGCCGACTCGGGCTACTCCTCCTTCATCGACATGGGCCACTCCGTCAGTGGCCCCCGCTTCCGTCGTCGCCGTCGCTACTCCCGCTCTCCCGCCCCAAACCCGTACGAGCGCCCGCTCCCCACGCTCCCGGGCCGGCGCAGAAGTAAGCAACTCTGGCCAAGCCTCCGCCCCTCCCGCCTGCTCACCGCCGCCTCAGGCAAGCTTCGCCACTACCTCGCCAAGCTCACCCTCCCCTGCACCGTCGCCGAGGGCTACGACGAGGACGATTTCTTCTACTGAGCGTGAATCAGCTTCAGCCGTCATTCGTTTTTTCCTCAACCCTTCCGACGTGCTCTGTCCTTCGTCGCTCTCTCGTTCAATATCCTCCACATTCACGCTTGATCCGTCGCGTCCACTATCCATGTGTTCACATTGTAGCCATAGCACTCATTCGTTCAAAGTACATAGCACTCACGCCCGGACACCCGCAATCGTCACGACCTTTGTACATCTGTACATCACGACACAGACTTTGTATACATGGAGCTGCTCCGTTGCATCCCTTATGCCCCTTATGCCCCCTCCAATCCCTCGATATTACGACACTACTAATTTTAATTCCAGTAGGCCTTCTATGCGTTTACTCCCCGCGTGGGACGGCGGGTCCTTGTGGCCCTTGAGATGAGTTTACGAGGGCGGAGTTCACTTTCCGTCCCCGGTCCCGGGCCGAGGCTCAGCCAGTATCGGCCCGGCGCCTGGAAACGTTGACCTCATCCATGACGCGGACGTTGTCGACCATGGCTTGCGGACGTCGACACCTCCGCGCTCTAGGCTCCCACGGCGTGCCCACCATCTTCACTCGCTATCGAGCGTTCGGTGAAAACCGCTGAAAGAAGCCACTTAAGATAGCATGTCGTCGAGTCGTACGAAGATATTCGATGTGAATTGTTCTTTTTTATCAATGTCTCTCCGGGAACTGTCAGTATTGACAACGATTCATAGCTTCCTCGTGACCTGAGGTCCTGGAGGCACCCACCAGGCGCGGCCGAGAATGCGGAGCCTGCTGTCGTTCCAATCTGGGATGATCTCAAAGACTTGTTCAATAGTAAAGGCTACGTTCTATGGACCTACCAGCCTTCTGCGCACCAGTTCGTCGCCCCGGAATCTCACCTAACTTCCAGCGGGTTTATGGGCGCATCCCACCTCCGCGATCTCAAGCCTGTCTCTGACGGCGTAAGAACAGTGTTGGAGTTCCAATCTCTGGTGAGTTCTTGCCGTCACATTTTCCAGCACGCGCTGATCCACAGATGTTTTCCCCGTAGAATCCGCTCACGCACCCTGCGCGAACGGCGAATGGCCAGGATGTTGTTATCCGTGTACTCGCCGTTGGGTCAAACGGACTTGAGCACCTCCACTTACTCAACCGGATCGCCACCGGCATGCCGACATTGGTCACTGGCAACCACACATTGCCGCTTCTCGACACTATTGAGCTACAAGATGTGACTTTTGGTGTATTTCCGAAGGCAGGCGGGTCAGCCGATCTGCTTTATGGCTCCTGGATTGAGCCATCCGAAGGAGACATCCTTCACGTTCTCGTCCAGTGTCTGGAGGTAAGTCGTCGACACTCGGATCATGGTTTCACGGCGATTGATGTTTCGGAAAGGCTCTCAGGTTCCTTCACGGTATGGACATTGCACATCGAGTGGGCGAAACTTTACTGTTCCAACCACTATCTACTAACCTCCCTTTTCTAGGACGTCTTCAAAGACAACTTCCTCCTCCAGTGGTACCCAGAAAGCATGCTTATCGGACACATACCCACATCCCGCCCGCGCGTATACCTCACCGACTTCGAGCTCGCTGTGTCATTCCCCCGCCATCTACCACGAGAGAAGCACCTCTGCGTCGGCATGCCCCTGGGCGGGTCCATGCCCGACTTCAACGGCCGCCCAATGCCGGCGGAAGTGCTCTCGGGAAAGCCGTACGACCCGTACAAGCTCGACGTCTGGCAGCTGGCGACGGCGTTCTGCGACTGGGAGGCAAGTACTACCGACGGGCCGCGCTCGTCGCGCGCTTCGCCCCCACCCCGCGCTCACCCCGTTCATCTCGTTGCGTGCGCAGAGCTCGCTCGACGCGGTCCGCGCCGTCCTCGCGCGGATGAGGGACCCCAACCCGAAGGCGCGCCCGAGCGCGCACCGGGCGACGGAGGCCGTCCTGGCGGCGCTCGCGGAGGTGCCGCCGAAGCGGCTGCAGGTCCCTGCGGTCGTGCTCGACGACTCGTCGGACCGCATCAGGGACGTGCAAACGTCGTCCGAGGGCTCCAGCGACGCGCGCACCGCGGAGGTCGCTAGCAGCACAGGGTCGGATGGGAGCGCGGCCACGAAGGGGACTGCGAAACGGGCCTGAAGGGACGTTCAGCACCTGAAAGCTCCTGGGATTGCCAGTGCGTCGGTTGCCATCGATGGCAACTCCAGCGGGATTTTTTACTCTGTGTGGGAGTGTACACATGAAATAACCTAATTTACACCGTCCCTACGAGTCCGCGACATTCTTAGTCCATGGGTATGTCGGGTCTAGACGGAGTCGCGGAGCCCCAACGTGAGATCTTGACCATCGACGTGCCCTCTCACGGCAAGGCGAGGAAAGCCGAGAGCATGTTGGGGAAGTTCGGAGTGCCGCGGCCCGTGATCGGGTCCCACCCAGGCGCAGCGGGGAACCCATCGGTCCCACACCCGGGGTTCGTGCCGTTCGTGATGTCGTTGAAGGCATCGTTGAAGGCAGTCGAGTACAGCTGTGGACGGACACACACCAATCACCAACGCTCAGCTCTCCATTCGCGCGAACAGAGGAGACACGTACAGCAGGGTTGATCCAGCCGACTGCGCTCTTGCCTGCGGCGATGCGCGCGTCGTTAACGGCGGCGACAAAGGACGCGAAGATCGGCGCGGACGCGGACGTGCCGCCCGTCTTGACAGTCCTGCCGCTCTCGATGATGATCGTCGGGAACCTGAGCGGTAGGGTTAGCACAGGGAGCACGCATTGCTGGACGACACACACCCGTTGGCTGAGACGTCCGGGTACGCGCGGCCCGAACGGTTGAAGACGTCGGGGCCGTACGCGGGCGCGAAGTCCGTGATGTACGTGTTCACGAGGTCGGCCTGGAAGGACGGCATCGCAAAGTTGTTCGAGAACCCAGCGCCAGAGGGGAACGCGAACGTCGCGGATTCGGGGTCCTCCACCTGGGCAAAGTTGTCAATGGTGTTGACATGGTGGAATATGCTACTTCGGAGCTTACACTGTTATTGGTTCCGACCTGCGTCGCGCCCACGGCGGTGACGAATGGACACGAGGCTGGGAACTGGCCGACGAAGGAGCCCGACTCTGCGAACGCGGTGAGCGTGCCGTTGACGAGGCATTCCTCGGCTTGTGAATAGCCGACACCGCCATCGCCAGAGGAGACGACGAAGGTCATCCCGGTGAGCGTAAGCTATGGCAACAAGTCAGGTCATGAGCCTCGGTTCTGATGGTTGTGTCACACGAACTAACCTTTCCGATCTCCGTACATTGCCTCTGAATCGTGGGTGAGATCGTGGGGTCCTGGATATCAGGGTTGAGATGGTACGAGATGGATACGACGTTGTACGTCGGGATGTCTCCACAGCTTGAAAGCCCTGCGAGTCATGGTGAGTGCCTTAGTGGCATTAGAAAGGAGGAAGTACAAGTCTCACCCTCTCCCGCGATCGGTTTTGAATTGCAGAATTCAGCGTCCAAAGCCGCGAGGAACTCATCGACTGTTGGAAGTTGTTGACATGACATCCATAACAGATCATCGAGGCGCTTACTAGGGTCCCTGCTCTCTGTTCCAACTTGGTACAGTTGAAGGTTGATGCTGGAGCCAAGGAGACCCATCATGAGCTCAATGTCCAGGGTGGCTTCCCCGAGGTCAGCTGCCCCATCCAGGTTTCCTGTAGAACTGAGGTTAAATATTTGATGTTAATCAGAAACAAATGATTGGAGCTTTCCTCCATCAACGCTGTTGAGAATGGGAGACTTCCCAACTTGGTCGGGTCTGAACATCTGGAAGAACTTATCCAGGTCAGACTGCTGGAAGGCTTCGCCTTGCAGTTCAACTATAGGTGGGGACTTAGCACTCATAACCGCTCATACAAGTGGCAACCGAGGCTACTTACACACCGAAACGTTGTTCTGGTTCCCGGTTACGAGCGTGTAGTCGAAGTTGTAGAGCGCACGGAGACAGTCAAGGGTCACTGCCTGATCACACCCGGTCGCCTCGAGCTCCTTCAGTTGAGCCGCCTAGAAACCACGCCGTAGCGTTATCAAGCCGACAGAAATATGTGGTACAAGAAAACACCCACCGAAACCGGGATCTTTGGCGCCCCAGACTCGTGCGCCGCCTGCGAAATGGAGGCCGCGCGCTTCCCGTACCGCGTGGCCGACAACGAGGGCAAGTTGAAATTAGTCGACGGGGACACAAAGTCGACGTGTTCCGCAATCGTCTCGGGCAGCGTGTACCCGTCGTGGCACCCGACGCGTTCCTTGCCGTCCTCGTGACGATAGACAAAATACTCGGCGTCGAGCAGGCGCTCCGCTTCCGCGACGCTGAGAAGCAGACGGATCGCGTCACCCTTGGGTGTGAGCTCGACACGGTCAGGTTCGATCCCGTGGTCGGAGACGAGCCACGAGTGCACGGCATCGACGGAATCCTGAGAGGGCCTGAACGTCTTCGCGACCTGGGAGGGTGTCCAGTGCTTGCCATAGTTGGGGGACGCAGGGTCAGCGATGTCAAGGAGATACGACTCCAGGTTGTGTACGTTGGACTGCGCGAGGTTGAGCTTGACAGGGACCAGGACTTGCGGGTCGGCGCGGCGGTGAAGAGACCAGCCTCGGGGGACGGCACGCGAGTGAGCGCCTGGGACGACGGTAGCCGCCACGGCGACAGCGCAGAGGACCCACTGGACGAGAGACATGGCTGAGGATGGTCGGTGAAAGCACACGGTTGCTTGTCTGTCTTCTGAGGCGTTATATAGGCGTTCGCTGGGGGCGTGGTGGGCAGTTATGCGCACCTGGGAAGCATCTGCTAGTTTGGCAATTCATTATCACGACTTCGTGGTCCGGAAGCAAAGATAGAGATAGGGCCGCTCTACATGCGATACCCAGGCGGCCCGTCGCGGCACCAAATCACGCCAACGTTCGATGGCCATAGTCCATGGGGCGTGCAATCCTATCAGCGCTAGACGTGTGTTTGAATCCTATGACATTGAATGGGTTAAACACATAGGCGCTCATACGTCTTATGCAGCCGAGGGGTGTGAACTCACCATGCGGAAGACTTCCAGTGTGACCAGGGGCAGAAAGTGATTGACGAAGAATTCATCTCGCTTGTGGGGTGGCGATTTTTGAGTGACGCCATTCGTTTCGCCTGTGACGCTTGTCCCGCGCAACGACCCGCCAGACAACGAACAAGACCATGGGACGGTGGACCCCAATGGAGACCTGTCCAAGCATCTGTATGAATATGAATGTTGTCCTTGGTGGAGTGCATCTTGACCGGCTGCTCATCAGGGAAAAGAGTGACTACGGCAGGGCCAGGAAACCCACAAGTAGATTCTCAAAGTCCGGGGTTCCAAGCCCTGTCACGCACCCCATCTCGGGGCCGCAGTGGATCCTTCTGTACCGTGTCCTGCGGTGGTTCTCTTGGTAGCGTCGTTGAACACATGGACAAATGCGTTTGAGCACAGCTGCGAACAACGTCGACGTCAACGCGGTATCTTCGACGTCAAAGTACATCTGCTGTTTAACTCACCGCCGGACTTATCCACCCTCCCCAATTGCTAGCCGGGCGCTGTTGATCGTGGAGATGAGTGCCGCTGATGAGGGTAAAGTTGATGTACGCGCTTAAGCTTGTCACGAAAGGATGTCAACCACCATAGAGAATCCGGACCGAATGGCATCAGAACCGATAACGGAATCCACCGGTCATGGATACCTGAACGTCGAGGCGTCTGGGAACGCGCGTCCAGACCGATGGAAGGTTCTGGCGGGCTTGGCGAAATCCTTCAGGTTCCACGGTCGGTGCTCGGGGGGTTGGTATCGTGAAGCTGCTGGAGGCCCCTCCGCCGGACGGAAATCTGGGCACATCGAGTCAATTTTCATGCCCGAAACAGGCTGTGCATGTGGTGCGTACTGAATGCCCGAAGCCAACTGAGGTCGTGGCAACAGCCGTCACGGACATGACGCGGGGAAGCCAGCCACGAAACTCCCACCGGATTACCGCTGGAGAGAGCTCCAAAGACAATGTAAAGCTGGTCATCGCTGAACGCAACTCCATTGTCGCCGGACGAAACAACTGCCGTTACTCCCATGGGGCTTATCTGTTGACAGGCAGGAGAAGTTGGGAATGTGAACGGCTCATGCCTTCCTAATATCGGCGCATTGCATTAGAAGCAGCGTCGTAATCTGCGGATCCTGTACGTCAGGAAGCGTAGAGCAGGATATGAATACCACGTTAGCAGCGGGCTGATCACCGCAATCCGTGAGACCTGTCTATTGTCTTATTTAGAGCTAGTAAGGCGTGGGTATTGACGTGCCTATCGCTTCCGGGCCGTCGAGGTCGCGATACCGTGCCCAGAAGCTCGGCGGCTGCATTGAGAAGGCATGTTAGTTCTTCACAGGCGCTCTGGCATCGATGCCCTGAACGAACCACTATTTGGATCCAGTACCGCCCGTTTGTGGACGAGTAAACCCAGTAAATTCAGCAAGGTCTGCCTTGGCTGTGGCCTAAAAACCCAGTGAGTATGGGTGCTCGTAATACTGTAGCTTATACATACCGCCGACTCAGTTGGTCGGGGGCGAACGAAGTACAGGTCGGACTGTTGATAGACGCTCATGCAGAACTCTGCTATCGATTCGCATGAGACGCACGAAAGCCTCACAATAGATATAGGAGACTAAGTCACCCATGGGTATGCGGGCCGGCTTGAGTACCTCGTCGGAAGCGGTAAAGTTTTCGTTGGCCAGAATGGAGTCGATATGATGGGATGCGTGTTCCGGGACCAAAGTGCAAATTGTCTGGCTGCCCCTCAAAGCGCCGTTGCAAACATTGTATTGAACTTTCAGGAGGCTCTCTGCGTGTGCCACGGCAACATCGACGATCCAAGACCTTCCGTCGCGCGAGGACCGGATGTCGTGAATTTCGGCGTCCTATTCGACGGTTTAACCAGGCTTTGACGGCGAGTGGTTCATTTTCGGAGGGTTTAGACATCTCTGCGATGCGAGCACGAGCCAGTAGGAGCCTCGATTGGTGGACTCGGGGTTTGCGATAGAAGATATGTGTCCAGATTGTGGAGATTCTGCTGCGCAAGGGAGATCCTAAAGGAGGTGAATGTGTCCGGTTCAGCGCGAGTGATGAGAGGCCAGTCCAGTGGGGGTTGGCCGCATGGGTCGACGAGGCCACTGTGGCTATTGCGAGTGGGAGAAGACTGGTGGCTAACATGGAGACGACGTGAATATAGGAGCCCGTTTGACCTTGTCGAGTACAAATACCTATTGGGAGCTGCACGCGCCAGGTGCGAATGTTTGGAAATGCTATTCAGTGAGAACAGTGGCGCCCACATAAAACATACTAGCTGCGGCGACATAACCTCGGGACTGCTTCCAGCAACAAAGCTCGTCGGTTATGTTCACAGCTTCCTAGCCTTTCGAAGCAAATGACGTTGATAGAGCGCGTGTTGCTGGTGCTGATGCACTAGCTGTGTTGAATATGGAGATGACTGGCCTCCCTGCGATCATATCCCTCCCTTGCCGTAGCTAGAACTGCCAAGGAATCTTGAGCAGGCCACTTATGAGCTGTGCTTGCCGACGATCGGCTTCGGCTGGACGGGACGTCGAAATCATGGTTAAAGACGAGAAGCATACATATGCTACTGAATAATGATCATCCACGCAAGAATAAAGTAGAAGAGACTGATCACTGATCAGCAAACGATTGACGAGGGTTCAAGTACTACTCACAGAAGGGGGTAGACCGCGAGCAATATCCTCTGGGGCTCGATTTTTGTCCCATCGAGGAAGTTGACAGACGCTGTGGCAAGACATGAGCACAGGAACGACTATCGAGCGAATTACGCACCCCAGACACACCACGCCCAAGCCGCCAAGGCGACAGGGATGCGAACGTAGATAAGACGCACGAATGTTGACACTAATGCAGCGATATCTAGTGGAGCAACGCAGTAGCCCAACACGCAGAGCCCTTGGAAAAACGACCTGAAGTCTCTGTTAGTGCAAGGAAGGTTCGTGTAGTGCCGCGGACGCACACTCTGCCCCCAAGAAGCTGCAGAACGCGATTCAGAGCGTGGACCAGATGATTTTGAATTTTCTCACCTTCGCCTGAACGGTTACCACCAACGAACCGACCGCAATAATGACAACCACGCTGGTGAAAACACCCAACGACTGCGTAGCGGGGGCCTAGAATAACGTAAGCTTTATATCACTCGTTTAGAGAGGGTGGTACTTACATTGATACTAAGGATGATACCTAGCATGAGACATAACACGAGGGGTCCCCAGAGATCCCATTCCCTGAGATGCTGGTTTTTAAGACATTGCATGAAGTGGGGGTGACGGCAAAGCGTACTTGAGCAGATCTCGGTTGCCCCCTTTGGGTGGGTACAACACTTGAATGAGCTTGACATAGATGGAGAACGCGTCTCGTCCCTAAAGAAGTCTCAAACGCCACATACATGGTCGGGAGTATGGATGGGACGCACAATAGTCGTTAGGACGGGCTCATCAAGGGTGTCTGTTCCCGTATGGCTGCTCAATGATCAACAGCTGTTGCGCGTAAGGCAGAGAAGACACGCACCGTGTCTCTACTCGAACTCCACCGACCATGCTACGATCCCCCTGCGCCGACCTGCCATTTACTGGCGTGCCAATGGTCCCCGAGACAGACGACGACCCGCTTGGTTGCGCCAGTTGTTCTGGTGCCCTTGACTTTCCCTTGTCCGGCTGTGGTGATATAGGACTTGGTGCGAGACCTGGGTGGGTGAATCCCGGGATGTCCTCCTCGTCGATATCATCGTCTAGAAAGCGCACATTTCAGCACCAATCATGCTTGAAAGCACGCCAAGTCTTACCGGCCTCGATGAACTGAGAAGTAGAAGTGAGGGGAGTAGTCACCTCGTGGTGCTCTTGGTCTAACCGCTGCATTTATGCGTAGGCGGGCGAGGGACCGGTATATGGGGGAAGGATGAAGTCACTAGTAGGTCTAGGCTCGCTTGCTGGCTTCCGCGCGTGGGCGCTCACGCGCCTAATTCGAGCGTCAGTGCACGTGATCGATCCGACCCTAAGCTGACGCGTCGCGCGCGATGTGAGGAAGTGCGCGGCACTGACGCAAGTCCTTTCCTTCGACGCTCACCAACCCCTCCCTCTCATCCGCCGCCACTTTTTCTCAGACACCATGGTGCGCCACGTCGCTCATGCCTGTGATCTCAGCAGTCCCTCACCCCTCTGTTTCAGGGCAACACCTCGTCTGGTGGAATGCCTGGCCAGGGTGGCCGCGGCCAGGGAGACCAGAAAGACAAGAAGGATCAAAAAAAGAAATGGGAGCCACCTCTCCCGACGAGCGTTGGAAAGCGCAAGAAGAAGAAGGGCCCCGACTCCGCGTCGAAACTACCCGCCGTGTCCCCTACAACCCGCTGTCGGTTGAAGCTGCTCAAGATGGAGCGCATCCAGGACTACATGCTCATGGAGGAGGAGTTCATCCAGAACCAGGAGCGGCTTAAGCCCGAGATCACGCGCGAGGAGAAGAACGAGGAGGACCGCACCAAGGTCGACGACCTTCGCGGAAGTCCCATGGCCGTTGGCACGCTCGAGGAGATCATAGACGACGACCACGCCATTATCTCCACCGCCTCTGGTCCTGAGTTCTACGTTTTCATCATGAGTTTCGTCGACAAGGACCTCCTTGAGCCCGGGTGCCAGGTTCTTCTTCACCACAAGAACCAAGCGATCATTGGTGTTCTTCAAGACGACGCCGATCCTATGGTCAGCGTCATGAAGTTGGACAAGGCGCCGACAGAGAGTTACGCGGACATTGGTGGTCTGGAGCAGCAGATTCAGGAGATCAAGGTGCATATTCCCCCGTGTACACTCTTGGTCCTAGTTAACAAGCTGGCAGGAATCCGTGGAACTGCCCTTGACGCACCCCGAGCTCTACGAGGAGATGGGTATCAAGCCACCGAAAGGCGTCATCTTGTACGGTGTCCCTGGAACTGGCAAGACGCTTCTCGCGAAGGCGGTTGCCAACCAGACGTCCGCGACTTTCCTTCGCGTCGTCGGCTCCGAACTCATTCAGAAGTACCTCGGTGACGGTCCCAAACTTGTGCGCGAATTGTTCCGTGTTGCGGAGGAGCACGCGCCGAGTATTGTGTTCATCGACGAGATTGATGCTATCGGTACAAAGCGGCAAGTATTGGTCTTCTCTGTCTTGCGAGTCTTGACTTACTTGCGTCTAGATACGACTCAACATCGGGTGGCGAGCGTGAAATCCAACGTACCATGCTTGAACTCCTCAACCAGCTGGATGGTTTCGACACGCGGGGAGACGTCAAGGTTATCATGGCCACCAACAGGATTGAATCTCTCGATCCCGCCCTGATTCGGCCAGGACGTATCGACCGGAAGATCGAGTTCCCTCTACCAGACATCAAGACGAAGCGGCATATCTTCAAGTGAGTCACCTTCGTTTGAATTTCATGACCTGTGCTGATTCTTGGACAGGTTGCACACATCACGCATGAACCTGGCGGAGGACGTCGACTTGGAGGAGTTCGTCACTACCAAGGACGATCTGTCGGGCGCCGATATCAAGGCGGTGTGTACCGAGGCTGGTCTCCTTGCATTGCGTGAACGACGGATGCGGGTCACGAAGGCGGACTTCACGTCAGCAAGGGAGAAGGTCAGTTTTGCAGCAACGAATACTGGATTTATGACTGACCTGACCATGCTGCAGGTGCTGTACAGGAAGAACGAGGGCACTCCAGAAGGACTCTATCTGTGATCTGTATACTGCCGCTGTCGCTGTTATTCTATCTTTGTTCTAGTTCTGGATCTCAAGCTTGTTACCTTGAGCACCAAGGTGTCACCTCAGCCTTGTGTTGTCCAGAAAGTCATGATGTGCCTTCTTACGTTCTCAGCCTGTCCTTGATGACAGTGGGGCTTCAGCATCATGCATAGGGAAATTCAGCGATCATGGAAGCTGGCGGCAAACATTTCCTCAGAAGACGTTGTATACTGAAGCATGCTTGACTGCACCTGACACTCCGTTCTTTCGGACGGCAAGTCTATCCAAAGCTTGATACGTGTGCCTGGTCTCGTGTGACCGTTCTAGGTATCGACTCACTGTCAGATCCCCTGTTCTCATGCATCGGAATGAAATGCCGGTTACGCAGCGCGTTCGTGCGTCGTGCGTCTCTTTGGGACGGAAACAGACACAACAAGACGTTCCGTAATGAGGGTCGTGGTCGCTGCCAACGACAAGGCGACCGAACGACGCCCAAGCAACGGGCGATGTCGCGAGACAATGCACACAGAACGCGCCGGGGCAGGAGACAACGTACAGATGCGACCATGTGAGGTCGGAGCGGTGTTTATGGTATCGCGTTCACGCCCGGGCTCTGATGGTGGCGCCGCGTGCTCGACAACCAAGGGTTACTCGGTTTGGGGCCTGACATATACCTACACCTTCCTAGCATCTCTCTCGTCTGGACTCTGCCTCTCGCCACCCCCTCCCCCGGTGCCCCAAGGCGTCATCCCATCCCCATGTTCGACACCCCGCCGACGCGCTCACCGCGACAACGTTGGCGCTAACACCGACGCGACGCGTCCCCGCCTTCATCGGCCCAGTGGCTCATATTCGCGGCATGGAGGACGCGCATCGATGCGGGCAACCGCGACGCGTGCAATCCGCTTTCCTTCACCAATCTCGATGCACTAAGGCGCGTACACCGATGTCGTGATGTCGTGCGCAAGGCTGGATCCAGTATCTGTCCGCTGATCTGTACAGTGACCATCAACAGAGATAGTCCCGTCACCGTTATCACTACGGCCCTCGAGCCTGGACACACGTCGGCGAGGGGATCCGGTGGACGTCGATGCCCGTGTGCCGGATCCGCATGCAAGGAAAAAGTACGGTGAGCGCGTCTTTCTCCACCTCGACGCGCCCCTTCTCTGGTCACATCGCATCTCCCCACGACACCCACAACTCTTCAAGTGAAGTCACCCACTGTGTCTTGATGAGGCCCACCGCGATCAACACGAGTCTGGCTAGCGACCCCGGGCGGGTCTATCAGCACGCTGGGCGCGGAGCCTGTGACGGGGGACGCACACGGGACGTGGCGTGAGAGGAAGAGGCGCGCCGCGTCGGGGCGACTGGCGAGGGCAGCATTGTCAGGTGGTTGACGGGTAAGCGGGGCGATCGGCGGGGAGGCGGGCAGCCGACGCCATGGACGCGTCGGCCGTCGAGGCGGGGCGCGGGCGCAAATTGACGGAACGATCTCTGGGCGGCTATCTACGTCGGAGGGCGGGGATTGGCTGAGACGCCATCACGAAAGAGCCTGCCCTCAACTCGGAACGTGGCCGGGGTTCTCGCGAGGGGCGGTCATCACAGGACCGTCTCCCAGCGCCTGCCCTCCCTTTGTCTCCTCCCATTGTCCTCCGTACCCTACCCCGCCTCGCTATATTAACCACACCGCCTCTCCTTCAACCTAGGCCAATATGCACGAGCAGTGTTCTGCTGCTGTCCCTGCTATCTCTCTCGTCATGCCTCACCCCGCCCTCCCACGCCGACGGTCATCCATGCTCTCCACTGGCTCCGGTCCTCACACTCCTCCGCCTCGCGACGCACCCCTTCCTTCCTTATTCTCACCCGCGTCAAATCGGAAGAGTTCCGACAGCTGGAACAGTTCAATCTACGACGGAGCAGATGACCTCGAGTGGGAGTGGAAACCAGAGCAGACGCGTCTGTTGTCTAGGGTATGTACCATCGACGCGTTCTTTTTTCCCCCAACCACTCTGGCCCCTTTTTGTTCGCGTTCCAACCACTCCTCCACTGTCCGTGACGTGTTTTCTGATCGGTACGCGTGACCAGACACTAGATGCGTTACCTGCCCATCTGTTGACCCCCTTCAACGGCCCCGTACCTCCCTCCAATCTGCTCGATAAGATCGCGAGGGGAGTCAGCGCACGAAAGGGCCCGGTTGAATGGCCCCATTCCCTTCGAGCTACTCGGGCCAAGATCGTCGAGTTGGCCCGTCTCCGCGCGAAGGACGATACCGCTAGCGATACCATTGCCGAGGAGGAATCCACCGATCCTGAAGGCCACCCCAACACGAACGACAAGGGGACCAAAAGACCCCTCTATAGACAGTCCAGTATGGATTTCATGCAATCCCCCAAGCTTGATACTGCAGGCGACGCGATATCTCGGTAGGTTTGAGCGGCTGTTTATGAGACCTCGGCTAACGCATAACGTAACATAGCCTCACCTACCGCCTGCAGCATACTGAACGTATGATTCTAAACCCCGCCCACCCCTTCCTTCGCACGTCACCCCACCATCGTACCATCGCCCTCTCATCCACCGCGAGCTCTACGACCCTGAACTCCCAAAGCTCCTGTGGCTCTGAGTCCCACCTTCCACGGCTGCGAAGATCTCTGTCTTCGATTTCGAACACCTCCGACCAGCCCGGGATGGACCCGCGGGTTCAACGCCTTCGCCGCACAGAGTCGTTCGCAGGCTCAGCGCTGTACCCACCAGGGTCCCCGCTGAAGTGCGCGCCGTCCTTTGGTTCGCTTTCACGGCGGAACTCGGACCTTATGAGCGTCGATTGCTCCAATCGCTCCGACGTCACTACATCGGACGAAGAAGAGAAAGTACGGAGCAAGAAGGCGAAAAAGCCCAAAGTCAAGCCCTCCTCTCCCACTCCCCCGCTTCTATCACCACTCACTTCGCCTGTGAAGACGAAGCAACTCCGTCGGACCACGAAGCACATCTCCAAAGGCTCCGTTCACGCGCCCGCTAAGGACCTTACTCGCCAGGCCCCCCGTACCAAGCTCAACGTCCGGCAGAACCCCAGCATTCTAGGCCCTGAGCTTCCCTGTGTAACCGCCCCCACCTCGCACACTTCGCAGCCTCCATCCCCAATCAGGTCCCGTCCCCGCAAGGTTCCATCTACTCATACGCTTTCTGCTTCCAACAATACGCCCCCATGCCAGACTCCGGCAACATCGTCTCCCAGAACCCTCCGTCGTGTGAGAGGCGTCCCAATGGGCCATAAGACCGTCGGCAGGAAAATCTCTTTCGGCAGTCTCCCGACGCCTGAAGAGGAGAACGTTGCCTTCGCCGCCGGACAGGGCCTTGGGAGCGCTTTTCAACTTCGTTAACTGCTCGGTCCCGTCTGTAGTCGAGGCTGATTATCTCCTGCTTCGCTTCGATCGACTCCGCCCACCTCTGCGAAAGTATCCCTCAAGACGTGTACAACCATCTCTCATTGATATCACTCCCACTCCCTATTCTCCATCATCTCTCTCCCGTGCTGGCCCGCCAAATCTGCCCCACGTCCACTCATTGAATCCCATCTCTGTCTCCTGATATCGCTCATCTCACACTCCCTCGACTCCCCAAGATATCGCCCACACTCACGCTCCTTCGCCCAAGAACACCCACACTCATTCTACCCCCTCGGAATTCTTATCACATCCCTATCTCACTCCCTCTCTAGCCCCATCCACGCATGTCTCGCCAGGTCGAACTCCCAGCTGCAGAGGGTCCGTGTACCGCGCGGTGTATATACCAGCGTCGCTGGTTGTGCCATATGTACAGTATGCCCTTTTGCCTTGTGTACGCTCTGCTCGTCTGCCCTGCTGCTTTGCTTCGTTCAGAACACTTCCCATGTGCTAATGCCACATTTCGTGTTCAAAGTCGTTTTGTTCAACGTGTTTGTGCCCACTCCGCACCCCCATCCCCTCGTACTGCGTACTAGCTATCTATTCCTGAAGACTGCCGTCGCCCATAGTCGCTCCACGTGCATGCGTTTTCATCGCCCAGAGGCTTTATGACGCTCAAGCCCTTCGTTCTTGTATATACGTATTCATCCTCTTCGCTGCCCTTTCTGCTGTCCACGCCCTCTATGGGAACCTTTGTGTGGTATCTCGCTGTTTTCGCTCGCTCGCTCCTGTTTGCTGTACATGTACCCTGCTTCAAATGCTTTCCACCGTTGCAACGCGTCTTCAACGGCGTGAATTAGCAGGCCGCACTGAACGTCGCCAGGTGTGACATTCGGACGCAACGCGCAAGAGAGGACGTCCGAGAACGCTTCATAGGACGCAAGAGCAAGCCACGGCGCATCTAAACGAGAGGCCGAGTACAACGACATAACAGCATCTGAGGTGCGTCGCCACGGAGCTGCGCGGCGAGAACGCATGAGCACTGTCTAGCCCGAGGGCGCGCACGAAGCGGTGGGAGGGACTCACCAGTGCTCATACACCCGCACTACGACGCCTCCTCGGCAGCCGCTGCCCTCCGCGCCGCGATCTCTGCACGCTTCTTCACGAGCAGGGCCTCGTTCCGCTCGTTCATGCCGTGGAGGGCGTAGCCGGCGGCGCCGAAAACGCCGACAGCGATAGCGTGGCCCGCAGGGTCTGGTTAGAGCATCCACGCGTGTTTCGAAACGAAAGGGTACGTCGGGTAGTTGGGTAGTTTGGAGGTACCCGGCGATCCGCGAGTGCGAGGAGAGGAACGGGAGGACCGGTCAGCAAGTGGGCTAGTTGGGGGGTGGGGTGTCGGGCGTGGGGGACGTACTTTCGAAAAGGCCGCGCCGCTGGATGCCGAGCTGGCCGACGCGCGCCGCGAGCCCGAAGAGCGAGAAGCCGGCGACGGTGGTGAAGATAGTCATCGCACTGGGGGAGTGTTGTTGGCGTTTGGCGGGAGCGCTGCTCGCGAGACTCGCCGAGGCTTGCGGCGTGTTTCGCACGATAAGTACAGGGCGTAAGTGGCTGTTAGAAAATATTGTTATCGCACACTAATGCCTAATAACGCCCACACAGATAAGCGCCAGGGGTCCAGATCTCGATTAGAGGCCCAAGCATGCAGGGTATCATGCAGGCCCACTGGTCGCCACTGCCCTTCCACCTTTGTCCCCCTCGCCACTCGTACACTCTCCCGCACAAGAGAAATAATGGACGCTGGACCATCCTCTGTTCCCGCTGTCAGCCCCGACTCTGAAAGCATCACCTCAAAATTCAACAAGGCGAAGGACCTGAAAGCGGCTGGAGATGAGGCATTCAAGGCGCAAAACTGGCAGGGGAGTACGTCGCATCACACACTGCTATATTATCCGATTTAACCTCAACGTTGACCGACTTGTGCCCCTCGCAGCTCTTCTAAAGTACCACGAGGTGAACTCGGACAGATTGCTAACTATAGACCCGGGGTACTAACGCGCCACTCGCGATCTCCAGGCTCTGCTCTACTTGAAGGGTCTCGACAAGTACGTTCTACAAAATGCCCCCTCTCTCTGTGCGTGTCCTCACCAGTGGCGCGATGTATTAGGAATGCGACGCAGAAGGCGCTCGGTGCCCCAGTCCCGCCCCCGCCACCTGTGGATGCTGCGGCTTCACAGGACGAAAAGGTGCTCACTGAGGTGTGTGATACATTTTACACCCTGTGTATGATATGTATGAAATGGCGATGTGTTGGGATCGCAGGTGGACCTGCTGCTGGAGAAGATCTACTCGAATATGGCTCAGGTTCACCTCAACAACGGGAGGTGGAAGCGAGCTATCGAGACTGCGGACAAGGTGAGGGACATTGGGTGATCTGACTTGTGCGACACCTGACGTGTGTCTCAGGCGTTGTCTCACAACAAGAAGAACATCAAGGCGATGTTCCGCAAGGCGAAGGCACTGAAGGAGCAGGGATACTTCGAGAAGGCTGAGGAAGTCCTCAAGAAAATCCAGGAGGAAGGCGACGACGATGGTCGGTTGTATATCGGTTCGAGTTTTTTGCGATGCTGATGGACCATTTGCGCTTCACAGAGAAGGAAGCTGCTGTTAAGGAGATGGAAAGCGTCAAGGCGGCGGAGAAGGCTACGACGGCGAAGCACAACCAGAAGATGAAAGGTGCAGTGTGTTCTGGGATGTTGCGCATCGATATACTGAAATGTTTCGCAGGCTTCTTGAACAAGGAGAAGGTGGATCTGACCCCTAACTAGACCCTGTGCTCCAAGGGACCGTTGTCATCGCTTTGATCTCTTGTACTGCTACCGCATATTCGCTCTCTCCTGTTGTATGAAAACCCTGTGCTACTCCGGTTCTAATTTGTTCCCATGTGCCTCTATCGATCTCCATACAGCGTGCACACTGCACCTCTGAAGCCGTGGCGGCAAGAGTAGAGTATTCGACGCGTGACGTACTGGCACGTGGTCGCGTTTTGTTAGAGGCGCCATTGGGACGGCGCGCGTCCCGCCTTGACCGGTTGACCTCTGACCATATCCATCGAGCTGCCCCATGCCCTACCCGGAACCCGTTCGCGCACCAATTACTTTCAGAATCCTCCAGGCGTACTTTCCTGTGGTACGCACACTCAAGGAACACCTCGATCGTATCACTGTGTCCGGTTTCCCTGCATCGAGTTTGAGCTCAGGCCAACTTGACGCGCTTCTTGAGACTGCCTGTGTAGCTAGTTCAGTCGACAACCATGGCAAACAGTTCGCCCGCACGCCTCCTATGTCACGCATGCAGGATGTAAGTGCTCACTGAAGCTTCAGACACCTGGTCACTGACCCCCTCTAGGTGATAGAGCGTGCGCGAGAGAAGCTATTTATCAAAGCGAAGAATGGACGTCCTTCCAACATCATTACAGCCGGTTATCGAAAGGTACGACCGGTATGATGGTAAAACAACTTTGTGCTCTTCTGACCAGGCGCATGTAGGCCAACCAACAAGATACGCGGCTCGGAACCACGCGTGTGCCTCTGACAAACTACTTCGTCAATACCATCGTCACTGCACTTGAAGGCCGCGATTGGGAAGAGCTATTGCAACTGTGAGTCACAGGGCTGATCGGGGTTCTATAAGTGCTGACTTGGCTACTAGAGTGGGCGAAGATGTTGTCTTCCATCTTCTGACGGAGACAGCCGTCTTTCTCCCATTGCCCAATGGCTGCCTGTGTCAAGTAACTGGAGACCCCATTCTTCACACCAAACCTCCCACGTTTGGATTTGCGCAGACGAATACAGATCCTCAAAACGCTCAAGATCATACGAGGTCCCGTGGGACGAAAAGGCGCCACCTTGGTGATCCCGCTGGCCCACCCCCGAAGCGGGTTCAACGTGCCCCAGGTTCGGGTGCACAGCGAAGACCAAGAAAGCAGGCATGTGTCGTAGAGAGGTACGGATACGAAGCGCCATGCTCTCAACGCCCCTTCTGACTTGTTTTGAGCAGGGTATCTCCTGCAGATGTTGCTTTGGTCCGTGCAAGGATGTTCTACGCCCGTCCGGCGTTTGTGCCACACACCCGGAAAATTCTGGTCGGCCTGCCACCAAAACGTACGCCTGGAGTCGTCCCTGCCGAAAAAGCGCTGACAGTGGTCTCATAGATATCCTCAATCGCATATACCCTTCCTGGTCCATCGAGGACACCGGCTCCCTGCATTTTGACTCACGTAATCAGATGGGGCACGCTCGACATCTGGCGAAATACGTGTTCCCCAGGCAGTATGGACTTGGAAATCCATTCGAGATGTATGCTTCGCGCAAGTACTATGGTCTGGGATACCCAGACTGGCAGGATCGAGAGGCGGAGCTGAAGGTCAGAAGCCGTTTGGACGGTCTTGTCACCTCATGCTTACCTGTTTGAACCACAAAGCTCAAAGGGCCGTGCAAGACGCCAAAACGTCTCAAGCATGTGCTGGACATTCTTGAGAGGATGACTTGGCGACATCGGAAATGCAAGTACAAGTACTTGTTAGACCTGACCTGCCCATCGAAGGTAATGTCCTGCAATTATTCTAGTGTCCACAATCACTCTCGGCTGACAATCTTCGGAGGTAGCTTCCTCAACAAGATGGCTCCCAGCTCGAAAGCAGCATCATACTGGTACGCACTGCCATCGTCCATGTTCGTTTGACTGATCATTGCGAGAACATCCGCAGGAATTAATGTCAGAAATTTCCATTCAACCTCGGACACAAGGCTCCGCTTTCGACACCAGCATTTCTCTGGATTCTTCCGGACGACCTATCATTTCCCATATGTCGGCATCACCAGCGAAACGCCAAGCTAAGTACAAGCCTCGGTTCGCTGATTTCGCGTGCAACACAGGAGAGGTACGCGTCAAAGCACGTCGGACATGAATTCGCCTCCCGCTCATGTGTTCTGGTCAGGTCATTCGATACGCAATGCTGGTGACCAAAGCGGTCATACCCGCCGCCTTCTGGGGCTGTCGTAGCAACTTCGCTGTGATCATGCAGTGTACAATTTCACATTGCTGCCAGCATAGTCAGTTACTGATTTCCCGTAGGCATCAAGCACATAATTGGTGCACGTCGGTATGAAAGTCTCTCGGTACACAATGTTCTCCGGAAGTTTCGTACATCCGAATGTGAATGGCTGATGCCCCACACCCCCGGAGCACTCGAACAACATCGCGTCTCTATGACCGATGCTCTGAAAAGGCGAGAGCTCCTGGAAGACTTCGTGTTCTGGTATATCGACGGATTCCTTATGCCGTTGTTGAAGGTAACACCGTGCCTTATAAATGGATATTGACACTGACTGTGGAATGGCAAAAGACCACTTTCTACGTCACAGGATCCTCCGCATACAGGAACAAAATACTTTACTTCCGACATGATGACTGGAACACCTTGTGCCAACCACTCGTAGAGAAACTCAGCACCGACACTTTCAGCAAGATCGAACAGGTCCGTCGTCACGTGAAGGCTCGGTACGCTCTCACTGATCTATCATAGCACGAGGCGCAAGAGATCCTGCGTCAGCGGAAGCTAGGCTTCTCGTTCGTGCGACTGCTGCCGAAGGAGACGGGTGTGCGTCCAATTGTGAACCTCCGTAGGCGGGTAGACAAGGTAAAATATAATGCTTCACGAGCAGCTCCGAGCAAGACGCTGATATTTCTCTAATCCAAGGGAGGCTATCAAACCGGACAGTCTATCAACCAAATCTTGCAATCTGCATTCCAAATTCTGACATATGAGAAGGTTAGTTTTCGCGAGCCGCTTGTCACGCCGTTTGACGCCCCATTTCACAGGAGCGAGAACCGGAGCGCTTGGGTGCATCAGTTTTTGGACATAGAGAGGTTTATGCGAAGCTCAAAGCATTCAAGACGAGATTGACAGGGGGGAATCCTAAAGCTAAGCTGTAAGTTCAAATGGCGCTGTCCCTCATAGGACTACTCATCAGGACTGGCTCAGACCTCGACTCTACTTCGTGAAGGTCGATGTCCAGGCCTGTTTCGACACGATCGAGCAAACGAAGCTTCTAGCCATTTTGCGAGATCTTGTGTCAGAAGTATGTCACTTTGTGTGCAACTAGCAACTGTCGTTGACGCCTATCGCACGTAACAGAACGTATACATGGTACAGCGGTACGGCGCAATCACTAAGGCCGGGGAGAAGATCCAAAGAAAGTACATCAAGAAGGCTGTCCCCGAAGATGACCAACCTCATTTTCTCGTCTACGCAGCAAGACTGGCCGAGCTCCTGCGTAATACTATATTTGTGGATCAAGTAAGCTGACTGTTCAGTGTGTTTATGGTATCTTACGAAAAAGAAACAGGTGGTTTACCCTTTCTCGAAGAAGCAAGAGATTATCTCCCTGTTGGAAGAGCACATCACCGAGAACATCGTAAAGATAGGGAATGACTACTTCCGCCAAGTAGTGGGCATACCACAAGGATCTGTGCTGTCTGCAATATTGTGCTCCTTCTTCTATGGCGACCTTGAGCGAACAAAGTTCAAGTTCACCGAGGACCCTGACTGTGTGAGCCCCGGACCGACCCAGATATGTTTCTTTGCTGAACCATGTACAGGTGCTCATGAGACTGATCGACGACTGGTTGTTGGTGACGACCAGCTGCTCTAAAGCAACCCGTTTCTACGACATGGTATCCGAGGGTGCGGCACCATAATGCAAGTGGTCAATATAGTGCTGACAACAACTCGTAGGTCACCCAGAGTACGGATGCTTCATATCGAAAGACAAGAGCCTCGTGAACTTCGACCACCCAGCTCTTGTGAACCTAGTAGATCCACGGTCGAAAGGTAAGCTTTGAGCTTCGTTTTTACTGAGTCACACATCTGATAGTACAACGCAGTGTTCCCGTGGTGTGGGTGTTCAATCAACATGACCGACCTCTCCATTACGGCAGACTACTCGCGTTACCACCCGACATGTGAGTTACCCCACGCCAGATCGAATTCACTGAGTGGCTCACATAACTTCAGATCTGCAAGATTCACTGACCATCGACTTCGGTCGACGTCCAGGAGCCACATTCACGTATAAGATGATGCAGTGCGTCGTTTTTCAGTCTTCGTCGTAGCTCCTGGCGGCTCATGTCGCACTGCCAGGCTTGCCAAGTCTAAAAGCCACATCATCTACACCGACTCTACTCTTAACTCCCGATCCACGGTCCACGTGAATCTCTACCAGAACTTCGCCGTGCTCGCCATGAAGATGCACCATTACCTACGCCAGTGGGGCATCAACGTCGCCAAGCACCACGCGTTCGTCCTCAGTCAGTCCGAGCCCGCCGCACTCCACATATCGACTGACCCACGTCCGGCCCGTGCTAGAGACAATCCGCCAGTGCGTGCGCTTCGCGTACATCTCCGCAGCGAGCAAGGGCACGCACACGCTCGCGAAGACCCACGGCGGCCGCGTCGACCTCCGTGCCGGGGACGTCACCTGGTCCGTACCCCTCGCGAGCTGAGCCTCCAGCCGTTCCTGCACTGACCACGCGCTACCCCAGGCTCGGCCTGCACGCCTTCCACACTGTGCTCTCGCGCAAGCCGCACGCGTACACGCGCCTGATCAAGACGCTCCGCTTCGAGCTCGCGCTGCCCAAGCACCGGCACTGCGCTCGGCGCTTCCGAGCCGTCGTCGCCGAGGGCCTCACCACGCTCACTTTGCTGTGCTTCTGAACCGTTGGGCGATGAGCTCTTCGCCGTCGGGCACGGATTCGCGGGAGGCAAACAACAATTAGTCCAGGCGGGCGTGCATACATGATATACCACTGATACATATCCTGTGAGGATGGACGGGGCGCGGGGTGGGCGGGGCGAGGTGGGACGCAAGTGTAGGTAGATAGACAAGACGAAGGGCGGGGACCTGCAGGAATAATAGTAGTCTTCTGTTCGTGCGTGGAACAAAAGGGCACTTCGGGCCGGACAGATAGACGGTTACGAACGGAGTGTGAGAGAGACGAGGGGGACAGGGACGTGGACTGTCGTACAACCCGGGCTGAGCGGGACCAACGCATAGAGTCAAGAACAAGAGGTATATGCGGCAGAGCGCGCGGGGGGACGGGCGGGACGGCGTCGTGACAATGTGACTGGGGAGAGGGAAACAGGACAGGATACAGAAACAAGACGAGAATAAAGACCAGACGTAAGGATCGTGTAGGTGTGGGCAGCGCCGGAACTGGACGGAAGGAGCGTGTGAGATGTTCGTGGGAGGACGTCAGACGAGAAGAAACCAATAACCAAACAAAGCGAGTGCGCCAGGACGAAGGAGAGGGACACGTTCATCGCTTGGTGAAGATCTTGTTGAGGAGACCAAGCACCTTGGGCACGTTGAGCTGGACATACTCGAGGTCGAGCAAGTGCTTGTTGTCTTTTTGCTACAGAGCAGAGCTTTATGTTAATGACGCTCGGGGTTGTTTGGGAATACTACTGACCTTCTCCAGGAGATCGTCGATATTGAGGTCCATCTCCAAGATCGCCTTCTCTCTGCCCTTGTAGTGCAGCGCGATGATGAATGTCCCCGGCGTAGGCGACGTGAAGTTGAAGTAGATGTTCGGTCGCCGGTTGTCGGGCACATTGCTCTCCACGATGATACCCTCCTTCTCGAGCTGCGCGTGTGTGAAGCGGTACGGCCCGTGCACGACGGGCTTCGCAGGCTTCTTCTCCTTGCCGCCCACAGTGACGACGCCGACGCCAGTGCTCTGGCCCTTCTCCTTGGACGCCGTCAGACGAACGTTCTGAAGGTAAGCCTTGTACTGTTCGAGCTGGCCGCGGAGGTAGTTGTTATGGTCGCAAATCGTCTTGTACACTGCCTCAAGGCTCTTGGTCTCCAGCAGGACTTTCTCGCGCAGGTTCCCAAGGTGGACAAGCTCGGCGGAGACTTCGTCCTGCATGAGCTTGTAGCCGTCCGCGCGCTCGACGATCTTCTGCTCTTCGAGCTCGCGGAGCATCTCCTTGACCTTGATGCCCTTCCGGACTAATGTTGCGTCTTTAGTGGTTGCCGCACGTTCCGCAATCGCTGCGAGGTTGTAGGGGCGCTTCTCGGCAAGTCCGGGAATTGAACGGATGAGCGCGACGAAGATCGACTTCGCTTCCATATAGAGCATATCGCTGGGCGATACAGAATCCATGAGGATGTCCTGCACAGGCGTCTCCCATCGACTGTACAAAGGGAGCTCGATGGTACGGTTCTCCTTCCGGGGGACTTGAGGGGGCGCTGGACCAAGTTCGTCGGTGAGGATGCGCAAATGTTGCTTGTCGTTTGGTGACTGGTGGATTGTTAGCTTGTGTGCACATGCACAAACAAGAGTGGTGCATATACGCACTAAGACTTCGATATGTTGAAGAATAAGAGAATGGGTGTTGTACAACTCGTTGAGAGTAATGTGGATAAGAAGATCCTTCTTCGACAGGGCCATGTATTGGTCCATCTGCAAATATTATGAGCCACTAGTAAGCCGCAAATATTTGCAAGACCGTACCTCTAGAGTGTCGTAGAAGTCACCGACTTCGCATAGGTTGTTCAAGAACTGGTTAATGCGAGCCTTGTTGTTCTCTACGAATGGGTTGAGGGTAATCATGTAGGCTTCCTTCGCATACGATGGCTTGTTGGCAAGGTTTTGCAACATCTTGGCAATCTATACGGACAGTTGAGGCTCATATACCGAACCTTGGCAAGAAATCTACGCACCAACGTCAATGTTCGTCTAGGGTGTTTCGCAGGGACGCCCTCCACAAGCATGTATGCTTGTGGTGTCACGATGGCGGGGTTGATGAAACGAAGGAAGAAAAATCCGCCAATGAGCGAGCAGATAGCATAGTCTGTCGCGTCTGGGTACTTTCTCTGGTAGCCGAACGCGGCGTCAGTGAGATCCAGGGATTACGGAGCGCTTGACTAACCCTAGTAAGACTCCTGATCTGTTTGCAAATCCACCGGATACCGTACGGCACGCTCTCCAGACTGTCCATGATAGTGAGAAGGAAGCTGTTTGCAATCTCCATGAGCATCGTCAACCGAGGCGCGATGATGGCTAGTACATCCGCGTTCGCCTGGGCGATTTCTGGGGCTACACCGCGGGGAAGGTTGGGTGGAAGGGTACCAGTCTCCTCCTCGATCTGCTGAATCATCTGCTCGTACACCTTGACAGGGTTGATCTCCAGGTTGAGGTCCTTGTGCTCGATGAGGCTGTTGATGCGTTCCGCGAGTACGCTCTTCAAGTAGCTCTGACCGGGTCCTCGGCGAGTATAGGTGGTCATCATGCGGGAGACGGGAGTGTTCGCGCGGAGGAGAGAGCCGAACTCGGTGGCAGTCTCGAACTGTGATGAGAGCACGGACTGAAACATTGTCAACAACAAGTGCTCTTCGCGTGACTCGTATTGGTTTCCGTAGAGCGTGAACATGACGGTTTGCAGGAGGGTGTCGATCTCAGTCAAAGAGACGAGACGACATAGACTCGCAATGTGGCGGGGTTCGGACTGGAGGAGGAAGAAGAGGTTGGAGTATTGCTGGAGCTTGCGGTCGTCTGGATGGTTGCCTTCTGTCGCGTCGACTTCCTCGAGATGCCTCTCGACCTCATTTTGCTACAAAGACATGAATTCCATTGGTAACAAAATAGGGAATGACGTGCCCACCTCATCGAGAGCCATTCGGTTCTGAATGAGCAGTCCAATACGAGAATCGAGGAAACGGACATCTCGCTCAAGAACAAAGTTGCGCTTGGACTGGGCCGATATACGAGACTTGAGCTCGCGGAGTCGTTTTTGAGCTAATGGGCGAAGGAAAACCCATACACGCATTAAAAATAGAGCGCGGCGCGAATGCAGCAGCGACATACCGCGTCCAAGCTCATCCTCGACCTCTACATCTTGCTCCGCGGCCATGGAGAAGAGCGCGGTGACAGAATAGCGGTTCGTGTTCCGATTTGTGAGACGACGGGTGGACATGCCGCCAGGGGAGCTGGGGGAGGAGGAGTAGTCGCCGTATGACATCTTGGTGGGAGAGAGCGCGGCGGGAGATTGAGGGTGTGGTGGAGAGAAGAGAACGTCGTCACAGGAGGAAAGATAGATAAGAAAGGGCAGGTATCGCCTGTGACCCGCTCAGAGCGACGCGATAAAAGAGGTCGTGGACGAAGACGAGGACGAGGAGCTCCGGAGCCGTGGCGGGGGGAGCAGAGTTGGTTGGCGCACACTCAACTCATCCGCTGCCAACCTCCCACCGCCTGCGGGCGCCTGTGCATCGACCACCAGCGCCAGTCTCCTCCAAACCCGTCAACGACCATCCGGTCCGCACGACCACGGCCCGCGCACGCTCCCAGCCGTTCGCGCCGCAGTCCAACCACTGCACCCCGCTGCGCGCCAGCATACGTCGACATGCCGTCGGTTGCGACTGGCAATAGCAACGCCGGGCCCCGCCAGCGTCGCGTCTACCGACCGCCGCGCGGTCGCTCGAGCCGAGATTGCATTCACCGGGGCCCACCCTCGCTCGAGTCGCGAGATCGCATTCTCCGGAGCCCGAGTCTGTGCTGCTGGGTCAACTCTGGATGGTCATCCCCGTGATATTTCCCGTTCATCGAGTGGCGGGAAATGATGCTTGATGCGCTCCATGATATGTGTACATCGCTCGCAGGCCTGAGGCAGTGGCCACTGCCAAAGCAGGCTTGCCCTCCCTTCGCCCGTGCCCTCAAGGCCCGGAGATCGCGCTCCACGCCCGTACCTGGAGCGTTGCCATAGCATGGCTGTATTCCGAAGACAGTCATCGCCGCCACACTGTCTGCTCCCCTCGGCGTCCCCGGACATGACGTTCTCCCCTGTGCAGATTCTTCTCTGTCATTCAAAACTGCACAACCGCGACAAGTGCTGGGTGAAGGGATAACAAGTATCGTTCATGTTTCCCTGAAATGTACACAAACACAGTTCCCACTATTCTGTTTCATCATAACAGACCACCTTCTCGTCAAAGATACAACGTCCGACTTGCTCACGCTTCCCCGCGGGCCTTCAAAAGGACCACCCGAAGGCGACGCAGCCCCTCATCCACCATGGTCTCGGGCAACAGACTGAACGACGCGCGCACATACGCAGTCTTGCCCCCCGACGGCAAGAAGACCGTCCCAGGGAGCGCCAGGATGCCGCCCTCGAGCGCCTCCTTTCGGATGAGTGCCTCGGAGTCGCCTTCATCGCCTCCATCAAGCAACAACTTAAACCTGCGAGCCGTCGTCAGACAAACTCGACGGGGGGATCAAGAATGAATGCGGGATGGAAGACGTACCAGAAGAACATGCCCGCCTCAGGGATGGTCCATTCAGCGAGGCCGGTGAGATGCTTGTCCATCAGTCGTGCGAACTCGTCGCGTTTGGTCCGATAGAAATCGGCAACGCGGTAGACGTGCTGTTGGTAGGCAGCGTATCCCCAGGTGCTGAGCAGTTTCCAGGAGATCACCTGGGTGAATGTCGGGGGCTGTAGATTGGAGCCCATCGTCTAGGGGTGATCGCATGAGCCAAACCTCTCATAGGACTGCGGAGGGTGCGATGGCTCACATGCAAGAGAACCGCATCTGAGATGACTTGTGGCGCGGACAGGAATCCGATACGCATCCCCGCGGACAGCACTTTGGACAGGCTGTCAAGCCGAACCACGCGACCCACTTCTGGTTGATCCACTTCTAGCGCGAAGTACGACGGGGGTCGCGGTGCGCTGCCGAAGTAGAGGTAGTAGTAGGGGTCATCTATATCGGGTTTCAGGTGGATTGAGCAACGCGCTCGTGGTGCATGAAAGGACGCACCTTCGAATATGAGGAAGTTATGCTCCCGGGCAAGCCCGAGAACCTCAAGACGTCGCTCGATTGTCGAAGTGACCCCAGTGGGATTGCATCCAAACTGAGAAAGGTTTGTCAGCGCGTCAAAGGATGGAATGACTCGAAAAAAGGCGCGTACAGGGATAGTATAGAGCAGCTTGGGCTTACGTTTGTTCTTGGGCCAGTTCTCCAGTGTCTTGCGCAGAGCAACCGTGTCGATTCCATTCTCATCGCCGCTGAGTTCTAGAACCTTCAAATTAGATGCGCACCGCAAGATCACCGGGGATCTTACCGATGAGATCACATTTCGCCTCATGGAGAACAGGAAAGACTCCGCTGAGAAAGATGTCACTACTTACTGCACCATAGAACATTGATGACAACCTACGCATATACAGGGCTTTCGATGATTGCAGAATCGCCTTCCTCAAGTAGTGCAAGAATAGCCTAATGTGAATGAAGACCCGTGTTGGAATTTACAGTGTGATGCCAACGACATCCTGTAGGCACTGACCTTGTGAATCAGGTCCGACGATCCCGCTCCAAACGAAAGATCCCAGCCTTCGCCCGGTTTGCGACCATGGCTAAACTCCTGTAAGCCAACTAGCCATTCGAGGAACTCGGGTATCCCTTTGCTCCCACTGTATTGCAACGAACGCTCCAGCTCTATCTCGGTGAGAGCGATAGGCACCTCTTGGTTCGTAACGGGGTCGCGCAGAGTGAACTGTAACGACGTCATTGGGTATGTTTCTGGGTTGGGCTTTCCTGCGAGCATGGAGATGGTCCCGGGGCGGTCTTCGAGTTGAAGCCTGCTGCGAACTATGGCACCCCATAGATGAGCGTGGTTGTGCCATACGGCTCTAGAGACTAATGACTCACTGGGGTCCTCAATCCTCTCCTTCGACCGCTTTGTAATGAACGAGTCATAGAACTCGGGTGGGAGGATGCGTTCAGACAGGGGTTTCAGTCCGCCAGCAGGAGGAGCACCCTGAGCAACGGGCAAGTCGTTGGGCATGGCTGACCTGGCACTGCAGTGAGTAAGAAAACAAGCAAGGGAGGGTCTTGGATGATCGTACCGTGGGTGTTACTCATCTGGCGCTTAATGCGCAGATACGCCAGGGGGTTTGACTCGCTTAGCCACGTTCCGTGGGTATCTCATTGCGTGAGTGCGTCAGGTATGAAATAATATGTCCCTTCCTACTGCGCTTTATCCTCGATGGGGTGCAAATTGCAAATCGATGTACGTCAAGCCTCAAGCCTCAGGCTGAACTGACTGGATCGTACCAACTGGCGAATCGAAGACGCAACGAGCAGCCTCGAGCTCCTCGAGAGCACTCACGCGCGTGAGACACGAGCCATTGGAGGAAAATCGATGGTCGGCGACGTACTTTATGGGGCATACCACAATCACTCCGCCTGTGAACGACTAAGTAGTCGACGGCCGAACGCGGGTATTCACAGCATCAATAGCGCTGTCGACGATGACAAACATTCAGCGAGATACCCAGGGGTAATCATAGTTGAATCACGCCCTATGCTTGCGATAGACTATGAGGGATGACAGTACTTGTTGTTGACATCATGTTGAAGTCAAGCAGTCACAGGGGAGGGAGCGCCCGAGCTGTAAGGAGCACGTGCCTGGATCCTTATCGTATTTGCCTGTGTTTGGCGAGAGGCTGTAGTACTAGCAAACCTTATTTTTCGAGATCCACGCACTGGTCCCCCGCTTGTTGGCGGTTGCAAGACTCCTCAAGACTATCCTCAAGAATGGCCTCCCGCCCGACCGTCAACGTGCGCTCCTCGTCCGGAGGTACGTGAGCAGCGTACATTAGCATTATCGCGGGTAGCTGATTGTGCGACTGAAGAGGCTTCGACCTCGCTCCCCCTCCCTGCGGTGCTTACCGCGCCCATCCGTCTTGATGTCGTGCAGCAGGTCCACAGTGAGTTTTTTAAACATTGAAATGGGGACGGGTACTAAACAACATATGCTGACAACTAGAGAGCATCGCGAAGAACAAGAGGCAGGCGTACTCCGTGAGTGAGAAGGCTGGCCACCAGACCTCTGCCGAGTCCTGGGGTACTGGTCGTGCCGTCGCTCGTATTCCTCGTGTTGGTGGCTCGGGTACCCACCGTTCGGGCCAAGTGCGTGTTCTCGCGTTCTGTGTTCGCACTTCTTCGTCCTGAACCCAAGCGTCAAGGCCGCGTTCGGCAATATGTGCCGTGGTGGTCGCATGTTCGCGCCCACGAAGACCTGGCGCAAGTGGCACGTCAAGGTGAACCAGAACCAACGTCGCTTTGCCGTCGTCTCTGCGCTCGCTGCGTCTGCGCTTCCGTCGCTCGTGCTTGCCCGCGGCCACCGTATTGAGGAGATCGAGGAGGTCCCCCTCGTCGTCGCCGATGCGGCGGAGGGTTTCACCAAGACCAAGGAGGCCGTTGCGCTTCTCAAGTCCCTCAAGGCGTACTCAGACGTTGTCAAGGTCTCCAACTCGCGCAAGCTCCGTGCCGGCAAGGGCAAAATGCGGAACCGGCGTCACCGCCAGCGCCGTGGTCCCCTCGTTGTTTACAACGAGGACAACGGTATCGTCAAGGCGTTCCGCAACCTCCCCGGTGTCGAGGTCGTCAACGTTCGCCGGCTCAACCTTCTCCAGCTCGCTCCTGGTGGTCACCTCGGTCGTTTCGTTATTTGGACTGAGGGTGCTTTCGGCCTCCTGGACGAGGTCTTCGGCACCTTCGACAAGGCGTCCACCTACAAGAAGGACTACGTGTGCGTCCAATAATGGTCTGGCGTGTATTTGTAACTAATATGCCTCTTGCGAGCCAGCCTTCCCTCGGCGAAGATCACCAACCCTGATGTTACTCGCCTCATCAACAGCACTGAGATTCAGGCTGTCGTCCGCCCCGCGAACGAGAAGATCCAAAAGCGCCCTTGGACGCAGCACAAGAACCCTCTCGTTAACAAGGGTGTTCTCTTCCGCCTGAACCCCTACGCCAAGACCCTCCGCCGCCAGGAACTCCGTATGTAATTTTCGACCCTTGCATAGCTCATGCGGTTGATATTTGTGGAATAGTCAAGCAGGAGCGCGTCAAGGCGCTGAAGGCCAAGAAGAAGGCCAAGACCCCGAAGACGGCTGGCGAGGCCTTCCTCAAAACCTTCTTCGCGCCCTAAGCGAGAGTCGTGTGGAGTTGTACGAGCAGTTATCCAGTCTGACGTTCCAATGCTTTATGGTCACGATGAATCCCCATATGTTGTATGTCAGTCATGCTGAAGAAACCTTTCTTCCCTGGCCGGCGTGGCCTCTCACGCATGCGTTCGTCTGTCATCCTTCTAATGTTGTGTGGGCTCACGCGGATTTGAAGTCAGGACGATACCTCGCTCGTCCGAGGCTCTATGCTTTGTCAGGGTGTGCATTGGGCGGCCCCGATGCCATCATCTGTGGTTCTTGGTTGGTCCCTCGCTTTCGCACGCTCATATGTCGTGTGGTGGTAGTTTGCATGGTTAACCCGGCGAGATATCGGCGGTCGCCAGCAAGACCCTGGACATCGATGTGTGGGTTCTATGACGACTCGCCATGGTGGTACTTCAGTGGTGCACCCATCGGGATGTAATGCAGGCTGGGTCATCTCGCTCCGGAACATTCGCTTGTGGGCTTGCGATTCGGAAATGCGCTGCGCACGTGGGGAGTTTCAGTAACTGATCAGTCATTATTCGGAGTGCGTCTCGGTCACCTTACCTGATCTTCCTTGGCTGGCCGCACGTAAGCAGATACGGGGGTTGACAGTGCGTGGCGTCGGGGTGGATACGGGCAGCGCGATCGGCATTTTGGGGAGGCTTGGGTGTCTTCATGAGAGGGCATGTGCAAGAGTGTAGTGATGGCGACAAAGGCATTTTCCAGCTAAGAGCAACTTGATCATACTGGGAGTGTCCCAGATTGCGTATTGTTCTCCCTTCTTCTCTATGTTGGTCCTTGAAGGTCGTAATCAACCAGCGCTTGAACAAGGCGCCATTCGGAATGCGTGCGTCGACATTCGGAATTGCCATCAGTAGATATAAGCTGGCACAAATTGCCGCACAATCCCAAGACTTCCCAAGACTGCTCGGCGCTCAGAACCTTCCAGCCTTGAACCTTTCGGAAACACTTTCACAGGTACGCAATATAGCCTACTTTGTGGAGGCCGAGTGCTAACCATTTGCCGTTAACGCGCACCCGGCGTCCCGGTATGGCTGGCCATGGCCACTCCCCGCGCGTGATATCGCCTGCTCTCGCAATCACATCTTGCCCAACACCAACCGACGCCTCGTCGTAGACGCGTACTAGCAAGCTCAAGTCCTATCACATCTGCAATGGCTTTCGCTGAGACCCCCGCCGCGCCGGTGAACGCCTGCTACCTCGTCAAGTGCGACGCCTGCCAGAAGACGACTTGGAAGGTGCGTCGTGTTCTCGGTCTCCCACCACTGTCGCTTCCCCGCCCCGCTCGTGTGTGCAGACTTGACTGCCGATCTTCTCTTTCTCTCTTTGCGCGTGTTCTTGCCCACCGGCAGCACCGGCTGCTTCCACCATCGCGCCCATCGGGCATCCCCCTCGCCGCACTCGTCCCCCCTCCGATCCCCGACGCCCCGCGGGATCACCGCCCTAGAAACGTCGCGATCTGGGTGCGGGTTCGCGGGAGGCCCCAGGCTCTGCACACGCGTGCATTGCTCATTGCTTTCCGTATCACCCGCCAGCTGCGGGTGCACGCCCCCCTCGGTCGGGCTTGCCGCCCCTGTGCGAGATGGTGCGCGCGGTGCCTCCCACACGGAGCGTAATCGTACCTGGTGCGCCGCGGCCATTGGTGCCCATCTGTTCTGCCTTCTAGTCTTCTTTCTGTTCTCGCTTGCTCGGCGGTCCTTCATTAACAGATTGGCTGACGATTACGTCCCAGGGATGCGGGGCCCACGTTGACGCGGTACGTGGCCTCTTCCGGTACCCCCGCCTCTGCCCACGCAGCCTCCCTTCGTGATGGGGGCCTCGCGGGAGCCCCGCTACGGTGCGCACCAGAACGCAAGCCAGCCAACGCCGGAGGGACCGGTGGTGCCAGCCATAGCCATGTAATCGTCGCCTCCCGCAAAAGTGCAAATGGAGCGCGCGGCAGTGGGGCGGCGGGCTGTGCGAGCATTAGCCTTTGCGCCCTTGGGTCGGGCTTGGGCCACCACGGCTGCCATCGGAGGCCTGCGTGGCCCAAGAGCTTGATGCGGATCACCCTGATCGCCCGTACGTGTGCGCGCAGTGCTCCAAAGGGGCTTTGTGCGCTGTCGCCACGGCCAGGTTCGCGTAGCCTGGCCGACGGCGGGTCTGGGATGGACGCGCGTGCGGAAGAGAAGCGATGACGTACGGATGGACTGGAGACTGACCGGGCTTGCGTTTGCAGGTGATGAAGGACGTCAAGGAAGAGGACAAGTGCACATGCGCGCGGTAGATGCGGAGAGTCGAGGCGCATGCGCCGTGTGGTGCAGGCGCGATCCCAGGCCACACACGATGGCGGAGAGGTCGTTGGGAAACGGGTCGAGATGGGGGCTGGGAAACTTCGGGGAAACGCGCGCGGGGATTGCACGGTGTATTCGTGGAGAATCGAGACAAGCTGTACGCCGCACGATGCGCGAGAGACAGAACGGCGAGGGGCCCTTGCGAAAGGCGGCTCTTGCGGGGAACCGGAGGAGAGCGCTGGGGGACGAAGGCCAGGGTCCAGGGGCCAGAGCGGGGAGGCGGATGTGATGGCGGCGCGGCAGATCCCAGAGCGCCCGTCTCAACAGACGCCCTGGAAGAGGCGCTGGGCGATTGTGGAGTTGCTCGCTTCGCCAGAGCTCTCCTTCAGATCCACTGCCTACTCTCCGCCGTCGGGTCTCTCTCTCGTCCCGCTCTCCTCTCCTCCCTGCACCCCTTCCCCCACTCTCGCGGCGCGCTGGCTCGAACCTGCTGTATATACTAGACATGGCCAATGCCGTCGCCTCCTCGTCTCGTGAGGGCCGGCCCGCCAGAAACCGGTCCAGCATGCATTCCCTCCACCAATTCAACCCCCACGACCCCGGTGTCGTCGTGACCCGTGCGCTCACTGCCGGCCAGCGCCCGACCCACGTCCGAAATGACACCATTAAGATCATAAACCAGTATGAGCTGAAGCGCAAGGTCGGCAAGGGGCAGCACGGCGAGGTCTATCTCGCCGAGGACTCCATCAAGGGATATATGCTCGTGGTGAGTCCAACAAACCCGCTCACTTTTCAATTCATGCTATATCTTGATCCTCTTCCTCGCGGGTACGCTACGTGTAGGCGGTCAAGTGCCTCCGGCGCAAGAACAAGAACGACCGTCTTAACAAGCTGCGCAGGAGCTACCAACAGCCTCTCCCTCGCTCGCCGAATTCGGCGCAGTTGGGGGATACAGAACACAAAATACGAAAGGAGATAGCGATCATGAAGAAGCTCAACCATCCTCATATCGTGCGCCTGCTCGAGGTCGTAGACGACCCGTTGCAGGACAAGATATACATGGGTGCGTAGATCCTCCAGCCCTTCCTCGTCCGCATTCTCCCCTTCAGGCTCTCCGCCCCTACGCCGCTGTGCTGCTGTCAAACCACGATGTGCGTGCGGCAGGCATGTTCAGCTTCTGCCGAACGAAGCGCATCCTCGTGGTTGCGATCCCCTGCCTCTGTGCTCCAGACCCCCTGCTTACGTATCGACGCTAATGGTCTTGACAGTTATGGAGTATCTCGGCGGCGGCGAGATAAAATGGCGGTCGAGGAACGACAACCCACTCCTGCGCGTCGACCAGACGCGGCGCATATGTCGCGACGTCATCCTCGGACTTGAATACCGTACGTCGTCATGCCCGTCCCGCTCCCGATTTGGTCATCCCACTCATCCATCCGCCGCCCCCACGTCCCACGCAGTGCATTACCAGGGCATCATCCACCGCGACATCAAGCCCGCAAATCTCTTGTGGTCCTCGGATCGACGCACGGTCAAGATCACCGACTTCGGCGTCTCCACGTTCTCGTATGCCCAGCGGCTCGCCGCTGCAGGCAAGGGCAACATCAAGGAGGACGACAGGGACCCCATTCTCATGGACGAGAGTGACTTGTCGAAGACTGCTGGCACGCCCATGTTCCTAGCTCCGGAGATTGTCGCCGACGTCTCCTTTACCGCCGAACAGTCGTCTTCGACGGTGCACCTCCCCCACCTGCCTTCACCTCAGCAGCTCTCCCGGAAAAAGCCCCAGATAACGAAGGCCATTGACATCTGGGCGTTCGGAGTTACGCTCTACGGCCTGCTTTTCGGCGTCCTTCCTTTCCATGCCAAGAACGAGTTCGAGATCTACAAGGTCATCCGATGGCAAACATGGGAGCCGCTGGAAACTATGGGCCTGGACGAGATCCCGACCTGTGCCAGGTTTCGCAAGCGTGAAGGAGAAGATACAGAGGAGACTGAGGGGTCGCTAGTTATTGATCTACTGGAACGCTTAATGGAGAAGGACGCCAAGAAGCGTATCACATTAGATCAGGTCAAGGTATGTTCAAGCATACCTATGCTTCTGTTCGACAAACCTAACGCGGTTGACATGACAGCGTCACCCTTGGATCACCTTTGACCTTGATCGACCAGACATTTGGATTCGAGAGACGACGCTCACGAAGTACCTCCAACTCAGGCCGACGCAGGCCGAGACCAGCACGGCGATGGTTCCTCTTCGCTTCCATTGGCTCCCCAAGATCGGTCGTTTGCTAACGACGACGCTCAAGAACGTCAAGCCACAGCGCTCTTTTCGTCGTCACCAGCAACAACAGGATGGGGAGAAATCGGACGTAGGCGTGCATTCGGAGCCCCACGTCGTCCATCTCTCCCGCCACCAAACCACGACGGGTAATCCTTCCCGCAGCCGTCGCGAGCACCGTCACCATCCTCATCGTACCCCTCGTTCCGACCAACAGCCTCAATCCAATCGTCAACCGAACTCGATGCGCGAGAAGCGTCGCTCTCGACAGGAGATTCTATGGAACAAGTCGACGACCGACGTTGGCTCGAAAGCTGGGACCGAGAACGCGGCCGAGGCGTGGGCGAATTGGTCTAATGCAGCCCCGTCGGGCCCCTCCAAGAGCAAGAGCACCGAAACGGGCCTGTACACTCCGCTCAGCGAGTACGCGCCCGGTCATTCCCCTGACAGCGACCGCCCGCGAAACTCTGTTGTACAGTGGATGCGGAAATGGGGCTCACAGCGACATTCTTCGTACGGTGGCTACCACTCTTCAGCTTCCTTGGCCGACCAACCTAGCCCTCCTCTCGCCTCTTCCCACCACTCGCAGTCCCATCCCTCTCATACGACGCCCCCTTCCCGCGACAGCATGGAGTTCGAAAGCGGCGTCACCTCGCGGCAAAGCAGCATGTCTATGTCGATGTCTATGTCGATGTCGATTACCACGGCCACCAGCACCTCTCCCATCACCGGCAGCATTGGCAGTCACGCTAGCGGTATGATTATCGGAGGTCGGTTGACGAAGGCCATGCGTGCGGCGTCGTGGACCGCTCCGGAGTTTGCGCGTCCATCCGAAGACATGATGTCGATATACTCGGGCGACCGGCATGAAGAACTCGATGACGAAACGCTCCTCGTTGGCGCCGGCGGCTTCGCTCATAGCCCAGTCCCCTCCGTGTCCGCGCCTGGCTCGGGCTCGGCGCTGCTCTCGACCGTGAGCAGCGCGCAGAGCATCGGACCCCCGCTGCACCGGCTCTCGCTGGACGGTATGACCTCGACGCGGATGGCGAGAGACGACACTCCCGAAGGACGCAGCCCGCGTGTCCGCCACGGCCACTCGAACTCGGTGCAGTACGCGGGGCGGACGATGAGCCCGCTCGCGCGGATGAGTAGCGGCGCGTCGCTCTCGTCTGTATCCGGCCCACCTTCCATCTCGTATGACTCGGCCGACGATTCCGACTCCGACTCCGGTGATGATGTGGGGACGACGCGCTCGCCCCGCTCCCCACGTCCGCACGCGGTGCGGTCCCCTACGGCGCGCCCGACGCAACACAGGGGGAGCATAAGCCATCCGGGCGACCGCGGACGGTTGGCGATCATCGTGAATGAAGACGTCGACCTCGACCGGAGTTCGGACAGCGGCTCGTTCAACCTGCAGCCGAGCACTAGCCAAATGTATCAGGACGAGGACGAGGAGAGCGCGGACGAGGAAGAAGTACATCTCGAGGTGCGCACACGGCGGCCTAGCGTCGGGGCCGCGATCGCGACCGGTCCTGGGGCGGTCGGGGACATCGTGACCCCACCGCGGCGCTCCGTGAGTGCGCATCAACCAGGGAACGGACGGCGGCCTATGATCTGCACATGACGGCTGCCTGCGACCAATCTTTACCCGACCATCCGAGTTGTGTATGCCTAGACGTCCCGTTTCGACACCCCACCCCACTCTTCTTTGTATCTTGTCTGTATGTGGCCTTCAGATGGCGCGCCTCCCGCGCCGACGGACTTGATTTACTGCGTAGCTCATAGAGACGGACAGTGCAGCGTTCCTGATCTCACTCATACATTCACATCCACCCATCCCGCCCATACATACACTCTCGCCTCATCCACTTTTCCATCCTTCCCTTTGCTCCCCCATACATACCTCTTCTCTCTCATGTTCTCTCTCGTCCGCCTCTCCGCTAACCTCGTCCCGCACATCAGCGCTTCAGCACCCATGAGTCACAACCCATTCCGATCTCGACGCATTTCCCCGCCTATACTATCAATAGACCACCCATTGCTCCGCTCTTGTATCAAGTACTACTTACCTCCAGGCCCTTACCTCACCACACATGCCGTTCTCGTCCTCCGTGCCCCGTACTCAGTGTTCAGCGTTCACTACTTCAGTACCGCCCTCACGCATCTCTCATGCATCCGCATCATCCGCCCGCATTGATTTGTGCTCGTGTACATAGTCTTGCTTCTCCGGCCGCCACGCCGTACCTCGTTGTTCACTTATTGCACCCCGCCGCGTCCCTGTGGCCGATTCCCGTTCCGGCACCGCCTACTTGTTCTCCATATGCGCATACATGCGGGCTCGGTTTTCTCAGAACCTCGTGTGCGCATGTGGGCGTCCTTCATGCTACACCGACTTACAAGCGCAACTGCGTCCACAGGCTCTTGACATTGCGATGAAGGATTCAGCATATGGACAACGATATACCCATGCTTGAAATCACAGTTACCGGTATTAAGTACCACTCCTGAAAACAACTTAGTACAACTGCTATCTCTGCCCCAGTTACCTAGACAAATGGCGGACTGTTGCCTATGGCAACAAAGTCGGGGTTTTCTGCAGTCGTCGTGTTCGACAAATTGCGAAACACACAGTCGGGTAAGACATGGAGGGCAAACATATACAAAGCTTGGGCACCCGCGAGAAGGCGCACAAAGAGGGAAACCATTTACGTAAGCACTGGGGCGCTCTGGAGTCTGGCCCCTGAGGCAGACGCTCTGCCACAACCACCGAGTCTTGCCTCGGTGAACACCTTATTCCCCTCCCTTACTCCGTGTACTTCTATGCTGCAAACATGGCGGCGGTACGTAGCCCACTTCTGATGCGATACGACGCGACTTACACGGCCTCACAGGCGGAAACATACGGAAGAAACCGCCAGTCGATCGCCGACCTCGAACAAGAACTCCACGACATATTCACCGACCACCCCCAATGCACCCTCAACGACGCGGAGGAGCCCGTGATCCCGGGCGACGCTCTCGTCGATGTCCTCCGCACCTTCTCGTCCAACCACAACTCCGTCGAGCTCATGGACAAGGCCGAGGAGGAACAGCTCACCGCGATCCTCTCCAGCACCCCCGGGCTCCAAGTCACCCCCCAGATCCTCCTCCAGTTCATCGCCACGAAGACCGGGGACTCCGGCGCGTTTACGTCGAGCTCGAGCTCGAATGACTCGCCCTCGGAGAGCGCCCTCGACACAGACGAGGACGAGCGCGGGCGGCAGGAGGAGAGGGACCATGAGGGTATGAACAGCCGCTCGTCGAGTCGCGACTCGACCGCGACGTACTACCGCTCGTCGTCGCGGGGCCCGAAGACCCCGCGCGACTCCGTGTTCGAGACGGGCCGGAGGCAGCGGACGACGCCGCTCGGGAAGAAGGAGACGGCGCCCTCGAGCTGGTCGCGCCGACCAGCACCCCCCAGCCGGCGCAAGAGCGATGCGAGTCAGGGCCACGGTCGCGCGATGAGCGACTCTGAGGTGCGTTTGCTGTTCTGCTTTGGCTTCCAACGCGTCGAGTGCTCTTTGCTCTGGGAGTTCGTGGTCTTGGAGGGCGGTTGTTCGTGATCTCGGGCTGCTGAAGTGCCGACGTCGTCTTCTGCGAGTGATGGCATGCAAGGGACGCATAGGCTGGTCTTCTGCGTATGCGTCTCCCCATCCAAACTCCCCAGCAGCGCATACAACATATCATGGATGCTCGCTGCGATCTTTATTTTGGCACGATCTAACTCTCGGAATCAACTTTGGCTGATCCGCGCTTCTGCTCACAGTCTATATCCTCACCTCCGCCTCATCAAACGCCCGGGCGCACGCGCGCCCCGTCAAACCCCACGAGTCCTACGTTCACCTCAGCCCAACTCTCGAATTCAATCGGCTCTCCAACATTCAGTGCGACACACTCTCGACCACACTCGCGCGCACAGTCCCAGCCACACAACACATACACTTCCTTCGACCACTCGTTTGGATATGGCTCGTCGCCGGAACGGGACACCGGCCGCACCGGACTCATGTCCCCTCCGGAGTCCGCAGACGACTCGTTCGAGGACGACCGTTCATTCGAAGACCAGATCTCGTCCCTCCAGATGCCCAAGCGCGACGATGACGATGACGATGATGAAGACGATGACGACGAGATCAACGCGCATCTCCTCGGGCTCATCATGGACCGGTCTGCGGCGTCGTCGACGGCGTCCCTGGACGTGCAGGAGCGGATGGAGGCGCTTCAGAGGTTGAACACGGACCTCGGGCGCAAGCTCTTGGAGGGTGAGCGGACACTGCAGACCCGGCTCTCTGACCACGAGACCGAGCTCGAGGAGATGCAGGGCAGGATCGAGGAGCTGAGGGCGGAGCTCAGTGCCACGAAGCGTGAGGAGAAGGAGCTTCGGTCCAAGGAGGTGCGTCGTCGTGCAACATGTGTCTGGGGTCGGTGTGTTTGACCGTCTGTGCAGCGCCAGAACGCTACACAGATCGTGGCGCTTGAGGTCGAGCTCACTAGGACACAGAAGAACCTGGAGCAGACCCGCGCGACGTTCAACGGCGTACAGAAGCAGTACTCAGAGCAGTGTGGTACGTATACATCCTCAGTTGAGCACCTACGACGAGCAACTGACTGTTTTTCAGCCGAGTCCGAGCGAATCCGCAACCAGCTGCGCCTGCGCGACCAGGACATCAAGGATCTTCAGGAAGCCGCCCACATACAGGGCGTCGAGGCGCAGAAGTGGATGCGCGAGCAAGCGACGTACGAAGAACGTATCCAGCTCCTGGAGAGTGACCTGGCGATCGCTCTCCAGGCTCAAGCGCAGCTCGACGAGCAGAAGAACGAGAATATGCTACTCAAGGAGACCATCGACCGCATGCGGTTCGATATGGACGAACTCCGCAACATGGCGCACTCGGACAAGGGCGGAGGCTCGGGCACCGCCAGTGCACACGGGAGCGTGAGCAAGTCTCTCGGCATGGAGCTCCTCAACAAGATGAAGGATGGCAAGTGGGAGTTGGAGGAAGAGGACACCGACAGCGAACCTTCAATCGAGATTGAAGGGACGCCGGAAGAGGATGACACGGAGTCTGAAGACTTTGTGCAAACGATCATCACGCGCACCAAGCGGGTAGGTGACCTCTCGACATCGGTGTGGTTCGACCACCCTGACGACGTTGGTTACGATTCGCAGAAGGTTGCCAGTCGCGCGAAGCACATCGAGACCCTCAAGATCGATGAGATGAAGGAGTACTCTGACACGGGCACTCAGCACAATCCTGCTGAGTTCACCACTTCGCTTTCCATTCAGACAGTTCCTCCACCTAGGGTCTTCGCTGCCAGCGTACAGACACAAGCCACGCTTCTCACGACCATGTCAATCCAAACGGACCCGGAACCCATACCCACCCCCCCTGTCATCATCACCGTCGAGCGTGAGATCCAGACTGAGGCTTGGCAGCCCGAACCCTTGGGCTCTCAGGCTTCAGATGAGGATGATGAGACGCTTGCGTCGTCGTCCTCTACCCTGCTACCGCCAACCCCCAAATCACAGTCAGAACACCTGCACCCACATTCCCATGACCTCCCTCCAGCCTACGATAAGGTCACCAGTGAAGACATCGCACTCCGGATCTCGGACGAAACGCTCAAGAGCTGGCACAAGGGCATCCAGTTCCCCATCGAACCGCTCGCGGGCGGAATATCGGCAGATGCCGTCGAGGACTGGAAGGCGATCAAGGAAGAGCTCGGAGTCGAGTGTGCGGCCATCGACAAGCTCATCGAGGAGTCCGCCCGCAACGGCCCGCGCCCCTCGCGAGACGGGTCGAAGGGTCGACGCAAGTCCGGCCGGTTCTACAACATCTACAACACCTACGTCTACGGCGACTCGGAAGGCAGAGGGTGGGGCCAGATTGCGATCTGTGTGGGGGCGTCGGCCGTCGTGGCGTTCCTCATGGGGCAGGCTTCCGTTCCCCAAATGGTCCCCGGCGGCGTCACCTACTATGACCGGGCCGCCTGGGCGAGCTACAACGCGATGCCGGGAGGTGGTGAGGGCATCACGGTCGACAGTACTGCGGCTGTGTGGTCGTTCCTCGGTCGTCTCGGCGGCGATGCTGCGCGTACGCTTGCCGGCTGGCCGACATAGATCTGCTCTCGGACATTCGCCAGTCCCCTTTTCTCTGCCGCCCTCTCCTGCTATAATCTGGTTCGTCTCCGTCATACCCATCATCCCCCTCTTGCCCTCGTCACGGCTGCACAACTGTGTACGGACCTCCACATCGTACTGCACCAGCTAATCCTCCTCCCTACACATGCACCCGACCACCCCCACTCCTCCATGCCCGCATGCCGCACATATGTCTATAACCCGCCGCTGCTATTTATCCGTAGAGCGACTATGCTATAATCCTCTGTCCATTCCTTGCACACACTACGCTCCTTACCGCCCCTCCCTCTCCACGCTCTCCAACTCGCCTCCTGTCCACACGCCGTCCATCGGCTTTACGTTGTACCTAAGCACCCCACCACCGCCTCTCCTCGGGACTCGTCCCATTCCGCTCCCTACGCACCCGGGCACCCATGCTTAATTCCTCCCCTTCTTGCAGAACACTTAGTTGTCCTGTCCTCCGACTCGCCTCGTTTCACTCGCCTCGATTTCCGCTCCGTAACGACTGTTGTGACAGAAACACAATGCACGAGCGCAGATCTACTATACATACCCCCCCGCGAGCCCCCACTGTACTCTAGTCACGCACATACTCTGCAAACAATCCGGATCCTGCTCTTCCTCTTCGACTCCTTCCTCCGACCCCTCCGGGTTTCCGCCGTTACAAAGCGCCTTTCGCATGTAGACTAGAAGCCTCGGTCCGGCTTCCGCGCGCGGAGCCAGCGGCTTGATACCATCCCGATTGAAAACGCTGAACTGTGTGCAGGCTGTTCGACGGACGAAGGACGCGCGGTGGGCACGGGGTCCGTGCCTTGCGTGTTGGGCTCCCACCGGGTGTCAAGGCTGGGATCGGGGCGTGGTTCTGCGGTTGTCTGACTCGACCTTGGGACGCCAGCGGGCTGAGGCAGCACCTCGCGAGTGCTGTTCCATCACACGACGGGCAACGGCTCAGCTTCGGAGCCCGGAAAGGCGTAGAAAAAGCCTGTCAAAGGTGTCATTTCCGGCAGGTATTTTTCCAGGGGAGAAAAAGGGTGGGAAAGGCGAATTTTTATGTCAAGTTTGTGTGTGTCGTGGAGTATCCTGAAAGGTGACGTTTTGGGCGAATGTTTTGGCACGACAGAATACTGTGCTCAGAACAAAGACAATAGAATTCATTGTAAAGGCAATAGAACGTGTATAGTATGTGAGTAACAAACAAGTGAGTACGAATAATAAGTAACGCGTGTTAGTGAAGTGGGTACCAAAGGTCTCTTTACCGCTCCTTTTCGGCACCCCGTAAAGCACCCGGATAAATTGCCCATTTTTGTGCCTTTTTCACACACGCACCAAAGGCGGCAGAAAAGACACCTTTGACAGGCTTTTCCTACGCGTTTTCGGGCTCCGAAGCTGGGCCGTTGCCCGTCGTGTCAGCAGTGCGACGACCAGCCGGTGGTGCCGAGTGCCAGCTGGAGCCCGACCGGGGTGGATGGGCGCCACGCTCGCCGCTGCGTGACGGTGCTAGGGCATCGTTGGCCGACTGTGATCTTGTCTTTAGTTGACAGTACGGACGCAGTCCCGAGCGCTTTGAACGCCGGGCCGGTGGAGAGGTGCAGGCAGAGAGTATGTATATCCAACCTAGGCGTAGCTGGGCGTTGTGTACGCTCTATGGCTCACAAACCGCGGCGCGGCGCGGTCCCTCGTGGTCCCCGACATCGAAGCAGGGCATCGGCACGCCAGGGGCCAGGGCGGGCCCTCGAGCCAGGAACGTTGATAATGTTGATCGGAGAGCGCCGGCGTTCCGGCCAGGCCGGACCGGTGGGTGTGATGGTTGAGTACTTGAGGACTGCGGTCGAGAATATGGGAGACTAGATCGAGTAGGGTGTCTGAGGCCGGCCGTACGGTGAGCGTCGATCCATGTCCGTGCCGAGCAGGGGTGGTCCGATCCAGCTATCGTCGGAGGTACATGCTTCACGTCTGCGCACCGGTGAGCCATCCCCACAAATGCCTCGCCGCCGCATATGCGCCTATTATATGCGCTCGCCGCTCTAAGTGCGCGGCGCGGGCTCTCCGAAGCCAGCAGAGGTGCGAACGCAGCGGGACGCACGTGTCTCCCGCGGCCCCATGCGCACAGCCTCGAGGAAGTTTATCGGAACTTGGGAGCCGCACACTTTAACCAAGGTTCGCTGAGGGCTGACCCATTGGATCGCTGATGTTTCCGCCGCCTGTGCCGGCGAGGGAGCGCCGCGGTCCGAGACGAACATCACACCCGGCCGGTGGGGAAAACGGGAGAGCTTGGGCCTAGCCCTCGGTAACTTGGATCCTTAGCGTGTGGGCACGAGGGACGGTGCAGGTCTCCGCGCTGGGCGTGCGCGATACGCACTCACCGGATGCGCGCGCGAAGACCTGCGGTGGGAGCGCACGTACGCTAGTTGGGTGGAAGCCGATGACACGGAAGAGTATGCTTCCAGAGAGAGATGCTGGTGCGCGATCTCCAAATTGCGGGCGGCGATGGTCAGCTGCACACCTCATTTGGGTCAACGGATCTCTGGCTGCCGCTCGGCCGTGCTGCGTGTTGTTGTTCCTGTGGCGCAGGGCTGCCCCCTGCGCGCCGTTCGGGCCCGATGTGGGCACTGCGTCGGGCGTGGATGGCGAGCGCGGGAGGAGGAGGTGCGAGGTTAGAGCGCGGCTACGAAAATAAAGTCTAACAGGAGAGGAGCCGGTTAGCGCGGAGTACTTAGATGATCGCTCGCTGACGCCATCGCCCGTCCGCTCAGCGACGGTGCTAATTTTGCGGCTCCCGGCGTTGTCGACACGGCCCGCAGACCACTCCCGCCGCCGTGCTCGTTCTCGAGCGATGGGACAAGCTGCGAGCGCCGTGGAACGCAGGCATCGGGCTCCGAATGCACGCAGAAGCCGGAGAGCGCTCGACCCCCGCGTGCGAGACGGCCAGAAAAGAACACCGCCACCGACGTCGGCGCGGAGGAGAGCACAATGACCTAATAAGCGTCCTTCCTGTCCGCCATCATGCTCACCCTCCCCTCCTTGCCGTCCCCCTCCCAGACCGTCCTCCCCCACCTCCGTCCTCCTGTCCTCCCCCTCCCCCGCCCAAGCCCCCTCTATGCCTGTCGCCACCACTCCCTCGGAGCGGCCTCTCCCCCCCGTCCCGCCAGAACCCCAGCCCCACCCTCGGCCCGCCCTCCACCGCAAACTCGTCCACTGCCCTCGCCCATCACCCCACTCTCTCCCTCTTCTCCACGCCGCCCTCAGACAACCGACCCTCCTCGCCTTCTTCCTGCCGTTGCTCCGGTGGCAGAGCTTCCACGCCCTCCTCAGCGCAGATCCTACTCTTCGACGCAGTCTATGGGCCCAGGAAGACTCCCGGGACGCCATTCTCGCCTACTTTGTCCCCGGATACAACCATGTACTCGGCTTCAACGACATGCAGCATCAACAGGAGATACCCCTCGATTTTCATCAGTTCTCTATCTTCAGTATGTCTCCACCTCTCTCCCATTTTGCTTTCGTTCGAACGCTCCCCAGTGCTCTCTCAAAATACGCCTTTGCACGCCTACCCAATGCTCTGCATCACTCTCTTCAATCTTCTTGCTCGCGGCGGCGACGATCCCATCCTCCGGCGCCGTTGTATGCGCCTCTCTGCCCTTGCCCTCGAGCACTCCAGGCTAGTCCTCCTCATCCAATCCCTCGCCCACGGTGCTTCGCCATCCCCTGAGCCAGAGCTCGAGGACTACGACGATATGTTGGTTCGCGGCCTGCGCGCCCCTCCGCAGCACGGCCTGCGCGAACTCGTGTTTCCGGCCCCACTCTCGGCCACCAGATCTGGATCGGACGAACCGTCGCCTGCAAATAACGCGGGCGCGCCCGCGCACCGCGTCCTCAGCAAGACTGGGACTATTCGTAACGGACGCTCCAGCATATCCTCCCAGGTTCGCGCCAAGTCCGTGGGCCCCGCCCCGACTCCGACTCTCGCAGAAGTGATCCCGCGTGGGCAGAAACAAGCCTCCTCCTCACTCTTCAGCAAATCTCGCGTTCCCCTCCCGGCGCGTTCCGAAGACCCGCGCGCCCTCAAGATGTACTCGAGCACCTGGCGACGGACCTACTCTCCAGGTAAACGCCAACCTTCGGCATACGCATTCACCGAATCGCACGAGGATAGTTGGTCCTCGCGCTCGCGCTCCTCGGTACTCGGCGAGCTGCGCGCTCCGCACCGCCGCTTCGCGTCTGTCGGCCACTCGAGCGAATCCTCGCTCTCCAGCCCCTCGTCGATCTCCCGCACAAACACCGATTCAGAACGCAGTTCACTCGTCGCCCCGCCGCGCGAGTCGAGCAGCCGCCGCGTTTCCACCATCGGCCTCGGCTCAAGCTCGGCTTCTGGCTCGAGTCGGAGCGCAAGCAATGGTGCAGTGCTCGGCTCAGGACCCCGCCATGCGAGCCCCCACGACCTATTTATTGCGACCTCGCGGGTGCGCGCGCCGGTGCTGCGGGTCTTCGTGCCGTGCACGGAGCTGGACGAGGACGCGATCAGCGCATGCGAGCGCGAACTGGCGCGTGCGGGGCTTTGGGAGCACCTCTCCGACGGGGACATCGTCTGCAACTTTGGCTACGTGCCCCCGCTCTCGTCACCGCAGTCGTCGGATGAGAGCGCGGACGCCGCGGCGGACGACAAGCAACGGCAGAAGTGGCTCATGTTCAACGGCTACTGCCTCGTCCCCTTCGTCCCACCCGCGCCGCCCCCGCTCGAAAAGTCGCTAACGCTCCCCTCGCCATTTTACTTCGCACACATCATCCCGCCGCACGTTGACCCCATGTTCATCCTGGCGCTTCCCGCGGCGACGTCTTCAATGGGCGCGGACCCGCGGGGCCGGTACTCGCGCTCGATGGACAAACCGCTCCCTGGAGAACACGACATGCAGCTCGTGAACATCACCACGCGCGTCCGGAGTTCGTCGTCGCCCGCCGGGTTCGTGATGGTCCGCAAGTACATGTGGCTCGCGCGCATCGCACGCGTGGGGCCCGAATCGGACACCGAGGCTGGCATTGCGCTCGGCCGGGGCTGGTACGGCGAATGGATCTTGGAAGCGGAGGGCACGCGTGAGGGCCGCCGTGCGCTGGAAGACGCGTTGAGCGGTGCGACGATCGGGCCTGGGCTTACACGTCGCGGTCTGTGGGAGGTCGTGAGGCAGAAGAGCGGTGGGGGGCGGTTGTGGCTCAAGTGAGTCTTTTTTCTCTCTCTCTTCGTTAGCGTTATGCACAGGCAGCGGGAACAACTGCTGATCCGGGGTTTGCGGCGGAACAGGATGCTAGTGCCGAATGTGGACGGGTACATTGACAACTTGGTTCATCCGGCGGAGCCGCCTTCGCCCGGGCAGCGCACGGGGGTGCAGCCATAACGACGTCCAACAAGTTTTTTCGTGCTTCGTGCCTTCGGGATTCTTGGTTCGCCGCAGCCCAACGGACGGTTTAGAAAATTCATGAGTTACTTCATTGCTGTCCATACTAGTCTCCACCATTCTGATCACACACGCATCCCCCATTGCACTATATCCAACATCTCCCGCGCGTACCAACGGCCTTTTTCATTGCGCTCACGACGACAATCCCTCGGTTGTAACTATTTAGCATTCTGCCTACTATCAGTCTCGTAATTCTGCTCTTCATCCCCGCCACACGCTCTGGCACGCATCTCTGCTTCACCCTGCACCCACGGACTTCCACGTACATAGCTTACAGTTCTCGTGCCAGCCCTCGCATGTTCCCAAGGCCGATGCCTTGGCGCGGCGGCTCCGTGCACCGGACCGTCTCGCACTCCCCATTTCCCCACACACCCCACACTATATCCGCCGCGCCTCCCCGACACCCGCCCGTATCCGTGCTCCCTTCTCCGGTCTTCCACTCCAGCTAATCTTCCGCGTTCACAGGGACTTTGGATGCCTTGCTCTACTGCTCTGGACATTGCCGCCTCCCGGCCTTTCCCACTCGGCTTAGCTTACACATTCTCCCTGTACTTACCCACACTGTTATCATGTATCAGCAAAACGCGGACTACATACAATACTATCGCTTCACGGCTCTCACCCTCACCCCACCCTCTTCCCGGAGCTTTTGTGCCGTGTACATCGAGCGCGCTCGATTCAGGCAGAATACTACGGGCGAAAGTGGCAACATTGCGAGAAGTGCCGCTATGAAAACGGTGGTGCGGAGCGGGTGGTGTTACATTCGTCTCAAGATGCTGCGTCGCGCTCCATGTACGTACATACATACGCCTGCGTGCTCTACTCTCCATCTAACGTGTCCCGTCCTGTCTTCGGCCAACGCAGTCCTCGTCAGATGAGCGCGGTGGTCTCGGTGCCGACGAACTGCTCGGCGGTGTAGCCGCCTTCGACGTCGGGGATGAAGCCCGCCTTGACGAGTATGCTACGAGACGGAAGTACGGAGGACCGTCAGCGGAACGAGGAAAGAAACGAAAAGACGGAAGACGAAAACGCACTCGACGGTGTCCGTGATGACCTTCCTGGGGATCTCCGCGCAGTTCGCGGGGTACCCGACCGTCTCGAGCCACGCCTGTCCGCGGCGGCGTCAGTTGTCAGTTCGCGGTCACTCGCTCTCGCTCTCGCTCTACAGGCAAGCAAGGACGGACAGAGAGAGAGCGCGCCACGGACCTTGATGTCCGCCTCGGGGTACCCGAACCTGCCCGCGATGAACGCGACGTCCGCGGCGGCGCGCGCGTCGGGCGCGTCGAACGCGCGGACGTGCGCGGAGAGCGCGGAGAGGAACGGCGCGAGCGCGGGGGCGGGGGCGCGCGTCGGGTGCGCGGCGATGAGCCAGGAGGGCCAGGGCGTCGGGACGGAGCCGATCTGCCGGCGGAAGGGCGGGTCAGGCAGGTAGAGGGAGGGAGGGTGAGAGGGAACAGGGAGAGGGTACGGACGAAGCGGCACTCGCCGGCGTCGGCGAAGGGCTTGGTCGTGAACCACTCCCACATGAACGCACTCGTCGAGCCGGCGTCGACGGAGTCGATGAGCCCCCGGATGTCGTTGTTCACTGTGCGTGTGCGGGGCGAGGCAAGGTCAGCGTCAGCGCGCAGCCAGGACGAGCGCGGCCGTTCGTCCGACCAGGACGGGACGCGCCTTGGAACTTCAGATCCGCGGTCGGCCAGCCTTGCTGCAGCGCCATAACGTACGCCATCGTCTGGCTCCCGCTGCGAGCGTGCGGGAGAGCGGGGTCAGCGTCGCGCGGGGGTGGGTGTGAGGGGACGGGGCGCGCCTGCCGTAGCGCGAGATGCCGATGGTGGTGTCCTTCAGGTCCGAGATCGAGTTGTACTTGGAGTTCGTGCCCGTGATGACGGCCCTGTGCGTACACGTTTCATTTGGTTTATCGCGGTGCGACTTCAAAAGAAAAACCGCGGAAAGCGGCGCACCAGTTGAGAGGGGTGGTGACATAGCTCCCGACGAGCTTGTAGGCCGTGGATCCCTTCGCGATCCCAGAGATCAACGGATCGGTAAGAGCGCTGCACAAAGGAGAGAATTTTCGTGGGTCAGCGCGTCCACAAAGGCTGCCGCGTCGAGGTGCGCGAGACGAACATGGCGACGTCGATCTCGTCTTTTTCGAGCCGGCCGATCAATTGACCGGTCCCGCCTGTGTGCAAGCCAGTCAGTCGCTTGATATCGAAATCGGTGCGTTTTCACAGGAACGCAACGCACTGGGGCACTCTACCAAAGTGAAGGTCTTCCCGCCGTCCGCCTCTGCGAACTGGAGAAGGGGCGACGAGAAGTGCTCGCGGACTGAGTTGGTGCGTCGGAAAAATCGGACGGGCGCAGCGCATGTCGATGATCGTTAGCTCAGCCGGACGCGCGTGCGTGCGGGGGGCTCACCGTAGCCGACACGCAAAGGCATGGCGATGGATGGTCGCTCGAACGAACACAGACGGCCGTCGCATTGGTCTTGCGAAAGCACGGGCGCTCTGACTCACGGGCCGTGACGCCGTGCCCGTGTCCTGCAGGCAGACATTACCGTCGCGCATTTTAAACAACGGCGCTCAGAACATGTGGCGACCATCTTGGCCTGTCTCCTTGAAATGAGATGGGGGCGTAGCCCTCGAGGGATTAATTGTAAGAGCCACACCACTGAAGGCCATACACACGACCATGGAATAGGGAGGATGCATTCGGTACGAGCCAACGTCTGCTAGAGTCCGTGACAAAGTAACCAACAGATTTCGTCCGGTAAATACTGTATTGTGTATGCTATGTTTCGGGGACCGAGAACGAGGAGCACGAAGAGTATGGGAAAGCACTGCGGGATATAAAAGGAACGGGGTGGAGTGGGGTGCGAGATGCGTACAAGCCATGAAGGAACGACGTGGGGTGCACATGGGGACAGGAGAGCGAGGAGACAACGAGTCCGGACGGTGGCAAGCTATGATGCAGGCGAGGCTAGGACGAGGCGGGGGGTCAAGTATGCAAGAGTGGTGGATGCGAGGACGGACGGACTACTTCGTGCTCGGCGGCCCGGACGCGTTGGGCGACTCGCCAGGCGTGCGGTTGCCCGGACCAGGAGAGCCGCGCGAGGACATTGGGCGGGCGGCGTCCATCTGGGGCTTCACGCCCTCGACGCCGGGGGAGAAACGCGGGTCGAACTGGGAGACCCCGGTGGGCTGCATGCCCATCTGGCCACCCATCATCGGGTTCATGCCCATGCCGCCCATACCCATGCCGCCCATGCCACCCATCTGGCCTCCCATGCCTCCCATGCTGCCCATACCAGTGCCCATGGGGCTCATGCCGCCCATCTGGTTCATCATGGGCATGCCCATCATCGACATCCGCGGGTCGAAGCCCATGCCCATCGAGCCCCCGGTCATCATCGGGTTCATCTGGCCCACCGGAGGCGCGTTCGGGTTGTCGCCGACCTGGGAGCCCGCGGTGGAGAAGGCGACCATTGCCTGCTGGTATGCCTGCGCGGCGGCTTGCTGGGCGGCGAACATCTGCTGTGGGCTCGCGAATCCAGGCATCATCCCGGGGTAGCCCCAGCCGCCCGTCATCATCGGGTTCATGCCCATCATCATCGGGTTGCCCATCATCGGGTTGAAGCCCATCATGCCCCCGCCGCCGTACATCGAGCCGCCCTGCTGCATCTGCTCGAGCTGCTGCCGCTGGAGGTCGTCGAGCTTGCGCTGTCGCTCCTCCGCGGACCGCTTCTCGCGCTCGCGCTCGGTCAGCGCCGCCCCGAGCCCGCCGTCCCGCTTCCGCTCGCGCTCGTGTGCAGTGACGGCCCCGAGCAGGCCCGTCTGAGGCGGTGGAGGCTTCGTGGGCACGTTGATGAGCGACGCTCCGGATTCGCGCGCGACCTCCTCCTGCTTCTTCGCCGACCGGTCCTCCCTGTCTTGCATCCCCGCCGAGAGCAGGCCGTGCGGGGTGAACGCCTTCGTCATCGTCGCCGCGGGGGCCTCCATCTGGATGAACGTGTCGCGCGTGTTCATCGGTTGCTCTCCACGGTTGGCGTCGAGCACTTGGCTCCAGATCGGACGCGCGCCTGCCTGTTGCATTTGTTGTTGTTGCGGCGCTTGCGAGGGGAATTGCGACTGTGGGCGCATACCCTGGCCGAACTGAGGTGACGGGCCGCGGCTGCCAGCTTCTCCAGGGTACATCGTCCTCCGACCGCTCTCCGCGTAGCTGTCTGACACGAACCGACGGGGCTGGGGTTGTGCGCCCAGGTAGTCCTCCGGGGCTGTGTTTCGGGCATAATTAGCTTGCGGCACACGTGGGACACGCGAGAATGACACGAGTACTCACGCTGCTGGCCCGCGGGGAGCTGGGGCAGGTCGCGGGGACGACGGGGTGGGGGGTAGCCCGAGGGCATGGGGGCGTTGACGTCCGTCGCGGAACGTGCGGGTGAGACTTGGCCATAGGGTGTGGGGGAGACTTGACCGTAGGGTGCGGGGGAGATTTGGCCGTAGGGGGATCGCTGGCCAGGGTTGTGATTGAGGTCACTCACACTGGCAGACATCCGCAGCGGGGGCTCGGCGTCCGAGTCTACCTCCTCGTCATCCTCCTCTTCGTCCTCCTCCTCGTCCTCCTCCTCGCTGCTCTCGCCCCATGCGCGCGCGTCCTTCGCCCGTGCCCGGCCCTTCCCGTTCGCCTTGCCTGGGCGGTGCGCCGCTGCCTGGGTCGCGGCCTGCTGGGCTTGCGACTTGGCCTTGCGCTCGGCTGCGAGCCGCGTGGGCGCGAAGGAAGATCTAGGCTGCTCAGACGCACGTGTGCCCGAGGGGCTTGCTGGCGTCTTCACGACCTCGGGCAGGGGCGGCGACGAGGCCGACGGCGGTGGCGAATTGGCCATCATCGAAGGAGACTGTGGGGCGGGCGGGGGCGCAGGACGATCGTCCTGCTCGAGGAAGGAAAGGGCAGCAAGCGCATCGGCGTTGGGGTCGTCGAAGCCAGCGTGCTCGGGGGCGGCAGCCATTGGGGAGGTCTTGGGCGATAGGGGGCGATCGTCCGCGTCGTCGTCTTCGTCGTCGGTCCTGGTCGTGGCTACAGAGTCGGTGGGAGTCGAGTCGACGGAGGGGGTCTGGATGAAGGCTGACAGCCGCGTCGCGGGCGCTGCACGTGCGCCGGTGGGCCGGTTACGTAATAGACTGCCGGGCCTGGGCGCGGGTGCCTTCTCCTGATTGGACAGCTGAGGCTGCGGGTGCTTCGCAGGAACGAGGGGAGCAACGGGGTGCGTGCTCGAAGTTGCGGACGACAGCGGGCTCGCTCGTTTGTTTCGGAGAGGACTCATCGCCGGAGGCGATGGCGTGTAAGGCGGCTCGGACTCTGAATCCGACACAGATTCGTCCTCATCGTCCTTGGGGGCGGTGGGGGACCCTGGCGGCGCGACGGAACGCCTTCTGGCTGCATATGCTGCATGTAGAAAAGCGCCGCGCCGGCATCGCCCAGGATTTCGTCGGTTAGACTGATCTTCTTCTGATGTCCGGGTGCGGGCGGTTGAGTCTGCGAAAGCGTGGGAGTGGTCGGAGAATACAACGGCGCTGGGGGTGGAGAAGATTCGGACGTATAAGATGGGTGAGACATGGGAGTAGGGATGGTGTTCATGGGGCTGGATATCGAGGCTTGAGAGATAGAGCGATCGGGGACCATTCGAGCAAACGACTGAGAAGGGACGATCGGCGGAGAGGGTAGAGCCGGGGAGGTCGTGGAAGGAGATGTCGCGCGGAATGAGGATGTTGTTGGGGATGGTGAAGTCGTACCACTAGATAAAGCGACCGCGGCGGCGGCATCAGCAGCAGCTGCTGCTGCGAAGCGTGGCGAAGTCGACGGGGTCGTGGTGCGAGGCTCCGAGGACATCTGGCGTTTGTCATACGGGGATGGTAGATGGGGAGACCCGGGCTGGCTGGGAGATCGCGAAGGTGAAGTGGCTTGAATGGGTCCTGAATGACCAAGCTTGGAGTCAGGTCTCGAGCCGGGCCTCGAACTGAAAGCTTGGCCGTATGAGTCGAAACTCGCTCTACCGGACTGCATGTTCTGGTCGGGTGAAGGACTGGTATTGACGGGACTGGAGACGAGAGGCTGAGGTAGAATGGACACACTCGACTCCTCTGGAATCATCGATGTGTGCGGCGGGAAACTGGCCGAACCGGATTGTGGCTTGTTGAAAATACCTCTTTCGGATGACGATGACCGTCCTTCCATGGGCGTGCTTCGCTCGGTGATTGGTGACAGGGAACGGGGGTCGGCATTGGAGGGAGAGCTGGTAGCGATAGGGCTGGAATCGAAGCTCAGAGGAGGAAGTTGCATAGACCCGCTACCGCTCGTCGCAGGTTGGCTCTGTGGTAGGGGAGGGGACTGGGAAGGAGTCTCTTCGATATCTGGAAGGGGCGGCAAAGTCGGAGGACCTTGAGCGATGACAGACCCATTCTGGGGTCCCGTAGGCCCTTCTGGACCCACTCCGTTCATGCGGTCTAGCAGAATATGTTGCAGCTGTGAACGGGCCGCCGAAGTACTATCGTTCCGAGGATCCAATGTCTCCGCAAATTCACGATCCAAGAACAGTAGCTGAATCGATGAACGTCAGTCACGAAGAACAAAAAAGTGCGTAAATAACGTACATCCCGGTTGGGACCAATAGGGTAAGCGAACATCATCGACTGAGCATCGCGAGGGTCCCAGGAGTACATCCTCGGTCGGCCATATAGACCAAACGCGTCATGGAGTGCTGGAAGGGAACTCAGTTACTGTGAAGGCTCCCAATTCACGACTCGTCCTCACCAATGATCCACCTGAGCATCTCTGAAGCACGCATTCCTGCTCCTTCCAATTCCGGCATGATCAAGAGCCACGCTTCGTGCATCTTGTGGACTCCAGCCATTTCCTCATCGCCAAACTGGCCTTCCAACTTTATCAGCGTGCTTCGGCTAATGAGCTCGGGGCGTTCTGGATACACCGCGAAGGCCTGAGTCACAGAGCGCATTGTCAACAACGCCTTCTTCTTGTCCTTGGGTTTTGGCCCAGCGAAAAGGCGAATCAACGGCCGAGAGGGCGTGCTAGGCGGAGGTACCGCCTTCTCCCGCGAGAACAGTGCGGACATGCGGCGTTTGCGAGGCTCGTTGGGCGACTCGGCGCGTCCATTTGTTGAAGAGGATATTGAGTTGTGCTCGGAGTGTCCCATGTGCGTCCCCGTGGAGATGACCATCCAGAGTTGCTTCCAATCCGTCTGACCGGCGATCCGGATCCGTACCCAACCTTCCAAGTGACCATTCGTGAGCGGACTGGGTGCACTGCGGCCTGTGGACGCCGCGGTGAGTGTCTCAAAAGATAGAGAAGCGGAGAAGCGGCTTACCGTCGTTGAGTGTGATGCGGATCAAGTGTGCGGTGTAAATCTCCTCCAGGCGCGACTTCTCCCAGGCGGCGAGACGTATAGCGGCGGTCCACTGTATCAAGGCTTCCGCTGATGGGCACGCGAACAGATACATGTTCGATCCCGCCGTGTTAAGTGTCAGGACGTTAGTCCACCGTTTTGGGGGCTGTCCGGGGACGTTGGATGGCGCTTGAACGGATCCTAAGACGCGAACGAACTACAGAGTCGAGATAAGTCAGTTTCCTGCCTTCAAATGTGCAGAGGAACGGCTGCCATCGGTTGATTTGAAAAAGGGCCAGCCAGTAAGCCGAATACACCAGCCCTCGTAGAGGGCTGGTGCTCCCGACTTTCGTTTCAACGGCGGCACCCATGGTGACCAGAGCACTCACCGCATCCGTGACATTGATGTACGACGGCGGAGCCTGCCTTCCTTCCTTCTCGGCCGCCTGCACCTCCGTCATGTCCCACACGCTCAACGTGGTGCCGTTAAGCTGTGCCCAAACCTCCGTCCAACCGTCGTCCTTCGCCGGTTTCTGGCTGTCGGGCTGCCGCTCGAAACGTCGCGTGAGAGGGCCCGAGAAATAGATCTTGTGTGAGTGCGCAAGGGTGAGCTGCACGACCGACCGGATCTCGGGGTGCAACACTTGCGCGGGGGCCGCGGGCGGTTGAGGTTCTGCACCGGGCTTGACCATGGGTGGTTGCTGCTGGGGGTGCGGAGGAGGGGGCTGTTGTTGGGGTGTTTGCCCGGACATCTGCGCCTGCTGAGGAGGTGGGTGGGGAGGGATAATCTGCTGTTGCTGCTGCGGGGGTGGAGGCTGCTGTCGCTGCATCAGTGACTGGGAAGGCTGTCCTTGCTGAGCCATGGGCTGCAGAGGCGGTGGAGGAGATTGGTGGATGGAGGGGCGCGGCTTGACGAGCCTAGGAGCATTGTGCTGCATGTCCGAGCCGACCATAGACATGCGCTGCTGGGAAGGTTGTTGTTGATGCAAGGATGTGGGCCCTGGCCGCTGGGGATGGGCGGTCTGTAGCATCTCGTCGGGCGTAGAGGACTTGCGGGAGAAGAAGGAAGTGAAGGAGGGTTTGGAGCGATGCTGGGGTCTGCTCGAAGACTCATTTGGGGAAGGGTGGTGATCATTGCTGAGAGACTGCCGGGACGGTGCCGGACGGTTGGCGAAAGAATCAGGAGGAGGCGGAGAGGCCTGCGGCGCGTGGGATGGGGGAGAACTGCCAAAGGAATGCATGCGCTCATTCTCTTGACGCCACTGCTGGAGACGGGCGGGTGACACGAAGCCGCTGTTGAGGTCGTCCCATCGGGGGCTCGTTGAAGGTCTTGGGGGCGCGGTGGCCATGTCTGGCGTAGGAGCGGAAGGAGGTGAAAGTGAGAGCGGGAGAGGGCGCGTCTGGCCGCAGCGGTGGATCGGCCACTGCCTGGCTGCAATCGGTCGCCTCGCCCATGCTCTGACGTCGCCCTGTTCGCAGCACGTGCGATCCGACGCGCGAACTCACACTCCCCCGCGCCCCGCCGCACAGCCCCTCCGACAGACCCTCCGACATGAGATTCCGCTGATGGATATCACAATGGACAGTACGCGGCATTTTTTGCACATTCGCACCCACCAGCACCCGTCGACCGGTCTCGACTCTCGACCCCAGCTAGCCATCGTGGCGCGACAACATGCCCTAGGCTGAAAGCTGAACATTTTTGAAACAGTGACCCCTCGCCTTGTCAGAATGTTCATCCATCCTCTCATCGTTGCCACATTGCGCCCACCTTTCCCTTTCCACACTCACAGGGGATATGTGCAGCATGAGTGACTGGCATCTCAAACAGCATTTGCTTCAAACAGGATTGTTCCAGGCCACCAGAGTCAACACGACATTGGACAAACACAATCGGCCCAACCTTGCTGTACATGTCCAAGGATCAGATAACCAAGAAGAATAGAAGAATGGATCTCGACGTCGATGTCTAATCTCGTCACAGCACGGTAAACTGCGCAATATATCCTTTTCGCTGCGCTGCTCTTTTCCTTGTCTGCGCTTTCATAAAATGTCCCCGTAAACGCCAAACGTATGGTAGTATATGAAACCGGCGCATACAGAGTGCTTAAGACTTCAATCGCGCGGCACGCAAGGCTTCGTTGCTAATACATCGTCACTTTGCCCGAGATTGATCCATATCATCGCTGGAGAAGGCTACAGTTTCGCAGGAGTATCCGCGACTTGAACGACACTGAAGGAGAGGTCAACGGAGTCGAAACCAGAGGCCAAAGTCCCACATACAGTTTTCCGGTGTTGCCTCCGTTGAAGAGCAAGTTCAGCGCTTCCGGCGCGTTCTGTAGACCCTTTACCACGTGGAAGCGACGTTTGAGACTGCCATCCCTCAACCACGTTGCGATATCCTTCTGAGCCTCCGGATAACGGGACGCATAATCGAACCTGCGACACACATCAGTTCAGGACCCGCGATCGGCCGCCAACAGCACTTACACCAGGAAACCTTCAATCTTTGCCCGTTGGGCAATGAGAGTCATGTAGCCGGTGAGCCCACTAGGCTTGGCCTTGTCTGCAGTCATCCATAAGTTATAAATCACCCAGAGAATATCATCATAACATACTGTAATCGGAGATTGCTCCTGCCGTCCATCGTCCTCATATCAGTTTAGGTCTGCCCCACTGTGAACAACACAACATACCGCAAAGGACAATCCGGGCCCTTAGGTTCAACCTCGAAAGCATGAAGTCGAGGAGCTCCCCGCCGACGTTGTCGAAATAGACATCCAAAAAGCCAACCGTCTTTTTGAAGTCGGCATGGAATGTGGGGCTCTTGTAATTGAAGGCCTTGTCGACGCCGAGATCATTCTCAAGCCAGTCGCACTTGGCCTGGGAGCCGGCGATTGCGTAGACTTTTGCGCCTCTCTTCTTGCCGAATTGGCAGACCATGGAACCAGTCGCACCCGCTGCACCGGACACGACGAGCTTCTCACCAGCCTTGACTTTGCCGACATCGAGAAGACCCTGCGCACATACAATGAGATGACGTCATGTGATCATGGATTGCCTCGCACGAAGTACGCGGTCATGCCTGCCAGAGAAGTTAGCAACCCTAAGAGCCTGACTAGAGTAATTACTTACCCGTGCCGCCCATCGGCCCAAGGAAGTCAAGCACATCAACGCCAGGGGGAGCACTTGTAGACGGATCAGACTGCGCCGCTGCGCCCGTTTTCAGAACGCACACTTACTTGATTTTCGAGGCGATTTTGTCGGGGAAGACACCGTATTCTGCCCAACCTAGCGACCAGTGCGTCGTCAGTCCTCTCCACAACCGACCGATACATACAAGAATGCGGGACACGTACCGAATGGTCCGTCCACAATGTCGCCCTTCGTGAACTTGCTCCCCGGCCCGGCCTCCACGACTTCTGCTACAGCCTGCCCTCGCATGACCTCTCCGATCCCGACCGGGGGCATATAGCTACGCTGGTCGCGGAGCCAGCCGCGCATTGCTGGGTCCAGCGAGAGGTAGTGCAGCTTCACGAGGACCTCGCCTTGGCCTGGCTTGAGCGAGGCGAGGGGCACGGTCTTGCGCGCAAAAGTGGTGGGGAGAATGTGCTCTTTGGGCCGCTCCGCGAGCGTGATCTGGGTGAAGGTGGGAGCCATGTTGGTCGTACGTGTGTGCAGAAAATGCGGGGAAAGAGGCCGCACGCGACTGGCCGGTAACGCGTCGTTGTCAGCGACCCCAACATGATATACGTTCACGAAGCGCGCCACGATCGGCGGGTCGGGAACTCGACTGCCGGGCAGGCTACATACAGTAAGTTCCAGGATCCGCGTCAATGCATAGCGCGATCACCGCCCCAGTGTTGAGACATGCGAGCGCTCGCGGACCAAACCACGGACATCTCGGCTGTTTCTACCTCGCTGGTCGTCGGATTGGATCCGTATGTTGGGACTGCTACGATAAAATACTGTGCAAGGTTTAAAAGCAAATGAGTATGTATTGCGACCCCAGCGGGCAAACCGGTTGGGATATAGGGGACATCAACTCCGCCCGGCTACCAGTGGCCTACTAAAGTACTACCCACACCATGTTTTCAAATGTCATCCCACAGATGTCGTCTTTCGGTGGAACGACTACGTGGATCGATGTTTCACTCCCCAGATCAATTCCAGTTGCGGCGTGCTTTTAAGGATAAGTCAGAGAAAAACGAGAAAACTCCGTTCTCGCCCAATATTGGTTAACTATATACACCGCAAGGATTGATGCCATTACACACTGAGTGCGGTCGTTATCAAGCTTTTAAGCTTGCAATGATATCCTAACCCAGGCAGCAAGAACCCGAGGGTCGTTGAACCGCAGCCACTACTCACACCAAGTTGTCCTGGACTTCTGTCCAAGTTGGTTATTTTTTGGCCCGTCGTCAAGCGGTAGTCTGACATTCACGGCCACACGCCACTGGATCCCGTAGATATCGTCCCGCATGATTCTCTCACTTTTTGTGTACAGTATGAGTGAGATCTTGAGACTCTAGAGGTGTCCTTGAAGGTGACGCGTCTCACGTGATGTGACGCGTCTAAGTGCTAGCATGTGAATTGAGCCGGATCAGAGCACCCACCGCGTCGAGCTTGCTTTCCCCGTTCTCCTTCAATTGGGGTAGACACTAGCATATATACCCCTACCGGCAGACCAAAACCATCCTCTTCCTCGCACCTCCTGAAGTCTGCGCCATGGGCCGCCCCACCTCTTCCACGCTCCCCGAAAGCGCACCTCAGGACAGTTTGACTGTTCGTGACAACCGCACAGGCAAGGTCTATACCGTACCGTGAGCATACACCTATTCTTGCGCAGATCGCGGAACCCAACATTGCTCAGGATTACGGACAATGCTATCTCTGCCACCTCTTTCAAGTCAATGGTCGCACCTTCCAAGGCTGGTGAGAGGGAGGAGAACGAGACGGAGAAGGGCCTCCGTGTACAGGACAAGGGTTTCCTCAACACTGCGGTCATCCGGAGTGAGATCACATACATTGACGGCGATGCTGGTGGTACGTGCTTGAACTCTGGCAGTCTCGGAATCCCGTGTTGACGTTCTTGGCTGGGCAGTTCTCCGCTATAGGTATACCCGCTTCTGACCTGCCGAACGCAACATTCTAATTAAAATCAGAGGCTACCCTATCGAGCAGCTCGCATTGAAGTCTTCCCATCTTGAGACAGCATATCTGCTCATCTACGGCAATCTGCCCACACGCGAGCAGTTCAAGTTCTTCGAGAGCGAAGTCCTCCGCCACTCTGTCATGCACTCGGATGCGGAAGGCTTCTTCAGATCCTTCCGGTGAGTTTACAGCTTTTATGCCGCGAACCCCATTTGAACAATACGTGTATTCCAGCTATGATGCTCACCCCATGAGTATGCTCACGAGCGCGTTCGCCATGCTCGGCTCTTACTATCCCGAAGCCAACCCATCGCTGCGAGGTGAATGATCCTAGTTCGCGGCGGACATATGCACTGCTGACGACGCTGTAGGGCAACGCCTGTATACGCAGGGCGACGCGTCTTCGCTGGCCAACATGGACAGGCAGATTTACCGTCTCATCGGCAAGGCAACTACACTTGCCGCGTCAGCTGCCCCGTTATTCCTTCGTTTTCGTGTTTGTCGCTGATTTCATCTCAGGATGGCGTATCGTGTACGTCAAGGACGTAACTTCGTCACGTCTCCGACGGGGTTGAGCTACACAGGCTCGTGAGTAGCATTTACGCTGACTTGTCGCATTGCTGACGCCCCACAGCTTCATGTACCAGATGGACCATTTAGGAGAAGAGAATTACGTCCCTAACCCTGTTCTCGAGAAAGCGCTGGATGTGCTCTTCTTGATTCACGCGGACCACGAGTTGAACGCGTCTTGCACGACGGTCCTGCAGACTGGCAGTTCGCTCGTCGACCCTTACTCTGCAATCGCGTAAGATTCTGTGTGATTGCGACGCTGATTCCAATGCTGATACCTCTTTGCAGAGCGGGATGCGCTTCACTATAGTGGGTCTATACTGGATCCTTTTCACCCGTGCCATTCATACCTAAATCATTCGTCTACAGCGGGCCTCTACACGGTAATGTCTGTGATCGCTCATTTAACATACAAAGCTGACGCGTATCTTGCAAGGTGGCGCCAACGAGGCCGTAATCCGCATGCTCATCTCCATAGGAAGGTATGTGATCTCGAACCACCGCACTGAATCAGCCCGCCTGAATCTTGTTACAACTGTCAGTCCGAAGAACGTTCCTGCGTTCATTGAAGCAGTCAAGAGGCGCGAGAAGACTTTATCTGGATTCGGCCACCGGTGCGTCATGTCGGAAAACCAGTCATACTGCGTGTAGCTAACATGGGCTTGGGATCAGTGTTTACAAGACCGTGAGTTCCACAGTTCTCCTTGATATCAACAACAATTGAACCTACTGTTTTCAGTCAGACCCGCGCTCTTTTATCGTCCGGAAAACCGCCGACGAAGTCTTCAAAGTGTGAGTTGGTCTTGATGTCAAACGAAAACCTCGGCCAAATGTTCTATTTTCCAGCACCGGCAAGGATGAACTCTTGGAGACCGCAATGGCTCTCCATGACGCCGCGATGAAAGATGAATACTTCATCAAACGCAAACTTGCCCCAAACGTGGACTTCTGGTGCGTGATTGATTGCAATATTTGTTATCTCGTCCAATGAACACGTTTTCTGCAGGAGGTGAGTCGTTCGAGCACCGGAGGAACGTGTATTGAGCGTCAACAATGTCCGACAGCGGACTCATCTACCGTGCGATGGGTGAGTTTTTCGCGTGTAATCAGACCGGGGGTGGGTTCTGAAAGCGCCGTTTCCGCGCTCCGCAGGCTTCCCTATGGACTTTTTCCCGGTGCTCTTCGTGGTTCCGCGCGTCGTCGGATGGCTTGCACATTGGCGCCAGATGATGCTGCAGGAAGGTGGCGTGAAGATCTGGCGTCCCAGACAGGTCTGTGCCTCCTTCATGTGCCTCTTGTTACGGTTCCTGACGAGCTCGATTGACGGGCGATCGGTATTCGCCATATGCGGCGGCTACCGCGCGGCTGATTTCGTGCGCCGAAATCCGATGTGTGCCATGCGCGCCTCATCAGGTGTACGTTGGCGCGGCGAAACGGAACTACGTTGCCGTTGATGAGCGGACCGAGGTGGCGGGGCTGAGGGAGACGCCGTCGCAGGTAGAACACGGAGGGTGAGTGCGCGCCGACACGCGTGATGGTCGTGGTCGACTGACGATGGCACGCAGCATAACGAAGCGGACGATGCTGGCCACGTTCAAGGGGAAGAGCAAGCTGTAGCAAGTCGCAGAGCTGCTGGGGGCGAGGGCCTGGTGTGTTGGTAGCCACGTAGCTATATTCGCAGTGCAACCGTCGACGTCAATCTTGGAAATGCGACGGGCCATCAATATGCTTGGCGGCGAGGCGGCCGCGAGTCAGAGTCGTGCCCGGCGGGGAGAGTGTTGTGCGGCCGGATCAGACCGTCGTGTGCCGTGCGTGTTTGGCATTGTTTGGCCGTTACCAGGCTCCCGGTGGCCTTCGCCGCGTTGCTTTTCTTCTCACTTTCCACCGCTTCCTCATCCTTGTCCGCCCCGCACCCCCCGCGTCCCGCCCCCCTCTTAACCCCTGAGCCTCCCCGCTCCACTCTTTGCACGTCGATCAACGATGTACTCCACTCTCCTTTCCGTCGCTCTCTTCTCCACCCTCGCCATCAGGGGAGCTCTTGCCGATTTCAACGTCGACACCCCTACCGTTGTTGCAGTACGCACCCACCCTCGGTCGCCAGGTAGCCGACTCACTCACGCACCGCGCCCCCCAGTGCCAGGATGTCCAGCTCAAGTGGGACTCTGACGGCTCCAAGTCGTACGACGTCGCCATCGTGCCCGCCGACGAGCCCTGCGGCACCGTTCTGTGCGTACCTCCAGCCGGGCTTGTCCAAGGCTCGATTCTCATGGCGTTTATACTGCAGTGTGGATCTCGGTGACCACACCATAAACCACATCACCTGGAAGAACGTTACTCTCAAGCCCGACACCACCGTCATGATCTCTGTCCTTTCCGACAACGATGAGGGCTGGAGTGGCCACGTACGTAGCCCAGAAACCCGGCCACACTAGTGTCCTCATGCGATTGTCCCACCTGCGCTCTAGGTCACCGTCAAAGCGGGCAATGACACTTCGTGCCTTGGTACCACCGTCGCGTCCTCCGCCGCGGCTGTGTCTACCCAGAAGACTACGTGAGTTATTCTTGCTCCTGATCTTGCAGCACATTGATGTTGACCGTATCACTGCTCCATCAGCCTCGTCGCGAATGCTGCCAGCGCTGTCACCTCCGCTTCCTCTGCTCCCTCGGCACCCAAGACGTCGGATGGTGCAGAGGCCGTCGGCGCTGCCGCCGCTGGTCTCGGCAACGGCGCCATGTCGGTTGGCTTCTCGATGGGCGCGGTTGCGCTCAGCGCGTTCGCCGGTATCGCCGCCTTGGCCTTCTAAACAGCCCTTCCCCGCGCTGGTCAGCGCCATATACCCCTCGGTGACTCGGTTTCTTATTGATCTAGGGAGGAAACGCCATGTACAGCTACTAGTCTAGTCCCGTCCACGGCGCCGGATCCCCCCTTTCGACAGAACGGAGGCCCGCTGGAGGCAGGGCTTCTGCGGGCATTCATCTTGCAAGCCTCGGTGGAATGTTGTTCTTGATATTAAACACGCCCCACGCCCTCCCCCCACGCCCTCCATAACGTTGTTGCACGACTCCTGGTCACGACGGCTGCGCGTGCGTGCGTGCAAGCGGGTCGCGTTCGATAGAGTGGTGATATCTAGTTCTCGGGTGTACACCTCCATCATCTGCAAACAATGATTATTTCTATGTATCCGGCTCCCTCTTTCCCCTCTGCTGCTGCGTGTGCTCCGACCTGTGTGGAACACGGAGGAGTCAAGGAGAAGCGTGTGCGAGAGACATGGTGATGTCGACCTTGGTGGCTCTGCGCGTCACGCAGCATCTGTTCGGTTTCTCTTGTTCCTTATGGTTGCAACGGTTACCATTAATTGGCTTCGGATCCAACAACACAGATGAGATGACATATGTAGTAGCGATGCGAACTGCCGAGGTAAATCACCTGTGTTTCGTCAGTAGAGGTGACTAGTGACCAGACCAGATCACCCAGCCACCGGTGATTCCAGGGACGACATCAAAGAGTTGGATGGGCGTGATGGGCAAGACGGCGACGTCGCACCCCAATGAGTGCCATCAATATTGTCTCGGCGCAGGCAAAATATTATTGTACAATGGTCCATACAGTACGTAGGCGGATATATGTAAACATAGAAGAGTCGGGGCACAAACAAACGGCGCGAACAGAAGGTGTGACAACAAGCTCACGCCAGCTTTCACGACCTCGAAGACATCTTTTTCGTGAGGCTCTTGAGTCGCTCGGCGTTCTGCTTCCGGCGCTGGGTGTCAACCTCGACTGATGCGTTCGTCTTGGCGAACCCGGCGGACGAGCGCGGCGCGACGGTGTAGCTGCCGAGCTCGCGCTGGGGGATCATGACCGCGTTCTTGCGGACCCGGTTCTTGTCGCTCTCCCGCGCGCGGGCGAGGATCGCGTTGAGGCGCTCCGGGCCACGCCCGCCAGGCCCGGTGCCGTCGTCGAGCTGGGCGGTGGGGACCACGCGGTCGCGGTACGAGGCGGAGCGCTTGATGATGGGGCGGGACCAGGTGGCGACGAGGTCGTTGGCGGCGCGTTGGATGTCGGGCGTGACGCGCTTGCACTTGGTGTAGAAGAGGACGATGCGGCCGACACGGGACTCCTTGAGCACGGCAGTGTCGATGTAGTCCATCTTCTTGAGCACGGCGAAGAACTCGCGCTGGATGTCGAGCGCAGGGAGGGACTTGTCGGGCAGCGGCTCGAGCCACCGGCGGACGCCCTCGAGGAGGTTGTTGTCTTGGATTGATTGGGAAAGGGATGATCTGGTGTGGGTGCATGTTCAGCCTCGCCTCACGGGAGAGCTGGTAATGACGACTTACTTTCGCAGGATTTCCATGACCTGCGGAAGCAGGCGAAGCTTGGACACAGCAGGCAGCTTCTCCCTGTTTGCCTGCTCATCGTCCGCTGCCGCCGCCATCATGGACTCCTTCAGACGGGACACTTCTTCGTCCGCGAACCGGTCGAGCACGTCCTCATCGTCCTTGCGCCGCCTGCGAGCCCGGGCACTCTTCCACGGCCGGAGAATCTCCTCAATCTTCATGTCCAGCTTCATCTTCTTCACTGCGACATGATCAGGTACGCCCAACAAGAGTCACAACGCACCACGTACCGACTTCGGGTGGGTACTGGGACCAGTCAATATCCTCGGCCGGGACTTTCTTCTTCGTCGACGCCCGCTTCCTCTTGCGTTGGGTTGTCCGACCCTCCTCCTCCTCGTCGTTCCGCCGCCCCTTTGCACGCCGTTTTGTTGGGGCGCGTTTCTTTTGCGCCTTATACTCGTCTGCGGAGTCTCCGGAAGAGTCCTCCGGCGGCGCGTGGGTCGGTGCGACATCTGAGAGCAACTATGAGCGACACTACTGGATGGATATGCAGCAGGAAACGCACCGTCTTCGTCCGAAGACAAGTCCGAATCAGAGTGACCGAAGATGGCGGCGGCCAACTCATCTTCTTCAGGCATATTGGGCTATGCAGATGTTTCACGGGCTATAGTGCGCCACCGAGGCAGGCGAGGTGGAGGTTGAGTGGAACGTCGAGGGCGACACGCGCCTAACGCTACTTACCGGCGTGTAAACAAGTGGAGCGTGACCAATTCGCGCGCGACGCGTCCAAGGAGGCGCGCGCGAGCACGTCTTGAAGCTTGACGGTCGCCGGCCACGAACTGACTCGGACTCTCACATGCTCTTGGCTGCTTCTATACCCTGCTCGTCCCCGCGGCTCTGCTGGCAGGCTAAAGAGACTCGATCATGGGTGTGAAATCGTTGTGGCAACTTCTGGACCCCGTGGGGCGGCCCGTGCTGTATGTTTCTCTTGTTATGTCTCCCACACAGCCATGTTAAGCAGTGCCGTGTCGCAGGCTCGAGACGATAGAGGGGAAGTCCATGGCCATCGACTCCAGCATCTGGATATACCAGTTCCAGGCCACCATGCGAGACAAAGAAGGCCACGGGCTCGTGAACGCGCATGTAGTCGGCTTCCTGCGGCGTATCACCAAACTGCTGTTCTACGGGATCAAGCCCGTCTTCGTCTTTGATGGTGGGGCTCCTGCTCTGAAGATGGCAACTATTGTGAGTTCGCTTCCATCCTCAGGCGGCGGACGGATGTGATATCGTTGCGAAAAAGGCGGAGCGCAAGAATAAGAAGATTGGAGCGGCCGCGAGCCATGCCAAAGTCGCCGAACGTTTGTTGGCGGCGCAGATGCGCCGGGAGGCGTTGGACCACGCATTCGCCAATAGGTGTGTCCTTGTCCCGCTTGTGGGAGCGTCACTCATCGCCGCTCAGCACCGATGCGAACGGGAAGAAGAGGCCACCACCAGGTCGAATCGACGACAACACAGTCTATTTGGAGGATATCACTGGCGCTGCGCCCACTACCCCGGCCAAACCTGCCAACCCTGACACTTCGCGGCCTACGCCGTTGTCCTCTGGCAAGAAGTCTAAATGGCGCGATCACGATCCATACAGGCTCCCAGAGGTCAACATGGATGCCGCTGTAGCGAAGGCCACCGCCGGCGTCGCGCCTGATCCCCGGCTTGCCACAGAGGATGAGCTGCGCACTTTCATTGAGGAAATGCGGCCGGAGGATTTTGATGTCAACTCTGAAGCATTTCGTGAACTCCCTACGGAGCTGCAATACGAGATTATTGGTGATCTCCGCCTGAAGTCCAGACAAACCTCGTACAAGCGTCTTCAAAGCATGCTCAAGGTATCAAAAACGCCCCTTGACTTCTCAAAAGAGCAGATCAAGAACCTAAAGCAGCGGAACGCTCTGACGCAACAGCTCCTTGTGACGACGGACGGCATTGGTAAAGCGCACATCACTATTCCAGTTAGGATTGCGAGCGAGCGCAACAAGGAGTACGTTCTCGTCAAGAACGACGGCGTCGATGGTGGATGGGTGCTCGGGATCCGTGACGACGGCACTGCTGTGAAGCCCATTGAGATCGACCCAACACCAAAGGTTGAGCCAGTGACCGCAGCGGTCGAGAACAGCGAGGACGAAGATGACGATATGGAAGATGTTCCCATGTGAGAGACAACCCAACTGTCGACACTCTCAAGGTTCACTAAATGCGGATTCTAGAGAGCAGCCAGACGTCCCTGGGTCAGCTATTGACGCGTTGTACGATCCTGACCTCAGAGAATTCCGTAGAGGTCAGGCACTCGCTGCTCTAGCCGCCCGGTACACACCAAAAGGGTTAGCACCACTTGTATCGAAGACAACGACAAAGAAGAGCCAACCACTGTTCGCGCTGGAAGACGACGAACTCCCGCAACTGGAAGACCTGGACGATCCCGAGCTAGCTTTCGCGATGGAAGAGTCAGCGCAACTCGAGGAAGAAGCGGCCTTGCGTCGAGCCATCGAGGAATCCAAGCGTATTGCTGTTGGCCCGTCGAAGAGGGGGGAATCGTCGTCATCGGCAGCGAAGGCCCATTCAAGTCCGGGAAAAACTCGCACTTCTCAGTGGCACGCCGTTAGCAATGAGTCGGACAACGACGACGACCTCTACGCTTCACCTACCCGACTGGAGACGGCTCTATCCATCGGCGGGGCAGCCCCTCGTCGCCCACCAAGGTCGCAGGCTAACGAGCCGTCGCCGTTTCTCGTAACCTCTTCCTTCGGTATACCAACTCTTCTCCTCGGTCCAACAAATCCGATGTCCTCTCCTTCAAAGCCCTCTGAAATATTGCCCGCGGATTCGGAAGAAGACGATATGGAAGAGGTCCCTGTCATCAACGTGTTAACAGACGACGCACTTCCAACCTCCACCCCCACCGCAATTGAAAGGTCAACCGCACCAATCAGCGTCGAGTCGGACCATAGCGACGACATGGAGGTCGTGGAGCCTGTCCAGGTTTCTCCGGCACGCCCAGGACCAGCGCGGCTTTCGACCGACCAAATTTTTGCAAACGACGCGGCTCGGCTCACCATAAGGTCGCGTCCCACAACTCCCCCAGCGCCGCGGCTCACGGAATCTGCGCCAATCCTTCTTTCCCATACTCACCCTATTGACGTCGACGCGATGGATACTGTTGGCGTCCTTCGCCCTCCAGATGCTACTTCTGCCCCGGTGTCAACATATCCTACTATTGTCGTCGCATCTCGCGCAACGCCGCCTGAGACATCCACTCCGGCCTCTCCTGGCGTCCCGACTTCGAGACACGAGGTTTCTTCGGACTCTGAAGACGAGCAAATTCCATGGTCTCGCTCCCCTAGCCCCACTTCCCGGGCTAAGGGGACCCCCAAGGAAGCTCAGGAACAAGGCTGGGATGCTGCTCACGAAATGGATCCGCACGCGGAAGAGGATGAGTATACTCGTTTCCTGTCGCAAGTGAGGGGAAAGGACGTCGACTCCATCCGCCGCGAAATCGACGAGGAGATCCGTGAACTGAACAAGCAAAGGAAGAACGCCATGCGTGACTCCGAAGACATCACCCAGCAGATGATATCGCAGATTATGGTATGTCCTCTCCCCAGCCTCGTCCCTTCTACGTCCTTAGTCTTCCGCACCCGCAGATCATGCTCCGCCTTTTCGGCATCCCGTATATCACCGCCCCGATGGAGGCGGAGGCGCAGTGCGCTGCGCTCCTCTCCCTCGGCCTCGTCGACGGCATCATCACGGATGACTCAGACGTCTTTCTTTTTGGGGGCGCGCGCGTACTCAAGAACATGTTCAACCAGTCCAAGACCGTCGAGTGCTTCCTGCTCCCCGACCTCGAACGCGAGCTTGGGCTCGACCGCGACAAGCTCGTCCGGCTCGCGTACCTCCTCGGGAGCGACTACACCGACGGCCTACCGGGGGTGGGCCCGGTGGTCGCGATGGAGCTCCTGAGCGAGTTCCCGGGCAACGATGGGCTGCACAAGTTCAAGGCGTGGTGGACGAGGGTGCAGAGCGGACGGGACAAGACAGAAGAGAGCGCGACGGGGTTCCGGAAGCGGTTCAAGAAGAAGTTCAAGGAGCTGTATTTGGCGGACGAGTGGCCGAACCCGTCGGTGGTGCGTACCGGGTTCTATTGTCGCGACGGGATTCGTGGGCTGAAAGTGCCGCAGAGGGACGCGTACTATCACCCCACGGTAGACGAGTCTACAGAGCCGTTCAAGTGGGGCATGCCCGACCTGGACGCACTCCGGGGGTACGTCTGTCAGTCTACTCTGTGGTCGCCTCTAACGTGTTCCAACTAGCTTCTTCAAATCCGAGCTCGGCTGGGACCAAACGAAAGTCGATGACCTGCTCCTCCCCGTCATCAGCAAGATGTCCAAGCGCGCGCAAGGGACATCCACGAACGCACAGGGCACGCTCTCCGGCTTCTTCGATGTGCCGCTCGGGGCGAACGCAGCCCCGCGCAAACGGCAGGCCTACGCGAGCAAGCGGCTGCAGCAGGTCGTGTCCGACTTCCGCAAGCAGCAGGCCAAGCTACGGGGCTCGGCAACGCCTGCTCCCCTTGGGAGAGAAGGGAGCGAGGAAGAGGAGCAGACTTCGGCGAGACCGGCGAAGAAGCGGAAGAGGAGCGGAGAAACGACGAGGGGGAGAGGGAGGGGAAAGGCCAAGGCCAAAGCAGCTGAGGGCGAAGTCGACGATGCCAGCACTCCTTCCTCATCGGGGAGGGGCGGCAGAGGGAAGGGGAGGGGACGGGGAAGAGGAGGGGCTCGCGCATCGAAAAAGCGGGCTCGAACTCCTTCGGATAGCGAGGAAGACGCGTTTGTGCCGGATGAGCAGGATGGGCCTCCCACTGACGGGGCTCCCAGTCGGGAACAGCTTGGACTGAGGCCTCGGCCCAAGCCTCGACCAGTGCGCAAACCGCCAAACGCACATCCGGAGGACCAGATTGGAGACGTTGCTTGATATGCTTATGATATGTACACGAGATTCGATCCTTAGCCATAGTATATCTCTAGTTCACATTGTTTATCACCGGTGAGAGCAAAGCTCTGGTAGACGAACCCGCGCATCCATAACATATGGCGGCGCCTTGCGGTAAGAGAGGCGTACTTAAGACCGACCCGACGCCATGCCACGGGCTCGTAACGTCCGCGTATGTACGCAGTAGGGTATGGCGTCATAGAGTAAAAAAAGATAAAGAAGAGACGAGATGAGCGCATGCAGGCAACGGAGTGACCGGTTATGGATGTCTTCACACCAGTCTTGCGGGCACCGGAGTAAAATGGTCAGGGTTATGAGAACGCAGTTGGTCGAAGTGTAGTCTGTCTGTGGGCAGCGAGATGGGCACGTCTTGCGCAGTGACGATCGCAAGTAGCTGAAGTGGCCGCGAAGTGACGCATTTGCCCGAAGCGGAAGAGAGGATGGAGGGCCGTTTCAGAGCCTAGTGGATGTGCGGTGATCACGTCCCGGCTGTATATAGTGAATAGCGCGGCGGAGGGTACGTTGGGTGGACATATGAGAAGTGTGTGACGTCTTCCGGGGCGTCTTCGCAACCTTTAAAACTCGAACCTGGGATTTTTGCGGGGTGAGGAGGCTCGGTCTGCGGTACGCTTTAGGGGGTGTTTTGGGGGTGGTGAGGGGTGAAGCTTTTCGGCATGCACCGGTCTTCTGTTGGGTTTGCCTTGAGGCCCGCCGTGAACACACCTGTTTGAATCTGCCTAGTCTACACTGCTTCTCACCGCACACAATTCGGTGGAGAAGGAAACGCGATGTTTTCGAAAGTGCGAGGTACATGTCTACTCATCCGCCTCGGTGTCTGGCTCTGCTCTCGCCTAAGGTCGTTTCAGAATGAATCATAGGACATATAAATGCGACATGCGCACCTTGTTCTCCTCCAGCCCGCCGAGCTCTTGCACCAGACCGTCGTAAGGGTATTCACGACGCACAGCATGGGGCTGTGGGTGCGCATAGTTGACAATGGTGCCGAAGGTCACGAAACCCAGGACGGCAATGGAAAACCAGCGCAGTGCGGTGGCAGGAGGAACGCCGGGGACATCCGGGCCCCAGACGGAGTAAAGGTCTTCCTTCTCATGTAGCTACAGGACGGTCAGACATCGACGTTTACGGGTGCCGCAAAGCATGCTCACCGTCTCGCCGAAATTCCTCCTGAACTGGACATCGTCCCAACCGAGGGCCTTGCGAGAAAGCCTCGAAACGTTGGGAAGCTGGGGATAGTCGCCCAATTGCGGGTCGTCTTCGTCACCGAGAGGCCGGGTAGAAGAAGTAGAGTCCTGGCTAGCGGTCGGGGTAGCGTATGTCCTGATGCGGGCGACCCGAGCGTGGGCCCGGGCGTGGAGGGCAGCCCGCCTTGCAGCGGCGAGGGACGTGTTCATGGTGGATGAGGACAGGCGCCAGGCGCGGTGATGACGGTGACCGTGTTGGTGGTGGCGTGACTGATTCACCGCCGAGGTGTCACAGAAAGCGGGCTGGTGGCCGCCACTGCTGCGAGTAGTCTGCGACCGCGAAGACGGCAGCCGTTTGCGCCTTCATGGCCTCGCTCCATCACCGGCGAACGAACCTCCCCGCTCCCCACGAAGATCCGCTCCCTGCACTTTGCCTCCGTCTCCCGTTGCGACCACGCCTGGCCCCAACCGCGAGATGACCGTTCCCCAGGCACGCAACGACCTTGCGTACGCCGTGACTCGCGATGTGCAGGAAGAGCTTGCCCAGCAGCGCAGGGAGAAGCGGCGCGGCGCGGGCGGGGTGAGCCCCGTGCAATACCACAAGGATCTACTGCTCGGGTGCGTTTTCCAGTCTGGCATGATCTCTGCCGGTCGCTTATCTCGCGCGCGACGTGCATTCATCGAACCAGCGACGATTGGAACTGCATGTTTCTCAACCAGCTCTGCCAAGGCGTGTCTCTGCACCGATACGACGAGCCTCCAGAGCACGTGCTCGATATCGGGTGTGGCAGCGGTCTTTGGGCGATCGAAGCAGCAAAGCAGTGGCCGGTAAGTGCGGGATCGCGTTGCTGCGCGAGATAACATGAACGTGACGGAGCCCTTGTCCGCAGAACGCGAGGATTGTTGGTTATGATCAGCGCGATATACAACCCGACCTCACCCAGCTGAATCTCGGAATCGAGGTTAGAGATCTCTCGCAACGGGTCCGTTGGGAACACGGGGACTTGTGCGTCATCCTCGGCATCTGTCGTCTCCCGCGCCTCACTGACTCTCCGGGCGCAGTTTGGACCCGCTTCCGTTTGAATCAAACTATTTTAATCATATCCATATCTGCGGCATTGGACTTGAGGTTCCCGAGGACTCATGGCAAGAGCTGCTCGAGGTATGTGCGTGCGCTGGTCACATGGTCCCGAACATCGTTCGCGCATGGAAGGCATGCGCGTTAATGACGATATCAGGGGATGCGCCAGGCACTTGTTGGTTAGCCGTTCGGCTTCTGACCCACTTCACAGGAATGCGCTCGGGTGCTCGCCGTTGGAGGGCAGCTTGAGGTCAGTAGAATGTTGCCATGAGCGAGCACACTCTCACGCTTTCGATCAAGGTCTTGGAGGAGGATCCACTTTTCCCCGCCGGCAAGACTCTGCTAGATACCACTGACAAGAGCTCATTCAACACCAGCATGCGCGGTCCTGATGGTCAACGGATACGTACGGACTCTACTGCAACGAACTTCACCACGATGTCCAATATGACAACGGCGACAACATCCACTTCCCGCACCGACCATTCCGTGGCTTCTAGCTCCAACATCCAGTTTACAACAGAACACATTGCACCCTCCTCTAGTATCGGTTCCTATGTATCCACTTCCTCCACAGTCGACTCTGCAGACTCTATGTTTGCTCAAGACCATGAAAAGCTTAAACGAGCCTGGGAGGCGATGCTAGATCATAGGTTCATATGCCACCGCCTGACGAACGTCCTTCCCCTCTACCTCAGCTCCTTCTTCAAGAACATAGAAGTACATCCCACACTGCACGTTGTCCTTCCCCTTCCATCCCGCGATCGCGTTCCGGACAGCCTGGCTGATCGCGAGATCGAGCTTGCCGGTGAGGCGCTCGACGAATGGACGACCAACATGAAGGCCAACACCGTACAGCTCAACGGAGAGTCGCAACGGAAGTCCAACACTTCTACTTTACGCAAACGCCTTTCGATGTCGATCGTCACCACCTGGAATACGTTGCATCTGACACGCCAGCTCCGGTTGGTGACGGCGTGCAAAGAGGCAATATGGGAAGCATACCGGACACTCGACGATGAGCCACGAAGCTCGGTCGGGGTCCAACAGCCACGCCGAGATGATTTACTGGAAGAATTCGAGCGCGATTGGTTCATTTGGGAGATGTGAGTAGATGTACGGAACAGGCCAGCAATGGAGCTGACTCGTAGATGTTCAGGGACATGAAAGACCGAATAGGCATCCGTAATCATGTGCAGGACGCGCTCTTGTGGCAAGATCCCGAAATAAGAAGTATGCGCTCGCACTCCCTTCGATCTTCCGGGAGCCTGAAGATCCACTACCCGACCGATCCGGAGAAGGCCCCCATCTGCCGCGCGATTCGAGCGTTCTCTGCCGGCAAGGCGTACGGTAGTTTCGCCTGAGGATACTGCTGTAGATATGACCTGGTGTGGAGATGCATGCAGACACTATACCCGACTACCTGGATTCCCCCACTGTGCAGTGCGTATGTACTATACTGAGCCTCGGTATACCTATGCGCCGTTGCCGGACGAGTCGCGTGCGAGTGTGCGATGAGATACTGCCCGATTTGGCGGAGCGTCAGATAAGATTGATCGTCTGAGCAGTCCCTCGGCAGGCAGCGCTGCCTTGTCCCTCTCCTGCCCTCCCCTCTTATAACCACTCACCCACACCGCCCTCCACCATGTCCGAGCAAACGAAGACCGAGAAGCCAGAGGGCATCAAGACTGAGGAGACCACTGCGGCTGCCGACTTCACCAAGTACAAGGTACGGCGCCCGCCCCCGCTTAGATTTTCTCGCTACGCGCCCCGCATGCGGCCCTCCTGCGGACGAGCGCGGCTGACCCGCTTTTCTTCTCTTGTGTCTGAACAGCTTGCGGGGGAGATCACGAACAATGTGATGAAGAAGCTCGTCGAGCTCTGCGTCGAGGGCGCGAAGGTGCTCGAGCTCTGTGTCGAGGGCGACAAGCTCCTCGAGGCCGGCACGGGCGCCGTGTTCAACAAGCCAGTCAAGGGCGTGAAGGTCGCCAAGGGTGCGTCCGGTCCTCTGCCCTCGCCGCTCGTCGTGTGCGCTCGCTAAACGGGGCGATCGTCCCCGCTCCTGTCGATCGCGACGCCCGCGCCCGCGCTCTCGCCCCGCTCCCTTTGTCCTGCCCGCCCCTCCCGCGGTGCCCTCCCCCCTGCCCTGCATTCCCGCGCCCCTCCCCACTGCGCACGCACGGCAGGCATCGCGTTCCCGACCTGCGTCTCCGTCAACAACACCGTCTCGCACTTCTCCCCGCTCGAGTCCGACCCGTCCTCGTCCCAGACGCTCGCCAAGGGCGACGTCGTCAAGCTCCACCTCGGGGCGCACATCGACGGCTTCGCGGCGGTCAGCGCGGAGACGCTCGTCATCGGCGCGTCCGCGGCGGAGCCCGCGACGGGCCCCAAGGCGGACGCCGTCGCGGCGGCGTGGACCGCGGCCGAGGCCGCGATGCGCCTCGTCAAGGTCGGGAACAAGAACTGGGCGGTCACCGAGGCCGTCGGCAAGATCGCGGCCGCGTTCGGGTGCAAGCCCGTCGAGGGTGAGTGGCCGGTCGCTCGCTGCGCCCACGGTGGGTGACGGGGCGGGACGCTGACTGGGCGGCGGGGGCAGGGATGCTGTCGTGCCAGCAGACGCAGAACGTGATCGACGGAAAGAAGCGCATCATTTTGAACCCGGTGCGTTGGGTTGTTGTTGGCGGCGCGCGGGGGTTTCTTGGTGCTCATCGCTCGTGCAGTCTGAAGAACAGAAGAAGGGCTTTGAGACCGTGACATTCTTGGAGAACGAGGTATGGGGGATCGACATCCTGGTCACGGCTGCGGAGGACGGCAAGGTGCGTTTTGTGCGGAAATTGACGTCGGAAGGAGAACTGATTACTCCGCATGGTACAGGCTCGTCTCGAGGAGTCAAGAACGACTATCTACCAAAAGGATTCGACTGTGACATACCAGCTCAAGATGAAGACGTCGCGTGCGGTCTTCTCCGAGGTACAAAAGAAGGCGGGCGCGTTCCCCTTCAACATCCGCTGCCTAGAGGACGAGAAGCGTTCGCGACTGGGTCTCCAAGAAGCCGTCCAGCACGGTCTTGTGAAGCCCTATGAGATCATGTGCGTAGCCTTGCCCATTGTCTACGGCTTCGTCCACTGACAACACGCGGTCGTAGCTACACGCCTGCGAACACGCCCGTCGCCGCGTTCCATTTCACAATCGCGCTCCTTCCCGGCGGCCCGTCGATGATCACGAGCCCACCAGTGTGGTACAAGCCCGAGCTAGTGAAGACGGAGAAGACGCTCGAGGACGGGGAGCTCAAGGAGCTGCTGACGAAGCCGCTGCGCGAGAGCAAGAAAGCGAAGAAGGCAGCGAAGGCGGGCGAGGAGGCTAAGGCGTAGTGGGCGACCGGTGCCAGACGATTTCCCCCGCGACTCGATCGGGACTCGCGCGCGTGTACGAGCAAGCAGCAGAACCACATTGCGTCATGTAGGACCTTGTAGCACTACCTGTTATTTTGGCATCAGGATCAAAAGCCAAAGCCATCTGTTCTTTGTATACTGGCGCGTGGTTGTGTGCCGATCGGCTAGATCACAGTGAAACTTGGTCTTGGCTGAAATCGGGGGTGGTTACTTGTACGTCTTCTGCACTCTCAGCACAACATGACGAACAGGTTTGCACTTGGAAGCCCTCGCGTTAGATCTCATGGTGAAGTAGTATACCTACCATCGACCCTCGCCACTTACGGTTTAGACTCCCCTTTCGGCGCTTACACCGGAGCGGTCTTTTTGATCCAAACCACCATCATGTCTCTACCTCCCGACTCCCAGTGGCATACGGTGTAAGACAGGTTATATTGTTACCGATGTAATACTCAACATGCTCCACTCAAGCACGATGCGTATCCCCTTCGCGTCGGGGCACCACGCGACGATCGCACAGCAAGTCATCGATGTAGATCGCGAACTTCAACCCGACGTGGTGAAGCGCGTCCTCGCCGTGGAAGGCCGCGAGCTCGTAGCGTCAGCACCCCCCGTCACTGTGTCCGAGCCGGAGTCGGTGCTGACCGAGCCGCTTGACGACAGGACGTTCACCACGCTGACGGTGCGCCTCGCGCGGCTGACGTCGAACGCGTTCCTCGAGAACGTCGACCTCGTCGTGCGGACCATCGGGGAGTTTGGCGAGGACGCCGCGCGGCCGCCGGCTCGTCCTGCCGCGTGATTTTTCGGCCCTCGAAAGTCCGTACTTCCGGGTTACTACTCATGATGTGCTCTCGCCTCAGATGTGTATTTCCTCCATCAGGAAAAACCCAAATCCCTATTGAGAGGTAAAATATTGGTAAGCCCCTATACGCGAAAATACTGCCGCTGTTCCAACTCACCGCAGTTTTTAGACACTACGTTGAACTATTGCCTCCCTAATGGGGTGGATGAGGTATAATTTGACATGTTTGAGTGGGTGTAGTGGATATCTGTACATGCAGTTAGCCAGTTATGATACTTTCGACTGGATCCCGGCCAGTATACAATGATCCCCCACTGTTCAGCGGCCCACACATCAGCACACATAGATGGATCATTCATTAAACTGTTATTGCTTCATGTTCTAAGTACTACGACAACCTTGCCTTGTGCGACGAATGCGATCGTGGGCTGGGCGCGATGGGTGAGACGGGAGCATTGCAGCCCGACGAGTAGACCTGCTGGTGTGGATCCAACCGCGCGTGAGTGAGTCGGGCGCAGTGATCACAGCGTTGCTCGCGGAGTGCGTGTGCGGCGCGTTTTGGGCGTATACAGTTGGTGCAGAAATGCTCAGTGGGGGCGCCGCGCCGCTGTACTGCACGTGGAGGTCGGGCGACGGGTCGTCGTGCGAGGACACGTGCGGGCCGTACGTCGCGCCGTCAGGAATGACTGCGCCCGGGGCGAGCTGGGTATAAGTGTTGAACGTGCCATCACGGCTAAAGCGCTGACGACGATCGGATTGAGGGGGAAGCAGCCATCGCACCCCCCGAAGAAGCCGCACACGAGCGCATTGACGATATTCAGCAGCTGTTGTGGAGCGTCAGGAACTCGCACTCACCCAGGTGCACCCGCGAGTCGATGACCACATTGCTCTTGATCTTCGCACCCAGCATCTGGTAGTAGAGAACCTCGAGGGAAATAAACATGGGAGCCGAACGGGGTCGATGGGGATTTGCTCGACGCGGGGGATGCGACGTCGACATCGACGACTCCGGGGTGTCGGAGGTGCCGGGCGTGCCGCGTGCCGTACAAGCTACGCGAGGAGCTCGCACTATACAGCGGGGCACCAGCGTGGATGGTGCTGGGAGGGAATATGGGCTTTGGCGGCGAAGTGGAGAGCGGTTGCTGCGTCTTGTTTGTGAGCGCAGGCTGGTGCAGACGTGATGATGTAAGGAGTGGTGCGCTAGGTAGGAGCACATTTACCGCTCCATCTGGTTGGTCTCGTGAAGCGCGAACATGCCTTGGCCGGCGATCGTCCACTACGTATTGGAATAGGTGTTGTCGCAGACGGCCGATGAACTGACGACCCTCAGGCGCGGGGAAGCAGGAATTTGGTCGTCGAAGGAGGTAGAGGGAGACTGACGGAGGTGTGCAGTCGCGTTTGATGGAGTGCGTTACGTGCGTAGGCGATGAAGGCTGCAAGGCAACTCACGGCCACTTGGTGCAAGCTCGAGCGGGGAGGCGGAGGGGGCCTGGGACGAAGCCAGATGGTGGTTGTGGCAGTCGAAGTACGCAAATGCGGGGAGGCTTGATGGACAGGAATAGTGGTATGCTGGGAACGAGATGCGGCAGGGAGCGCCGAGGAAGCGAGAACCAGAAAAAGAGGGCGTTGCATAGGGGAGACTGGACGGGAGTTTGGACAGCGTATCGCCGACTCATGAACGCGTTGAGGACGCGATCACGGGACTGTTACGGAAATTTCCCTTTTCCGGTAATCACGCCAGTCACGGTGTTAGTAAGCGGGGCGCGCGGTCCCGACGCCCAGCCACGAGGCTACCGCGCGTCGCTCAAGAGCTCACTTGAGCGCCTCATGCACCGACCGGGCCGCTGCTGGCTACAGTGCGCTCCTGCACGTTGCTCTTCGTGCCTGGAGCGTACCCAGGCCCTGACTACGTAGTTACTCCTTCCAGTATCGTACGAAGATGCCTCGCGCCTCACGCGCGTTTGTTCTTTGTATTTCCGTTGACTCTGTGCGACATGTGAGCGCAAGCAGGCAAGCTAGCGTTGCAGCGTGTATGCGCGCGAGCGACTCATGTTGACTCATGTACATGGTAGACAGCGAATATAAAAGAGCGCACTTCTGGAGGAGCAATCTCCAGAAGCTGCTTGGGCTTTCGTACCTCCAATCTCCCTCGCGAGTCTCGGCCGGTGCGCTATCTAATCTCGTAGATAGCCGCACGCGCTAAGGCGTCTCAGGGACGCGGTCACCAAGGGTCACCGGTCACCGTCGGCCACACTAGCGCCTATTCCCAACGCGCGACGCGCGTCCCCGCTCGGTGCCGGGCTCCAGCTGTCTCCACGGACCATCATCGACATCTCCGCCTCCGCCTCCGCCGCCGCCTCCTCCATCCTCCTCCGTCAAACTCCCCGTCGTTTTCTCCGCTGAATTCCCAGTTCTCGGACCTCCACCTTGCCCACCTCATCAGCCACGCCCTGGGTCGCACCCTCTTCCTTTTCCTCCACAGTCTTGAGGACGACAATGAGTCCCAGAGCTCTTCCTTCGCCGCCGCGCGCACCCCGCAGGTATGTCTCGCGCTTCCGCAAGCTCCCTTAAGTTACTAATCTGCCAGGTTGGTCTCATTCGCGCTACCATTGACGTCCGCCTCTCTGCCCGAGGCCACCAAGTCTTCGACCGCGGCGGACCATCCGTCTATCTTGGGAATCAGTGAGTGCCCCTGTCGCAACCTCCCGCCCGTGCCCCTTTTCACCGCGATGTACCGCCGCTGCATCTGGGGAGCGCAGCCAGCGGCGTGTGTCCGCTCTCGTCTTGCGGTCATTTCGTGCCCGGCAAATGCCCAGAAGGGAAGGGCTCGCACTGTATTTGAAGAGTGCGACAGATGGATTGAGGCGCGACGGTTACGGTGTGCCCCCCGCCGGTTTCTGTCTCGAACAAGGCTGACGAAAAGCACGACCCGGACGACTCACGCGGCGAGCCTGACGGACCTGGTCACGGTCATCAAGCGGATGTGGTCTGGGATCACAAACATCTTTGTCACCGGTGAGGTAGCATACTTCACCCCGTCCGCTCTGCTTGCTGATCCGTTTTCTCCCCTATACATGCCCTCACGCACGCACAGAACCCCGCGTGATACGCGCTGGCCTGGCGCGAGTGCGCGCTCCACGGCCGCGTCCGCCCCCAGGACGTCATCGTCATCGTCATTCACATCCACGTCCCACCAGGGGGTCGCGTTGACAGCAGCATCCTCCCCACCGTCTCCCGCGGGTACGTCGTCAGCGAGCGTGAGCGCACACGGTCCCGCTCGAGGGCACGTTCGTCGTCTCCAAGGTCGACGGCCCGCCCGCTGCTGTCCCAGGCGCAGGCGCGGGAGCAGGTCCAAACACAGACAAGGGGAGGGCCGGTTCGTGCGCCGTCAGACGGTGTGCGAAAGGCTTGAGAGGGCCGCCCTTGCGCTGGTCGCGGCAGCGGTGGGCGCGAGTGGTCGTCTCTAAAACGAGCGGCGTGCACACTATTCGCGTGCGCACCCAACTGGCGACCTCACGAAGGAGGCCCACACGCTCGGCGAAAAGCACCAACAAGACCATGTGCGCCAGCACCTGTTCCACATGTGCTTCGGGATGCGGCGTCCGCGCTCTGCCGCTTGCGCGCACGCGCCGGACCCAGCCCCACCCTCGTTAGTACACGGCTTCTTCGTCTTGGTATTCATCCCTCCCCGTGCACGCATTCTCGGTCGTGCACTTCCCCATCTCTACGCGCGCACCTACGGCACCGTTTGCATTGCATCATCATCGCTCATTGATATGGACATCTATATCGCTGTAGCTAGGTACTGGTCTGGTCTGGATGTCAGATATTGAATCAATGCTCATCCGTGATTGCGCTATATTCTATGTGTGAAGAGTGCTACTACTCGATATCCAGTGCTTGAAGCAGCGATCTATGGACATGAGTGAGACTAAATGCACGTGGTGAGAGCCTGCTCTCGCGACTAATATTTCCTTCTCCGTGTAATGGTCTCTCATTAGCAAATGGGTAAGCGAATAATAATACTCCTGAATAACGCAATAATCCGGCTCATTAGCCCTTACAAGCCTCAGTAACGTCTCATTATAGATTTGGGTTTTTCCTGATGTCACCGTCTTCCTCCAGCCTGGAGCCATATCAGACGGTGTCGAGCCTCGGCCTCTGTTGGCCCTATCTGCTCCGGTATTTTTGGGAGCCCATCGTCTCAGGACGATGGCCTCGAGGGTCGTGGATGGAGGTGCATGATGCATGTGAAAGCTGACGGACAACTCGAGCGAGTCGCTCCCATATTTAGAATTTGTTTGGCGGCCGTGCCTCTGCTGCCAGGCCCATGTGCACGAATCGCAAATCTTCGATGATAGTAGTACGCGGCGGCGTGCATGGCTCTCGCAATCCGTCACTCGCCATGCGCTCGCCGTCGACGCAATGGGCGCGTTCGATGTCGCGGTCTGCGCGTACGACGCCGCGGTTCGCCTGCGCGGGTTGCTACCTGGCACAGGTTGCCGGCAGTGAGCGCTACTGGGCTCCGCTCATCCATATGGATAAAGCGGGGAGAAGCGCAGGGCCGTGCGCGCGACGAATGTCGTGTTGCAAGGCAGGGCTGCGTTATCACTGGGAAGGCGTACAAGGATATGGAAACTGCAGGCCCCGGTTCTCTGATCACCGTCCGCGCGGACGATATCTGTCCTGAAGGCATTCGAAGAGCCACTTTCGCGTGGGCACAGCTGCTAGTGGCACCCTCGGGCGGAGAATACGGCTCCGCTGATTGTCTAAACCGCATTATGAAAATCGCGCCACGCTACCTCTGCGAGTGAAACGTGATTGTCGTGGGGTTGGCTGGCATCAGTGCCCTCCGGGTGAATGATGAGAAGACGGCGAAGCACCATCCACGCGATAGACTGATCCAACTTGCAGCGCCGCAGACGTTAATGTCTCCGGAAAGGAGCCACTCTTCCCACCACATATCGCCGGAATTTCAAGCGCAGAACGGGAAATTCGCGCCGCCGCATCCGCGGCCAAGCGTGCACTTTAGGCGTGGTGATGGAGTCGTTGGGGAGTCGACGGGGGAAAACCCGCTCTCGAGGGTGCTGCGAACACGTCTTGGCGAGCAGGAAGGAGCGGGACAAGGGGACGGGGAGGTCGGGACGGGAGCGCCGGGAGTAGCCGATGTCCGTTATTTCCGGTGCCACGTCCACGCGTCGCACGCCTTGGCCCGGGCCTCGTCTCTCCTCCTCCCGCCGGGATGTCGACGCTCGCGTTTGCTGCACAACGCGCTCGGGGCGCTATATCCAGCCCCCTCTGCCTGTTCGATTCCCGCGCTCGCCAGCCAGTATCCGCAGCAATGTGTTGTGTACCGCCAAGCCCGCCATCTCCGCACCGTTGGCGCCGCTGCGCCGCTCTCCGTGCGTACGAATCCCAGCGAATCTTGGTCTCCAGCAGGGGCGGCGCTAAACTGTTCTTGCTCCGCAGGGTGGGCTCGTTCGTGTTGAGCCTCCGGCGGGACTGCGCTCCGATCCTTGTCGCCTTCAACCGGCCGCCTAAGAATAGCCTTCGTCCACCTGGGCCGACGAGCTCCATCGACCGTCGATGGCCTCGCGCTCAACACAGACGCATGGGCTGCCTGCCTTATCTCCTTCCAACGGACTCTCCTCCGGATTCTTGCTCCATCTTTCATCTAGGGTTTCCCCTCGGAGCGCACATCGCAGGCACGCCTGCGTGAGCGGCAACAAGCCAACCGTCGCAGGGACCGCCGATGTCCCTAACCGCGGCTACGGGCGCGGCTTGTTGGGGGCTTCTCCGGCCTTCGAAAGGCAGGGAAGCCGAGGGGAAGCCTGCGTATGGACTTTCCGGTCGCTCGCGGTTACCACCCCCTCACCGGGCTCAACTTCTGTGCCCATTAGCTTCCGGGCTGCACGTGGGTCTCCCCTTGTCCGTATGGCACAGAACCGACCGCTCACTTCCTAACAGGATGGTGACACCATCGGCGCTTGCCAAGATCTTCCCATTGCCCTCCGGTCGATACTGCACCCCATATCCAGCATAAATCGACACGCACCGCGGCCTCTCCGTGATCGACAGAACCGGGTCCGCCGCGTTGTCCATCGGATACCGTCGTCCCGGATAGCGTCTGTGGTCAGTTCTCAGGCTGGACGCTCTGCGTGCTCGCATGCTACCAAGCCCGCCCCTCAATAAAAGGCCTCCACCCGAGCCAGCGCGATGCTCGTGGAATACCTCGTCTCTCAGAGCTAGTGTGCAGCCCTCGCCGCTATGTCAATCCCTCTGGAATTCCTCACCGACCTCCCGGCCCCTGCCCCCGACGTCTCGCTCGGGGAGCAGCTCGCTGAGGCCGTCACGGACTCGGGGCGCATCTCAACTCTCCTCGATTGCCTCTGCCACACGGACGCCCCCGCTCTCTGGTCCCCGGACACGACCCGAGCCGCGCTCACCCACGCCGCGCTCCGTCGGTTCGTCTCCTCCTTCGCCCTCCCGACCTCTGGCCTCCGCCCGCAGCTCGGTCCCAATGACCGCGTCATGGTCGTCCTCCCCACTGGGCCCGAGAACGCCGTTGCGCTGCTCGCCGTCGCCGCCTTCCACACCTGCGCGCCCGTCAACGCCGCCTGCACCGCGGGCGAGCTCGCCGAGGACGCCGCCCGCCTCGGGGCCAAGGCCGTGCTCACCACCTACGACGCCATCGAGCGGCTGGAGCTCGTTCAGCTGAGGGAGAAGCTTGGGTGCGAGGTCGTCTTCCTTCACGGGCGCGAAGACGGGCCTGCGGGGCTCTTCGACGTCTCCGTCATGAGCGAGGGAGCGGACGATGACGAGTGGGGCATCATCCAGAAGCCGCATCTACCCCCGCCGTCGACTCTTCACGGTCTTTTCGACCAATCCCTGGTCCTCCATACATCAGGGACCAGCGGGAAGAAGAAGGTACGGCTGCATTCTATGTTACGCCTGGGCCGTCGCTCATTTACCGTACTACAGGTTGTGCCTTACACCTTACGTTCGCTCATTGTCGGGACCTGTGCTGTCATTCACTCGTGGGACTTGCGGGACGATGACGTGAACAGTGAGTCCAATTTGCTCGTCTATTTACCACACCGACGGTCCGTTCTGACTCGGCCTTGGCATGCAGTGAACATGATGCCTTTGTTCCACGTCGGTGGGATCATCCGCAATCTATGGGCGCCCATGTTCTCCGGAGGCAGCGCGATTATGTGCGCTGGCTTTGATAGCAACACATTCTGGCCAATCATCATGTCCCTCGGGGCCACATGGTGAGCCTCTCGGGCTGAGCGCGAACGCAAATGCTGACTACGTGGCGGTGCAGGTACTACGCCGCGCCCACAATGCATCACGCTATTCTTGGTTCCAAACCTGCGACCGTCACCCCTTGTCGGGACACGCGCATGCGGATGATTGCGAACGCGGCGGGCGGCCTCCTTCCATCGTTGGCCACACAGCTCAAGAACACCTTCGGTGCCGTCATCCTCCCGTCCTACGGGATGACGGAGTGCATGCCCATCGCGTCTCCGCCGACGACGTACCAACTCGACCGCCCCGGGTGTTCGGGCCTCGCGTGCGGTCCTCACCTGTCCATCCGCCATCCAGAAAATATCGAGCGCGAGCTCCCATGCGGCTCGACCGGCGCCGTGTGCGTCCGCGGCATCCCGACCTTCGACGGCTACGAGACGAGCCCCGGCGCCCCGCTCGACACCTCCGCGTTCTCGTCCGAGGGGTGGTTCGACTCTGGCGACTGCGGCTACGTGGACCCCGACGGGTACCTGTTCATCACCGGGCGGTCGAAGGAGATCATCAACAAGGGCGGCGAGGTCATCTCGCCTTTCGAGATCGAGGAGGCCATCACCACTGTCGCGAAGTCGCGCGTCAAGGCCACCATCGCGTTCTCCGTCCAACATGATGTCCTCCAGGAGACCATCGGAGTCGTCATTGTCCCCGTCCCGGGCCTTCCGCGCATCGGCCTTACTGACCTCCTCGACCTGTTGAAGACGCAGCTGCACCCGTCCAAATGGCCGTTCGCGGTCGTCTACATGGACGACCTCCCGAAGAACAGCGCAGGAAAGCCCCTCCGCATTAAGCTAGCGGAGCGCTTGAACATCGGGCAACTCACCGACAGCGTTCCCGCCCTCGCTCGCCACTTCGTTGCGGAAGTTCCAGACAAGAACGCGCCTCTGTCTACCCCCATCCGATGCTCTAAAGTGTCCGTCGAGGCTCCGGAGATTGAGCGGACGCTCTCACACATCGCTGGCGTGCTCGAGGCCAGCGTCCGTTTGCGCAAGGACGGCTCACCCGAGGCACTGGTCTCCATTGACCCCTCGGCGTCCGCAGCCTCCCTCTCGGAACTGGTGCACACTGTGCTTCCAGGCTATGCAATCCCGAAACCCTTCCACATCGTCCGTGACCGCTTCCTGCGCACTTCCGAGGGCAAGGTTGACTGGCTCCTCATGGAGGCAGAACTCGCACAACGCACCGCCTTCGAGCTCTCGCCCACCGCCAAGACCGTCCGTCGGATCTTCGCCGACCTCCTTGTCCTCCAGGAGTCCGCGGTCACCGGTGGGAGCGACTTCTTCCTTATCGGCGGGAACTCGCTGCTCCTCGGCCGCCTCGCGCACCTCGTACGGAAGGAGACCGGGGTCGCCCTAAGGGTGCAGGACGTGTTTGCGCATCCCACGGTGGACGGCATCGCGGCGCTCGTGGACGCTGTGGGCACCAAGAGCAACGTCGAGTCTCCCGACAAGACGGCGGTCAACACCCCCTTCTCCGGCTCGAAGGCGTCGTCCACTAAGACCGCACAGAGCGTGCTCGACCTCCCCGCCCTCGCGTACAAGGGCACGTACAGCGATGTGCGCCCGGCCTCCCGTGGCCAGAACCATCCGCTGTCGCTCCTCGTCCAGGCCATCCCGATCATGTTCTTCTACCCGCTCAAGGTCGCCTTCACGTGGACCGGCATCGTGTTCATTCTCTCTTTCTTCACAGAGTTCATCACGGGTGTTTTCTGGGAGCGTCTCGGGTCATTGCTTACGGCCATCATCGCCGCACGGTTGGCTGCGCGCATCTTCATCCCCCTCGTCGGCATCGGTTTCAAATGGGTCGTCATCGGCCGCTACCGCCCTGGGACGTACCGCTTCTGGAGCGTGTACCATCTCCGCTGGTGGCTCACGAACCAGATGCTCCGTGTCTCCGGCCGCGGCATCTTTGCCTCGCACCCGTTCCTCGAGGTCCTCTACTACCGGATGCTGGGCGCAAAGATCGGGCGCGACGTCGTCATCGACTCCCGGGCGCGCCTCGGCGAGTGCGACCTACTGACTCTCCACGACGGTTGCAGGATCGACAACGCGCTCGTGCGCGGCTTCTGCGTCGAGCGCGACGGCTGCTTCCGCCTCGACCCGATCGTCGTCGGCCGCGGCGCCACGGTGAACACCTACACGCAGCTCGCCCCGGGCGCGGTCATCCCCGACGGCGCGACGTACGGCCCGCACGCGTCCTCGCACGACGACCCGTCCCCGGACCGCCACGCGCAGTACAACCGCGCGGCGCTCCCGCAGCCGAAGTGGTACCTGAAAGCGTTCGTCGCGGGCCCGCTCGTCCTCCTCGTCAAGCTCGCCGCGCACCTGCCCTGGTTCGCCGCGCTCTTCGTGCTCCTCTCCCAGCCCGCGCCGAAGGGCAACCTCGACGCGCTCGAGCGCGTCATCGTCTGGTTCTCCTCCCCGCGCCGGGTCGCGTGGCACGCCGTCGCGCGCGTCGTCCGCGGCGTCTGCACGCCCCTCCTGCAGGTCCTCATCGGCATCCTCGTCAAGCGCGCGATGGGCTTCCAGACGGAGCGCTCGACCGCGCACTCGTCGCAGTGGGTCCTCCTCCGCCGGTACATCAACATGGCGCTCCTCAGCCAGGAGTCCCTCAAGCGCGCGTTCGACATCCTCGGCACGCACTACGAGGCGACGTCGGTCGTCTGGCGGTGGATGGGCGCGAAGGTAGGCCAGCGCGTGTACTGGCCGGGCTCGGGCCTGTACTGCCCCGACCCGGAGCTGCTCGAGGTCGGCGATGACGTCGTCTTCGGCTCGCGCTCGGAGATCTTCACCACGGACGGGCTCGGCTCGGGGCGCATCGTCGTCCGGGACGGCGCGATGGTCGCCGACCGCGTCGTGCTGCTCCCGTGCGTCACCGTGGGCAAGAGGACGGTGATGGGCTCCGGGGCGCTCGCGCGGCGCGGCGCGAGCTACGAGGACGGCTCGGTGTGGATGGGATCCGAGCGCGGGGAGGCGGTCTGCTTCAAGCCGGGCTCCAAGGAGGCGCGCACCGACTCGACGCCCACGATCACTCCCTTCGGCCGCGCGTTCTACGAGCGCAGCGCGAGCTTCTACGTGCTCCCCTACCCCCTCCTCTTCCACATCAACATCGCCGTCGTGATCCTCACGACGGGCTACTGGTCCATCGGCCCCGTCGTGGGCACCCAGGTCCTCAACCTCCTCCGCATCCACCTTCGCGAGCTCCACCTCTTCGCCCCCGGCCCGCAGCAGCCGTTCATCCTCTTCGGCCTCATCTCCTGCTGGTTCACCGTCACTCTGTCCCTCCAGGCCCTCGTCGCCCTCCTCTGGGTGGTCGGCACCAAGTGGCTCGTCATCGGCCGCCGCGTGCCGGGCAGCTGCGACTGGGACAAGAGCTCGTACTGCCAGCGCTGGCAGCTCCACCTCACGCTCGCGCGCCCGCTCTACCGCGGGTACGGCAACGGCGGCGTGCTCGGCGCGCTGAGCGGGTCCGCGTACGCGGTGTGGTACGTGCGCGCGCTCGGCGCGCGCGTCGGGCGCGACTGCGCGCTCTGGGCGAGCGGCCGCGTCGGGCTCATGACCGAGCCAGACCTCGTCGAGCTCGGGGACCGCGTCGCGCTCGACGACTGCTCCGTCGTCGCGCACCTCAACTCGCGCGGCAAGTTCTCGCTCAACAAGCTCTCGATCGCGTCCGGGTGCGTCGTTCGCCCGTCCTCTCGCGTCCCCCCCGCGCTGACCCACGCGCCTCGTTTTCCCGCAGGTGCGCGATGCGCTCCGGCGCGCGGCTGCTCTCGGGCGCGTCGATGGAGGCGGAGTCGATGCTGCTCGAGCACACCCTCCTCACCTCGGGCGAGATCGCGCAGGCGGGGGAGGTGTACGGCGGCTGGCCGGCGCGCTCGCTCGACCCGGACCTGTACCTGCGGCGGCTGTCGGCGGTGCAGCTCATGTCCGCGCTGCGGGTCAGCGCGCACTACACGAAGCTGCAGATGGCGCACCACGAGCTCGAGGGCGAGAAGCGGCGGCTCGAGCAGCGGATCACGGACCACCAGCGGGACCTGCGCGAGGCGCGGCGGCGGCTCGAGAGCATGCTCCAGGCGGTCGAGACATTGCGCTCGCCGCCGCCGGTGTCGCCGGTGTGAGCCGCGGTGGGCGGGTTGGGGAGACTGGCTTTGGCTTGGACGTGCCTCGGAAAATTGGACTGCCATCCGCATTGTATCATTATTAGCCATACTTCTCGATGTGTTTATGCTCCCATGTTGTCGATGATATGTCGCGGAAATAGATCCTCATGATATAGATCCCATTCTAGGGCCCGTTTGGACATTGTTTGGACGATTTGGCGGGGCTTGCGTAGTTACTTGGGTGCAAGATCGGGCTTCGAGTTTGAGCGGGCCGGCGCCGGCACTGGGTAGAACTGATTTGCTGGCACCTGCCTCGGTTAGCCAAAGCTCGAGCAACTTGAACCTCGACCACACCGTCGTCTTACCCTTGCCCTGCTGCCCACTTATTTTCTTCATATGCCCAACTTCGAGAATTCTTGCAGGTGGATCCCCTCCACCGAGCCGCTTTCGGAAGGTTGCCAGTGCTCTGTACGCTGAGAAAGCTCTATGGCGTGACGATCGCAATTGATTTTCTAAACATACACTGTGAGTTTGTATACATCGTCGCATCTGTATATGCCATTCGAGGCTTGATCACACCCAACACTGTGATGTCGGTAGTAGAGTATTTGACCTCAAACGCACCGGGGCTCGAAGGCAACACCAGAGCAGTCTTTTTGTCCTGTAGCAGCTCATGAGTGCTCTCGTGCTGAAACCAAGATCACCGCGCCGTTCTCCCGGTGTGGTGCTTTTGGGCCACACGTCAGACAGACTCCAGCCAGCGGCACGTGGAGCTTCATTTGTGTTGGCCCTCGCGTCTCACTCCGATAATCGCCTCAGATCTGACCTTCAGGTCTTCTTCACAGCAACACCATGCTCACTCCACCAGAATGTATCCGCAAGAGTGTTGTAGATTCCCTAGAGTCAGAGGTAACGCAATACAAGCTGGTCTCTAGAGGTAAGATCCGTTGCAGAAATCTGCTAGACGTTGCTGATCGCTTTCGCAGATGAATTCACTATGGTGCGACCTGGTTCTAATAAATTTACCTTGGCTGCTCATATTTTTGACAGACGTACGAGCTCGTACTCACGGATGACCGCCAAGTCATCCTCCGCCTCCCATGCTCAACAGGTCACGCGTCGATTGTCGCAGCAGAAGTAAGCACTGATTGAAACCTAATTAGCAACCATCCTCCACCTCGCTAAATCCGTCTCGAATCGCAGGTAAACACGTTGAGGTATATTGCTTCACACACCCAGATCCCTGTCGTCGAAGTGCTCGCGTTTAATGGAGGGAGCGACGACGAATCCACCTCCAGCTGCTTTGCCGTGCTGCAAAAGGTACTGTTCCTGCGCAGCAGCGTCATGACGTCACTGACTCTCTTGCGCCTCCCAGCCGCCAGGCATTTGCGTGGAGACTGTGTTCAAAAAGATGAGCGCCTTCGACCAAAACCTGCTCATAGCCACGGTTGCGCGGTGGATGGTCGAAGTCTCCAAGCAGCCTTTCGACTCAATCGGCAGTTTGGCAGTGGCGACAGCCCAGAACGATTTCGTAGTGGGGCCCGTCGTGGCAAAGCCATTCTACACCGACGGGAGGTCAAACGTCGTGTTGGACCGCGGGCCATTCAAGTCGGCGAAGGCTTATTACAGAGCATGCGCCCAGCGGGAACAAGACGCACTGCGTATGCTGTTCGTTCAAGATGCACCCCCTTATCGCCAGGATCTCGAAGAGAGCCACCTGACTGTCGAACGCATCGCTGGCCTCTTTTGTGATTTGATTAACCGCTGCCAGGGGCTGGACGAAGATGACCCGGAGAAGGCTCCGTTTTCACTCGATATCCACGAACTAGGGCTGAAGAACGTCTTTGTGTCACCGGAGAATCCCACTCGTGTTGTAAGTCCGCCGATAGGCTGACGGATTCAGGCCGACATCTGATCCCACCAGCTTGCAGTCGCGGATTGGCAGTTCATAAATACACGTCCTCTCTGGTGTTGCGCTCGTTTGCCGTCCTGGATGCGTCCATCTATGACAGAGGACCCGCACGACGAGGCCGCCCGTCTCGCCGCCATCTTCAAAGCGGAAGTCTCGCGAGTGGCAGGCAAAGGCTCGGCATTCGAGCGTGCCCTAGAGCTCGACGACGCGGCAAGAAACACGCTTGACGATCTGTCGACATACGACGCCTTCAGAGATGGATTCCTGCTCCTCCCGGCCCTCGAGAACATGTGAGTACACTCGGCGCGCTCAGGTTCTACCCACCCAGATTTCCCTTGCCTCCTCCCTGAGGGTTTCCTCCCTGAACTCACACAAATTACTGATTGCACCCCTTCCTCCCTCGCTCCCTGGCGCACGCATTCACTGGCTACATAGCCTCGCCACGCTTCCCGGTCACGAGGACGTCGCAGGGTTGACCGCCATCCTGGACCCGAGCACGCTCCCAGGACGCGCAGCGCGCATCAACCTCCTCACGCGCGGCTCCAATGTGCTCTACCTCGCGATGACGCCCCCGCGGAGCCCGCGCCCGGCGCCCGTGCGCCCGGACGACGTGGACCAGGCCTCGGCGGACCGCGGCCAGGGCACGCTCCCCGTTTCGTAGGACAACCTCCCACTCCCACGGACGCCAGTGATGTTATAGATCTACGGGGACGTGGCACGGGAAAATGTCGGAGCACACACGTCGGGGAGGGAAGGCAAAGGAAGGGGGGCTGACGACGAGGATCGCAGGCTGGGCCAGGACCGTTGCATGTACGGCTCGACGAACAGAGTTTTGGCTCTCCGCTGCAGGCGCGCGCCCGCCACGGGCGCAGAGGGTTTGGGACGCTCTCACAGTGATGGCTATCGCGCGCCCGGGCAGGGTTGGACGTTGGCGAGTCGGCCACGCCAAGCCTGTGCTGTCGTCGGGAGTACTTCGCGTTTCCCGACCGGGGGCCACCGGCGTGAGCGTGCGACGCGAGGTTTGAACTGGGGACGCTGCATCCGGCCGTCCGAGAGAATCGGTATGTGTGTCGCATTCAAGGAGGTCGTCAAGGTCGTGTCGCTAACATACACGGGCATATCTTTCGAGCCCCAAACGGTGGGCTCGTCACAGTGGGTATCAAGCATCTTCCTTTGTTCCTGCAGAACGCGATCTCGGGAAGGCTGGTTGTTCTCTGTGAGTGTGTCAGAACATGTACGTATAAATAAAGGGGAATGTGAACTCACCGAAAGCTGTCTGGCGACAGCGCTGGAAGGTATGGGTGTAAATGATGTTGGTATTACAAAGGAACCGGTCGAGACGATGGAGATGTCGGGAACCGTCGAAAATACTGCGTCGTTCCCGTAAGTGCATTGCGCCTCGACGACCAAGGACCGTGCATTGAGGCATGCCATGAAGGAGTTGGCATACACTATAGTCCGCTATTAGCCCAGTACTAAATGAGCGGGAGTAAGATTACGAACGTTTGCCCATGATGAACTCGTCCGCAATAAACCATGCCGTCCAGGGGAGGAACATGAACTGGGCAAGCAACCGGTTTAGTGGACGAAGATGCTTATAAGACGGAAACGTACAATTATGAACCTTACAATCGCCGCGCACCTGTTGGAAGCGAATCAGTAGTGGGACGCCTATGTGCTTCGGGACGACCTACATAAGCAGCGTGCAACGATTGATGAGCAACGTAATAACCTGGTGAGTTGCTGAATAAATCACCCCGCTTGAAAGAGGTCAGCTACGCCGTGCAAGTGACGCTGCCAAGGGACGAACGGACCCATCTCTGTCCGGCGTCCTTCCTCTCGACAAGATGGTGAGAGTACAGGCCAGAAACCCATCCGATAGCATGGCGACAAGAGTGTAGGGCATGGTTACAGAGAACTAGATCATGCATCTCATCAGCTTCCTGGTAGTGCTTGTGCGACTAGTGCACTGACCGCCAAAGATGCTAGAGATGTGAGGCGGAAACTATTTTCGAATGAGTACTAAAGCTTGAGGACTTCGTCAGCGTGACCTCACCTTTGGAACGTTGAAATGATCTTAGCGGTCGCCTCTAGAACAATATATCAGAATTAGCACGGGGTGCTCCAGGCGAAGCTCACTGACCAGCTCCGAGAGCGATGTGTGCGATGACAAGGATGGCCTGCGCGGTATGTTTTCCTGGTCAACAGTGACGGTATAGGGGTTGTGGTGGGAACGCTTCCGCACCATGATCGGTGGAACGGTGTATCGCGCAAAGCGCGTCCGACACACTGCGCGACGCGTGAACGGGTGAATACATCGGTGAGTAGGTGGCTTACAACGATGTATCCTTTGAATGAAGAAGCTGAGAGGTCGAAAGGATGGTAAGCCGCGAGATTATGTGAAAGCGAGGGGGTCACGTACCATTGAACGACGGCGGCGACGACCAGCTGCGAGCGTGGTTCAGTGGCAAGATCGAAGATGCGGGTGAAAATTTGCTCAACGTTTACTACCGCTGAAGCCTTGTCCCACAGTGAAGGTCAGCGACCCGCAGCTACGATGTCTACGAAATGCGCACCAGAAACGACCTGCTCAAAGTATTAGCCTCGGTGCGGCGGTGAAGTTGGGAGGGAAGTACTTACCTTTTAGCGTACTCCTCGCGATCGTCGCTGATCTCCGTCGGCGGGCTGACCATGCCCCACTTCGCGCAGGGTCAGCTTAAACCCTGGAGACCGTAGAGAGGGACTGACAGCCCAATAATAGAGCCCGTGACAAACTGCACATCACGGGGTCAGGACCAGGCCAACCAACGAAGCGTACACTTCCGCACCTAAAATGACGTTGGCGGTGTCCAGAGCCCTGGGTGGTGCCATCAGACGCCCACTCGACTGTGTTGCGCTTAACCACTCCGGCTCACCACACAAGCAAGACCTAGCATCCGAGGTGTATCCGTTCAGCCCACGCGCGTGGCGGCACAGCCCAAGCGAAGCTCACCCATATTTTGAGTTCGGGCCCATCTCGCGGGAACCTCATCAGGTACACATACGTCTGTTGGATGGCGTTGACACCACCGTTGTCGGCCGAGTACGAGGCGGACGAGAGAAGGACGTGGAGCGGAAGAGAGTGTGGTGAAGTGAGCATCACATCCTCGGGTCATTTACTGAGAGCACGTACCTGCAGCGTGCTGATGCCATAGAGACTACATTTTGAGACGGAGGTCAGCGTCGCTTCTGGGCCCCGCGTCCGGGAGACTGCGTCGAAGGCAGTCGAACGGGGTCCGGCGTCGGTCATCTGACTTACAAGGTAGAGATCATCTGGCCAATGAGCAGGGCGCCTGTATCAAAGCTTTAGGAAGGCCGACTTGGAACGTCCGGGTTCGAAGGAGATAGGTGGTACGTGCGCTGAGTACCCACCCAGGTTGTCGTCGTACATGTTATCCGTGGAACCCTGTGGACCGAAGGCGTGCGGCAACCAAGTCGACGTGTACTAGGCGCGATCGAAGCCCGACTTGACACGGCCACAAGTTGAGACCGAAGTTACGAACTGGGGGGACGAGGGCAGCCCTGGGTCGCTAGCCCCAAGAGACGAAGCGGGCGGAGAGTGGACTGACTGATCAAAGACCGAAATTGTTCGCCCAGGGCGGATACATATAGCCACCCCGTGCGCGCACCCGCCCGCCCGCCCGCCAGCAGGACGGCGCGGGCGAGCACCGTGCACGAGATCCCGCCGCACACCCACGGGCCAAAACGCGAGTCGCCAGGCGCGAGGCCCGCGCCGACTTGGCATCCCAGCGCGGGAGCGGGGACGTGCGCCCCTGCCAGGGCCCCGGGCGCAGATGCCAAATGCTCCCATTTCGCGCCGTGCGAGTGACGGGGGCAGAGGACGGGGTCCGCTGGGCGGCGCGCATGGGGCTGGGACGCGCGCGGGACGTAACGGGAGAACACGCTCACAGCGCTCTGCGCCCCGCTGGGTGGCAGACCCTGCTGTGCCCGTCTGAAGGCGAGCGCCGCCCACGCTAAGGATGGCACGCGCGGGAATCCCACCGTGGGTGGGGTGCGTAGCATGGCGACCGCGTTTGTGGGAGGGGCGAGCGTGGTGCGCGTGCCTGCCAGTTGTGGGCCTCGCGAGGCCCGGGTTCCGAGGGCTCAATGGTGGCCGGCCTGGTGGGTCGCTGTTGGAGATGCTGTGACGTGTAAGCGGAATCACCGGGGCGGCCGACATTCGAAGTGTTCTCGGGGCGGCCGAAAGGCCAGAGGTTCCGTCTTCATTGTCCCTGCGCCCGTCTGTCACTTGCCCGCAGCCATGGACAAAACTGCGTTCTGCACTTTACTTAACCTTTCCCAAGTCAGGCTCGCTACGAACGCGGCAGGAGCTAAGCCTAACTTGCATTGCAGGGTCCCTGGGTTTCCGGCACGCTGTCGCCGAGCCACGCGTGTCGCACATACACCGCACTGCGAATAGCAGCGGCTAGTCCTATCGAGGGAATTCAGTGAGCCCAACGCCCATCACCACACCCACGTACCCAGAAATGTGCCCCGGTCCATAGCGGCTGGCGCGAAGCCGGGGGCGAGTTCGAGGTGGTGCTGGCCAGCTGACCTCGGCGGGCAACGGCACAGATGCACCCTCCGCTGCGCTCGACACCGTCGAGACGGCGCATGGACGTCCGGCGAGAGTCGTGTGGCCGGGAGACCTGCTTGCGGGCCTGGCCAACGTGCCGTGCGCTATCGATGGAGGCGTGAGTGTGCTGGAAGCAGAGGGAGGAGGGAGGCAAGGGGCGCATGACGTACCCGCGAGGCCGACGACCGTGCTGCGGGACCGAGTGCATGGCTTCTGGCGGGACGATAAAGGCTGTCGGTACCGAGCATGCGCCGAAGCGGGGGGCCGGCCGCCGTGCCTTGCCTTGCGGTCCCGCGAAGCTTGCCTGAGCAAGCGACGAGATGTGGGAAGGGGCGGGAAGGCATTGGCGGGCACCGCGAGCTCGGGACTCGTGCTGATGCGGGGTTCGAGGGGGCGTCAAATGACTGTAGTTGATGATCGTCAAATTACATATGTAACACACAAGATAGAGAGATGACAACGTCGAGATATAGCGATATATGGGAAAGCATTCCAGGACGACGTCAGGACAACTCGAGGGAGGAGGACAGGAGACTAGTAATTCGAGAAACGTGAACCACGGGCAGCGTGGGATAGATGTGCAGCCCGAGAGTGGATCGTGGTGAGATGGACGGCGATGGCATGGAGGAATGCGACGGCTCGCAAACACGGTGGCATAATCATCCCTGCGGATCCGCCTGCCCCATCACGGAAGACGACGTGGAACGCAAGGGAATAAAGAGAGGAAGAGATACCAAAGCAGTGGACACCTGACCGTCCAAGGGAGACTGACGGTGCGCGTGCGAGTCCCAGGGAGGCAACGACCGCGACCGCTAGAAGAGCATAGCCTGCAGGTTGGGCAAGAACGTTCTAGATATGGGACCGTCTTTGTCAGTAACACGCACGACCGCCCAAAGATCACACGACTCACATGGCACCCATACCGGCCGCAAATGCGAGCGAGCCCCACAAGAGCGACTTGCGCTCTGGCGGCATCCGCCCCAGGAGACCCACCCTGCTGTTCGTCGCAATCGCCCGCTCGCCGACCTCACTTTCTCCCGGTTCCTTGAAGTTGAACTTGTACTGGGCCGACTCCTCTTCGCGTGAACGCTTGCTCCCAGCGTCCTCCTCCGTCATCTCCTCGTCGCCTGCCGCCTGCTTTTTCGCCTGTGCGACACGCTCGGCCTTAAGCCTGGCGATCAGCTCCTTCTGTTCCTGCACATCCTCGTGCATCTTCGGCTCTGCCACCTTCGCCGCCTCTGCGTCCTCGTCGACCGCAGTCTCGTCCGACCCCGACGGCGTCGGCATCTCGTCGCGCGCCGTTTTCCGTCCCCGAGGTGTCTTGAGTGGAGACTTCTGGACGGGCACAACGAGCGGTTGGGTCTGTGACTCCACCGGCGGGCTCTTCAGGCGTGCAGACCGTCGTGGGTTGGGCGACGTCGCCATGCGGGGCTTGCTCGGTGAGGTCTGGGCTTCAGGGGGTGGCGCCGGGGCGGGGGGAGGTATCGCTGGCGAGGCTGGAGACGCTTCCCGCCGCCGTTTGGCGGGTGCGGGGCCAGGCTCGGCGACGGGGGATGCGGTGGGCGTCGGCTGCTGGTTCTTGGACCGGCGGAAGGTGGTCTGGGGGTCGGGGACGGCGTTGGCAAGCGAGTCGATGATGGCCTGGAGGTAGTAGCCGTCGGCGAGGGCCCGCGCGACGTCGGGGGTGACCCAAGTGCCGGCGAAGCGAGCTTTGCCCGACTTGTTCGCGCCGGAGATGTCGAAGGCGGTCTTGATCCAGTTCGTCTCGACCTTTTCTGCCTCCTCGGTAGCGGTGGGGAACGCGGCGCGGAACATGGTGGTCACGGAGATCGCGCCCGTGTCCAGCCGGCGGAGGATAAAGGCGTGGCCGCCGTTGGGCTGTGGTGGCGAGTAGGTCAGCAGAGAGCGACGACGCGCGTGGAACGCGGGGAGGGGGCGGAGGGGCACATACAGTGGGGATCTTGACGCGGCCGACCTAGACGCGGTGGTCAGCGACGCGCGCGCGAGATGCGCGTAAAGACGTACGATAGTGGCCTGACCCTCCCTCACGATCTCCTGGAACTTGACCGCGGGCGGCGGTTTGGACGCGTCCACTGTGGAGGAGGTGAATACGGATACGGGCCGAGGATGGGAGCGATACGGACTTGCGCGGATGTGGGGGTTGGCATGCTCAACAGGGAGGGCGGGGCGAGGAACACCAGGCTTGGGGACGGCGAGCAGTTTGGAGGTGGGGGGCATCGCGGAGGAGTGCGCGAGGGTAGCCTGGGGGCCGTCGAACAGTCGCGATCAGAGGGCGCGTTGCGCGTTGGGCAGAGCAAACACGTCCCCCGCCCCCTCCCCACGCTCCGAACTCCCTTCAAGCTCCGCCCGGCATCCCCCGCTGGAATGGGCGTCTACACCGGCGCCCATGCTTTGTGGCCTGAACGGGGACTACAGCTGGCTACATTTGTTGGTCTACAGTCTTATAATACAGTCTATCGGCTTTGCGTTACTTCTAGGCGGGTACCATCATCCTTGCGATCGACGTTCACTCCTTCTTCCCGACCCCTTTGGCCAGGAACTGCGGCCGCGCCACCATCGCCTCGACCAGCTCCTGGTGCTGGTCCCACCATGCATGCGTCCCCCGCCGGTTCTTCATGTCCGCATGCTCGACCATGTCCGTCACCGGCACCCACGTCACCGACGTGCCCTGGATCGTGATCACGGCCGCGCTCTCGGGCGGCGCCTGCTTGCTGCGGGTATGCTGTTTCTGTATTGCCTGGTGGTGCTCCTCCATGAACGCCATGCACTTGAGCGACAGGCGGACCGCACGGATGCGATCCGTTGGCGACGGGATGCCACCCTGTAACGTGTGCCCGAGCGAGGCGGAGCGGGAGTCGAACAGCGATCCACCCTCTTCCTTGAACATCTTTTGGATCATCTCCGTCGTGTAGACGTTGGACGCAACCTCGTTCCTACGACTAGCGTTAATATCACACGCATGTACGACTTCTGGATACCATACCTGAGCACGAGACGGCCTTCAGCTTTCCCCTTCGCATCCAGCGCGTACCGCCGCTTCAAGAACTTCACGTCATTGCGCAGCATGTCCAGATCGATGCCGCGCTCAGGCGTATACACAATGCACGCGCCTGTCTGGAGTCGAGTCAGCCACAGCGCGCACCTCAAACCGCACGGGATCACACTCACCGCAAGCGCGCCCATAGTCGCGATGTACCCACACATGCCACCCTGGGTTTCGACAACGAACACTCGGTTCCGGCTCGCGGACGCACTCTGCTTGATCGCGTCGCATGCGTCGACGAGTGCGTTCAAGCTCGTATCGCTCCCAAGCGAAAACTCTGTGAGCGGCACGTTGTTTGAGATCGTCGCCGGGAGGTGGACCATTGGGATGTTGAACGATGGGTAGTGCTTGCGGCCCTGCTCGAGGATCCGGAGCGAGTTGAACGCCTCGAAGCCGCCAATCATGATGAACGCGTGGAAGTTGTATTGTTGGAACTTGGCAGCGACCGCGCCGAGGTCGATATCGGGCAGCTTACGATTTGTGCCGAGCTCGGACCCGCCGCGTGTCATCCAATTGTCGACTCCGAGCCATGAGAGATGGTGCACGAGGTCGTCGAGCAGGCCGACGAAGCCGTTGTGGATCGCAAACGGCTTATGGCCTTGGCGAATGCAGTAGCGCACCGCGGCGCGGGTGGCCGCGTTCATGCCACCGGCGGGGGCGCCGACACTGGAGCAAGTCAGATCGCTGCGAAATTGCAACAAAGAGAGTGGACTTGCTGCATGATCGCGACGCGCATGCGGAGATGGTGCGGAAGTTTGGGTTCGCTCTCCAAAGTTGCGGTAGAGTAGAAGCCCTCCAAACTCTCCACAAACTCAGGGTCTCGCAGTGACATGGCCTTCTCGAAGTCCTTCTCTGAGATAGCTTGCGCGACTTCCCGGGTCTGATATGTATGTGGGAAAGGAAAACAACGTGTTGGGACACACAGATGGATCGTCAGCTTATCGAGATCCACGGGGTTGTTTGTGGAAAGACGCACCATTTTGACTGCTTCCATCAAAGGAACTCGGGTGATCTTGTTCTCTCGTACGCCTATCATGTACGAGGGCGTGTCGGGGGTCGCCTCGAGTAACGCTTCCACCGCTTCAACGCCTTGCAGGGTCGGCTATCACCCACGCTTCTGAAACAACGCTTAAACCAATAAACGTCGGACTTACGAGAATTCGATCCATCGCACAGGGACGGCCACCACGTTGTGTATGTCCAAGGGTGGTAACCCTCGTGTCCAGTCCGAGCCGCTCACTGAGGATGTCCTTTACTTGGTCGGCACGGATGGGCTGGAGCTTGGTGTCCAAAGCACCTTCAGCAACGATAACGATGGTTTTGCGTTTTCCGACATCTCGATGCTGAAGACGTTGTGAGGGTCGTCGATGTTGACTTGCAGTGAAAACTTACGCTTTGTATCATCTTGCACATTTCGTCCGCCCAGTTGTCAGCATCGGGAGGGCTCTCCGGGATGAAGATGAAATCGGCACCACAGCTGAAAACTCATGAGTATCTAAGGACGAAGTTGACCTTCGTCACGTACCTGACACCGGCCATAAGTGCAAGCCAACCACAGTGCCTGCCCATGACCTCAAGCACGAACGCGCGGGAGTGCGAGTACGCGGTCGAGTTGATGTTGTCAATGGATTCGCAGATACGATGGAGCGCAGTGGGCGCGCCGATGGTGAGGTCCGTCATGGACATATCGTTGTCGATGGACCCGACGAGTCCAACGATCTTGAGATGCGCGTGCTTCACGGCCTGCTCCTCGGTGATGCGCCCTTCCGTCTTCAGCTCCTGGACGAGCGACGGCCATTCCGCACGAAAGACGTCCGCGCCGGTCAGGGAGCCGTCTCCACCGCAAACGACGAGGGCATCGATCCCTTCCTTCATCATGTTCTTGGCGGCATCAAGACGACCTTCGTGGGTGCGAAAAGTCGCGGATCGAGCTGTGCCGATGAGCGTGCCACCCTAGATCAAAGCTGCTTTGAGTTAAGACAGCTACGAGGAGAGAACCAGATCGCTCAGTGTCCATCACGGGCATCAAAGGAGGCAGCGTATTTGAGGAACAAGACGACTATATACGCTCGAAAGCGTCTCTAGGACGTAGGAACGAAGCTGCCGACAAAGGCGTCCACTGTCCTTGCAAAAAGCCCCGCGTGGTGGAAACCGTTCGTTCTGATATCACATGGGCACTCACTTCGGAAAACCATCCGCGGACGTCATCCCACCCGACGCGCACAATGTAGCGTCCCTTGAGCGTTCTGCCGCCGGGATGGTCGCCCGTGCCGTCCCGGAGGAGCTCACCGTCGCCATAGCGCAGATTGTGGACGAAGCTCTCCGCGTCGCTGCCTTCGAACGCCTTCACCCGCGGGCTCGTGACACTGACACTGTGCGAGTGCTTGTGCGGTTCACCACTCTTGTGTACATCCGTGCTGTTTCCGCGCACGAGGCCCTCGTAGCCCTCGCGCACGATCCAGGTCTCGCAGCCCCTGAGGCGACCCGCGTAAGCCTTCGCGTACGGACAGTAAGACGTGACTCACTTGAGGATCGCGGCCTTGACCACCGCGCGCACGACCGCGTTCATCCCCGCACTGTCGCCGCCCGACGTGAGCACTGCAAGTTTCATCTTCGACATAGCTGGCCCTGTTGCAGGATAATCTTGAGCAGCAAGAAGCAGTGATACGAGATGGGGGGATGTGAGGGAGGAAGCTTGAGTGCAGGACCGTTCTTATAGCACGACGGGGGCGCGGACGTGGTCGAGCGAACGTGCGAGGAGAGTGGTACGGTTCAGGGTGAGCAGGCTGAAGTGGTCCACGCCTGTCCAAGCAGGTCTTGACCAATTGTGGCGACAGGCGCTCGCCGCACGGAGAGCCTGGCTTGCGTCGAGTGCAGCGTCTGGCCCGATGTTTGCATCCTAGGCTCTCTATCTCCGCCTTACCCATCGCGCGAACTGTCGGCCCCGCCAATGCGGGGATAGGCTCGTGCATACAGTCAGGTCTCCAGATGTCGAGAATCCCGAATCTCGGCCGGGCACGGACAGCCTCGTCAGGGTCTAATGTCCGAGTACTCCAGTGCAATCCAAGTGGATCATGTACAGTGTACACGATAGCAGCAGACCGCGGCTATTCTCGGATGTAAGATTAAGACAGTCCGCGTCCCTGCGGATACCATTTTACTACAAAGTTGGGATGGCCGTGGCGTCATGAAGGATCGTGCAGAATCGTGGTATTACATGTCGTCAGATCATCGTAGATGGGCACTGGATGGGAGGGTGTCTGGTGAACTAGTACACGCCCTCAGTGGTGCGGCAGCGAACGTCTTGCGGGAAGAAGCAGCTCCGCGTTCGAGAACCGTCGGCGGCAGTGAAGGTGATTTCATATAGGACGGTGTTGTATTCCTGCGTAGAAGGTTAACAGTTGATTAGTATTGAAGGTATGCTGGGAGAAGGGAAGTACGAACTTGTCGATACATTGCCCGATGAACAGTGCCTGGGATCCAGATGTCGGTGCGGTACTGGATGTCAACTTCTTCATCCTACGAGAAGGTCAGAAGAGCCTGGGTAAGACTTCGTACAAGAGCTCGCTTGCCTTCATCTGAAGAAACGTACGTGAGTTACACATGCGGAGAAAAACAAGTAATTGTAAAACTTACGAAGCGCGCAACGGGATGCGTAAGAGGCCGGCTCGAAAGAGCACGACGATAGGTAGATACGGGAGGGGTGGAAGGAGCCATGGAGGCGTAAGGACGGTCAGGACGACGGAGGGGGCAGCGGCAGGATCGTCTGGGCGTAGGGTGACAGGTGAGGCACTCATAAATAGGGCTCGGAGGACAGCCTCAAAACAGGGCGTTTTCACGGAAATGCGAACGTCACGGTCACGTAGTCTACCATCGACACCAAATGGTAAGGGAACTGAAGCGCTAGAAATCGGGAGTGCTTCCGCATCCACCGGATTCGAGCTCAGACAGAGACATAAACCGTGAGAAGACCACGAAATTGGCGGGAGCCACAACGGTGTGAAATCAAGGGACAGAAGCGGCATTCTCTGTACATGCAGCTTCTACCCCGACTTCACGATACCGTTGACATTGCAAAGAATGGTGAACTGCAGAACTCACAGGCATCAGCGTGAAGTCTAGCGCTCTTCCAGCATAAGTGCCCCGCCATGGAGTGGCGACATGGATCTGCCTAAGCAAGAGATTCGACGCAGAGGCTAAGACCCAGACCCGCATGCATACAGTGATGTTGGATGGGGAAGATCTAAAATTTTAGCTTTGAGTACTGTGAAGTTTTCCGGTATTCATAGAAGCATTTGGGTAACAGGTTGACATGCTTACCGACGCAGCCATACCACCAAGACTGAGAGGGACAAAGGAGGAGAGTCGAAACTCCAGGCGGGGATGTCGCGACTCACAGCACCGAGAATGCGGCTGTTGTCGACGGAGCGACCAAGAGCGCAACACTAGACTCATGTGTTTGAGTGGCATTGGTCAACGAGGACGCTTATAATTCCAACGTGTTTTGCACGAAGATAAGCAGGAACAAAGAGACACCTCGTTTGCTTGCGTCCGAGGGTCTTTTGCGTAGAAGTTATGGAGCGCTCACCGCTGCACAACATTTGCCCGCCCCTCGGTATATCCTGTGCCTCGGGGTCACTTAAGGGTACGAAGCCAACCATGTCACGTAACGGAGTCCGAAGTCGGAGGTGAAGAGGTGCAGTGGGACTGTGCCCCCGCCAGCGCCACAAATCTATCGCCCGATTGTTGAGTACTTGAGTTGTCAAGGTCCCAGTGGGAAAAAGTAGGGCGTCTCTGACTTTGAGCCTGCGCCTCTTGTGCCCTTGGTCCGCCACCACTGCCTCCAGCATCCGCTACCTTGCAATTTTGTGCTGATCGGCCGTTGTGCCGACCGGCGCGCGCACCAACGAGCCTGCTATCCGCACAATGCCCAATCAACTTTCGATCCCGTTCAAGAGAACCTACGTAGTCCCCATTCGTGACGCCGTCCGGGATTACATCCTCGCTCACCACACGGGCACCCATCCGGACGCATACCGCTGGGACGTATCGCAGTGGGAGAAGCTCCGCTCAGAGGTCGTGAGCAGCGTCGTTCACGTCGATCGCGTCGCGGCCTTGATTAGGTATGATCCTCGCCGCCGTCCTCCTCTTGCGAGCTACTCATTTTCTGAAGCTATCATGCCCAGATAGTCTTCATCCTCACGAAACTCCCAGCCGACGTGGGCACTTCGGATCTCTTATGATCACTAATAACACCCTCTGACCTGACGTCCATAGATCGGGTTGGAGATTCCCTACGCGCCTGTATTTGACGGCAACGCCCTTCCGGAGACATCCAACAGCCTGATCTATGACCGCGCCGGAGTCCTCTTCAACCTATCTGCTCTTTTCTCTCAGCTTGCCACTGCAGAAGACCGCTCTACACCACATGGTTTGAAACATGCCATTAAATTCTATCAGGTAGGATAGCCCCTCGGGAATGTCACGCATACAGTGACCATACCATGTTATCAGAACGCAGCTGGCACTTTGCAGTACCTGGCGGACACAGTTTCGCCTTTATTGCAATCCTCCCTAGCACCGAACGAGGCGCCTGTGGAGCTATTGACGCCATTCATCCGAAGCTTGGAGTTCTTGATGCTCGCACAGGCTCAGGAGTGCGTGTGGCAAAGGGCTGTAATGGGTGGGTTCTTGAGGCTGTCCACGTCGTCGGCCTTTACATGACCTTTATCTTCAGACAATTTCAAGAATGGTCTGATTGCCAAGCTCGCTGCGAAGGTGAGGCAAGCGACGCCGACACCGGATGACGGCGCCTCATATGTGCTTTAGGTTGGTTCGCTTTATGGAATTTCCTCCGAGTATATCAAAGAGAACGCGTCCGCAAGGCGTGTCGTGCCTTCTGTAAGTGCACTTCGTTTCATCCGCACGTCATCGTAAGCTGATCCTTCCCACAGTCCTGGCAGGCACACTTAGAAACGAAGGCCTTCCATTTCCAGGCTGCCGCGCAGTATAGGAAGAGCCTCGAGGATTTGGAAGTGAACAAGTACAGCCTCTTCTCTAATCCCACAATTATCCCCCCTGAATCAGCCACATTACGCAGTTACGGTTATGAGGTCGCTCGTCTTCTAGAAGCTCATAGCCTTGCGAAACGCGGATACGACATAGCACGACGCGGCGGAGCATCTGCACCTGTTCAGCAAGACATCAAGGTTGTTCATATACCTTCGTTTGCTCTGTCGATGCATAACTGAACATATAGCATATAGTCCCTGCTCGACATCCTACAAAAGAATATCACGCGAGCGGAACGGGACAATGACCTCATCTACCACAAGGATGTGCCTCCCACTTCAGCACTTCCAGCGATCGTGGAAGTTTCCGTGGCCATACCCACCGTGGAACTTGGGCTCAAAGACCCGAAAACGGCGGTGGGAAGCGACGGAGTAATTTTCGGTGAGCTGTTAGGTTGGGGTGTGCGGACAGCCATAGGTATGTGACAGTTCGGTTGCGCGAACATCCCCAGTGTCACGCCTCCCTTCACACAGACATCTACAACGATCGGAGGCAGAACTGGATTGCCGAAGAAGTCTCGGAACGTGTGCGACGTCTTGACGACAACATCGCCAAGTACGTCCCGGTTCCATGTCAGCGGAGTTCGATGCTTCCGAAGCTGATGAGGATGCCTACGCTATCAGCACTCTAGAGAGTTTGAGCCTGCCGTCGGCACTTGACGCTCTTGACAAGCCGATTGGACTCCCTCCCAGCCTCGTGAAGAAGGCGGGAGAGGTCAGAGCGGACAGCGGCCCAGAACGCATCGAGGCTATGATTCGTGATGTACAAGCTCTCGCGAAACACAACGCCGACCTCATTGATGAAGTGAGTCGCCTGATATAGCAGATCGTCGACCACATGACCTCCCTGACGTGATACCCGCTCAGGCCATGGATATTCTCGACCACGAAGCTGACGAGGACGAAGCGTTCCGTGAGGGACACCCCGACGTAGAGCGGCCTGCATCGCACGAAGCGAACACGGAGCTCGTGCAGAAGGAACAGCGCTATCGGGCTGTTCTGCAGCAAGCGCGCGACAGCGACGAACTCGTGCGCCAGAAGTGGGAGCAGTGGGAAGACAACATCGTACAACTCACCTGGACAGAGGCGAGTTTCGTTATTTCCGCGGCCGCCGGACGGAAGCTGACGGGAGCCACAAGGAGGAACTAGAACAGAGTATACCCTCGTCGACCTCCGCCGACAGACTGGGTCAGAACAGCCCTCCCTCTGAGGCCCACGATCTCACACGCGCCCACGCTCGCGCGCTCCGCGCCCTTTTGGAACGACTGGAAGATCTTTCAAGAGCCCGCGTGGAGTTGGAGGCTCGCGTCGGCCGCCTCGCGGCGTCGGATGATATCACCCAGCGAGTCTTGAAAGCTGCATCGGGGATGGAGCAGTGGGTAAACGTCCAGCCGGCAATGTTTGAAGACATCCTTGACGCGGAACTGTCAAAGTTCGATCGATTCCGGGTACAGCTTGACGAAGACGAGGAGAAACAAGAGGACATGTTGCGACAAGTCTCGGTATGTCGTCGCTCGGTGGTATTCCCCGATCAAGGGCTACCACGTCGGCCCTAGGAAGGGCGACCCTACACTAACGGTTTTCGGTTTCCAAGGAACGTCGGGCCGAGTTCATCCAGTCTAGAAGAGACGATGCATCGATACAAGCTCGGGAGCTTGCTCTCCAGAGCATGGATCTTGCATACCACAAGTACAAGGAGATCATCAGAAATCTGGAAGAGGGGCTGAAGGTGCTTCTTCCGCGATCCTCAGCTTTACGACACTAATCACACGCGTCTTTCGCTATTCCAGTTTTACAACGACCTCGCCGTAATACTTTCCCAATTCCGAGACACATGCAAGGACTGGGTCGTCCTCCGCAGGCGGGAGATCAGGCATGTGTTCCACCGCCGTCCAGCTGACCCAAATTGCTGATGCGCCCATTCACTTAGCTCCCTGACGACCGCGCTGGAGTCTATGTCTGTGTCCGACACGATGTCGGCGCAACAAGTTTCCCTCGCCATCTCCTCCGCGCCGCCGCCGCCGATCTCTCCCGCGATGGAGGAGCTAGAACCACCTCCGCCGGCGGCTGCACCTATAATTGACCGAGGCGTGAAGCGAGAATCAGAAGAGCACAGGTCCTCGATAAGCGATAGCGCGCGTCGGCGGGCGAGGGCGCCGCTGGATCTGCCGCCACCGAACTCCGACGAGTGGGAGACCATGGACATGCCCAAGATGCCATCTGTGCCGAAGAAAACGCCGAAGAAGAAAGTCGCAGTGCGCCACTGACGCTGCCATAGGCGCAGCACTTGGAGGAAATGCATTAAATGTAGCGATAGTGCGAGCCCGTATACACGTACGAAAAGATCCGGAAAATGTGCCTGCCCAGCCTTCTTACTATTCCGTCACACTTGGCTATGCGATGTGACGGCGGATGTGCCGTGCGGTTCTTGCTGCAGGCCTGTATTTCTCACTATCTCTTATACCGCGTCGGAGGCCACTTCAAGGCGATGCCCGCAGCTGCACGAGGGGGCCACGCCTTGCGTGGGGTTAGCTACTCTCACTACGCGGCGAGTTCCAAGGCCCGACGGTGGGCCTGTGCATCGACGTCAACGCTGAGGAGGTCTACCACACCGCCCGCGCGCCTATAGCTAGCCGATGGCGAAAGCACTGCATCGCGTAGCCGCTTATTATAAGACGCATAGGCACCGACCGCCGTCCTTCATCTACATCCTTCTCCCACTACTTACTCAGTACCACCCCCGCTCTCCACTCATCTCGCAATCTTCGCCATGGGCCACAACCGTCGTCGCAGCAACTCCTCGTCCTCCTCGTCCTCCTCGTCCTCGGACGACTCCCACCACAAGAAGGACAAGAAGGACAAGAAGAACAAGACGAAGCAAGGCGGGGCCTCCAGCCACAGCTTCCCCACCCCCGCGCACGCCATCCCTGCCGGCCTCGGCGCCGCCGCGATGGGCCTCCCGCACGGAATGCCCGTCCCCGGCGGGAGCGGTGCGCACTCGCGCGGCGCGTCCCCCGCCCCGCCGCCGCCCTACGGCGCCCCCGCGCAGCAGCCCCCCGCCTCCGGCTTCCGCGTCCCACTCGCGGACACCACGCCGTTCCCGGGCGCGCAGGCGGGCCAGCCGGTCGCGTACGACGAGGCGCAGCCGGTGTTCGTCGGCAGCGCGATCTTCGAGCGCGCGGTGCACCCGTGCAAGATCGTGCCGGCGTTCAGCCCGCCGCCGCGCGTTGCGTACGGCGGCGCGGAGCACGAGCACCGCGGGCGGTACGACCTCCTGCCGTTCGACCCGGCGACGATGGAGTGGGTCCCGGCGGCGAACGGGCAGATCCCGTCGGGGCGGCGCCCGATCGAGGGCGGGTACGAGGAGAATGGGGAGAAGCTGTACCATGCGCTCGCGAGCGTGAATGGGACGATGGTGCCGGGCAAGACGGGCACCCATCTGGTGAGTGCACCCGCGTTCGAAGGGAGGGGATGCGTTTTCATCGGGGCGTGCGATGGCAGGGTGCGGCCAACGTCCCGTGGGGCGGCCAAGAGCACTGCATCAGGCAGTACCAGATTCTGTAAGTCCGTCTACGCTTCTGCGCATGCACCCCACCCTCAACTACCGTGTTCCCCACAGCTGCTGGCGGTTCTAAGTGCTTTCAAGACACCCTCAATGCCCTCGACGGATATGGGTGGATGGAATGTATATCTCTATATGTTGCGGCGAAGATAGCGGAAAAGAAGCGTTGCACGTTGTACAATAACCCTCTTGAATGTCATCTCATGGATCCTACTGCGTCTCTGTGGCACTCCGGTCTATGTTTGGGTGGTTACCCCAATCGAAGGGCTCACATGTCGACGTATTATTCGCCCTCCGATTTTCACCCAGTGCCGTGCTTCGTGGCTCATTGTATCATGCATGCCGTGTTCGTGGGTCACTAGCTAGCCTGACACGGCACCAAGAAAATGTCCTCATGGTGGTTTCGATCTCATGGAACGTCGCGGTGAAATTCTCGACCACATATGCCAGCTATGTGCTTCAATCTTTACGTATGAGTACAGTGAGTAGTCTTGACGTAAACCCGAGGCACACCCTCGTTCCATGTCTCCAAGCTCCGTCCGGCGGACACGAACCCTGACCGTAGGGTCCATCGGAGTGCGATCGCGACAAGAACAATGGCGCAGCCTTCAGACAGCGCGACCGGTCCATTCGGACTCGCCTCGAGGCGTCGCGCATGCGGCGCAAGCGAGGTGTGCTGGCTCATTGACCCTGAAACCGACCCGTTAGCCACACTCTAGCTCCAAGAACCACCGCCCCCTGAGCGCGGCCACGCGCCCCAGGCACGGCGGGGGACGGAGCACTCACAACGTGCACACGCCGCACGGCCATGCGCCCTCGGCGGAGTCCTCGTCTGTCGCGTTCGATACCGATGGACCGTGTCGTCCCAGGGTGCCGCCTTGCCGAACGACGTCCTCTAGGGTCCGCTGGCGCGATCCAGCGTCTGGGTTTGAGTTCGAGGGCGGCGCACCCAACGTGCGCCGGGCACCCGGTCCCATTCCCAGCCCCTCGCGTTTCCGGGTTGCTATCTCGGCCTGCGCGAAGCCTCGGAGTCCTCCTGCCGCTGCAGGGGCCGTCTGGAAAGAATGCGCGCTGCCACCCTGTGGCGTCCGCTTGTTTCCGGAATTCGGGAGTGGCGGTGAAATCTGGGTCAGCTGAAGGCCTGCGGGTGGACGGCGCGCTGGGGGCCGTGCGTTTTGGCTGTGAGCCGCCGGGTTCGATGCAGCGCCATGCGTTTGGATATCTTGCGCGATCGCGGGACGACCAGCGCTGCCGTCCAGTGGTTGCTTGATGTTATCAGGGCCCAGCTGCGCTTTCCGGCCTTTGTTGGTCGAATCGTTGCCTCGGGCGGAGGGCCCTGGTGCAGGAAGATCCGCCGATGGTAGGATGAAGTCCGAGGAGTAGTCCAGTTGCCACGCCTTCAACGCATCGAGCTCTGATGTGTCCGCCGCCTCCAACAGCACGCGTCGGCGGTCTTGGTCCGTCTCCTGGATATCTTCATCACCGTCATCCTCGAGGTCGGAACCGCCTTCCGCCGCGGCTGCAGACGGATGATCAGCCTTCATCTACCCACGGTGGCAAGGATTTGGGGACTTGCCGACATCGCTTTGGTCCCGCAGCGCAGACAGGCGGTGTTCGGCGGCTCGAGCCCGTTCTTCTCGTGCGCGTTTGCTGAAAGTCGAGTCGGGTGAATAGTCAACCTAGCGCCCAAATGCAACGGATGCAATATGCAGTCGTACACCGACGGCGGGCGTGCCTACCTGGCTGCTTTCTTGCGAAACCCTGCACCAGATTGTTTTGCGTCCTCGGTTTCGGCACCCTCATCCAGCGCTCGGCCAGAGCCGACAAAGAGGCCTTGGGCAGTTACGCGCGCCCCGGCTTTCCGCCGCTTCGCGGTCTGCGCGCCAGTGTGGTTGGAGGGACCTGTGTCGCAGGCACGTCGACGTCGCCGTACGGAGGTCGGCCTCCGTCGCCCTTGTGCGCCCCCGCACTGATGCGTTCAGCCAATCAGGAAGAGGCGGGCCCGTAAGAAGGCATCGGGTGAGGCCGGAACAAGTTGTCACGCACCACGTACTCCGGGAGTTCGTCAGCGTTGAGACCCTCGCCCCGTATCACTGCAGAGTCTGATAGTCGGCTGCCCGAGGACCAGTAACCTAGGAATACCACATCACTTTGGGTTCCAATGAGAGCGAGCGAGGGGAGGGCACGCACCATCGCCATAGTAGCCTTTACGCTGGAGATCTCCTACATCATTCCGCAACTTTCTCCAGAGGGCCTGAAATGCAGGTCCGTGGTTCATGTGCTAGACGATGAACAGGGTGAGGGAAGGCACTCGGTGACGTGGTGATGTTAGACGCACCTTGATGTGCGCGAGCTGGCGGAGGGAAACCCAAAGCGAATTAGCGGAGGATCCAAATACACCGGCAGTGGCAAGGCGGTCATTAATATTTTATTCGTCAATGGGCGCCAGAATCTTCCGGACGAGTGTTGCCTCCGATGAGCGCAGGGCTCCACTGCTAGTCGATGCTGAGCGTCCGCGCACGGCCGTTTCAGCGTGCAGGGTCAGCCCTGAGATGCTCTCTGTAGGTTCCACGGTGCTCGAAGAGTGTATGTGGCCCATCTAAGGACGGAGCCTCGACGGTGGTGTGACAGGGAGCGACTCTCGCCGCAACTTCCAAGTCGCTAGCCGTCTAGGTCAAAACAGCAATGAGGACAAGAAGACGAATATCTCGTCTCCTTGTCCAACGGGTAAGCGGCCGGCAGATCAAATCCCTTTTCAACTTGAGCGCCCCGGAGACGGTGCGGAGAGGATGTGTTTCATGCCGTTTCCGTGAGATTGCATATTCAATACACTTCAAGGACAGCTACTGTGTTTGACACCAAGAGAAAGGGAGTCCAGAGCATTCAGAGTGATCCCTGAACACTCAGGACTCAGCTTCGTGGTGGTGGGGAGGTATGCACACAAGTCAAGATCGTTGCGCCACTCACCTCATGACAAAGTGTACCCAGCAACCACGGAATCGGTAAGAAAGAGCCATTTGCTCTGCGCAGGACAAGCTCTTCGTCCATAACAAGATCGTTTCCATACCCCACCACTAACAGCATCACGGTAACAACTCAAACGTACCTACGGTTTCGCCGTTGTTCCAGTTCCGACCTGCAAAGACATGGTTGTGTTCGTACTAGAGCCAGTGTTTGGTTGTTTTTTTGATATTGAACTTCAAGACAACAGAACACACCTCTTCGAAACTGTTCACAAGGAAACCTTCGGACTTCATGATGGGTCTGACTTGCGCAGCGAGTGCGCGCAATAGCTGCCGTGCATCCTCCTCTGCCTGAGAATCCACCATCTTGAGCGGGGTTATGAATTTGATATGCGGGTTCGGGTTCGCCTCCCGTTCGTTGAATCGAGCATGAGCCATAGACAGCCTTTGTGGGTGGATGTGAGCGGAGGTACATGTACAGCTCAGGCTCTAGCTCGCGTTCTGTGCAAACGCCGAGGCGCTGACGGAGCCAAATGTCACATGTCAAGTCCTGTCACCGGTCACTATGTCACACTGTCGCTCCAGGTATCGATCTCCGGGTACGTTGGGCGCTCGATCCCGAACGTCGGGCCCTCAGGCCTCAGGTCCTAGTACCTCCTTCCACGCAAGTCACAACGAGACCCACCTAATATTCCGAGTGACCATATGTCCATCCGCTGGCACAAGTCGCGCCCCAGCCACCGCATCCCAGCGCCCGCTGTGGCTTCCTCATGCCACCGTCACCGACCCTTCGGACAGCACATCTCTAGATCTATGAATTCAATACGATCCCCGCGGCGCCCGCCATAACTTTGCAAGTGCCGCATCGCGAGTGCCGGGGGGCCGAGGGTTGTAAGACCCAAGACAACGGGAAGAGGGTTATTTGTCCCCTATAACGCCTGCCAGGGCATTCATATCCAGCCCCATGGGCATCTACTTTAAAAACCCCAGGCGAGCCATGCCCCCTGCGCACCCCCCGTCCCCGCACCCCGAACGCGCATCTCCCATCCCACATCCCACACTGTATCGTCGATGGCTCGCGGCACGTCCCCTGTAGCTCGTGCCCAGCGACCCTCATCTCAGGTTGTGAGTCGTCTAGTTGTCCTCGCCATGTCATTGTGCTGACGATGTCTGATACGCTATGTGCGATGCTAGACCCCAAGGCCCCCCAGTCATCCCATCCCTCCGATCGCTCCTGTGTCCCAATATGTGGGTATCTTGGTCGTCCATCCATCCGTTGTCATTGCGCCATCTGCTGACTCCGCACCTGCTGTGTGCACAGCTTCATGTCAGTTGTCGGTGTACAAACTGCGCAGTCTGCTACAAGGCTGAAACTTTGGTCGCAGGGACAGCAGGTCGATGTGCAGATCAGATTGTATATCTGGGTCCGCGGTACCATCAAGGAACAGGTATATGTCAAGGCATGTTTCCCTTTATCCCTTTACTGTCAGTATGCTCACGAGGGCGTCATGCAGGGCTACAATGCAGTCATGTATGGGATAGAGTATTGTGCAGCGGATGGTTGCCTTTACACCGAGTTGTTCCATCGCAAAGACATTCGCCCCCACATCAACTGAGCTTCGTTCCTGCAGAGCGACTCTTGACGCTATAGACGCAATCTATGTTGAGTCTTTTTGCGGTTCGTATTGATACCCTCCATGTGTACGTGCATGTAGTCCCTGCCCAATGTCCACTGCCCGGGAAGTACGTAGTAAACCACCTATAACCGACGTCGTTGGCGGCCGATGCCCGTTCCTTGGTCCTTTAGCGGCTTTTTTCGATCGCGATCGGCAGACCATGATCTCGGATCGAGGTGTCGCTGAGAGGAGACGGTATGCTTGAGACAGACGTTTAGTTTTATCGCCTGCACAAGTGTGCATTTTCCGCGTCTTGCTCCGGCATGGGTGAGTTTCAGCCCACGTTTCTCACTAGCTGTGTATGTCTTCGGTGCTTCAGGGCGCGGAGGAGCCAGGCCTCGTGAGAACAAAGTGGTGCACACTCGTGCCGGCCGCCGGACCTGGTGCCGCCTGAAACGACCGTTTGGCCAAGAGCCCAACGTGCTGCTCGAGCCCGCTGGCCCGAGCGCGCCGCTGCTTCTCTCTCGGACACGACCAGGCCGCGTGCAGGAACCCCAGAGTCCGCTCGGCGTGTTCCCCCCGTCCTCTCGTCTTCTCAGCCACTCCTCCATGTCACGGAATGCCGCTCCTTCTTCTTCGTCTCGCTTGCTTGATTTTCCTGTTGTGTCTGGGGACGCCCACTTGCGCGAAACAGCAGTGTCGCCTCGTGCTTAACGCACAGCTCGGCGACTCCTCCAATCCCCAAGCGCCGCTCTCAGCTACTCCGACGTCCTCTGGGCCTCCCTCGACCTCGACGACCTCGTTACCAACACTCGCACCGTTCAAATATGGGCAGGATATCGTTCGGGGAGTCAATTTGTGAGTACAACGTTTTCTCCCGTGACAGGGAGTGTTGAGTTTTCACCGCAGGGGCGGATGGTTTGTGCTCGAGGTGAGCGCATCCTTGCATGGCTGGAACACTCGCGTCATGACTGTTGGGTAGCCCTGGATCACACCAAGTATCTTCGAGGCCACGAACAACGGCGACATCATAGACGAGTACACGTTCGGCGGGATGCAAGATTACAACCACGCCCTAGACGTCTTGCAGACACACTGGGATACATGGATCACCGAAGATGACTTCGTTGCGATCAAGAACGCCGGACTTAATCATGTCAGGTATGTACAAAGTGCTGTCGCTCCAGACGCTTCATCCGTGAACGCCTGCATGCAACGAGGCCGCGTCAGGAAACCCAAGCTATGTGGTCTATGTCCGCATAGAGCACAAGGCATTTACGTCATGGACTTGGTTGTGCGAAGTCGTTGACACGACCGTCTCCTCCCACATTTACCCTTTTTTGTCGATCCTTCTAACTTTTTTGTCGTAGGATGCAAGTCGGATACTGGTCCGTTCCGATCACTACGGCGGATACAAACTTCACAACCTCGACCGACCCTTACATCCCCGGAGCATGGCCGTACCTCTTACGTGCGCTCGGCTGGGCACGACAGCACGGCATCCACGTCATCCTCGACCTCCACGGCGCGCCGGGCTCGCAGAACGGGTACGACAACTCCGGGCGCCTCGGTGGCGCGAACTGGGCAAAGGGAAACAACGTCTCCCGCACTGTCGACATTGTCCGCTTCATTGCTGCTCAGATTGGCGGCATGATCGACGTGCTCGAGCTCATCAACGAGGCTGGCGGCTGGCAGAGCAACATCGCTGCCATTGTCCGCGACTTCTTTACCGATGGGTACGATGCGGTCCGTAGTGTCTCGGGGACCGACCTCAAGGTTATGATCGGGGACGCTTTTTTGGGCGTTGCAGTGAGTGACGCGCATCGTCGGTGGGATAGCCGAGTTGACAAATCCCACTTGACCAGAACTGGGATGGCTTCTTGACACCACCTTCCGGTCAAGGTGTTCTCATGGACTTCGTGAGTTGGATTTGACAGGTGCCACGGCCGCGCACACAATAATGAGGGTCTGTCAGCACGAGTACCAGATATTTAATTACGACCAGCTCGCAATGACCCAAGATGAACACATTAACGTGAGCGTCCTGGATCAGTTCTTATCTCCAACGCTCGGCAGGCTCACGCGCAAACTCTGTTCTGAAGTATTCCTGCTCCGTTCTCGACACCTTGAAGACGTATGCCCAATCAAATCTATACACGATCAGCGGCGAATGGTCTAACGCCATCACCGACTGCGCGAAATGGCTTAACGGGCGTGGCGTCGGAGCGCGCTGGGATGGTACCTGGCAGGCCGGCCAGCAGACCTTCGGTAACTGCGATGGATACACCGGCAATATGTCCACGTTCAGTGACGATTACAAGACGTTCCTCCGGAAGTGCGGAGAGTTCCTTACCTTGATTTATTCAGTTCGCTCATCCACTTTTGTTTGGCTGACGCTGGTGCAGATACTTCGAATCCCAGGTCGCCATCGGAGAGGCAGTTCAAGGCTGGACCTTCTGGACATGGAAGGTAGGCTATTGCCGCCGATGCCGTATCGTCCTCGTTGTGGCAGAGCTAGTCTGGTATCTAACACACTCCGCTAGGCCGAGAACGCAGACGACTGGAGCTATCAGAAGGGATTGGAGGGCGGCTGGATCCCGCAAGACCCGACGGATAGGAAGTACCCCGACATATGTTCTTAGACTCTAACCCCCCCGGTGCATGCACTGCCACGTCGAGGGGCCAACATTATTACTCGGTACATCGGTGAGTTTGCGCTACTCGGGACTCCTGTCATGTGAGACTGATGGACCGCAGCGTATTTATCATCTACTATAACGGACACTGTTCTTCTACTCCCGCGCGCCGCAGCAGACATTGTTCCTAACAAGTTGTAATTAAATCCAGGACGAGGTTCCGTTGCCGATGGTCCTGCTGCCGCCTCGGAGAGCGCACCGCCTCGTTGTCCACGCCAACCCTTTGGAGAACTGGTGGTCCCGGCCGGTCACACGCTCACGGTCGGGAGTGGACAAGCAGCCTCTTCACCGCATGGATGACTCGGACCGGCCTTCAGGGGCATCGTAGTTCAGGAGCTTAAGCCAAGGCCCCATGACCCCCCTGCGGAGGAAGTTGTGCCGACAGGCTTCACCGGTCTGGCGTTTGCATAGATCCTTATCTCCGATGAGATCGAATCTCATACCCGCGTCGACGCGCGTGGATTCGCAAACCGGACATCATCATTTCATTTCCCTCCAATCCCATCAGGATGCCCACGCCCCGTCGACCCTGCCAGTCGACTGTGGAAAGGTTTGGTGTTTGGTGTCCTTATCAGCCGTAACGCGTTGCGTGTCGTAGTCCTGGGCAAACCATGAACGACTTCAAAAGAATCCGGCGCCGTGGGGCGATGATCCACACACGAGGCAAGGTGCGCTGCGTCAACCGGGTAGAATAAAGCCAGCAATCCAATAATCTACCACATTCCCAACTATCATGTATACAGTAGTTTTTGCATGTCTTCTCAAAATGCCGTTCAGCTTTTTGTCCCTAATGTGGCGGGTTGGTGGCAGGCCGCGCCTTGTGTTATGCAGTGACGCGTCTCACGTGCATGCAACTGGCGATGACCGCATCTGACTCGAGGAAGATCTTCAAGACTTCAACAAAAGCCCCAGGTCTTAAGTTCTAAAAAATCGCTGGAACTAGAAAAACTTCTCTCTCTCTGCCTTATCAGCACTCGACTCGCCTTGAACCACATTTAGATAACTGAGCTGTTGTCGATCTCGTGGCACGTGGTCGTGAAAGATTAGGATAATCGACGTCGCGGCGGTGGCGCACGGCGGCAAAGAAGTTCTGCGACTCACAAGGAGCGGGACATCCTAGTCACCTCTCACTCTCCCTCCTCTTTCTCTCCGTGTCTGGCGGCACACGTACACCCCTTGCTCGCCATGGATCAGAGTCTGGACCAATTCGTTCAAGCTATTCTGATTGCGTACGATCCATTGCAAAGCGCACTGCACAACCAAGCCCTCGAATACTTGTCTGCAATCCAGCGGGATCCATCTGCCTGGCGTCTGGCGCTTGCTATCTTCGTAGAAGCGGGTCAAAATGGGGGACGAAAACACCCAGCTCAAGTACGGTTTTTCGCTTTGCGTGTACTAGATGAGTTCTTGGACAGGCGGTGAGTCTCGCAGGACACAATCCGTCGATGTGAGATGCTGATGCAGGTTGACTCTGCTGTCAAGATCTGAGCCACTAGAAGAAGAGACCTTTCAAACATTACAACAGGCTCTGCTGGGCTACATCCAGTCGGAATATCTCTTCGGCCCTGCCGAGTCAGAAGCCTCGTGTGAGTGCACCTTTTACCCCGCATACACCCCCCTCCTTGATTCTGTATCTCCTTCCCAGTCTTGCGAAACAAGTTTGCGCATACCCTCACCCTCTTCTTCCTCTGCACCTACATCGACAAATGGCCGACGTTCTTCACCGACTTCTTCGGCCTTATCCATCCACCTGAGTCCACCTCTTCCACAACCTTCAACCCCCATGTCTCTCTCCTCCTCTTCCACGTCGTCCTCGAGATCTCCGGAGAGGTCGCGGACCAAATCCTCAAGTCAGCTCGGAATTTCGACGCAGCCCGGCACGCACGCGACATCAACGTGCGCGACGCCGTGCGGGAACGAGACGCCCCGCGCATCAACGAAGCCGTCCTCACCATCGTCGCGGACGGTGTCGAGCGTATGGGCCAGTTCCGAAAAGACACGACAGGCTCCTCGGCATCTGAACGGGAACTTGATCAGGCGGTGGAGGTCGTCGACTGGGGCATCCGCACCTTCGCCTCCTACGTCGGCTGGATTGATATCAACCTCACCGTCACGCGCGACACCGTCTCCCTCCTCTTCACGCTCCTTTCGGATTCCTCGCTCGCGATCCGGCTAGCCACGGCGCTCGCGCTCACTCGGATCGTCGCGAAAGGCCTGAAAGAGCCTATGGACAAGCTGCAGCTCATCAAAGTTCTCTCACTGGGACAGGTACTAGAAGCCTTGGAGGAACGAACGCGCAATGAACAGGTCGCTCGGGGTGAGGACACGGATGAGGGTGAGGAGAGCTATCGAGAGGCGCTCGGTAAGCTGCTCAACGTGCTGGGTCTGGAGATCTGCAAGTTGACCGATGTAAGTTTTCTTGCGTCACTTTACATGCGACCGTTCCCGCGAGATAGCGTTCGCTCATAGAATCTTGTACCCGTTGATAGGAGTGCCCCGACGAGAACGTCCGAAGCGAGGCCACCCAGCTTCTAGAGCAGATCCTCCCCGTCATGCTGCATTTCCTTGCGGATCAGTATGACGACACATGCTCTACGGTGTTCAGCTTCTTGTCGACCGTGCTGTACAGCGTACGTACCCCGCCTTGGCTTGCTTGGACTTCCATCTCATAACATACTACAGTACAAAAAGCAGCGGAAATCCGCAACAGACCCACTCGAACCTTCAAAACGCTCTTTTCTGTCGTCTTTGCTGACTGTCATTCTGGAGAAATTGAAGTGGGATGAAGAGTCGGAACCGGACGATATGGACGAAGATGACCAAGCTGCATTCGAGGAGCTGCGCAAAGTGACTATCCGAGAAGTTCGATCTTCCGTCGAAGCTACTCACCATCATACTAGGAATTGCGAGTGTTCATGGACTCTGCGTTAGTGATCGACCCCAACCTCGTTACCGATTCAGTGCGAACACTCGCCCTCAACACCTTAACGGCGTACCAGAATGGAGTGTCCCTCAAGTGGAATGATGCCGAACTCGCCATATATCTCGTCTATATCTTCGGAGAGATGAACAAGAGTGCGTATCGAGAGTGTGTATATGCATTTCAATGAGCTAACCGTTCTATCAGGCGGCGGAAAGGGCCGTGCGGCGTTCTGCCAAGCTCCAGCTGTTGACAAGGACAAGCGAAAAGAGACAGATTATTCCGGGTACCCTCTCACTAGTCACGGGGAGATGATCTACACCCTCGTCCAGTCTGGCATCTCAGAATATCCTCACAAGACCGTAGCCATGCAGTTCTTTGAGACCATTGCGCGCTACGGCGACTTCTTCAAGGTCCGAAAAGAGTGCATCATGCCCGCTCTACAGGCCGTGGTCGGTCCACGGTATGCTGAACTTTTCGTCTGGTAAACCTGTTTGTGTTACTAAAACACGCGTAGAGGACTGCACAGCCCGGATTCAAGTACACGCTCACGATTGTACTATCTATTTTGCAAGTTCATCAAGGAATGCAGGAATGAGGTCACCCCGGAGCTTGCTGTTCAACTTCTCGAAGGCATTCGTGATCTCCTTGTTATTCAAGTGGAGTTACCGGAACTAGAGAACCCCGAACCACAAGACGTACTCACAGAAGCCGTGGCCGCATCCACCGCCTTTGACTCGCAGCTCTATTTATTCGAATCCGTTGGAACACTTATCTCCCTCCTATACAAAGCCCCCGACCAGGCTTCGTCGTTGCTGCTGTCAACAATTCGTCCGCTTCTGGACGACCTGTCCGGCAGTTTGCAGGCGGTCAAAGGTCCAGACGATGTCATGCCTATCCTCAGGGTCCACCATGTCATTATGGCTCTGGGAAACGTCGCAAAGGGCTTTCCTGAGTACCCCAGTCCAGTCCCGGAGGGATACCATGCTCCACCACTAGAGGTCTTTCGGGAAATTGGCCAGGCGATCTTGGTTTGCTTGGAAGCCATGAACGTTTTTAGGGTTGTGCGCGATGCGGTGAGTGTGTCTCCGGAGTAACGCAAGTTCCGACATTGACCATGGAACAGACTCGTTTTGCCTTCGCTCGTTTACTAGGAACCACAGGGTCGAACATTGCACAGCTCATCCCTCCGCTCATGGCCAACCTCCTCGCACACTTCGAACCCACCGAGTTGATCGACTTCATGAATTTCATCAGTCTGACCATTCACAAACTGCAAGGCGACTTCCTCGACGTACTTGATCAACTCGTTGGACCGCTCAGCAGCCACATCAATGGGATCCTTGCGCAACCTGTCACCGGTACCGACGATCAGGTCGTCCATATGGACACCAAGAAGACCTACCTATCACTCCTGACTACCATCGTCGGCTCGAAACTACACACCGTGTTCATCTCTGAGAGTGAGTCGAACGGAATGCCTTCCTTCGAAGAGATCCTCCTTACACATTGTGTGCAGGGAACAAGGGTCAACTTGAGATCCTGCTTGGGAGCATGCTTAGTCTGGCCGAAGATCCTTCAGACCCTTCCAGCGAAAAAGCCGCCTTCTCGTTCTTCGGGCGTGCCGTATCAGCGTGGGCAGACCCCTCCACTGCTGGTGGTGGGCAGCAAGTGTTTCCCGGTTTCGAGCGGTTCGTCTACGAGCGGGTGGTGCCCACTGCTTTCGCCATCTTGTCTCTGCCTCAGTTTAACATCAAGGACGGGCAGATCGTCGTCGTGAGTCATATTACCTATCATAGTCCTTCATCGACATTCTTAGCGGTTAAACTTTTTTTGAACAGGTCTTGCATGAAATCGCCAACCTCATGCAGACAATCTCGAAAGCTCGGAAACAAGAAGCCTTCGACTTCTTCGTGAACGTCTTCCTACCTTCCCAGAACTGGCCACAGCCCACCGCTATGGAGTTCGCCACCAAGATGCGCGATCTGGACCCCAAGGCCTTCCGAAAATACTTCACGGATTTTGTCCGCGCCTCTCGTGCGGGTTCATAGTACCCCTTCTCGCCCGTGCGTTCGTACCGCTATGTAACGTATCTTATTGACATGCCACGACCCCGCTCGACTCACGCTACGCGCCTCGCACTGCCATTGCTGTCCACTCGTACACTAGTCCATCCGTTGCCGTCATCTACAGCCACTATCTTTCGCGGCCTCACTACATTCCTTGCTCGTCCCCACATGCCGTTTACGAACCCCACTGTATCCACCACCACATAGCACCTGTACTCATGAGGCCCCTTGCTAATACCGTAATTGCTAGTGATAGTCCTCGCTAGATGACAGGAATGAACGTTGGAAGTTGAAGCCTACCGTGTCTGCTCATGAAGTCATCCAGCGACCCAATGAGTCGGCTAAGCGCGCTTTTGATCAAGCGCTTGAGACCTGCGCCGGTACCGGTGAACACGGTGCTGCAGCTGCAGCCACCTTTGTTCCTTTCCACCAATTTCCACCCACACTCCGCCCTACTACTCGCAATGAGCTCGGGTATGTCTCAGAAACACTCGCTTGAATTTGCGTGTTCTCAAGTCGTCCCAACCAAGTGTCTTCCCGCATGCGAGGCGGCAGGGCTCGAATTGTGAGGCGATCCACAGTACCAGTAAGGCGATCGTGTCTGACCGTCTGCGACAGAAACCCGCCCGCAAGGTACGGTGGGTTCTGCTCTTCGCCTCGCCGTCAGCTCTCTGACCCGCAGAGTCGCTTGCGGCACGCTAGCATGGGCCCGAGGTCTCCATAGACGAGACCTGGGCGAAGCTCTCGCGCAACATCATCGAGATCCAGAACCACAACGCGGCCAACCTGTCCTTCGAGGAGACGCATCGCTACGCGTACAATATGGTGCTGTACAAGTCCGGGGAGCGCCTCTACAAAGGGACGGCGCAACTCGTTGCCGACAATCTGGACAAGCTCGCACGGGAGTACATCATCCCTGCGTTCCCGTCCAATGCGTCTGGGGACCCGGTTCAGAAGGCGCAGGAGGGGGAGATGGTGCTGAAGGCTCTGAAGAAGGTTTGGGACGACCATACATCGAGCTTGGCGAAGTTGCGGGATGTGCTGAAGTACATGGTGTGTGCCTTTCGATGCTTGCCCTTCTATTGCATTGCCAACCATGCTCGCACTCAGGATCGAGTGTACACCAAGAATGCGGAAGTCCCTGAGACGTGGGAAGCCGGGCTGAACGCATTCATCAAGCATATCATCAAGAACCCCATCGAAGACCATGTCATCTCCGCGATTCTGACTCTCATCCAGATTGAGCGCGACGGCTACACGGTCGATCGGTCTTCCGTGAAGGGCTGCGTCGATGTCTTCATTCAGCTCTCTGTCCAAGCTCATCGTGAAACGCTGTCAATATACAAGCGCGACATCGAACCTGCTATCCTGATAGAGAGCGAAGCGTTCTACTCGAAAGAAGGGAAACGTCTGCTGGAAACCAGCGATGCGCCAGAGTATCTTCGGCGAGTACGTATGTCCCAATTACTTGAGATGGTCTTCGCTCAGTGTGGTATCTAGGTAGAGGCACGATTCCGAGAAGAGGATGACCGGACACATCACATTCTGACCACCCAGACGATGCCTCCACTCCGGAAGATCCTGGAGAAGAATCTCGTGTCTGCACATCTGAAGGACGTCATCTGTATGTCCAACTCCGGGCTCGATGCGATGATAGACAACGACCGTATCGACGACCTCGGGCGGATGTACCGTCTCTTTACGAAGGTCTCGGATGGCCTTCCTACCCTCAAGCGATCCCTTAGGGAGACTGTCATTAGACGTGGCAAGGAGATCAACGAACAAGGTGTTGCACCAGTAGCCGACGGCGCCGACTCCGGAGAAGACGAGGTCGAAACGTCTGCGAAGGGCAAAGGAAAGGCGAAGGCCCGTCCGGCGGCTGCGTCGCAAACGCTCACTCTTGCTCTCAAATGGGTCCAAGATGTCCTCGATCTCAAGGATAGATTCGATAGCATTTGGCAGCGAGCCTTCGAAAAATGTCGCGATTTGGAAAGTTGTGTGAATGAGGTGAGTGCTCTTTGTAGCCTACTGGTGACGGCCATTGACACGCCTTTATCAGGCGTTTGAGACGTTCATTAACGTGAACGAGCGGGCACCCGAATTCATTTCGTTGTTCATCGACGAGAACTTGAAGAAGGGTCTCAAGGGTGTATGTGCTCCCCCGTTGCACGTTGAACCATCGCTCACCACATGCCCCCAGAAATCGGAAACGGAAGTCGACGCTGTTCTGGACAAGACGATCACCGTCTTCCGTTACATCACCGACAAGGACGTCTTCGAGCGGTATTACAAGGGCCACCTCTCTAAACGCTTGCTGCTCGGTCGTTCCGTGTCCGATGATGCGGAGCGCGGTATGCTTGCGAAGTTGAAGGTTGAGTGTGGACAGCAGTTCACGCAGAAACTCGAAGGCATGTTCAAAGACATGAAACTGTTCCCTGAGACGATGGATGCCTACCGAGACTATCTCAGAAACAATGATATGGTACGATATCATCGTTCATCCACTGTTCTCGCTCTCATTCACTCATGTGCCGCAGTCACCGGAAATTGACCTGACTGTCATCGTACAAACTTCCACGTACTGGCCAACCTCGATCAATCCTCCCACCTGCACTTTCCCCGCGGTGCTCATCACAGCGATGAAGTCATTCGAGCAGTTTTACACCGGACGACATACCGGACGACGGCTCACCTGGCAGCCGTCGATGGGGAACGCAGACGTGCGCGTCACATTCAACGCGCGAAAGCACGACCTCAACATGTCAACCTTCGCGCTCGTCATTCTGCTTCTCTTTGAGGACATTCGCGACGACGAGATCCTGACCTACGAGGCACGTCCCGCTAGCCCATTGACATCTTGCGTTCTCCGCTCACCTCTCCCACCGCACAGGAAATCCAAGCCGCCACGTCGATTCCGGACGTCGAGCTTAGGCGGCAACTGCAGTCGCTGGCGTGCGCGAAGTACAAGGTGCTGAAGAAGCACCCGCCAGGGCGCGACGTGAACCCGGCCGACTCGTTCTCGTTCAATGCCGACTTCTCTGCGTCGCTGCAGAAGATCAAGATCAGCACTATCGCGTCGCGCGTGGAGAATACCGAGGAGCGCAGGGAGACCAAGGACCGGATCGACGAGGAGCGCAAGCACCAGACAGAGGTGAATCTGCTGAACGCCGCCGTCCTCGGATGTGATTGCTAACGAAGTGGGACCTCCTCAGGCGTGTATCGTGCGCATCATGAAGGACAGGAAACATATGACCCACAGCGACCTCATCAACCAAGTGACCCGACAACTTGCAAGTCGGTTCCAACCCGATCCTACGAACATCAAGAGACGTATAGAAGGCTTGATTGAAGTGAGCCTGATGACGATCACAAACCCTTAGTCTTACTGACGTTTTGCAGCGAGAGTACTTGGAACGCTGTGAAGATCGGAAATCGTACAACTACCTAGTACGTCGCTACACGCTCATCCGTTTCAAGACACTAATTCATTTTCCAGGCATGAGTTGTTACTTGCATCATGTCATATTGTCTTGTACCATCAGTGTAATCTCATTGTCGTTGTTATCAAAGTCTTGCTTTGATCGAAGTGACAGAGCTTCAAAGCATCCGAGAGATCCGCAAATAATATTAGTGCAGTACCTGATACCGTGAAGTATGTACATCTACAGGCCAGGCATCTATAGTTCATCACTATGGTGGTTGCCACCTTCTGGGTGGAACGCGGTGAATATGCCTGGGGAAGAAGGTTAACACAGGCACGGAACAGTAGGCTAACAGAGCACATACGCTTTTTCGCTTCAGACGAAAGTTCTGTAGGGAGGATCACGTTGTATTCTACAAATAAGTCGCCGTGTTCGAAAGGGTGTTCGAATATTGGCATGCCCTCCCCCTTGATCACTTGCACATAACCTACATAATGGTCAATCCTCGGAGATTCATTCAAAGCCGTCCGTAATTTCATACCTGGTTGTGTGACGACTTTACGCTTCAGCTCGACAATGTGTCCGTCTAGATGGGTGAGGTTGCGCTCGAAGCCCAGCAACGCCTAAAGGTGACAATGAGTGGATGAAATCAGATTCGTCACCAGAGTACGCACCTCCTCGACGGATATACTCTCCCTCCAGTAAAGCGAGCTCTCCTTCCTCCGCCAGGCACCCTTGTCCTTCTTCGTGCGGATACGAATGACGACGTCTCCGGCCTCCCAATCCGGGTTCTCGTCCGCCTCGCCCTCATACACCACCTCGTGGCCTTCCGGGACGCCTTTAGGGACTTCGAGCGTGTAGTGCTGTGTGTGATCCATGACCTTGTTCCCGCCGCAGTGCGCGCACTTCTTCCCGATGACCGACCCGCGCCCACCGCACTCGTTGCACTGCACCTGGCTCTGGCTGATCATCCCGGGCATGATCTGCTGACGGACGATACGAACGCCCTGGCCGTTGCACGCGCTACAGGTGTGGATATCGTCCGAGGACGCGGCGCCGGTGCCGCGGCAGTGGTCGCAGAGGATGCGCTTCTTGACCATGAAGTCGATGCTCGCGCCCACGTAGGCGTCCGCGAGCGAGACTTCGAACTCGGACACGGACGTGGGTCCGCGACGGACTTGCTGTTGCTGGTGGCCGCCGCCGCCGAAGAAAGACTGGAACATGTCGAACGGGTTCGCATGGTGGCCCTGCCCGCCCTCATGCGCCTTGAGGCCCTCCTCGCCATGCCGGTCGTAGATCTGCCGTTTGGTGGAGTCGGAGAGGACCTCGTAGGCTGCGCGCGCATGAGCGGAGAGAGCAGGGGGGCCTGAAAAGAGAGGCGGGCTCACCATGGGCGATCTCAACGAACTTTTCCTCTGCGCCCGCTTCCTTGTTCTTGTCTGGGTGGTACTTCCGACTGCAGGAGAGGTTTATGGAGAGGAGAGAGGATGGGGCTGAGCAGCGCACCTGAGCCGCTTGTATGCCTTCCGGATGTCCTGCTCCGAAGCTGACCTCGAGACTGGACAAGGTAGCGTCAGTCAGAGACATGCTAGGCCATTCTGGTGCGCGCCTTGGACTAACGGTCTAGGACTTTGTATAGGTCGGCTGCATGCGCGAGAAGAGCGAGGGAAACAATGAGGAAGAGGAGAAAGACCGAGGACCCCATGCCAGCGAGGGAAAGGGGAAGGAGAACACGTTAGGCGGTCTGCAACGCGCTGCGGGTGGCGGGACACACTGACGGTTTTCTCGATTGGGATGGGGACACGTAGCGGAAAGCAGTCACGTGCGCCTTTGCGACCCCTAACCTCGGGTTGAGGTTCACGGAGCGCTCGGCGAAGCGACGTCATTTAGCTTTCTCCGGGCCGCGACGAGACTGTGCAGCGCTTGGCGGTCGACTCATCTCGTCCTCCACGTCGCCTTCTCAACGTGGGGTGCTGCAGTGGGCCCACGACAGCATGCTTGCGTGTCTCCTGCGCGCCGCAGCTCAATAGTAGACATCGATGGTCACCGCAGGGAGTCCAGGATCCGCATGAGAAGCTGCGATAGCAGCCTGAGCATGCTGATCAGGGACCTCAGAGTCATGTATGTACTAACGTAGGCCCGGCGACCCGGTGGCACTCACGCATCCCACCAGCACCATTCCGCCCACATAGACGACTGAACAGGGCGTAGGGTTAGCCGAGAGCCTGTCCCCGTATTTGCTGCAGCACTATTGAGCGATCCGATGCTCGAAAGCATTGAATGAGGGAACGAATGCCGATGGTTGAGTTGTGGACAAGCGATAAGATAATGATGCGGTTCCTTTCTGGGTAGGCGGCCGTCAACTGGCGGCTCCGCGCCTCCGCATATAATAAGCGACCGTCCCCATGCACACCTCCTGACCCTCTCTCCTCTGCTCGAGTGCCGGTCCAGCACTCACATCGATGCCCATGGATCCCAACGATCAAGCCTATCTCTCCGAGGTCGACAGCCTCTCCGACTCCGACTGGCTCGACATCAGCAGTAGGGCCTCCGACAACGACTCACTCGCCGGCTCGGACGTCAGCGATCGCGAGGATGTCGACTTGCGTTCCCCATCTCGTCAGTCCCTCGCAAGCATCTCCGGCTCCCACCGCAGCGAAGTTCATGTGTGGGAGGGCATCCTCGAGGACGCTGTCGACGAGACCCCAGCTGCTGCAGGAGATGAGCACCAGGACCTCCCCCTCTCTGAACAATCTTTATCCTTCCGCGTCGCCGCCCTCTCCGAGGCCGCGGTAGCGCGTCACTCCGCCCTTGGAGACCCTGAAGAGGATCAGCGGGTCAAGGACGCGCTCGACCAGAGCATGGTCAGCACCCTCAGTGCGTCTCGCTCCAACTCGCTCAACTCGTCCATCACCCACTCCCGCGACCTCCGCCTCTCCTTCCCCGACCCCCTCACGAGCTCGACGCCGTCTGTCCATGACCTCAATCCGTCATACGAGGACATATCCGTCCCCTCTGATGCCGATTTCACCCCCTCGGAAGGCGAGACGCACACTCTACCCGTCGTTCACGAGGAGCCAGCGCCCATGGCCGCGGATTCTGTTACATCCCTCGTGCCTGTCGTCGCGCACGACAGCGCAGGTTTCCAGACGGAGATCCATTCAAGCTCCATCATCGACTTCTACATCGTTCTCTACGGCTTTTCCTCGGCGATGAAACACCGTGTCGCCCACGCAGTGCTCGAGAAGCTCATGGCGGCCACCCAATGCGGCTTCTCGTCGCTTCCTTCCATGAACGTTCCGTGCGACATACGCACGACATTGAGCGGTGGCCGAAGGGGTCATAGCATTGTGTCTATCGTGGATCGCACGCAGAAGGCAACGGGCGACAAAGAGGTTGGTGTTCTTACTTTGACTCGCTCGGCACTCACACCAACAACTTTCAGCCGAGCTCTTTCACCCCCTTGGAACCCCTTGGCTCCCTAGACCGACCCTCACTCGCCATCGTTCTTTTGCCATCTCCCGATGTCGTCTTGTCTCAACACACGCTGTATCTCCCCGTTCTCAGTCAACTGGAAGAAGACCTGTCCGAGAAGGCCGAAACCACCGATCGCCTGCTCGACGCAGAGCAGCAATGGGAGAACATGGGTGTTCCAGCCTCCCAGCTCGTCTCACGTGCCTTCACCTCCACGAAGTCCCTCGTTGTCGAAGAAGACGAAATTGAACGGGCGTCCCGCATGCGGGTTGCGCGCTACTTCAAGCCGCTCCTACCATGGTCGGAGCACCCCACAGGGTACAGCCTAGCCTCGCGCCATACTTTGACGCTGTATGTACACTCCTTCGTGGTACAAAATGTCCACTTACTGATTTCACAATCACAGCATTGCAATCCTCTCCATTGTGCTTGGGTACCTGGTCAACCGGTCACTCCCCGGTGCTATGACGCGCCGACCTTCGCCTACGATCGAGCTTGCTCGCCCGCTACCTGCACCAGTAGTCAATGCGTCCATTTCCAGTACCCCCATTACGACACCGACCGGAATGGCGCTAATTTCGTCCTCGCTCAAGGACTTCGCGCTGGCCGCAATCAGCCCATATGCCGTTGCTTCCACCTCGAGCTCCTCTGTTGCAACCAAGGCAATCCCTTCCCCCACTTCCGCAGCACCAGCCCGCGAAGACAAGGAAGCCGATGTTCCGTCCGAGTGCTCCTGCGGTTGCGGCCTGATCACCTGGCCGGACAAGTTCAAGCCGACCACGGATCTCAGCCTTCGTCCCACCGCACAAACGCCATCGGTTCATGGTCAGACTTTCCACCCAGGCGAGGCGCCCTCGCTTACTCCGACTTCCTCAGCGCACGGCAATGACAAGGGCAAGGCGCGCGCTACGGACGAAGACAACTCGATCTATTCGCTCAGTGTGCGCCTAGCAGGTGCCCTGACGGAGTACCTCGACTGGAGCACCGTCTTCGCGCCAGATACCGCGGAATACGACGAACTTTTTGAAGCTCTCGACGAACTTGCGTCCTCAGTCGAGTCCCAGGCGGAGAGTATGTGGACGCAGTCCCGGGATGCGCTCACGGTCATGCGCGAGCACATCCGCACGCGCAACGAGCGGGCGCGCTGCCGTGCCAAGGAGCTTCGCGCCGCGGGAGAGCGCTTGATCGAGACGGTTCGCGGCAATGTGGCGACGGCACGCGAGAACGCAAAGGGCATGCGGGAGCGTGTGCTGGAGCGTGTGCGCGAGCACAGCGAGCACGCTGCCGCTCGCCATCGGTCGTCCTTGCGCTCGCAGCGACGCGAGCGGCGGCGGCGGGTGACGCGATGGGAGCATGCAACCCGTGCCAACGCGCAGGTCCAGGCTGCCGAGTGACGTCTCGCGCGAGCTCGTCGATGGGACTCGAGTCTCGGTTTCTATCCGCGTCTTCTTGGCTATTTTCTTTCTTGTACTATGCTCTCTCTCGACTCGGTCTCTACTCTCTACCATCTGCGCAAGGCGCACACCACCGACTAGTTGCTGCAAGTATGCATGTATGTTTGTACCATAGCACATATGGGGACGAGAGGGGAGTATGGATTACAGTATGTTCACATGTCTATGCGTGAGCGGGGAGTGGCTGAATATAAGGTGTGAGGACGACGAGAGCGCGTGCCCAGAGTCACAGGAACCTGGAGCGTTTCGCGAGGAAGTAGTAGGCAAGTAGTAGGCGACTCCCGTAAGGAGACCGCCAACGTACGTATTGCCCGCAGAATCGAAAGTCTATAATTGGGGGGAAATGGTCGCATTTCTCGCCAGCGAGTGTCCCTGAGATATCCTACTCGGTTGGCTGTGAGCGAGGCTGTATATTGGCACTCAGTGCTCAAGTAATTGATGAAACGCGCACCACGTGACGGCGACAGTGGTCACGTCACGCGTTGACCACTCCGTGCGCAGCCACCGATGTGCTCGATCTCACACCGCTCATACCCTCCGCCTCTCTCGCTCATTCCTCTCCATTCCCCCTCAACCGCCACTCACATCCTCATGCGCCAGCCACTGAACCCGTATGGCTGCCTGAGCCCAGAGCCGTCCAACAACCCGTTCATCGACCACTCCGCCAATGCCGCGGCCCGCTTCCCGGACATCACCGGCTCCGACAACCCCGCCACTGCACCCCAGTTCACGTCCTGGATGAACAAGCCGTCGACCTCGAGCCTGAACACGAACCCGTACGTCTCCCCGGGCCCGGGCCCTATGTCTCCACAGGGGTATGGCCAGGGGTACGGCCAGCAGCAGCCGCAGGCCAACGGCTGGGGCCAGGGCTCGGGCTTTGGCCAGGTCGGCTACGGCCAGCAGTCGTTCGTCGGGACGCCCCAGCCCCAGCCCCAACAGCAGATGTCATCCGGGATGCCGTTTCAGCCATCGAGCTCGTTCGGGCAGCAGCTCCACGCACATGTCACCGGCGCGTACGGCCAGCAGCAACAGCAGCAACAGCCTCAGTACTCTGGCTACCCCCAGCAGCAGCAACAACAACCACAACAGTACGGACAGCCGCAAGGGTACCAACAAGGCTTCGCGGGACAGCAGCAGCCCCAGCAGCAGATGTACCTGCCCGAGCTTGACCCGTACGCGGGCGGGGGCACCCCCGGGCTCGGCACGCAGGTGCAGTCGCCGGGGCCGCAGGCGAACGGATACCGCTCGCCGCACCCGCGCGAGTACGTGCACGCGCACAAGGCGGAGCTCGAGGCTTGGGACTCATACTCGTGGAAACAGGTGCGTTTGCCCACGCGAATGATCCGTTGTCTCTGCCTCCCCCATCGCCCGCCCGCTGCGCCCCTTCATCTCCATGTCGCGCTCCACCGCCTCACCGACCTCGCTTCCTCTTCCTTGCCTCTTTCGTCCCTGCGTCTCCATCTTGTTTCCGTGTTTGGCCGTCGCTGATCCTTGCTCTTGACGTGCCCCGCCTCCGCCTCCACTGCGTGCAGGTCCAGAACTGCTTTGACGAACTCAAGCGCGCCTGGGAGACACGGAAAGCCGAGCTCGAGACGCGGATGAAGGCCCTCGCCGGCGCAGGGCTGTTCACGGGCGGCGGGTACGGCGCCGGGCCTGCCCAGCAGTACGCGCAGCTCGAGAAGGTGTGTGGTCACCGCTCCCCATGTGTCATGTCGCGCTGTGCGCTGACGTTCCGGCACGCCCATCCGTCCACCCTCGCGCGCGCGCAGATGGAGAAGGAGGCGGAAATGCACATTGGTGCGTGGGCTCCACAGCCACTTCGGCCCCTGGCGCGACGCTGACTTGTTTCTACCAGACACCGTCGCCGCGGCTTCGTTCCAGGTGCAGGAGGTCTTCGCGGGCTACCGGCAATCCGGGGACGTGGCCTCGAAGAGGCGGGTGCGAGAGGCGATCAACGCCTCGCTGATGAGCTTGCCGGACCACCCTCAGCCCCTCATGTTCTGAGCGGCCTGTTCGACGGTGCGTACATAGAACGGTGAGCTGCGCGGATATTTGTCGGATGCACTGTACATTATGAATGGCTAGGATGTATCAACACTCACTTGGGAGCACGGACACTTTTGCTCTATACATGCCTTCTACCCCCATCAGTATCACAAGTAGTATATCGTCCTCATCGTGCTACTTGGAAGCCGTCATTATCATATGTAGCGACTGTGTTAGTGTATGCAACAATCAACAGTGTAATAAAGCGCAACAAGAAACTAAAACATAGATATACAGAGTCCCAGTGGATCATCACGGCAGGAGCATGAACCTGCTCAACATCTTCTCGAAGTCGACCGTCCCGAGCCCCGTGACAGGGTCCCACCCCTCGACCGCCTCGAACCCGCCGGTCCCGCACCCCGGGTTGCTCCCGTTCACGACGTCGTGGTACACGCCCGCGAAGAGGTGCGAGTACAGCGCCGGGTTGACGAACCCGACGGGGCCCTTGCCCGCCGCGCCGCGCGCGTCGTTGACGGCGGCGAGCATGCTCGCGAAGACCGGCGCGGAGGCGGACGTGCCGCCCAGGTTCGCGAACGCGCCGTCGAGCACGACCGTCGTGTTCCACCCGTTCGCGGCCACGTCCGGGATCCCGCGCCCGGTGCGGTTGAACACCCCGGGGCCGTACCCGGGGTCGTGCGCGGCGAGGAAGCGGGCGGCGGCGCGGCGCTGGTAGCGCGGGCGCGGGAAGAGGTTGCTGAAGCCGCCGCCGGAGAAGAACGCGGTCGTGGCGGACTCGGGCGCGGAGACGGGGGCGCCGACGTCGATCTGGGTGGAGCCGACGGAGAGGACGTAGGGGCAGGAGGCGGGGAAGGAGGGGGTGAAGGCGCCGGAGTCGGTGCCGAGCGAACCGTCGGGGAGCACGCAGGAGCCGCGGAGGGCGGAGGCGACGCCGTCGTCGCCGGAGGAGACGACGAAGGTCACGCCGAGGAGGCTTAGCTGTGGGTGGGGAGGGGATGTGGGCGGGCAGCCGAGAAAGGAAGGGACGGGAGGGACGCACCTTGGCAAACTCAGCACAGGCTTGTTGCGAGAACGGGGCCTGACCGAAGAGGTCTTCCACACCGCCATAGGAGATAGAGACGACATATGCGGGAGGGGGCTTGTTGCCGCAGTCGAGGTTCGGGTACGTCTCGGTCGCGTTCTTGAAGTCGCAGAAGGAGGCGTCGAAGCCGGCAAGCATGGCGTCGAAGGGATCTTCGCCGCCGAGCTGGTACAACTGAACTTGTTGCTCTGGAGGCGTCAGGCCCATGACGAGCATGAAGTCCATGTTGGACTCGCCGATGTCATTGATATCGGTCTCCGAGAAGTTCGTATGGCCTGGTAAGGTTTCAATGAGCTGAAGGCTTGGTTCAAGGCGCACTTTATAACTCACCCCCATCAAAGCTGACCAGCGTGGGCTCCTGTCCAACCCGTCCGGGAGCAAACTTCTTAAAGAAAGTAGTTAGGTCGTCGGGTAGATACGTCTGGCCTTCGAGTTCAACTAGGCGTACTTCGATTAGCGGCGAATTGTACGCGTGTATTCATGCGCCCTCACCGACAGCGATTGAGTTGTGTTCCGGATCTTGGAACGTGTAGTTAAAGTTGTACAGAGCGCGGATGCAGTCCGGAAACACGGTCACGTCGCAGTTCGCAAGGTCCTCCATGGAGGCCATGGCCTGCATCATCCGGGTGAATCAGTCCAACTCCTTTGCAGCGAGGAATGGGACATACCTCCATGGGACGCTTGGTGCGTTTTCCGCCGCCCACCCTGCCAATCCCGCCCGCCGGACCTGCGGGCGTCTTGGGGGCGCGCTTTCCGAAGGCAGACCCGGGAGCGCCGAGCACAGTGATCCCGCCGAATTGGACGGTGGGGGTGACGACCTTGACGTGTTCCGCGATGTGCTCGGGCAGATGGTAGCCATGGTGGCACGCGACGTGCTCCTCGCCGCTCTCCTCATGGCCGTACACGTAGTACTTGGCCGCAAAGAGGCGCTCCGCGTCGGCGACGGACAGGTCGACGCGGAGGTGGACGCCGTCCTGGCTGAGGGCGGGAGCGATGCCCTCGGCGGCGAGCCATGCACGAACAGCGTCGACGGACGCGTCCGCGGGGCGGAACGTCTCCTTGACGCGCGCAGCGGTCCAGTGACGGCCGTAGTTGGGGGAGTCCGGGTCGGCGATGTCGAGCAGGAAGTCGTCGAGGAGGTGGAGATTGGACTGCTGCAGAGAGATCCTGAGAGGGAGGGTCATGTCGGGGTCCGCACGGCGGCGTAGGGACCAGCCGGGGGGAATGGAACCGCGCTCATGGAGGACGTGGCGGGAGAGGAGGGGGCTGGAGCGAGTGGATGCCGCGGATGTGGAGGCGAGGGTGCTGACGAGAGCAATTATCAGACCAAGAGGAGCAGACGAGAAGAAAAGCATGGCAGGGCGGCGGAAAAAGAAGCAAAAGAGGACCGTCCCGAGAGAGCAGAGAAGCAGAGGACGGGGTCGCGATGTTATATCGCATGTTCATACGCGCGGTGAGTTCCGCGGACCGAGTTGGGACAGCCATCATGATAGTCTCCGCTCCGTGCTACCCGACGCGCGGTGTAGCAGATCAAAATGGTTTCCACGGTTTCTTTCCTGCGCGCACCCGCGCACATCCACGTTCACAGCCAGTTCACAGCATCAAACCACCCAATTGCAACATGGCCGCTCCCGTCGGAAGCTATGACAGCTGCATATGTCGCATGCACTGCACCAGTGAGCCCTTTTCCGTTCCTAATCCAATGCACCCACCACAGCATCGCTTGCCAGAAGGTTTAAAAAAGGATACTTACATGAAGTTCACCTCGCGGTTCTGCCACCTTCGGGCGCGGAAAAACGCCGCCGGGGCCGAAACGGGCGTCGCGGACTCGACGCCGCTGGACTGTGGCAAAGGTTAGCAGGGCGATGGGAAGAAGGAAGGGGAGATGGACAGAGTGGAGCCAACGGAGGTAACGTACGGGCAGCTGGCCAGGAAATGGAGGTTAAAGCTGCCAACGTGTTCTGAAAACCTCCCGTTCGACAGAAGGCATTTGCCCTGCTTTCCGGAAGCGACATCGTCCATATGAATGCCTGTCAAGCAGACTAGGTTGGTGACAGACGGCCATCAACAGTGGCACATGAGCATGTATATTCTCGTATGAAGTTCAGCACACCTTGCCGAACTTGTTGCGGGTCGACCTGTATATGGACGGGACCTTATAGGTGTCATATGGCACAGACACCACGTACGCCGCAGGCCGTTTTTTGCTGCAGTTGGTGGCTTCGAGATCCTCGTTGGCCGTCTGTGCCAGCGATCGCAGCGTGATCGAATCCAAACAGCTCGCGCATACACTTCGGAGTGACGCGTTCGACGGGAGTGTGTCGGGTCTGCAAAAAACGCTTGTAAGCCTTGTGTAAGCACGCATCCCAACTGCACCTTTCAAAGCTTCGTTAACACCTTCCCCACGTGGCTTACACAACCTTCGGATGGCCTCGCGAGGGATACTGCAGTAAGCGCCTGTGCACAAACTCGGTACTCTACATACTACGCACGGCTGTAAAGCTTGTAGGCCCTCCGTACACTCCCGCTCATTGACTCGAGGGCTGGTCGGTGAAACGCACAGAAGAGTGGCGCTATGAAATTGCAATAGCAGGAGACAAAACAGCGGCCACCAACAGCGTCAGGTCCTCCATTCCTGGAACACGAGCCTTGCGTAAAAGCATAGAACTTACCATGTTCCGAGTCTAACTCCAGGACGCGTCTAAGACAGCCCGAACGGACCCGGGGCACGCTATGAGTTGCTCGTTCCGTCTTGCTCCGGGGAAACAGGTTTCCAGACACCCTTAGTAGCGTGCATGACCTCATACAATTGACCCAGTTGCTCGCCGGACATCTGTGCAGTGCGTACCACGTCAGAAAGGCCGGAAAGCTTGCATTGACGGGGTACCTTCTCGAGAGTAGTGGGGTCGAGCGGCTTGCCTTTGAACGCCCTAGCCCCGCCCGGACCCGCGGGTAATTGGTCAAGGTACACCTTCCACTGCGACAGAAAGCTGATGATGTGTACTTTGTTGTCGGTCGTCCTGTGTCTCCGGAACTCTACCGGTGCCCAACGTGTCAGAGGAGTGCGGGTGGGCGAGGACGACCAAGGCACTGACCAGCCTTCACATAGTCGTCCCCGAGGGGGCGCATCTCGTAAGGAAGGTGTCTGTGAGCGCGAAGTAACCTACGGTACAGTCTGCAGGCGCATAAAATCAGACAGCGATACATATAAGTCATGGACGGTACGCACGGCAGCGGGGGTAGGAGCATGGCACTCGCTTCTCGCAAGTTTAGAGGCTGCTTTGAGACAGACTCTGCAAGGCGTACTGCACTAGTTCGCAACATCTTGATGGGATGTAAAAGGGGTTAAGCTTGTGTATGCGCCTGCGGGACCAGCAGAAGAACCGAGGGGAACGAGGCCAACACGGTGCAGAAGGTCGGCCAGAGGAAGACTGAGCGCTCGCTGTGTTCTCTGTTTACTCCTCAACCACGCCCTCACGCACGCAGCTGTGCATGTTGCCCAGCTCGATAATCTGCCAGCGACATCTTGCGATTCTTGCGCCTTAACTCGGCTGACCAGCGATCTCATTGCTCGAAATGTCGAAGGCGGAACCCACGCGGGCACAGCTGTCGTCGAGGTTGTCCTACCAGGCCAGGGTGCCTGCCTTCCTGGCACGAATGAAAGGACTGGAGTCTGGGAGGCGGCGGGCTCGGTGATGATGAATACGATGATGACGAGTTCGAGGACGACGGTTCTGGACGCCCTCCGATTCCCCGCCGACCGGCCATCCCGACACGCCCAGACGACGAGCAGGGGAGTGCGGACGAGGACGACGGGGACGAGACGCCACAGATTGTGGTTCTGAAGGAAGGGAAGCATCTCTCGCGGCGGAAGGTCGAGAACGAGAAACGTAAAGGTGCGTCTGTGTCTGACATGCGTTCTGGATGCCGGCTGAGGCGGGGACTCTGGCTTTCAGCCAAGGGATTGCCTCCGCTGGCCTGAACACGATGAAAAGGACGAGAAGACCAAGGAGGAAAAGACGAAACAGAAGGATACGACAAACGCGATAACGCAGGGCCTGTCATTCTCTTCTGGAGCTGCGAAGGGCAAGTGCACCAAACGCAAAGCGGTGGGCGATGGACGTGATGATGCAGTCAAACCAGCCTCCTCGAAGGGTGGCAAGAAGAAGTTAAAGAAGCAGCACAAAAAACTACTCTCGTTTGACGAAGATGCATGAAAAGCGGATGGCCGGGGTTCCCGCTAATCATAGGCTCGAGTTGCGTCTACGTGAGTACACAACACAACTACATGCACAATCGATCCACGTCTTACATTTTCCCCCACAGGGTAGATTTTTGGCCTCGTACCGCGTACTGTCATCCATACTCAGCGCTTTGCCCCCCGCCCCTTCGACTCATTCCTAGCCATGTTTGTGCAACGGAGGCTTGAACTGGGATGCCGCTGCGATGTGGCGATCGCTGTTTTCGAGACTTTTCATCGACTGGTTCGAGGCAAGCCCATTCCTCACCCTCCCACACCCGTCTGTCTCTGACGATCTCTTCCCCACGAAGGACCCATCTAAATATACACAGGCAGGATGTTCACCGTCGCGGTCTTCATTCCGGGGAGGTGTCGATGTACGACGCGATGAGTCGACGAACGTCCAGGGGGGTCCGTGTGTCCTCACGCTTCACAGCGCGCTCACGCCAAGGGTATGATAAATCCGCACAAGGCCCTTCAAGATACACCATTATCCCATCGTCACTTCTTCATTCCGAGCCTCCTAGCCGTCCGTTTTAGGAATCGATTTTGCGTATGCATTGCAGGGGTCAATACGAACCTCAGGCGGTCAACGGGTTCGCTGGCCGTCCACCCGGGGTCCTCTCCTGTAGCCTCAGGCAACTTCCCCCTGCCCGTTTGGCACTCACCTATCCAATGTTTGTGTCATCGTCACCCCCTTGTGCCCAAGTAGGCAGGATGCAAATTATTGCTTACGCATATACTCACATTCCCTTCGTTTTACTCGCGCAGAACACTAGATATCTCACTCCCTTGAGCAGCCGTAGTCTCAAGTATCCTGGCTTGCTGACTACTCGGATAACACCCACTTCACGGGCGACTGTGTCCACCACCGTCTCTCTGCAGGATGGAGCTTCCCAGCTCTCATATACTCGGCCCTATCCGTCGCAGTTTGACCCTTGCTGTCCGACGACTAGTCTGCTAGGGCTAAGTGGGGCTGACATCGCAATGGAGACGGTGTTCGTATGGCGGAAAATACTGGAACACGGCGCTCAAAGAGAGCCATAAAGGCCCAACTGAACCACGACGAACGCCAGTGAGACGCAGCGTATCCCTTGCTCTCCAAAGCTCTTACCCCATACATCCCAACAGCAATGTTCTCCTTCACCCTCGTCGCCGCAGCCCTTGTGGCCTACGCCCACGCCAACCCCATCGAGGCTTCCGCCTCGGACGCCTCCGCCTCGGACCTGGCGGCCGCGGCTTCATTCCCGAAGCTCGACTTCACCTCCTCCCTCGCGCCCCTCCCCACGAGCGCGGAAAACGGCACGCTCCCCTCCGACTCCTTCCAGGGCCCGTCCACCGACCTCGGGGAGGCGATCTTCCCCGCGACGCTGCTCATCTGCCCGTCGTTGAACTGCGCGAACTGCCTGTCGTACGACCTGCTGACGACCCCCATGAACACATGCTTTCGCACGACGCCGTTCGTGAGCATGGCGATCGTCCAGCCGAGCAACGAGGGCCTGCCATTCGGGGTGTTCGTGGGCCCGCCGGGGTGCCACGACTTCTTGAAGATCCCGGCCGTCAACATTTGCGTCAACGTGATCAGCGGGGGGCCGTTCAACGACTTCGCGCTCGTATCGTGAGCACGCGGTGAGTGTGTTTCGAATGGGGTAAACGGTGGTAATGGCTGACTCTGTTGATTGAGCAGCCCCTTTCTGCGAGGTCCAATGACCGACGGCGGAAACGGCGATCGTGAAAGAGAACAACGGAGTAGACATGGAAGAGGCGAAAGGACTTGTTGTGTACACTGTGCTTCAGCTTGTTGGGGGTTTGCAACGTGTACTTCATCGCGAGATCTGAGTGATATAAGGGGAGCACATAGACCGACCATAGGTCGATGTGACAGCATAGTAGTACAGAAGCGAAGTCCAGAAAGTCCGATAGGTGCTTCGCCAACTTTTTGTGCAGGTCCATAGGCTAGTCGCGAACAAGCGTGACAGCAATACCAATGACCGGAAGAACCTCTAACGCCCGCGCCAGCGCGAACGACCCCGTCTTCACCGTGTCTATTTCCTCGTCATCATCCACCTCGCGCGCTGCGCGTTCACCGGGTCTGCCTCTCTTCGCGTTCGCCCTCCTCGCGGCGCGTCGATCTTCTCCTCTTTTCTCGACTCGCAGAGCTGTACGCTCACGCTCTCATGATCTCTCGCCCTCGCCCATGTCCACTCTGTGCAATAGAGTTGGCGTCACATCAGCGGTCCGCAGGGAGAAGCTCTCGGAGACGCATGGTGGCGGGATGCAGTTCGGTGACAGCTACCAAGCGGTCTTCAATTACACCGTAATACCCATGTACAGCTGTTTCCGATATGACTGCCCGACCAGCTCCGATGATACGCGAGCAGCAACAGGCACGAACGCTCCGAAAATTTCGGAGAAAATCGTACAAGTCCCACCGCGCGGGCGCGACCTGACGCCGAGGACCGAGACGACTTGAGACAATGTACCATGCAGGCTCCGCGACAGCGCAATCGTGGAACTCAGCACCATCCACCAAACCTTGAGATTTGCACCGCCCGCGCGGTGATCGGAATGCCATTCAATGGGAGGGCGGGGAGGATGGAGAAGCGTCACGACTCACCTGCAGGCCGCTCAGCCAAGATTCTCTCCACAGTATACTGCCCGTTCAAAACGCGTTCATGCCGCCTTTGGATGGTTTGGTTGTCCTTGCTCGAGTCGTTCACGAACACGAGCTGTGGGGGCGAAGACCGGGAGGTGATCTGAGCGTGCTCCTTTCGCAGCTTCTTGTGCGAAACCCCGAGTCGGACAAGGACACGGCAGGCACGGGCAGGCAGCGGCGAGACCATTCGACGACTTCGTGGAGGTACAACGAAGGGTGGGGGAGGATATATCGTAGATCCTCGAGGACCGGGGGGCCGGGGAGCGACGAATCCGGCGGTTTTGAAGATGCTCTAATGCCTTGCAGTCGTCCATTCGTCGTCGTATGGAGCGTGTGGACACTCCAAGAGCTTCAGCAACGTCGATCTGTACCCGCGCACACGTGAGTCGGGCGGAAAACCCCTGTGTACGTGAGAGAACACATGGAAAAAGCGGACGTGCACGGGAGGGGCGGGAAGCATGCGGATAGGCGGGAGAAAGGCCCGACGTCGACTGTGGGCCCCGGACAGCCCCCAGGTACGCATGGACGTGATTTGAACGAGGTTTGTCAATTACTACTGACATAAGATACAATAGATTGACTGCGGCCCAGAGCGAATAGACTACTGAAAGCCAAACACAGACAGCAAACGTCTGTTGGTCTGATGCGGATGCGTGTGTTCAGTCTAAGCCTTCCCAGTGAGCTCACGTATTTTCGCTGCCCTCTCACGCTTTTAAATCGATGCCGTCAGCACTTGGTGGCCACAATGAAAGACGTTGACACTCACATCATCCACGGCCTTCTGTGCGCGCAACCATTCGATCTCCCTATTCTTGTCTTGCAGCATCTCCGTGGTCTCACGCGCGAAGCTACGGGACGCATCCCGCGCATCCTCGTGAGCTTGAAGGTCCGCTTGAGCACGCTCATATTTGGCGCGCATTGCGAAGAACTCGAGTTCAACCTTGCGGAACTCTTTGAGGGCTTTGGCATACGCAGCCCCGGCCTTGGCCTCATCCTACCCGAAGGTCAAAATCCGCTCCCGAGTACAGCAAACGGACACGTACTTTGATGGCAGACTTCTGCAGGCGTTGCGCCTCCACAAGCTCCCCCATGCCCACATCCAGAGCCTGCTGCTCGATCTTGCCCTCAGCCCTGATGATTTTCGCAACCTTCTTTCCTTCCTTCGCTGCAGAATGAAGTATTTGTAAGGATTTCGCAGGAGGCAGACAGAAACATCATCGACGTACCTTCGCTCCTGCTCAGCTTCCGCCGCTGCTTCTCCGTCAGCGACGCCTCCGCGCTCCGGCTCCGCTCGTGGAACGCCTCGACCGGCGCACGCGCGTGCGGACCCACCGTGCCCGCCCCGCTCGCGAAGCTGCCCCCGTTCATGCTCGCGCGTGCGCGCCTGAGCGAGCTCGTCGCCGCGCTCGTCGACCTCTTCAGCTCCCCGTCGCTCCCGCCGTCGTCGCCTTGGCGGCCTCGCACGATGCTACGCTGCGAGCGCGAGGCCAAAGAGGCCGCGCGGCGGAAGGGCGCGTCGCGGCGCACGGCCCCGTCGGCGTCGAGCCCGGGGTCGCGCGTGCCCTCGGGGCCGTGCCAGACGACGGGGATGGGTTCCATAGGCTCCGTTTGCGCGGTCGAGCGGCGGGAGCGGATGGACTGCGCGTCAGGGCCGCGTCGGGGGGCTTTGGAGGTGGACGCGGCGTCGAGGGCGGGGCTGAGCGGGTGCTTGTCCGACACGGGCGAGGGGAATAAGTCTTCGGGGTTATATGGGGGTGCCTTGCCCGCGACGAAGATGGCAGGGGGGTGCGCGTCGGCTGCGGCAGCAGCAGGGCTGGTGGCGCGGGCGGGGGTGGTCTCGCTGGAATTGTTCCAGGACATGATGGGTGCGTCGAAGTAGGTGCTTGTTTCGCTGGCAGGAGTGGGACGGGTGTAGGGTGTCGTCGCAGTCCTTTCGGCCATAGAGGGTTGACGAAGGATTGTGGGGGTGAGGGTGGTGGGGAGAGAGAAGGAGTCGTGGGGTTATATGCCCCGGGGAAGGGAGAGTATGTCATTGGAGCTGCAGGTGCCGTCGATCGACGAGCCCCTCCCACCCGGTCCCATATCCAGCAGGCTTTTCGCCAAAGGCGGGCCATGACGTAACGCCAACGCACGGACGAGCATTAACGGACCGCGTCTTCCGTCTTCCGCAACTTTCTTCCGCACGAGTCTACGCCCAGCCACCGATACCGCCGATCCGCAGGGCGGATGTGCCCTCGCTGAGGGCGTGGACACCTAACGATGCAGTTTGAAGTTGATGGGGAGACGAGTCTGCCGACCAGCAGAAATGCGCGAGACGCACCTTGGACGCATGTTCTTCCAGAACTGCGCTCAGCGTTATCCTGAATGCCGTCATATCTCATGCGTGAAATAGTACAAAAGACCAATAAGTTACCCGAAATGAGCTCTAGAGTAGGCTCCCCACGATCTCCCTCGTATCGTTCGCCAACACCTCTTCCCTGTCCTGGTACACGGCCTTGACGACCTCGTTTTCCGACCACCGTGCCATTCCGCTCTCGTCCGACTCGGGCGTGAGTGTGTACGTGATCGACAGCGCGGATAATGCACCTCCATAAGCATGCGAGATACCTGGAGTACCTCAGGTAAGCCAAACTCGCGCCGGCCGGCAGCGGGAAACTCACCGGTGTCGATGATAATGATCTTGCCGCCACATCGCGACACAATTTTCTGAACAGAAGCATGAGCGCGGGGCGTATCGGCAATGAAGAGGGCGGGTACGTACCTGGAAGTCCGGCGTGTGTCCCATCACCATTCTCCGCGTCCCTGTCCTTTGCAACACATCGTCCACCTCCTTGCACACCTTCTCTTCCGGGTCCAGCGCCCACCCGCGGTACCACAGCGGTCCGTCCGCGCCGTACATCCGCTGCTCGGCCAGCGTGGCGTCCGCGGGGAGCCCGGGGTATGGGTATGGGGGATGAGGGGCCGGCTGAGGTCGGTGCTGCAGCTTCTTGAGCAGGCTCGCGCCGAGCTCGTTGATTCGCGAAGGGAAGGGGCTGAGGTCGGGGTACGATGGCGCGAGACCGCCATGGCAAAACGAGATCGCCGCGTGAGAAACGGGCGACTGCGGAGACAGAGGGTATCCCGGCTCGCCGGGTGTGAAATCGAGGTTCGGTGGCCCGAGGAGCTGGTGGAGGGGGAGACGAGAGGCGGTGGAGTAGTTCGCTGCCCATGAACGTCCAATATGGCCGACTGAGAGCTCCCTTTGGCGGGCAGCGATGGAGCCAAATGTCATCAGTTCCGAGGGGTACACATACCTGCAAGACGGCGCGTTGAAAACTCGAGGAAGGATTGAATGACATGTGAAATACGCACCGCCAGTCTCCAATGGCGTTCATCCACTCGTGGTTGCCCAGATGGGAGAGAACGGTCCCGCCCACAGCCCGTGCTTGGTCGCGCAGCTGGTCCATCCACGTGTACAATTTGATAGTGTCGTCGCCCCTGAATGGTGTTCAGTCCGCAGCCGCAGTAAGTACTTCGGCGTGCATGCACGGGTGTCGGCAAGAAGAGACTGACCTGTCGATGATATCGCCAGTCTGGACGAAGAAGTCGACGTTGCCGGACCAGTTGCCGTGCTCATCCACGACGCCCGCCATGTGCAGAACCTCCTGCGCGTTGGGCATGTCCCCATGGAGGTCACCAACGGCGACTATACGCCGAGTGTAGGTTCCGTCTGGTACATGGGACGGCACTACGGGAGCGGAGGGTGTGGGTCGGGCGCTGTGGACTGCAGTGTCAATGGCGTCGATGGGCTGGAACGGTTGCTGGTCGGATCCCTGGTTGAAGTGGAGGGAGTGCTCTTGGTCAGGGTGGGCGGCGAGAGGCCATGTGAGAGGGAGGCCGAGGGCGCGGAGGTCGATGGAAGAGCGGTAGAGGAAGAGAGCGGCGAGGATGGGGAGGAAGATGGCGAGGAAGGTGAAGAACCGCGGCATGGCGGAAGCCCTTGGCGGCAGACGGCCTGGGAGGATGAGAGAGGGAACGTGTGCGCTGTGCGGGGCGGGTGAGAGAGACGGCTGCCACCGTCGTCGAGCGTGTCGAACCGAGATTGATTGGGTTCAGCAGACTCGCCAGGCACTGCGGGAATCAGCGGCAGGGCAGGCGCCCAATTTTGGCGGAGGCAACGCCCGCTAGCGCCGGGTCCGACAGTGCGGGGTCAGAGAGCCGGGCGCGAGCGTCGCCTGCATTCAAAACCTCTTCGCCTGTCCCGCAGCAGTCAGCTGCTCGTCCCTCGTTCTATATCCCCCTCCTTCCCCCACGCATGTCCTCGTCTTGAGCCCGCCCCTCCTCTGCGGTCCTCAGGCGCGCCATGCTCTCCGCCCTCCTCCTCCTCGCCGCCTCCCTCCACGCAGCCACCGCAGCCGCCCTCGGTGCCGCCCCCCGCTGGAGACCAGACCTGCGCGGCTCCAAAGTGACCAGAAGCCTCCGCGCGCGTAGCAGCATCCTGGGAGGCCTTGGCGATGGCCTCACGCCGAGCACCGTTGCCCCGAATACGACCATCGTCCCCCTCACCCTCGCCTCGGACAAGCAGTGAGTGTCCTCTTCCCTCCGCAGCACCCCCGACCCGCCCCTGCCCGACCGTTCGCACTCACTCAGTCTCCCTCCAGGACGTATTATGCGCTCTCCAAAATCGGCAACGTCAATCTCCGCCTCGCCCTCGACACCGCGTCCGCCGACCTCTGGGTCGTCTCCTCGGACTGCACGAGCAGCGACTGCGATCTGCCAAGATACCCGCTCGCCTTCGAGAGCGCGACGTTCGGCGCGGTCAACAGCAACAACACGGCTTTCGAGATTAGCTATGCGGACGGCACAGGTGCGTGTTGCGCGTTTCAACGTCGCACCGGTCCCTCAAGTCCCGTTCGTTCCAGGCGCGAAGGGCTTCATTGCCCGGGAGTCTGTGAGCATCGGTAATATGACGGTGGGGAACCAAGCACTGGGTGAGTAAAGTCGGTTCATGTATGCGTCTCCACATCCGCGCGCGAAGGGCAGGTGTTCTCGCTAGGGCACCCGCTTGATGCTTGTCTCTGCTGTGTTTCGCTTGGCTCGCGCGACAATCTACGCAGCTGCTCCATTCGGCGCCTCGCGCACTTGCGTTCCGCCACATTCTACCCGATCCACGGAACGAGTGCTGGCTTACCCGCAATGTGCTGCTGCCTACCGGATGCAGTATCATGACAGATGGGATGCCTTGCCTTGCGACCCTCACAGGATGCGTTTCGGGTGGCGTGTTCATCATGCTGTGCAGAAGATCGTGGTGTTCACAGTGGGGGAACCGTATGCGGCCTGCCTTGTCTGGGCGGACAGTCGTTCTGGCCCGAGTGCTAAACCATCATGTGTTCGCAGGTCTGGTGTCGTCATCAACCGTTCCTTTTCCCGACGATATCAGCGGCGTGCTTGGTCTGGGCTTTCCCAGACTTTCCAGCATCTCGTCCGCGGTGGTAAATGGTGAGTTCGGAGCATGGACCGGACGGAGCCGCAAACATGCTCAAAAACATAAACAGCGACACCGTTCTTCTCGACTATGGCGCAGAGCGCCGCACTCAGTTACCCTGTGTTCGGCCTGAGCTTGACACGAGACTCCAGCGGTAGTTTGACGTTCGGTGCGCCAACAGTCAATAACCTCCTAGATGCAGAACATACTGAACGCCAATGGGTCTATAGGGGGCATTGATAGTTCTGTTGTGAACAACAGGACTTTGATCGAATGGAATGAGGTTGTGCCGTTTGCACCGTTTTCCGGATCGTCGGGCAACAGCTCGAGCTATCTGCACTGGGTAATTGGCCTGGAGTCGATCTCGGTATGTATCTCATTTGAAACACATTCAATCGGCTAACCACAGTGGTGCACAGGTCAGCGGGTCTTCAATCACTCCGAACCCTTCCTTCCCCGCACAGACGATGAATACTTCCCTGGCCCTGATCGACGCGTGCGTCCTGCTCCAACGGATCACATATAGGCTCGCTGATTGACACCCTCCTCATTCCTTGTGCTCGTGCCTGACAGTGGAACCAGCGGGATTATCGGTCCTTACCAGGATGTGAGTTCACTACATGGGCGTCTGCCAGGGCATGACGACACCGGTATACTGACACGAGGCTGCCTGCAGGTCGCGCAGATATTCTCCAAGATTGAAAGCGCTCGTCTTGTAGATGAAGGTCGGTTCCGACTTTCTCGGGGTGCCGTCAGCTATTAAGCTCATGAATGGGTTTAGACTCTGGCCAGTGGGTCGTGCCTTGCGAGGTCCAGGACACCATTGCGTTCAACTTTGGGTATGTTTGTCTCCGCGTTTAGCCTTGCACACTCGACGCTCACCGCTGTGACAGAGGCGTTGACTTTCTCATGCAACCCACCGACTACCTCATCGGACCTGCTTCTGGAAATCCCAATCTTTGCCTTTCATGGCCTCAAGGCCGCGCCCCCCAGGCTGACGGCATCGACTGGCAAATTGGTGCTCCCTTCTTGCGGACAGTCTATTCGGTATTCAGGCAAGTGTTCATGTATACCGAGCATTGAACGTGTCGGTTGATCTCCTCTTAGCCATGGTATCAACGCCAAGGAGCCGCCTATGCTTGGCTTCTACTCCATCGCCAACGCCACGACGCTCACTCAGTCCACCGCCTCCGTCGCTGCCTTCCTCGCCTCAAACTCGGCAACCGTCGCGACCACGCTCCCGAACTCGCTCCTCAACACGCCCACCACATTCACGACGCCGACATACACGTTCAACACCTCCGTCTCCGCTTCCGCCGGCCAGGTGTTCACGACTGGACTCGCCAACGCGACCTACACCCCCGCGCTCAACGCCAAGAGCCTGAACGCGACGAGGCTCGCGACGCTCCTCCCGTCCCCAACGGCGGTCACGCTCATCATCACGGACACGAACGGCCAGATCGTCACGACGGTCTCGCACGCCTCCTCGACGGTCACACTTGGGGTCATCCCCGGTTGGACGCAGAGCGGTGCGCGCGCAGGGCGCGTCGCGTCTACGCTCACCGCTGTGTGCAGCGCGCTCGCGCTCGCGTCGCTGACCTCGCTCTCGTTGCTGCTGTAGCCCTCCCGGCGATATTTATGACATATTCAGTAGCGTAGTTACCTTTCGCCCTTTCTCCGTACATAGTTTGTTCGTTTACGCGCATCTCGCTGTGGACTTATTTCTCTCAGTATCGTGGTGGACTTCGTTGTTTCTTTCGTTTTCTTTTTCTTTCCACTCCTCTTCTCTTGGCTTACCCTGGGACGACCCTGCCATACGGACTAAGCCCACCCATCCACGACACGTCCGATGCTGTACCACACAGAGACATTACCCATGCGCCTGTGACTAGCATTCTCTCCGTCCTCCGTCCTTCCTCCCCCACGCACAGTCACCCTGTCCATACCTTAGATCCCGCGTTAGTTCGTAGGCGTACCCGTCTGCCGCGCAGTAAGAAAGAAGTGTACGATGCGTTTAAAAAGCTGCGTTACGACAGGAGGGCCATGACATTACAGCGATCGTGGTATCGAATCTTTCGCCGTCATTTACCCCTCAAACGCATGCTTCTCACAAGATTCACCGCCGAGACGAGGGGGTAAAGCGCAGGAGATTAAGATTCTGCACTGATTGCCATCGAGAGTACATTACACAGCGGTCGTTCCTTCGTGAGTTGTATACAGTACATACACGCGGTCGTTTGGGGCTATAATCTTCCCAGCCACGTACACACAGACCGGTCGGCTACAGCTTGGAAGCGGGGAGTCAGAGGAGCTTCGCGACCTCGGCGTCGATCGCCTCGGGGGTCGTGGTCGACGCCCAGCGGTGGACGACCTTGCCCTCCTTGTTGATCAGGAACTTCTCAAAGTTCCACTGTGCGCGGGTACGAGTCAGCGACGGTGCTCAGGAATCGGGCGCGCAGTGGGAGCGTGGGCGTGCAAACGCGGGACCAGGACGCAAACGCGACCGCCATCGCAACCGACGGCACAAGGGGGGCGCAATCGGGGTCGCGGCCGCGCACTCACCTTGATGCGCGTGAGGCCGAGGAGGCCCGCCTTCTGGCTCTTGAGCCACTTGTAGACCTCGTTCGTGCCGTCGCCGTTCACGTCCGACTTGGCCATGAGCGGGAAGGTGACGCCGTGGTTGAGCTCGCAGAACTCGCCGATCTTCTCGTCGCTCTCGGGCTCCTGCCCCCCGAACTGGTCCGCGCCGGCGCGCGTTCGGGGGCCGCGGGAGCGGGCGGGCGGGTGGACGTGGGTGTCCAGGGGCAGTTGATCAAGCGAGGGCCGAGGGGGTGGGGAGCGCGGCGATGAGCGAGAGACGGTCGAGGCGTGGGGAGGAGGGACGCACCTGGTTGCAAGGGAAGCCGAGGATGAGGAAGCCCTGGTCCTTGTGCTTCTTGTACAGGGCCTCGAGACCCTTGTACTGGGGCGTGAAGCCGCTGCACGGTTGGGCCCTCGCCGGTCAGACGTCGGAAGGCAACGCGGGGGGGCAGGCAAACGAGACGCACCACTTGGACGCGACGTTCACGATGAGGACCACCTTGCCGCGGAGCTGCTCGAAGTCGTATTCCTTGTTGCCGGGGCGCGTGGCCTTGAGGCTGTAGAAGGACTCGTCGGACATGGTGGAGGCGAAGGTGCGGTGGAGGATGGAGCGGGAGCGGATGGTGCGAGGGCAGGGGCGTGCGTGCGATAGGGCGTGCGAGGTGGACGGGCGAGATGGGGCCTTAAAAGCAGGACGGGAGAACACTGCTCCGACGAGGCCGAGGCGATGGGATGCGGGAGTGCGCGGCGCGGATCCTGCGCGCGAGGAGCTTCGGGGCGCAAAGTTCGCAAGCACGACACGTCGCGAGATGGGCTGCATATATATGGCTGCGTGCTCGTGCGTGCCCAATCGCTGGCTGTCCGAGACGGCGTCGGGATCGCGCACCAGCTCACACGGCGTCCCTGCGCGTCACACCGTCTGCATGACAAAGCTCGGGGCGGGTCCAGCCACGGTCGCCGTTCCTCCCTGCGCTCGCGCGTTGGGGCGTTCACACGTTGAGGCCTTCAAGCCTTGGGGCGGACGCGTGCCTCGTATCGTCAAAACAATAGTGCAATAACGTGCGGTTATGGAAGGATATCTCTCCATCGAGCTTTCCTCACAGGTATGCATGTAGAATCGATAGACATGGATTGCTTCGGCGAAAGTGAGTACTCATCGGTCTGTTACGTGCTCAAACCCTGTCACCCTGCGATGCGGGGTCTCGGCTGCAAACCCGTGATAGTTGTTGGCCTGCATCGGAGGCCATTCCGTGAACAGGCGTGAACATCATCTCCAGGAGGAAAACGGAGGAGGCGTCGGGTTGTGACTATTTGCAGTTGTGTGACCAGTTGAGTGCCCTGTGATTACTTACGATCCACGCACCCTGAGTGTGGTGGATGGGTTGTCGAGGAGTCAGCAAGCTGATGTTGCAGGCACACACCTCCTCATAATGTTTTTCCGTACGCCGAGCTCGTCTTCTGGCAGGCCAGCGTCGCGGGCGAGTGCGCGTGGTCGGGGCACGATCTCGCCGTCGGAGGTGTGAACGCCTTCTCGCCCGTTCGATCGCCTCTTCTAGTCCCGTCTGTGTGCGGAGTGGCGTGCTGTGCGTCGTAGGCCCCTTGCTTTCGGCTATACTTCTTATTTTTCTTCTGCAGCCTGCGAGGGTAGATGCTCTGAAGTGTGCACTGCCTGTCCCAGGTATTCCTGAGCCTCGAGGACTACCACGCAGTACCGACTCACGGGATGTCAACCCAGGGCGACCCGGAGGTGCTCGCGCCGAGACGCGAACGTCATGCGGTGGGATCATACGGACTTGAACTAGACGGCGGGGGCATATTTGTGGGTCGGGTCGGGGTGCATTCGGCGCCTCTTTCGGCGGTACTCGAAGCCGTAGGGTTCCTCGGGTCGTGTGATAGGTGGACTGGGTGGAAGTGATAACGAAAACAAATGAGATCTCAGCCTGTCCTTGTGTCTGGTCGCCTGAACATGCCCTATCAGTTCGCGACTGTTCAGAGCGATACAGAGCGGTATGCGAGAGTTTATGGGGGGAAAACTCACATCGTCCTGTGAGTAAATATGGTCCGGGTTTCATGCGGGGGCGCTACACCAGAAAAGTTGCATCCACCGCAGCCGGAGACCGGGCGGCCTCGTGCATCAAGTTCAAGCTGTGACTGATGAGGCCTAGGGAGAAGTCCAGAGTTTCAAGACAGCATTGAGTTCTGTTGGATGGACCACACAACCAATTGGTGACCACGAACTTCTGATGCTCCGGTTTGAGTTCGACCACTCGAGACACTTTACGATGTATCTATTCAGTAGCTGAGGAAGAACACTCACGGTTGTCGCAACGGCGTCACGCTCCACCACATGTGATAGCCTCCGAGGGGTCGCATTTCCACCTGTGAGTACAGCCGTGCATCAGCGGAAGAGTTGTGTGCCGCCCGAGCTCGTTATATACAGAGTCCGTCGGAGATGCTCACTCACCTGAATCTCTCCTCCAAGCACTCCTCGATTGCGACATCCTCCTCCTGTGAGCCTCTTCACCATGGCGCCAGTCTCAACCGTCGTCGATTGGGCGCCCTATGCGGGAGTGAGCTTGGTGTGGAGGTTGTTCAGCCTCGTCCGATCTGGGCTTGCGATGACGATTGGTACGGAGAGCCCAGTGTTGTGGTGGTTGGGTTACCGAGGGAGGAGTGCGAACGATGACGTCGAAGGTACGCACCCTACGCATCCTGCATGCTGAAGACTGTAACCAACGCGCTGAAAGGCCCATTTTACGTGCTTGGGGCCCCGAGCCGGCAAGTGGACCAAGGGAAGGCGGTGTTGGCATCGCCAGAGGATCTGAAAAGTAAGCACCTCGACGATGCGCGCGACTGTGGGAGAAGCCTGCGCTCACGCGGAATCCAGCCTCGGACCCATTCCTGCTCGTGCTCGAGGTCAAGGACGCCAAGGGCGACCCGATCCCGTTCGCGGAGGTGGACCTCTGGCAGGCGACGTCCACGGGCGAGTACTTCTTCGCCTCCTGGCGGCTCCGCGGGCGCGCGCTCGCCGACGCAGCAGGGCGCGTCGAGGTCCTCACCGTGCGCCCGGGCGGGTACGCGGGGCGGCCGGGCCACGTCCATGCCGTCGTCTCCGGGGTCGCGGGCGTGCACGTCCCGGTCACGACGCAGGCGTACGTCTGCCCGGGGAACCGCGCGGAGAGCATGTCGACGGAAGTGTGAGTGTCCTTCCCTCCCCTCCCCTCCCCTCCCCTCCTTCCTGTTTCTTGAGGGCCGAAAGGGTCTCCATTCCACGCACCGCGTGCCCCATGTCAAGCTCCGACCGCGCGACCGGAGTGGCACCCCCGCCTTCCCCGTTTGGCGGCCTTTGTTCTCGCTCGCGCGTCTGCGACCGGCGCAGAGGGCTCAGACTCAGAGGGCTGAGCAAGGACGTCGACGTCGCACTGCCCCCCGACCCGTTCGAGAAAGAAAGCGCTGACGGCCACTGCACACTCACAGGGCGAACATCTGGCGGTCGCGCCGGGACCGGAACGTCGTCCGCTGCTGGACGGTCGCGCCCGACGCGTCGGGGCCCGAGAAGCTGCACTTCGGCTTCCCGAGGCTGTCCGCCGAGCACGCGGACCTGCGGGAGAGCGTGGGGTGGTGGGGCGCGCGGATGGCGGAACGAGGCATCGAGCGCGATGTCGTGGCCGTGGGGGAGCACGTCGTGCGGCTGTCGAGCTGCTGAGCGGTTTGGGGTTTCGCACTCCGGGGGCGTTGTCGCGGGGGTTGCTAGCACTTCGTATGGTACTGCCAACGTTTCTTTGTGTCGCTTCGAACTGTGGGCACGGAAAGGGAGAACAAAGACGAAAGAAGGGGGCATCGTTGACGTTGGAAACGAGCGGCGGCGCCTCGAGACGAGACAGGGCCGGAGCGTCCGCAAGCCTGCCCTCAACTCGACGCGATCACATGACCGATACATGCAACATATGGCTCTCAATTAGCACGCGTCGTTCCTAATATGACGGTCTTTGCCAAGATGCTCAATCTCGTGGGTCAAAAAGCGCAGAGCTCACCTCTGCACGCACATAGTTCCCCCCTCTGCTCTGTTGGCGCACCGCTGAGCCAAAAGACAGAGATCGAGCGCACTGGTAGTACAGTGCGGGGCCAGTGCACAGGCCTTCGGGGCGCCTATCTAGGCGCCCTGGCTCAAATTGAAGCCGGCCCGCGACCCTGCGCGACCGTGCCCACAAACTGGACGCGCGGGAAGGGCCGCCGGCGGTGCATCGCCTGCGGTAGCGCCAACTGCCCCTTCCGTCGTCCGTTATCTGCTCACCCCGCCATCTGCTCTGCCCCCCGTCTTCTGCAGATTGTGGTCGGTGGCGCCCAGAGCGATCGGAACAGACTGTCGATGACTCGGTCGATCGCGCTCTCACGCCGGCGCTCCGCACACGCGAGCAGCGAGGGCGGACCGTACGTCTGAACGCTGGAGCCGTGGGTCGAGATCGCCCGCAGTGCCGTGCGCGTCATTTGGCGGGGGGCACCGCGAGCGCGGGTGCGAGCCTCGCGCGGGCGGTCGGACGGGAGCGTCGGTCGTCGGGCCCAAGAGCGGAATGTGCGTGTCCGCAGAGCGCGCTGGATCGGGCATGTGCGCGACCTTCTAGGTTACATGGGCAGGAGCGCGAGGTGGGCGTTTCCCAGCACGTGAGAGGACCACACTGGGCGATGGCCACAGACCCGCGAGTGCGCGCACCAACACTCGTCTCCACGCGGGCCGGGGCTGGCGAGGGTGGGGGCGCTTTGGCCTTGCTAAGCGAGGCTTGCAAAGGCGAGTGTCGCGATCATCGTCGCTCAAGGCCTCAAGGGCGGCGGGCCGCGGCGGAGGACAAAGAGTGAGCCACACGGCAAGACTGAGTTCAGGCACTGGGGACCGAATACAGTGCGCGCTCGTTCTTCCCAACGCGTACGCGCTCACGTGCCCGCGCGACAACTGGCGCTTTTGGATTCGAGGCGGGGTATAAAACGCTTCCGCCTCCTCCCCTCCTTCGTTCTCATCCCGCCCCGCCCGCGAGTCCTTCTGCTCCCCCGCACCCCCAATCCCATCCCAACCATGTCCTCCTCCCCCTCGAAGACTGCCTATGATCTCTTGACCGAGATCAACTCCATCGGCCATGTGCCGAAGCTCCTCCAGGACAACAACGCGGTGTCCGCCATCGCGAGCCCCAGCCCGGTTAGGGCATTCGCCACCGCTTCGGCGGTCATCAAATGGGGAAAGGAGGTCGACAACGCTGAGGTGAGCTTCCGCCACACCGAGGACCATCTCCTTGGGTGGTTGCTCACGCCACTCTCAAGGACGTCGACTGGAAGCCCAAGCTCAGCCCTCAGGAGAAGGTCGCGATGATCTTCGCGAGCAAGGGCTGGCCTCTGGGCCGCGAGCGCCTTCCGGCCGAGCGCATTCCCCTCCCCCCCTCCCCACTCCCACCGTCGCCCGTGGGTGCGGCCGCCACCGTGAGCGCCAAGGAGGAGGAGAACCCCCGCCTCTCGTTTTCGCCACTCCCCTTCGTGGCGTACACCCCTGGATTCTTGGGGCTCCGGAACGTCCGTTCGCCTTCTCCTTGGACCATGATGGGCTCCCCGCTTTCGTGCAGCACCACGAGCTTCCCCGGCTCCCCAGACCCCTCGGAGCTTCCGCCACCGCCTCCCTCCTGGCTCCCACTGTCGAAGCAAGACGAGCTCCCCGCCCTCAACCTCTCCGATGTCCGTGTCATCGAGGACGTCCAGTCGGATGCCTACAGCACCATCGGCTGGACGCCCCGCCACCAGCCCGGCCAAATCCCCCTCGAGCGTTCGCCCTTGGCTCGGTCCGAGACGGCATCTTCGGTCTCCTCGTCGTGCTTCATGGGCTCCCTCCTTCTGAATCCCGACATGGACTCTGCTTACTTCCCGGAGTCCAAGCTGCCCCTCGCCGCCCGCGCCCCCGGCTATGGACGGCCCCGCAAGGGCAACGGGGCTTCGTACTCTCCAGGCGACTGGAGCGTGCCACAAGGACAAGACGGGTTGTGGTCGTACACACGGGACTCCTTCGCCGGGAGCCCGACCACGGGACGCGTCCTCTGATGGTCGGGCTGCCCAACGAGAAGACCGCGGAGGATGGTGCGACTCACCTCATTGGTAGTCGCATCGACGAGGCGTAGGCGCAAGTACCGTTGATGGCTCGACCCCATAGAGGGCGGCCAAGAAGGACCCAGAGAGCACGTCGGGCCCCCGGACGCTAGAGGCAGAGGTGCAGTAGAAGTTGGATGGACGTCGCTTGGATTAATTGTCGCCGTCTCTCCGGAGGCGGCTTCGTGTCTTGGTTTCCTCTCTATCGGTTTCTCTCTCTCCCTGATCGTTTGTACGTTACCTGTCGTCCGGGTGTTTGTATCGCGCGCCTCCTTCGGGGGGCGTTGTCGATACAAGTGTCTGTGCTTGTGCGGTGCCTGTTGTTCTGGTGTTTGTATCGCGCGCTCCCTTGTGGAGCATGTAGTCCCTAGTGTTGTGTCTGCTCAATGTATCCGTGCGTTGGTGAACTCGAAAGACTACTGTGTGCACTGAGTGTTGATCAAAGCAGTCCGGCCGACTTTTGGAGGTGGGACCATGCAGGAGGCTGCGAGAAGGACGAGCCGCGACTGATGCGGTGCTCGCGTTGAGTTCGTCATCGAGCGCCTCGGTGCTGGGGATCCGGCAGACGGCGACGCGTCGTGGCGGCCCGGCGAGCGTCGCGTCAAAGTTGCCAACTTTACTTTCCGTCGTCGCCTCTGCCCTCGACGTCCTCGTCCCCCTCCCTCTCCTCTCCTCTCCTCTCCTCTCCTCTCCTCTCCGCTGTCCCCTGCCCCAAGGTAAGCTTCTTTCCGTCTTCCACGCTCATTCTAACCCATGTGCCCGCCCAGATGAACCCGTTCGCTCTGGTTCACCACCAGCTCCGGCGCAGCTTCACCAGCCCGCCCCGGTGCGCCCAACCTGTGGCACTCGCCCGCCGCGCCCACACGCCGCCCTCCATCACCACCACCCTCGCCCGCCGGCACTTCTCCGAAAAGCCGCGCAGCGCACCCGAGGCCGCCGACGCTGCGCCCAAACCGAAGCCGAAGGCGTCGACGCCGCTGCGGCGCTCCGCGTCCGCGTCGCTCCCCATCCGCGCGAACCCGACCCCGACGCGGTCCGAGATCCACCCGGTGACGACGCTCGCGACGGCGGAGCGGTACGCGATGGGGCACCTGCTCGCGGCGCTGCCCGAGGGCGCGGTGCTGCTGCACGACGCGTGGTGGGTGCCGCGCTGGCGGCCCGCGGCGGCGGCGGGGGAGAGCGGGAGCGGCGGGAGGGAGGGCGAGGTGTTCGTGTTCGGGAACGGGAGCTTCGTGTGCTGGGGCCTGGACGAGGAGGGCGCGAGGGCGTTCCTGCGCGAGGTGGTGTGGCCCGCGCGGGCGGAGGTCGCGCGGCTGAAGGAGCCGGAGACGGAGGACCTGGAGTTCGTCACGGACCCGCAGGAGTGAGTCGTTTCTCGCTTGCGCGCGGCGCGGGGGCTGAGGCTTTGTGCGTGCTGCAGGGAGACGCGGCTGCAGGGAGACCTGATCATCCTGGGCAAGCTGCCGCCGCTGAACACGGAGGCGTCGTTGCCGGCGAGCATCCCGCCGAGTGCGCTCCCGCAGGACACGCTGCTCGTGCGGTATGCGTACTCCCAGGCGCTGTCGCGGTCGACCGCGTTATCGGGCCTGGAGACTTCCCTGGAGCACTACTTGTCGTCCATCGCGAACCTGCCCCGGGCCCTGCAGAAGACCGGCAAGCCGGGCCTTGGACGCAAGCAGCTCGTGATGAAGCTCGGAGAGCTCTTGCGCTTCCGCCAAGGGCTCAACCTCAACCGCGAAAACTTCTCCGACACGCCAGACTTCTACTGGTCTGAGCCCGTGCTTGAAGGTGCGCTCAAATCGATGTGTTGCCTTGTGTGGGACTCATGAAGATGTCAGGTTACTTCAACACTCTGAGCAATGCTCTCGAGATGAGAGCACGAATCCGGTCTGTGAACGACAAGATCACTTATGCGGCCGAGGCAAGTAACCCTTCGTCTAGGACTACGGCGTTCCGGCTGACCCGTCTTTCTTAGATGCAATCCGTTCTAAGGGAGCTGCTCACGGAGGTTGGTCATATTGCAAGGGTACCATTGACGTATCGCTGACATACACACCAGACGTCTGCCCACCGCATGGAGCTGATCATTATCGCCCTCATTGCCGTCGAAGTGGTCATTGTGCGTCCCTTTTGCTCTTTTTGTCACTGGGAGTTTCTGACACTTTCTTAGTGTCTCATCCGCGACGGTCCTGAGCTCTGGCACATGGTCTTCGGTGAAGACGAGAAGTCAACGAAGACCACTGAAACTGATGCATGAGATCACGTTTTGTGCTTTCCACCCTCCAATCCTGTTCCCTGCCCATCATCACTATTTACCGATCGCCACCACCCACATACCTCCACCACTCGCCGACCATCACCACTCACATGTAACTGCTATCGTTTTGCATATCATCGCTCATTTGCTCAAGTAGAGGTTGGCATCATAGAGGATATCAAATTATAATTCACAGTAGTTTGCTCGTTCTCGCTCATGCCAAACGTGACCGTGTGATGGAATAAATGCAAATCCGTAGCAGCAACCGGGATAGAGTACTTTTGGCGACTAGTCGGCCTACGACATGTCAACGTCGTCTTCGTCGCTCTCCTCTGCGTCTTCCCATTCCTCCCCATCCTCTCCGTCCTGCTCAGGAGAAGGCTGGATGCCTAACGACTCTAGCTTGCCTATCAGTTCTCGTGTGTGTTCCAGGAGAGGCGCATCTGGATGCTCCTGGCTCAGGTGCAACTGCAGATCGCCCGCATGAGCAAGAATAAGGAGGCGCGATGCAGGATGTCGCACGTACCATCTGGGTCGTCTCCAGGCAATCGCGTGAATCGCGCGCGAGCTCTTCCCACGTAAGTTCGTCTAGCTTACCGCCGTTCTCCTTCGCCTGCTCCGCCATGAGGAAGAAACACCAGCCTTCGAGGTACCACGCCTCGACCTCCTGGTCGTCTGAGGCCATGATGCCCTGCAGGACGAGCAGCGCGGGCGTGTAGAGGGAGAGCTCGAGGAAAAGCTTGACGATGGCCAGCCGTGAGGGTATAGGCGGTAGCCGCGGGTCATCTGTGCATTCAGTCAGTCGCGGCTCCACGCATCCGGACGGACGGACACCCACCGAGGTCGAGGTCTTTCCACGACTTCCACGCCTGCTCGAGGCACACCTTGGCGTCGTCCGGCCGTTCCTGCGACATCCGCACGGACGCAAGAGCCTGCAGCGCCTCCGTGTTCCCCGGGTCCGTCTGCAGCGCGAGCCCGAGCAGGTCCTCGCACGTTTTCTCCGCGGCGGGGTCGTCGCTGCGCCGCCCGCTCGCGCTCAGCCACACTCGGCGCACACACACCAAGCACGGACGCACCAGAGGCTGTACGACGGATCCATCCAGATCTCCACCATCCCGATCAACGCCCGGACGACGCTCCGTCGAGTCTCGGCCTCGTCGTCGCCCGAATCCGGCGCATCGGTCGCGCGCTCCTTCCCCTTCAGCTGCCCGGAGAGGATGTCGACGGCGGCCTGGTAGTGCCGCAGCGCCGCCTGCGGGTCGTCGTCGCTGAGCTGCGCGAGATACAGGTGCGCAGAGGCCGGGGGAGCCGCGGGCGCGCCAGGATGCGGGGGCACGAGCGAGCGGAAGGTCTGTGGGGGAAAGGTCGAGATCAACTACGAGCACAGAGAAACCCGGGCCCGGGGGCGCGCACCTCCTTCGCTGCGAGCAGCTCGCCCATCTCGAGCTGCGCGACGCCGAGGGCCTCCTTCGCCTCCGCGTTCGCGGGCTCGCGCTCGAGCACCCGCTGCGCGAAGCGGGCCGCGAGCTCGTAGTCGCACTGCACGATCAGCTCCTGCGCCTTCTCCAGCAGCGCGGGGACCGACGGCGACGGCGCGGACGCGGCGGCGGCGGCGGTTTCCGTCGCAGGCGGCTTGGCTTTGCGGGACTTGGGGCGGGTGCGGCCCATCGCGAACGCCTGCGGGTGGGAAGAGGTGGGGAGATTGAGGAGGGGGAGGAGGAAGATTATTGGGCGTCTAGATCAGATGTGCAGGCTTGTCAATGTGAGCGCGACGGCGGCGCGGGGTGGCGCGGGACGCCTCTTTCCTTTCAACCACGACGAGCATTTGACTACCCGCCGCGCCGACTACCCCCTCTCCCTCCCTTGAAAGCACGCCGGAATTCTGAGCACCCATTCAATACAGTCTGCATAAGCCTCATGGACACGCTGAAAGGGAAAGAAAAAGCGTCGGACGATGTCTTCTTCATGGAGCGGCTCGAGATGCTCTACGAGCAGGGTCTGAGCGACCTGCGCGCGTTCGCGGAGCGCGAGAGCCGGCCCTTCGACGAGGTATGTGCGCGTGCACTGACGGTGCACGGACACTGTAGGTGACTGCAACGCCGCCTTCCGCAGGTCAAACGGCGCATGGCGGAAGTGCACTGCAGGTCGCTCTTCGGCGGCGCGGGATCGCAGAATTTGTCGGATGACCGAAGGCAAATAGGTGCGTGGCGCGGTTCTGCTGTGCACATCGCATTGACAGGGGCACAGTCAGTCAGGCCCTGCAGACCATCTCCCAGCAGCTCGAGTCTCTGGAAGCTCTCGTGGGACTGCAGTCGTTCTTCCTTGCCGTGAGACCAAGCGATCCAGACGACGCCGGATTCCTCGGCGGCACGAATATCGGGCGGGAGTTCTGGCGTGGTCATCGTGGATGCGGCGCTCCAGGGGCAGAGCTGTTCAAGACGCAGTGCGCTCGCGCCCAGAATCTCAATATGTCTTCTGTCTTGACCGCCGTCGCACCACTGCCTACCGTGTCCGTTCATCCCGCCACCAATCCAACTCGTAAGAAGCAGCCCGCGCATGAAGTCAAAACGCAGCTCTATGGCGCGTTTCGAGATAAGCTAAGGTATGTCGTTCACGCTGCGATTACGGCGTTTCTTACCTTTACCTTCTTCTGCTTAGAAAGCTCTCTGGCGTCCGAAACGCCGAAATGAAGTGGACGAATCACACCAAGCTTGACGTATATCAAGTACAAATCCACGGCTGGCCTGAGAACGTGCCGCTTCAAAACCCTTCAATGCTCTCGCTCGCTCACAACAAGCACTTGCTCGAATTGATCACTGCGGGCAAAATCCATTTCACCCGTATCGGCGGCCATCCCTCAGGTGACACCTCCAGCACCATGGACTATGAAATTCAGAAAGACGAAGACACCATCTTCGAGGATTCAATCGACTATTCGTGGGCGGCTGACGACCCGCATACGAAGATCACGGTAATGACCATCTGTACGACACCGCTCCACCTCGATGTCTGACCAAATCGACGTTCAGGATGCCCACGACGCGCACCAACCGTCACTCAGGCCATTACACTTGAGTGGGACACGAGACGTTAATTCCGCGTCTCTTCCAGGGGGAGATGATCGCCGGAGTACAACACCGAAACGAAAACGAATAGATGAAGACCAGTATGAGGCCTCATAGAGCCTTCATAACTGTAGAATAGTGTTTGGTGCATTATAACGGACTACGCTAGCAGATACACAGATACCCATGGGCTATATCTTGCGTTCCTCCGCCTTTTTTCGGTCCTCCGCCTTGGGCGCATGCTCATACCCACCGAAGCCCTGTGATGCCTGCACCACCTCATCTGAAGCATCAGGTTCAAGGTGTCCTTGAGCATTCCGGCGTGCGCTGGGGTGCATGGATATGTCGTGAGGCACGAATCTACGGTACATAGGAGACATGATCATGCGTACCGGAAGAACGTGTACGACAACACAACGTCGTCCAGATTGCGGCATGCGGGGTCATCGAGAACGTCCCTGTCGATGAAGAAGAGCAAAGGCATGTCGATCTCCTCCCCAGCAAGCAGCTTCTGCTCCTCGAAGCAGAAGCACTCCACCTTGGAGAAATAAGGCGCAATCTGCGCGTGCCATTAGCACCCTCCGGTTTCACGCTGTAGGAACACCACCCACTCGATCCGGAGTGACGTTGTACGTCGCAATCCCGATGATGTCCTTTGTCGACTTGTTCTTCGCCTTGTAGAACGCGAGGCTCGTCTCCCCAGGCAGGACGCTCACGATCTTCTGCTCCGGCACGAACGACCACGGGAGCGCGTCGGAGACGTCCGCGTTGAAGTGAACCTTGATGCGCTTCGCGTTCTCGACCGGGACGAGGCGCTCTGCCTCGAACTTGCCCATGCCGACCTTGGGCGTGCCTGCGAACCCGGTCGCGGCACAGAACATGCGGTAGAGCGGCACGGCGGCGTATGTCACGCCAATGCCCGCGACGATCTGCCCGAGGAGGGGGGGCGTCAGGGAGGGAGACGGGGGTGCGCTGGATGCGAGAGAGGCGTACCACGGCGGTCGTGTACATGAGAAGGCTCCGGTTCCGCGCGGCGTACATCTCCTGCCGAGAGTGCTGGTACGGCCGCGACCCGGGGCGGGGTGACGGTCCAGCATTGGAAGGTCCAGACGAAGAGGAAGAAGAGTTCGTAGAGCTATGCCTCCATGTGGACCGGCTGAAGAAGGGGACCTCTCTTGACGAAGGGCAGGGGCGGGGACGCGAGGCGTGCCGCGGGACGGTGTGGACACTGCGCTGGAACATCCGTGTTCAGAGGGGCCCGTTGAGAAGTACGGATGCCCAGCATTAGCACTCACCGGCCGCAGGGCGAAAGAGGGGCCTGCGCGGGCGAAGGAGAAGGGCGGCGCGCGGCCTGCAGTGCGCAGACTGAGACCGGGCACACGGAGGGGGTTCATGGCGAGAAGGCGGCGGCGCTTGGAGCCTTCCACAACTCCCCGACCTCGGTCTTCCACCACTCGCGTCTCTCGACTCGGCGCGCCCACCGGGCCAAGCCACCCTCAGACACACTCTCGCCTCGACGCCCCACTGTCGTCTGCACGCAACACAGCGTGCTGGTCAGGCTTGTGCTTACTTTTGCGTCGTCTGCGGCCGCATAGACGACTTGTGCTGTCCGCTTCGCTCCCAGATTGTGCGTTGCCACCATGTCCGAGGCTGCCGCTTCTTCAAAGCCATCCGGCGGGCCTTCAGTGGACGACATCGAGAAACTACTTAGCCGGGAAGCCACGGCTTTCCAGCGAGAGGTCGAGGTCGAGCGCATTCTCAAAGCGTTCAAATTCAAGTGCGCCCCTCCGCTCATTCCCACTGAGGCCACTTCTCAACGAGCCCCCTGCGCAGTCCATATGATATCCTAGACATTCAGGAAACCGCTACGGCCGAGGAGGTCAAGAAGAAGTACAAGCAGCTCTCGCTCGGTGAGCCTTCGCATCCTCACGTTCCTGGACCGCAACCGGAAGGCTCATGCTCATCGGTCGCTTGACGTTCAGTCATCCACCCTGACAAGACCAAACATGCCCGTGCGCCAGAGGCCTTCGACATCCTCAAAAAGGTGCGTCCACCGTCCCTGCGCCCGCCCATGTTTACCCACGCCGCTTCGCTCCCCCACCCTCTGCCCCACAAACACGAAGCGTGGCTGCGAATGTTCGCTGACGTGAGAGCGTTCACAGGCCGAGTCGGAGCTCTCCGACAAGACGAAGCGCGAGGAGCTTGACGCGGTGATCAACCAGGCTCGCGTCCATCTCCTGAAGAACCTCGGGCTGCTCCCGACAACGAAGGACGACGACCCGAAGCTGCAGAGCCTGGTGCCTCCATGGCGGCAGCAGATGCGCGCCAAGTCGAAGGAGATGCTCATCGACGAGGAAGTCCGCCGACGAAAGTCAGCATTGTTTTCCCGTGCCTCTCGTTGTCTTTACTCACTGACAATATGTAGAGCGGTCAAGATGAACCTGGCCAATGAAGGTCTCGAGGCGCGCAAGAAGGAGGAAGAAGTCAATGCGAAGAAACGAAAGGCCGAGGAGGACGCACGATGGGAAGGTAAGGCGAATCGTCAGGTCACTGCGTACCCCTACTCATCGCAGCCACTGCAGAGAACCGTGAACAGCGCGTCGGCAGCTGGCGGGATTTCACAGCGAATTCCAAGAAGAAGAAAAAGACGAAGGTCGTCCTCCTCGGATGATCCTCTCTCGCCATGTGTGTATCCTTAGAGGTCCTTGTTTGGTGGCTTGCGACGTTGTGCTCGGTGCGGCATGTATTACCCTCGGACTTGCAAACATAGAGCGGCCCTGTTGGCTGCAATTACGACGAATGATGCATACAACAAATACTCGGGCTATTACAAGGGGATACAATACGTTGCAATTGCACTCGACGTCGTCATTGTCCATCATGCCTTGCGGCACGCTCGTAACCGGCGCGAGGACTAGTCTGAAAGCTCGATAACGGTGGCATCCGTCGGTACCCTGAAGACACGCCTGCGTACATGCCGAGTCCGAACCGGCTTGTTCTCCTTGTCTAACTCTACCTCTTCGTCGCTGATGTCGATCACACTGTCCATCCTCGCGGGGGTCGGCTTGCTCTTCGACCCTCCGGCAGATTGGCTAGCCATCGACGATGATGCCCCACGCGACCCAGATCCGGTCGTAGAAGGCGTGCTGGCCGCAAGGCCTATCGCCTGGGACATGGGCTCCCCCTTCACTTGCGTCTGCGGCTGCGGCTGAAACTGCGACGGCGTCGGCGTCCGGTTTTGGCTTTCGCCCTGCGCCTGCGAGTTCTGCAGGTAGTCCAGCTCCACCCGCTCAATGTGCTCAAAGAAGCTTCCGCTAACATCGAAGTCGAAGCCGTAGTCGTCCGAGCTCGCGTCGCCGAACACTGGCTCCTTCGCGGTGGCCTTGCCCTTGCCCTTGTCGCCTTGACTGAGACGCTGCGACGCCGGGTTTTGGGCTTGGGACTCGTCCTCTTCGGTGTCGCTCCCCGATCCAGGTGCCGGCCGGGCGCGGCGCGGGGACAGCCCGATTGTCCGCGCGAACTCCTTCATGGCGTCGCTAGACCCTGGACCGGTCACTGAGACGGAGGTGGGGCTGGCCCGTCCGCCGTCTGCTGAAAGGAGCCCGGTAGCGCTGCTGTGGCTGTCGGAGGGGCCGTTGCGCGTGAAGAAGCGCGAGCGCTGCTCGCGAGGGGGAGGGTCGGGTGACGGGGAGCGGCCGGCGCGGCTGGGCCGCTTCCGCCTGCGGGGCTCGCCGAGGTCATCGGCGTGTTCGTCGAGGTTGAGCGGTACGGCGTTGGAATTGGAAGGACCTGCTTTGGCGTCCGGAGTGGGGGAGATGTCGCGTAACGGGGATCGGGGGGACTGTGTTAACCTGGGAGCGGCCCTACCGCGCAGCGGTGCTGGGGCATCTGCAGGGGGCTCTTCAACTTGGGCTGGTTCGATATGTGCTTCGGGTTGCTCAAGTTCGGGAACGTCCTCGCTGTGCACAACATGAAGGTCAGGAGACAGGAAACTATATACAGGGAGGATGACGCACCCCATACGGATCTTGAGGGAGCGCACGAAGACGGCATCGCGTCTTTCATCGCGGTCCGCCGTTCGATGACCTTTGAATTCCACGCATCTGGGTTCGAGCAGAGCAATCCCCTTTCGAACGGTGACGTCTTTGATCACCATCTGCATTCGTTCTCAGATGTTACAGCACTGACTACGTCAATTGAAACGGCAACTTACCTTGAAACCAAGAGGGGTCTCGCCAAGTTCAATTCCCGGTAAACTCTTGTGCTCAACCGCGGTGATGACATGCTGGCCGTCACTCAAACGTAACTGCAACATAGATCTCGGAAACTTGGGCATCGGTTTGTGCTCTTCAGGGTCTCCGCTAGCGGTACGAATCTGGGCCTGCTTCTGGTACTCGACGCGGGATTCGTGGACCTGCAGCAACGAATACGCGCTTTGACCGACTTCCATTATCTCGACAACTTCGACGAGGATGGGACCTTTGATCACCATCGTTTCGTCTGCACCTATGGCGTTCGGTGGTATACCAGAGCCGCTGCGCATACTGTCCGCGAAGTCAGACTCTAGAAGCTGTGTGTCCACGTTTTCTAGGATCGTTTTCATGTCTCGGGAGGGGTCTAGCTGGAGCTCTTCTACAATCCAAGAGTAACATCCTTCGAGCCATTCCTGTGCGAGGGGCTCAGGGACCAAGGGGGCTGGTGCGATCCGTTCCACTCACAGGATCAACCGCAGGACGAGGGTATGTTTTCTTCAGCCATTGGGTAATCACAGATAGGGGGGCGGCCATGACGTGAAGGCAGTTCGGCCAACTGGTGGTGGACGGTTGGTCGATCCGAATGACACGAGCAGGATTCACTCACTTGGTAGTACAGTTTTTGGCTTAGACAAACAAAGGAGAACGGGTGACCCCACGCCGCATAAGTCAGTGATTGATAGGGCCGCGGATATCGTGAGGAGGGTATAGGTATCGCGTGTGTTCCTTCCGGGACAGTAACTGCTCGATGAATAGACGAGCTGGAAGCGAACATCGATGGGTACACGCCATAAAGAGAGACACGAAACGCACCACACAGGTTGATTTCGAGTCGCGTCGTTGAGCGAGCTTGCCGTCTGGGTCGTGATAAAACGCGGGGAGAAGGCGTGACTGAAATGAGAGTATGGGTGGAGCTTGGAGGTGAAGATCGGCTGGGGCGGGCTGGTGCGTCGACCGCGAGAGGAGTGCGTGGTCCCGTGCAGGGGAGACGAGGGAGAGAAGGAAAGTGTTCGCGATCGCAGCGTGCGCCCTCCGAGCCGGAAAGGCGAATGGGGCACAAGGGAGCTTGTCGCAGAAACGCGTCCATGACGCGTGACGGAGTATCACGTGACTTTGCCTGTGGTGTGACGCCAGAGGACGGCGTCGCGCTACGGTGCCTCGTCCGACTCTCGCCAGTGTTTGCGTCCTTCGTTCACGGCACCGATGATTCCCGACCCGTATTTCTAGCGGTTGCGATGCTTTCGAACGCGACTCGATCTCTTCCTCGCTCCTCCTTGTCCATGTATCCTCAGGTCGTCCGCCAGCGACGACAAGCTTCGACCACCCGCCCTTCGTCGCCTTCGCTTCCTCGTTTGCCGGTCCCGGACCTACGCAAGACACTCCAGGGTTATCTCAAATCCTTGGAGCCTATACTCCACGAACGCGCCGCGCGAGGCGGACAGTCATTCGACGCAGCCTACAGAGCTCAACAAGAAGTGATCGAGGATTTCGATCGCGGGCTTGGCAAAGCGTGTCAGGAGCGGTTACTCGGTATGTTCTCTATCTGAACAAAGTAGTCAGAATTCTCAGTGGGGCTACTGGGGCTGTTGAAGAGCTTGATGCTAGGTCCCCACACAACTGGCTCGACGATAATATCTGGTTGAAGAAGGCGTACCACGAATGGCGCGCCCCGATCATCATCCACTCGAACTGGTGGTTAGCTCTGGAAGACGACCTCAACGTTCCCAAGAATATTAGATATCCTTCTGCAGAACGATTCAAGTTCACTGCATGGCAAGTTCGTCGCGCAGCCTGGCTTGTGCACCGAGTCCTGGAGTTCAAGGCTCAGCTAGAGCGGTGAATATTCTAGAATTGTCGTTCCGCGATGTCAACGTTTATTGGATTTTCACAGAAAGAACCCCAATCTGGAAGACAACCGCTCAGGTAGGCGATTCAGCTGGGTCGTTGATCATATGTCGTCTAATATCTTCCAGGCATCTGGTTTAGACACTCAGCATTGCAGGTGTTCAACAAGTGTCGTGTTCCGCGAGAACATTGCGATGTGTTTTCTTCAGCAGCCTCCCTGTCAGAGCCTCACGCCAGACAGCTGTTGGTGATGTCTTTGGACATGTTCTACGCGGTGGAGGTGCTCGATTCCACCGGTCAGGTAGTTCCCCCGGGGATCATAGAGCAACGAATACTCGCCGTGGTGCGAGACGCGAAGACTCGTCAAGGCTCGGGGGAGCGGCCTGTGCCTGTGGGGGTGCTGACGACGGACGACCGGGATCGCTGGGCAAAGGTGCGTAAATATGCTAGAATTCGCGCATTTGTATGAATGCATCCTTCACCAGAACCTGCGTCATCTTCTTTCCCTTTCTCCTAACAACCACAAAGTCCTCCAAACGATCACATCCTCCCTCTTCGCGCTCAGTCTCGACGACTATTCCCATCACCTCTCGCCTTCCGCCCGCACACCCAACATCGACCTCACTGCGCACCTGCACAACATTCGGTCCGGTCACAACGCTCGTCCGGGTTTTAACAGATGGTACGACAAGCCGTTTACTCTCATCGTCGAGGCCAATACTCGCGCCGGAGTCCTCGGCGAGCATTCACCAGTCGATGCGCTGGTCCCCAGTATCATCGCGGACTACGCTGTCGTCCAAGGCGTCATTGAAGACGACTTCCCTGCGAAGCTCGACCCCAACGACCTGTCTCCTCGAGCACCTAGCGAAGCAGTCGAAGGCTGGTCGCGCCTTGACTGGGTCACGGACGACCTCATCGCGCGAGAGTGCGACGCAGCCGCAGAGCGCGCAAAGCAGATCGTGGACGACTCGGACGCGGACGAGCTGGTGTTCGACGCCTACGGCACCGACTGGATCAGGCGGGAAGGTTCGTGCCACCGTCACGTTGCTATATGCTGCTCGTCTCTGATGAAAGTCGACCTCTAGCGCGCCTGTCGCCGGACGGGTACATCCAGATGGCGATGCAACTTGCGTGGTACCGCACGCGCGGCTCGTTCACCGCGACGTATGAGACCGTCCTCACTCGTCTGTTTGATCGCGGGCGCACCGAGACAGTGCGGACGTTGTCGACGGATAGCCGGGCGTGGGTCCTTGCGATGACGGACCCGGAGAGCGATGTACGTGTTCCTGCCCGTCGTGACGATTTGCGGAAGGCAGGAACTTATCAGCGTGCGTACAGACCGAGACCCGTCTGGCGCTCCTTCAGCGTGCGATACAGACGCATACGGCTGCGACTCGGCAAGCGGCGACGGGTCGCGGGTTCGATCGACATCTGCTTGGCCTACGCTTGATGCTCAAGCCGGAGGCTGGGGAATCGCATCCTCTCTTTGAGGACCCTTTGTTCACTGAGAGCCAGACCTGGAAATTGAGCTCAAGTGGGCTCAGTGCTGGTGAGCAGTTCCGAGGCACTGGGTATGTGACCATGAATCTACTGTTTGGTCATTCTTGTGCTCATGCTCTGTGAATAGCTTTGGATCACCATATCTAGATGGATATGGCATCAATTGTGAGTTGATGCCATTCAGCAAGAGAGAAGTGTGCTTATTATTCACACAGACATGCCTGCTCCTGAGAGGCTGCGGTTTGGCATTGAATCCAAGCATTCAAACCCTTCAACAAGCACATCTATGTTCATGACTGTTTTGACAGATGCTTTACTAGATATGAGGACACTCTGCACACCTACACTACATTCACACCTATAGTATATAGAACATGATGATATTCTACTCTTCTCAGCATAGAAGTGTTATGAGCCTACAGGATATGTGGAAGTGTTGTGCTGAGTACATCTTTACTGATCAACATTCTCCACAGTGAGGTGGTCAGGGAGAATCCAGGCATCTTCAGACCATGCAGCTGACATCCTTCCAACCAGGGTGTGACTAGCCTTCTTCTCCACAAAGTCCCAGGAGGTGACAATGTACATGCCCCTCTTGCAGCGGGTGAGCATGACATTGGTGCGCCTGAAATCATCCAAGAATCCAAGACCGCTGGAGCGGACTATCGAGACAATGACATAGTCTCTCTCATTTCCTATGCAGCATATTGAGCAAAGGTTGCATAGGAGGGAGCTGAGACCAACCTTGGAAGGAGTCCACATTGAAGCACTTGTCCTCATGCTGGAGCCCAGCAGCTTTGAGGTCTGTCACCAGCAAGGTCCTCTGGGCATCATAGGGTGTAATGATGCAGAAATTCTTTTCCTCTGCCTGGAGCTTAGCAGCAATTTTAATGACTGCAGCCCTCTCTTTGACATTCTGAGTAATAGCTGTCAGCCTGCCAAAAAATTCAAAATAAGCAAGCACACTGACCTGCCAGCTAGTATCCCACTTGCTCTCCTGAGACTCATCAACATGAACAAACCAGCAACAAGGCTGGGAGGGAGGGACTGGATGGTCTGTCCAGGAGTCAAGTTGACCATCATAGTTGACATCAGACACCACTTCTCCAATGAGTGAAGGCATGCGATCTGAGAGCTGACAGTTAGCTAAGCATCAAAGCAATTAGCAGCCCCACTCACATTGAATGGCAAGAAAGAGGATGTGGGGATGGAGGTGCTCAACCTCAAAGATGCTCTTGATGGTGTCAGGGTCATTGTCAGCACCATAAGGGGGCACTGCTCAGATGATCAGATGATGCTCCACATTGAAGAGTGACACTCACACTGTTTGTCATCTCCAATCATAGCAATCTTGTGGATGGTAGTGGCAAACCTGTTGAAAGGGAACACATAGCTGCCCAGAGTAATCTGACTGGCCTCATCAATGACTAGGGCTTTGACAGGGTTGACATTGGTGAAGATGTGAAGGAGCTTGTTTGAGAGCATTGAGAGAGTGCATAGCATGACAGGAACACCTTGAATGCGAGATCTAGCCTGCTTGAACTCAATGCTGGAGATGACATTCTTCTGGATCTGCTTATAGAGATGATCATGCCTGCAGGAGGCCCAGTTAGACACATGATGTGCTCAGAGTTAGATATGCTCACCAGCCAAAGTGGAATTCTTTGCTGATGAGGAGCCTGAAGTTCCAGAAGCCAACATCTGCCAACTTCTCTGCAATATTCTTGACAGCAAAGTTGCTCTCAGCCACAAGCCAGATCCCATTCTGGCCAGCAGAAACAGCAGAGGCAACAAAAGCAGCAATCACAGTGGTTTTGCCTGGTGATGTAGATGTGAGCATGGAAAGGATCAACACAGACAACTGAACAAACCTGTTCCAGGAGGACCTTTGATTATGGTTAGACGAGCAGAGTCCATGTCTGCAAGCATTTGCTGAACAGCACATTCCTGTGAATGATTGAGAGACCTCTTGGAGACAATGTCGGGTATGACATCAGAAGTAGGGAAAGTGTCAGGCCATGTGAAGGTTTCAGAGGGCCGCATGATGTACTGAAGGAAGGGAGAGCTCAAGGCATCAGTTTGTCCTTGGAGTGCAGAGCGGATCATGTAAGCCCGCTCGCGCTCGGCATTTGTTGGCTGCACAGGACCATGCGTAGTGACCGAGAGAATGGTGCGATTCTCGAGATTAGTCGTGGTCTTGATGATAGTGTTGCGCCCGATGATGGAGCTGACCTGCCCCGGAATGACGATGTCGAGGCCCGTTTCATGGTCATGTGCCATCACCCGCTGTGTCTGCATATCACGGTGAGAATTGTCGGCAATGCAGGTACAATTGGGAGTGCACTTGCCGTTTCCTTTTGGAAGCGAGTTTGGAAGCGGTCCGCGCGGAGATGCGCAGTCTCACCTCGGGAGCCCGCAGCGGAGAAGTCGTGCCTGACCGAGGTCCCCTGGACGAGCTGCAGGCGTTGCTCACCACGGTCGAGATCGGCGAGACATTGTAGCTCCTGAAGTGCCATCAGTGTGTGAGATAGTGTGATGGTGGTCCAGTCGTACTACATCATTCATATCCTTCGTGTTGATGTGTGGTGCACTCCTCAGCATCTCTTCCATTGTGTCGTAGGTGCTGAGGGTGTAGGCAAGCCATGCCTGAATGGCGATATTGGTAATGCGCTTCGCATCGAAGGTGTTCGAAGAGAACAGGGGGTTGACGTTGACCTCCATGACCGGAGAGCGATCGCGGATCGCGGATTGGATGGTCCCGAGCGCATCATTGCTCTGCTTGCCACAAGCGCTGTTCAGGTCGACGCCGTTGAGGACGCGCAGGGACTGGTCCGTGAAGAGGACCACCGCGACCTTGTAGAAGTCGAATCCAACGATCGTGACGTCAGGGTTGTGGAGGAGTTCGCTGTCGAGGAACTCGCGACCCGCGTAGGCCTTGCTGCCCTTGCCCTTCGCGGCGAATTGCACGATGATGACCTTGCCACTCACCGCGAGAGCTAGGCGGCAGAGGGAGCCCTTCTCCGAGTAGACGGGGGCTACACCAACAAAGCGGGGGGTGGGGCTGTCTTTGAGGAAGTCGTTGATAACCTCCTTGGTGAGCGAGGATTCAGGAACATCGTCCTGGAGGCGGATGGCGGGGAAGGAGGCGTCGATAATATTCTGGAGGATGTCGCAAGGTTTGTTCTTCGGCGGCATCACTTGAGGGTGGAGGAGAGGAGAAGTGGGGGGGAGGGGATCGTGGAGTCGTCTCGAGCGTGTACGGGGTGGTGGTACGCTTGGGGCGCGCAGCGGCCGCGAAGGGAGAGAGGATAAGGGAGAAGGCCCCGTGGGGAACAACGGCGGCATCGGAGACGTCAAAGCGGGCAATTCGCCTTCGCTGGCACCAGCTCAAATACGAACGGCGGATCGCCGTACGCCAGCCTCCGGACTGCCCCTCTCGATTACCGCAGCACTCGTGCCGTCTGATGGATGCGCAACAAATCTATTCCGCGAACAACCCAGCCCCGTGCATGAACTAGATGAGAAACCTACGGACCTCCAGCAATGTGTTGATAAAAGCCTTGATGCCGCATGTCTTGTCCAGCTAGCTAGCATCATGTGTCCTATCAGGCCTCGTGCGGTGGGTCGAGACGAGAAAGGACCGGCGAACAGGTACCCCAGGCTGGGTTTGCGGCCCGGATCGACTTGACGATAGGAGATTGACGACCAAACAGAAAGAGGCAGGTGAAGAACGACGCCGAGGAAGTCCCTGCGGTTGGAGAGGCTGCGGTAGATCCTGGATCCGATGTCGCAGCGGTGAAAAAGGGAAAGGGGCAAGGCGGCTGGAGAGCGGAGGAGGAGGAGGTGGGAGATGGTCTCTTTGGTGGAAGGACGAGGAGACGAGCGTGGTCTGTGGTCGAACACTGTACTCAGAGGATGCTCGGGCGCTCGTCCGTGTGACGACACGCCGCGGGCTCTGGCGACTCTGGTGCTTTCACCTCGACACCCTCTTTCCACCTCCCGCCTTTTCTACTCCCTTCCTACGTACTACCCATGGCCACCCCCATTATCGTCGGCGTTGGCGCTATTGCCGCTGCCATCGCCGGTCGTACCCTTATCCGCAGAGGTATCATCGGCGGGAAGAGCGCTGCTGAACAGTGGGCCAAGGGCGGTTTCAAAGCGAAGATGGACCGAAAAGAGGCCATTGCCATCCTTGGACTCAAGTGCGTTTCCTTTCGTGGTTTATTCTGCATGTCATGTCTGACAGAGAGTGTCTAGGGACGGTCCTCAAGCCAAGAACAGACTGAAGGATGCCCACCGTCAGATCATGCTCGCGAATCACCCGGACCGCGGTGGATCACCATATCTTGCGAGCAAAATCAACGAGGCCAAAGACCTGTTAGAGAAGGAGAACAGGAGATGATCGTTCGTTCGGCTTTATGGTGTGTCCGCCTGAGCCGTTCAAAGCGGAACCATGCACTGACTGCTCGGTAGTCGCCTTCTGCTCTCCAGATTTACGCTGTATCCATGATTTAATTGTGTACACTACCTTCTCATAATTCAACACCCCTCTACCATGTCTTTCCTGCGCGTACATTGAGCACTCCGAACTTGGGTCTGTTGGTGAGCTCTATGCTACGTCATCTCCCCAAGCCTATCGCCGCGTTAGAAGTTTATTTTCCACATCTCATTCCTAGGCAACAACGTCGTGTTCAAGCCAATTCTATTCCGAAGCATGCGTCTCTTCCACCCACCACGACTGGATGCTAGATGTTGCTGACTAAGCTCACACCTCTTATCCCTCACCGTGATGTCCACCTCCGACTTGCAACCATCCAAGCTGGGCACCAAAGCGCAGTGAGTTCTGAACCGCGATATCTTCGTGCTGATGCAATCGGCGACCTTTAGCTGGGATGGTGTTTACTCTCGTGAGCTCTCAAATTTTCACGATATCGGGGATGAGGGTGAGGTATGGTGAGTCCTCGCCCACTTCCATGTCCCCGCCGCTCCTTCCTTATCACTCATCGTTGAAGGTTTGGAGAAGACAGCGTAGAGAAGATGGTGGATTGGACCCTCGAGAACGTCCCAGCCGATCCTGCACCACACATCCTCGAAGTCGGCACGGGGAACGGCAATCTTCTTTTCGCCCTCTGCGAAGCCGGGTATCCCCCTGAGAAGATGTCCGGAATCGACTACAGCATGGACGCGGTGGAATTGGCCCGCGCGATCGCATCCTCCAAGTCCACAGCACCCGCCGACGAAAGCGACGCGGACGAGCCATCTCCTGCTCTCCCAGAAGCCGACAAGATCAGCTTTTCGGCGTGCGATTTCCTCCGCGACGAAGTCGCCCTCCTTCCCGGGATGACCTTCAATGCAACTGATGCGACGGCGGTATGGGATCTAGTCTTGGACAAGGGGACGATGGACGCCATTGCGTTGGCTGAGAAAGACGGAGAGGGCAAGTCACCGGCTGACGGCTATCCGGCGAGGATAGGGCGGGTGGTGAAGCCGGGAGGATTCTTCCTCATCACTTGTGAGTCGTTAGCTTGATTCTTGTCACTGTGTTGACGAATGTCTTGTGCAGCTTGCAACTTCACTGAGGAAGAGCTAAAGGCGAAGTTCACGAGTACCGCTGTGGGCTTGGTGTTCCAGTACGTCGCATCCGCTGCCGCCACGTTCTGTCTATCGCTAATCCACGTACCTTGCACAGCTCAAGACGACCGTGGCCTACGTTTTCTTTCGGGGGACAGACGGGGAATGTTTACTCAACTGTTGCGTTCACAAAACCGTGAATTGTGCCCCAGCAGAAGAGGGTCTACGAACAATGCTTGTAGGAATAGAAATAATGAATAGCAGCAGTGCGTACTGCAACGCACCCATCTCTCACAAGTCGGGTACGATATCCATCCCAGTCCGCAACGTCTCCAACGCAACCCCGCTCGCCCACTTCAAGAACCCCTCCTCGCCCTTCATCGCGTCGCGGATGAAGAACACCAGCCCGAGCGCCAGCGCCGGCACCTTTGCGCCCTTGACGAACACCCCCTCGAGCGGGCCCTTGTTCTTCGTCGTCGGCAGGTCCTCGTTGCTCAGCAGCGGCGTAGCGCGCTGCGTGTTGGCGAGCACGTGCACGACGAGCTCGCGCACGAACGCGGCCGCGGCCGGCTTGAGCACGGTGAAGTCAACGGGCTTGAGCACCGCGAGCGTGCAACAGTCCTTGGCGACCCACCACCCGAACGCGCGCGCGACGTTCCGGGCGCGGGTGGGCGAGATGGTCTTGACGGTGAGCCCGGCGCGGTCGTCGTCAGTGAGGTTCTTGAGGATCTCGGCGCCGCCGACGGTGGTCTCACCCATGTCGCGGAGGAAGTCCCAGAGGCAGAACTGGAGGGTGATGCGGGGGGAGTGGGAGATGCGGCAGAGCTGCTGGCCGACGAGGGCGTAATACGGGTTGTACTGCTTTTCCTGTGGGATGGGGACGGTCAGCGAGGGCATAGGTGCATAGAAGAGGCCCGTACGTTTCCACAGCAGTGCAAGATGACACGGATGATCTCGCGTTGCTGTACCTCGGTGAGATTCAGTTGCGAGAGACGTTCGCAAGCATCGGCGTAGTCCTAGGATATATTTGTCAGGCGCAAGGTAACAGCAGTCTACAAACTGTTGACTTGCCTCGCTGCTCATGAGGACCATAAAAATGCTCCGCCGGATGTCAGTGTTCATCCCCTGCTTCTTTGCCAGCTTTACGAGAACATTCTCGTCCGAGGTGTCAAGAGCCGGAGCATTCTCCTTCGCGTTCTGAACCTCTCGCTGATGCTCTACAAGAGGATTGCCAGTCCATGCTGCTCCGACTAGCCACCATTTGCCCTTCGTGTCAGCAGAACGAAGATCATCCAACGAGACGCGCAAGGGCTCATGCGGCATGACTGTGCGGGTATATATGAGTAGGGTAGCAACGAAACTATAGAGGTAGAACGAACCGTGCCGTTTCTTCGCGAGACCGGAGAGGAACTTTTTCATCCGCTCAACGGCTTCGCCGCCGGCCACTGCTGCCTTCTTGACCTTATTGTTCTTCAAGTTGCCGAGCGTTTCGACCATGAATCGTGTACGAGAGCTGAGAGCGCCGGTATCCGAAGGAATCTTCAGGTGAACTATTTGGATGATGCTTTTGAGGGCAGTAGGATCGTCTTGGCGTAGCTGCTGGCCGGAGTCTGCAATGAGGTTAGCTCTTTTCAATACCCGCAGGAATTTCTGGTCTGTACTTACTCCGTGCGACTTTGAGCAACAGCTCTACATTGAACTCTGATAGGTCTCCATCAAGCAGAGAACGAATAATGTCGTACATCAGTACACAGGACAGGACCTGGAAGTTGTACAGTTCGGATAGTAGAACGATGAGGTTGGAACACTCTTTCCCGAGACCTTCTTCCTCAGTGATGGGCTTGCCTTCGTTGACACCCAAGCCCTTCAGAGCCGCGAAGTGGGTGTCGTACGAGGTGACCACATGTTGTACAAAGAACGCGGCTAGAACTTGGTGAGTACGACCTAATACTGCTTGCATCCGCACATACCGAATTCAATTCCAATCAGTTTATGTAGGGCCGACACAAACGCGGCGTGAAGGACTACGTATTGATCGAGTAGAATAGAGTGCGAGGAGATGCCTTCTGAGACGAGTTTTGTGATAGTCTCCGTAACGTCTTATAGATGTTCAGAATCTCATAAACTATAACGATAAAACCCTGCTTACCATGTCTCCTATGGTTCCTGTATACCTCTTCCACACCGTCCACAATGGAGGCTATATTCTGTTCGGTCATCCTGACATATGCATCTGAGAAAGCATGTTGCACCCATTTGACATATTCACTCACCTATTAAGGAGACCTTTCAGCTGTCTTGTCAATTTGACTTGCGCCTCTGATACAGGCTTGGAACTGTTTTCCGCAGCCTTGCGAAGGTGTGGCGGGACGTATTTAGTGCCTGTTCTCGGAACGTATGAGCATGTGCCATTCGGATAGCGCGTCGACACACCGGCTGATGATGTTTCAGGAGGACCCTTCTCACTGTCTATGAGATCGGGCACCACTTCCTCCACTTCCTCGTCCTCGTCCACATCATCATCGACTCCAACATCTTCATCATCGCTTCCAGCGTCGACATTCTCTAACCGTTCGACATCTTCATTGTCTACCTCGCTGTCCTCTTCGTCGCCCTCACTGGCACTCGCTGCGTCCTCAAGCTCAGAGCCGGAGTCTTTGGACTCAACCTGTTCATGTGTAAGGCAAATTTGACGGCGCAGGAAGATAGAACTGACATGATTAGGGAAAATGGAGGTTTCGAAGGTGTCTAGATCCTTGAGTAGCTCTGGATAAAGCGGTCTTAGTAGATAGTCAACGCGAAAGTCATGTTTTGTACCTCCTAGACCGTCTTCCTCGTCTCCCAGATCATAGCTCACGGTACGCTTCCTCTTCTTGACGTACCCAAGCTTGCTTTCAAGATACGCGATGTAAGCATCCTCGTCGTCTTCCTGAGGAGTCCGCAGAATGGCCGTCGAGAACGCTTTCTTTTTGGACGGTGCGGCTGTTACTTCTGAGCGAGCCACCAACTTCTGCAGAGCGGTCTTGGGCTTCTCCTTCTTGACCCCTGAAGCTTCCCTTTTGACTGCCAAAACTTCGGCAGACCCCTCTTGAGATTTGACAAGAGCATTGTGCGATCCGGATGGCTGAGACGGAGGACGGTCTACTTTGACCTTCTTGCGCTGAGAAGACTCCGCGTGATCAGACTCTGCTCTCCTTTTCGTGCCCGTGCGAGATGGATCGGAGAAATGCTGCGCTTTGCGTTGTTTGCGCTCATCGCGAGACTGTTTACGGGCGTCCTTGCGAGACAATTGTTTCCCGCCTTTCCGGTGCTTATGACCGGAGCCTGTGGGAAGCAGTGAGCAGGAGAATGTGAGCAGTGAGCCTGTTTTGTAGCACGTACCACTTTCCCCGCTGATCTCCTCAAGGAGAGATTGGGGAAGGGCGGGGCGGATCACGGTGTGGCTGCGAGGAGGCATGGCAGAATTTCTTGACGCGGGGTCGCGCCTGTCGCCAAAGGTCGCCAACGGGCGCTTCTTCGAGTCGTGCGGTGCGCCTGGAGCGGGCGGGCTGCGTTGTGCGACTCAGCTTCGTTCCACCACCTCCGCCTCCCCTTCCGCCTGGTTTTCTCGTCACCATGTCTATGGAGGAGAGCATAAGCTTGGAGGAGACCAACAAGATCCGTATCTCGCTTGGTCTCAAGCCTCTCACGGATGACAAGGCTCCCGCGACCAACAAGGAGGCAGAGGCAGAGGACAACTATACCAAACAACGAGACCGAGAAGCGAAGGAACGGGAGACGAAGTGCGTATCACGGATTTTCCTCGTTTCCCTCTCTTGCTTATCCAAACCACCACGGAATCAGGGCTCTCCAGGATCGGATTGCAAAGTGAGTATCCATTTCGCGACAGTCCGCGTTGCAGTTGCTTCTACCCCTCTTGGCCAGCTCAGGCCGTCGTGAAGATAGAGCGTGAAGCTCATTCGGCCTTCTTCTAGGCAGAGGAACAAGCGCGAGCTCAATGCGAAGCTCAAGGGTGCCACCCTCGGCGATGCGGACGGCTCCGTAGATGACACCTTGAAGTGGATCAAGCGAAGCAAGAAGAAGGAGAAGGAGCTGGCTAAGAAGAGGCAGGAAGAGCTCGAGAACATGGACAAGATGTTCCAGGGAGATGACTATACAGAGAGTGCGTTGGCTCCGTTCTCTTACTTGATCGCTCCACTAATCAGCGTGATTTACAGAGGACCTCGAGGGTCTCAAAGTCAGCCATGACTTTGAAGGCATGGAGGACGGCGAAGCTCGGATATTGACGCTGAAGGACAGTCGTGTATTGGATAACGAAGGTACCTTCAACTTTTCTCAGCCAACACTTAGTCCTTACCCAATGCGCGTCTCATCGTAGAGGACGAACTTCAGAATGTGGATATGGCGGAACGTGAGCGCGACAAGAAGAACCAGGATCTGAAGATCAAACGGCGAGACTACACTGGCTACGACGACGACGAATTCGCACCTGGTGCCGATCCTATGAAGCGCTCCCTGTTGTCAAAATACGACGACTTCCTAGAGGGACCCAAAGAAACGGTTTGTAGTTCATCAATCTAAGTTGCGGTCTTCTGACGCATGTACAGGGTTTCCGGCTGGGTAGTTCTTCATCTGCTCCTCGCGACAAGAGAAAGGAAGAGGTCGAGAAGGCCGTGGCCGTGAACAAGTCTTTGTTGTCCATAGACTACGCTAGTGAGTTCATAGTTACGTCCAGGTACCTGCTCCACTCACTCTCGTCTACAGAGAACCTCGAGTCTGCGGATTATATGCAACCGGGCGATGTAGGATTCAAGAAGCCCAAAGTTGGTCCCTTCACTAGATCTATATACTTATTCTCATCTTCTTTGCGTTGCAGACCAAGAAGAAACGGTCATCTCGTCGGCCGAACGTCGAAGACTCGGACCTCACCGCCAATGTTGGCGACGACCTCATGCAGGTAGACGAGAAACCCATTGTCCCTCGACAACGTAATTTGGATGCCAATTTCGTAGATGACGACGAACTACAAGCTGCTCTCGCGCGCTCTCGCCGCGCCAAGCTGCAGAAGCCGAAGAAACTGTCTTCGGAGGAAATTGCAAAGCAGAGTGCGTAGATTCATTTGTTGCACAGATCTCAAACTGACGTCAATCCCTTCAACAGTCGCGGAGCAGCGTGCACAGTCTGAAGCCAAGGAGGCTATCATGGTCGAAGATGATGAAGCCGCCGATGGTGGTCTGACAATTGACGACACCTCAGAGTTCGTCCGCGCCATCACATACGATCCAACGGCGGTCAAGAAGGAACCCGTCGAAACTTCCGTTGCAGCCTCGAGACAGCCGTCTACGCCTCCAACCGCGACGAAGTCGGAGGATGTGGAGATGGATGAGCTCGAAGCAGGCGAGGTCATCGTGAAGGAAGAAGACGATGACGAGGCCATGCTCAATGCCATCGAGAACGCCATTTTGCAAGCCGAAGTGGCGAACGTTGAACCAGCGTCAGCTGCAGCCGACGCTGGCGTCGGAACCTCCGAAGAGCAAAGCTTCGGTTCCGGAATGGCCGCGACCCTCAACATCCTGCGTCAACAGGGCGTCCTCGCCAGGCCGAAGGCGGACGACGCTGAACGGGAACATGTGCAGCTTCAACGCGACCTGTGGCTCGCGAACTACAGGCAGATGGTCGCACAGCGGGAACTGGAGCGCACGAAGATGCGGGGCGGCAATAAGGACCAGGCGACCCGGGAGTACGAGAATCGGATGCGGGAGCAACAGGAGGCACGGCAAAACCTTGAGGCGTTCAAGCACTACAAGCCGGACGTGAACATCGTGTATTACGACGAGTTCGGCCGTGCGCTCACTCCGAAAGAGGCTTGGAAGGCACTTTCGCATAAGTTCCACGGCAAGGGCTCCGGCAAGGGGAAGACGGAGAAGCGCTTGAAGAAGATCGCCGAGGAGCGCAAGAAGGAGGCCATGGCGAGCGGCGACACCCCGCTGAGCATGAACCAGGCTTTCCAGATCCGCCAGGAGAAGGCTGGCCAAGCGCACTTCGTCCTGTCAGTCGGCAACAGAGGGTATGTCTGCAGCGTTCCCATCACTATCTGGTACTGACTCGCCGTTCAGGGCTGTCCCACAGGCCGCGGAGTTTTTCGACAGCCAGCCGCTCACTAAGGGTGCGGGCAAGACTGAGAAGAAGAAAAAGAAGCAGGCCGGCAAGGACGCGATACCTCAGCTCGATTCAACCGGTTTCATGACGCTCCCCGCACCGATGCCCAACACCAGCAGCCCTGCCCCTGGCATGTCCGCAGGCAGCTCCCCTGCCCCACGCCCCGGCTTCTCGCGCATTTCCACCGCTGCCGAGGTCGACACCTCGCAGGAGGCGACCTCCGTTTCTTCCCAACGTACCAAGGTCGTCATTGGCCTCGGCGCAAAGCGCAAGGCGGCCGCGGACGCGCAGGGCACCCCGCCTCCCAAGAGCGTGAAGCGGTAATGAGGGTCCTGGACTAGAGGGCTCGCGAGTTCGCCGTGTGGTGCCCACATCACGATTTTGGCAAAGATGCTGGTGCTACACATTATGATATATTGTACGTGTACTTTACATGGATAGTGATATCTGTAATATCCGAGGGAACGCACGCGCCGCTCTCCCTACAACACGCCGACGCTCGAAAGACAGAGGTCCTTCGCGACCGCACAACGATCCTTGTCACGGCCTGTTCCACTGAGGAAGGCTTTCTGAAGGGCAGTATCCCCGTCGTCGATCCTGTAATGAAACATTGTTCATGATGATGGTCTGGAAAGACGACCGTATTCTGACGCACCATTCCACCTCGTGCGCATCCTTCTCAAGCACGACCTTGATTGTAGCCCACGAAAACCGCACGAACGAAGGGTAGCCAAACGTCGGATCCAACGACTTCTTGATCCACGCCTGCGTTTTTGGGTCTGAAGGAGGAAATCAACCCAAGAGCGACAGCTCCACGAGGACGCACGTCCACACACCTGAAGGATACCCGCTCCCCGTCTCCTTCGCCCACAGGACCTCGTCCTGCGCCTCCGCGGGCTGCGGATCGTCCCGCGCGGCAGTCGTCGGCGTGCGGAAGAACTCGGACTCGACGACCGCCCGCGGCGGCGGCGTGCACTCCTCGTACACCCATCCCTCGATCCACGCGTCGCGCGTGACCTTGGCCGCGACGCTCGCCGCGCCGACGACCTTGTACTTCATGTCCGCCTTGGTCTCGACGGTGAAGGCGATGTCCGGGAAGAGCGAGGAGAGGTACGCCTGGTACGGGCCCGTCTTCCCGAGCGCGTCGACGTAGACCTGCCAGAAGGGGGCGGCAATGTGTAAGCAGGGCAGGGGGAGGGGAGGGAGGGAGGCGGACCTCAGAGAGCTGCATGCCGCGCGCGAGCACCTCGCGGATGAGGAGCACCGTGGCCTGTCGCGCCTGCACGTTGAGGTTCGTCGGCGGGCGCCGGAGCATCCCCGCGGAGATGTCCTTGGGGCTGCCGTGCCGCGCTGAGCTCGCAGAAGGGCGGGCGGGGGCAGGGAGCGTACCTCAGGACGCGCACGGACCAGCCGAGGTTGCTCGGATCCGACGCCAGGGTGCCCAGCAGCGACTCGCGCACCTGCGCCGTGAGCGTTTTGGAGTCTGGGCGAGGCAGGGCGGGCTGAGCTCGACGGCGCTGGGGGCGGAGCGTGGTCGCGTGCGGGGCTCACCTGCGAAGCCGAGCTGCTCCAGGTCGTCCTTGTACGCGACGGGGCAGTAGGCTACGCCATACACCATGGGGCCGAGCACGGGCCCGCGCCCCGCCTCGTCGACTCCGAGGATGTAGGGACCAGGCGAGGTGGGGGTGGGAGAGTGGTATGTGTAGGAGTCCGTCAGAGGAACGGAGGGGTCGGCGATGGATGGGATGCTTGATGGGCCGGCTTCATCTTCAGAACCCGGCATGTTCGATCTTCAAAGGGTGAGCGAGCTGACGAGTACTTGGGGAAGCAGGTCAGATTGAGACGATGAGCACCAGTCTCCGACGCGTGACAGGCGCAGCTGCGAGCAGCACTCCAACGCGACGCGTTGTTGTCCGCTGTTTGGCAGTGGCTCGACGCGCTCGTCACACTGGCCTAGTTCTACATAGTAGTCACACTGCCCAATATAAAACGCCCATAAATCTACTTTTAGTGGCTAACTTCAAGCCTGATCAAGGTCATTCGCACTGCGCAGCCCTCCCGCGAGCCACCAAGCGGTCCACGCGATCGACGCCAGCCTCCACCTCGACAACCTCCCAGGCCGCCGCCGCCGCCGATGTCACGAAGGCAGCCGAGAGCACGTCCATCCGCCTGTCGCCCCGTCGCCCGCGAACGCGTCGACTGCGACGGTCCCCCCTCGACTTGAAGCTCGTTGCAGTGCCCCGCCCGCAACGTTCGTCCCTGGCCGATCGGGGCCCTACTCGAACTGCCGGGAGCACTGTGGACACGGCTAAAGGACCGCACACAGAGTTTGCATATCCTCTGAACCTAACGATGTACCTGTGCTTGATCAAAATCAAAATCGCCAGTTCTTGTCCAGAGGTGTGCTCAAGGGCGGCCGACAAGGATCTGGACGGATGCACACGTGCAAGCCAACTCCGGAGCATAGGTCGATCGTATTCTGATGCCACAGGGACGCGGTAAGTACGCTGTAACGGTTTGCATGTATGAGGCTTCTATGGGCGACGCGGTTCAGCGTGCCGTATAGCGTAGTGGTGCTAGTAGGTGGCGTAGGGGGAGGCGGGCCCGTATGGCGCGTACTAGTACTTGGGGGCGGTGCAAGAGGCGATAGACAGGAGCGGGGCCGGGGCTGGAACTATAGAGGACTATAGCGGAGAGGAAGAATGGTCAAACGAGTAGCGACAGACAAGGTCTACGGAGCCAGTTAAACAAAAAGCGGGGACTCACAGACGGTGCGACACGGCACATGTAAGTGATAAGAGGCCTAGGCAGACCAGTCAACTAGACAATAGGCGGGTGAGAGACGGAGGCTCAGGAAGACAGATACATTCAACAAAAAGCAGCTCAAACAGACGACAATCCGGATAAGAATGAACATGGGGAGTGGGCGACAGGATGGATCGGTCGGCCGAGGTAACGCTGAGAGAGGTTCCTGGCCCAGAGGAAAGAGAGCACGGGAAAGAATAGCAGAGTGGCCGAGGCACAATCACGCAACAACGCAACCACCGCAGCAGCCACCAGCTCCATCATCTGGATGCTGGTTCCCTGCGCCGTATACTCCGGGCTGGCTGGGCATGTTGGGCTGCACACCGGGACGACCGGTCTGCTGGTCCTGGGGCGGGCGTCAGTGACGGAAACATGGTGAGGAATAGAGGTTACGAACCTTGTTGTACCGCCGAATCTCACGTACGAGAAGGCTGAAGGCCTCGTCGACGTTGATCCGCTGTTTGGCTGAAGTCTCGATGAACTTGCAGCCGAAATGCTTCGCGAGGTCACGGCCCTCTACGCGAGGCTCGGTTGAGCAAACAGATTGACGTGGAGCAATCAGACGCAAGCCGCACCGTTGGCCCCGACCTGCCGCTCGTATTCCAAGTCGCTCTTGTTGGCAACGACGATGACGGGGAACGAGTCCTGGTCCTTGACACGCAGAATTTGTTGGTGGAAAGTGCTGATTTCCTCAAACGAATTGCGGGAGGTGATGGAGTAGACCAGGAGGAACCCCTCGCCCGTGCGCATGTATTGTTCGCGCATGGCACTGGATGACTTTGGTAAGCGGGAATGCGAGACAAGAATCTAGGGACATACCCATATTCTTCCTGCCCTGCAGTATCCAACACGTCGAGGAGAGCAACTTCGTCATCAATGACGCATTGTTTCCGGTACGAATCTGGAGGCAGGGACATAAGCAGGTTGCTCCCAAGAGACGAGGGGAGGGGAGAGAGACGTAGGCGGGACGAGCGAGAGGGACGGTGTTGGATGGGATGGGCAAGGAAGGGAAAAGAAGGGCGACAGTTACTCACCTTCAATGGTGGGGTCGTACTCGTCGACGAAGTGGCTTTGGATGAACTGGATAGTAAGCGCCGACTTGCCGACACCTGGGGCAAGAAGTGAGGACGGAGAGAGTGGAGGCGGACGAGGGACGTACCACCACCGCCGACGACGACAAGCTTGTATTCACGGAGGAACTGTGACTAGGGGAGGGTGAGCGCGAGGACGGCGGGGGGAGAGGAAGGGCGTACCCGAGACATGGCTATGGGAGGAGAAACGGGCGAAGGGGGTATGGGAGGAGGGGATATAAGGGGACGCGGTGATCCGTCGAAGGAGGACGAGGAGACGGCGGAGGAGGGGCCCTCTCGTGGACCCCGCCGTGCGTCAAATAGGGCCAAACACCGTCCTGCCAAGCGCCCCCGATGGCCGCCAGCGCCCGACCGACTCTGCCCGTCCGGCCGGCTGGAGTCTCTTTCCTCCCAACCTCCCGCTTCCACTCCAATGCCCCGTCCACCCGCCGCTCGACGCCAGTGCGCGCGCGGCCAACGAGGCTCGTCTTATCACCGTCCGCGACGTCTGCTCACCACGCACGATGATGTCCCATCTTGATCAACTCCTGCCCGCTGCCACATGCTTCTCAATAGCTGCCTTCCAGGGCCACCGCCTGAAGTCGTACTCGGAATCCTCACACCCCAGCCAGCATCCCGTCGTGATCATGGCCTACTTGCCATACCTTGTCGGACGTGTGACCGGCACCTCCCAAGACTTCCTCCTTCCTCGTCGCCACTATCACCGTCCGGTGCCCCAACGTGACGTCCTCTGTACTGCTTGGCTCCGACTACGACTCCGACGCTGCCCACCCCATCTATCCTGAAAACTGTTCAAACCAAAACGCAAAGCTTTCGTCTGCCGCCCATCCAGTCACCCCCTTTCGCAGCCTGCCATTCCCATCATCATCTTCGCTTCTACACGCAGCTCTCGTCTCTACATGTGTACGACCTGTCCATCGCAGAAGCCCCGGGCCGACAGGCGTACAGCCCACCCAGGTACGCAGTCAATTAAGTAATTCCAGACGATCCCTCATACCCGCTTCCGGGCAATCGGCCCTCCCATGCAGGAATGCCTCTGTCATGCGCCGATGGGACCAACAAGCATCACAGATGCTTTCGGCATCCCGAGGAGTTCCTGATATTCTCCCGCCTTGACTTGTCCATGTCAGCCGCCAGGCATCGCAAGCAGTGCTGACTGCCTCGCCGAAAGCGACATCCTCGGGTCCAGTGTCGCGGTGTCTGTGCCTACAGACAGCTCCCTTTCCTCGACGCCGGCCTACGTTCCCGTGCTCTGCCCCATGTGCCCGTCTGCCGACCTCAGATAGCCTTTCACGTCCCGGCGGTGCCGTTTGGTACGCCATCTACCCATCACTCCATTCTGGAGGCCCTGACACCAGACCGAGCGATGTATAGCTACTGCTACGTACCCCTGAAATTCTATCTTTGATCCCTGCTCCTTACGTCCGCCAAACCTGAACTTACCTGCTGAGATCTGCTCTGCCGTCGCTGCGCTCGCCTCCCCGGACGGGGCGGCTCCGCCGGCGACGTCATGCCCTAAGTTTAAAGTGCCGCATCCAGACGATCGTCTGCGCACCCGCGCGCGAGCCGATCGAGACGCCTCGGACGCGCGAGCTTGAAACACCTGGCGCGCTCTTCTGCCCGCTTGCGTCGGCGGCGCACCCGCGCCCGCGTTTCTCGGAGTGGTGAAACAAGGCGTGCGGGTGTACGCGACACCCAATTATAAGTAACACACACTCTTGTATGAGTGCTTGCCCCAACCTGGGCGGGCAGTGCGCTTGTTGCGGAGGCGAGGACACAACTGCCCTGTTGAGGACACCCGCAGACTGTTGTTCCCAAGGCTGTGTTCAAGGCCCGCGCGGCTCAGTTGAGTGAATTCGCTACCTTGCGCCGAACAAACACAGAGCCCGAATCCGTTCGCAGCTAGCGGCGCAACCAATGGACGGTCTGCGAAGCTCTACAGGGACCGGACGACCGCTCCCACCGCACGTCTCCCCTTCGCCTGCGTGTCCTCCCCGACCTCCAATTCTGCGTTGCGCACGACCCGCACATCCGGGCTCTCAGCCCAGTACGTGTGTACTGCCCTCCGGCACCGTGGCACTATCACGCCCGCACGCGGTCGGAACACACCCGAGGGAGAGGGAGCTAGAGATACATGCAATAAAATAGAAACGAGCGTGCGGCGCGGGCTGCGGTCGGCTGCAGGTCCGATGCAGCACAGTCTTCGCGCCGCGGCCCCTCCACGTCCGTAACGCCACAGGCCAGCTATCACATTACAGAGGAAACGAACGAAAGCGAACAAAACCGAGCCCGGCTGGCCACGCCGGGTCTCGAGAACGAGGGGGAGCAAGTGTTCGTGGAAGGTGCGTGCAAAGAGACCAAGGGGGTGGGGGCGAAAGCGAAAAGCGAAAACGAAGGGGGTCGTGAGTCGTGACTGGTCAAGGTTCAGCGTTCAAAATCCGTGCGTGCGTATCGTAATGTCCAGGTTGGTGTGCAGGGGATCGGGATGGGCTGTAATGTGCGCTGGGAGCTGCGGCAGCGTCGTCGGATGGGAAGGCGGTCAAGTCTATTGGGGTCTCAGAGGTAGTTGTAACCCCCAGGCGTGCGGCTTCCTGCCGGGGTCGCGGGCAGGGGCAGCGCGCGCGCCGACGCAGGTGGGCGGGCCGTGGAGGGCGTGCGCGCGCCGAACGTCGCCGTGCGTGCGGAGACCGCGCTCAGGCTCGCGTCACGGCGGGGGGTCGCGGCGGTGAGCGAGTCGCCGTACATCGGGGTGCGCGCCGGCGTGCGCGGAAGGCCGTTCGTCGCGTTGAGGTCGAGCGAGCGCGAGCGGCGGCGCTCGGCCTTGAGCGTCGCGGTCGTAGGGGTCGCGGCGGCGCGGACGCGCTCGGCCCACTCGTTGCTTGCGACGGCCTCGGTCGGGGTGATCACCGGGAGGCGCGCCGAGCGGACCCCAGGGAAGGCCGAGGGCGTGAGCGTGCTGCTCATGGACGGGCGAGCGGAGAGCGGGAGCTGGGCCGGGCGGCGGTTCTTCGGCGGCTCAGGGAGGGCCTTCTTGGGAGGGACGGGGGGGACGTCCATCTCGGCCGCTTCAGGAGTACGCGAGAGGTACATCGAGACGAGGGACTCGCTCATTGAAGTGTGACGAGATCCGTTGTCAGAGGACGTATCGCTCGCGGGCACCGCAAACTGCACCATCTTCTTGGGAGGCTCCGGAGTGTTCAGGCTCACGGAGACAAACGGCACTTCCACAACAGGGGAACGCTCGGTGGGCAGCGTAGGCTGACGAAAGATCGGCGAGCGCGTGTCGCGGCGGGGCAGGGGAAGACCAGTCGAAGGAGCACCGGCCCGCAGGCGGGGAGTTGAAGGCAGGCTCCTCTTGTAGGCCGGCTCGGGCTCGGCGAGCATCGCGTTGAGTTCCGCGACCGGGGTGATCGGACGGGCGACCTCAACGAAGGGGTTGAGCTCGCTCTCCTTGCGCTTCAGTGACAGACCACGGCTGACACGGTTGATGCCACGGGCGACGTTGGCTGTGATGCTTGAGGCGGTACGCGGGGGCGGCGTCCACTCGGGCTTGCTCTCGCGCTTGGTGTAGGCCTTCTCCGGAGTGTCGGGCGAGAAACCAGCGGGCGACTTCGCGCCCGCGTAGAAGCTCTCCATATCGCTATCCTTGGACTTGCGGTCCACAGACCCGACCGAGCCAACAGTCAAATTTCCCTCGAGGAAGGGACGAAGGATGCGAAGGGTGTTGATGAGGATCAAAGAGTTGGCAAGACCGAGCATGGAAGCCATGGTGCCAGAGAAGACAAGTGCCTCGAACGGAACGTTGATGCTCGATGCCTGGGTGAGCATCACGATGATCTCGGGAAGTAGAAGGATGTTGTAGGCTGCGGTTGCGCTAGTGAGCAACTGCATTAAGCCACGCATAATGCAACGTACCAAATGGGTACCACAGCATGCTGCGAGCAACAGTCGCAATAAAGCGCTCGTACTCAACGGTGGTAACGCTTGACATGCTCCACCTGTGCGACCGGTTGACGTTGAGCTTGAAGCCATCCTTGAGGTTCAACGTCCCGCGAAGGACGAGGAAGACTAGTGAGGAGAAAACGACGGAGACGACGGAACCCAGGAGAAGCTGGGGGAGCATAGAATTACAGGACATCAGTATAACCCAACGTGAGATATAAGCGAGATTGAATATGAACCCACCGGAATGAGATGAAGCACGGTCCCCAGGAGAGGGTACTCGGTGGAAATTCCGCATCCAATCCCGCCAAGGCCGTAGACAGGGCCAAAAACAGGGCTAACCCACGTCGGCGTCGCCGCTGGTCTCAGATCTGAGCAACAGCGCACGGAAGGCAGGCAATCATCACTCACCCATAATAATGGCGAACAACCAGCCGAAGACGTTGACGGCGAGGCAGATCCACACGGGAAGCTTGTTGCGGAGGACAAGCGTGTTGAAGGAGTGGATTGCGATCGCACTGGTGAAGAATGCTCCTCCCATGTCTCCCATCTGGCCCAGAATCCCTGCAGCCTGCGTGTCAGAACAGTCATTCCTCCGCCTCCAGTCCGCCAGACACACCTTGAGCATTGCACGTAATACCTGAAAGACGCAATATGAAACTAGAGTGTGATGAGGTCTACGAATGAGACGCACCTGCGACGATAGACTTGTCCGATGACCACTGCGCGTCGATCATAAACGAGATGCTGCTCAACGCGTTGCTCAGCATGAGGGACGCGATGTATGCTCCGAGTTGTGTGTTGAAGAACGCCATCGCGGAGTCGCTTGAACGGCGGCCCTTGATGCGCTCGACGACGGGGGCCCATGAGTAGCGGAGGAGGACAGCGAAGATGGCGAGCAGGGAGATGGTCGCGAAAAGGACGACAGCCTGGAATGCCCGCCAGTCCGATGCTCAGCTGCATGTATGAGCACGTGACAAGGCTGGAGGACTCACGATGAGCGAAGACGCCTGGCCGCTGGTGAGCTTGAGCAGGTTCGAAGAAGCAGACATGATGAAGATGAACAGAGGATCTTGAAGAGTCACGGAGAAAAAGAATGTGCGCAGGACAGAAAGAAGGCAAACAGAAAGGGCTCAAGAGCAATGAACTGTCCCGGACAGACTGGCCAAAATTGCTGCGAGCTGCAAAAGAGGTCGTCCTGCGCCTGTGGTCGAAACAAGGTCTGACCGAAGCAGACAGGGAGCCGGTCCAAAGAACGAAGAAGAAGAAGGGAGAAAGGGGGCGGGAGGAGAAGCAAACGGGAGCAACGCCCCAAGCAGCCTTGTCTTCAATCCGCCGCTAGCCGTGGCAGTGTGGCATTTGATCCTGATTTTGATGCCCAACCCAGCGTCGCGCTGACGCCTCGCGATCCGTCCACACGGAAGGTGCGCGCGCGCGCGTCGGCGCAGATGCAAAAACATATTTGAACGTGATATTCCATCCACAACATACACGCCCCATCCAAAGTCACCGTTTGCTGAAGAACCTCGCGATGCCCCCGTCTCCCGCCGTCGCCTTCGTCTTCGCCCCCGCACCCTGGCCGCCCTTCCTCTTCTTCGCTGTCGGCACTGTCGGTCGCTCTGACGGCCGGATGACGCGCTTCGGAGCGCCGACGTCGCCCACCGCCGCGAGCTCCTGCGCGAAGTGGAAATCAGCGTGCTCGAGTCGGAGCGCAGCCAGCATCTCCTCCCTGATCGCGTCGTCAAGCATGCGCTCCTCCCCTCCTGCGCCACCGTCCACGGTGCCAGAACTGCCCCTCGCATCAACTGCCGCATCTGATCCCCCCCGTTCACCGTTGGGCACCCGTATAACCGCCCCGCACTTGTCGCAGACGAACGCCCATCGGTCCGAGCCGGGTGCGCGCGAATGGTCCTGCTTCACGCTAGCGTTCAGGGGGTTCGTCGCAGCGGCGGCGGCGGCGGCGCTCCGACTTGAGCTCGAGTCCTTGGCCCGACTTGCCGGGCGCTCTTCGTGGTCGGAGGACAATCGTGGGCGTTTTGCTGGCGAACGAACTGCATCACTCGCAGTGACGGCAAGCGACTGTTGGTCGTCCGATGCATTGCGAGCAGTGAGGAAGCCTTCAATGGTCCGTTGGCCTGCTTCCATGATACCGATCCCGGAGAACCCCAATGACACGTTTGTGATCTTGAACGGAGTTGATCCACGAGTACCGACGAGCTCGTCCCAAAGCTTGTTACCGAATGAAGCAATCGCATCGACTGTGACGCTCTTCGTAAAGGGAAACGGCGTCTGCTTAGACTTCGAAGTATCATACCCTGCAGGTTGGCGGGGCGTGAGCGCGACCCTCACAGTTTGTCGATGTATCACTCACCTTTGCGCACGTGGAGAACGATAGTCTTCGGCCACAGTGCTGGATTGTTGTCTCGCGCTTCATTTAGACGAAGCGCGAGCTCCGCAGCCAGTACACGAACCCAATGGTGTCCATCGGTTGCCTTTGTAACGGGCGTCGCCAGATTCTTGGATGCCATCATGCTCTTGTTCACCACAGACTTTTCCTTGACTTCTCGTCGACAAGTGCGTCACCGCCTTATCAGTATGGCTCGACTGCGCTACCTCAGCAGGGGCCGAACCTTCTGTTCTGTCAATTCCCCTGTGGAGTGGGAGCCAGATGAGAGTTGGTCATTGGGATGAAAAGCGTAGAGACAGACCGCAGGATCTCATAGACCCAGATTGACTCCTCCCCGAACTTGCGTTGCATCTCCTCTGATTATCCCATGAAGTTGATCATGGCGTTCCCCGGCATCTCGACAATGGTCGCACTCACCGAGGTCAATGGTCCTGAATCAAGAACGCAGTCAGCCCTATCATAAGGACGCAATCAACGATACGTACAGTAGATCGCCAACTGTGGACACATCGTACTCTTCTGCGAGGGCCTTGCCGAGTTTTCCACCCAAAAACCTGATCTAGTACGCAATGCAATCAACAACCAGCACCATGGCTACTATGAGAATATAATAAGCACTTTCTGGAATGGCATCGGTCTAAGGTAATTGGGTATGGCAGCATTGCGCAGTATAGTCTGACTCCCTGTCAGCCAAAAACATCACTGCAGCAGTAGCTACGAACCTGGCTCATGGGCTTCTTGTACGACGCCGTGAGCTGTTCTCCCAGAGGTCTCAGCCGGCCATCCTGTACAGCAGAAGAGGCAGTACAACCTTGGCGAGGAACTTGTTCCGTGCTAGGCCCTGCACTGTTCAGCCGGGCACACTTGCCTCGACGAGCGATACGCATACTCACCGCAGAAGTAGTATAGCCCAGCTTGTCTCGAATGTCTTCTCGTATTCGAAGCATGAATTCTGCAGCAATGGACAGTGCGACATCATGCCAAGTGACATGCTCGTCGTCCTCTTCCGCGCTGGAATGCTGGTCCTCGTCTTCCGCCCCAACTTCGTCCGCGGGTTCCTCCCCACCTTGTTCCTCTTTTGCGACCTCCCCGTCCGACTCAGTGGTCGGTGGGTCCTTCGGCGGGTCCACGGGCACGACGCTCCCCAAGCCGCCCCACGAGATCGGCGGGGGCGGCGGCAAAGGGCTGTCGAGTCCCTCCGGCGCATCCGGAGGCACCGTGGCGAGGTACGGATACCGCCTGAGCATCTCCTCGCGCACCGGCCGCGTGAAGTCGATGAACGCCTCGTCGATCGACGCCTTCTCTGCCGACCCCCGCCCGCACGCTCAGCCCCCTGCGCCCCACGCCCGAATCCCGAGCGCGACTCACCGACCTCCCCGCCGGGCAGCCCGTCCTTGAACATCTGGATGATCTTCATGCTCTCGCGCCGGTAGTGGTCGAGCGAGACCTTGTGCGTGCGCGTGTCCGGGTCGGGCCAGTACCCGGGCTCGGGCTCGCCCTCCTTGTACGTCGCGACGTGGACGACGCGGAGCGCGGGGCAGCGCTTGCGCGCGTCGCGGACGTTGTCCATGCGCGAGATCCCGAACGCGCGCGCGGGGTAGTTGACCGCGATGAGCGCCTCCCACTGCTGCACGACGAGCGGGAGGGCGGGGTCGAGGTCGAGGCGGACGCGCTCGCACGCGGCGTAGAAGGCATCCGAGTCGCAGAGCGCGACGACCCGGAGCGGGTCGCGCACGCCGAGGGTGGTCGAGTGCAGGTGGCGGTAGGTGATGCGGGGGAAGAGGTCGTCGAAGTCGTCGGTGACGGCCTTGGCCTTGCCTTTCCAAAAGGATTTGGAGGGCGGCTTGTATGGCTGGGTTTCATGATTTGGTGCAGACATGTCCTCAGGATGAAGTTGCCATAGAGTGTGATGTTGAAGAGACCCGTGGCCCGAGGATGAGAGTACAAGGTCAAGAGTAAGCTTTCCAGTGGCTTGCCGTCGACCGAGAGACGCCGGAACGCGTCAGTCACAAGTCACGAGACAGACGCGTTTCTGATCTCACACGCCACCACTACGGCACTATCACTGTGGAATTCAGGTCTACTGCATCTGACGGCCGAAAGCAAGACATTACTAATGATACATGGGTCTTTCGCTCCTCATACAACACTCGATTCGTCCAAATGTGATGACTATCTCATACGTTTTCACGCCTTGATGGACATTACATCCTGTTGCAAGAACCAACGTAATCAGTGCACTTTTTCATCATCCCATTAGAGGTGGCTTACCTTTCCTGCCTTGATCTCTGAAGCGCTAGGCATGAGGCCGAGACGCAAAAGTTCGGAAGCCTTCATGACCAGGGGATCCCTTTGCATGCTGCAAGAAGGTGGTACATGAATGTCAGCATCGGGCATGTCCCTAATACCAGACGATCCCACCTTGCCACTGCAATAATCTTGTCACCCTTGGTGTAGTATGCGACGAACTGCCATAGCGTCAGAACGCTATGCGCTCAAATACCAGTAAGGTTTCCTTACCTTCAGCTCTTCAGGGTTGCCGTCGATGATGATATCGTCGTGCCCAGCGCCCACACCGCAGTAACGCAACTGCTGGCCCTCTAGCAACACGCTCAACACGCGGGCACTGTCGCCGCGGATGCAATGTACTTACGCGCACTCCAGAAGACGGGGACCTTCACGAACGGTTGGCCCTTGCCTTCGGCAATTGTCTTGCCCACGGCGCGACCTTGGTTTCCAGCAACCTGGAAACGAAAGTAAGCGGATATCCACGCATATGATGTCGTGAATTCCTCACGTTCCAGTGCTCGATCCTCCTCATTTCGCCGGTGCCGGGTTGAGGGTACATGGCGATATCACCTTTGAGACAACACGATCAAGTTAAGGAATCATTGTTCGCATAGTCTGCCTCACCGATCGCGTAGACGTTCTCAACACCCTTGACCTTCATGAATTCGTCAACCTGAACGGCACCAATCCTGTCGAGGGCTTGCTCGAATCCGGGGCTGCTCCTGAGGAACTCGGTCGCAGGGCCAACACCAACACCCATAATGACCAAGTCTGCCTGGAGCGTAGTGCTCTGGCCAGTGCTCGAGGTGACAACGACAGAGCCAGCCTTAGAAGAGTCCGCGTCCGAGGGGACGATCTTCTCCACCTTGGATTGCATGTGGAACTTGACGCTGTTTGATTCGTGGAACTATACGGACGGTCGGTGAGCTGTGCAACTGTACTTCATGAACCTTCGCTGATACCTTCTTGATCCCTGCGCCAATCTTCTTCCCGAGCACCATTTCGAAGGGGAACTCCTCCATGCCGATGACGTCGATGGACGCGAGGCTGCGCTTGGACACGGCGACGACCAGCTCCATGCTGATGAACGACGAGCCGATCACGACAAGACGCTTGCCAGCCTGTGCAGCTGCAAAACGCGTATTCCCTCAGCACGAGAGGAGCGTGGATATCCCCGCTCATGCGTACCCGCGTCAATCTCCTTCGCATCCCCAACGTCGCGAAGCGTGAAGACGTTGGACAAGTCCTTCCCGGGGACAGGCAGACGACGAGGGATGCCGCCGGTCGCGAGGATGAGCGTCTCGTAGGGGACGCGCTCTTGTCCGACGAGGACGGCCTTCGAGGCCGCATCGACGCCAGATACTTCGACGCCCATTCGCATGTTCACGCCATACTTGCCCCGCAGTTCTGCCGCCGACTTCCACTCCAACTTCGAGGCGTCCGTGATGAGAGCCTTACTCAGCTTCGTTCTGCGACACAGCAGCTGGTGAGAACAGAGACGGGGCCCCAGGCGTTAGAACCGAGAGCGCACCGGTCGATGGGGCCGTGTTGCTCCTTGGTGAGGATGGTTATCGGGCCCTTGTAGCCAAACTGGTGGGAAGCGGGCAGACGCGTGAGTGCAGCTCACGCATTGTCAAATACCCAGAACGCACTTCTCTGAGGCTTTCGACAGCACCTAACGCACCGCTACCTCCGCCGACGACAACGACGCCGGGAGTCTGCCCCGAGACGTCCGCGCCGGTCGCGGCGAGGTTAGATGGGCGCGATTTGTTCGCGCGCAAGGTCGTGGAGGGGTCCGCGGTGACCTGAATCTTTCCGTTCACGATCTCGGCCTTGAACGAGTGGAGCGCCGTAGGGGCTGGGGCGTCCTCTGGGGCGTTGGTGGGGATACTTAGCAGCTGGTATGTTCGCATACAACCGGTTGCTCACCAATGTCGCCGGAGCATACATTGAAGCAGGCTGCGTGGGAGAAGCGGCGTGAACAACGAAATCCGGCCGGCCAACACCCACACAGTGGGAATGGCGACCAAGGCAGAACACCCACCACCGTGCCATGGACTATGCGCTGTTTGTCAGCACTGACGGGACGTACGCACTCGAGCTCTATGATTGGATGCGCACCATACTACGCGACCGTCCGCGGTGAGAACACCCTTGGCGAGCGGTGCGCCGTAGTGGGTGCAGAAAGCGCTGGTGGCATGGACCTTGTCGCCGATTCGAGAGAGCAGGACCTGACCTTCGCCCTCGAAGCCGACTTGCTTCCTGTACGGTGCGCAGAAATCTCGAAGTGAGCAACGATACGCACATTGAGCACCGACCGTTGCAAGCACGGTCTGTCCCAGCTCAGACGCCGCAGCCTGTACTGCTGCACAGTGGAGTCGGTGACAGGGATACCCAAGTGCCGTCTTCGTCTCGCCCAGACCTCCGAATGCGCTATCGACATGAACTCACATCTCTCCCTCTTTGAGGTCGGACTCGTCGAGGACGGCGATGGTCTTGGAGGACATGGTGCGGGCAGCGGTGAAGAGGGCAGTGGGGAAAGATCTGGCTGCTGAGCGACGATGAGAAAACAAGCAGATATAGCGAGAGCGGGCGGCAAGGTGTGAGAGCAAGCTGGGCATGCGCAGAGAGTCGGACAGAGCTGCGCGCGCAGGTGTGTCCGTCCGCGAGTCGATTCCACTGCGCACTCGAGCCTCTCGACGGGCACGGGCGACGATGACGTCGGCGAGGGGTTCACACCAATCCGATCGCTTCGATTATGCGCCAATAGCCTGTTCCGGCCCGCCGTCGCCGCTCCGCCATGTCGTCAGAATGGTTCTGTCACCAGTACTACTCGGCGCCAACATTGGTGTTGCCACACCTTGGGCCCGGCACTTGTTATCTTGTGCCGGCATAAAGTGATTCTTGCGGGGCACTCAGTCTTGCAGCAGGGCTGAGCAAAACAAGAGCTGGACTTAGTTCTGATCATAGATGTCTCAGATGACCCATTCCGTTGATATCACGCGTAGTGCCTCAGATTCTGGCGGCCGGTACATACTTAGATGCGTTGTAAAGGCCCCTTGGTCATCTAAGTATTCAGCCACGAATGCTAGCCCCCATGCACACTCACCTACGTCCCCACATCCTGGGGCCATGGCACTCAATCCTTTCATGCTGTCTCTTCTCCCATCGCTGCTGCTGGCGATGGCCTCCCTGAGCAATGCTCACCAGATCAACGACGCCCGCATCCTCATTTACTCTGCCACGCGCGACTTCAGGCACGACTCCATCCCAACCGCTGTGGACGCGCTGGTGAAGCTCGGACCGACCTCGCGAATGGTCTTCGACCATACGGAGGATCAGGCTCTGTTCACCGACGACAACTTGGCTCAGTATGACGCCTTGCTATTCCTGAGCAACACGGGCGAAGGTGAGTACAAACTCTTCGGCGATTCACGAAGGAGACGCGAACCTTTTTTGTCGGAGGACAGTGCTAGACACAAGCGGGAAGGCGGCGCTTCAAACCTACCTGGACAAAGGCGGGAACTTCATTGGCGTGCACTCTGCGTCGGATGCGTTGCGCAATACGACCTTTTTCCTGCATGAAGTAGGTGAGCGCTCCTCCTTGTGGACATCTGCCTCCCACCCACACCACCCCTCACCCGCTCAGGAGCACAATTCGACTATCACCCCGAACTGCAGGATGCGGTGAGCGTAGACTGGTTATCGCGCATGTCGCCGACGAATGGTTTAACGGATGTGGGTGACAGGTAGTCGATGTTGTGGGTCCCGCTCACCCAAGCACGAGCGGGCTACCCTCAGCATGGTCTGTTCGCGATGAAATGTGAGCTTACCGAACACGCTGCAGGATGAAAGCTTACGTGACTACAGGTATAATTTCCAGTCGGACCCTCGGGACTTGGGAGCCGTGGTTGTTCTTTCAGCCAACGAGTCGAGTTATACAGGTAAGAGCATCTCTCTGGACGACGGAGCAGAAGAGAGACGATGACGGTTTGAAACAGACCCCGGTCCGCGCAAATTCAGCCAGGGTTCGCCCCATCCGACAGGCTAGTAGCGAGCACGCGATTACGGCTTCCATTGAACGTCGAAACATTGACGCCCATATCCGCCCACCAGCATGGTTCCAAGAACACGGAGCCGGAGTTTCGACTGGCAGGACTGCTGGCCGCAGTTTCTACACAAGTCTCGGACATCTCAACGAGACATGGCAGGTCCGAATCGTTTCCGTCTGTGCGCTTCGTCAGATCGCCGACATTTGGCCGTCTTCATCCGTTTGCAGGATTCCACCTTCCTCAGCCACGTCATGGGAGGCATCTCGTGGACATTAGAGGCGAACACCACTCGCGCGTTCAGTACGAGCGGTTTGGTGGGTAATGGCACCACCTCCACGAGAAGCGCAAACTCCACGTCGAGCACGGCGCCTGCTAGGTATGCACTGCTGCAGTGCGAGGCATGCATAAAATACTCACAACCACTTGAAAAGCGCAACCTCCACTGGTGGCGCAACATCGTGGTCAAGCGGTCTTGCAGCAGTGGTGACCTCTGTCGTTGCAATCCTGTCTGCTACTCTACTCTAGTAGGACTTGTTCAGTGGCTATTCGATGTAATTAGCATAGACACAGTGAGATCCACAAGGCCTGAGTTCCAGATTGTTCCTCTGGCAGACGATACGTGATTGGAGGCGAAGACGGGCAGGTCGCGAGTGAAGAACGTTTACGTTTACTAGCCGCCCGAGGGAGTCAGTGCGCGCGCGGGCGTCTAAATTTGAGTATATTCTGGGGAGGAAAGCAGTCGGCGTGTCCCCAACCGCCATGTCGTCCTTCGCCCTCCGTGCTGCTGCCCGCGCTGCCTCTCGTCGTGCGCCTCGCGCCGCGGCCACCGCCGTCAAGGCCGCCTCCTACTCCATCCTCGCCCGCAATGGCGCGGCCAGCGCGGCCCCCCGCGCTGCCACCGTCATGGTACGTCTCTTCTCCGCCTATTCTCCCGCACTCGTGTCATCCCCTTCCGCCGCCAGGGTGCGCGTGGCATGAAGACCCTCGACTTCGCGGGCACCAAGGAGGTCGTCTACGAGCGCAGCGACTGGCCCCTCGCCAAGCTCCAGGACTACTTCAAGGACGACACCCTCGCGCTCATCGGCTACGGCTCGCAGGGCCACGGCCAGGGCCTCAACGCGCGCGACAACGGCCTCAACGTCATCGTCGGCGTCCGTGAGGGCGGCGAGAGCTGGAAGCAGGCGATGGAGGACGGCTGGGTGCCCGGCAAGACCCTCTTCCCCATCGAGGAGGCCATTAACCGCGGTACCATCATCATGAACCTCCTCTCCGACGCCGCGCAGTCGCAGACCTGGCCCCAGGTCTCGCCCCTCATCACCAAGGGCAAGACCCTCTACTTCTCGCACGGCTTCTCCGTCGTCTACAAGGAGGACACCAAGGTCGTCGCCCCGGCCGACGTCGATGTCATCCTCGTCGCGCCCAAGGGCTCGGGCCGCACGGTCCGCACCCTCTTCAAGGAGGGCCGTGGCATCAACTCCTCCGTCGCCGTCTGGCAGGATGTCACCGGCAAGGCCAAGGAGAAGGCCGTTGCCCTCGGTGTCGCCATCGGTTCCGGCTACATGTACGAGACCACCTTTGAGAAGGAGGTCTACTCCGACCTTTACGGCGAGCGTGGTGTCGTGCGTTGCTTTTCACATCTTGTCACGTGGGCGTGCTAACCCGCTCCGCAGTTGATGGGTGCCATCCAGGGCCTGTTCCTTGCGCAGTACAAGGTTCTCCGCAAGAACGGTCACACTCCGTCAGAGGCGTTCAATGAGACTGTCGAGGAGGCTACTCAGTCACTCTACCCTCTCATTGGCAAGTACGGGTGCGTTTATCTACTGTTTCTTTGGTTCGATCAAATCTCATTGCGTTTTAGTATGGACTACATGTACAATGCGTGTTCCACGACCGCTCGCCGTGGTGCCCTCGACTGGGCCAAGGTCTTCGAGGAGACCAACCTGCCCGTCTTCGAGAAGCTCTACCAGAGCGTAAGGGATGGCTCGGAGACGCGCCGTTCCCTTGAATTCAACGGCCGCTCCACGTACCGTGAAGACCTCGCGAAGGAGCTGAAGGAGATTGACGACCAGGAGATCTGGCGTGCCGGTACGTGATGTTGGCATTTGGCTCGATCTTAGTCGTTGATTTGTTTTTCGTTCTCAGGCAAGGTCGTCCGCTCCCTTCGTCCGGACAACCTGTCTTAGGGAGGTTGGCTAGCATACCCAAAAGCACTTGCGCGGTGCACACGTCGGAATCTTGGTGTTATGAGTACGCTTGATATAATCGTTTGCGCAGTCCAAATCCCTCGCGTGCAGCATCTAGCGAGTAATGTCAACTATACGCCGTTTTTTTTCCTCTGCACTTGATGGGCAGTGGAAGACCCCTATGAGCGTCGATCGACACATTGATTGCTCATATGAATCATCGCGCGAATCCTCGATAATTTGTTGGGCATGGAATTCATAGAAGATCCTCGCTTCGAAGAATGCGGTTCTAGTGTTGCTCGGGCATGCGGCCCAGTGACTCATGCTTTTTCAATAGCATCATGGTCAGTACATAAGCGTGTCGCTCTGCCCATCAACTGTTAATGATCTTACAGACGTCCACCGCATCCCAATACCTTCAACACATGGCCGATGTCGATGCCGTCTACCGAAATGACCATCAAAGGCCTTCCGAAACAGAGCCCACACAACCTGGTCGCGAAGATGCCCCGATGCAACCAGACGCTAGTGTCGTGGTCGCGACAGCGACCCCACTACCCAAGCTGCAGTTGGCCCTCTTGCTATACCTCCAACTCGCCGAACCGGTGACTTCGACCGTCATCTACCCCTTCGTCAACCAACTGGTGCACGAGATCGGCATCACCGACGGCGACGAGCGCAAGACGGGCTACTTCGCCGGGCTCATCGTACGTGCGCTTGACCCCGGTGTCTCTCCCCGGCCACGCCATAACGCAGGTGCCTCCCCTAAACCGCAGGAATCCGCGTTCTACGCCACCGAAGCCGTCTGCGTCCTCCAGTGGGGCCGGGCGTCGGACCGCCTGGGCCGGAAGCCGATCCTCTTGGGGGGCCTCCTCGGGCTCACGCTCTCGATGCTCGGCTTCGGGCTGGCGCGCGAGTACTGGGCTCTGGTGCTCGCGCGCTGCGCCGAGGGCGCGCTCAACGGGAACATCGGCGTCGCAAAGAGCATGATGGCGGAGATCACGGACGCGACGAACCGCGCGCGCGGGTTCGCGTTCATGCCGATGGTGTGGTCGCTCGGGAGCACGCTAGGGTGCGTTGGGTGTTGAGCGCTCCTTGGGGCTTGGTGTCGAGTCCCCGAACTGACTTGAGCTTGTGTGTCTCTGGGGCAGCCCGATCATCGGCGGGGTGTTCGCGCGGCCGGCGGATCGCTGGCCTGTCTTTCGCCGGTCGGCGTTCTGGAGACGTACCCGTATTTTTTGCCGTGCGTTGTGGCTGCGAGTCTGTCGATCAGTGCGTTCGTGTTTGCGGCGGTCGGGCTGAAGGAGGCGCGCGCCTCTCCCGTGCTTGCTGTAAGAATACAAGTCCTCACCACGGTTATCTAGACGCTACTTACCTCGAGCGAAGCGAAGTGTCCTCAAAAAAACAGGCTTGCCGCCTGGCCTCAGCCCGGGTGATCTACCCTCGCAAGAGCCCAGTCGCTCAGAAACTGGCGCAGCGGCGTCGCCCCGTCTACGTCCGCGTACGGAGAAGGCAGCAGAAGCTACCGTCATCGAAGCCGAGGACCCCAGTCCGCGGGCCAGCCTTCGGTCGATCCTGATCGATTCAGGCCTGATCCCCCAGGTCCTCTGGCCGATCTTCAACTACGTCTTCCTCGCCTTCGCCGACCAGTCCACCGTCGTCCTCATGCCTCTCATGTACACGACCAGCATCCCGCTCGGCGGGCTCGCGTTCAGCTCCTTCACCGTCGGCCTGCTCCAGGGCGTCGCGGGCCTCCTCGGGGGGATCGTGCAGGTGTTCGCCTTCCCGTGGCTGCTGCGCAAGTTCGGGCCGAAAGCGGTCTACACCGCGTCCTACGCGTCTTTCTTCGTCGTCTTCGCGCTCTTTCCCCCAAGAGGGGGGCGAGATCTGAATCGGCGGCTGACACCTTCGGGGCCCCCTTCCCCCCAATCGGTGTCCGGGGGTCGTGTTCGCGTTTTGGTACAGAAAGAGCCTGAAATTTGACACCCAGCCTACGATTTTGCCTGTAAACATGTAGATAGCTTCATTAAAGATATATCTTCCCGTTTCCCGAGTTTTAGGATGATCTCTGTGTTGCACGAGACACTAGTTGAATACGAAAGTGGTGCACGAGATGGCCGACAGCACGTGACCCTTCGCGTCGCGCGAAAGCCAAACACCGCTTAGCCGTAACGGAGCGCTCAGCTGAAACGCTCATGCCCCGACCAGCTGCTGCTCGAACCACGATTTCCTCTCCAACCACCACTACCCCTTGACAGTCAGTCCCTCTGTTGTCAGGAAACTATCCCCAGACACCCAGCTACGCAGTCTACCTGCATTCTTTTAGCTCTGCACACACCACCGCCTACTAGGACGAGTTATTGGACACTTCGATGAACTCTTTCACCCACTACATTGACGATCCGGGGGGCGGTCATGGTGAGTAAGGTGTGTATTCCTTCATTTATTTGCTAACAACTCATCCCAGAGCCCCATAACCCCCTAGAACCGGGATATCAGCAATTTCCATACGCATGGGATGACAACTTGTTCGCAGTGGATGCTGGCCTCTCGGCTGACCTGACCACCGGCTCCCAGCCACTCGGACAACTCCCCATTCCTCAACCGGAGCTCTCACATTCACAATCAGGTATGTGTAGCTGTCAATTGCATAGCTTAAATACTGACGCGTGGTCAGGATCGAGTCTGGGATCCTCTTCCCAGACTTCAATTGATCACTATGAGTACGTTCTGGTGGCAGATGTCTGGCACGTCGTATGTCCGAGATGCGGTCAGCGCGTAAACACAGGCAACAGGAGGACAAGAAATGCGTCATGTCTGGAGCCACATCTAGGCGGCAAACGCTGTCGTGCCGCGCAAGAAGCACGTCTCTCTGCTGCATGCTCGCAAGTGGAGGAGCTGTCTCACGCCCGCGACTCCGTGACGCGGAACTCCCTCTCCTGGTCGGTGATGCGTGGGCTAGTATCGGCGATGCTGGTGGGTCCGACACACTGCGCGCCCTTCCAGCGTTCAAGACCAACGACAGCTTCCCTTACCGCGATGAGCAGGGTATGTAACATAACTTTAGACTTGGATATGCGTTTTCTGACATGGAATTGCCCCAGGGAAACTCGCCTTAGCATTCCGGTCTGAAGAGGCATCGCTCAAGCTCACTGATGGCCGCGAAGAGGTCGGCGGCGAGAAGTTCCGCTGTTACCAGTGCCTAGCCACGGTAGAGAAGCAGAACACTCGCAACCACGTCGGACATCACATCCTTCGTGCTATGAGAGGTGTTGTGGAGGAGTTGGCAGGGTCTCCAGTACGTTCTTTACCCCTGCTCTCCACTAGTGAATGTACTCAGCGAAGACAGGTCGTTCTACAGCCCTCTCCATGCGGATTTTGTGGTCGTTCGGGTATCAAGACATGCACAGAAGTGTGGTTGACAAAGGGCTTGAAGCCGCAAGCACGTAGTGAGTGCGTACATGCTGTCAACTACTTCTACAAGCCCAGCCTGCACTCGACTCTGTCCACCCCGTGTACGAACACTCCAATTCTCTGCCCGGTTCCTGGTTGCTCCGCACGACATGGTGACCGCTTTCCAGCCATCTGGCGATACAATTTGGGATTACATGTCCGTGAGTGTCATCCAGAGTACTCTCCCGATGGTGTATCTCCCGGTATCATCCTCGAAGCCCTCACTTTACGTGTGCTGCTATCCATGCAAGAGGAACAGCGCATGGGCATCCCGGAATCCTCAATACCTCTCACTACGCCGCACACGGAAGTCACCACCGACGTCCAAGCTCTCGCACTAATCCCGCAAGTTCAGGACTCCAGCATCCCTGTGGCTTCGACATCAAGTACACGGCGCCGGAAGCGCAAACCTGAGGACACTCTCGACAAAGCCCTCAGCAAGCAGCCACGCCGCGGTGGCGGCAGTTACTAGTATCCCGCGTAATGTAGCTCTAAGTTGTATCGATAGCGGAATCAATGTTACATTTCTATTCGTACTTGATCTACATCTGCGTGTCTATCGGTCGTCAGCCTCTCGCGCTCGGATTCTCGCCACGTACACATTGCGCGCGAGAATGCGCGAGATCTGGATCTCGTCATAGGTCACGCGCTGACTCGCCTATCTCGCTTAGAGGGGGGTGGGGGGTGGGGGGCCTGGTTCCCGGGGTCCCAAAATTTCGAGAGGTTTCCGCCACGGATTTGGTTTTCGCCCCCCTCTTGCTTTCCCCTCCTCGCCTTCGTCACGAAGAAGCACGGCGCGGTCGGCGCGGCCTCGTGGGCCCTCGTCGCCGTCCAGCTCGCGGCGTACATGTGCACGCTCGGAACGTGGGGTGCGTGCTGCCCGTGTCCTTCGACGCGACTGTCGACCGAGGGACGCTGACGCGTGGCAGGCTGCGTCTTCATCTACATCAGCGACGGCGCGCCGAACGGGCGCGCGCTCGGGCTCACGAACGGGCTCGCGCAGACGACGGCATCGACGGCGCGCGCGCTCGCGCCCGCAGCGGCGTCCTCGCTGTTCTCCGCGACGCTCGAGGGGCGCCTCGCCGCCGGGACGCTCGTGTACTGGGTGATGTGCGCGGTCATCGTCGGTGGGCTCGTCACGAGTCGGTGCTTACCGAAGGGCCGTCGTACATAGTAGCAGACGACTCGGAGCGATTGATGAGCGGTGAGGTTTTAATGTCTCGTGCGAAGTGAGTTGTATGTATTGTGCGCTCAGCGTCGCGGGTGCCAAGTCGACTCCGTTGGAACTTGGGGTGTCTGGCTCAAGTCTGGCTGCGCCCGGGGGCGGGCCCGCTGGGGCGAGAGGGCTGCCATTGGCAGCGCGGCTGTGGTATGATGATATCTAGAGCTAAGTAGATACATGAGCGAATCTGATTCTTCGTCCCCGACACTGCATCCTCGTAGACCTGCCGGTTCTTGGGACCCGCGAGCGCGATAGGTACCTCCCCTTGTCCCGGGCCCATTCAGCCCGTTCCGACGTCCTCGCTAGTAATCGACCTTGCTGGGTAGAACAAAAAGTCCTTTCATCACTCGCACCGCATCACTGCAAGAAGGCTGGTGTCGAAAGCATCGCCGGTTGCGGCTTCATGGCAACGTTCAATCGCTCACGGCACCGAGTCGACAGCTCCCAATTGACCGAGCCAAGCGTGTTCCGCTCCAACCGACGAGCTCCAACCGACGACCGCAGCACACAGCCATCTCCTGGCGACGGTCGCGACTTTGCGAATCGTGGGCGCAAGCGGGATCTGCCGCAGGTATGGATACGGAGGGACGGATTATGTACTAATAGGACTACAGCACCCTACAACACGGAGCGAGTGTTCGGGGAGGTAACGTAACACGCGATACAGAATAAGATAGTAGGCAGAGGAGGAAGGTCTAGAGCGGTGCTACTATATATGATAAAGCTTTACGTGTGCGATGCGAACGAGAATGTGGTGGTGCTGGAAGACAGCTTAGGTGATATCTAAGGAGCAATGTGCAGATGCAAGCAAGTCCCCAACCCGGTAACTACAGACGCAAGAAGCTTAAAGCTCAACGACGGATGGAGGGGGCGGAAACGACGATGTACGTACAGAGCGCGGCTCTGGGCCAGCCGCCGAGTGGCGGACCCAGAGTGGGACAACAAATAGTAGACAGCCAATACAGTATTGAGTGACCAAACGAACTAAAGCGGGGGGCGAAGATAAGCAATAGACAGGACAAGCAAAAAGGCATAGCGATACAGTCGACGTCAAGACGTTCCCCGCCCCCACGCACGTGGGTGCGGGCTCCAGGGCCCACAGGCTTTTCTACTTCCCTTCCCGGCGCGCAGAAAGTCGCCGCCGCACGCGCGCGAGCACGCCCACGCCGAGGTGCGCCGCGCTCTCGCTCTCTCCCGCGTCGGCAGGCCCGCGATCGCGCTCCTGCTCGCGCACCTCCTGCACCGCGAGCGCCGGCCCCGAATTGGACCGGCGGCGGCGGAACGGCACGGTGAAGAACCGCCGGCGGACGCCCTTCGACTCCGAGTCGTCCTCCCCTTTCGCGCCATACACGGCGTCGGCGTCGGCGGGACGAATGCGGTCGACGTCGGTGCCGTAGCCGGCGCGCTCGAGGCGCGCCTCGGGGGACTCGAGTGCGCTGTCGTCGCCGAACCCGTACCCGAACCCGTACTCGCTGTAGCAATACGTGCTCAGGCTGCTCTGCGGGCGCGACTCGGGCGCGGGCGTGTCCTCGGGCACGGTGAAGAGCGAGGGCGTCGACAGCCGCGGGCTCGAGAACTTGGGCTGGAAGAGCGAGACGGAGCCGGTGCTGCGCTGCTTTGATGGGCGGCGGCGGAGAGCCGGCGCGGGGGCTACGGAGCCCCACGAGGAGGAGGGGCCAGCAGTGAGTGAGCCGGGGGGAGAGGGCGTCGTTGAGGAGGAGGCGGGAAACTCGGTCACGTTCCGAAGGCGGTCAATGATGAGTGATGGAGGGAGTATGGAAGGGGAGTGCGGCTGTGGCGGACGTGGCTCCTCGTGCGAAGCCTCAGTGGAGTTGGGGAATAGCCGGAACTCCGGCATCGACAACGAAGCGCGACGGGCGAGGTCGTCAGTTCGCGATCCGTACGAGTCGATTGAGGTGCGGAAGTGAAGCATCGCGGGTGAGGACGGAGCGCAGGGGAGGGTGATATCGAACTTGGACACGCCAAAGTCCTCAAGGAGGTCGGCGACGTAGTCCGGCAGGGACACATCACCGACCTCACTCAAGATCGTGTCGCGTGGGCGTAGGGACGCGCGGGGCTCGATACGGACAATGCCACCATGGGGGCCAGCGGAGAGCGGAGATGGGAATGGGGACACCTCGGAAACAGCCAAGTTGTGTACTGCGACTTTGAGTGTCGTCGCGGTCGCGGTTTGCTCCCTAGGATCCTGGGATACACAGGTAACATCCGTTGATGCGGAGTCTCTGCGCGATTGCACGGGTTCTGGAGATGGAGATGGGGGTGGTTGGCCTCCAAGAGATGTCGAACGCTTGCGAGACTTTATGGGTGACCGAAGAACTTCTTCGAGTGCGAAAGTGCGAAGCCTCATGGGTTGGACCTGGGAGATGGTCTTGCGCCGAGTGAGAGTATACGTTGATATGCGAGCGGTCGGGAAGACGACGTGGGTAGGCGACTGTCTCAAGAACAGACGTAAGTTTGCTTCCGCCCTGGTCATCGTTGCTGGAGACTCCACCAACGGCGGCGGAACCTCGTTGATGGGACTGCAAAGTGCCGTGAGAAGCTTGTGTGTGGTTGCTGTTTGGTCCATCCTAGAGGCAGTTCTTCGCTCCTCCAGCCAGAATTCGCGTTGCAAGGACCTGACTTGCTCTGGAGCCAGCCCCCGAGCCTCCTTCTCAACCAAGGCTGCGCGCAGTTTTGCGGCGGTTGTTTGGGCGTCCCGGGCCTGTTCACTGAGTAGAGCGGTAGCTCTCGAGAGAGCACGAACTTGGAGTTCTGCCGGGGAGAGTTCTGTAGAAGAGACTTCGGCGGCAGTCCGCAGAGCACTCTCTGCGATTGAATAGCGAGAGTGTCGACGAGCAGCGAGAGCAGCAGATGAAGGGGACGCGACAGTTGTCGAAGCGGGAGACTGTATGCGAGAGGTTGGGGGATGTTTGGGGGACATCATGCTGGGGTTCGGCTGGCCGAAGGTATGGCTAGTATCGGGAGTCCTGGGGATGGAGTGAGGATTTATGAGGAAGGTGAGACGGATGAGGGACTAACCTGACGGAAAGAAGGGAATGGCGGTTGGCGGAGAGGAAGCCAGGGTTGAGATGGCCCTAGGAGGAGCTTTATGGATGCGGCCTTGGGGACAGAGGGGATGATTGACGTACCCTGGGGTTGTCCGACCATAAAGAGCCGCTGTCAGTGAGGATGCGCAAGCCTGAGGATTTTGCGCGTCGGAGAGGGAGTCCTGTGGACGGGTTTGTGGTCGAGTAGCGCTTGACGGGGGCGGGAGCGAGACCAGAGTGGGGGGTGCCATGGACCTCCCAGTCTCCGGGGACATGGTCGATGATCCGTTGGCCGAGCATGGCTGGTGAGGGGGCAGAGGGAGAGAGGAGTGCAAAAAAGAGTGAAGGTTGTTGGAGACAAGCGAGGAGTGCAGGAAAGGAAGGTCAGGAAGGAGAGTCAGAAGCAGGACGTCGAGGCCATGGTGGAGGCGAAGGGGAAGGCGCGCCAGGCGAGGCGGATGGGGAGGGCAACCAGGGCGAAACCAAACGGGAGAGAGAGCACGAGCAGTGCCCAGAGCGAGAGTCGCCCAGACGCGTCGCCAGCCTCTTCCCGTGAGCGCTCCCGATCCCCGCCCTACGCGCGCCCCCGCCGATCCCTCCACATTCGCTAGCCTTCGAGCCTCGCCGCTCGCCGACCGCTCTCACCGCTCTCTTGCACTCCCGTCGTCGGCGCGCGATGCTTCCACCTCCCTATGGCACAGTTCGCAGAATGATTTGCGCACCTTTCACGCTGATCCACACGCGCGCCCAGCCAGCGGGAAATCAGACCGCGACCTGGTGGCGCTCGTCCCCCAACGGTCCATCTGCAAAACCCTCTGTGTGCTACGAGGGGTCTAGTTCACCCTCTCAACGACCCACGTGAGCATCGCGAAATCGTTTGGGAGAAGGCCCTTCGAGACCGGAAGTAGTGCGCTGAATTATATGTCGTGACCAAGAAAGAGTCTCAGAATGATGTCAGAGGCTGTCCGGCGAGCTCGGCCCGGCCCGGACAGCTTCAATGCCGGCATTCTCCGGCCAACTTTCGCCGCCATCCTTGCACCTCTCTCTACAACCTCGACCGTCGCCCGAGTGGGACCACGCCCACGCGAAGTAATATTCGCCCGCATGGTGACCACCGCCAACGCGTTCCGATGATGTACTTTTTTGCTAGTTCCAAGCCCGCGAATACTGACAACGGCACGTTGAATCGCAATCTCGGCGACTACTGGTTGGTCATTATCGAATTTTCTTCAGACAGACGGTGCTGATGACAGTATTTTCGGATTGCAGCCCCAGAATGCCTGCACGCACGAGCACTTATCAGCGGGACCGTTACGGAACCGCCTCCGCCATCCTCGTGGCTGCGGCTCAAGAACCACTTCAAAGAGTGAACACCTGATCGTCAAGGTTCCATTCCTGGAAACCCAACCTGCGCACAAACACCCTCTTCCTGCTTGGCCCAGGACCAACCCCTACATCTTTTGGCTACTCCTCCAAAATTATGCCGAGCGACATTGTGGCAATGGGCCCGCTCCGTCATCTATCGCCATTGCTCGCAATCTTCGCCATCCGACACCCCCGTTGCACCATGCAAGCGCGGCTTCTCCGGCCATAAAGAACCACTTCCCGGTCACGATGCTTTCATTACGACATATTTGTCCCTCAGCATATGGTGAGCCGCCGTTCTCAGCTCCCGAGAGTTCAGCTGCTATATATGCCACGAAGTCATACTGCTTGGGAGTGCCTCGACTTCGAGGCAACGACCGCCACCATGCTCGTCCATGCCGTCTTGCTATCGCTCTGTGTGCTCGGACTCTGCTCCACCGTCCTGTCCCAGAGCATTCCGAACTCGTTCCCGCATGCCTGGCCTGGACAGCCGGAGGGCGACTTCAGTACAAAGTGGCAAGATTGCAAGTCTCATTTGCCTCTTCATGTTTGCAGGCTCCGCTCACGCCGCCTCCGCAATTAGATTTGGAAGTCACCGAAAAGCTTCCCAATATCACCGGCAGCCTCCCACGTAGCTTCGCGGGAAACATTAATGTGAACCGAGCGGGACATCCCAACAACACGCTCTTCTTCTGGGCGTTTGAGAAAGTGGGCGCCAATGGCTCGCTGACCGCCCCCGCGAGCCAAAACAACACAGACCCGTGGATTATATGGCTACAGGGGGGGTAAGTGATACTGACTCACGGCTTGAATGCATGTAGCTGACTGAGTACCAGCCCAGGGTCCTCTGGAATGATCGCTCTCACTACCGAGGTAAGCAGTTCAGCTGCTACTGATTGCCATGCGGCATACTGACACGTCGGCTAGAACGGTCCCATTCACGTTCAAGCAGACGGATCGTGGGTTCACAACAACTTCAGCTGGAATACTTTGGCGGACACGATCTGGATCGATCAACCTGTCGGTAAGTAACGCCGTTAGCAACGAATATAGGGCATGAACCGACTTCAATTGCCTTTTCGCCTACAGGCACTGGCTTCTCAACGTCCGACTCAACGGGGTACAGTACGTGCAAACATCGCAGTTATAGTCAGGGTCTTGACCCTTTCCCCAGTTCCTGACGAGGACCAGATGGGAGAAGACTTCGTGAGTGAGCCGTTCGCTGCTGACTGACCCCCACAAACCCAGATTTCCTTGTAGATTGGCTTCCTCTCGAACCTTGTCAAAATCTTCCCGAGTCTTGCCTCGCGTCCTCTGTTCCTAACCGGTGAAAGCTACGCCGGAACGTACATCGTATGGTTGCTTCGCACCATGTCCTCGTCTCAGCTCTAACTCCGCTCGTTCAGCCATACATCACGAAACACATCTTCCAAACTTCAAACCCACCGGTCAACCTCCGCAAGATTGCTATCGGCGACGGTTCGCTCGGATCCCAGGCGCTTGTGGAGCACGTTCCTGTGGTCGGTTGTCAGGTTCTTGTAGTACCGGAACCCCGCTCGCGCTGACCACATCCATCCACAGCTCAACGTCATCGAGACTTACCCGGCGCTCATCGGATATGATGAAGACGTCTTCAACTTCTTCCGCGAGCAGTGAGTCCCGACCTGCGGGACCACAACGTAGTCACCGCTGACGCAGCCACTGCAGGACACACCTCTGTGGGTTCGATCTGAATTTCACGTACCCACAAGAGGGCGGACACTTCCCAACGCTGGACCTCGTCCGGCCGACCGCCGAGTCTGCGCTCGCGAAGTCCGTGGAGACACGCACCCGCATCCTCCGGAGGGCCGCCGCGCTCGAGAAGAGGGACTTGGTGCGCCCGGCAGCGCAGGAGGCGGCGCGTGCGCAGTGGAAGCGCGATCTGTCTGGACGCGCAAACGGGACGATCGATCCCTTCTACGGCTGCTTCCTCCTCGACGAGCTGGAGGACTACGCGCTCAACTTCACGTTCCCGTGGTGTGAGTGGCCTTGCGTTCCCTTCGGCGGCGAGCGGGCACGCTGGCTGATAGGACACGCGCCGCAGCAAACGGTGGATTCGACGTCTACGACGTCCCGGACGGCACGAACCCCGAGCCGTTCAAGAACGCGTCCGCGTTCTTCAACTCCGCCGCCGGCCGCGCGGCGCTGCACGCGCCGACGTCCAAGGACTGGCTCCGGAACTTCAACTACCCCTTCGGCTCCACGCACAACCACTCCGCCGGGAACCAGTACGGCGACCCGTCCGTCGAGCCGGTCGCCTTCCTCTCCGCCCTCGCCGCGAACGCCTCCGCCGCGAACGTCTCGATCGTCTTCTACTCCGGCAACGACGACTCGCTCGTCCAGCACCGCGGCACCGAGGCCGTCATCCAGAACACGACCTTCGGCGGCGCGCAGGGCTTCGCCCGCGCGCCCGCGACGCCGTGGTTCGACGACGCGGGCGCGTTCGCCGGCGTCGTGCACCAGGAGCGCGGGCTCGCGTACGTGCTCTTCCAGGGCGCGGGCCACCTCGTGCCGATGTGGCGGCCCGCCCAGGCGCTCGTCTTCCTGCGCGAGTTCGTGCTCGGGGAGAACAGGAACGGGACGCTGGAGGCGGACGGGCGCGTCGTCGGCGGGGAGGACGCGGCGCTCGCGGGCGCGGTGCTCCCTGGGGGCGACGCGATCTTCTTCGGGTCGTCGGCCACGCAGGGGACGTCGACGGTCCCGGCGGCGACGCGGAGCGCGTGGGCGGCGTTCGTGTCGACCGCGACCGCGGCGGTCTCGTCCGGGTCGGAGTCGGCTGCTGCTGCTGCCACCTCGACCCCGCGCGCTGGTCCGTCGGTGTCTGCTGGTGCTCAGACGACTCCCACCGGAGCCACGAGTGGAGCACTGCAGGGGCGGTTTGCCGACACGGGTCTTGTGAGCGTGCTGATTGCTCTTCTGGTTTCTGCCGTGGTGCCAGTGTAGTCGGACGTGGACGGTCTATGTGGGAGGGGAAACGTAAAGACGGCCCGTAGATGAACTGTATCAGACACAGCTGTATTCTGTGCTCACATAGACACGACTGTAGCCGCACGCATGTCAGACGCAGACGCACCGCTTTACACTTCTCGTTCTCGACCTCCCGCAGCGACAGATCCTTCTCGTGCGGGGCGAAGTGATGGGCTCGTCTAGACAAGACTGTACGCATGTCACTCAGCGTGAAGTGGGAATCGCCAACACAATCAGGAGATAAAAACGCAAGCAGTCGATTCTACAGCTTCGGAGCTACAAAAGGACCAACGTCCCAACCGAACAAGTCTACGCTCCGATCCCTCCGATCTGCAAAGTACAACCACGAACTCACACCGTGACCTCCTTCGTCGTATACACCAGTCGTGGCACCGCGCCTGGGATCTCTTCGTCCGGACGGTCCGTGTCGAGGTCGCCGCGCTCGACCTCATACCCAAAGTAGCGCCACATAATGTGAATGTCGAGGTCGTCCTGTTCCTCATCGCGCGTGCCGATGACGCCCTGGTACTGGTAGACCGACTTCGTCTGAGGAAGGGTGCACAGTCAGCACAACGCACGCGAGTGAAGGACGCGGAAGAGCAGTAGGACAGGTCGGAATCCGACGGGGAGGGATCGTGTACCGAACGAAGGCACGAGTGGAGAGGAGAAAAGACTCACCAGACCGAGGGACACCTTGATCGCCGGCGCGCCCGGGGTGTACTTCTCCAGCTCGAGGTCCTCCTCCTCCGTCTTCTCCTCGTTCGCCTCGGCCTCCTCCTTCTCACCCTCCCCGTCCTGCCCGATCGATTCGGCATCTTCCCTCGACGCAACCTCCGGCTCAGCCTTCTGCTTGCGCTCGGCCTGCTTGATCAGCCGGATGACGTTCCGCGCCGCGACCTCGCCCTGGAAAAACGCATTGTGCCCCGCGTTCACCGCGCCGAACGCGTCCGCCGCGTCCCCGATCGCAAAGATGTGCGACGCGGCGATGCGGGTCCTCGCGTCCTCGACGACCTCGAGCTGCGCCTCCTCTGCTTGTGACGAGGTCTCGGAGGCATCGTCGGCGGTCGCGGGCTCGGACGTGGCGGTTGACGGAACGTCGGCGGGGGAGACCTCTGCCGACGAGGGTCCGGCAGAGGTGGAGGCCGTTGCGAGGGAGAGTGTGGAGAGGTCGGGGACAGCGGTCGGGAGTCCGGACTCGGGGACGGGCTCCGCGAGCTGGAGCGTGCGCCGGACGCGTGCGAGGCCCTTGTCGGGACCATCGGCGACGACAGATTGAGGGAAGGCGTCGCGGAGGAGCCACGTGTTGGGGGTCTGGCCGGTGCAGAGCAACTACAATCGCACGGGGATGAGCATGGGGATGGAGGTGAGCATACCGGCGAGGGCACTTACCACCAGCTCGGCCTGTACTTCGCGTCCGCTCTGTGTGCGGACGACGCGCTCGCCATTGCTGTGCTTGTTGTCGGCGAGCGAGGCGAGGTCGAGGCGGTCGCCGAGGATGGTGCAAACGTTCAGAGCCGAGAGGCTAGAGACGACTGTTCATTCCTTAGTACAACTTGTTGCACGAGAAAGGACCGTACTTACTCTCGCTGTGCATCGCCTCGTCAAACCTCGGTAGGAGGCGGTGACGAGAGTGCAGCAAGGTGACATTGGTAGCTGGATAGATCTCCGCAATGTCCGAGGCGAATTCTAGAGGGGACCAGGCGCAGTTAGCATCCCAGGAAATGCGTGGTAGAGATCCGGCCAGCCAGGTATGACGACAGTGACCCACCCCCACACCTATGATGACGTCCGCGCGGCCGGAAAAATGTGCGGTGGCCCAGGACTCCAGCCAGCCTCCACGACAGCCACTGCAGCAGCCTCAACTGAGTCTCAGTGTCATGGTACGCATATATGCGCACGACCTGCCCCCGGGCAATCTACTAGCCGCGGGCGCTAGGACACGGACACTGCGCGCGATCGAGCCACCACACGGCAGCGCGTATGTGGCGGTTCACCAACGCAGAGACCGCAGCGGAGGGCAGGGGGGAATGCGGGGATATTGCGCGAGAGGAAGGGAGGAGTACTCACGGATACCAAGAGCACCCCCACCAACAACCAGGACGGAAGCCGCGCGCGAGACGCGGCGTTGGAACTGTTTGAGGAAGGCGACCCCGCCCCCCTTCGTGCCGCGCGCGACGTCGAGTACCTCCGCCCGTTCCACATCCCCCGCGGCAGGGTCCCAGAGGTTGATGGGCGAGGGAAGGTGCGAGCCGAGGGCGTAGATGAGGTAGTCAAAGTGGAGCGTCCGGTCGGCCTCGGAAACGCCGTGCTCCGGGAACGCACGGTCAAGGGTGAGGGTGTGCGTCGCGAGCGACGTCACGGATGCGTGTAGCAGCACCGAGCGTGCGGGGTCCGTGTATGCGGGATGAACGAGGGGGCCGGGGGTGGAGCCGGTGCGCGGGGGTAGGAAGACGTTGTTGTAGGGGATGAAGGCCTTGTGCTCATGTCCGGGGAGGACGGCGTACCGGGGCAGGACGTAAAGATGGTTGATGTGCGAGTTGCGGTCGACGAGAACGACGCGCCAGCCGTGCGGGAGGCCCTGGGCCAGGAGAGTGGCAGCGCGGGCCCCGCCGTAGCTTCCACCGAGGATGGCGACGGTCTTCATGGTGTTCGTGCCAGAAGGTGTGCCGAGGGCGTAGGAGAGGGCCATGGCGCGGTACGTATTACGGAGGTCACGGTAGAGTAAGCGGGGAGAGGTCAGACGCGATCTCTCCCGGACAAGGCAGGAGGGGGCGTTATAAGGAACGCTGCCCAGCACACGGCTGGCGCGGGCAGGAGAGAGAGACACGCTCCAGCTCGAGCCCCGCCCCGCCCCTACGGCTCGTGGAAAATCTTATCAGATACCCACGTTCCGCGCTCATATCAGATAACCGCGCCCCCCATTGGCCCGCCGCCGCGATCAGGCGCCCATCCCTGTCCACGCCCCCTCCCTCCGCCCGCCGACTGGCCAGCCCCCAATGCAAGCAAGTTATCTGAGGTTATCTGGGCCCACTCCGCGCGCGCGCGAATCGGTGGGCCCTTGGCAACTCGACCGCAACCCGTTAGACACTGTCCGCGCCCGCGTGGGACGGTGCGGACGTGTCGCTCTCAGCCCGTCTGCGGTGTTACTACCAGCCCCCCGCCGGGCGCGGAGCATCCGAGTGGCGGAGTGGGAGGGCACCAACGCCGGAGTCTGTGCCAGCTGTCATCCTCCCGCGCCCCCTCGGCGGGCATTCTCAGCACCGACACCGAACGGGAACTCCGCACACGCCGTCGATTCTCTCCATTCGACCGCCTGGACACGAACCCATAACAGCGCAAGCGGATGTATAAGAGGGGCGGGAGAACGTGCGTCAGCCCAGCTGCCTTTCTGTCTCGCGCGGGCTGACGTGAAACCCACTCAGAATCGTGCTCGCACGCTATCTATCCTTGTCGCCACGACATATGCGGTGTTTCGACTTATGATCATGATGCAATATATGCTCTTCATAATGCGGATCGGGACCGAACGCGAGCGCATTACTTAAGCGGGTATAGGATGACCGCGGCGGTACACCATGGAAGGGTGAGTTCCGCAATGAGTGCATCATGGTTTGTATACGGCTCTGTACTTAACAAGTACTCCTTTCAAAGATCAGGACGCTGACGCATCACTGCATGATCTCCCATATCGCCACCAACCTCGCCTGAACACACGACGCTGCCAAGGACGGATGCGATTCTGCAGCACGCGCGGGGTCGGGGCATCTCCGGACCGTCCCGATTCGTGGGTACCTCCCCGATGCCTACTGGTCCTCCCAGTGTCCAAGCTGGGCAGGGCCGCGCGCCGTCGCCCGCTACGCTCCTGCACCAAGAATCGGCGTCGTGGACTGGGCAGCCACGCCCTCGGGTTTGCCTCCGCCATGTTAGACGCCTGGGCACTTCGGGCGCTTCATGTGATCGCCTAGTGATCACGCAGTCCCGTCGGCGACGGACCTTCCGTGGAGAACAGGGTATTAAGTACGGCGTAATTGAAGACCTCTTGGTAGCGTGCAGAGAGAGACTGTCACCGAACAGCATCCCGCCGTGACCAACGCGAATCATGCGTCTCCGAGAGCTTCTTCCTGCCGACCGCTGATATGACGCCAACTCTATTGTACAGAGTGAACATAGGTGAGGGCGAGAGATCGTGAGAGCGTGAGCGTACAGCTCCGCGAGTCGAGAAAAGAGAAAGAAAATCGACGCGCCGCGAGGAGGGCGAACGCGAAGAGAGGTAGACCCAGTGAACGCGCAGCGCGCGAGGTGGATGATGACGAGGAAATAGACACGGTCGTGCGCATTGGCGCGGGCTAGATGCTTGAGATACGAAGGTGAGGGCAAAGACGAGGCCGTTGAGGTGACGCCATGCATAACGTGACAACCCTATGCGCCTGCGCATTCGCATATTACCTGGATCCACTGGAGGTTCTTCTGGTCATTGGTGTCACACTTGTTCGCGACTCGCCGACGGACCTGCACGGAGAGTTAGCGAAGGACCTATCGGACTTTCTGGACTGTCACATCGACCTATACTCGGTCTATGTGCTCCCATTATATCACTCAGATCTCGCGATGTAGTACACGTTGCGAACCCCCAGCAAGCTGAAGCACAGTGTACACAACAAGTCCTTTCGCCTCTTCCATGTCCACTCCGTTCTTCTCTTTCACGATCGCCGTTTCCGCCGTCGGCCGTTGGACCTCGCAGAAAGGGGCTGCTCAATCAACAGAGTCAGCCATCACGACCGTTTGCCCCATCCGAAACACACTCACCGCGCGCTCACGTTACGAGCGCGAAGTCGCTGAACGGCCCCCCGCTGATCACGTTGAGGCACGTGTTCACGGCTGGGATCTTCACGAAGCTGTGGCACCCCGACGGGCCCACGAACACCCCGAACGGCAGGCCCTCGTTGCTCGGCTGGGCGATCCCCACGCTCACGAACGGGATCGTGCGGAGGCATATGTTCACGGGGGTCGCCAGCAGGTCGTACAACACGCAGTTCGCGCAGTTCAACGACAGGCAGACGAGCAGCGTCGGGGGGAAGATCGGCTCCCCGAGGTCGGTGGACGGGCCCTGGAAGGAGTCCGAGGGGAGCGTGCCGTTTTCCGCGCTCGTGGGGAGGGGCGCGAGGGAGGAGGTGAAGTCGAGCCTCGGGAAGGAGGCTGCGGCCGTCAATTCCGAGGCGGAGGCGTCCGAGGCGGAGGCGTCGATGGGGTTGGCGTGGGCGTAGGCCACAAGGGCTGCGGCAACGAGGGTGAAGGAGAACATTGCTGGTGGGATGTATGAGGCAAGAGCTTTAGAGAGCAGGTAATACATTGCGTCTCACTGGCGTTCGTCGTGGTTTGGGCCTTTATGGCTCTCTTTGAACGCCGTGTTCCAGTAGTTTCCGCCATACGAACACCGTCTCCATTGCGATGTCAGCTCCACTTAACCCTAACAGACTAGTCATCGGACAGCAAGGGTCAAAATGCACTGTGACGGATAGGCCGAGCATATGAGAGCTGCGAAGCTTCATCCTGCAGAGAGACGGTGGCGGGCACAGTCGCCCGTGAAGAGGGTGTTATCCGAGTAGTCAGCAAGCCAGGATACTTGAGACTACGGCTGCTCAAAGCAGCGAGATATCTAGTGTTCTGCGCGAGCAAAACGAAGGGAATGTGAGTATATGCGTAAGCAATAATTTACATTATGCCTACTTGGGCACAAGGGGGTGACGACGACACAAACATTGGATAGGTGAGTGCCAAACGGGCAGGGGGAGGCCACAAGAGAGGACCCCGCGTGGACGGCCAGCGAACCCGTTGACCGCCTAAGGTTCGTATCGACCCGTGCAATGCATACGCAAAATCGATGCCTAAAACGGACGGCTAGGAGGCTCGGAATGAAGAAGTGATGACGGAGTAATAGTGTATCTACCTAGATATACACTGGCAGGATGTTCATCGTCACGGTCTTCGTTCCCGGGGAGGGTGTCGATGTACGACGCGATGAGGTCGATGAACGTCCAGAGGAGCCCGTGTGTCCTCACGCCAAAGCTTTGATAAATCCGCACAAGGCCCTTCAAGATAGACTTCGGGTTGTTCAAGTCAGGCCCTGCTGATCGTCAGAGACAGACGGGTGTGGGAGGGTGAGGAACGGGCTTACCTCGAACCAGTCAATGAAAAGTCTCGAAAACGGGGATCGCCATATCCCGGCGGCATCCCAGTCCAAGCCTCTGTTGCACAAACATGGCTGGGAATGAGTCGAAGGGGCGGGGGGCATAGCGCCGAGTATGGATGACAGTACGCGGTGCGAGGCCAAAAATCTACCCTGTTGGGGGAAGGGGGGATCGACTTTGTTCGATGTAGCTGTGTTCTGTACTCACGTAGATGCGACTTGAGTTCTGCCTGTGACTAGCAGGAACCCCGGTCATCCGCTTTTCATGCGTCTTCGTCAAACGAGAGTAGTTTCTTGTCCTGCTTCTTTGACTTCTTCTTGCCACCCTTCGAGGATTCTGGTTTGACCGCTTCATCACGCCCATCGCCCACCGCTTTGCGTTTGGTGCCCTTGCCCTTCGCACCTCCAGAAGAGAATGACAGGCCCTGCGTTATAGCGTTGGTCGCATCCTTCTGCTTCGGCTTTTCTTCCTTGGTCTTCTCGTCCTTTTCATCGTGTTCAGGCAGCGGAGGCAATCCCTTGGCTGAAAGCCAGAGTCCCCGCCTCAGTCGGCATCCAGAACGTATGTCAGACGCAGACACACCTTTACGCTTCTCATTCTCGACCTCCCGCCGCGAGAGATGCTTCCCTTCCTTCAGAACCACAATCTGTGGCGTCTCGTCCCCGTCGTCTTCGTCCGCACTCCCCTGCTCGTCGTCTGGGCGTGTCGGGATGGCCGGTCGGCGGGGAATCGGAGGGCGTCCAGAACCGTCGTCCTCGAACTCGTCGTCGTCGTATTTATCATCACCTCGCCCGCCGCCTCCCAGTCCCTTCATTCGTGCCAGGAAGGCGGGCACCTTGGCCTGGTAGGACAACCTCGACGACAGCTGTGCCCGCGTGGGTTCCGCCTTCGACATTTCGAGCAATGAGATCGCTGGTCAGCTGAGTTAAGGCTCAAGAATCGCAAGATGTCGCTGGCAGATGATCGAGTTGGGCAACAGCTGTGTGCGTGAGGGCGTGGTTGAGGAGTAAACAGGGAACACAGCGAGCGCCCAGTCTTCCTCTGGCCGACCTTCTGCACCGTGTTGGCCTCGTTCCCCTCGGTTCTTCCGCTGGTCCCGCAGGCGCATACACGAGCTTAATTCCTTTTACATCCCATCAAGATGTTGCGAACCAGTGCAGTACGCCTTGCAGAGTCTGTCTCAAAGCAGCCTCTAAACTTGCGAGAAGCGAGTGCCATGCTCCTACCCCCGCTGCCGTGCGTACCGTCCATGCCTTATATGTACCGCTGTCTGATTTTATGCGCCTGCAGACTGTACCGTAGGTTACTTCGCGCTCACAGACACCTTCCTTACGAGATGCGCTCCCTCGGGGACGACTATGTGAAGGCTGGTCAGTGCCTTGGTTGTCCTCGCCCACCCGCACTCCTCTGACACGTTGGACACCGGTAGAGTTCCGGAGACACAGGACGACCGACAACAAAGTACACATCATCGGTTTTCTGTCGCAGTGGAAGGTGTACCTTGACCAATTACCCGCGGGTCCGGACGGAGCCAAGGCGTTCAAAGGCAAGCCGCTCGACCCCACTACTCTCGAGAAGGTACTACCCCACCAGTCAGTGTAAGCTTCCCGGCCTTTCTGACGTGGTACGCACTGCACAGATGTCCGGCGAGCAACTGGGTCAATTGTATGAGGTTATGCACGCTACTAAGGGTGTCTGGAAACCTGTTCCCCCGGAGCAAGACGGAACGAGCAACTCATCGCGTGCCCCGGGTCCGATCGGGCTGTCTTAGACGCGTTCTGGAGTTACATTCGGAACATGGTAAGTTCTATGCTTTTACGCAAGGCTCGTGTTCCAGGAATAGAGGACCTGACGCTGTTGGTAGCTGCTGTATTGTTTCCGACTATTGCAATTTCATACCACCACTCTTCTGTGCGTTTCACCGACCAGCCATCGAGTCAATGAGCGGGAGTGTACGGAGGGCCTGCAAGCTTTACGGCCGGGCGGAGGACCCGTAGATGTGTCAGCCTTCCCCGTGAGTCTGCCTCTGCGGGAGCTAGGGGATGTCCGGGGCCCGCAGTCGACGTCGGGCCTCTCTCCCGCCTGTCCGCATGCTTCCCACCCCTCCCGTGCACGTCCGCTCTGTGTTCCCTCACGTACATAGGGGTTTCCCGCCCGACTCACGTGTGCGCGGGTACCTGCATTCCCGTAGCGCGGATAATGTGAACGGCTTGAGCGTCACATGGGAGGTATATAAACCCAAGATCTCTCACCGCCCTCTGCCAGTTTCTCATCATCTGCCTCCTTCACCGTTGCCTTCATTCATCCCAGTCATGTCGAAGATCAACGCCACCAGCGAGCCATTTCCCGACCTCCCATCGGTCTGTGTCCAGCTTTTGGAAGGAAAGGCCAAAAAGGGTACGCTTGTCTCGCTTGCCTCAATATTGGTCCAAGGAGGCTAATGATTACGAATCATAGGTATGACCTTCGCCCAGATCGGTGAGGTCATCAATCACGATGAAGCATGGGTCGCAGCGCTCTTCTACGGCCAGGTCAGTATCTCAACATCCTTTTCAAAGCATCCCTCTTATCACTCGCATCGTCCAGGCAAAAGCCACTCAGGAAGAACTGCTCAAGCTGAGCGAGCTTTTGGACATCCCGGAGCACAGTTTGCTTTCTGAGATGGGTGAGAACTGGTTCCCGCGCCGCGGCCTCGGCCCCGTGCCGCCTCAGGACCCTCTGCTCTACCGTCTCTTCGAGGTGAGTCTTCTCGTGAATCGTATCAGTGTAGAGCAGAAATACTAACAAACTTATGCTACCAAGGGTGTTCTCGTTTACGGCACACCTATCAAGGCCCTCATCCACGAGAAGTTCGGTGACGGCATCATGTCCATGATTGACTGCAAGGTCTCCGTCGACAAGAAGCCGGATCCCAAGGGAGACCGTGTCGTTCTCACGTTCGAGTGCGTATCCGCGTGCCCGTGTGCGTCCAACAACTAATGTCTCCCTCATACAGTGGGAAGTTCCTCCCTTACCTGCGCTGGTGACGTGCTGGCGGGTCTGCGGTGCACCGAAGAAGTGAACGCCAAGAACTGTTGTACATTAGACAATACATCACCCGTAACCCCCAGCTCACATGTCTGTCTACGTACGCGCGCGAAAGACCTCTACAACGGCGCATCTATCAAGCGACCGAGATCGCAAAACCCATCGCGCGCTTGCCCACAGGGTCTTGAATATCGTCTTCCTTGCCCACCCCGATGCAGTCGCCCTCGCCCTTGTTCCTCGGGAAGTCCGGGGGCGCAACGCCAGTGAGGAAGCTCTCCTTCTGCTTCTGGACGTACGCCGCGTTGATGGCAGTGTGCGGCATCGCGGGGATGTACATGACCGTCGAGTCCTCCTTGCCTGCGTGCTCCTTCTCGACGGCATGGATAACGTCCTGAACGTCTGTGCGGTCAGCTGAGGTCAATGCGACGAGACGGTGGGACACGAACGCAGTGCCAGAAGACCATGTCGCCCGGGTACACCTTCGGCACGGACACCATCGTCTCGTCGAGCTTCAGGTGCGGGTGCGTCTTCGTGTCCGGGCGCGGGCCGATGAACGCCTTCTCGAACGAGTAGATCCCGTGGAACTCGGGGTCCTCGAGGTCTGGTGCGCCGCGGATCGGTATCTCGTCGGTATCCCGGCCATTCGTAGAACACAAGCAGCAGCCACTCACCGAACTTCCAGTCCGCCGGGTCGTACGACTCCGCGCTGCACCCCTCCTTGGGCGTGAAGAACGGGCGGATGATTATGTACGCGTTCGAGAGCATCACGTTCGGGAACACCTGCAGCGTGCCCTCGCCCGGCGCAGTCTCGCTCAGCGCGAGCCAGCCCTGGTACGTCCGGAACACGGTCGCCTTCGAGCCCTCGGTCAACATTCAGCGCCCGGAGAGCGCGCATGAAACCCGTGCGGCTCCAGCGCAAACACTGGGCTCACCTGATTCGGGCGCTTGTAGAGCGAGCTCCGGGCGTGGATCCGGTTCTCGAGGTCGTATGGGTCGTGCGCGCGCCAGTTTCCGGTGAGGATGTCCTCGAAGCAGCCACGGAAGAACTTGTCCTCCCAGCGCTCGATGCCGCCGCCTGTTTCGCGTGCTGAGTTGGTCGAAAGAGGAGGGAGGGCGCGAGGTGGACGTACCGTCGACGTGGGGCGGGTGCGCGTCCCACTGCACGCCGGGGTGCCGGATCCGGAAGCGGTCGGCGTACATGAGCGGCGTGTTGAGGTCGACGTCGTCCAGCTTCTGCTCCGTCTTGGGGTGGTACATGGTGTTCAGCCACGTCGCCACACTGAGCACGTTCGGATGCGAGCGTGCGCGGATCTGCGCCTTTGTCCAGCTGAAATGGGGATAAGACTGAGGTGAGCGCCGACATCCACCAGTAAGCACGGCGGGTATACCCACTAGAGCTGGAAGAACTGCTTGTCGGCCTCAGGCATACCTGCATCGGATCAGACGAGCTTTTATGGTGCAAAGCATCGCAGGGACTCACCATCGACCGGGTTCTTCGAAACGTAGTCGCGAAGCCACGCCTGCCACGTCCTCGCCTCCTCGTCGTTCACGACGTCGTGGATGACAACGCAGCCCTTGCGCCGGATTTCCGCGACGCGCTCGGGCGTCAGGTTGCCCAGTTCGCCGAAGCCAACCTCGGGCACGCCCTGCGCAACGTCGACGTGAGCCAACATTTCACGCGTGTGTCAGAGCATGCGGCCGTAGACAAACCTGCGACCCCTGGCTTGCGATCTCCTTCGTGGTCTTCTCGAGCTCGACGAGGATCTCGCCCCACGCCCTTGTGACGCCCGCCTCGAAGTCGGGGTAGCTTGCCGCGATCTCCTTCTTGAGGTCCGCCATGCGTGGGGGACACGGACCAAACTGGGGCGGTTGTGCCATTGTGGGCTGCGTTCGTGAGGGGCAGAGAAAGTGAGCGCGCAGCCGTTGTGCGGTGTGGAGGCCCGCTGGGCTCTCGCCCTCCCTCGCTTATAAGTCTGCGCGCACACCCGCGCACCCCGCGCGCCCGCAGCCCATTGTGCGCCTTCCGACGCCAGATGGATTCCGAATCTGTGCCCACCGAAGTCAGGATCCGTATTATCTCACACGCGGTGCAGTTAGTGCCGTCACACGACTACCCCTGCAGCAGGCGCAGAGGATCATGGGGGCATCGTCGCCGCTGCTAAAATTCTCATGCAGGGAGCCGTTGCTCACCGGAGCACGACGAAAACATATCACGATAAGGTGACTGGGCTTTTGAGTTGCCTTCTGGATGCCTCGCGCCTGGATGCAGCTGACCTCGAGGGTACCTTCTTCAGACTTCCTGCCCTCCGGGAAAACCTCGGTGTTGGCACCTAGACCCTGCGCACTGGCTCTCCGGAAAAACTTCGGTGTCAGCACCTAGACCCCGGTCAGTAACCGATAAGCGCCAATGGAGCAACTATGACACTCACATCGACGTCCCAGGAACCCTGTAAGGGCCTGCAACAGCATGGCGATGTGTATCAAGGGTGCTGTAGCATCATACTTACGGACCAGTGGCTACCTTACCAAACTAGAAGCCAAGATAATCGCAGTCAGGCAACGATGAAGAGTGATTCCATGTAGAGCTGATGGATTAGCAATCTAAAAGCGTTTAAACGTACAAGCGGAGACATGATACGGGTAACATGGTGCGCGCAAAGAAGAGGATCCTCAGAAGGGTAGAAATATCACCTAGCCTCCTGTTATTCCTCTGCCTCGCCTTCGTACTCCGCATTCTCGTCTTCCGCCAGAGCTTCTTGGTACTGCTGGTACTCGGCACTAAACAAGAGGTTAAACCAGTCCCGCTTGGTTCAAGGAGTAGTCTCACATGAGATCTTGGGTATTGCTCTCGGCTTCCGAGAACTCCATGGCGTCCATGCCCTCGCCTGTGTACCAGTGCAGGAAAGCACCACGCTTGTACATAGCAGAGAACTGGGATATAACACGAACGTCAGACTGACTAGAAAATAAACATTCGCGTCCGCATACCTGAGCAAGGTTGCGCTTAAAGACCTCCTGGACAGCAGTTGAGTTTGCAAGGCAAGTCGCTGCGGAAGCATGTCCCACGGGCGGAACAGAGCAAAGAGACACTGATACGTTATCAGGGATCCACTCAACGAACTGTGACGCGTTCTTCCGCTGTAGATCGAGAATAGACTGCTCTACTTCTTGGGATGAAATATTGCCTCGGAAGATTGTAGCGGCGGTAAGGTAGCGACTGTGAGACTGACGTCAGTGATACACTTCCTGCGCGACACGTACCAGAGCTCACCCAAAGCGAGGGTCGCACGCCGTCAAGAGGTTAGCACGGTCAAACACACTAGCAAGAAGATCAGTTCCGACGGCATTTCCAGGCCGCCCATCTCTGCTTACGCGTTCGTCAAGTCCTTGACGTTCCAGCGGTGGAATGCCTTCGACTTGGGGTCAAAGAGTGGGGCATAGCTGGGCATGAGGAAGTGGAGCTACAGATTCTGTGAGATCCCCGAGGCGTACTGGATGAAAGACGAAGAGCTTACACGAGGGAAGGGGATGAGGTTCAGCGCAAGCTTGCGGAGATCACTGCGAGATGTCAGCACTATGCCGACATGACCGAAACAAGAGACTCACCCGTTCAGCTGGCCGGGGAAGCGGAGGCTCGTAGTGACACCGCACATGACTTGCGACACGATGCTATTAAGATCGTCAAAGGACGGCTGTTTCACTTTCAGCGTTCGTTGCGTCATGTCGTACAGGGCCTCGTTGTCAATGCAGATCGTCATGTCGCTGTTTTCCACGAGTTGGTGGACCGACAAAAGAGCATTATACGGCTTGAAGCAGATAGGTAAACGTGGCGAGCTAGAGAAAGATCAAAGTAGCATACCTCGACAACCGTCTCGGAGACCTAATAATCTCCTCAGCACAACAGTGGAGGCTCGAAAGTCCCGCGAACGTACCTTAGGCGAGGGCATGATAGAGTACGTGGCGAGCATCCTGTCGGGGAATTCCTGTAGTATGCGCATCAGGGGGCAGAGCACACATATAGAGAATCACACAACTTCTCGGAATTTGGAAAGTATCAGTGACCCGAGGCCGGAGCCTGTCCCACCCCCAAGAGACTGGATGATCTGGAAGCCTTGAAGCATGTCGCAGTTCTCGGCCTGCCGGCGGACGACTTCCTGGAGGCGGTATGTTGGTGACAGCATTAGAAGAAAAGGCTAGTCCACATACCAAGATGTTATCCATGAGCTCCGCGCCCTCCGTGTAAACTGCCGGGCATGGTCGTTATTTGGTCCAGAACCGCAGCTCATCCCAAAGGCTTACATCCTTTCGCCCAGTTGTTTCCCGCTCCGTTGTTCCCCGTCACGAACGTGTCGGGGCGATACAGGTGGCCCAAAGGCCCCGATCTGACCTAGAGAGATCGCCCTCGCGTCGGTATGTAGTAATGCTCGGAAAATGAATCCACTCACGCGATTGCACACACCCTCCTCCAGATCAATCTGAACGCTCCGCGGGACATACTTGCTGGCCGAGATGCCAGGGTGCTCTATCTCGGTGAAGAACACATTCGCCTATCAGGTGCGCAACCCGTCTTCAGCAAACGTCGCGCGGGGGCAATCCCAACTGGGACATACCCTCGCGATTTGTAGAGGGTCTTTCCCTTGGAAGTGCTGCGTCCATCGACATGGATCAGCTCGACGCCCGCCGACGTGCAAACGACGCGTTTACGCACCCCTTCGTCATCAAGGCCGTGCTCCGCAAGGAGCATACGCCAAAAGCTCTCTCCGACTTGATTTCCAGCCTGCACCGCGCCACCACGCGCCGTCAATCTCCAGCTTCCCACATGCACGCAGCGCGTCCGCGAACCAACGTACCTGACCGGCCTTGAGTGGCAAGGGATGTAGTATAAGCTCAAGTCGCGGAGGGCGGAGGCACGCTGCGCACCTGGACGTTGATGATCTCACGCCCCATGACGGATCTCTGTGTTGGGCTTGAAGGCGAGGGTGTACGGGTTCGTGGAGGACGACGCGTCGGCGGGGTATATGCTGCTGGCAGCGGCGGGGAACGGAACGGGCGGGTGGGCTGCAGACAAGCTGAGGCAGGGTCAAGGGCGAGGCCTCGGGAACGTTTTATGAGATGACGTCCGATCGAGACTGAGGCGCGCCGAGGCTCGGGAATATCCCCGACCCGGAGAGCCGGACCCAGCTCCCTCGTTCGGGTCTTTCCCCAGACCATTCTACTTCTCCCCAAGTACGTGGCTCAGGTCGCCACAGTCGATGTGCAACGCGCATTCGCGTGTTGGGCGGAGCGTAAGGGTATCGAATAAAACATGACGGTGCTGAAGGCTACAGGTAAAGCTACATCGGGGGCCAACGATACAATGTGTTATCTACAGGGATGATATGGTCCACAGCTCAAGAAAACATCCACAGCCGGCTGCGGGTCTTGAACTCCCTCATGTGCTGCTTGTGCGCGGTACTGGCTTTCGTCACGACGGGCTGCTGCTCCTGCGCAGCATCGGTCGCGGGAACGGACGGAACCGCACGCCTCTTGAACATCCTGCTGTTCGGCAAGGGGTGCTCACGCTTGCTGACGGATGCACTGAAGGGAAGGCCAAGTCAATGAAATGATTGGAGTCACGAATGGCGGAAATGACTCACCCGCTAGCGGTGGCATCACGCGCCGCAAGTGCGGCTATCCGAGACTGCACGACATGGAGGTTGGCTCGTCGTGCCGGGGAGGTCGTAGAGCTGGTTTGTACGTTGATGTTGTTGGATATCGTGGAGGCGGAACTGGCAGTGGAGGTCCCATTGATTCCATGGAGGATTATGGTTGCGCCTGCGCTGAAGGAGCTGGCGGAGGCGGAGGCGCTTGACTGGGAAGACGCGGTGGCCGATGATGCAGAGCTGACTCCGGTTGACGCCACAAAGGACGAGAATATCGAGGAAGGGGTGGAAGATGTGGAGGCGGAACCGGTGGACTGCGCCAAGGCTGATGAGACACCGGTAGGAGCGGTGGTCACTGTGACTAGCACAGTGCTGACTACCACCGAGGTGGAAACAGTCACTGAAACCGAGGCCGGTCCGCCGAAAGATGAGGAAGATTGAACGTTGCTACTGGAGCTGGACGAGCTTGGTGCTGCACTCGAAGATGGGGTGCTGCTCGCGGACAAGGTAGAGCTAACAACTGAGGACGACCCAGTCGAGTACGATCCGTAGTAAGAGGACTGCCGAGCAGTGGTAGACACAGAGGCTGCCCCGTCAAGGTTGGGAGTAGGGACGAAAGTCGAGTTTGCGCTGGGAGTGGGAAGACCTTGAGGGTACGAATCTTGGAAGATGTCGACCTGCGCGCCATCCTTGAAGTTGTACAGATCGGTGTAGAAGGGCGGAGCGTAGGTCCCTTCGAACATCTGAGGAGGACAGGATAATGGATAAGCGTCATGAATTAAACACGGATAATGCAGAGAAACTGACGTTGTTGCGCTCAGCCTGGAACCAGTAGAAGGGCTGCTTGGCGCCGTAGGTGCAGTTGCCTGGCGCAGCGTCGGGCTTACCATACTCGGGGTCGGCGCCGCAACGACGAGGTACTTGCGGCTTAGCGAGGGCAACATTGGAAGTGGAGCCGGTAACATTGCACTTGAAACCGTTCATGTAGTCTGCGCATAAGATCGTAAGTGAGCAAATCTAACTGAGATGGGGTACGGGACATACTCTGTTCTCCTCCGCTGTCGATCTGGAAAACAATCAAATTAGGATGTTTGCCGTAGGCAAGAGGTCGGACAGACGTACAGCATGGATCCAGAAGAACGCGCAGTGGCATCCGCCTGGCGGGCAAGCGGGCATCCGCTCCGGGACCTGGAAGTCCGTGAAGCGATTCCAGACGCAGGTATGGTTGACGCTGAACACTGTGAAATCTTCAGGCTGAATCTTGGACACGTCGCTCTCATACGCGATGGCCAGCGCACAGCCCTTGAGGTCGTCGAAGTTGCTTGCGTGCATCGCGGTCGTCGGGTCGAAGATGCCGCCGGGGCCAGGGCAAGGGTTGTCGCCAACGCGGACATCGCCTCCGGGAGACGAGGCGAAGAAGGAAGTCGCGCCCTTGTCGCACGCGAGCTCGGTTGTGGCGGGCTTGCCGGCGGGGAGCTCGAAGTAGTCGCCCTCGTTGGGTGGGAAGTCGAGGTGACCATGGAACCACCACTGGTCGAAGGTGTAGTCCGTGAGGGGGGCCACGGGGCGGTTATCGTAGTTGAAGGCCGGATGAGGGTTGGTGACGTTGAAGCCATACATGCTAGGGTGGAATAGGGCTATGTCCATATAGATAAGTATGTGAAACACCAGGAGAAGAAAGTATAATACTTGCCTATATGCGCTGATGCCAAGGGCAAGGCTGCTGCAAGTGAGAGGAGAGCGGGAATCATGACGATCGTCGGGTACGTCTAGGATTCTAATTGCGATGGCGGTTCGTAAAACGGCAAGTCGAGGAAGCTAAGAGTTTCGCGTATGAATGGCCCAGCCTTGGAAGGTCTAGAGAGTCGCAATCTGTGAGAGCCTGTCTCAGAGGGAAGAGCCGGGACGAGGGGGAGAGGAAATCGAGCAAGTCGATGAGAGGACATGGTGGGGGTCGCCGGGCGAGCTGATATACGTCGTCGCTTAAGGGAAGAATAAGTGGGCTAAAAACAGGCAGGTATTGTCCTGCTTGTCTACGTACAGGCGTGCCTGGCCTCGAGACAATAGCGGGGATTAAGCGCGAGAGAATGGATACAGCGAATTTGCAGCGAATGAACCGCCACAGACATGCTGGGGACATCTGGGTTTCCGGACACCGTGATACAGGTGTACTTCAGCTGTGTGCATGTTGTGTGTCGTCTGAAGGTTACAGCCCTTTGCAATGAAACGTGGAATCACTCACGCGAGATCATTTGTTTGTCCCGCACAAACAAAGCCTGAAAAGGCAGGCCGGCAACGTGCGGCGTGACGTCGCAGTCACGCAGCGGGCGTCGCCCACGCGAACGCAGACTAGCGCTGGCGAAGATCCAACGCAACAGAACGCAACAGGACGACTCGAGGGCGATTGTGGGTGCAGGCGAAGCCGAGAGGAGACGGATTGAGCCCACTATGCACGCGGATATGGCGAGGAAGTGAGCTGGATAGGCCAGACAAGTGGAGTAGTACCCACACAGCACGTGTACAAAAAGAGATTGTACTGGTGCCAAGATACGCGCACATACTACTGCGAGACAGAATACTATGCAGCCATGACACGTGGAAACCAGCAGGAGGGGTTCGGGAGAGCGTGTATATGAGTGGGCACTAGGTAGCAAGTCTGCCGACCAAGACAGGGAGAACTAAGAACGGCGGCGAGGGCGGTGGTTACAGGAACAGGAACGAAACAGAAAATGGACCAGATAATATCTGAAAACGCATGGGGACAGCTACGGGGGATGCTCACGAGAGAAGGAGGGCGTCATACCACGGGTGGTGGTGCTCAGGTGCACACGGTGTAAACCACGAAAGCCACGCCCGGAGGGCACCGCGGCGAGTTCGCGTGCGTCGCGCCTCGACAGGTAGGCCTCCGCGGTGATCCTGTTGCACTTACAAGCGGGTTGCGATAGGTTTGGGAGGCGGAACGGCTCACGGATGTCGGGGATGACTCTGCTGGCGCTAGCTTGATCACGGGCGCTGGTCTCATGCGTCTGCCGGTGACACGTGTGTATCACCACCTAAAGACATTCACCAAGAGTCAGAGGTGTGGTGAAGTATGGCATGAGCGCAAGTGGCAGATATCTGCCAGAGAGCGTGCGGGCCCCATCGTCCAGTCTCTGCCTGTGACTGAGATGTCACGCCGCACGTTGCCGGCCTGCCTTTTCAGGCTTTGTTTGTGCGGGACAAACAAATGATCTCGCGTGAGTGATTCCACGTTTCATTGCAAAGGGCTGTACTAGTCCGACCCCAGTGATGAGAAATGCCCCCAGTGTTGAGAAATCTGGTCTGGCGGTCTCGTCCCTCGTCCGATAATGTTGAAAATTCACACGCTGGTAGGAACATGTTCTCACTTTCGTTTTCAAAAAGAACGACGTCGTTCCGTGCAGAAACAAGCACGATCTTTCGCAAACATCTCTCAAATGAGAAAAGTCGAAGATTTGATACCCGTCGGCTACGATCCCATGACCAGCGCTTAGGTTGAAGCTGCGTGAGGGGTATTGGATGAAGCGTGGCTGCCCCAATTCGAATTCTCCGGCACGATATCTGTGGGAGGGAGGCGAAAACGCACTTTGGGTCAGTTCAAGCGTGACTTCGGCCACAGAACGTGAGTGAATTTCAGTCTCCGACGTTGTCGTTGGGGAGGATGCTGTCATCCCTGGACGTATCTGACAGCCTAGCCGAGCGGAGTTGATGTCGGCTGCGTGACCCGCACCGTGACTAAGCCTCGGCGAAATTTCTCAACTCTAGGGTCCGCGGCCGGGTCGTCCACTGGGGGCGCAATACGTACCAGTTTCCTTTGAAACTTTGCACACTGATTTCTTATGACACTGCCAATATGTGTACGAAATCCGAAGACTATCGCAACAGAGATGGTCGAGACTCTCATGGTTTGATCTTGCGGGCGCTCCCATTTCTCAACTCTGGGGTCATGCTAGTAGGAGTCGAACGTCGAGGGCACAGCAGGGAATAGACGCTGAACCCGACGGGCGTCTAATGGGCGTACAAAGCGATGCAAACATAACTTCGCTACGTAAGCGTTCTCCGGCGGTAGAGCGGACCGGCGCGGGCGGCAAGGGGCGGCACGAGCTTCCCGCACGGCAGACTGCGGAAGCGCCGTTTGGTTCCGCGCACCGGGCGCTTCCTCCTCTTCATTCACGCACGCACGGCCCGCAGGACGCAACCGCACGCTCAGAATTGCGCCCACCATCCGGCTAGCAGAAAACGGGAGAGGGGCACCACATCCGCAAACCCCGCGATAGAACCGCGCATCGGAAGTCTGTTCTAGAATGTACCAGCCCTATTCTCAGCGCGGAAGGCGGCACCATCCTCGGAGTCTTGCTCTGAGAGGGTCAACGTCCGGCTTCAGGTGCGCAGCAACGCGGAGCGGGCCTCCAGTATAAAACCAGGTCCTACCATCATCCCACAACTCACTCACTTCCCACTCGACCACTCAACAACTTACTTAACTTCACTTCATATCTCATCCAGTATTACTTGACCATGACTCAATACGTCACTCTCTCTTCACCCATTCTCGGCCTCGGCCTCACTCTGCATTCTAACTCCGTCGAAAAGCACTTCACATCCAGTGAGGAGAGTTTCAACAACCTATTTCTCGATGGACGGTCTGTCGACTCGTACTCCTCGGAGGACAATTTCGCTATTTCCTCCGACTTCCTACCCAGCTCAGGGGAAGAATCTGAGATCAGTGTCGAAGACCCCTTACCTTGGACAACGTAAGTAATTAATCCTTCTCTACAATCCCAAGTCACTAATTACACTGGTGATATAGCTCTGTTTTTCACTCCCAATCCCGGGAAACCTCGAGCTCAAGCTCGTCTCGCAGCCCACCCAAGATCCAAAATTCGGATTTGGAGTACTACAGCGATGCGGAAAATGTCCGCGAGTCTGACAGACCCTACCGCATCCGTGCCGTTCATCACTCGCGCAAGCACCACCCCGCCCACAGGCCCACTGAGGCGAAAAAGCGCCAATCATCTAACAACATCGACATCTTCGTTCTCAGCACTTCTACCGCCGCCGCCACCCCCGCACCGTCTCAACCGCCCTCCTCTAGCCGCCCTTTGTCTTCAATCCTATCCCCGCGCTCGCGGGCCACCGAGCGCTGGGTCCAAATGCTGCACTCGAACGATGAGCTTGATATCGTCGTAGAGGAGGACGAAGAAGACGCGGACGCAAACGCGTACGAGCCCGCGCTCCAACGCTCTACCTCGCACGTCTCCGACACCGGCCCCAACGGTGACCGCCAGTGCTCAGCGTGCGCGCACCAGCCGATCCACTACCTGCAGGAGCGGCTCCCCGCCCGCGTTGCGATACTACCCGCGACCACCGAGGCCGAGCTCGAGCATATCCGCCGCAACTTCGAGGAAACCGGCGAGGTGCCCGATCCGGAGACGTTCACCCGCCCCACGTTCATCACCGCGCACGGCTCCGTGCACGAGATCCCCCGCTCGCCTGCGCCTGCGCCCGCACTCGCACTCGCACCCGCACCCGCACCCTCTTGCGAAGTCGAGTCCAAGGCTGAACAGGGCAACCGCGACGTCCCCGAAGGCGACCGTCCCGACTCGCGCGGCGGGTACTCGGCCTCGGGCCCGCGCCTGAGCCCGGAGACCATCCACCTCGCGAGCCCCAACTTCCGCGAGCAACACGTCGCGCTCGGCCTGGGGTTGGGGCCCTTCCAGTTTCACCTCGACCCGACGCTCGACCCGTTCTTCGCGGGGGTTGCTGTCGCCGCCGCCGCCGCGAACGCGGTGCCCCCGTTCATGAACTCGCGCCGCCGGACGGACAGCTTCGAGTCGATCGACCTCGGGGAGGCCCCGCGCCGCACGTGGGTGCCGCCCACCCCTCACCTCCCCGCGTGGCCGTCGGTGGAGGTGTTCTCGCGGAGGCCCTTCCGTCAGTGATCCGCCGTAGAGTTCCATTTCGGATAGATGCGATATTAGATTCTACCTCCGCTCCAGTTCTCGCTTTTTACGGACAGTAACGGACATTGACTGTCGGTTCTATGTATTTATACGATATTTATAGCGTACATACACCTCACAAACTATCCACCGTCATCTAATGTACGAGTCGCACAACCAAGAATACACAACTTTGGTGCTCTACTAGTCGGCGGCGCAGACCAGGCGATCAAAAGGGATGCCAAAGACTGAATCCTTTTTGCTTCCTGTCCTGAGCGTCCACTCCAAATATGGTGAGCAGGGACTGCTTCGTATCTGCCTGAGAACTGTGCAGCTTGCTGCGATATACGTAAGTCTTGACAGCAGCACATCACATAAACATCTCAGCTCACCAGACCGGGCACCTTCCGGGAACGCTGACCGGAGTTTGGTCTGTCGGAGTCGAGGGCGCCTCAGACGTCGCGGTAGCCTGGGCCTGACGCGGCGTCGGAATCGCGGTCTGGTCGGGACTCGGAACCGGGACCTCGTCGTACGAACCCTCGAAGATGTCGTCTTGCGCGCCGTCTTTGAAGTTGTACAGATCGAGGTAGAACGGCGGCGCGTACGTGTCCTCGAACATCTATTCAAACCACGTTAGGAGAGATCCACCACCCTAGCCGGCCCTCGACACGCACGTTGTTGCGTTCCGCCTGGAACCAGTAGAACGGCTGCTTTGCACCGTAGGTACAGTTTCCCAAGTCCGCGTCCGGCTTGCCGTGCTCCGGGTCGGCGCCACAGCGCCGCGGAACCTGGGGCTTTGCGAGCGCCACTTCGGACGTTGCGCCGGTGACATTGCACTTGAACCCGGTCATGTAGTCTGTGAACGTGATGAACCACCGTATCGCTGGAAGCTCCGCAGCAGCACTACGCACTCTGTTCTCCCCCGCTCTTCTCCTAGGAGACATGAGAAGGCATAAGCCGCGCCCGAACCTCTGCCAGCGAAGCGCCACGCACCGAGTGGATCCAAAACCACGCGCAGTGGCACCCGCCCTCGGGGCACGGCGGCATGCGCGCGGGGACGCTGAAGTCCGTGAGCTGCGTCCAGACGCAGGTCTGGTTGATGCTGAAGACGGTGAAGTCCTCCGGCTGTATCTTGCTCACGTCGCTTTCGTACGCAATCGCGAGCGCGCAGCCCTTGAGGTCGTCGAACCCGAGCGTGTGCATCGCTCCGCTGGGGAATTCGTCGCCCGGGCAGGGGTTGCTGCCCTGGCGGATGTCGGTGTGCCCCTCGGACGAGTTCCAGTAGGAGGTGATTCCCTTGTTGCACGCGAGTTCGGTTGTGGCGGCACGCCCGGCAGGGAGCTCGAAGTAGTCGCCCTCATTCGGCGGGTAGTCGAGATGGCCGTGGAACCACCACTGGTCGAAGGTGTAGTCCACGAGGGGCGCGACGGGGCGGTTGTCGTACGGGAAGGTCTCCATGGTGACGTTGAAGCCGTACATGCTTGGGTGCCATATTGCTATCAAAGTTGTTAGTCTACAATGTACGAAATATTCACGCTGGTGAGACATACATATATGGGCCGAGACGCCGATGGAAGCCGCTGCTAACGAGAGAAGCGAAGTGAAAAGCATCAGCCCAGATGTTGGAGATGGAGGAAATCTGAAAGGAGTGTCAGTCTTTACTTTCCCTTCCCCTCAGTCTGCCACTGCCCAGACGCAGCCATTGTTCGGCGAGGGAAGGGCGTGGCGACAGTCACGATTGTCAACAGGCGCCATCTTATCGCCGACGGCCGTGCATTGTTCTCAGAGGCATAGGCTACTGCATACGAACGTCGCGTGGTCGCCCGCTCTAGAGCCAGGTGCAACTAACCTCAGGTGGAAAGCGGATGCGGGGATGGTGGTTGGCAGCAAGAGACAACCGACCGCAGCAGTAATCTGTCCTGGCATGACGTAGCAACGGGCGCTACTACATTCATTGAGTTTGACGGAAGTGTGGTAGTACAACCTGCAGCTGGAACATGGCGGGTGGTTCTGCTCCTGTGGGCGTCGGAGGGGCGAAAGACGCAGCGAAGGCCACGTTGTAGCAAGAGGAAAGGCGTACAGTTTGGTGCCATCGTTGGATGATCGACCCCGGGCGCGCGCGCGGCCAGCGCTAGATCGCGGTGCACACCTTGCGTCTCCCCCACTCCGAGTCCCTAGGGCCCACCGACGACTATGATCCCGAAACACACCAACCCCTTCTCACTCACGAGTGAGACCGCGCTTGTTTCCCGTTCTGCATTGAACGAATCCGACGAAGAACCAGAAATCGAGCACGAAGACCCCGAGCACGCGCAATTGCTCGCACGGCTGGAGAACATACTCAAGCGAACGATTGACAACGTCTTGCTCCCTGCACCCCGCTCTACGGAGACGGAAGAACCTTCCAAGAAGAAAAGGCGGAGAAAGGGCGGAGACGGGGATGTCCATGGCGCGACGAACGGGGTACCTGAGGATAAAGAGGACTCGTTTGCAGCCGTTGGTGTGTGTGCTTTGCTTTGCATGTCCTCTTAGGCCCCGTCGCGAATCGCTGCCCCAGAATTCCGTCTGATTTCTGGAAGCTCCCGACCAAGGACCGTGATCCTTGCACCGAAACCTCCGCCGGTCTACATGTGCGTCCGCACTCCGCCCTCACTTTGCACGATCGCTGACCCTTCCTCGGCTACGCAGTTCGCTGGCCCCTCCGGTAGAGGAGACTGCAGAAGAGGCCGAGCTCCGTGCATCCCGAGCGAGGGAAGTCGCCGTTGACTTTGAATGGGTCCAGAGAGAATCCAAAAACGTCACCCGTGTACGTCCCGTCCCTCTTTGCACCAGGCGCGAATATACTCATTCCAAGACACCCAGCCACCTCCACCTGGCGCAAAGAAACCGTTGCGTGCCGCCGCGAAGCTTCCCGAACTTCACCCCACGTTACTTGTCCTGGAACGACCCAAACCCCCTCGAACACCTCACATTCAGCTGGTGAACCCCGCGGACGAAATTGATCCCTCTCCACACGCGCACCAGACCGTTTGTTGTCCGGTAGTCGCTACCCAGCCCAGTCAATCAGACGCGACGGGAAAGAGGAGACGGCGCCGAGGCAAGGCGAAGGAACGACCACGCATACAACCAGCATTCTGGAGACCACCGCCGGGAGTGGGCGGGAAAGCTTTGGGGTACGCGTGGGGTTATGCGGGCAGCAATCCTTTGCAGGAAGGAGACGTCCCTCGATACGAGCGAGACGCCATGAGGAAAGCGGAACTTGCGTAGTCGGTTGCGGTGAGAATGAGGGGATTTCGATGCGGGGATGGCATTTGAACACTCGTCAGGCGTACTGTCTCGCTCCTCATCCTCCCGTACGTGTACAACATGAATATCCTTCCCCCACGCCGCGGAGTGCGTCACAAACTCGTGTCCTCGAAGTCGACGGTGCCCTTCGCGATCTGCTTCCCCTTGTCCCGGTCCCGGTGCTCGCGCATCTTCTGCTCCCAGCTGTCCTCTCCTCCAGGGGGCCCGCCCTTGAAGCCGAAGGGACCCATTTCTGCACTGGCGTCGAGCGCCATCTCGAGCAGCTCGAGCACATAGCCGTTGATGGGTTCGATACTCAGAGCCTATAGGAGGGAGGGTTAAGAAGACAATAAGGCCGAAAGAGAGGAACCTACTTCGTGGTATTTGACGATCGCAAGCTCAATCTCGCCCAAGAGGTGGTAGGTAACTCCCATGAAGGAGAGGGCGGTGACATTCCGGTAGTCGATGTCGAGCACCTGCTGATAAATCTCCTTGGCCTCTTCGAGTCGACTTCAACCCTGGCGTAAGTATCACGCTCATTGGCGGAAGCAAGGGTAGACGCGTACCCGAGCTTTCGTAGGGCCGTGCCCTTGTTAAGGTATGTTGGTATCCATGACTTCTGAGACGCTTTCACGATCTTGGCGAGCTCTATTGCCTCAGTAAAGAGCTCCACGGCCACCTTATACCTGGAGGTGTAAATAAGGATCAAGGAAGATACAATCTGGAGAGGAGGACGTACTGTTCGTTAGAGAAGGCCATCACACCCCGCTCATTGTACAGCAGTGGGTCGCCGTCGCACATGTTTTGAGCCGCATCGAACGCCTCCACTGCTTGCTGCTTGTTTGACAAAATGATGTGCTCCATCCCGACGAACATGAGCGGGAGGTGGGAGCCAGTGTATAGTCGTGCGCATGTTGAGTACGCGGTCACAGCATGCTCGTGCTCGCCTTCGAGCGAGAAGGCGTGCGCGAATGCCACCCATGCAGGGGCAAATCGTGGGTCCATGAGGGAAGTTTTACTGTTGGGTATATGGCTTAGCTGCGGTAATCTGAGGGACTTGGATGACGTACCTGAAGTACGTTCGGGCTTCTTGGTACTTTTGCACGCACATATACCAGATGCCGACGGCATACCAGCTGATCGCGTTTTCTGGCTCTTTATCTACCAGTTCGTGGGCAAGCAGGAAAAGCTGAGAGTTGAGATGTGTTAAGTGATACATGCACGCAACGTGCAAAGGCATCGCGTTCTTATGAACGCTTGTGAGCCCCAAAATTCTACGATAACTAGTTCAGCATACTCATCCGAAGACTATTACAATCATCTTACCTTGACGTGATGGTATAGCAGTCTGCCCAGCGAAGTTGTGTGTAGAGCGCGTCGGCGAAGCTATAGAGCACGTCTGGATTGTCTCCTAGACCGTACTCGTCCACTAGTCGCTTGCGAACAAGTGCATGCTCTTGTGCATGCTTGTACTTGCGTAGTTGTGATACGTACATCAACCGCACAAACTCTCCGTCGGATGGTGCTTGCTCTTTGTAGGACAGCGACTGCACGAACTCCCACTCTATAGACTACGGCTTGAATAGCGATGCCCGGAAGAGTCTGACTGACCGCACCTTCTTCTGGAGTCATCATCTCGCCGTTGACAAGGTGCTCAAACGCTTCATAGCATTTGACATCCAACGCTAGTGCCTCCATAAAACAAGCTTTGGCTTGGTCGCCTCGGTTGAGCTTCAACATGAGCAGCCCACGCAAGTTGCACATGGATGCCTCAATCTACCCCACACATCGCACCTCAGCAGACGCTTCACCGGACAACGCGCATACACTACTCACCTTCACCCCTCCATCCATGTTCGGCACCTCCGGCCCTCCCCGCTCGACCCCCGTCCGGAACGGGTTCGACTCCCCCAGCATCTCCAGCGCGTCGCTCCACTTGCCCTGCCGCATCTGGCACTGCGCGGCGAGGTACCTGCACGCCACGCTCATGTCCACCAGGCGCGACACCCCGTCCTCAAACTGGACGGCGACGTCGACCATCTCCCCGGGCCCGACGGGCAGTCGCTGGGTGCGGCTCGGGTGCGCGGCGGCGGGGCCCAACCCGGGGAGCGGCGGCGGCGGCATCTCGCGGCCCTTGCCCTTCGCGCTCGCCGGGGGCGCGAACGACGGCGGCAGCGGTTGCGCGGCGAGCGGGCCCGTGCGCGGCGGGGTGGTGGGGAACGGGCGGGTGAGCAGCCGCTCGGCGCGCGAGTACTCGTGCTTGAGGAAGAACGTCTGCGCGAGCCAGAACGCGTCGTTCGGGTCGTCTGCGGGCGGTGCTCAGGGGACGCGAGCGGGGAGGGAGGGAGAGTGCGGCTCACTGGTCCAGGTGACGATCTTGTCGCCCCAGAAGGCGGCGGAGTCGTACAGGTGCTGCATGAGCGCGTCGTGCCGCCAGAGCCGCATGCGTTCGACGATGCCCCACTTGTTGGTGTCCTCTTCTTCGTCGTCTGCGTCGTCCTGGAATACATCTGTGGTGTCGATGGCGAGCGGGTGCCGGAGGCTCGCTGTGGTTTTCGTCTTTCGCTGTATGCGGGGAGAACCTTTGACGGGGGAGGTCTGTAGGATCGATCGGCTGGGATCCAGGTATGACTTCTGGTTGGATGCCCCGCTAGCATTCGCATCTGCCAATGAATCCAAGAGAGGCCGGGGTCCAAAAGAGAAAGAGGTGTTGAGCGAGTGGCGAGGACGAGAGCTGGATGGAGAAGATGCTCTCGGCATATTAAATCCTGTCGATGGAGTTGTGGCCATCTCTTTCAAGTAACTGGCCGGTTGATGACGGAGATGCTGGTGTCGGAGGGGGAGGGAGGAACACTCGCGCGCAAGTGGCAGCGCGGCGCACGCGTCGCGCGACTTCCAGACCACGTGCCTCGCGCAAAGCCGGGCGCTTGCTGCACACCTCCCGCAAAATCCAAATTTTGTTGCTGCAGTACCACATCCCTCCATAGCCTGCTCGTCCTCCCACAACACCCTTAGCTTCTTCCACCATGGCGAAGGCTACGACGAAGTCTGAGAAAGCTGCAAAACTCTCCAAGAAACCTTCCAAACCCGATCTGAAGGACGAGGCAAAAGTAAAACCGGCGAAACCGTCCAAGGCTGCGGCCGACCCCTCTGCGTCCAAATCCAAGAAGGAGCTCAAGAGCAAAAGCGCGGCGAAGGACGTCGAGGCACAACCGGAGCCTGAGCACGACAAACCAGCTGTTTCCCCAAAAAAGAAGGCCTCCAAGAAGGGCGAAAGCGCGAGGGAAAAGGAGGCCGAGCCCTCCAGGAGTGAAGTAGGAGTGGAAGGAAAGACGGTGAGCGGGACCAAGTCCCCCGGGGCTGCGATCGGCGAGAATGCGAAGGAGAAGAGGAAGCGGAAGGCATCCGTGGTCGAGGCAGTCCCAGTCAACTCGAAGAAGACACGCAAGGACAAGGACGTAGAGCCTGTCGAGGAGTCTACGGACGAGCCGATGAAGCCCACGAAGAAATCCAAGTCTTCGGTGCCGGCGGTGAAAAGCTCGACTCCATCACCCTCCAAGGAGTCGAAAAAGACACGGACGAAGGGTCAAAAGTCCGAACCCGAGCCTGCAGAGGTGGAAGCTGAAGAGGATGTGCAAGCGGAGGACGAGGACGAGCAACAAGTCTTCGGGTTTTCTTCCGATGACGACGACTCGTCAGACGAAGAGGTCGCCGACGACATCCCTGGTATCGACATCGGCAAGCTACCTACCATCGCGAAGGATGACGAAACCGTCAAGCGCAAACTCGAGAAGGCGAAGCGGAAACGGGTATGTTTTTTCCAGCTAATTGAGAGCATCGCTCGCTCACATGCAAATTATGCAGAACCAAGACGTTGGTGTTATCTACCTAGGCCGGATACCGCATGGTTTCTACGAGGACCAGATGCGCGCATATTTCTTGCAGTTCGGGGATATTACCCGCCTACGAGTCTCTCGCAACAAGAAGGCGAGTGGATCCCAATATAACTGTCACTCACGCTGACCCTCTCTCCCATAGACGGGCAAACCAAAGCACTACGCGTTCATCGAGTTCGACTCGTCTTCAGTAGCACAGATCGTCGCCGAGACGATGGACAACTACCTCCTCATGGGTCACATCCTTACGTGCAAGGTCATCCCAAAGGATCAAGTCCATCCCGAGCTATGGGTCGGCGCGAACAGGAAGTGGCGAGCAGTTCCGCGCAGCAGGGTCGCAAGGGTAGAGCAGAACAGAGTGAGTTGAGCCGTACTTGGTGATAGGACGTGTGGCTCACCATTGTATACAGCCGCGGACCGAACAGGAGATCGCGCAGGCAGAAAAGAGGCTGCTCAAGCGTCAGGACCAAAGAAAACGCAAGCTGGAGGAGGCGGGTATCGACTACGACTTTAGCGCCGTTGCATATGTGAGTTCACCGTAGTACGCCGCTGCGCAAAGTTCTCACTTTTCCCCAGAAGAAGCCGAAGGCGGTGGAAGTATAGCGCTGTGGGAACACTATCACATTGGCCATCTCCGACGAAGTCTCCCTGCATGTATAAGCTTCGGTCTATTTCGCGATCCATGCGATTCTCTGGCTGAATTGCATGCTCATGGATCAGCTTCCGTGCAACAAACTTACATCCTCGGCACGCATAATTGTCCCTCTTGAAGATAGGCCGCCGCTCCCCAGCGTCCACGGCAGTTCGTTCACGCGCACACGCATGTGCCCAAGATGTGCACGAACCCTGCACGCTCTGTCATGTCGTGCGTGCCTCTGTCTGAATGTTCATGTTCCGCGGTCCCTCCGCGCTTCTCGGCCATCTTCTCTGTCCCTATCCGTCCAGACGGCCTGCGATGCCCCTCAGGAAGCTCCGCGAGCAGAGACACCAGCCGGGTGCCGTCCCACGCAGCGCCTTGCGGCGCGAACATGTGAACCGAGTCCTGTCCGCCATTTGAACGTCCTACGCCCGCCGGCACGCCGCCGTACATTCGGCGACAGCATGCCAGGCTTCGGTGCGCCGATGTCAAGATCTGTGAACGTGAGGGTGCCGCTGTCTTCCGTCCGCGAGGCGGCGGCCGCGCGGGGCGGTGTCCAGGCGCATTCCGCCACCTCGCTTGGTACGTTTGGCAGGCGAACGTTCGTACGCCATGGGGCGAGGACGGTACCTACACACCCTAAGCCACAGTGGCCTCTTCCAAAAGGGAGCGCAATTTCCGCGCTCCGTGGCAAGGCAGGGCGCGTCCAAATTGGAGCAACCGAAGTCCAAAGTGAGGTGCGCGCCTGCGAGGGTCAAAAGTGAGACATGGTGTCACGCACAATGCTGCCTTGTCCCCGAGATCTGAGAGGCCACCGACTAGCAGCACCCTCGCATGGCAGCCTCGAAGGAGCTTACAGCAGATTGCAAAAGGGATGAGAAAACGGGAAAGAGAGTATATACTCGTCGGGCGGCCAAAGTTCCGGCCCAATCTTCCGACGTATCTTCCGACACGTCTTCCGACGCATCATCGTCCGATCTGTAAGCGCCAACTGCCATATCCGGCAGGTGATTCACATCCCTTCTCCGGGCGCCTCCAGCCACGAGCCACCTCCGAGTCCCACATCTGCCACAGTTCGTTGAATGGATGGCGACCTCTTCAATAGCATTTTGATAGATATCCGTTTCGGCCTCCGAAGCCGCCGCACCCAGCACAAAGCAAGAAGAAACTCACAGTCCACCTCCTCCAACAGCTCCTCGACCGCCCTCCGCCCTCAACATTCAGTCTCACGACAAGGGAGCGCCCCCGGCCGCGCGGCGACGTGCAGCACATGCATCGCACGCTTCCACATGTCGCCATCCAGCCCCCGCGAGTAGGAGCTCGAGCGTGCCCCCCGCAGGTGGTAGCGGGTGTGGCGCCTTCGAGTGTAGGGTTGGATGCGCGAGCGACGCTCAGTCGATCCGTGGCAAGTGGGGTCTTCGGCGTGCGAGAATTATGCGGGGCTGCATCGCGTGTGCGACGCGAGGGTATCCATAGAGCGCGGTTGTCGTCCCCTGGGTCTTCAGAGGAGGAAGAGACAGAGAGATCACGTGAATCACCTGCCGGATATGGCAGTTGGCGCTTACAGATCGGACGATGATGCGTCGGAAGACGTGTCGGAAGATACGTCGGAAGATTGGGCCGGAACTTTGGCCGCCCGACGAGTATATACTCTCTTTCCCGTTTTCTCATCCCTTTTGCAATCTGCTGTAATCCATGTACTCATTTCAAACAGGTGGGAGCCGCTACAACGTGGACAGATAATCATACACCGACATTAAGGCACCGCCCCTTCCCGTCTGCTCGATGACCCCCCGCACGACGTCGTGACTAGAAGACTTAACGGTTCAAAGCTTGGACCGACCCTTCGCGCCAGGCCTCCTCGACCCCCTCCCCTTCGAACTCTGGCGGCCCGAGCTCGACACCTGCTCGTCGCTCTGGTCCGCGGCCTGCTGCCCGCGCTCGTGCGCGACCAGCTGCGGGTTCTCCTCCTGCTCGCCGCGGACCGAGGGAAGGGCGTCGCCCGGCTCGGACGGCTCCGCGAAGGCGGACGGGGCGGGGACGCGCTCCGCCTTCTGCGTCGGGTTGTACGGCATGGAGGCGTGTGTGGGTCGGGTGAGCGTCGTGGGTTGCAGCGTCTCGGGGGCTGGGGGCTGGGGGGGGGCGAGGACTAGAGTCGTCAGCTAGTCTAGAACATATGTCAGCGTGACGGGGGAGAAGGGGAGCCTGGACACTCACTAGCGAGGACTGGCGCGTGTCGTGTGCGTGTGTGCGATGGCAGGTGTGCGTTGAGGTTGAACGTGGAATCCCTAGACGAGCTCGCGTGCGCACTGTGTTTAAGACCGCCGCCGCCGTGCCCCTCGGCCGCACGCGGAAGGGCGGGGCAGTCGAGCGATGACGGCGCGCGCGCATCATGGGGGGCGGCGATCGTGGGCGGTGCGTCAAAGCCTCTGGTGCGTACTACATGGATATATCAATGCATCTGCGTACTGTATACGACGTCCGTGGCCGAACGCATGCAGCACGGACCGACTGACGCAGGCGATTGAGCTTGTCGTAGGCGGACAACGTAGTCTGTACATGCATACTTGGCTGCATAACGCGGGGCGCTCGGCTGCATGACGTCCCGGTCACATAAGACACCGAGCACGGCTTGGCTCCAGCTGGATCCCCGATCAACATATTTCCGGCTGCTGGGCCAAGACGATCGGGGATCTCGCTCGCTCGTCCGAGAGAGAGATGTCATCGCGAGTGGGTCCATCAGCCCCTTACCGCGCAGACGCGATGGGCACGTCTCGCGCTGGTTCCCGACCGCGGTTAGCGACCGCTAACAAGCTTCGATACGTAAGCGCGGACCTGGTGTACTTGCGGCGATGGACGGGGGCGTCGAGTCCGACGGCGCAAAGAACGTGCGTGCACCGCCGTGGGGAGCTCGGAGGCCAGTGAGCTCCGGTCGCCACTAGGCCGTGGCTAGGCCAGAGAGGGCCAAATGGAGTGTGTGGACCTCAAACTCGAAGATTCGAACTTCGATGACGTAGGCTTGCTGCGGGCCCTCATTCGGCGCACAACGTAGGAAGAGGTCTGAGAGACAACCTGGATGCTGGCCCTGTCGCATTCTGCGCTAGATTTTTCGAGCAACAGTAGCATTACACTGGATAGCAAGTACGTACATGCAGATCATCGCGGGTAAGATATGTATATAACGAGCGTACGGAGTATCAGACAGCGACCGGTGCGAGAGAGGAAAAAGCGTGGTGAGAGAGGATAGATAATATCATGCAAGTGAGGGGTAACATGTAGTCATCGCGTCAGGCTCAGACGGTCGCCTTCTTCGGCCGCTCCTCGATGAAGCCCTCCTGGTTCTCGCCCGAGAGCTCCTCGAGCGACAGGCCCTTCGTCTCCTTGATGAGCAGCGTCGAGAAGATGCCGGTGAACATCCAGAACGCGAAGATCTGGAGCAGGTGGTTGATGAACTTGCTCGGACCGCCGATGTTGATGAGTTTGCCGAAACCGACCTGGGCGACGATCGCACCAAGCTTGCCTGAGGCGGCAGAGATACCGTGCGCGGTGGACCGGTAGCGCGTCGGGAACGCCTCACCGGGGACGATGAACGTGGTGGTATTAGCGCCGAAGTTCTGGAAGAAGTTGGTGAGGCAGTAGAGGAAGACGAAGGCGTTCTTCGAGCTCTGAGTCTCAATGAGCTTGTCGTAGCCGAAGCCTAAGCGCTCAGGTAAGCGCGCGCTATCTTAGACGCCAGCCAGATTAAACACATACCCATGATGATGAAGAGGATGGTGAGCATGGTGAAGCCCATAAGCTGGATAGGCTTGCGTCCCCAGCGGTCAATGAGGAGGAAGGTGGCCCAGTAACCGGGGATGAGACCGGCAACGGAAAGGATCATGTTACCGATGGTGATGTTCTTCAGGTTCGTGTACGCCTTGAGGCCACCGGTGAGGTTCGAAGCAGGGGAACCGAACCCGATGGCGGTCAGGATGACGGAGGAGTTGAGACCGAGGCCGTAGAAGGCGATGTCGAGGGCGAACCAGGAGTAGGACGTGCCGATGAGGAGCCGGAGGTTCTCCCACTTGGAGAAGTAGGCGACGAAGTCGCGACGGGACGCCTTGGGGGCCTGGGCGCGCTCGATGACGGCGTCAGGGTCGACGTAGTACGAGCCGGTAGTGAGGAAGTTCTCGACATCCTGGGTGGCCTGCTTCACGTTGCGCTCGACATCCATGGTGAAACGGGGGGTCTCGGGGATGGTGAGACGGAAGTAGAGGGCGATCGCACCGGGAACGCAACCAAGACCGATGAGGAGACGCCACATGAAGTCGATGTGCTCGAGGTGGTTGGGGTCATCGTTAAGGACGGGCGTCTTGTAGGCCTGAACAACGATGAAGCCGACAAGCGCCGCGGCTGGGAGCGGTCTTGTCAGAAACAGCACAGATTGGACGCAACAAAACTAAGGCTCACTGAACTGGCCCCAGCCCTGGTTTGCAAAGACCGCAGTCATCATGCGACCACGAATGTGGGTGGATGCGAACTCGGAAGAAATGACGGCGGAAAGAGGGTAGTCACCACCGATGCCGATGCCCATAATGAACCGCCAGACGACGAGGACACCGATGATACCGACGGCGGGACCCTGGCCGGAAAGAGCCTGACCGAAAGTAGCGATGATGATGAGCATGAGCTCAACACCGTCTGTCAAAGCATATTAGCGCCGGGGGCAATCGGTGCAAGGAAGGAGACGTACACATGCGCTTGCGACCGACAACGTCGGCGAGCCAACCAAAGAGAAGCTGACCGACCAAGGTGCCGACGGGGGTGGCAACCTTGACACCAAGGTCCTGGTTGGTGTTGAGCTTGCCTCCGGCACCGTAGACGTAGCCAAGCATGGTGGAGGCGATGTTGATCGCGAAGATGTCGTAGGCGTCGGTGAAGAAGCCGACGCCGGCGACCATGACCACCTTCACGTGGAACCAGCTGAGGGAGGTCGTGTGAGCAGAGGAGATCGGGGGGCTTGGGATGCTTGGAGAGGTACGCACGAGAACTTGGCGGAGTCAATCTCGGCAAGGGCAGCGCGACGCTTCTCGTCGAGAGCGTACGCGTTGGAGCGTGCAACGGGGGCATCAGCAGAGCTGGTGGAAGCCTTGTCAGCCGCGTAGGAAGCCATCTCGTCCGTCGGTCGAGGCGGGTGCTCGGAGGGGGAAGGAGCTTGGGGAAGAGGCTGGGCGGGCTTGGGAGGGCGGGCGTCGCTTTTAAGCAGGCGGTCATCTCATCGGCTGAAGACGCTCCGAGGGCGATCAAATCTTCGCAGCTCGCGCTGGCCCATGTCGCGTTCCGGCCGTCGTTTTCCCTGGGCGAGAGGACGAGTGCCTTGCACGTTCGTGCCAGTCCGCGGCCAATCACCGTCCGCCGTCCGCCTGCCTCATCCGGAAGGCGGGGACGCCCGCGCACGTTCTCACGCTGGTCCACTGCGCTCTTGGCCTGCCCCGGCCGTGTCGCCGGCCGCGCGCGACGGCCCCGACGTCTCCTTGGCACATTCGTCCCACCGCCGCCTTGCCACCTCGAGCGGGCGGTCTCATCAACCCATCCATCTTTTCCCGTTCTCCCGACGAATGTGCATCCCGCGCCATGTGGCCGACGCGTCCATCGGCGGTGGACTGCATCGCCCTCTCTGCAACTCTGTCTGAGAGCGTTCTCCACACGCGCCGCAGATAGTGCGCGCGAACCCCACCGCTCCATGTGTTCCAACCTCTTCTCTGTCTGTGCCTCGCCGCCAGCCGGGCCCGGAGCCCTCAGGCGCTCCGAATCTGAAGAGCTAGGACTTGCCAAGCGCCCATGCTTGGCCGCCCAGACGGTGCTGTCGGCATCCTCCGTCCTATTTTTGCCCATGCTGGGCTTGTGCTGGGCAATACAGGTACGTGCTGGGCACATATCGCCCAGCCCAAGATGTCTCCAAACCACCGGACAACCCTTCTCCCCTCTCGGACTCTGCTGCTGAAACTTGTCTGCAAACCCGCGCACTTGCCGCCACCTCAAACTCGCTGCGCACCCCTGGAATTGTCTCGCTATGCTCAACACAGCTGCCATTGCCAAGGGCACACCGATCCCGACCGTCCGTGAGCCCGTACACAGAGAATCGCGGATAGGGCTAGCCCGCTCGATCGAGACCTACGCGGGGCGACCCTAGCTTCCCGACCCTTGCTGTCTCCGACCCTTGCTGTCTGGTGGTTGGGCCGGGCGCCCCGCAGCACTATGTATGTCCATACACCGCAACACTCGCCCCGACCAAAAACTTCCTGCCCTCCGCCACCACAAATTGGTCTCGCGACTAGTGACTCCGGCGCGCGGCCCGTTCCGCCGCAGTTCGCCGTCCGGCCTGCTGTCAACGTGCTCACGCTCATGGAAGACCTCCCATCTCAGGCACCCGCCCTGCTCGCTTGCGAAGAACGTCGTCTGATGCGCACTCGTCTTCCGAGGCGAGTGGCAGTGACTCCCAAGGCACCTCTCGAGGCCCAAAGCGACTCTGCGCTTTCGTACTACGCGGCACATCCCACGAGCGTGCGCAATCAAACACGGCACGACCGGAGCCGCGAGAAGCCCAAGACTACAGTTCTACATGAATCTTTGCTCCTCTTCTTCTCCACCGATGTCTTGCCTCGCGGCCTCGTGCGTCCGTCACTTTACATCGCCTTGACACTTCTTTAGTCTCACACAGCCTCCACCACCTTCCACTCCACTCGTTCCGCCGGGCTGTGCGACACGATTCTGAACTTTGTCTTCTAGCGCTCCGAGGAGCTTGTGCACGTGCGAGGACACCGTCGCCGCTGGCACGACAACAAGTTACCCAAAGAGACTCTTCGAAGCGTGGTGCAGAGCCTCCAGCCGCCACTAGTGCTGCTCAGAGCATCTTGGGCACACCTAGAAGTCGACGTGGGACGCGCAGGCAGTGTTTCTTCCTGGCGACGCGCTGCCTCCTGTTGTACAAGGTACGTCGCGACTCGCGCAGCATCGACATTCTAATGCCTTCTCCACACATGCTTTGCGCTCGCCAGTGCTGTCCGGGAGGTATTGGCATTCAATCGTGCTTCTTCGTTCTGTCCGACCCCTCTATGAGCCATCTAGAGCCTCCCTTCTCGACTATACCCCGCTTTCGCTCGGCCCGCCGCCCGCGTCCAGAGGCCATAAACATACACTTTCTCAGCCTCACCAGTGCGCGCGCAGCACCACGAACGTCGTGCCCTCGAGATCCGTTAAATGAGGCCGCGCTGACTTGCTCTATAACAGTGATAGAACAGCTAGCGGACGTCTATGTTTCCCAGGGTTCAGCGCCGCAGCCGTCGCTGTCGCCGTTGCAATACAGCCCCATAGGTCTTTTCGGCCGAATGCCTCGGCTGCCACTTCCCAGCTCTTGCCTTCCAGGATCGTAGACAGAGAGTGCCGAGCTCAAGCTCGGCTGGTGCGTGCGACAGGATCATAAACCACTCCGACCGCCCGCAGCCGCGTCGATCGTCGCCCTCATTGCCCTCGCCGCATTCAAGTCGGCTTCACCTGGCCCCTCCTCATCGGGCCCGGCGTCGTCCCCAGGGCCGTCGCGCCCTGCTTCCGGCTCCCGATCCCCGAGACCCGGCGTTATGGCACGAGGGACATCGAGCGCAACGTCGGGCTCCCCTTCCCTCACCTCTCGCCACATGGTGTGCACGCTGGGACGCGCGCTCTTTTGGGACAGGCCTGGTGGTACCGCCGCGCGGACGACGGCGGGCAGGTTCTTCGCGCTCGCGCACCTGCTCTAGGACCACGACGACGTTCATTGTCCCCGGCAGCGCGTTCTCCACGCGCGACCGCGCACAGACTCTCCGCCGGGAGCGGCGAAGCTCGGCGTCCACCGCGGGCGGGGCGCGCACCGTTCCCGGGGTGAGCACTGAGATCCTCGCGGGTGTAGTGCTCACGGGCGCGGTCGCGACGTTGTTCATTCACGAGACGACGCCTGAGGAGCCCCCAGCGAGTACCAGTTTGTTTTCACTCTTTATCGATGGTGACTTGTCGCATCGCGCTCCGTGTGATGTATCTCCGCAGTCTAGTGCTAGTACTATAAGGCCCGAGGCGTAGGGCAAATGACAGGTGCATTCGTCGGGTTGTCATGCACTCTACCGTTTCCGGAAATCCGTGCGCAAGACGCCGCGGCGAAAGCACATGCCTCCTCTGATGGCAGCAAATGCCAAATGGCCGTGGGCGGTGAGTTGCGTTCCGTCAGCGTAACGTAAGTACATATGCGGCTAGCGGGCGCACCAGGGATACGCGCGTACGCGCTGTCTAATCACCTGCAGCAGGGCGGGGTTCCGAGGGGTCCCGAGGGCGCACGGCCCTGAACCGGACGCGACGGGGACTTGGATGGGTCCGGGAGCGGCGCGCGCGGACGCACAGGTTGCAAGTGCGTGATGGGTACACGAGAACGTGGTGGCGTCTGTCGGGACGCAACGCGCGTAGGGAAGACGGGGCTCAATGCTCGGGGCCCGAGGGACGCATCGTTGATGCGCACTGGCCAGAGGCAGCGCGTATTCCGCGGCGGCGGGTGGCCCACGGACGGGTTTGAGGCCTTGAGGCCTGGGCGCGGGATCGATGTTGCCTGTGGACGCGCGACGTGGGACGGATAGATAGACGAGACGGCGCGCGCGGCAAGTCCGAAGCTCGAACGGAAGGATGAAAGTAGATGCATGGAAGCGAGGGCATTAGGGTTCGGGCTGCACAGAGATGTGCGCGAGCCTCGCAAGGCCTCGCAAGGCAGGCGCGGGGAGTTTGGAATGAGCGCCGCGGGGAGTCTGGTCGGCGAGGTCATACGCATCGCCTCGGGGACCCGAGGGCAGGTGGCGGGGCGAGTATACGGATTGTGGACGGCACGGTCGACGTTGGCAAGATCATCCGCGGGGCCGCCTGGCCCTGAGCCTGTAGGTCGCGCGCGGGACGTCGGCAGCGTTCTTCTGCCGTGACCAGGGCAGAATCATGACATTGGTTACCGAGCCCCCGCTGTGTTCGGCGAACCAGGTATACTTCTTGACCTCGGCCGTCGAGCTTGGGTAGCATGAGGACGGGTCACGGAGATGAGGGATCGCGAAGCCTTGCACCGCCGGCCGTGGCTCATTCAGTACGAGGACGGGACGCCGCGGGCCTCCTGATGTCAGTGAACAAGAGTAGGTTTGAGGGTGAGTGGCTGAGGATGGTAGAAGTCGCTACATATACCGCACTGATAATGTTCTGGCGTTCAAAGATTTGGGCGATGGTTCTGAGAGAACATGAACGACGACCTCGTGCGAACGACTTCCTCTCATGGTCCGCCGAAGACGTCGCGCGACCAGGGTCCCGCGATGGACACTTTCGTGTGCGCCCACGCCCGCATCGCGTCTTGCTTCGTATTTGAAGAGACAGAGCTGAGTTTGTGCGGAGGAAGTACATCGTCGTCACGGCACGTTTGCGGACTCACCAGTCAGCGGGAACAAATAGGTGATGGACCGTACCACAATGTTCTGATAACAGCTGGGCGTTCACCGTCGTCCGAGAGATGCTTTAGAACCCTGCCACATCAGCGGCGCGCCCCGCGAAAGATGTTGCTCGTGAACGCCACCCCGTAGTTCAGGGAACGGCAAAGGAAGAGATGGAATTAATTGCAAGAAGGCGGTCAGCACCCTGGACAACAGGCTGCGCTGAAGAGGTGTTTTTTGCGTAATCGGTGTCGCGAGCCGGCGGGCCCCGACGGTAGAGACCTGCGGACGCATTCAAACCTTCGTGGACAAGCAATCTGGGGTGTGCTGATCAGCCTCCAAAGGGTGGGGAGACCGCACTGCGGCGGGGTGGACAAGTGGCGGAGTGGACAGAGCCTCGAGGCTCGCTGGCGTCTGATGTCCCCGCGGGCACCGACGGGCCCGACGGTGAGCTCGAGCTCCGAGACACACAGCTGCACCTTCCTCTCTCCTCCTCTCCGGCGCCGGCCCTACTCCTCCTGGCGCATCATTTGCACTCATGTCCGAACAATTCCCTTCCACCGCGCTATCACGCAATGGCGCCCTCTATCATGTCAAACAGCCTCTCCAGGTCCGCCCGCAGTCGATACCGTCCCCACGGTTGGCCGCGCATGAGAAAGGCCACGGTGTGCAGTTCAGCGTCCGGTAAGATTTAAACCCTCCCATTTTTCTCATCAGACTCTGCGTCTTCCTTGGTGGGCGGTCGTGTCTGAGCGGCTTAAGTATTGTTCGAGATGTCTCGAACCTCGTACTCTTTGGCGAGCAGGCGGAGCCATGCGCGGTTGCGCGATCTCCCTTGGAGGTGACCGCCGCGGCCGCTAAGCTCCAAACAGACTAGAGTTTGTGCCACGATTGATCTCTGCCGAGAGCAAGTTCGTTACGGCCTCTCGCCCTGCAAATTTGCGACCACCCGCACGTGTGTGCTCGCGAGTGAGCTTTCTTCGCAGCACACTGCGGGGACTGCTTCTGCGCTCACTGCGTAGACGCAGACGTCTGTATGCATCTCCTCAGCCCTCTACATGCAGAGGGCTGCGGGCGTGGGTACGAACGCTCTTCCGTGCGAAGCGGGCCTCGAAGACGGCATTGGTGCTCGGGCGAACGTGCACAGGCCTGTGGCACTCTGCAGAACGCGCTCCCGGGGAATGCCTCGTTGTTGGCGAGATCGTCGAGGGCGGCTAGCGGTGATTGTAGAAGATGATGGCGTCCAGCCATCTGTCGTCCTTCTCCCCGCCGTCGGAGAGAAATCTGCCCTCAGCAGACTGGACGCTGACTTCCAGGGCCGGACAAGGGCCGAGTCCTTTCGGGGACCCTAGGTACAGCACCGCCGCCGAACGTCCGAATGGCCCGGACGAGCCCCGTTCTCCTCCTCCGCTCGCACTCATATAAGTATTAGCTTGCGCCCGCATGTGCCCCGCCCCGAGCTTTCCGTCCCGCCTCCGCAGACGCGCACCCTCCACCTCTATGTGGGCGTGGGCCCTCTTTACACCCTACCATGCCTGCCCCCTCCATACGTAGCCGCCTCTTCTCCCCGACCGAATCACAACCATTCGGCCGCTCCAAGGCCAAGGCCGATCCCGCCGTCGCCGCCAGCCGGCGATTGAATGACAGCCGTCGCGCGCTGCTCAAGGAGATTGACAATGCTCACTTTTCGTAAGTCCCCGCCGTCTCGCTCGCGCGCGATGCTCGGTGTATGCGCGTCCGCTTGCGCGCGGTCCGACGCTGAGCCATATGGGTCCCAGATGGTTCCATGTGAAAGTCGCGCTCGTCTCGGGTGCAGGCTTCTTCACGGACGCGTGAGTGATCTGCATCTTCTCAGACACTCTCCTCGCTGATATCCCTGACAGCTATGACATATTTGCCATCAACATCGTCTCGGTCATGTTGGGCTACCTCTACGGTGGCAGTCAGTCCCTTCCATCACACATCCCGCCTTCGCGCCTCTCACGCGCTTCTCTTCTCCAGAGGGAGGCACTGATGGCACTCTTGCCGCATTACCGCGACGCGCCCTCACCACCTCGCAGGAGGTGGGGATCAAAATCGCGACGCCCGTCGGTGTTTTGCTGGGGCAGCTGCTGTTCGGCTGGCTCGGCGACAAGCTCGGTCGGAAACGTATTTGTGCGTCACTGCTTTTCTGCAGTCGTGCGATGAGGCGACCCGCGCTCATGCGTCTCAACTCCCGCGCTCAGATGGCGTGGAGCTCTTGATTATCATGGTCGCGACTTTCGCGCAAGCACTGTGCGCACCCGCGGTCGGTATCAGCTTCGTCGGTGTCATCATCTTCTGGCGATTCGTGGTGCGTGTTATGCCCATCTGCGTCGTGACCTCAGGACGCCCATCCTCATCTACCTTCTTAGATGGGCATAGGTATCGGTGGTGACTATCCTATTAGCGCAGTCATCTCTTCAGAATTCTCCTCTGTGCATATCCGTGGACGTGTTATGGCCGCTGTGTTCGCAAATCAGGGGTGGGGTCAACTCAGTGAGTGCACTGTTCGGACGGCCCGGCCCGGCTGACAGGCGCGCGCTTGCCCTTTCCGTCGGTAGCGGCCACCCTCCTTTCCTTCGTCGTCGTCTCTGCATACAAACATTCTTTCCTCGAGGACACCTCTCCCGAGGTCTTCCGCTCCCTCGACCGGATATGGCGCCTCATCATCGGCTGTGGCTGCGTCCCCGCCGCTATCGCACTGTACTTTCGCCTCACCATCCCCGAGACCCCTCGGTTCACCATGGACATCGAACGCAATCTGAAACAGGCCACGCTAGACACTGCAACATTCCTCAGCAGCGATGAAGGCTACACCGTCGACCCTGATGCGCTCGCACAGAGGGTCCGCGCCCGCCAGGCAACGAAAGACGACTTCCGGTCCTACTTCGCCAAGTGGGAAAATATGAAGGTGCTCATCGGTACTGCTTATTCGTGGTTCGCACTCGATGTGGGTACCGTTTGTGCGTGCACAGCTGTGTGCGTCTGACCCGCTCTTACAGATCGCATTTTACGGCCTGGGCCTCAATTCTTCGATCATCCTTGGGGCCATTGGATTCGGACCTCCGAGCCCTAGCAAGAATCCAGGTGCAGTTGTCTGGCAGACGCTGCGGAACCTGAGTCTTGGGAACCTCATCCTGTCGGTGGCTGGCCTCGTTCCCGGGTACTGGGCGACGTTTTTCTTCATCGACCGCTGGGGCCGAAAGCCAATCCAGTTCATGGGCTTCTCCGCCCTCACCGTGCTCTTCGTCGTCATGGGTGAGCATCTCTTCGGGCTTCCAACCATTGATCCTGTCCTTCTCTTCGCCAAGCTCACCGCTATGCTCCCACCAGGTTTCGCGTACAATAAGCTGACTGCGACCTCGGGTGGGCGAATCGGGTTCGTGGTGCTCTACTGCTTCGCGAACTTCTTCCAAAACTTTGGGCCAAACTCGGTCACGTTCATCGTACCTGGTGAAGTGTTCCCGACGCGATACCGCGCGACGGCGCACGGTATCTCGGCCGCAAGCGGCAAGTTCGGCGCCGTCGTGGCGCAGCTCGCGTTCCAGTGGCTCAAGGACGTGGGCGGCACGAACAAGTTCTTACCGCACATGTGAGTGGGGCCGTGCGTTTTGTATGTGTGTGCTGATGAGCGGGGATAGTCTAGAGATCTTCGCGTTCTTTATGCTTACCGGCTTACTGTCGACGACGCTCATCCCCGAGACGGCGCAGAAGTCGCTGGAAGTACTCTCAAACGAGAGCCAAGACGACTTCATCCAAGGCTCGCCCGCTTCACCCTTCCCCTCTCGTCCCTTGGCTAACGCACCGCCCCGTCTGCCACAGCCGTCCCGACACCGTCCCCCGAGGGCAGCGTCGTGGGCTACGTCGGCGAGTTCCAGATGTCGCCCATCAAGCTCCACCCGATCACCCACCTCCCCGCGCGCCCCGTCCCGACGTTCGCCCCGGCGCACAAGCCGCGCTCGCGCTCGGACATGTCGCACTTCGCGAGCCTCTCGGACCTGTCCATGAGCTCGACACAGCTCCTGCGCGACCGGACGCCGACGTGACCGACTCCGCGACCTCAGCATTTCAGTCCCGCACCGCCGTCTCTTCTCGCCGACCCCCGCCGCTCTCTACCATCCCGTCTCGTCTCGTCTCGTCTCGCCCTCCGGCCGGTCCCGCCCTCTCCGTTTGTATCCTTCCAGATCCTTCCCCGTCCACAGTACTAGTGCTTCCGCATGAGAGACCAGGCCCCGATCACATCATTATTGCTATTCGCGTCGCATCCCCTGCTTTGTGTCGATATCCCCGTGTACCCCCATCGCCGTTCTTTTGCTTTCGCCTTCGCGCCCGTGTGGTGCGTCGATTGGTGTCGCTTGCCGTCGTCGTTTTTGTTACTTAGAGTGGACATTGGTTTGAGGTCCATGGCATGAATATGTACGTAGACAAGCCGCCGCGTGGCGGAGGCAGAGCACCCACCACTCTTAGCTTACGGTCTCGCTCTGTCTCCTGCAGTGTATGATCGGTGTAATATACCAAACATCTATTTGGAACGTCTCTTCTGCGAGGGCACGCATACACGTTTCCAGTACTGGGGTATTTGTCTATTACGGCTACAAAAACGCAACAGATCACAAACTGACGGCGTATGACATGCGTGCATGAGAGAAAGCCGGTGTTCCGGACACCGTCAGCCCCAGGCTCACGAGTGGGGGCAAGTCCAAGACGCCAACGGATCTAGAGGAACCCAAGCGCTGCTCAGTTCCAGTACTCGACATCAGACTCAGACTCAGACTCAGACCCAGAGTCTGAATCGGAGCCCGAGTCCTCCGTCGCGCCCTCCGCGAACGCGACGGCCTTGAGCGGGGACGACGTCGCGGGCGCGTGCGCGTGCGCGCGCCCTTGCGGCGCTCTCGGGGGCTGCGCGCTCCTCTTGCCCCTGCCCCTGCCCCTGCCCCTGCCTTTGCCCTTGGTCGCGCCCTTGCCCTTCACGCGCGCCAGCGGGGAGGCCGTGCTCGTGCGCTTGCGCGGGGGAGAGGCGGGGCGCGCGGGCTTGCGCGCGGGGATCCGGATCGTGATGCGGGGCGATGGAGGTGGGGGGACTTCGACGATGTCCGGGTCGAGGGGCTCGTCGGGGACGAGGATGGGGTTGTGCTGCGAGCCTTCGGCTGCAGCGGACGAGGGCTCGAGCTCGGGTTCTTCGGAGGGGTAGCGGGAGAAGACGGTCGTGACGGGGAGGCATCTGTCGAGGTGGGCGGGGACGTCGTTCGGGTCGGGCATGCGCATTCGGGGGTCGAGGGGCTCCGGGGTGGCGTAGCGGTGCTGGAGGTGCGTGTGGACTGTTTAGCTGTCGGAGGTGCATGGTGTGTAGCGAACCACTTACGGAGACAGGGTCGAGAGGAATGAAGGGGATCGTCTGTGGGCGATACATACTTGAATCTTGATGCCGAGGGTGCCTCAGGTGTTGAGTGCGGAGCTGTAGGTCTCCGCCGGCGACACACGGGCTCTTGTAAGGAGGAAAGTAGAGCCACTGGAAAGCAGATGGGGAGGGCGTTCACAATGCGCGGTTTATGTAGATCGGCCTGCAGTGGCTTTGTACGACAAAGCGGGATGCTACAAGGAGTGTCTGCGAGCGAGGGCATCGTCGAAAGTGGGCTGTGGTTTTCGCCGCGACGTATGGTCATGGGGGGATTCGGCCACTATTCAGGCGAGCGTATTCGCAGTTGATCACCGTGATGTGGCCGCATTGTGGCCAGACCAACATCGCGATACAAAGCAGCATACGAATCCTACTGCGCTTGGGCGGCGATTGAAGTGGACCTACATCATTTTTGGCTGTGTTGGAGTACGTGGAGCGAGGACGATGAAAGTCAAGAAGAGTGTGTTAGTGGTGACGAGGTAGTAGTAAATGGATCTGGGCTACTTGTATATGGCGCCTAAGGGTGGTGTTCGCTTAGGTAATCACTAGCACTCATCGTACGTGCGTCTTGGATCTTGGCCGTCTTAGAGCTCTACCGCAGTGCTTCGGTGGGAAGCACCCCGGGAGATAGCGACACACTGAAAAAAGGAAGGACTTGGAACGTGAACGCCTGCACGTAGATGCGTGCGTGCCACTTAGACAACGAGGCCGTGCGCACGCAGGCGCCCCGGACTTGCAAGGCTGCGGGTCCTGCGGCGACTCAGAGGCGCACTAGAGCAGCGACGGGAGCAACTGGGGTGGGGGCGAATGCAGTTGCCTGGATTGGGGAGAGAACGTGCGTACATGGTGGGCAGAGAGGACACCGAGCATGGGAGGCACGGGCGTCGGGGTACGGAGGCAGCCAAATCCAAGGCCAAACATCGCATGACGTCCGCCCGCCCACCGTCCGGTTTCCCACCAGCCCTGTGCACCACCACCACCTCCCCTCGCCCACCAGCCTCTCCGCCAGCGCACTTCCTCCCCTCCCGACCCCCCGTCGCCCCGGACACCCCTCGACGCCCGCCGCCCGCCGCCCGCACCCACGACGCTGATAAGCAGCGCCAAGGCCACCCTCCACAACCCCTGGACCCGCTGCTCGTCCCACTCCCGGCGCACTCTCTCCGCCCACCGCGTCCCGTCTACCGCAGCCCGTCGGTCCCCGCATATATCGCCCAGACGCCTCTCCGCTGCCCGTACGCACCTCTCTACGCCCTTTCACGACCCCGTAGCACCCCCATCGTCTCTCCCTACCTCCACCACGATGAAATACATCGAGTTGCCCGAGCTTTCCCGCCTCGCCCAGGCCCTCACGCATGAAGGCCCCGAGTGCTCCGTCCACACCCGGATAGAGGCATACAGCTGCAAGAACATCAAGCGCGACAAACGCCTCTTCCGCTCGCTCGAGACCGCGTACGCCGACGAGGTCTCGCACTCGCCCCCGCTGCCGTCCGACATGGCCGCGCTCGAGCGCGAGTCCGAGATGACGCCCTTTGGGCCGATGCAGGAGAGCTACTCGCGCAAGACGCTCTACCTGCTCATCGCCACCCTCAACGTCGCCTTCCCCGACCACGAGTTCTCCGACGTCCGCCCCCACCACTTCAACCGCGAGGAGTCCGGCGCGAGCGTCCTCGGCGCGCTCTCCGCCACCCTTACCTCCCCCGCGCCTCAGACCCGCGTCCCCCGCACCTACTCGTCCTATCCCCCGGCCTCGTCCGACTTCTTCCCCTTCTCCGTCCCCACCTCCTCGTCCCCGCTCGACTTTTACGTCCGTCCGAGCCCCCGCGCGCCCTCGCGCGCCCAGTCCGGCACCCACCCCACCCTCTACCAGTGTCTCGACGAAACAATCCGGCTCGCCGACTGTGAGGTGTACTCCTACACCCCCGACGTCGAGTTTGACCCGCACGCGAGCGACGACGCGGACGAGTCGGACGAGGGCAGCGCCGGCGAGGACGACGAAGGCGCGTCCGACGATGACACCCAGTTCCGCTTCGACGACTACGACGTCGACGAAGCCCCGCTCCGCCGCCGGAGCACGGGCTCGAGCACGGACTCAGACGAATACTACGCCCCGCACCCTGGGGCCCACGGCCGCCGCCGGGGCGCACTCCTCTGGAGCGCGCACTGGTTCTTCCTCAACCGCAAGCTCAAGCGCGTCCTCTTCATCTCGATATGGGCCCGCTCCAAGGGCATCGCCGCGTTCATGGACCGCGAGGTCATGTACGGTTCGCCTGGCAAGGCCTCGAACGAGCGGTTCTTGGGCTGGGAGGGCGCCGTCGGCGCGGGAGCGCGTGCGATGGGTCTCAGCGGGAGTGCGCACCTGTAGAGGTCAGCGTTTGCTTGCGCACGATGAGAGCTCGGAGATTCCACCCTTATGGTACGTCGCACTGTGGCGCGAACGTGCTGCATCGGACTGAACGAGTGCGTAGCGGACACGACAGCGGCACGGAGTGCACGTTATGCCGGCCGCGTTATGCTTCCCGTCCCCTTCAGGCCCTCGATATGCTTCACGGCCCTCGATTGATCTTTACCGTATCTTCTCCACATACGAACCCCGCCTATGCAATGCTCCATTAGTTTCGTTCGCCCTGTACATTATCTCCCTCTATATCCCCTGCTGCTTACCTTATTATTGGGAACGATCTTGAAGTCTTACTCTATGCTCCTGGATGTACACAAGATAAGTTCTAGATACTTATCGACTTGCGAGTTCGGAAATCCTGGCTGGCTGCGGAACGAGTGAGGGAACGGGGAGGGTGTCAAGGTGGCGGGACGGAAGGGTGAAGTGGGCAAAAGCCGCACGCCGTCCATGGAGGCAGCGAGTGAATGACTCGGTAGGACTCAGTGCCACTGGCTGTGCACGCATCGCTCACTGCAACGATTCAACATCTCCCGTCAGCACGCTTGCTCCCAACATGAGCAGGAATACGCACAGAGCCTTCCTATGGGCACACCGATTCCCATATACCGTGTCCTTGTCCGTGAGCGAGGGGGCGAGCCACAGCAAGTTGGAAGAATCGCGAACAAAATATATACTCGCGGTGCCCCGTTACCCGTACAAGCAGGACGTGCAGGAGACCCCTTCCCCCTCGTCCTCGTCCTCGTCCTCTCTATTTCCCAGCTGAGAGTGGGGACAGTGTGCGCACCTGTGTAGGTTTCCTCGCTCCTCTGACACAGCCCGGATGAACGGCCCGAGCCGAGACTAGCTCAAACGAGCCTTGGGCAATCTCTACACGACTGTGTGGGCAAAGACGCAGAAGGGCGGGATAGGGGACGATCTGCGCAGCGAGGCTGCCGCGAGGGGAGGTGGGAGAGAATGAGGGGAGCAAAAAGAGAGGGAGACGATCGATATCGGATGGAGGAGGATGGGTGCGACCCGGCGCCTGGCGCTTGGTCTGCTGGGATTTCCTCTCTTCCCGCGCCCAGTCTGGGTGACCACTTGATTGAAAGTGCTAGTACTGGCAGCAGAGTGGCCCACCTATGGTACATCAGGGCAAGTAGTAGTACTGTTCGGAGGATCGACTGGTCCGAGAGCTACTCGACATCTGCTTCCTCCATGTCCTGGTCGAATATGGAGTAGAATCGCACCTCCTTCTCTTCCGTATCATAGAACATGATCCACGATCCGGCGTCCGCGAACACCATAGAACCCGCGTAAACGTGTTTGGACACCGGGATGCGGTACAGCCGTCCTTCCTGGACCCTCCAGAACCACAACGGGCTTCGCCATCCGACGCCTGGACCATCGCAGCTCACGGCCAACGCTTGGACATCCCGCGAGAACGACCCGGGCGAGGGCGTGAAGACGCCGAGCTCGGAGCGTGTCCGGAGAGGGGGGTACACCGGCTCCCCGGTCGCGGTGTCCACGATGGAGTAGGTGTGCGCACCGGGACCCGAGCTCGCGTGGCACAGGGCGCGGGTGCCGTCGGTGGAGAGCGCGAGCATCTGGCCGCATTCGGCGAGAACCGTCCTCCACTGCGCCGCGGCGGAGGTAGGCTCGATTATCCATCCGTTTTCGTTGAGGAGGGACGACGAAAACGGATGGATGATCGAGCCTACGGCGGAGGCTGGGGGAGGCGCGGACTCGTCTCGATCTTCGTCGGCGGCAGACTCGAGCCTTTGGAGCTTGCCAGAGACTGTGAGCGTGAGGACGTCGACGCCGACGTCGTGGCTGCCGGACCACAAGGCAGCGGACGTGGAGACGGCGTCGGGGTTGTACGCAACGCGGCGGAGGCGACAAGTTCCGGACGCCAGGTTCCAGGTGAAGACGTGGTCGTGGAAGTCCAGGGGCCTGGGGAAGTGTTCGAGGACGGAGTCGAAGAAGTGACAGAGGACGGTTCTACCGTCGACGGAGAGGGAGAGAGAGGCAAAGGTGTACTGGTTATACTCAGGGCCCGGGATAATCGTCGAGAGAGGGGAAGAGGTGAGGGCACGGACATGCGTCAAAGTTTCGGCATCCCAGAGGTGCACGTCGCCCGTCTCTATCGAGACGACGATGTGAGTGCTATCTGGAGTCCAAGCGGCCCCAAGGATGCGCCCGAGCTGGGTGATGTCGGTTTGAGCATGGAGTTTCGCTTGGTTACCACTCGTCCTATCACCTCTGCGTGGGAGGTCGAACACCCAGACTTGGTATGTGAGCTTTGCGAAATACATAAGGCGATTTCCAGAAGGAGCGAAGATGAGAAAGAGGTCTCTGGAATACGCCATTTCGTCCTGAAACAAGTACTCCAATGCGAATGTAGGCGTGCGGTTGGTATGCATATCCCAGACGATCACGGACCGTAGGACTGGGATCATTTGTCCTGGCAGAGTTGCACTGCTTGCCGCCCATTGTTCTCCTTGAGACGTGGTCATGATATCGACAATGCCCGTGTGTCCCAAAAGTCGCTCGTTTCTCCGCGCTAAATCAGATAGAAGAACGATCAGTGGAAGAAAGATTGTGCGGAGTCGAAAGCGAACGCACTTGGATGGGTGAACACGATTCGCAACAAGCCCTGATCGTGGAGTGATGAGAAAACCTGCTCTAGCGTCGACACCCAGATGTTCGTATAATTTTCCTTCGAGCTCTCTACAGTACAGGTGACTCCATGGGCTCGCAGACAGTCGTGGTTCTCGATCAGTCGTGTGAATTTGGAGATGGTGGCTAGTTGGTCCTGGTGGAGTGCAACACCAAACCAGTATAAGGCTTCACTATTGATGACGATGTCCAAAGACCGCAACGATCGTGGGATCCCGAGGTCAAGGAGTCCGTTGATCGTAGGGAAAGCCCGGAGTTCACGAAGAATCCGAATGTCGTCTGTCTTGACCTGGAGCGTAAGATGCTCGAGGCACGGAAAGTTGCTCATATCTAAGCCTGTGGAAACAGGTCGGCAACTCGGCTACACGATAGAGAGTCAGCAGTAAATACCTTCAGCACCTAACGAATGCGCCCCGAGTGTGAGATCCACCACATTTGATGCGCAAGCTGCGACAAAGGCGTGCAGTAGGCTTGAGGGAGATGAGTGTAGTTGAAGCTGTGGGACAAAGTGGTGGGTGGATCGCTCGAATATACTCATGAGCGTCTTACCTTGACCTTTTGTAAACGGAGGCGCACCCGATTTTGCAACGACCTCATGATCGATTCGGCTGCATTATTACCGAACATATCGGCGGACACGCTCAACTCTTGCAGGGCGGGGAACGCGCAGAGCAACTTGCCCAGTTGTAGGACGGAGGACGGCAGGTATCCCATGCGGCATTCGAGAACCAATTTTCTCACCGCCGTGTACTGTCGGAGAGCTGCCAGCATGCAAAGCGGGAACTGAAGAGTGTGTTGAACCTCCCAGGTGTCGATGTGGGCAAGATACGGGAGGAGGATGACCGGTGCGACGTAAGGGAAGTTCGTATCCCGCGGGCAGTCTTTGGCCCTCAGACGAACAGTCCGGACGAGCTTGCAGAGTTCGGGGGCATGGTTAAAAGCTTCAATCATCAATGTGATCTTTTCTGGGTGGTCGATGGTCAGCTTGCGCCAGAGGTGATAGCGAGCCCTCGGGAGCCACGCGCTGCATACGCGCGCACAATCTTTGAGTGTTTGGACGGCATCGCCTTGGTCGTCCAGCTCGTCGAGTATCTGCTCAATCATTTCAAGCGGTACGTGTGGTGTTGAGTGCATCTGATATGAAGCGATGGTCGTTACTGCAGCAAGCCGGGTGCGTGTTTTGAAGTTAGAGAGGAGGAGCGAGGCGCTGACCGCCCGTTGCTTGCAACTCCGCATTTGGCGGAGTTGGGAGGCCGCTTGCCGTCCTCCTCGTTCTGTCGATCGAGTCTTCTGCCTTCTGACCATTCTCCTTGACCGCGCAATGAGCCAGCAACCGGAATTGCTTCCCAGGCCTGACGGCGGCACTCTTGCTGCCTCATCGCCCTCCCCGCCCATCGTCGAGCTCGCCCGCTTTCTCGCCCACCTCCTCACCATCTCCTATCGCTTCCTCTCCCAAACCACCCTCGCGCTCGCGCTCTCTATCTTTGCGCCTCTCACCGTCCTCTACAGCCCTGTCTCCTACGTCCTCGCGCCCATCTTCGTCTTCCTCCGCGTCCTCCTCAGCCTGCTCGTCCTCACGCCCTACGCCATCGCCACCTCCCTCGCCCAGAATGCGTACCCGATCTACGTCTTCGTCGGGGCTGCACTCCTCTGCGCGCTGTGCGTCGGCATCCTCGCGCGCGCGATCTCCTCCGGGATCCAGCGCGCGCTCTTTGCGCCCTCGCACCCTAGATCGCGCGCGCGCGTAGCGGGGAACCCGTCCCCGCCCCCGGCCGTCCCCAAATCGGAGAAGAGCTCGCTGCGGACCTCCGCATCGAAGCCGCGCGTGAAGAAGCGTGTGTCCATCAGGGAGGAGCGGGGTGGATAGGGCGTTGTGCGGCTTGCCGGATGTTGAGACTATGAGACTATATGCGCTTAGTTCGGTGCGTGGCCTCCACAACGTTGTGTGTTGTCCGACATCATTCACCCATACGTGCATGTGTAGTGACGCACACACGTTGTGCTTGTCCTCCTCTCAATCCGTTTATCTTGCAACTTGCATGGTGGCCCGTGGTCGCTTGCCAATCCCACACCCCAGACCCGACTTGCCTAACACTGCAGTCAGCATCTTTTTTTCTTGTCCAGCGTTCTCCCACTGGATCACATCGAGACACCAAGACGAGGAGGGAGGACATGTCCCATCGGGGGAATGTGTCCATCTTACCGAGGAAATGCGGTGAACAGCGGGGCTCGTCTCCAATAATCACGTGGAGGCATCGTTGCAACCCCCAAATCATGCTGCGATTCATGCTAACACAACAAGTACAGTGTACGAATATGTCTACCATTAGTTTGAGTCGTAATATATGCGCTTCGTAAAGAGTGTTCGCGTTTGTGTGTATGAAACCTTCGTCCGAGTCTAGACAGCCAACTTACTTCCGCCGCTTGAGGAAGCTCAATAAGCTCCCGGTGCGGACGCGGAAGAAATAGGTGAAGACGTAAATGCAAGCGACCTGCAACCAAACCCGCCCCGTCAGCCGTCGCGTCCTCGAGCGAAACAGCCAAAGCGAGAAGGGACTCACGTTGAAGACGACGAACGCCGCGAAGATGCCGAAGTCGCGCCAGTGGAGGTCGTAGAAGATGTTGAACGCCGTGCCGAGGAACGCGTCCGTCGTCGCGTACGCGCAGTACTCGCACGCGCCGTTCGCGGTGTCCGCCAGGTACCCGCCCGCGCTCTCGAGCCAGGGGCCCATGAAGGCGGCGCAGGTCTGCCCCGCGGGCGGCGTGACGGAGACGAGCTCGACGGCGGAGCACCGGATGGGGTTGTGGCCGAGCGCCTGGCCGAGGAGGGCTTCGGTGAGGTACGTGTACGGCGAGAGGCGGTACATCCACCGCCACCAGCCGAGCTGCGAGTACGGCTGCAGGACGCCGTTGCTGTGCGGGCGCGGAGATCAGAACGTCGGAGAGGATGGGAGAGGATGAGGGAACGTACAAGGTGAGGACGAAGGAAAAGAGGAAGCTGAAGAGCAGCGCCGAGATCTCCGCGTCGGGCGCCATCGCTGCGACGGCCTGGGCGATGGTGGTGTAGTAGAAGGGGAGGAGGACGCCCATGATGAGGTACGTGAAGCCGGCGCGGTCGTTGGCGAAGCCGACGGTCCAGTACCAGCAGACGAAGTAGAGCGAGGAGCCGAGGATGTTCCACGGGAGCTCGATGAGGATCTGGGAGGTGACGAGGGCGGACCAGCTGTACATCTTGCTGTGGCGCTCACGGACCTCGAAGATGTTGCGCATGCTGATGAAGACGACCTGTATCTGGTTGGCCAGAGCAACTGAGATGATCATGGACATGAAGATCGCCTGGTGAGGGTGAAGTCGCCAGTTAGCCGTCAAGAGACGCGGTAGACGAAACGGCGGACTTACGAAGAGGTGGTTCTGGGTCCCTTGGATGGACGAGTCGGCGTTGTAGAACGAGAAGCCGATGAACAGGGCCCCGGCGATGTTGAGCATGAGCTTGGACAGCATGTACGTCGGGTCACGCCAATGAGCCGCTGCATCGCGCCGCAACAGAAGACCGGTTTGGTAGAGCCAAGAAGTGGAGTAGTCGCTTTGCGAACGAGCGACGACGGCAGGCTTGGCGCGGCCTTCGGCATGAACGATTTCAAGCTCGCGCTGCACCTCGATCGCCTCCTGCGACCGCTTCCAAGCGGGGTGCCATTCGATAGTCGAATTAGCCGTGGCGCCCGCCCCAATCGCGTCGAGAATGTATTCAGCCCTGCCGAAAGTCAGTCGCTGGGTTCAACTGAGAGCAAGTGGAGCAGCTCACGGGTTCTCATCGTCACCGCACTTCCTCGCGCCGTTGCGTTCGAAGTAGTTGATGAGCGTGCTCGAGCGCTCGCCGATATCCCCAAAGTAAACCGTCTGGCCGCCCTTCTTGAGGAGCAGCAGTCGGTCGAACACCTGGAAGAGCTCTGCGGACGGCTGGTGGATAGTGCAGACGATAGCCTGGCCGGCGTCGGCAAGGTCGCGGAGGAAGTTCGTGATCGCCCACGCAGACTGGGAGTCGAGCCCGGAAGTAGGTTCATCGAGGAAGATGAGCGACGGCTTGGCGACGAGCTCGACGGCGATCGTGGTGCGCTTGCGGTGCTCAACGCCGAGGGAACCGATGACTGCGTCGCCGTAGGCTTCGAGGCCACAGAGACGCAGTACTTTCTCCGCACTGAGTGGATTTTGTCAGTGAGTGCTGAAGGAGGGGTAGCTGGGGGTGCGTACTAATCCTGCTTCTCCTTCAGAGGGACCGACTGTGGCTGGCGGAGGCACGCGGAGAACAGCAGAGCCTCACGGATAGTCGACGCCGGCAGATGAGTGTCCATCTGCTGAACGTAGCCTCTGTAACTCTGAGATGAGCCTCGTGTCCTCGATTCAAACATCCTTGACGAAGTGCTTACGTGTGAGCCTGGAAGTCCGAGGGAAGTGGGTAGCCGTTCATGAACCGGTCGCCAGTGACAACGCCGCCGGTCGTGCGCTCAGCCAGAACGTTGAGAAGTGTCGTTTTTCCAGCGCCGGACTCGCCCATGAGGGCCGTGAGCTTGCCTGGGCGAACGTAGCCGGAAACGTCGTCCAAGAGCTGACGGGTGCCGCCCGCAACAGGAACCACGTAGTCGAGGTGCTGGAAGGAGAAGGTCTCATGCGTCTTGAATGCATCGTCGTCCATCTTCTCCGTCTGGCGGCCAGACTCGCGCTGAATGGAAGACGAGGCGCTGTTGCCCTTTTCTTCGTCTGGAGCGCCCTTGTCCACGACGACGTCGGTTTTCGAGCCGCGCTTGAAGAGCATGACGGTCGAGTCACCGGCGAGGCCTTGATTGAACTCGGAGAAGAGGAGAAGGACAGCCACGAAACCGACACCGAACACGATCAGGATACCACTGTTCTTGAGCGAAGTCAGTGATTACACCCAAGAAGTCTAGAGAACGGAACTGACCATCCACAAATTGCTGTACGAGTAGTCGTATGCGAGCTGAGCATAGGCCAGACCAGAGACGGTGGACTGTCCCGAGACAGAGCCTACGGTCGTGCACACCTGGTTCTCGAGCGAGATATTGGCGTAGGCGGGGCCTTGGGGGATCAAGGAGGCGCACTCGGCATTGGTGTGATGGAGTTCGTTCACCATCAGCGCCTCAAAGCCGTACCGGAGGGGCTGCAAAGCGGTCAGTCAATCTCGTGTGCAATCGAGCACCGTTTGCTCACATTGACCCAGGTGATCCACTTCAGCGCGCCGTGCATGTAAGGTTGAGGCAGAGAGTAGCCAGTGTACAGAGTGAGAAGCAGCGCGCTGAGACCAGCCACGGCTGTGGCTGGCGCAGGGCTCTTGAACGCTGCAGCTAGCACACGGAACCAGGACTTCATGGCGAGGGTGCAAGCCATTGAAAGCAAGAAGAAGGTACTGAAACATATGTTAGAGGGCGCTGAGAATCCAACCAAGAGATCCACTTACAAGAACTGGCTGGCCGTCGCTGCGAGGCCGACGAGGAAATAAAGCACGACACTGAAGATGATCTGAGTGACCAGGGTGATGGGGATATCCACGAGAGTAAGAGCCAACGCCTCGACGAAGGGATGATACATTGCCACGCGCGATTGCCGCTGCACGATCGGCCGCTGCGAGAACAGTGCCGGAATCTCCGCCATGGCCGAAAGCGCCGTGAACATCATCGCAAAGAAGAGGACACCGCCCTTGGAGAAGAACGCCGCGGTCGTGTTCTCGAGCCGGAGGAAGACCGTTCCCATGATGATCGCCTGGATGACGAATGAGAACACCTGGATGACTTGGGCGGTCATGTTTCCGCGGATAATCTGCACGCGACGGCGCATGAGCGCGCTGGCTTGCATCCCGATGGTGACGATGTAGGGGCTCTTGGGGTTCGCTCGTTTCGCGTGCTCGGCCTTGGAGGACTGCTTGTAGTTCATGACACGGTCTGGTTTGCCGACGAACTGCTCGCGGTAGGATTCCATTTCTTCACGATTCAGCTGTGCGAGCTCGGACCTCGCCCAGTGCGCGGCGAACTCGGATGCGGTGCGGGGGACCCGGTTCTCGAACCCGGCACGGACGGTGCGGCCGTTGGGGTCGGTCACTACGGTGCCAATTAGCAATGTACTCGCAGTGAAATTCGGGGAAGACGCACCTGCGACAAGGTAGTCGGCCGTCGTCTGACGGTTGGCCGGCTCGAAGCCCATGTCGATGAAGTACTGCCTCGCGCGATTGGCAGGACCAAAGTACACTTGTCTGCCCTCGTAGACAACGCACACCTTGTCGAAGCTCTCGTAGAGTTGCTCGCCGGCCTGATAGATTGCAACGATTGTCGACTGCCGGGCGATGTCGGTGGCAATGCGCAGAGCCTGAACAAACTCAAGAGCCGTTGATGCACTGCGAACGTATGTCAGCGAAAGCACACGAGACACAAGACAAAACCAAAAAAACTCACTCAAGGCCACGTGTGGAGTTGTCCCATGAGATCAACAGGCTACGAGCAACAATTGCTTCGCTGATGGAGACGCGCTTGCGCTCGCCGCCGGAGACCCCGCGGATGGACGCGTTTCCCACCAGTGTGTCCTTGATATGACGCAGACCGAATACGGTCTCCACGATATCTGTTACGCGAGAAATGTGGTCTTCGCGCGACGCCCCACCGAGACGTTGTCTAGGTGTACGCGTCTCGGCGGCGAAGCGAATTGTCTGGTCGACGGTGAGAGTCGGGAAGTGAATGTCATCTTCAGGGCAGTACTGGACATCGCCGCGATAGTGTGCCTCTATCTCTCGGGGGGTCAGGGAGTCGTATAAAACCTCGCCCTCGACCTTGTGGTACTCCTGACGCTGGTTGGCCAGGACCTTCAGGAGAGTGGAGCAGCCAGACCCCGGGCGTCCGAGGACGACTGTGATTGACGTCAGTCGGAAATCAACAAAGAATCCCGCGTAGCACGTACGCAGCATCTCTCCTGGCTGGACTAGTCCCTCAAATCCAGAGAGGATGTCGCGAGTCGCAGGATGCAACGACTGCCGGAGCTCAGCGATAGTGTTGAGAGGGTTGAGGACAGAGCCCAGGGTAGGCTGGAACGAGGCAGAAGATCCGACGCCGACCACGCGGAGATCCTTGAACAGGACTCCAAGCTCTCTGCGCTTGAGTTCCTGTCTGTCCATCCTGAAAACACGCATCAAGGCCCACTCATGTGCGTGTTGAGGCGAAATATGCTCACTCTCTGACCACGTTACGCATCGTCTTCTCAAAGTCGAATGATCCGTTGATGTCTCCGTACAGAGTCTCAGCAGACGCAATTGATTGAGTGACTGCTTGTCCCCCGTCCGCTTCGCGGGTGTAGGTCCTGTGGAGCCGCTCGACGCCTTCGAGATCAAAGTGACCGATATCGACATGGGAAGTGGTGGATTGCCGTTGGGAAAGCGGAGAACCGTGTTTGTACTTGACGGGGGAGGACGGGTCGTTTGAGGAGCGGTTGCGACGGGCATGCGAAGAGGAGAATTCGATGGGAGAGGGGAGTTCGTGAAGAGCCTCCTGGCCTTCAGTGGAGTGCACCGAAGGGTTGGACATTGCGGGGAAGTAGTAGGGTAGAAGGAGGAAGGAGCGAACGGGAACACAGACGAGGGGTCGACTGGCATTGTGGAGATGATATACCTGATCGTCGGAAAAACTGCAGCCATGGCGAAGTCCAGGCGGGACAGATGGGCTTGCGATGTTGTCACCGTGCTTGCTCGCCGGGGGGCGGCGCGCGAGCCACGCAAGCTGGCCGGCACTTCCGCTGCTAAGCGAGCCGTGTCGTCGTCGGTGGCGCGCACCGGGGAGAGCTGAACGTGCTGCTTACTGTGTTCCTCTTATGCGGAATTGCCCGCGCGCCCACCGTCAATGTGCCCGGCGCCCGCAGAGGGCCGTTAGGAGTAGGGCGCCCTTTGCTTTCGAAATGGGAACACCGCCGATCGAACAATAACTCCGCGAAGCCGGGGTTGGTGACAATGGTCATCCGCGGTATCCGGCGCCCGAGATGACGATGGAAGCGAGAGTCAAGGAGGTGTGCGTGGCAGTGCCCGCCGCCGGTCCCTACATCTCGATCCATTTTCAGTCGGCCAAGCGTTCTGGACTCTGCTGCGGATTACTGTAGGCCGGTAAGCGTGAAACGGAGCAACAGAGTGGTTTGGGGGTGCTGGTAAGTGTTCGGAGACATGCGCGCGTCTGACGCGGCTTAGTGCTCACTGCTACTACTCGACTGTTGTGACCGTTTGTAGCGACGGAATGACCCTTGCATCGCAGACGACAACTTCAGGGACATTGGAACGCGGCCCGCGGCGCCATCATCTCCGCAGACGTTGTATCTCCTCCATGTCAACATTAGCGAGTGAAACGGCATATTTGATGTGCATGTCACATTAGCAATCGCCCTCCGGTCGTCGCATGAACTGCGCCAGGACTCTGCAACTCTACGGTCACTCTACGCCGCCGCCGTCTTCCTCAACGCCCACTCCAGCATCAGCTCGTTCGCCACCTCCGGCCTCTCGAAATGCGGCGAGTGCCCGACATCCTCCAGCAGGTGCACCTCCACGTCCGCGTACACCGTCTTCGCCCGGCTGATCATGTTCTCGTACACGCAGTGCTCGTCCTCCGTCCCCTGGATGATCACCACCGGGATGCCCCGCGCGCTCGCCTCCCAGACGGTGTGGTCCTGCGCGCGGTTGATGCTCCAGTGCCGGCTCAGCCGCGGCTGGACGATGAACCCGCCCATCCACTCGAGCTTCGTCGCGTACGGCAGCGGCGCCTTCACGCACGAGTCCACGAAGAGCTCCGCGCCGACGTGCGTCTGGTCCGCGTCGGGCGACATGCTGTACGGGATGATCTCGCTGATCCGCGGGTGCTTGCACGGCCCGTGGTAGTGCAGCGCGACGATCGAGCCGCCGATGTAGATGATCCCCGCGAGGTAGTCCGCGCCGTACGCGGTCACGACGTCCACCGCGATCGCGCCTGTGGTCGGCGTCGGTGGATGGGGGATGGGGAACGTCAGCGGGCGTCCGGCGGGCTCGCGCGCGCGCACTCACCTCCCAGGCTCCTGTGAAGGTCCCACCGCCGTCAGCGACCGAGCCCCCCGATCCTCCCAAGCGCAATTGACATCCCCCTCCACCCGCTGAGAACGGCGGGCGCGACTCACCAGCCAGCCATGATCGGCCTGACGACCGCGAACGCGTCGCAGACCGTCTTGAAGTCCGCCGCGATCCTGTCCGACGCGTACGCGGCCTCGTCGACCGGCTTCCCGCTCCGCCCGTGCCCGCGCATCTCGTACCGCACGAGGTGGAAGGCGCGGAGGAGGGCCGGGTCCGCGAACTGCGCGTCCCACCCGCGCGCGGTGCACGAGAGCCCGTGGACGAAGACGATCGCGGGCTGGGACGCGTCCCCGGCGGACTCGGCCCAGATGCGCGTGCCGTCGGGCGAGGTGAGGAGCTGTTCGCGCGCGGCCATTGTTGGGGAGGTAGGGATGAGAGCGGTGGTGTTGGAGTTGGGGTCGGGATGAACGGACAGGAAGGAGGTGGGAGTATGAGGGGGCGTATCGCACCCTCTACCATCTTGCTTATTTACTCTTCCGGATACGAAACCACGCTATTCTCGATTCGCGGGTCTTGGTCACCGAATCAAATCACACTCGCACCGATAGCGCATTGTCTTAGCACTAGAAGGCTTCTTGAACTCAGTGAACTGCAAGTCTCCGCAGGGAATTGCCACACAAGTCGGGTCGTCTGACTCTCGCATGATGAAATGCGAGCCGGCATCGGAGTTATTCTGCCCTCATGGTGACTCGCACCGTTGAAATACACCCTCACGCGCGCTCCCACCAGTGGCTAACCCCGAGAGACGGAATGATTCAACAGAAAGTACAACTTGATCCCATTGTCCGTGTTTATACTGTGTATATGACTAGGCTCGACGCAACAGTAGCATGCGGAATATATAGATAGGTATCGACAGTAAAGCGGGGTAAAGCGTCGCAGCGGCACACCCTCCGGAACGTCCCCCAGCAGCGCCTATGACGACAGCGTCTTGACCTCGACGACGATGTTCGTGACCATGATGCACGTGTACGCGACGAGGAGCGCGACGCCCCACGCGCGCGGGAGGAAGTACCCGTTCAGCGGGACGTAGACGAGCGTCGCGAGCAGGATCGCGAGCAGGCCGACGCCCGTGACGACGAGCGTGGGCGAGAAGTGGAGCGGGTACGGGACCCCAGTCTCGCGCACGATGATCGAGCCCGAGATGCCGACGCCGAGGAGGATGTTGAGCATCGGGCCGCCGAAGCAGGCGGAGAAGCCCATGATGGGCGCGAAGACGGCGACGGACATGTTTGCGACGAGGTCCGCGAGCGAGTTCCCGATCGCGAAGATGGTGATGCCGATGATGGCGTCCGAGAGGCCGAAGATGAAGCCAAAGGTCTACGTTCGGGGGCAGGCGGCGGGGTCAGCACTGATGTCTGCGGATAGTAGGCTTACGGACAGACGCACCTGGAGCACCTTCACGACCTCGTCGGCGATAGCCATAATCCACACGACCGCGACGATGAAGCCCATCGCGCAACGCGTGAGCTGGGAGGCGGGCGACCGACCCGTATCCGCGAACACCATGACGAGAATCGCTGCGGCGAAGCCTGCGCCGCTGGTGGCAAGCAGCAACCATCCCTCGTGTGCGACGTCGTCTGCGGTTCGGAAATGAGGTCAGATATTAGCCCGAAATGAAGACGGAGGCGGTGACCAGACGGAAGCGGAACGGAGGTAGTGAGTAAAGGACCCACCCAACAGGACGAGTGCGCAGAACAGCGGCCCGAGGCAGCACTGCACGGCCATGAGCCATTTGTTGAACCCAAGCTCGTGCATCTCCTCCTCGACCTCTTCCTCTGCGATCAGCGCACGCTCAATGCCTTCCTCCTCGAAGTCAACCAAGCGATTTTCGCTTGCACTTGCTGCATGGTGGTGCGAGCGCTTCTCGTGTGCAGCCGCGGCTGCCTCGTACGACGTCACGACGACGGGGAGGGTGATTGTGAGCGCGAGAACGGCCGGTGCGGCAAGCACGGCAGCAATCTTGCCGAGTAGCGGTTTCGCCCAGAAGCCGTGCAGCGTCGGAAAGAGTATGTAGAGGATGTGTCCTAGCGTGTCGACCACGCGTTCGCGGTGCGAGCGGAGCACTAAGGTTCGAGACTCCGTGTCCGTGTCGTCATCCGTAGACGCAGTGGGCGATGCGGGAGTATGCGATATCGCGGGTATCGACATAGCGAGGGGAGAGGTTGCCACATCTTCAATAGGTTCGCTGATGACCGGAGGCGGCGAACGTTCATTAAGCGGGACGCCCAGCGCAGCATCCCAAGGGTCGCGTTCTGTGAAGCTCATAGGGGTCCGGAGGGGTGTGCGAGCACCGGAGGTCGTTCCACGCCGTGACCGTCGGTAGGTGTAGGGCGTGAGTGGACTCTCAAAATGCGATAGGGTGGAGGATGCGGCGTCGCGTTGGAGCGAGGACACGACACGGCGGAATTCGAGTGCGCCGATCAAAGAGAAGGACGGCATGTGGTTGAGGGGCGGAGACGGGGAGGGTGATGAGGAGCGCGTTCGCGGTCGTGCGGGGAAGTCGGTCTGAATGCCGAGCCTTGGGGGTTCGGGATGCGAGTGTGCGCGAGCACGCATGAAAGGCGGTTCAAGCGAGTTGGAAGAGTGCGACAGGAGATCGGCTGCCTGGACGTCGGAAGAAAGGACGCGAAAAAAAAAGTACTGGACTCACGTTCATCCAAGTACGGCTGGTCGTCGAGATACGGCTCCTCATCCGCGTACTCGCTGCGCATGAGCGCCTCGTACTCCTTCTGCCTTTGCCTCCGAGATCTCCACCAGCTGCCCACCACGACAGTGAGCACGTACACGGCATAGAGCACGACCATTCCTGCAGACTCCCATGCCTCGAGCTTGCTGTCCCAGAGGACGACGAGGAGTAATGTGACCGCGACAGTAAAGAAGCCGACGTCGCGTAGGAAGGGTCCGCGCATGACCTTGAAGGGCTTGATGATGCACATAGAGCCAACGACGCAGGAAGTGATGAAAGTGGCAGCTCCGAGCAGTTCGCCAATCGCGAGGCCTCCGGAATTGGAGCGCATGGCAGAGAAGGTGGCGAACATATCGGGGCTACCATTGCCGAAGGCGAGAAAGGTGACGCCGGCAACGTTCTCGTCAAGACCAAGGAGCTGGGCAATGGTTGCGAGGTTGGGGCAGAAGAAGTCGGAGGCGGAGATGCCGAGGGTGGAGAAGAGGAAGACAAGCCAGAAAGCGTACCCGACGAAGATGAAGGGGCGAGTGGCGGACTCTGCGCAGAAATAGTCCTCGAGGTAACCAATCTCGAGGAAGGTACGATCCATGTCGCACACATCTTTGACATGCGTGCATTGCTCGGAAGGTGGGAGGGATATTGGTAGACAGATCTGAGCAGGAGGCTGTGTGAGGTTCTGGACAGAGGGCTGACGGGGAAATAGAGATGAATGGCACTCACACCGTCTACGGCCAGGGAAAGGGAGTCCAGTGTGTCCGCATCTTGAACTGCTCGCTTGGAATAGCTGGATGATAGCGAAGATGGCCGTGTGCCGAAGTGGGCGTAGCGGGAGTGAGACCAGAGAATGCAGTTGATGGCCAGAACGGCGACGAAGAAGAGTTTGGGGGTGCCGGACCACATGGCGGAAAGGTAGGAAGGTAAGGGAGGCGGCGGAGGGTGTATTTAGGGCATGCGGGGAGGTGAGGGCCGGCGGGAGAGTATGAGCACTGTATGAACGCACTGTCAGTGGACGGACATGCGACCGTGTGCAGCGGGGCACTGTACATTAATTTCTCACCAGATGACTGTGGCCTCGGTCTTCTCTCAGCAACCTGGGACGGGCGTTGTGCACAATCACAGCGTCGGGCAGGCAGCAAAGCGTCGAGCGGGAAGAGCAGACTCCGACTGCGGCGGACAGAGCGCAACAGCCAGCCGACGGGTTAATGTTGGGTTAATGGCATCATTACGGAGCGATAAGCCACCTGGCGCGGCGCGGCGGGCCGCGTCGATCGAAAACACGGTCACTCTCAACGCTCTCTCGTCCACTCGCGTCCGCCTCGGCGCACTCTCCCGCCTCTCACACCTCGCCCGCCATGTCTTCGCTCGTGTCCTTCTCCCGCCACACTCTCAAGCAGCTCAAGTTCGTTCTTCCGGGCGGTCTCCTCACCTACTACTTCGATAGCCCCCATATCCTCCTTCACATGCTCGAAGCGGAGGGCGGTTCAACAGGATGGGCTCGGTGCGCACCCCTTCGACCGCCTTCTGATTTGTCGGACGTGAACTCTTCTCGCCAGCTTCTCCGCCAGAATGTCGCTCTTCTCCGCCGCTGTGACGGTTTCACTCTTCCTCTACGTCCTCGTACTACCGCTCCTCCAAGGAGAGCAACCTAATGTGAGTCTCATCAAGAGCTTGAGTTTATCTGAGCCGCCCGCTAAGTTTGCACAGTACCGACACTGGAGGCAATCAGGTGTCTTGTCTACCGTCATCCCCGTGCGTCCATCTCCTCCGAATACCGTTCGATGTCACCCATATGTTCCCCCAGATCATGACCACGTCGATAGTCGCGGGATGGTCATTACTAGTGTACACATTAGGGAAATGGTCAAGTCTGGGATACCTAGAAGGTGTCATAGCAGGTGCGTGTTTTCGTCCAACTTGCTGCGGCCGTCTCTCATGAGAGCCACAGCTTCCGGGTTGTACGCGCTCGCATTTGGTCTGCTCGGCCTGATCCCCGCACCGAAAGTGCACAGGCAATAACGGTGCTCTTCTGCCATGTATCAAGTATCATTGGACTGTCTCCTCTGCGTGCAGTGACTCCCATGTATCTCCACCATTTGCCCGAATAATGTACCAGCGCTCTCTGTCCTCAGCCTCGGTCAGCCTCAGGAACGCTGTGCTGTTGAACTATCTTGTCACCATCGGGTCTCTGTCCACCGTCACGCCTTGCCCGCCGCCAATGCCTCCGTCGAGACCGGACGATGGGACCGGTTCCGTGACACCCTCAGCACTCGGTGGTGGCAATATTATGTGCATATCTCTGGGACAGCGTTCGAACAACGTCTAGTGGCCTTGGTCGAGTCTTGGTCCGAATTGTCTGGCGCAGTGTGATGAACCGGGATGGCGTGGAGCTCTCTGTGAAGAGTAGCACGCCGTTCGTCGTCTGCCTCCTCCTCTCCCCTGCACTCTCCTCTGTGCTGTCTACATCCCTGCTCCCTGTCCTTGCAACATCCTCGCCAATAGCTGAACGATGACAGCTGAGCAGTCCACGGCGAGTCCTGTCCCCCATGTGAGTCCATGTCCTTGTACTTCTGCTTGCCACTACGTACTCAATCTCCCGCCAGAGTCCATCTCTCACACTCGCAGATTCAGACTCCCAACGTCTCACTACGCGCTCGGACACAACGGCCTCGGTGGATTCAGTGAGGACCCCGGGAGATGAGCTTCAGCTCGCGCCATTTGGAATGACCGGTTTCAACGAGTCCACACTCAAACGGAGAACTCTCGTGAGTGTTGATGAAGGCGACGATAGGACCTCGAAAGATCCGGTGGACATCCCCGACCATCATGACATGGGCGGATTAATGACAAGCAAGTCGAGAACGTTCTCCAGAGTGGCCGGAAAAGCGAAGGGATTGGTGAGGTCGTTCATGCGCCGCAACACCCTCCGCAAGGTGCGTAGTGCGCTAGTCCTCAGTTGCTTCTATTTCTCAAACGTTCTGCGTACCCAGACCACAGACGACGAGCCTACCGAAGCGTTTCCGGTGTCGGCTAGGTCCTCTGCTGTTATGCACATCTGGGAACCAGAGGTATGTCACCTCGCCCCGACTGCTAATCGCGCATGCACTGACCTCAACTCCCCGGCTTCCCCACTCGCAGCACTTGTCCCAGTCTAGCACGTCCGTCCAGCTCCAACCCGACAGCATATATCACACCGAGGACGTCGATCATACCCCTCCCCTTGAGCCGTCGGCCGCGCTCGACCTCAACCGGACCCTCACCGCGTCCTCCACCCGCGCCGTCTTTGGCGACTCCCCCCGCGCGCCCCCCTCCGCCGCCGCCTCCCCGCGCGCGAGCCCCACGTCCTCCTCCGCCTCCATCGCCTCCCTCGCCTCCTGCCGCGCCGAGCCGAGCTCCTCCCCGCGCGCCCCCACCTTCGCCCGCTCCGACGTCCGCCCTCCCCGAGCACCCCCGCACCCACGCCAGCGCCCCTTCCGCTCCGCCCCGCCCACGTCCCCAGCCCGGCCGCCGCGCTGCTCACCGCGCTCCGCGTCGCGCTCTTCCCCGCGTGGGTCCTCGCCGCGGGCGGCGCGCTCGTTCTCTTCCCGCGGCACCTCTCCCCCGCCGTCTTCGCCCCGGGCTACCTCCCGCGCGCGGACGGCGGCGGCGCGCTCGCGCGCTTTGCGGCGCTGAAGGAGCACGCGCGCGACCTCGCGGCGTGCTTCGCGTACGCGGTCCTCCTCGCGCCCGCGTACGTCCCCGCGGGCGCGCGGCCGTGGGCGGCGGCCGGCGTCGCGCTCGTGCTCGTGCGCGCGGCGTGGGTGTGGTGGGGGTACGAGCCGGCGCGGCGGGTGGTGGCGGGGCGCGGTGGGGATGGGAAAGGGAAGGAGAGGCGGGCGGAGGGAGCGGGCGAGGGCGAGGGCGAGGGCGAGGGCGAGGAGTGCGTGCATGAGTGGCTGGGGAGGGACGACATGGAGACCCTGTGGCTGCTGGCCAACGAGGGCGCTCATTGGCGAGAGTGCAGTCTGGAGTGCACCTGTCGGCGTGGAGAGGAAGACGGGGTGCCTCTGTGGGACGAAGAGGTCGAGGCGGACGACGGCGATGATGGGCATGACGGCGATGGGGTCTGGGACGACTCTGTCGAGCTGAGGGAGGAGCGAGAGTGCGAACTCATGTTGTCGGAGGACGCATGAAAGCGAGGCGTTGGAAGAGTCCCCTCACTCTCTGTATACTTTCGAGCTGGCATGTGCCATATCCTTCCGAGCCATATACGCGCATTCTATGGTCTATAGTCGAGAGTAGCATATACGAATAAAGTGGTATACCGCATTCACCTGTATCCACGCGTGGTGTACGCGGAAGAGTCTACGCCAGAGTGTGGACGCATACATACTAGCAGGTTAGTGGTCGCCCCTCGCCCCGTCCAAGCTCACAAAATAGTGCGCGCCTCCTCCATCCCGTTCCTCACCGCCTGCATGCACCCCAGCCCGCGCACGCGCCGCTCCTCGACCTCGCCCGCCATCGCGTCCTCCCACCACCGCTCGCCCTCCGGCACCTCACGCCACCCGGCCGCCATAAAGTCCCGCAGCGCCCTCAGCCCGCGCTTGTCGTCGAGCCCGGCCCCGCTGCCGATGAGCCTCTGCACGTGCGCCCAGTGCGGCGGCGGGTTCGCGTGCGAGTACGGCGCGGTGGCGGCGGCGGACGTGGCGGCGGGCCCGCGGCAGAAGCCGTCGATGGCGAGCACGAGCGCGGGCGGGACGGTGATCCGCCCGACCTTGCACACGACCTCGGAGACCGCGAGGCAGTTGATGAGCGCGCCGTCGGGCTCGGGGCGCTCGAGCAGCTGCGCCGCGGCGGCCTGCGCGCTCATGGGCGCGGCGAGGGGCGTCGAGGACCCGGTCGTGAGCCCGTTCGCGGTGTGCACGGACGCGGAGGGCGCGGTGTCGATGGCGCGGGCGTTTGAGGGGAGTTTCGCGGACGAGTGCTTGCCGCCCTTCTTGCGCTTGGTCACGAAGCGAGTGACGATGTACATCTGGCAGGCGCATATATACGGTGAGCACGAGCCGAAAAGGGAGCGGGGAGAAGGAGGCGGACGCACCCATTTGTTGTCCCAGCTCATGACGCTAGTGCGCATCTCGTACTTCGAGAACATGGGGATCTCGCGGAGGAACGTGAAGTGGGTCGCTTTGGGCGGGTGTTATGGCGCTGAACGGATATTGGCGAGGTGCACGCGAGAAGACTCACCTCCAAGCCCCATCCAGCCACCCACGCGGAAGAGGGTAGGACAGAGCTGGAGCCCAAGCTTCATCCGGGTTGCATCAAGCCTCTGAACGAAGGAGGTTGAATATGCATGATAGAACGAGGACGCGGGGCATTGATGCGCGTACCTTGGGGTAAGAGGAGTTGCTGAGGTGCAGGTTGTAGTCGCAATCATCAGGGCCTTCGCAACGGTCCGTTTCATCCGTAGTATGGAGGGCGGGGTGAGAGAAGCCACTCACCAGCCCACGTCTTGAAGTCAACCAATAAATCGAAAGGGTTCACCCCAACATGAGACAGGCTCTCAATCCACTCGTCCATCTTCTGCTGGCGGACCTTGGCAGAAGAAAAGGTGTACAACAGGCGCGTCAAGCGATAATGGCCGCGCAGCTTGAACACAGGTCGCCACACGAAGACTGGATGATCGTGCAATATGTCAGGATGCGTGACGCAGTTAACAGTGAGGCGTACGCACAGTGCCATGCCAATGGCCACGACCGAAATTGGAACAGGAAGAGAAGGAAGAAGCAGTATTTGAGGAATTTGGGCGCGAATTTGAACGACTGAGCCGAGAGTATGCGGATGAGGTCTGTCGTACCGGCAATGTGGCGCGAGAGAGGGATGAGAAGCGGTGAGCGGGACGCAGGCCCGACGGTCGGTGTACTCACCGGCAAGAGGCAGTCCGCGAGCCCGGGCGACGACAGCCGTGAGCGCGACAGACATGACGGCGAAGATGAGGGCGAGGGTGAGGGTGCCGGGACGCCGAGGAGACAGGCGTTTCCCCTGGACGCGGGCGGGTGGCGACATGATATAGCTGGGCGCTGTATTCGGACTCGTTCTTGAGATCCTGATGCACTTCACCCGGGTTCTCGTGATTGCGCACGCGCTGTTAGGAACACGTCTAGGCTGTTGTGGGCTGGGTTGAGAGAGAGAATTCCCGAGCGTGTGGTGAGGCAGACAGTGCAAGAGGGTTGAACATTGAGCCTGAGCAGCCCCCGAGGCAAATTTCACCAAAGTTTCACCCTCACATTGCGTCCGCTCATATGCTTCGATCCCAGATAATTACCAACAGTGCCAATATTTCTGGCTTCTGGCTCAGTCTCGAGACGGGCATCGTCGAAAAGCGCCGATAAAATCCTCAACCATCACAACGGCTGTAATTTGTCTTCCCAACGTGGTGCGGGCCGCGCGATTGCATAAGTGTAAAGCGGAGGGTAAGCTCATATTAGAGGGGATCAAACTTGTGTAAGAGTATACAGTAATGCCTAGAATCCGCCCTGAATCAACGACGTCGGCCATCTGGTTTAGAAGACCCCACCGAACAGCCCGCGTTGTCTTCTGGGCTGGGGCTGCACGTCCGGCCGAAGCGTAGCCAAGCTGTTGAGCTGCTTCATAACCTGCACCGTCATGTCATGTCAGTGTCATAAGGAGATGAGAAACACGCTGGGGTCAAACTCACCTCCTCCAGCTTGTCCTTGCGCTCCTGAAGGTCAAGGTGCCGCCTTATGACTGGGTTCTCGCGCGCAAACTCCACCATCTCTTTCCGGTCGAGATCGTAAAGCAGTCGCGAGTCGATTTCGCGAGGGAACTGCGCAGCGACCAATGAGTGGGAGACACGCAGAGGAGTCGCTGCTGAACTGCGTACCTGGTAGAAGAAGTGGTCGAGCAGCTCGATGTTGATGAACATTGCCGAGGTGTACGCAAGCTTGTCAGCCACGACGTTCAGGAACGCCTCAGGGCAGAGCACGTCGTTTTCCTGTCCTGCTTTGCATCTCTTCGACTTCAATGCAGCCAACCGGAGTTTGAGGATCCCGATCCGATCGTTATACAGCATCGCATGCCGGGCTGCACACCGGGTTTAGTCCAAGTGATCAAGATCGAGATCGTACCCAAACTCACCGTCGAGAACTTGCGCAGGGGGGTACCTGTAGTCGTCCGGGATGTCGTTAGCCACAGCCTCGCCCTCTTCACCGCCCTGCAGCCGCAGCCGCTTACGCTCCTTCTCCTTCTCTTCCACGTCGCGTACGTAGGTCATCAGGTTGTTCAACCGCCTGCTCCCGCCGACGCGCGTCCGGATCTCGCGCAGCTTCTCTTCTGCCTGGCGCATCTCGCCCTCGAACAGCGTGACCGCCGACGCCCGGCCCTGCTCCCACTCTCGCGGCTCGACTTCGATCTCGAACTTGTACGGCTTGATGCAGTTCTCCACCTGGTCCGACGTCACGCCCACGCGCTCGCGGAGAATCGCGTGTGAGAACTCCACGAGTCGCTCCGCCGCCCGGGGGTGGAACGTGAACGGCTCGCCCTGCGCGATCGAGTCGATCAACGCGCGAAGGCCGTCCGCGACGAGCAGCGTCGAGTCGCGCCCGACGCCCGACTTGGTGAGCAGCGATGAGGCCGCGTCGAGCTTGTAGCGCCAGTACGGCTCGATCGTCTCTGGGGTGACACGCGAGTCCGCACCGAGCTGGGTGAGCTCGGGGGCGCGTTTGTCGGTCCAGTAGAGCTGCTCGAGGACGTCCATGACACGCTCCTCGAGCATGGCCTTGAGCTTCGCGCGCACCTGCGGCTTGCGGAACTGCGAGGTGCACTCCTTGAAGCGGCCCTTGAGAAGGTCCATCGTTTCGGCGACGTACGACTCAGCCGAGATCCGCCGGTCGTTGTACTGCACTTTGAACTGGTACTGCGCTTCCTCCAGCTCGAGCTGGACGGCGTTCGTGATCCCGTGGAGCGATGAGGCCATGGACGACTCTAGGACTTCCATCAGCCGACGGCGGAGGGTATCGGTGCCGACCATGAGCTTCGACGTTGAGCCGAAAATGTCGCGGTGACTGCCAAAGTACTCGTTCTCCGCGCGCCTTGCTACTGTAGTCAGTGTATCTTTGCTGCTGCCCCTCTTGCCGGACTTGCATACGACACCAATGTATCCGAGGTGGAGAGGATACCGGTTGCCACTGAGGATGGTGGCTCCCTGTTCGGCGGGTACCAGGTCCATCTTCGTGATGACACCTATAGTTCGGAGGCCTAGGGGATCAACCATCCGGCTTGCGCGAAGAGCGGGAGAGTTGGCGAGATCGACATCTGCAGCGCAGACGGCCAGAACGATGTTAGGCTCGCGGATGTATTTCTCGCACAAGCCGGCAATCTTGTCCTTCAGAGTTTCGGGTTGGTCCATGGAGGTAATCTGGATGTAACCGGGGAGGTCGATGAGGGTGAGGTCGGGGACGTTAGGGCTGTAAATGCGGAGGTCGATGGGCTCGTTCGAGACACATTCTGAGGCGGGGACGGCGAGGTTGAGGTCGGTGAGGGTGCGTTGAATGACCGAAAAGTCAGTAATCTTCCCGAGACCGAGAGCGGGGAATTCGCCGTATTCTTGTGCATTGCCACTCGTCGCCGGAGTGTGCACGAGCGTGAGCTCGATTGGTCGCCGGGTGACCATATTGTTCCCTCTGCATATGCCAGTTGAGCCAGACGCAGAACAAGATATACGCATGAGTGCTTACTTGGGCAAGAACTCATGGCCAACTATTGCCTCCAGAACAGAACTCTTTCCTGAGCTCTGGCTCCCAATGACGACGATGCTCGGTAGCTTTAGCGCATCACTCTGGTCGATGCTAATGAGCATCGTCCGGATTTCGATGAGCTTCCGGGTAAGGTGCATTAAGCCATTCTGCTGCGAATCTCCACCGGAATCGCCTGCGTTGGAATCCGAAGCCGAGAGTGAGGTCGCCGCCATGATGGCCGCTAGAGCTGTCGCGTCGTCCTGGCTCGGCGGTCGCTTCTTATTGCTACCCCCCTCCGAGTCTCCATCATGGTGTTCCTTGCCGTCGGACGAGAACATGTCCTTGAAGAACTGAGGAGTATCAAGAGACGGCAGCTTCACTTCTGAAAGCTTGTCAGACACTGTCCTCATCGCGCCGGACGCGGTGTCGAAAGCATCGGTGATAGTGTCTTGAACCGTGGAGAAAACTTCATTGGATTTCTTCTTGAACTCTGTGGATGGGCCCGTCAGCTCCTGCTCACCGCTCCGCAATCACGGCCACGCCCATCCATCGCATGCACTGCAGCCTACTTGCTTCACGCAGGGCACGCATAGCGAAACCCTCTCTCGTATGTACATCAGCCTCTCGCTCTCCGCATGCAATGTCTACGCACCCCACAAGCAGAAGATAGAAAGCGTCTGCACTCACCCTCAAACTTGTAATTCGCGTACGTGAACCCGCCAGCACCGACCGTCACGGTCGCGGCGGGCACGCGGAACGCGCGGAGCATGAAGCGCGGTATCGACGAGTAGCTCAGCGCGCGGACGTGCACACGGCGCATCCCCGGGGCCCCGACTGCCCGCGAGCGCGCCCGGAGCGCATTTCCCGAGCCCGTGCTCGTGAGCAGCGTCGCGAACTGTCGGTGGACCGGGCGCGACGCCGCGGGTACACGGCCGGCGGTGGCGGAGGGGCCGTACGTTGAGACCTTGCGGGGAGCGAGGGCGGAGGAGACGCGGCGGCGGAAGACGGAGAACATGACGGTCGTGCGGCGGTGGCCTGCGAGGAGGCGGGGAAAGAGGTGGGTGGTGGTGGTGAGGAGTCTTGCGTTCGTCTGGGGCCGCCGCTCAACAGCACCGGTGGTAGAGAGGTGCCCGAAGGCGTAACGAAGGAAGAGGGAGGAGTAGGGTGGCGAGTGTGCGCGCGCCGGACCTCCATGCCGACCTCTAGTGCCGATCGAAAAGTGGTATATCGGACTTTGAATATTGTAAGCGGAGGGCCAACAGGGGCCAACGTGGCTTATGATCCGGACTACTAGTTGACAGTTACCCATGCTTCTAGCCTTGGCTAGATGAATGATTGAGAGATAGTATGTATCCATATAATCGAGAACTTTCGACTTTGTTTCTGCTTTCCTCGCACTTGAAGCTGCACATCGTTACTTGGGTTCCAGTGCTATTTCGCGTTCAAAAAGTAGATGCTTTCGGCGAATCGTTGACGTCATGCCATGGTTTCGCCCCTAAAAGGTGTTGGACCTTTTCCCTTTCGATCTCACATTAACGCTCGCCGCACGCCTTGTCGCGTATTGTCTACCGGGGACAGCCTGTTCACAGGCTTGAAAGGGTAAGCTTTATGCGGTACTGTTCTCTGGCCTCGATCCTTGAAAAGGGCACTCGAAAGGGCGGCTGCGTTAACTTATGATCTCCTGTCTATGTTATGTAATGCGGGTTACTAAATACAAAGTCAGTCCCGATGGTAGGGTCGCACCACTAGTGGCATCTGTGGGCCACTCTCCAGCTCATTGAGGCGCATTGGACGTGAAAGAAGTGTAGGGCTTCTTGCGATGTCGTCCGGGCCTGGTACCATGCCAAAATCGAACGCGCGCAAGAGGGTAAATACTGTAACCTTCATTCTGAAGGGTCACAAAAGACAGTCAGCGGGACCAGAGACGGGAGTGATAAATCAGAGGGCACGTACTCCGCGAGTGCGAAGCGGTACCCGAGGCAAGCATGCGGTCCGTTGAAGAACGAGAGATTGTGAGCCCATAAGCCTGGGATACTGGACACGGCGTCAGGAAGGTGGTTCCAACGCTCTGGGCTAAAGTGGTTGGGACATCTTAGCAAAATCAAGACGCCGCAGAAGCAAACAACACACCGGAACTCTAAAGCATCCTCTCCCCAGAGAGTCGGATCCCGGTTCAAACCGAGTAATGGAAGCACTATAGCCGTGCCCTTTGATACACTACTCGCATCCGTCGTCAGCACAAATATCCACAATCCACGGGCTGAATGAACACACGAAATCCGGTCATGACTATAGCCGTTGATCTTGACGGGCTCGCGGAGAGGAATAATGTCGTCCGCCTTGGAAACGCGAAGAGACGATGGAATCGCAGGGTATAAGCGTACGATTTCTCTCATCACGTTTTCTAGGTAGTGCAGGGAGTTGAGCTGGTCGACAGAAGGATGGTCTTCAAGGATCGAAAATGCTTCATGGCGTAACTTTTCTTGGACGAGTGGATGACGAGCAAGCTCGTAAAATAGCCAGGCGATGGTGATGGCGGTGGTTTCATGACCAGCAACAAGAAATCTAGCGCGAAGTCAGCCCAAACCTCCAAGGCTTCATATAAAAGCATTTACGTGATACACTCTGAAGAGCATAGAGGGTCAGCATGCACTTGCGAGCGGATATCCGCCTAAAAATTTACCATCAATGATTTCCTGGTCCGTCAATCGCTGACCTTCTGGAAGGACGTTGCCCATATTCGCTTCCACTACTTGAGTGAGAAAGTCACGACCCATCCTTCTCGAGGCCTTCTCCGCGGGAGCGAGCCCTTCCAGCTCTCGTCTCTTCTCGTGAATGAGGCTTGTGACGAAATCAGTCATACGGGCGCGGGCGTGCATGAAGCGTTGCGATTGCTGCTCGGGCTGAAAGGAAGTCCGTCAGATTTCTCATTTCACGACTAGGACTTCGCCGCGTCGGCCAACTCACCAAGAGTCGGAGTACCGGGAAGAAGAAGCGGAGCATGGGCCACCAAGACATGCGCGTCACCGATCGGGATACTAAGCGGAACGCGTCCACAAGGTCGTTAGGCGGCGTGTTGGCATCAAGTGTCCCTAGCTTGAAACCAAATGCTAGAAAGAGCGAGAGCGAGAATGTCGTGATTCCGAGGGGTGATCCCGAGGGAGATAGTCAGCGCGGGGCTTCACAAAACAAGAGAGAACAAGGCACATACCAGTCTCTCCGATCACGTCCAGAGACAATCTGTGCACCCAGGCGTAGAAGTCGAGCGTGGCCGAGCCCTGATTCTTGATCACTTCCGATGACAGTATGTCGCGGAGCTGCGGTGTCACAGGGTTGTGGTCAGGAGATGTGAAACAACGGAACTTGTTATCTTAATCACAACCGCACCTGCGAAGCCTTGCTCAAGAAGACATCTGCGTATCCGCGAATCTGCAAGGGACCGAACGCAGGGTTCTGCGGCCGGAGTGAGTGCGCGTGGCGGAAGTTCGGAGTGGTTCAAACTCACCACTACCCTCTTCTACGCCCACCAAGACCGCATGTGAGCGCGCAGGTACAACGAGCCCGGAAGAAGAAAATATGACCCACATGGCGTCGGTGCTGCTCCCCTGTACCACTTGCGTCAAGCTCTGGGTCTCTGTCCGACTGCAAGATGATCGCATACCTTCGCACAGTATCAATCCTGTGAAAAGCACGACAGTCCCTCGTTCAGCGCCGCGCTCAACTCATGAAGATTTCGAACATGACGCACCTTTCCCCATCATCTCTTGGATCACCATGCGCGCTCGCTCAGGCTTCTGCCAGGTCTCGACGCGCGAGAAGACGTGGGCGAGGGCCTTGGTGTCCATCGTGAAGAGGACGTCGTCGGCGAGGACGCGGTACGCGAGGGTCCGTCCGAACGTGCGGACCCATTCCTCGTGCAGGCCGGTCGGGTCGGCGGTCCAGATTTGCCTTGCCCAGCCGAGGAAGAAGGAAGGAGAAGGAGGGCCGGGGAGCTGATGAAGCTGGCTGTGCTGCGCGCTCACGAACGCCTGCCAGACCTTCCGGCAAGCTAGAACGAACGCGCCTACAAAGAGAGGAATGAGGAAAAGAGCGTGGAGTGGCATTTGCCTGGAAGAAGGGGAAGAGACACCGAGGGTGTTGCAGCTGAGGCTAGATGAAGCGCAGACACTAAAGTATCAGTGTCCGCGCTTCACAAATCAGAGCGTTCAGCCAAGTGCTCTCAGACGTGGATCCGTTCGTGATGGTGTCACACACATCGTCGAGGGGTAAACAGTGCCCTCGGTCAGAATCTATACCCACCATCACGAGCATGCGTTCAGCACGCTCCATCTCTCTCCCCCGTATGTTGGCCTTCGAGAACCCGCGATGCCACCTCGTTTCCGACGGAGACTCGCCCACAAGAGCTGAAGCTGAGCGCTGATCCTGATAACGCTGCCAATACTAGACAGCCTGACAGATAGCTGTACCGTGAGTAACACAATAGTACTAACCGCCGCCGGACACATGCGCTGTCGCGTGCATCCACGCAGTTTCCTGCAGAGTGAGGCTGGGGCCTGAGTGGCATATTGGGTGAACTGATAGATACTCAAGGGGTGACTCACTGTGCATACATTGCGTGACCGCGGTGTTGCACATGTTCATCTGACATGCTGAGCTTGAGCAAACGCTATCATGACAGACTCAGTTTCATCGGGCAAGAACGTCCGATGGGCGACAGCCACGAACTATCCATTTCGTGACCTCTTCTTGGAGTTCTGCTTCCCGCGCGTCCGTTCCGGTCGTTGTCAACATTGGCTTGAGCTTCGCTGCCGGCTTGTAAAGCAGTGTGAACGTGAACCCACAAAGTGGGGGGTTTGCGGACACTGGCTAAGAAAACATATCATTTCACGTGTTACACCAAGGTACACCAATACTCACAGTTGTTGCAGCTACTAGGGGTGATGTGGCGAGATCAAACGTTTCTGACTCTAAGTCCGGGGCGTTCGTGACGAGCGTGTTCATCAACGTCTCAACCCACTCAAGCCCCATGCGGGTGTACGGGGTCCTGAAAACAGGCGCTTGTCGCTCCTATATAGGCTGCAGCAAATCTCTCATGATACCGAATATATGTAGAGAGAAAGGAACCATGTGTCAAACATCGGAAAGAAGACGAATGAACTCGTTGAAAGAGCGCAGGATCTTGAGAGGACATAGGATTAGCCATAGAATATGGGCTGCCTAGGGATTGACGGCACCCGTTCAGAGTTCTCATCGATCAGCTTGCGTGCTGTCGCTAGCGCTGATGTCGAATGATCTCCGTGCGGACGCCCGGATCGGAGCGCCCTGCCACGCGCGTTCAAAAGATTAGGCGCCTATTATGAGTCGCGCACCCGTGGGAATCTGATCCCTAGAGTTAGAGAGAGAGTTCACCTACACTAGCAACCTCTTGACTCTTGCCAGAATCTATCTCGACTTTCTACTACACGCCCGCACTGTCTATGGCCCGGCCATCTTCGCCCAAGTGCTTCCCAAATATACTAGTGCACTACTGGTTCATGGCATTTCGATCGTCAACCGAACGTCGAGCCCTCATGTGAGCACCCACGGGCAGCACGGCCTCCCGAAACTCCCCTCCAGGTACTAGGTTCTACCACGCCTTCATATCGCGATTGGGGATCATCGCTCCGATATCTTCTCTCTCCCGTGAGCCATCTCGCTCTACGCCGAAATGAGCTCCCCTCCTCCGCCCGGTGTTTACGTCCCTGCGGTGCTCTTCTTTGACGAGGCCGAGGAGCTCGATGTTGTAGCGATCAAGGCGCACACCCTCCGACTTGCCCAGGTCAGAGCCCACCCGTACCTCATTCCTAAACTCGGGTGAAGCTGACGCTATTCCAGGGGGGCGTGACAGGCATCCTAGTGCAGGGCAGCAATGGCGAGGCCCAACACCTTTCGCACGAAGAGCGCAAGGCCACGATCAGCCTCACGCGCGCGACCCTCGACGAGAACGGTTTCCAAAACGTCCTCATCATCGCCGGGACGGGCGGACAGTCGACGCGGGAGACGAGGAAGCTCTGCGTAGATGCGAAGGAAGCCGGCGCGAGCCATGCGCTCGTGCTCACTCCGGGCGTGTGGCCAAACCAGATGAACAAGGACAGGATCCTGAAGTTCCACCGCGATGTCAGTCTCTCTTTTCCCCTTCTCTCGCGGCGTGCATCCCCACACCAATCCTAATCGCAATCCCGCGCACACCAGGTCGCAGACGCGTCCCCCATCCCGACCATGATCTACAACTTCCCCGTCGTGACCGCCGGCCTCAATCTCGACTCGGACATAATCGCCGCGCTCGCCGTGCACCCCAACATCGTCGGCACGAAGCTCTCCTGCGCTGATGTCGGGAAGCTGAACCGCCTCACGTCCTCCCTCTCTCCTGAGAAGTTTGCGACCTTCCCGGGGTCGTCCTCCGTCTTCCTACAGGGTTTGGTCGTCGGCAGTGCAGGCATAATTGGTGCGCTGCCTAACGTTGCGCCGAAGGCCCACCTTCATCTATACAAGCTCTTCAAGGAGGGCAAGATGGCGGAGGCGCAGAAGCTGCAGGGTCTGCTGGCGCATGCCGACTGGGAGTTGCAGAAGCTGGGCAGCATTGCAGGGATCAAGGCGGTGGTGTCGAAGCACTTCGGATACGGTAGCACCGATGTGAGGGGACCCTTGACGCCGCAGAACTTGGAAGCTGTGGACGCTGCGGCGATCACCAAACTCGAGGAGCTCATCGCTTTGGAGAAGACGTTGTAAACCGATGGTGGCGTAGCTTCCGGTGAACTGTACGATGATATGGCGGGGATCCCCAAATACAATGTTATACTATAAAATAGATTGCGAGCTGGCCATAAATTCCAAGCAGTGTGCCTACAGCTTCGCCTTCGCCTTCGCCGCCTGAACAACATATAAGCGGCACTGCAATATTTCAACACGAGTGCACGTACCTTCAAGACGCCGTCGAGCTTGGTAGCGAACATCATGTTGCCCTTCGTCTTGAGCTTGCCGGTCATAAACGCTTTTTGGCCGTCGAGCTTGCCCTCCGCAAGCTGGGTGAAGGTCTCGTCCGAAAGGATGATGGTGACGTTCGCCTTCTTCTTGGCCTCGCCCTTGTAGACAGTGCCAGTCTCCTTGAGGTCGATAGTCCAGACGCCCTCCTTGCCCTCGGCGTTCTTCACGCGCATCTCAAAGATGCCGTTCGTCTGGAGGAACAGGTGAGCGCGTGGACGCGGAATGGAAGACGAACTGCTCACCTTCTTGATCTGGGACTTCTTCTCCTGGTCGCTGTAGTTGGCGAACACCTCTGCCAGCGCAGCGAGGACCTCAGAAGCCTGGTCGGGTAGTGAAGAGGTGGCCTTGTCGAGGTTCTTGTGGATGAGCTACTCACCTTGAAACCGTCGACCTTGATGTCAGACATGATGGGCGGTGTGAAGGAGAAAGTAGAGGGAGAACAGGTGAGCACGCGAACGGAAGGGGAGGTATTTGGCGGTGACCGACGCGGGGGGCTTGCGGGAGGCGCCGCCGATGATGTATGCGATCATGGGGAAAAGAAGCACATGTGATAATCACCCATGCGCTATGTGGTCGCCGAAGAGGACTTGCTCCGCTCTTCCCCCAAGTGCCCTGCAGCTACATACCCGTCCACCGACCGCTCACCGCGCACGCAACATGCCGCGGTCGAAGACCAAACGTCCGCGCACCCCATCTCCTCCCGCTGACCGTCGCGCGCCCGCCTCGACGACCCCTTCTCCCCAGCGCGCGAAGAAGCTCAAGCTTCTCGCCGCCCACACCCTCGAGTCCCCCTTCCCCGACTTCCACCGCCCCACCCCCCTCGAGGCCGCGGACGTGCTCGCCATCCTCTCGCGCGCCCACCCAGACGTCGCCGCGCGCCGCCGCGCGCCCTCGGCCCGCAGCAACGCCGCGTTCACCTGCGGCAACGTCCCGGACGTGCTCGAGAGCCTCGTCGGCACCGTCCTCAGCCAGAACACGTCCTCGCGCAACGCTGCCGCTGCCAAGGACGGGCTCGACGCCGCGTTCGGGCGCAACGACTTCGCCGCCATCGCCGCGGCCCCGCGCAAGGCCGTCGTCGCCGCGATCCGCTCCGGCGGGCTCGCGAACAAGAAGGCGGGCGTCGTCCAGAACCTGCTGCGCGAGGTCCACGCGCGGCACGGGGTGTACTCGCTGCAGCACCTTGTGAGCCCGATGAAGCGGGAGGGCAGGGCGGGAAGGAGGAGGGGCGTGAAGGAAGAGGCGGACGGGGAGACCGCGGACGTCGGGTTCACGGACGATGCGGCGATGGAGGAGCTCGTCTCGTACGACGGCGTCGGCCCCAAGACGGCATCGTGCGTGCTCCTTTTCTGCCTCGGTCGCGCGTCGTTCCCCGTCGACACGCACGTCTTCCGCTTGTCTCGACTGCTGCAGTGGGTTCCTCCGAAGTCGGACCGTGTTACTGCACAGGCCCATTTGGACCTCACTATCCCAGACGACCTAAAGTACGGGCTCCATCAGCTGATGTTCACTCACGGAAAGCGATGCAAAGGCTGCAAAGGACCAGGCATGCGCGACGAATGTGTACTGAAAGATTGGCTTCGTGAGCAGAAGGGCGTGAAGGAAGAAGAACAGGAGTTGTTATTGCGCAAAGCGGAAGACGAGGACGAGGAGACCGTGCTTCCAACATAAACACGGCCAATTGTAGGATACATCAGTGCAGACGAGCCCGGTTGTACGGTATTGCACAGTACACGTATGCTTGGATATTTCGAAAGGCCACGAAGGGAAACTAGCCCAGGTAGTCCAACGCGGGCCAACTGCGCGAGCGCTAATGACGGATGTTCAGACATTACGCCCCATACATAGAGACTCAAAGACGGCTCTCTAAGGCCCGCAAATGCTCAGGCAGGATGCCGATGTTGCTGTCACACGTTGCACTCCCGCGAAAGGGCTATTACATAGTATCACATGGATGATGCTACCACGAAGTACGTCGGATTGCCTCCAGGCTCGTGTCTTGATCGCGCAGCTGACGTTGGATACCCATACAAAGGCAGAAGAGTACCGATGGTCGATCCTTGTTTATCATAATCTGGAGCACTTATACAGAACATACATATCCGCGGCCACCCGGCAAATCGTACAAGTACTGTATCCCGTACATAAAACACAACAATGGGAACGGGGGTGACCGACGGGATCAGGAGCAACTAGAACGTACGAATACAATAGGGTAGGCAGCTAGAACGCAAAGGCCGCGGGTGGTATAACGAAAGCAGAGGGTATCCAGGAGAATATGTCCGTGTCGCGCGTCGAAGCCGAGGGAAGAGGCTCTCACCAACTTGCAAGCCACTTGCCCATCTGGTACCAGATACCCTTCCGCTTCTCCACCGCATTCTCCATCCTGCGCACGACCTCCGCCTGCCACACCGCCCAGTCCGTGTACAGCGGCACCTTGTACTTCTCGCACACCATCTCCACGTTCCCCAGACGATGGTACTTCTCGGGGCAGCACACCACCATCTTCCCCGTCGCCGCGTACATCCCGAGCTCCAGCAGCGAGATCGGCGCGATCGTGGCCGGGTCGAAGTACATCGCGATCACGTCCGCGGCGTCCAGCTCGTCCATCTCCCACTTGACCTGCGCGTGGAACTCGGGGTGGCGCGCGCGCTGCTCCCACGTGTTGTTCCAGTTGTCCCGGCGCGGGTTGAGGATCGTGACCTCGAGCGGGGCGAGGGCTTTGGTGAGGTCGAGCTGCCAGTTGTGGGCCTTGCCCATCTCGATGGAGCCGGCGAGGAAGATGCGGGGGCCGACGGCCTTGACTTCGGTGGGTGGCTTGAAGACGATCGCCTTGGTCTCGATGGGCTCTGGATGTGAGGCAGGGGGCTCGTCGAAGACGACGTCGGTGGCGTCGTCGTCTGTCGACTCGGGGAGAGTGGCGGCGACCTCGGCCATCAACGGAGTTTGGAAACCGGGGACGCCAGCGAGAGAAGAGAGCGGGAGGTTGGCGAACGATGTGGTCGCCGAAGGGGGGAGGACATTGCTGAGAGACATGTCACTGGGGGTTGAGCGGCGGTGGTGGTTGTGGTGTAGTGGAAAGGTTGCAGGACAATGGGTGGGGTCTTCCGCCTGTGGGCAAGGGCAGGTGAGGTGGAGGGCATGACGACACGCTCCGAGGCTTTAATAACCAGGCGGTCCCAGGGCCGGTGCCTCCCGATGAAGAGAGGTTCTAGCCAGTGCCGGAGGTCGAATGGTGGCTTCGAGATCCGCACTAGTTGAGTCGACTCGCCAGGGCTGGTGCTACAGCCCAGTGCAGATAGCTATCGTGGTACTCTGCGCGTTCGGGTGTGACGCGGCCTCGTCGGATGCTTGCGCCTGCCGCTCACTGTGCACAGCCTCGCCCATGCGGTATTTCCGGATAGGGTCTGCGGGCAGTGACCTGTTTTCTGGAATCTGCAGCGCCCTGGCGTACGACTCTGAGATGTTTTGCTTCGACCACCCAAAAGCTCTGCAACATTCTTGCGAGGGCTGTGTTTCCAACTGCACCAGGAAACAAGCCCTACTACGCGTACTCATCCTACAAATAGCTATATCTACAACGATGTTCTATCGCAACAAGCGAGCAAACCAAGTACGGTACAACGCCTCGGAGCAGTGCTTTCAAGAGGCTGTAAAGTGCAGTGGAGGGTGAGTTGACATCGCAATCGCAAGTACTGTGGCAACCTGACAGACTCGGGGTGGCCAATGAGCTTCACAGGCATATCCAAATATCCGAGTCACTGCCGTGTGCCAGCTGCACGACTGATGTCCCGAGCATGAGCGGAGAAAGCAAAAACTCTGACGCATTGACCCACGAACGGGACCGATGGTGACAACAACACAGATTCTAGGTGACCGAGACCCACGCAGGCCAACCGCACTATCCTCCCGTCCGCACACCTTCCCTTCCCCAAGCCTACGGCGCTCTGTGTCGCCACACCAACCCCGTCAATCCCGTCATCGTCCACAATGTACACCTTGTCGGTCTTGCACCATGACTCGGCGGCGATGGCGCCCCCGGCGGTCACAGTGGCCACTGGAAGAAGAATCCGGATAAAAGGTCCGCTAGACGGAGACTTCGTTCTCCTCTTCTAAACACCACTCGCGCTCGCCGTGGTGGCGGTCTTGGGGATATGCACAGGGTTCTATGGCGCTCGCGACGTCATCGATGGATCGATTCTTCTGGTCTTGGTCGAGTGCGAGATGGCCAGTCGAACGTTCCTGGACTGGAGCACCCAGCTCGAGGATCGGGGCTCGGAAAGCGTGCACGAGCACAGGAGAGTGGGAAAGTGGTGAAGAAGGTGACTTGGCCCATCAAGAGACTTGAGTGGACGATGGGGCAGTGGATCCAGCGAGGGGGGAGACATGGATTCGTAGCTCAGTGCAGGGAGCAAGGGCCATGTCAGGGCTGAAAACAGTGCGGCTAAGATGAGGGTCCCTAGTGGTAACAGCTTAGCTGTCACGATCGAGTGCAGATTGAGGACAATCCTCATTGACTCCGCCGACGGCCTTGGGGGACAGACCGATATCCAGACCGCCACTTCGCCACTTCAGCTCTGGTCTTTGAGCGACATTTTCTTTGGCACTGGAGTCAGACGGCAATATCCAAGCATCCTCGTTCTCATGGGTAATTCGGCACGACTTGGGAAAGTCAAGAGGCACGTATCGAGAGTTTGGCACGAGCAGTGTTGATTCGAGATCGGGACTAACCAACGCCGAGGGTTGCCACGACGAGTGGATCCAGAAGGAACGCAGTCAACTTTGTGCGTGCGTTACTGCATATCGCACACTGTTGAGTGATTGTGGGCAACGTCCATGTGAAATCGACGCACCCAGCGGAGCACACACAGTTCCGTGGCCAAGACATCCGGCAAGCATCCTAGTATCCATCCCGCTCTTTCTTGATAGACACGCGCTTCTTCACGCGCGGCTTCGGCGCGGAGGTCTTCAACGAACTCTTCTCCGACTTGGCCTCGTTTGGGGACACGGGCTGTTCTTCAGGGAGGTCCGCCACGCGCTTGCGCTGACCTGGAGGCGCGAAGAGGACGTGCTGGATGCTGGAAGAAATCGCGCGGGCCACGAGCCCGACACATATCGCACAGAGAAGCGCGGTGCCGACGAAGACGTAGATGGGGTAAACGTTCCGGGCGATAGAGGCGGCGATGGCGTAGGGTGTGAAGATGAAGAGATCGAGTAGCACGCGGAGGAAGACGAAGACGGGCGCGAGAAGGTAGGAAATGGGGCTGTAGATGAGGGTCAAAGGTGCAAAGATGGAGAGGACGAGCGTGAGGGTGGTCTGGGAGAAGAAGCGGTAGGAAACGGTAAAGAGGTGAGCGAGAAAGCGGGCGAGTTCAACGATGGGCGGTGAGGGCGATGAGGCGGCAACGGTGCCGCTGTCGGGCTTGGGAAGCAGAGCAGGTTGCGAGTTCATGGCGAGGCTAAGAGAGACGTTGAGCAGGAAAGTGGTTGGAAGCGGTGATCAAGAAGGAAGACTCGAAGATGCCGGTGACGTTGGAGTTGAGTAGATAGACGCGTGTCCATGTATGGTCTACTAGTAGGCGCCTCGCATTATATGTAGTTGAGGACCGTCAAGATCCCGACCACTGTTTTGAGCGGGTCTGGCGGCGCATGGGCAGCCAAGGCTGCGTTGTGCGGTGCCAAGCACTTCATTTGGCTGTTGAAGCGTAGGACTGTACAGTGATTGTATTTTCTGACGCTGCCCCGAAGTTGAATCTGAAGTATAATTCTCTTGATTGTCGCCACACGGCCCATTCCCTTGTCGGGCCTTCGGGGCTCGGGGCTCCTATCTGAGAGTCATGTATATGTCATAAATCAGCAGGGCACGGCAACTTCACAAAGCCTCCTGAGCAATTATGGTACGCAGTTCCAGCATATCGAAGATTTTTCAGGACCTATACTTTGGCAAGTGGAACAATAAACACACAAGCCCCGCATTATTGTGCAGCAAGAGGAAGAGACAGCTTTATAGGGCGAGCAGCACGTCCTTCACTCGGGAGAGGTTCGAGCGGCAAGGAGAGGCCAAGATATGCCGTGGGAACAGGTTCTTGAGGAACTGTACAGCTGAAGCAAGCCACCGAAACGGTCCCAGCACGCGTCTGTGTAACGCCCAGACGCCAAAGCCCGTCCATCCTCAAGACTCCCTCCCAATGGCCCCCTCAACTACGTGAGTGCAAATCGCTTGGAAAAAATGGTGCACATTAACTCATGCGTATCTATCGTCAGCGTCCCGACCGTCTCGGTCAGTCCCAGATGCTTGTAGGGGATGTTACTAGCGTCTAATATCAGTGCAGGACATCGAGGTCCCGGAGACTCTCCTCAAGAAGCGCAAACAAAACGAAAAGGCCCGGGAGGAGCGCTTGACTGCTGCAGTTGCGGCTCGCAAGGTGCGTTTGCTATCTCCATATCTTGTGGTCTGGTTTCCCTGCCATATCTCTCCGGTCCTCCTGTATGGCTCTGGTTGCCTGAAGTTGAACGCTGTTGGGGAATCGTAGATATGGCACGGGCTCGTTGTGGTCGCAAATTGATCAATTACTGACGCTTTTTCAGGCTGCCAAGGCTAAGCGCAAGGTCATCTTCAAGCGCGCTGAGTCCTACGTGAAGGAGTATCTCACGAAGGAGAAGGAGGAGATTCGCCTCAAGCGGGCAGCACGTGCGTCGGGTGACTTCTACGTTCCTGCGCAGGCCAAGGTTTACTTCGTTGTTCGTATCCGCGGGTGAGTCATTATTTTTGTTGCGTATTCGCGCAGTGGGTCATACCTCGTCGGTAGTATCAACAACATCGCGCCCAAGCCCCGCAAAATCCTTCAGCTTCTCCGGTTGCTCCAGATCAACAATGGTGTCTTCGTTAAGGTCACCAGGGCTACCGAGCAGATGCTCCGTCTTGTTGAGCCCTACGTCACCTACGGGTGAGCCGCCCGTTTCCTCGTGAGGATATCATCTTGACCTCGTTTCAGCGAGCCCAACCTCAAGACTGTCCGTGAGCTGATCTACAAGCGCGGCTACGGCAAGGTCGACAAGCAGCGTATCCCCCTCGCGAACAACGCTGTCATTGAGGAGACTCTCGGCAAGTACGACATACTCTCCGTTGAGGATCTCGTACACGAGATCTTCACTACGGGCCCCAACTTCAAGCAGGTACGTGTTACATGTCATATCTGTGGAGTCGCCACCTTACAATATACATAGGCGTCGAACTTCCTCTGGCCGTTCAAGCTCTCGAACCCCACCGGTGGCTGGAGGACACGGAAGTTCCAGCACTTCATCCAGGGCGGCGACTTCGGCAACCGGGAGGCGAACATCAACAAGCTCATCCGCCAGATGAACTAAGATGGTGCTTCGGGGAGCATCGTCTACGTCTGGAGGGCCGCAGACGAGCATGTATGAGGAAGTATGACTGGCATGCGTTACTTCTTTACGACGATCACCACTGTCCTGTATGCTCTATGTCCATTCAATCGTCAAAAACAGCATATCGTCAGAGCACCCACGCAGCCTGCGATCTCTCGTCTACTCGAGATTCGAGGCTTCATCTCACTGCCACCCTGGACATCTCCCTCTAAATACCAAGATCCCGAGCGAGCGTCTCCATGAGCGCGCACCCAGGAGTCGGAGTCAGCCGCACAACATCTCCGATTGGTCGCTGGCCTATCTCGATCTTGCTCTTCGTCGAGCTGGCCAGAACTTGGCGATACCCTGGTGGCCCATTCGGAGAACTTATATCCGAGGCTGAGACTCAGGATCTTGTAAACATGGAGTGCTATGAAGCCGTCTTCAAAGGGCTGGAGCATGGAGATCTGGCCGCTGAGGTCCACCAGGAGGAAAGACTTTGAATTCCTTCGTGCTGGGGATGGTGTCGCTGACGATGAGCCGCGGAGCACGCACGCACCTCGACCTCGACCTCGACCTCGACCATGGCACGCCCCGTCTGCAATACAGGCCTCCGAGTTCTTCACCCACGTCTTCCGCGGAACTGTGCCCGTCTCCTCTCCCGTTTGGACCCTCCTGGACGTGTTCCCCAGCCTGCGGACGCTGACTGTGGGAAGGACTCGCCGGTGCCGGTGCTGCATGGCACGCCCATGCGTCCAACGGCGGACGCGGACGCCCCTACGCCGCTCGTGTGTCCGCATCTGCGTTCGCTGAGCTAGCCGTCGATGTGGTATGTGCCTGGCGTGAATCGGGAGGCGCTGGCCTTACTGCTGCGGCATCGGGAGAATTAGCAGGCACTGCCAATGGATATGGTGACGGTGGGGCTGGTTAGCTACGACGCTGAGCAACTGGAGTTCGGCTAGGAGGGACTGGCGGAGTACACAGCGCAGCTGTTCCCTCGTTACGTGAATCAGTTCGAGTTTGTTGTTGCGCGTATGACAGCTTAACATGGGCTCGAAAGTAGACTGGGGCGTTATGGATAGCATTGTATGTGACGAGATGGCTTTCGGAGACAGGAATTGAGTATCGGGGAGCAACTGTGTACGGAGCCGGGGTATGGTACGGGTATACTATGTAGCACAGGGGGACATCGTAACTTGTAAGGCTACAATAAAAGATGTCCGTATCTCCAACCAAGGCGAAAAAACTAAGCCCGCCGAGAGCCCAGCAACATACGCACTCGGGACAAAACACCCTTCCGCTTCTCCACCGCATTCTCCATCCTGCGCACGACCTCCGCCTGCCACACCGCCCAGTCCGTGTACAGCGGCACCTTGTACTTCTCGCACACCATCTCCACGTTCCCCAGACGATGGTACTTCTCGGGGCAGCACACCACCATCTTCCCCGTCGCCGCGTACATCCCGAGCTCCAGCAGCGAGATCGGCGCGATCGTGGCCGGGTCGAAGTACATCGCGATCACGTCCGCGGCGTCCAGCTCGTCCATCTCCCACTTGACCTGCGCGTGGAACTCGGGGTGGCGCGCGCGCTGCTCCCACGTGTTGTTCCAGTTGTCCCGGCGCGGGTTCAGGATCGTGACCTCGAGGGGGGCGAGGGCTTTGGTGAGGTCGAGCTGCCAGTTGTGGGCCTTGCCCATCTCGATGGAGCCGGCGAGGAAGATGCGGGGGCCGACGGCCTTGACTTCAGTGGGTGGCTTGAAGACGATCGCCTTGGTCTCGATGGGCACAGCTGGATCTGAGGCCGGGGGCTCGTCGAAGACGACGTCGGTGGCGTCGTCGTCTGTCGACTCGGGGAGAGTGGCGAGGACCTCGGCAACCAACGGATCTTGGAGAACGCCAGGAAGAGGAGAGAGCGAGAGGTTGGCGAACGATGTGGCCACCGAAAGGGGGACGTGGGTGCCGAGAGACAGGTCGTTGGGGACTGCGTTGTGCTCGGCCATGGTACGAGTGAGGTGCTGCAGAACAGAAGAAGTGGAGCGGTCCGTGTGGTTGAGGGGAGAGGAATGTAGACTGCCACCACGCTCCGAGCGGCCGCTTTATACAGAAAGACCGGGTGCCGAGTGGCGGGTGTGGCGAGGTGGGCGGCCGGTGCGTTCGGGTCGCTGCTGCCACAGCCGAATGTGGTCCGCATTCCGCTTCCGAGTGTACCACAGCACGGCGAGCGTGGCGGCGCGAGCAGTCTCACCGCATGAGTCGAAGAGAGCATCGGGTCGGCCACTGCGTCGGTGTGACTGGGAGCGTCCCTTTGTTGGTCGCATGGCAGCAGCATCTGGACCCCACCACTTTGGAGCGGCGCGGGTACACGGACTGAGCGCGGTGTCCGACTGCAACGACGGCGCGGTGCCGTGTCCGACCACAGCGAGTGCCCAGCCCCGTCACGATGAGTCGCTCAGTTTGTCGAGTGCCGCTGGGCCTGTGCAGGAGGGAATGTTGTTGTGGTAGACTGTCTCTGGAATACAGCTACTTGATTCTAAGTAAGGACCTTCGAGTCCTCGTGTGAGACGAGGACAGCCTTGGGCATTGCACCGCTTGATCCTAGAACGCGTAGTATGGGTGCTCACGTGGATAAAAGAGGACCAAAGAGAACTCACATGTCGCCGCGTGGGGTGAAGTTCCTGAGTGCCTGATCCATCGAAAGAGGCAACTGACAGGAAAGGACAAAAGAAGGGGAATCTCATGTACAGCATCGGTGCACCGCCCATCTGCATCACCTTGGTTTGCGAGAGGGCGAATGCATCATCTGGCTATCAACGGTGTAGAAATGGGGGAATGCAAGATCAGTTGTATTGTACAGTGTGCGGGAAATACAAATGCATGAGCGAGAAGTGCAAACTACAAGGTGCATGCTATTGTAACAACAACAAACAGCGCCACAAATCGTGAGCGCCGTGACTTTGGCTTGATAGGCTTGTGAACACTAAGAAGCCCGTGGGTGGTATGCGAACGTAGCGGTGTAACAATAGGAGGCGGAGACGAGGAAGAATGCATAAACAGTTATTCACCTACTTCGGGCCTCGAGCGCGTCGACCCAGGCAGCCGCCTCACTCGAACTTCGGCACGTCGAAGGTGCCCTCCCGGTCCGCGCCGTGCGCCATGATGTAGTCCTTGTCCTTCTGCGCGAGGTGGAGAATATGGCTGATCGTCTTGTGCGCATCGATCTCCACGCGCGGGTTGAGGAGTGCCGCGCTGCGGATCGCCTCTGTCGCGAGGTCGTACCGGCTCGTCTTGTTAAGGACCATCATCATGAAAGGCGACGTCGTCGTGCCCTCCTCGATGTAGCCCTGGATCAACATCCGGTGGGTGTTCGGTCGGCCGAAGAGCAGTCCCTGCGCCGGGTCAGCGTCAGCCTGGAGTACAAGGAGGAGGGGGGGATGAAGCGCACCTTGAGCTCGGAGGGATAGCCGTGGTAGTTGAAGATGACTGGCTTGTTCTTCGTGAAAAGCGATTCGAAGCCTTCGTGGCTCAGTGCGTGAGGGTGCGTGCCAAAAGGCCCGAGAATCATCAGGTCCGTGACGTTCACAACCCGAACGCGGAGCGCGGGGATCTCCTTCCGAAGGAGTGCAGCCGCGGCGATAACCTCGAAAGTCATCTCCACACCGATGCCCACAAGGACCACATCAGGCGACATGCCCTCATCGGTGGACGCGAACTTCCAGGTGGACGCGCCTGCGATGCAGTGCTGCGAAGACAATGTGAGAAAGCGCTAGGCGTCATGCAAAGGATTACGTACCAGGTCAGCTTCTTCAGGGCTCAACCACACGGGGGTAGGTTGCTTGCTGCCAACCATGAGGTTAACATAGTCTTCGCACGGAGACAGTGCGCCATCGTCGAGAGGAAGCAGTTCGCGTCAGGTGGGAGGTAGACGCGGGCAGCTGCGGGCTTCAGGTTGAGCACGGCGCCGATGAACGATGGGTTCTGATGAGAGAAACCATTGTGTTCCCTGGGGATGGCTGAGTATGCGACATCGCAGAACGCACCAAATGGCACTCACTGTCGTGTCCAAGTGCTAGTCTCGACGTAGTTGAGTGAGCCCATGGGCTGGCGCCAGGGGACCTCTTGGGCGGTTTTGACGAACTTCATGTACTGCACCATCATCGTGTGAACGATACCGAGGAATGCCTCGTAACTCGGGAAGAGACCGGTGCGGCCCGTCACGGTATAACCCTGAAGCATGCCCTGGCAGGTGTGCTCGGACAGGATCTCGATGACACGACCCCCTTTGGCGCGCGATGCGATATCCCATTGGAAGTTGCGGCCACTGTGGCGCAGGACCGCGTCGAGCTTATTCGAAACAAGCTCGTCAGGAGAGAATATACGGAAGGCGCTCGGGTTCCTGAAATTTGTGGTCAGTTATGAACCATCAGATATGGGTATAGATGTTCACGTCTGTGCGACGGCGTCAAGGAGCTCGCCGGTGATCTTCATGCAGCTCTGAGTGCTGTCCTTCTCAACGGCGAAGGTCTTCCAGTTGGGGACGTTGAGGGGCGTGTAGGACTTGTAGGCCTCCTCGCGCATGCCAAGACGTTTGCTCTCCTCCTTGGGAATGATGGAAAGGATCGCCTCGTTCGGAATGCCGTCAGAGCCGAAAAGCTCCCTGGGCCCGTACGACAGCAACCAATCCTGAAGCATCTCGAGCTCGTTCGCGTTGGTCTTAGCTTCTGGCAGAGGGACTTGGTGAGCCTTGAACGACCCTTCAATCCACTCGCCGCGAAGCTCCTTTGGGCCAGACCAACCCTGTGGCCCACAGGATAAGTATCAAAAAGACCGCAACCAGCCGATGATACGGACCTTAGGCGTACGCAGAATTAGCACAGGCCAGCGAGGCTTGACGATGGGGTTACCGCTCCGGGCCGCGGTTTGAATGTTCTTGATCTCCGAAAGGGCCCACTCCATGCTCGCCGCGAGGTCCTCGTCGATGTGCTCAAGATCCTTAACAATGCGAACCTGGTAGCCGTAGCCGGTGAATAGAGAAGTCATCTCCTTGTCGTCCATGGTACCGTAGATGGTTCGCTCGGAGATCTTGAAGCCATTTACGTGCACGATGGGCAAGACCGCACCCGACTCGGCGGGGTCGATGTACTTGTACCCATGCCACGCTCTGACGGAAGCACAGCCAATGAGAAAAAGAGACTGCATATAGCTGGATGAAGAAGCACTCACGTTGCGGTGGGGCCGGTCTCCGCTTCACCATCACCAACTACACAGACACAGACGAGGTTGGGCTTGTCCATGACGGCGCCGAACGAGACACCAAGAGCGTATCCGAGCTCGCCACCTTCGTGGATACAGCCCGGAGTCTCGGCGTTGACGTGACTGTATGTGAGTTAGCATCTACCCCAGTGTGGGAAAGAGGACAGCTGACCTCGGGAAGCCTCCCGGGGAACTGAACGCCTTGACGAGAGCATTGAGACCCTCCTTGTCGCGAGAGTACTTGGGGTAGAAGTTGCCAAGGGAGTTCTCGAGCCAGAGACAGGAGAGGATGCCTGGGGCGCCGTGTCCCGGACCGACGACGTAAAGAGCGTCAACGCCAGTCTTGGCCACAAGACGGTTGACGTGCGCGTAAACGAGGGAAAGGCCGGGGCAGGTCCCCCAATGACCGAGAAGACGAGGTTTAATGTCGTCGGGGGTGATGTCACGCTCAACAAGGGCGTTGCCCATGAGGAAGATCATAGCTGGGAAGGACGCGTGAGATCAAAAAAGTAGATGGGTTCAACAGAGGAACTAACCGGCAGCAATGTAGTCGGCAGCGCGACGGAATTGCTTGATAGCAGAAAGCTCTTTGGGGGAAATGACGCCATTGAGTTCAAGCTTGATGCTGTATTCATTGATTGAATCCGGAAGCTGAGAGGGGTCCGGAGGGGGGTTGGGTTGGAAGAGCAGCTGTGCAGGCATCTGGATGGAGGACTGGCTTGGGATGGTGAAGGGAAGTCGACGGCAGGGCCCCGCATATATATGGGATTTGCGAGAAACATGACGCAAGGGGCAGAGAACGGAGGAGAAACTGTGGCCAAGCAGACGCAGCAGAGGAGGCAGCCGATCAAGCGCCAGGCGCGATCCAGACGACGCGTCTAGCCACATTCTCACGCGTCGGACGGCCAATCAGCGCCTCGGACTTGGCCAGACTCTGGGGCTCTCACCAATGCACCATATCCTGCCCTCTCGTTCGGATCTCATGTGCTCTGCTCTAATCACTCGTCTTCTGCAAGTTCACTCCTCATCAGCGAACGGTAGGCAGGCCAATCCCATCTTGCACAACTAGTCGGGCCAATATGGAGCATAGCTCCAAATTATTTATCTGGTAGAATGAAGAGCACAATTGCTATGTGCATGCTGCTAGCCTCCCGGCAAATCTACGAGCTGATTGAGCCGTCCAACACGTCAGCACGCATGTGAGTCGTGAACCCCAGATCCCCAAGTGCAGAGAAGATTCACGCTCGGGAGCAGGTCCACTGTTCCTGGCTAAAGGTCGCTTAGGCTGAACATCTGCGTGCTGCGTGGCGGGCGCAGACAATGGGCTCAAGCATGGGGACGATGGCTATGCCGAAATATAGTGAACTCGCTCCAGACCGGCCTGAGGCACGGCGAGGATTCGTCGCCGCCTTGGCCTCCCGCGCGACATAGGAGAGCCGTCCGGTCGGGCACCATCCTTGGCGCGCACTTTCTCGAGTACTCTCGCCGCCCTGACGAAGTCGATAATTCGGCGCGGATCCCACTCCACACAAAACGTCAGCCACCACTCCATTCCATCCACCTCTATCGTCCGAGCAAAGTCTGAACTCTCGACCTTTCGCTCAAGAACGCGCTCTTCCTCCTTCTATTCCCCCGAACACCCATGGCTGAAACTCCAGCCTCGCGTTTGGGACTCATCCTCGCCGCGAATGCAGGCTCGTCGTCACTCAAAATCTCCCTCTTCCGGCGACGCCCCGCTCCGTCCGGTTCTCCCCTCGATGCCGTCGAGCTCCTCCTCACCTCCACTATCACCAACATCTCTGCGCCGCCCGCGCTCTTCTCGTTCTCCCCCGCGTCCTATGGAGAGGGCCGCGAGGCCAAGAAAGAACCGGCGCGAGACATCAAGGACCACGCCTCTGCGTTCGCACACTTCCTCGACTACCTCAAGCGCGAGGCGAGCACCGACCGCGACCAAATCGTGCACATCTGCCACCGGGTCGTGCACGGCGGCGACTGCTTCAAGCCCGTCGTGATCACCGACGAGAGCTACCACCACATCGAACGCCTCTCCGACCTCGCGCCTCTGTGAGTGCCCCCTCTGTGATGACGTCATCGCGCCCGCACAGATGATCGCGTGCGCGACAGACACAACGGCGGCGCGCTCTCCGTCATGAAGGCCTGCCTCGCCGCCCTCCCCGCCGCGAACTCCATCGCGTACTTCGACACCTCCTTCCATGCCACCATCCCCGCCCACGTCTCAATGTACATGATCAACCAGGACATCGCCGAGAAGCGCGGCCTCCGCAAGTACGGCTTCCACGGCCTCAGCTGTGCGTCCTTCATCGCGCCCGCGTTACCTTTATCAATCGCTAATGAGCTTCCGCCCCCAGACGCCTCCATCGTCCAGGCCGTCAGCGAACACTTCAACAAGGTGCGCCCCTCGCGCGCGGTCCCCCTTGCGCGCCCACGCTAACCTCCTCCGCTCCCCGCTGCACAGGACCCCTCCACCATGAACCTCATCGTGATGCACCTCGGCTCCGGCGCGTCCATGTGCGCCGTCGCAGGCGGGCGCTCCGTCGACACCACCATGGGCCTCACGCCCGTCTCTGGCCTTCCCGGGGCGACGCGCTCGGGCGCGATCGACCCCGCGCTCATCTTCCACTACACGAACCGCGCGGGGCGGATGTCGCACGACCGCGCGCTCGCGGTCAACGTGCAGGTCACCGAGGCGGAGGAGATCCTCAACAAGCGCTCCGGCTGGGCCGCGCTCACCGGCACGACGGACTTTGGGGAGATCGTGCGCCGCATGCACGAGCACGAGCACGACGGGGAGAACAAGTGGCGGATGGCGTTCGACCTGCTTTTGGACCGCATCGTGGGGTACCTTGGGGGGTACTACCTCAAGCTGGGCGGCAGGGTCGACGCGCTGGTGTTTTCGGGGGGTATTGGGGAGCATAGTGTCGAACTGCGCGAGGCGGTCGTGGCGAAGGCGGCGTGCATCGGCTTCGCTATCGATCCCGCGGCGAATGAGAAGGTGGATGGGATTGAGGGGGTCGTCGTCAATATCGGGCAGTCTGGTGACGACCGTCATGTGCTCGTGTGTAGGACGGACGAGCAGGTAAGCCACGGTCAGTGGGCTCTCTCGGCACCATCGCGCTTAACCGTTTTCCTCAGTTGGAGATGGCCAGGGAGTGTGCGCTGGATTCAAGATTATGGAAAGAATGAATCTATCCCTCTCTTCCACGGCTGTACACGGATCGACGTGTTATTGTTCCTGTACCATATGCATGTCTCGCTCCCCCGTAATCATGGTTTTCACACATCATTCCTCGCTCTTCACGATTATTTCCAGGCCAGCCTCCGCGCTCTCCCACTGTGAATCAAGCCCTTCTCTCCACTGCCACTGCCACATCCGGTGGATCTCCTCGCCAAGTATCTCAAGCTCTGTCTTCTCGACCTCCTCCTCCATGCCCTCCGTGCCGTCATAAAATCCGGGCGCGTTGAACTCGTACATCAGTCCCACCGCGCGCGCGCGACGCGAGATGTCGTTGACGAAAACCAGCCGGACGCTTTCGTACAACCGGAGCAGATCGGGGACGTGCTGCCTCCGCACCCTCGGGTCGGCGAGAAGCCTTCCCAGGATGTACGCATCCTGTGCAGTCGAGTAAGTCAGCTTCTGCCGCCGGCGTGGTAGAAACAAGTTTCGTCCACCTCGACAGCCTGTCCGCCGCCCGCCCCAAAGTTGGGCGGCATGGCGTGCATGGCGTCGCCGACCAGCGCGACGCTCCCGTCGACCGCAGAGGGGAGGCCGTCCACTACGTGGACCGCCCATCGGGTGGGGTTCTCCACGCACTGCAACCGATGGTGGTCAGTGTTGCGTGGCCCCTCGTGTGGCAGCGGGCGGTGGGGCTGACCTTCAGCATCTGCCGCACTTCCGGCTCCCATCCGTCGAAAGCGGACAACACGTCCTCCTTCGGGACCTCCGCCACCCACTTCCCGTCAAAGGGCGTCCCTTCGCCTCCCGGCACGCGGAAGACCGCGACGAAGTTGAGGAACTTGCCGCCTGAGACTTGATAACTGATTATATGCTTTCATCCTGTATGAGCGGACGGTCTCCACTATACTGTAAGTACGAACCTTGCCCTTCCCCGAATACTGAGAAACGAGGTATCAGGACGAGTAAAACTCAGCGCTCGAGCCACTCACACAGAGGATGGCGCCGACGCTTGCAGTCGTATGCTTCGGGTTCATGGCGTAGAGCTTCTCCGTCGGAATCAGGTTCCGGTACGCGCACACCCCCGTCCATGCCGGCACTGACGCCTTGCATCGAGGGCAATCCGCCACCGATGCTGCAGAGCCCGCGCAGTCTCGCCCGTGAAGGATGGCGTACATGCACGTACGGGTGGCCGAATGGACGCCGTCTGCGCCGAGGAGGACGTCGGCCTCTGCGGTCGTCCCGTCGGCAAAGCTGAGGGTGATCCCGGGAGACCCGTCCGAACGCTGCTCGTACCCCACGAGGCGTTTGGAGAGGTTTATCGTGTGAGAAGGTGGGAGGTTGCGTAAAAATACGTCGAGCATGTCCTTTCGGTGCATCGTCGTGGAGCCGGCTGTATGGATGTGTCAGGGCTGCGTGCCGACCGTCGGGACGGGCTCTGGTTACATACACGGCGCGAGCACATGAGCGAAGTGGAAGCCATCGCTTGGCTGATTGGCTTTGCGGGCGACGAACGCAGGCTCTGCGAGTCTTCAGTGAGTAAGGGCCACTTAGTTGCACTGAAGTGCTCACTGAAGGCAGTGTCCGGACGCGTGTCTCTTGACTGCACAGCAACCTCTTTCAGTTGATCATACATGTTCAGGTTCTTCAAAACATCCCATGTACGCGGCCAAACGGTAATTCCGGCGCCTGCGGTACGCACTTCTGGGTCTGATTCATAAATATCAACCTGGAGGTTAGTTCCAGGGGCGTTGTATCTGTGGAGGGTAATGGCCAGCGTCAGACCGGCGACGCCGCACCCACTAGTGTTGACACATCTGGATCTCAGTGTGGGTTCAAACAGGAGAAGGTACAGGCGTACCAAATTGCGACTCTGATTCTGTGTTCGCCCATGACGAGTGCACAGAAGAGAGAGGTTGCATTTGATATGGAGCTGCGCTCGAGATAAGAGCTCAGAATGGACTGTAGACAATACCACCCCCGCGATTAGTCATCTGTGCGGGCTTGGGAAAACGAACACTCGCACTACTTGGTCGTCAACGGGCTTTGTCACGGTAATGGTACTACGAAGCCTGAATGTGTATTCCCACAACCACGTGCATGCGGGTGTCAGTCAGAATCTCAGTCTTCAGCGCTTCAGCGCTTCAGCACTCCATAGTATATCCTCTATACCTGATCATGACTCGGCTGCGTCAGATAGCATTCACTCTTGCATTTGGGAGCGACTTGTTTTTGAAATTCCTATTGCTGACAAGCCAATACACTGTGCGCATCCGCACTCTACGTCTGAAACTTACGCTCCAAGGTGTGCAGGTGATCCCACTCCCTGCGAACAGCCGCTGTCCGTGTCAAATTGGTAGTCATCGAACGCAACGGACCCGACGGACCCCCGATCGGAGTATGCAGCTGGAAGCTGCGATGGCCTAACCGTTCGCCTTTTTCTCAACCTTCAGTGTCTTCGTCAGCCATCCGATGGCAGCTTCTCGGGACCGCGCATTCGACGCACCCGTTCGCTGACTCCGGAGCACACGCATACCATGGTATAAAGACTAGGGAGTCCCTCAGAGCGAGGTACAGCCAAATTTCAGCGAGTATGGCCCCCAAGATGCAATATGGTGCGTTCTAGTACTTGGGTTCAACCATACAGCACGTGTCTGACTGCTTTGGGACGCATATATTCCAGTGCGCCTCGGAAAATCCGGGCTCAAAGTGTCCAGGATCATCTTGGGCTGCATGTCCTACGGCACACCAGACTGGCAAGACTGGGTGCTCTCCGAAGAGGAGGCCGTGAAGCACATTAAGTTCGCGTGAGTTTTTCTCGAACGTCTCGAGATTTCAGCGACTGATATTTGCACTTCAGGTATGATCTAGGCATACAAACTTTTGACACCGCCGACGTATGTCTTATTCGGTTGTGATGCTCGGTCGGAGACGATGCTGAATCTAGCATTTTCCACATTCTTCTCCAGTGCTACTCCAATGGACTGTCGGAGATCATCTTGGGCAAGGCAATCAGGCAGCTTCAACTCCCTCGAGATGAGATAGTGATAATGACCAAGGTCAGACTCGCTTCCGCCGGGTGACTAGTGACGAAGGCTCACAGCGACATTCCAGCTGTATTTCCCCATTCCTCCTGAGTTCGGGGCGAACATCTTCCAGCCTGGCCTGACCGGCGCCGACTTTGGCATTATAAATCAACGAGGACTCAATCGTAAGGTGAGGCTGGATTTTGTGTGGTCAGGCTTGGCCCGCTGACGTGCGAATCCATAGCATATATTCGACTCCGTCAAGGCTAGCCTAGAGCGCCTGCGGGTGGACCACATCGATCTCCTCCAATGTACGTAGACGTTAGTTTATCTACTTCAACACTGATGTCTCACGCCAGTATACAGGCCACCGCTTTGATACTGAAACTCCCATCGAGGAGACGGTCAGTTCTCATAGGCGCGTCGCTTGATATATGAAAATACTCACTGCGAAGTAGATGCAAGCGTTGCATGACGTCGTGAAAGCCGGGTATGTGCGCTACATTGGCATGAGTTCTTGCTGGGCCTACCAATGTAAGTCAAAGACCCATTCCATTCTTCCCATTCTGACATGTCAAGCCTGGCCAGTTCACGCGATGCAAAGTAGGTACTAATTCGTATTCCTCGTCGGGCCTGACTGACCAACTGCTGTCATAGACTATGCCATCACGCACAACCTCACACCCTTCATCTCGATGCAAAACCACTACAGCTTGATGTATCGCGAAGAGGAGCGCGAGATGTTCCCCACGCTCAAGGTACATCGCCATCTCCCTTACCCTCACCTTGCCTCTAACCCTTCCGCAGATGTTCGGTGTAGGCTCAATCCCCTGGTCTCCCCTCGGCCGCGGCCTCCTGACCCGTCCCTTCAAAGCCGAAAGCCTCCGCAGCAAAACCGACTAGTGCGTCTCGCCTGCGCCGTGCTTGACCCCTCGCCTCCCCGCTAACCGCCTCTCGGCCGCGCTCCGCGGCCTTGACGGCTTCCCCGCAGTTCGCAGAAGTTCTGGGACGCGCCCTTCCTGCCCGACTTGCTCGCCCGCGTCGAGGAGCTCGCCGCAAAGAAAGGTGCGAGCATGGCGCAGATCTCCACCGCCTGGGTGCTCGCCCGGCCGGGCGTCACCGCGCCCATCATCGGGACGACGAGCCTGAAGAACTTGGAGGACATCGTCGGTGCGTGCCCACCCCGACTCTGCTCCGGCTGTGTGGACTGAAACGTGTGTGTGACGCTGGGCAGGCGCGCTGGATGTCTCGCTCACGGACGAGGAGATGCGGTACCTCGAGGAACCGTACAGGCCCACGGGGATCATCGGCCACCCTGAATGATCGTCCCGCTCCGCCAAAGTGTTCTACGCGTAGATGAACGGTCGCCGTTTCTGTACAAATGTACCTGTGTTGTTTCACTTCTAAAGTAGAAACCATGATCCATCGCGCACGCACACGTTGAGAGGGGCGAACAAATTCACAGGAACGTGCATTGCGTTTCGTACTAAGTATGTAGGCGGGGCCTCGGCTGTGGACACGGGAATACGGGGATACTACTATCGATGCGGACGGCGGCCGCGGCCAGGCGTCGTAGGGCACTTGAGGAGGAGAGAGGAGCAAAGGCAAGGACCGTGGGGGGCGGATTATACCAAAGCGAAGTATGTAGTAATCATGCATATCCACAACGAAAGCAGGGCAAAAGTAGGGGGTTCGTAATATCATTACACTCGTGAAGCAGATGCTGAGTGGTTTGGTGTGGGACGGTATTGGCGAATTGGAGCTGAATATGGTGGTAATGGGGTGCAGATGTCAATCAAGAGACCGCAGCAGCCTGGAGGGTATTGCGAAGAGGAAAAGGACGACGAGAGCGAGCTGGGCGAGACGAAGAACGAGTGTGTGGGAGCAAAAGTAACAGTGGAGGCAAGAAACATGGATCGGAACGAACGGTCGTATCGTACTGAGGAATGGCCATTCGAACACCTCACATGATAACGCACCACGCCCCCTTCTTCTTCTTCTCGTCCAACTCGGCGTCCTCAACAAGGGGTGTGTTCGCTGGCGCCTCGAGCCCACCGGTGGGATCTGTTGGGGTATCCACCTCTGGCTTGACGCTCGAGAACTGACCAGTGGCAACCTCGAGCGACGTCCGGCCCTCCTCAGGCAACTTCGTGGTACTAGAGAACCAGCCACCAGGGAAGAACCGCGAGGACGCCGTCGATTCGAGGCGTGTGCGCGGTGTCGTCGGCGTCACCACGTCAGAGGCGGGAGCGGGGGAAACCTCGATCTCGATTTGGGAGTTCTCGTCGACAGGTGCAAGGCGGTTCAGACTGGGCCTGAATTCATGCGGGTCAGTATCACTTGAGGAAAAATGTCGTGGTGGGACAAACTTACTTGACGGCACTCTCGGTGCTTGGGAAGCTGACGCCGTTGCCATTGGTCGCAGGCGCGGCCTCTTCGACAATAGTCGTAGGTTCCGCGACCTCCTCCTCAACGACCGGAGCAGGCTCGTCGGTGCCGACGTCCGATCCGGGTCCTTGTCTTGTTACAGAGTACGACGGGGTCCAAGGCCTCGACGGGGTCTCCCCGGGGGCATGGCCGTTCGCTGCCTCAACAACAGGCTCGGGTACGGGTTCAACGGGTGCAGTGAACTCCTCAACAACGATCGATGGCTGCTCCGGTTCAGCTGCCGGTGCGATCTCGGACACGGGAGCAAGGTCGGGCTCCTCCTCCTCGAGCTCCTTCTTTGGCGGAACGGGGCTTGCGATCGGCCTGTTGCCCTGCAGGGTAACCGAGTAGGACGGCGTCCACGGTGACTTGGGACGGTCGACGGGCGTGAGGGGCCTAGACGCGGGCTGGGAAACAGGTGCTGGCGCTGGCGCGGTGACCTCATCCAGGATCTCCGTGACAATGACCGGCGTGGCGACCGCCTCAACAGTCTCCTTGGGGACGTCTTCGGCGAGGACAGCAACCGGCTCGGGCGCGGGCTCGGGCTCGGGAACGACGATTTCCTCTTCTACAACCACAGCGGGGACGGGTGAAGGTTCGCGGGGGACTTCCACCTCGACAGCAGGTTCTGGGAGGGTGATCTCCGCGACGTCCGTATCATCGGTCTGTTGAGGCATGTGGAGGGGGCTTGCACCCTGGGAGCTCACGGAGTAGGATGGGACCCAGTGGTGTGCCACCTTGGGCTCCTCAGCGGGCTGAAAAGAACCAACTATCAGAAAGCATACTCGATAATGGAATGGACGACCTACCTCGGGGGCGACGGTCTCTTCCTTAGAGATGAAAGACTCGAGGGCAAGAGACTCCTCCACAACATCATCCACGACGACTTCAGGAACCTCGACAGGCGCAACCTCTGCGGGAACTTCGGCGATAGAAACCGGCTGTTCTGGCTCGTCCACGACCTCCTCGACAATGACCTCGGGAACAATGTCAACAACAGCTTCGGGAGCGGCTTCGACGACGACCTCGATCGCCTCAGTGACAGGCTCCGGTTCCGCCTCGACGGCAGGGGTCTCTGGCTCGGGCACAACTTCCTCAGGAATCTCGACCGCGCGCACAGCGGGAGTGTGGATGGGGCTGGCACCTTGCGAGCTAACCGAGTACGATGGCACCCAGGTCGATGGGGACTTGGGACGGTCTACCTCAGCGGGCGTGGGGGCGGGCTCCTCAGCGGTCTCCGAAGGCTGCAAGAATGGAACATCAGTACGCATTCATAGTTCAGCAACGACTAAAACATACCTCGGTGGTCACTTCGAGTACCGGGATAGCTGGCTGCTCCTCTTCCGTCGTTGGCGGCACCTGCTCGAGTTCCTCAATCTGCTCCTCCGCGGCGGCATCGACGCCAGGACCCTGGCTGGTCACGCTGTAGGACGGGGTCCAGGGAGACTTGGGACGCTCCTGAAGAGAAGGGCTCGGGCTGGGACTCCGGCTGGACGGCGCGACAACAGGTTCCACCTCTTCCACCGGCACGGGTTCGTCCTCGGCGGCATCGATCGCGACGACGGGAACGGTGATCGGAGCCTCGATGTCGGCCTCCTCTAGAACTACCGCGGGTTCGATCGGGGCGGCCTCGACGACGGGGGTCTCGTCGATCGCATTGTCGGTGCTCTCCACGATAGGTTCCCCGACAGCGACATCGGTGGCGGGGACCGGCTCCGGCTCTGGGGCAGGGGTTTCTTCCACCTCGACGACCTTGACCTCTTCGGCAGCCTCTTCCTCTTCGACCACGGGGACGCTGGGCTCCTCGACAGGCGTAGTTTCCTCCACAACAGGAGCCTCGGAGACTTCCGCCTCGACAGGGGCAGCCTCGGTCTCAGGCTCAGGCTCGAGCGTCTTGTCAAGAGCGTCGACAACAGGGGCAACCTCCACATCGACCGCGATTGCTTCGGGTGCGGACTCAACGGTTTCTTCCACAACGACCGCCTCGATTGGTTCCTCAGGTGCGGGGATGGCAGCGATCACCTGCTCCAGTACGACTTCGGGAACGATCTCGGGCTCAGGGGCCTCTTCCACCGCCGCCGGTGTTTCAGTGATTTCCTCCACTGTGGAAGTTTCGACGACCTCGGCAATTGGAGCGGGTTCTGGATCCTCGGGGGCAGTCTCCACGACAAGCTCGCCTTGTGTGTCTTCGACAGCGATGGTCTCCTCGATAGGCTCGGGGACCGCCTCTTCGAGGGTAGCTTCGACAGTCACTTCGGGCTCGGCTGGTGCAGAGACCTCGGGTGCAGGGGTCTCTTCAACTGTAGGCTCCTCGATTACAGAAGTCCCTTCGTCAACGGGTTCTGCGGGTGCTGGAGTCTCTTCAACGACAGGGTCCTCGACGACGGGAGATTCCTCGATGACAGCGGACGCTGGCTCCTCGGCCTCCACGGCTACCGCTTCTTCGACTACGGCGACTTGCTCGGTAGGCTGCACCTCCTCGGTGGCAGGCTCAGCATCAACCTCCTCCGTGAGAACGACGTCCTCCGCAGGGACAGGAGCCTCTTCTTCCGCAGTAAGATCCCCGACTTGAGTCTCGGCGACGACAGCTTCTTCCTGGACCGGCTCCGACACAGGGACAGTCTCTTGAACAAGGTCTGAAGCGGGACCTGCTTCCTCTTCAGGAACTACTGGGGCTTCATCGGCGGGCGCAGGAGTCTCCTCGACAGCAGCCTCCTCGATAGCAGCCTCCTCGACAGCAGCGGACTCTTCGACGACCGCAACGGCCTCGTCGACAGGCGCAGGAGTCTCTTCAACAGGAGCAGCGACGGCTGGCTCCTCCTCCGAGGCTTCTTCGACCACCGCGACCTCCTCGAACGGCGCCGGAGTTTCCTCGACCGCTGGCACCTCGACTTCGACCTCAGCAGGAGCAGCAACTTCTTCCGCCACCGGCTCCGTAACAGCCAGCGCGGCCTCTTCCACAACCTCGAGCGGTTCGTCAGCCTTGTCTTCCTCCACCGCGGGTGCAGGGTCAGCGCGCGCCTCCTCGATAGCGGGCGCCGGCTCTTCTGCCGCCGCCGCGTCCTCTTCCACCACGGGGGCTTCAGGCGCCGCGTCTTCCGTGCCAGTGGTAGCTTCAGCGTCCGTGGTCAGCGCGCTCGTAATCTCGGCCTGGACCTCGGGCGCGGAACCTTCTTGCGCGTCAGAGGCCGTTGCGTCGTTCACGGTTTCGGGCTTCTCAGGCACCGCAGCATGCGTCGTCTCAACGGGAGTCTCTTCCTCGACGGGTTGCTCGACCGCCTCTTCGACGACGGGAGCGGCCTCGACGGGCTCGGGAGCGGCTTCGGCGGGTTCGGGAGCGACCTCGACGGTCTCGGGGGCAGGGGCGGGGGCGGGGGTCTCCGTGGCGGGGATTGGCTTGGCTTCGGGTGCGACGACAGCGTCCTTGAGGGCCTCCGTCGATTCCGTGGCCTCAACGGCAGCAGGAATCGGCTCGGCTACGGGCTCGAGGCTCGCTTCTACAGTAGCACACGTACATGCGCATACAATGAACACACATCAGCGTCACAACTCTCCTGTAGCACACTGCAGGCAAACGCACCAATGGCGGGCTCCTCCGGAGCAGGGGCAACGGCGTTGGCATCAGCAGCAGGGGCCGCAGTGGTCTCAGTGGCCTCCTCGAGCTCGGGCGCGGCCTGCACCTCGACCGAGACCTGCACAAACGCATACGCATACGTCAAACTCCGCCCGCAAGCACACGCAAAACGCATATACGCACCTCAGGCTCGGCCTCGAGCACTATCGCATGGCCGTTCTCCGCCGGAGCGGCGTCGTCCTTGTCCGCGGCCGCGCCATCCACCTCTTTATCCTCCACCGCGTCCGTGACGGCGTGCCCGTTCGCGCCGTCCATCTTCGGGCTGATCTCCGGCACGGCGGAGAGCTCTCCTGCGGCGAATTCCTTGGCCACAGCCGCGTCCAAAACGGGCGCAGCGGGCTCCGTGAAGGCCGCAACGGGGTGCGCTGGCTCCTCGACAACGACAGACATGAGAACAAGGGGGGTCGTGGGCGGGTTCGTCAAAGGGGGAGGGAGGGGACGGGCGGGCGATAAGCGGGACCGGGGGCGGGAGATGGGCGATGGGACCGAGTGCAGTGATGACGGACGTGCTCACGCGCCGCTCGTCGAGAGAGCTAACAGCAGCCAGCGACAATCCGCCTTTTCTTCCTCTGCCCGATCTCGATCCATTTCCAATTCGCCTCTCCCCGACGCGCAGACCACGTGACCGTATCGCGGCCCTCCCAATCCGGCAGGTTGCGGCCACATTCCCGCGTGTGCCGACGCGCCGGCGTGCCTTGCCTGCTTCAGTCCCGACCACACCGCCGTCCAAGTCTAGTTTTACGCATTCCGGCAAGCCTCGCGGCAGAAATGCAAGTACAGATTAGGTATGAGCGGGCACCGTCGCAGTGCAGGTAAGTTATCGATGTGGGCGGGTAGGCTGTGAGAGTATGCGCGCGCCATCGCGCCAGTCCAGTCGTGATGATCGCTCCTCATCCCTCTCTCCAAGCTCAACCAAGGAGCGCCGCGCCCGCGAGCCCGAGCAGACCGGCGATCCCAATCGCTCCAGAATATGCCTGGTTGCTCGCTGCATTGCTGCTCGTGGTGAGCGCCGTACGCGTGGCGGACCCGCTCGGCGCGGACGTCCCAGAGGACAACGCCGTAGTGCCGGATGTCGACGAGGTGACGGCCCTGGGTTCGGAACGAGGTTGAGCACGGTGAAGGAGTTGCAAGCGAGGGACTCACTTCTGTCCGGCAGCTGCACCGTTGTTGGAGGGAGTAGGAGCAGGCGTGGTCGCTGCAATTGACCCAGCGGAGCCAGAGTTTTGAGACATGGGTGCGGACGCGGTTTGACCCCCGTGGAGGCAACTACGCATCATTTTACATCAGCAGGAGTGTACAAGAATTATGACATCAAAAACGAACCTGTCATCTGAGTTGGGCTGAATCGTGACGATGTCCGAGAACGCTTGCGCTCCAGTACTATCCTTCAACACCGTCGAACTGCCGCGAGAGAATCGTCAGCGCGCTGAGGGACAGCCGACTATATGCGAGTGATAATATACTCACAATGAGCTCCCGCTGGCCATGTCCACGATCCAGGTCATGCTCTGTCCGTTCTGCACCGGGAACTGTTTGAGCTGGTGTGGGGAAACGAGCCATCGTCAATTTCGATCAGACAGGAGGGATGCGTGTCAGGACTCACTGCTGGCGCATTTGCTTGTCCCGCTACATGATACGAAGTGATGAGCGACGGCGTTGCGTGGGATTCGGTAGAAGATGCGCACCTGGGTTCAGAGCCAGAAAGTACGGCGGCGCCCCGCCTGCCCATGTGAACTGAACAGGCTCTGCAGGGAAGGGAGGTCGTCAAGACCGTACTCGACCGTCCATACTCCAGGCACTCCACGTACCGCACTGAACAGCCCCGGAACTGTCCAAGTTTCTTGTCAGCGTCTGCGCAAAGAAGGCAAGACTTGGGCTACGTACAGCGTGTTGACCGTCAAAGGTTGTCCCAGGACGACGTGCGCGGCGAGGGCGGCGACGACCGTAACTGCAGTGATGAAATGCATGATATGAGTTTGATGGAAGGAAGGGGAGCGCGAAGTCAACGTTATGGGTTCAAGTGTTGGAGGGAAGAGGAAGAGAAGGGGATGAGAGGAAGAAAGTCGAACATAGCCGTTGAGACTCGACGTGAAGTATCTGTGAAGAAAGCGAAGGACCAATCACCAGCAGGACAGCGACGTCTTTGGCGTCGTTCGGCCGAGGAACGGCAGGCCCCAAGCCCTCTCGTGACTCGTGAAAGCAGAAGAGCCCAGTTGTTGCCATCGATACAGTTTTCGTTAACCAAGAGTACAGCACGTCTCGTCGCCCTACAGCTACAGCCCGATCCAGCTGCTCCTGCCCCCCGGGTTGTGCAGCGCCGTCTGGCTGATCTTCACCAGACTCACGCCTTCCCGGCCCGCGGCGTCCGGCAGCGACATCGACGAGAACGAACCCGGCTCGGGCACCGCGAGGGTGAGGTGCGGCACGTCCAGCAGAGGGCTCGTTACGATCGTTGGCGTACCCCCGAAGCCTCCCGAGGAGCTGAGCGGGCTGAGGAACGCGCTGGCGTCGGGTGAGTGCGGTGCGATGGGCGATAACGTGTCGCGCCATATAGGCGAGGATACAGACGAGCTTGGTACCGGGAGAAATGCCTCCGCGGACCACTCGTACCAGACTTTGCGTTTGTCTGTTAGGCGCCAGAGGGACACCGTCAACTCGCAGTCGGCCGGCACGTATAGGGGGTCCTGCGGGTGGCGCGGTCGGTCAGAGTGCATGTGGACAGGGCTCATGCGTACCTGTAGCGGGAAGAAAAGCGGGAACCAGCTGAGCATGTCCTTCGAAATTATACCCATACGCTCGGGGTGAATGCTCAGCCCGATGTTCCCGTACAGCACGGCTTCGAAGTAACCCGCAAACCCGTGCAGAACGCCGGCATGGGGTATATGGAACGTGAGCTTTGCTGAGCGGACGTTGTGACTGTTCGTTAATGGGAGTCCTAGCGTACCGCTCTGTCAATAAATGCAAACATCCTCCTCGAAAGGATCGCATGCCTTGTTCCGTGACGACCGCGTCTCGTCTAGGGTGTTCGAACTCCCAACATTCTTGTATACGAGGTCCACAGGATCCACTTATGCCCGCCCCGCTGTCGCTCAGGATGTTGATGGCGTGGAGCATGACCACGTAGGGCGTCTCGGCTCCTTTTTGGGTATCTTTGCTCGCCTTCGTCTCGTTGAAAAGCTTTGACGACGAGAGAGGGGCAAGGTACGCGGTATATGACGCAGGTATGGAAATGCCGTCCGCTAAAAAGAGCGGCCATGAGTCGTGTAAACTGGGTACCGAATTGGCAACATAAACTCACGCTTCAAAAACCTCTGTGCCCCGTCTAGACATTCTGGGCTGAGCTCGTTGTCGCCGAACGAACCCAGCAACTCGCTCACGAGAATGTCCACTTGCTCTGGAATCTCAAGCGAGCGCATGTCGCCGTACAATAACCGCACCTTCTCTTCGCCCCATTCTAGTCGCTGGCGCTCCTGTAGTCTAAATCGAATAATGATCAGCAGCTGTCTAAAAGCAGGACTACCAGCCACCCACGTACGTGACGTATGCGTTAGGGTTCTTCTCGACCGCATATATGAACACCTCGCGCTTGGCGCGTTCGACGGCGTTGAGGGCACGTGCGACCAGCGGCCCACGTCCCGCACCAGCAACACACAGCGTACTGCCAGCAGCACTCAATTAGGCTCAAAGCAAGCCAATCACCGCGATAGCACCTACATCCGACCGGGCTTCTCCCATTCCTTCAAGGCGAAGAAGATTGCCTAGGCGGTGGACGATTAAAAGCAGCCGAGGACAGAACTCAGTTCATGACTCACCTCTTCGTAATTTCGATACTTGATGGGGTCTTGCTCGAAGGTCTGGTACGTAATGCTTTGCAGATTGTCCATTAATGGCTGGAACACGCATGCTGAATGTATGAACGCCCTCCCGCGAAGCTTGCACAAGTCACACGACGCACCTGCAACGGTGCCTGGAGGTAGTCTTGATATCCCTGCGCGAAATTCTCCACGGTGCCCGCGGTCTGCGCCGCTTTGACGGATGGGCTCGTTTTTTCGAGGTGCTTCACATACTGCGTATACGCAACATCGCCTCCCCGGGGGTGCTTCTTCGCCTTGGTCCCCGACAAAATTACGTTTGGCGCGAGCTGCGACGGCACGAGTCAGCCGACGGTCATCAGCAGAGACGAGCGCACCGAGCGGCAGCCTGCGACTGGGGTGTCACATGCCGCCCTTACTGTGTACGCACCTTCATGATGTCCCGAATGAACGATTGCGTGCCCTTGGGCAACACGGGGTACCCCTTCGCGTTTGCGATGAACGTTCCTGCCGGCAGCCAGAGGTAGCGGACCGGCTCGGCGAGCCATTGGTCGAGTACCGTCGAGGAGAGCGGTAATGGCGGCGTCAGGTCGAGCGCTAACGTTCCCGCAGGACGGCGCATGCGCAGGTGGCCTCGTGAGCGACCCCGTCACCGCATGTGGGTGAAAACAAAGGTGCATACTCACCGAGCGTCAGGCGCGGGTTGTACCCGCAGATCGTGCGGATCGTGTCCCACATCTCCCACGTCGTCATGTTGCTCTCGGGTCCCAGAGTATCCGCACGCACGCCTCCCGATGGGCCGCCCACGGACTCGCTCGAGGAGACAGAGAAGCGCGAGCTCGGCGGGCGGTCGCGGTCGCGGTCGCGGTCGATGGGAGAAGGTGCGGGGGATGCGGCGCGAGACGGCACCTGAGACTGCGACTGCTGCATCACGGTGACCGCGTCGTAGATAGGCACCCGAATAGCGAACTCCATGAACTGAACGGAGCTGAGACACGCGTTAACAGCCCGTGCATACGAGCCGACTTGGGCGCGGTTGTTGGGAGGGGGGAGGATGACACATTGCGCATTCAGGTACGAGGCGAACGCGATTTCTTGCTGGAGAGCCTGTGTGGGGAGCGAGGCGGGTCAGGGGGTGCGAGGTGCGGAGCGCGGGGGCACAGAGCGGGGATGTGGGGGCCGCAAGCGGGAAGCGGGACGAAGGAGTGGGTTCGCAGACGGGACGGAGGGTGTACTCACAATCTCGGCGTCGTGCCGAACCCATTCGTCCGAGGCATCGAGCTCGAGCCACTCCGAGATGAGGGGGATCACAGATTCAGCTTCGTCTGTCGGAGCATAAGGACGTCGTGCCGCACCGTACGGTGAAGGAGAACACGCACCAAGCCGAGAGATGGTGAGCTCGTCCCGGAAGAACGCGGGTTTGGATCTCCACGCCTCCGCACGCTGCTCCGTCGTGTTCAGCGTTTCCTGGTCCTGGGTGAGGTTCAGAAGGCACAGCTCTCTCCATCGCGTTTTCCACTTGTCGTTCGCGAGGGGAACGCAGATGGTCTCGTACCCCGCCGAACGTGCATCGGACGCAGCGCGTAGGACCGGGGTGTCTTCTCCCAGGTCGTCGCGACGCGATATGAGGGCGAGATCTTCCAAGGCGTAGTGACTGCAGAAGGAGGGCATAGTATGGGGGGCAGACCGGGGAGCTACACCATGAATCGGGGTGCATACAAGAGAGTAGGAGTGAAAAGCCCGTCCTGGGCAACTCCAAGAACTCGCGACGCGGTATTCGCACGTCGCACTCTAGGCGCCGTGGCTGGAATCTTATCGCCCTGGATAGACGCTCGTATGAGTGATCAACTTCTTCAAGGAGTCCTTATTGATATTCGTGAAGTTCGCTCCGGATGACGGAACAGACACGCTTGGCAGCGTAGCCGATATACTTGTAACGCCCCACATCATCTCGGACACCATGAGTATGCACACGCAGAGACCAAGAGGCCGATTCATGACGCACAAGAGACTCGAAATTTTCAGCACAACGCGTCCATGTACTGCTACAAGTGTTTACCAGCAAGCTCAATTGCTCATACAACAAAGTCCACACCCGGAGCGCCCACGGCAGGCTGCGCCTTCACCCGCCTTCAGTGCGTGGCCTCTTCACGCCATCCCCGCCGCTCTGCTCAGACCCGTCCTGCGAACCCGCAGCATCCGCACGCATCCCATACCCAGTCATGACGCCCTCGATAACCGCGCGGCCGACGATCTGACGCAGCTCGTCCTCTGGGACTTCTCTACCCTCCGCTTCTGCGCGCTCCATGACGGACCGTACGGAATGTAACAGGGACGATGTAAGGTTCTCCGAAGCCGCGTTTTGTGCGTGTTGCGAAGGCTGCTCGTGTATCTCCGCTGGAGGCGGCGCAGTACCGCCCCCAGCGGCTGTGTTCTCAACGCTTCTCAGATATGCGGCCACCGCAGGGAACTCTTCTTCCTCGAGGTACTGCGCAGGCTATGTTTGGGTTGCCGGGGATCTGATGAGCAACCGCAATGACTGTGGACCAGTGGCAACCCGCATACCGACACGCCTTCCGCATTCTGGTGATTCGCTGTGGCACCGCGTTCGACAAGAAAGCGTGCCGTTTCAACACTTTCAACGGCATACAGAGGCGTATCGCCATCCTCGTCGGTGACGTTCACGTCACCACCTGCGTGGTTTGTGAGCCGGGTTAAACTGCAGAATGCTTGAATTACCGTGGGCGATCAAGTATTCCAAGACATCAAGATGTCCGTATGAAGCAGCAGCATGCCTGTATTCACGAGCCTCTATCGATGAGTGCAAGTGCAGATGGGATCGGTGCTCACATGGGAGTGTAGGTATTTTGATCGGGAACATTGGGAGACGTCGCTGTGAAAGTCCTCAACATCTGCGAGGCGCGTCGGCGCCGATCTTACGAACACTGTGTCTCTATCAGTTCCTGGGAGGATGTGCTTGGTTATGGGGTCTGTGATAGATGCGCAGGGCGGCTGGAAGGTCGACATACCCTTACGCGCTCTATATCGCCGTCGCCAGCAGCGACCCAGATGTTTTTGTCATGCTGGACGACAGTTGGGACAGGCATGGTGGACGACCTGAGCAAGTTTCAAGCGCCTGCCCAGGCGGGCGCCCGCAAAGAACGATCATCCCACGTGGCCAGTATTTTTAAATTGGCGATGGTGATGTCGGCTCGGAGGTGCCTTGCAGTCGGAATGCTCGTTTGTGCATGCCTGTGCATGTCGAGCGGTGGGCGTAGGCATGGCATGTTCGGCGGGGCCCATATCGGTACGGGTGCGCAAGGAAACAGGCCATTGCCTCCTAAGGCTAAAATTATGGGTGTCGTGCCGGAACGGGACTGGGACGCTCCATTGCACGTTCAATTTTCGACGCCTTTTTGGGGAACATGCGAAATATGCTCGCTGGCCTCCGCGCCCAGCCGTGGCATGGCCGTCAGCCCGACGCTCCCCGGCATGCGTGCGAGGCTCCAGCGCCCAGCAGGCGAGGGTGGGCAGGTGTCGGGGGAGGCGGGGCGGGCGAGCGGGGAGGCTCGTGATGGATCTGAAGAAGCGGATCTGCGATCGGAGTGGATCTGCGGACGAACCCCGACTAGCGCCGTAGCCGCCGGCTGAGATCACGTCCGCCGATTCCACGTCCTCGACGGGCGCGTTTCCCGGATCGGCGCACTCGCCCGACTGCGTGCGGCGGGCGGCGAGCGAGGCCGCCCCGGGGGCAAGCACAAGCCCTGCGCGAGCACCGCGCGCGGTGCGGGCGTGCAGGTGGTGGGGCGGGGGCCTCGCGGCGGCAGCGGGTGGCGGACGCATGTCCGGGTCTCCGCAAATGAGATCAAATTGGCGGGAGGGGGCTAGCCAGATGGGTGCCTGTCCGGGGCGGGGGCGGCGCGGGGCTGGGGGGCGCACCGCGCGCGGGTCGCAGCAGTCGCGCAGGTCGCGGCGGGGGCCGTTTGGGGCGGGCAGCGCGCGGGGGACGGTCGCGGCTGGGGCAGATAGCCTTCGTGATCGAGTCCGGCCGAGTCTACGCGACGGTGAGCGGGCGAGCGCCAAATGGGCGGTGTCGAACCTTGACCAACGCTGCAGGGGCAGGTGCCCGAACCCGCGCAGGCGCCCCTGTCTGCCCCTCTTCTCAGCTGGGACCGCGTCCTTCCAGCTGCCACCCGCTCCTTAACCACGATCCATCAGGATCGTCCCCGCCCTCCTCCTCGTCCAGGTCTACCTTACCCTATTGCCTAACCACCACTCTCTATCTTACCAGCCAGCTAGTCTACCTTATCCTTCAGCTATGAGCTTCTTGGCCTCCTCGCACCGGCCCTACGAACCGCTAGCCTCCCAGGACCTCCCTCAGCACCCGTCTGGCCACCCACCCCCGCCTTCGCGTCTCCCGGTCCATCCCCTCGCCTTCGAAGACCCTCCCTTCCCCTCCGGCTCAATGGTATCTAATCCTCCTCCGCCTACTCAGAACACCGATCGCCAAACCGCTTTGCCGAAGGTCGGCGAAACGCGCTGCTGTGAGTACTTCCCCCCGCGATCGTTCATCGATCGAACCTTGCCTCCGTGCTCTCCTCCATCACCCACTCACCTCCGTGATCCTCGCAGACTGGTGTCTCCTCAACCCCGACCTCGTCTTCCTCTACCTCGACCCCGTCCTCGCTTCCCACTTAGGAGAGCAGGCCGACCTGCTCGTGGGCAAGTCTCTTCTCACTTATGTCCACCCCGACGAACAAGCCTCAGCCAAGCTCGATCTCGGTTCTGTTTTGGAGGAGAGGACCTTGCATGGTAGTGTGACTCGGTGAGTCTCGTCTTTATCTCGGAGCATACATGCGCTCCGCTAGCCGCCGGTGCTGACACGACGCGCATAGAGTACGCTATTCCCGGCTCTCACGGGTCCGCAGGCAGCTAGGGTACACAGGCCCGGGTCCGGACTGGCTGGACGCCGAGAAGATCGCCGTAGACCAAAACTACATGGCCGTTGACATCGTCATCAACTACGCCGCAGACGGCCTTGTTCTTTGTTTCATCCATGCCGCCGTCGACCTCACTCCGCGCGACAACGACGAGCACCACAAGACCGGTTGGACCAACTGGTGCGGCACTCCGAACGTCGACATGAGCCAAATCCAGCTCCTATTCAGTCGGTTGCAGACGTCCTTACCCCAACCCTCGACTCTCACCCGCGTTTTTCAAATCCTCTCAAACTCACCCGACCGGTCTCTGTGTTTGAGTTGGCCTCAGGAGCGCCCGGGCGAGACTGCGTCGAAGGACTTCGCGCGCTTGGCGGAAGGAGTGCAGATCCACAGCTCCGAAACTGACGCTAGAACAAGCTGTACCCGGCGCTACAAGTCATCTCAGGTCATGGAGCTCTCATCGGGTGACAAACGAGAGGTGGAGAGTGTATTCATCCCTCATGGTACGCGCCTCGTTGCCTCTCGCCGGCGCCGACCCTTGCTCACTCTGTACTGCCTCAGGCGCCATTATCTTCGCGTGCCACAAAGCAAGTTCATTTCCCCGCAATGGCGTTGCGGGAAATAGCGGGTTGCACCAATCTGGCTACCACTCGACTAGTTACGCGCCACAAGGAGGCGCTCAGTACTACGAGGCCCATCCTCAAAACGTCCCTCAGAACACTCACGTCTCCTCACTTCCTTACCCCTACAGCTCCCACCCTCAGTCACCAATGGCCTCCTCCTACCCCCCCAACCCCTGGATGAACATGGAGCCCGGCAACCAGTACGCTCACTGGGGCCCGAGCTCTGTTCCGAACGGCGCCCCCGTCAGCAGCATCCGCTCCTCGTCGTACTCCACCGCCGCGCCTTCCCAGCAAACGCATCAACAATGGGCATCCCAGTCGTCGTACATCGACTCCGGCTCTCCTGTCTCGCCCATCGACCCTTCCGCGCCGAGCCCGGGAGGGATGTATCCGACGTCGGGACCTTCGGATGTGGACGAGCAACAGCCACCGTCTCCCCCGAGCGACCTCGTCCCTGCCCCAAGGTCCGGTCGGCGGAACAACCGGGATCAGTACAGCAACGGTGGGCGCACGTCGGGAAACCCTCCCGTCGGCATCACCAAGTGCGCGAGCTGCAAGGCGACCCATAGTCCGGAGTGGCGGAAAGGGCCGAGCGGGAAGAAGGACCTCTGCAACGCGTACGTGCACGCTCCCGCTATCTCATCTTCATCCATCGCAGCTGCTAACCTGGTCCGTTACCTCCAGGTGCGGGCTTCGCTTCGCCAGGTCCCGCGCCAAAAAGGAAGGAGGCAGCCAACGCCGCCGCAAGGACCGCGCGATGAGCACGCTGTCCTCCAAGGCCGATCCATCGCCCTCGGCGTCTCCTGTCAGTGCTTCATATCCGGGCATGCGTCGAGGCAGCTTCTTTGAGGAGGGGTCCTTCCTATCGACCTCCTCAGCAGGCTCCGGCTCAGGGAACGACAGCTTCTCCCACGCCCCGAGCTTCGAAGGCAGTGGCATGACGCCTTCGCCCTCGCCCCCATCCGCCGGTCTGCACTATGCCCAGAACCAGTCCGTCAACTACCCTTCGTCCATGGCAACCGACCCGCGGGCGGGCAGCTACGGCGGCCATCCTTCGGCCAACCAATACTACCATCTCCCTGGCCCACCCTCCCACCACCTTGCTCAATCCGCTCCACACCCCCACGTCTCCGCGCACGGCCACTCGGGCCACCACATGCCACCTGCGCGCCTCGACACGCTCATGTCTTTCCATCACCGGCTTTCCCCCATGGTCTCACCCTCCTCTCCTGCCTCGAACTCGCCGCTCAGCGCCGGCCTTACCGCCGCCTCTTACGAGCGCGACAAGCGGCACGAGCGCGACCAAGACCATCTGTTGATGGCCCAAGCATCGCTCGGCCATGAGCAAGCGTACCGCATGGGAAAGGCTTACTTGCCGCACGACGCGCCGTTCTAGACGCTCTGCCGCCTCCCATGCACGTCCACACTGCTCCCCCGCCGCCCCCAGCGCCGCGCCGGTCTTTTCTCCACACATCCTCCCCCCTTTTCTCTTTCTCGCCTGTCCACCGTTTCGGAGATGATGGTGACAATTACGATACACGGGACCTTCGTCCCTTCACCGGGTTGGTTTCACGTGTCTCCCGCATGCTCGAAGCGGAGCTTCTTGCTTGCAGCGAGGAGCGCCCCCGCAGCGGGCACGACGTGTCGTGCGCCCCATGTTTGACGATATTTATCTCCTTCCTACCTTTCGCCGCGTCTCACATCCCCTCCCCCACTTCCCTCGCATCCCGACTTCGCCATCTTCCTGGAGGAACACATATCGTCCGTCTGCATGTTCGTACTCTATTGTAATATCGTCTCAATGATGGATATTGTCTCTGCTCCGGTCCCTGACTAGTCTCGCGAGCGCCTTCTCGTCTTCAGAACTCACGAACACCTCCCTAGACGCTCCCCTCCGCGCGCCCGCGCGCTCGGTATCGCCTTCAGAAGTCGCGAATCCCTTCGCCCGCTGCGGAGCTCGTGGGAGGGTCCGGGTCCCACATCTTCCCCCGCTGTCGAAGTGGCTCGGGCAGCGACGATCTTGTAGGTCCCTCGAGGGCTCTGTGTGCGACGCTCGTCGCTTCATGCACACCGGTCCACACCTTACGGCATCCGACGCCCGAATGCCCGACACCGCCGCCCAGGGCGCGAGCGCGGTCAATCAAGCCTTCCCCGCGCGCGCGCGGGGAAGGCCAAGGGTGGCCGAGGGTTGGGTGGCGCGGAGCGATGCGATCCCGGCTGGAGCGTGGCGCTGTCTCGTACCGGCCGCGGGGCATGCAGGCGAGGCGACGTCCGCGTTCTTCTCAGCATATCGACAGCGGCCTAGTGTACTTACGGAAGGGGGCCCGGGGAGATTGTGATAGAGTCTAGACAGTCGTTGTTGGCAATCACACGGAGACGCATGTTCGGGCTCTGTCGGGCCCTGTATCGCTCGCGTCGACGTCGCGACCTTTCACCGCGCCGCGCGCGCGCGCGCTGCGTCGGACTTGTGCAGCCAGCAAATGCAATATCGTGTGCGTGCGACGATGACGTCCTGCAGGGGTCGCGCGTCTCTACACACACATGACATTCGAATCAAGGGCGCACAGTGCTGGGGGCCGCTGCGGTGGCGGCACAAGTGACGGCGGGCGAGACGCGTATAGATGCAAGTATGCTCCGGGTCGGCGTCCGCTGGCGCACTCCGAGCGTCATGCGTGCTAGGTGGGTATGTACCATACGATGCCCTCCGGACTCCGGGTATGCGAGTGTTGGTACGTGCGTGCGTGCATGCGTGCGCGCGCGCCGCGGGCCTCGGTCGTGGTCGCCGTGCGTGAACGGCTCGGTGGCCAAGCGCTCCGCCGTGCACCCTTGCCCTTCCGTGCACTGGCACACGCGCTCCGAGTGAATTTCGGAGGAGCGGGTCGGAGCGCGGGTGGGCGGAAGTCGAGCCCTTGCGAGGAAGGCGCGACTCGGAGTTCAGGGAAACTCGCGTCAAGTTCCTCGGCGTCAAGTTCCTCGGCGTCAAGGGCACGGGGGAAATAAAGTCACGTGCGCCGAACGGCCCGGCGCTCTCAGATTGCAGGCCTAGGGCGCGTCGAGGTCGACTCATCTTGTGGCCGACTACATCTGCGGCGGCACCCTGAGCCTCAGCCCACCCCTCGAGCCTTCACGCTTCACGACCCTGCTTGCTGCGACCTGCGCCATGGCTGACACTCCTGTGGCACCCGCGCCCGAGAAGACCGTCGCGCTCGCTGACGCTGACGCCGTGCCTGCGGCGGGGACGCAGTGAGTGCTCTCCGTCTTGGTCGCACGATCGTGGTCGTCTGTGGCGCTCGACTGACCGCACGCATGTGTGCAGCGCGAAGATCACGCGGGTGCAGGTTGTCCAGCACCCCGCAGACGGTGGCACGTCGAGTGGGGAAGAGGACGAGAATGAGGAGGAGGCCGGGGAGATCGACGACACCCAGATTCTGGAGGACCTGCCTGACAACACGGAGGTGTGTGGCTGATCTCATGCGGTTCTTTGGACGATGCTTGAGCGAGCGGGACTCAGGACATTGAGCTCATCCATGCCCGTCTGAACTCTGCGAGCGTCGAGAAGCTAGGGCTCCCTCGCTTTGGCGGCCACCTCAAGCGACTCTGCCTCAGACAAAACTTCATCACGCATGTCAACTCGGAAGTGTTTGGTGCGCTCACGGCCCTGGAGGACCTTGACTTGTACGACAACAAGATCAAGCATGTCGGGACGGCGCTGAACACCCTCAAGAGTCTCGTGTAAGTACGATCCTTTTGTCATGCGACGCCGCTGTGGGGCGGACCTATTGAAGGTGCATTCAGGTCTCTGGACCTCTCCTTCAACATGCTCAAAACCGTCCCCGAGGAGCTCGAGAACCACCTCTCCTCCTTGAAGACAATCTACTTCGTTCAGAACAAGATCTCGCATATTTCAAATCTGAGTGGTCTCGCTGCGACCTTGAGGAGTCTTGAGTTGGGCGGAAACCGCATTCGCGTGAGTGTCCATTTCTATCCTTCAGCACTCGAGTCTTACGGCATGATCCTCAGAGGATCGAGAACCTGGATGCTCTGGTCAATTTGGAAGAGCTGTGGTTGGGGAAGAACAAGATCACTGTGCTAGAGGTAACAGGTTCCTGCGTTCTATCTGTGTCACAGCGCTGACAAAGGATGTAGAACCTTGGCGCGCTCAAGAAGCTCAAAATCTTGTCGATGCAATCAAATCGTATCACCAAACTCGAAGGGCTGCAGGACCTATATGGGTTGGAGGAGCTCTATCTGAGCCATAATGGTATCGCACGACTAGAAGGACTAGAAAAGACAGTGAGTTTGTCTGCAGTTTATTGACGTTATCCCATCTCATGATCCGGTAGATGAAACTGCGAACCTTGGACATCGGCAACAATTTCATTGAGGTGTTGGAGAATGTCTCACATCTATCGAGTTTGGAAGAGCTCTGGGTGAGCGCGATCATTTTTCGTATATGCCCTTCGCTGACCGCCATTGGTCTATAGATGAACAACAACAAAATCACATCCCTACAAGCCATAGAACCCCAGTTGAAGCACATTGAGACCCTGGAAACAGTATATTTGGAAGGGAACCCGGTGCAGGGCTCCGAAGGCGCTGCGTATCGCAGGAAAATCATCCTGATGCTTCCGCAGATCACCCAGCTCGACGCGACGTACGTGTTCGTTGTTACGTGTGTGTGGATACGATGTCTGACATGCTTGATAGATATGTCAAGCGTCCAGGAGCGTAGCCTCAGCGTGCACCTCCCGGCTCATCCCCTCGCCCGCCCCCGCCGTCACCGCCACCCGAGGCCACCTACCATGCATCAGAACCCCGGAGGCTTTCAGGGTCCCCACCTTCGATCGCGTCGAACCCATTCATGCGATTCCCGATCGTGCACGAGCAAATCTCAACGATGCACCACTCGTGCGATCGCCCATGCGTGATTCGGCGGGGGCGATCGCATCCGCCCACTCGTAACCGCAGCCGCGTCCGCAACCGTGAGTGGGATCGGGGTCCACGTCCATGGCCTAAACCTATTGCGCAAGCTCCATCCCGGCGCGTGAGAGCCGCATCGGGGCGTCGGCCGGCGGAGGGCTGGAAGGAACGATATGCTGGATGCAGGGATGGGGGCTTGCTCCGGAACTTTTCCATACAGCAACTCTGTTCTTTTAGCACGAACGAAGGAAAACAACACTTCATCGATGCGTCCTAGGGTATCTGCAGCGCTTGCGCGCCGATGGCTGCCTCGAATGAAGACATTGAAGAGGGTAGTTGGAGTTGGCTTGAATATTTTAGTACGAGGTACCACAGTACGCCTCGGCATTTCGAATGGTGGCTAGCATCGATCCACCCTCTCTTCTAGTCTGATCCTGCTCTACGATCCCTGTTTTTATTCCGATCGAAGCTACGGGACCGGGTTCGATCGGTTTTCATACGATCGAACTTCTCTTAGTCTCCCCTAGGCATCCCATATTCTATGAACTTCACCGTTTGAACACTAGATTGCTCACGCCGGTGGGTACGGACCCGGGTTCAAAAGAGAGCAGGCGGCCCGGTCCCGGGCCGGTTTATCCGCCAGAGGCAAGCGCGCTGAGCGGTGGCGCCGCTAAGCTTGTCAACCTACCACCATCTCGTTCCAGCGATCTCCGTTTAACCCGCCGAATCCGTCATCCTCCCGCCTTCCGTTAACGTCAAGATGCGGCGCACTACAGATAGAGCGAAGGCCTCCGGGGTGAGCGAATCTTCGTTCTTGGATCTCAAAGCTCATGTCGAGGCGGAAATCCAAGACTTGTCCCGCAAGAAGGCCGCCGGGCAAAGCACCTCCAAGGCCAAGGGCACGAAGCGGATGGACAAGGTATGCTCTTCTATTGTCGCCGTGTTTATTTGTGGCTCAATTTGCTGGGCTTGCAGCAGCTGTCGGAGTGGAGCAGGATGAACCCGGGGGTCCAAGCGCGTAATGCCCGAGACCTCGACCTGGCGATGAAGGAAGAACTCGACCAGCACAACGTCAAATCCGCGCAGTCGAAGCTCACGGAGAAAGTGAAAATTTACGACGATCTCAAGGAAGGAGGTTCGGCAACGTTGTCGGAGAAGCAGCGCGCGGAGAGCGCGCTTGACGTGAGTACCCCAATCGCATACATGCGCGTGCATCGCCAACGGATGATGTCACCTATAGCTCGACCACGAAGATTTTGTGGCGGGAAAAAGCGACGGGGACGACGACAGGCGGGATGAAGAGGAAGAGGATCGAATGGTCGAGACCAAGGACGAGTTTGGTCGGGATATCTACGCACCTCTCTCGGAGCTTGAGAGAAGGGGTCTGATACTTCCTACGATGAAAGACAAGGACGAAGAGTGAGTACATGTTTTGCGCTTGGCAGATGATATGAGGCTGAAGCATGGCATCACCGTTTGCTAGTCCGAACGTCCTAAGTAGGCTGCTCTTCCTGCCCTTGGCTTCTGAGAGACATTGCTTGACTACCCGCTATCAGGGGGATATGCCGCTGCTACTCACTTCCCGACATTTGAGCCATCTGCAGAGAGGCGTGAAGCCATACAGACCGAGCTTGCAGAGTCCCAGAAGTCTCCTGCGCACTACTACGACAGTACACTCGAGGTCCGGACAAGAGGCGCGGGCGCGTACAACCTACCGCTCGACAAGGATGAACGCGAGCGGGCATTGCAAAGCATGGCTGATAGTAGGGCGGAAACCAACTTGAATCGGGAGGCGACCGGTGCCATCACTGTCAAGCCAGGCGAAGTCGAAGGAATGGTCGCGGACGGTCCCAAGCGGAAGCGTGGTCAGGCGGAACGGGAGCGAGCGAAAGAAGCGCGGAAACAAGAGATCAAGAACTACAAGAAGAAAAGAACGAAGGGCCCAGAACTCGACGCCGTGGAGCACTCTACAGCACCAAGGGCCAGCGAGACCACCTCCCCTGTTCCTGCTCTTGGAGGGCCCAAGGTTGTCGATCCGTTTGCCGCCCTTGAAGCCACCGTCACAACCGACAGGATGCGAGGAAACCCAAGTTCTCATGGAAAGTCATCCACGGAAGCGGACGCATTTTTGGCTGGCCTCAACTTGCAGGGTATGTCGCACAAGAGAACGTGACAGAACTTCGAGACACTACAAGTGAGTACCTCCATATCATGGGACTTGAGTACATCACAAACATGCTACTCTAGCCTCCTCCACGAGTCTTTTCGGGCATATCAAGCTATACCTGCCCCCGTCCTGCACATACTCCACATGTTCCTCGCCCCGCTTTGTCATCTTGTTTTTGACCTTCTCCTTTCCATCAATGACATCTCGCATGAACGCCTTCGTCGTCCTCAACACCTCCATCGCGTCCCCCATGGCCGTCTTGTGCCCGCAATTGATCTTCGCCGTCTCTGCTCTCCCCGACTTCTGAAGCATCGCCGTCAACCCATCCACACTCGCGAACCACTGCACGATGCTTCCTTCGTTCGGAAAGATGATGTGCGCGTCCTCGTACAGCGTATCCCCGACATAGAGCATCCCGTCCCCCTCGTCCCACAGCGCAAGTTCGTCCGGCGTGTGGCCCGGGGTGTGGAGCAGCGTCAGCCCGAGCGACACTCCGTCCTTCGACACCAGCTGCGCGCGGTCCGGGGTGAGGGACGGAGTGAAGGAAGGTGACTCGAGGCCGAGGCTGTCGCAGAGGGAGTGCGTGGGGAGGTTCGCGGGCGAGAGGAACGTGGGGTCGTGCGCGGACACAAGCACGGGCGAGTCGTGCGCGAACTGGTCCACCCCGACTGCATCGCCCGTCATCCCCCCACCGCGTCAGCATATGTTAACACGCCCTCCCACGCCGGACACGGGGCGCACGCACGGATGTGGTCGTAGTGGCAGTGGCTGAGGACGACGACGTACGCCCACGCCCCGCGCGCGTTGAGCGGCCGCCCGCCGTTGTCGGCGACGGGCGCGGTCTCGACGAACACGCGGAGGGGGGTGAGCTCGACGTCGGGGCGGCGCGTGCGCCCGCCGCAGCCGGTGTCGAGGAGGACGAGGGTGCGGGCGGCGGGGACGCGCTTCGCGTAGATGAAGGGGTGCTCGTCGAAGACGTCGTCGACCTCGACGATGAGGAACGTCGAGGGCGTGAGCCGGCGCGCGGCGAACGCGCTCTTGTTCCCGTCCGATGTCGGCGCTCTGGCGGTGTCGTCGGTGGAAGGGGGGCTTTGGGGTGCGGCAGCGGGTTCGAAGAGCGCCTTGCACATCGTAGCGTAGATCAAGGTGCTGAAGCAGAGATGTACGATAGCGGTACAAGCAGCGAATACGACGGTGCCCACTCCGTCCCCACTCGCGCGATCCGTTCGCACGTTCCCTCAGGCCCAGCGAGTGCTCACCCGCCAGACACCGGACAGATCACCGCGACCTCCTCCCCGCCGCGGAGCGTGACGCTCCCCGGATCGTCCACCATGTCCTCGTTGACCGCCCACTGGCTGCCCTCCAACACCCTGCCCAGCTTCGTGTCCGGGTGCCGCGCGGCCAACAGGGCGGCGAGGTCCTTCAGTGGGAACGCCGCGTCTGGATGCGGAGAGAGAGGAAGTTTGTGGGAGGGGTGCGGATGAGAACGAGCGGGAGATCGCGGGAGGCATTGAGAGCGAAGTGGCGCACTTGCCGCATCTCCAGCCATCGGAAGCGGGACCTCTTCTTCGGTCAGGCCCGTCTCTGTCGACGCGGCCGCGAAGTAGAGCACGGTTATCGACGGTGGTGGCGAGGACATGGCGGTAGCAGCTCGAGAACGGACGCACGCGGGAGAACTTGCGATGATGCGGATACTCCGGCGCTCTCTCAGGAATTACAACATTATCGCGAGGGAGCATGCCCAGATCTCTTTGAGCATTCGTAAAGAGGCGTAACAAGTCGTGGCCGACAGTCCGCATCCCAGCAGTACATACACAGCGGGCGAGCAAGAAACGATACATTACTGGCGAGCGTCCGTCCGCCCATGCTGCTCCTGCTCCTCACCCTTGATTCTTCCGCCAACTCTGCAGACTCAACAGGCCGACGACGAGCAGCGCCGTCCCCGCGCCGACCAAGCCGGGGAGGTAGAGATACCACGTGCTGTCTTCGCCGTCCGCGCCGATGTCCGGCTCGCGGTGCACGCTCTCGACCATCGAGCTCGAAAGCTCCGCGTCCGCGTCCTCCTCCTCGTACCCGTCTCCCCCGCGCGTGTACGTCCCCCGGCGCTTCCTCCGGTTCCTCAGCGGCGGCGGCAGCGGGTCGTGCGCAGTTGCGCCCGCGCCGCGCGCGACGTCGATCGCTGGGATCGACAGCCGCGCCTCGGGGAGCACGCGCGTGCGCCGCCGGTGGGGCGAGCGCGCGCGGCGCGACTCCTCGACGTCGACCCCGGAGACGCTCCCGCTGCCGTCGCCCTCGGCGTCGGTGTCCTGTTCGGTCGGGAGGAGCGGGACGTCGAGCGCAGGGTGGAGCGCGCGGGCGCGCACGAAGAACTGTGCGGCGCGGTCGCGGTCCCGGCGCCATACGTCTGCACCATCCGCGCTCGTACCGGCGCCGCTTCCGGAGGAGTGCGCGGGCGGGGGGCCTGAGACGGCGAAGGTGGAGGTGCGGAGCGAGGAGAGCCCGGCGTAGGAGGAGGTGAGGAGAGAAGACGCGGTTCCCTCGAGGTGAAGGAGGCCGGCGGCGAGGAAAAGTTGCGCGAGACCAGAAGCACCCCCGAGGCGGGCGAGATAATACTCCGGCATCCCCGGAATGGAGGATAGTGGGGGTGGAGGGGGCGCGGCTTCCTGGGGACGTCGTCTCCGTCTGCCGGGATCGGGGAGGGTTGTGAGGTCGGAGGAAGTGGGTGAGGGAGGTGCGGCGAGGTCGTCTGACCCGTCTGGAACGACGGTTTGCAGGGGTAGGTAGTGTGTGGCAAGCCGGATGGCGGCAGACGGGAGTTGTGCTTGATGCCAGGCTCGACTATGATGCGAGTTGGAATGATGTCAATCGCGCAGGATGGAAATTACTCACACAAAGTACTCGAACGCATCCTCCTTCGCCTTGCGAATGTCATACAAGTCAAGCGCAATCAACACCAAGCTCGTGGGGTCCATGTTGTATTGGAGCTCTATTGTGTTGTCCACATTCCAAGGATAGATACCGACGGGGGGCGGTGAGATGCTCTCCGGTACTGGACCCACGACAAGAGACGGCCAAATAATTGAATCCGCCTTCTCCAGGTGGAGGGTGAGAAGCCGCCCGGAGCCGGTATGCAGCGATTCCAGGGACGAGAAGGAACCGATATGACTTGCTCCTTGGGAAATCCGCGCGGGGGGCGAGACCGACGGTCTTGACCTGTGTCGCTGGTGATGGTGGGTATCCGGAGCAGAGCCGAGACGCTCATCTGCAGAGGAAGATACAGGAGAGGAGAGGGCAGGGGAGGACAGGACGGCGTCATCGAGATCAGAGCCTGAGACGAGGCCGGCGGCGAGGGATGCTGCGAAACTGCTCGAAATCTCGGGCTCGGAGACGAGTGCATAGGACGAGTGCGTGGACGCGGTGGATGTTGTGGAGATTGTGCGGTCCCGGGCGGAGAGCCGGGACGGCCGAGGCTCAAGCTGCCAAACAGACGTAGAGGTGTCGACGCGACCATACAGTTGACCCTGGGTAGGCCATGCTTGTGAAGATGGAATGCAGGGGAGAAAAGAACGGGCACGCACCTTCACTACTGGGGGCTGCCCGCGGACACCAGCGAGGAGGTACTTTTCATCTATTGTTACCTGTGCGCAGTGAGCGAGGATAGGTTGAGTGGGAGCGGTTCGTGCGCACCGCGACATCTTCGTCCGTCGTCTCATAGGGAAGCAATAATAATACAGTGGCCTGCGTGGACGTAAGTACGACCTGCACCCGGCGACAACTGACGAAAGGCGACCGACCTGGTCGTGGGACTGGATCGTACGAGAGAGCGCAGGTGAGTGTGGCGGACGGGGAGGACAGGAAGGAGCGCACCTGGTGCCATGAATAGGACTGAAAGTGGTCGTGGAGCCTATCCATGCTCGCCGGGGATGGTGGCAGGAGAGGAAGGAGCACAGGCGAGGATGATGGGCGTGGTGGAAGAGGACATGCGCGCACTCTCGCCGGACCCCAACCGGAGGCCCGCTCGCTGCAGGGGCACGTGCCCGCGCTCGGCTGAGCAGGCGTAAGCGATCGCGCCGCGCCGCAGCCTCTGAGCCCGGCTCCTCTCCCGACTCCCGTCCTCCGCCTCGCCCACCCGGCCGCCTCCTTCGAGCTCCCCCGTCTCAAATGCCGCTGCCTGTGTCCAGGGCGACCTCCTCCAAGTCCCCTCCCGCCCCCACTCCCGCCCCCGTTGCGCTCCTCGTCGTCCCCTGGGAGGTCTCTTTCCTCGACCCGCTGCGCCAGGCCCGCAACGCGCTCATCATCCTCAACCAACCCTTCTCCTTCGCGCTCCTCCACCGTGTCTGGCACGCCTCCCGTTGGCACGCCTGCGCCGACGGCGGCGCAAACCGTCTCCATGACTTGCTCCGCGACCACGGCGGCAAGGACATCCGCCACCTGTAAGCCCAATTCGCGACTCCGCACTCGTGCTCGCGTGCCGACCGTGCTCGATCGCGCGCGCACCTGCAGGTACACGCCGGACCTCATCAAGGGCGACCTGGACTCGCTGCGCGACGACGTGCGCACGTACTACTCCTCGCGCGGCGTGCGCATCGTGCACGACCGCGACCAGGACTCGACGGACCTGATGAAGTGCATCGGCGCGCTCGTCGACGACGAAAAGGCCGAGCGGCACGTCGAGGTGCGTTGCGCCCCGTCCCTTCTCCCTCTTCCGCCCTCCCGTCCACGCACCGGACGACGCTCACGCCCACGCGCGCCCGGCTGCAGCAACACACGATCGTCCTCCTCGGCGGGCTCTCGGGGCGGCTCGACCAGACCGTGCACACGATGTCCCTCCTGCACAAGCTGCGCCGGAAGCGGCGGCGGACGTTCGTGATCACGGACGATAACGCGGCCTGGATCCTCGACGCGGTGAGTCCACCCTCTCCCCCACATCCGCGCCCCCACGAAGGCTGAACCGCTTGCGCAACAGGGCGAGCACCGGATCCGCATCGACCACGAGACGTTCGGCCCCACATGCGGGCTCCTCCCCGTCGGCGTCGACTCGACCGTCCTCACCACGACCGGGCTCGAGTGGAACCTGAGTGCGTGTGGTCCCCGCCCCGACCGATAAGCGCTCCCGCTCACTCCTTCCGCAGACGACCAGGTGTGCGGGTTCGACGGGCTCGTCTCGACGTCGAACAAGCTCCTGCCCGACGCGTCCGTCGTCACGGTCAGCACGACGCGGCCCGTGTGGTGGTCGATGGAGCTCCGCCCTCTGCAGGAGCCCGAGCCGAGCACGCTCAAGCCCGAGAACGTCCCCGTGCTCGACTCGTTCGCGACGTCGGGCAGCGTTATCTCGGAGTGGTGACCGGCCTGCAGGCGGCCGTCGCGGTGGCCCACGGTGCGATCCAGAACCAGGTGTACTCGCTTGGACGACGTCTCAAAACTCACGAACGATATACCAGCTGTCGAACGTTCGATGTATCCTGTAATGTACCTCCGCTGTATTACAGTCCCCCGTTGCTTTGCATATACTCGTTCTTCGCTCGAATAGATTCGGTCAGATACCCAAAACGTGGTATGTTCTTGCTCGGTGTCAACAGCGACGTTGAGACAACAGTTCCGGTGGTCAAATGGCAAAAGGTGCTCAAGATATCCGTGGGCGGCAGCCGACGTGAGGGAGAGATAAATCATGAACTCGTTGCGAGCGGAAAGGTATCTACGATTGCAAAGGCGCCGACGATGCGGTCGCCAGTCGGTATGTGTGCATGCGAGCAGAAAACAATCGATGTGCGAGGGTGAATGGGTAAGTCTGCGGAAAGAACGCGCGCCAGCGGCGCTATCATGTACACCGCCGGTATGTACGAACGTGGAACGCAGGAGGGGGTGCGGTATGTGCCGAGCGTATGCTATAGTATATAGGAGCAAGCGAGCGTGGTGCGGAGGGAGCGACGAGGGGGGGTCCGGAGCGTAGCGAACGTGTACAAAAAGGAGCGTGAGGCCGTCCTCACTACTAGCGGGGCGGGTGTAAATAGCAAAACGGCGCTGTGTGCGGGAGTGGGAGACGTGTGCGGGGAGGGTGACGATGATAGAACATGTGCTGGAGCCGCGCATGTGTATGTACATGCAGGCGCGCGCCGGGCTCGCTATACACAGCAGGGGCCTGCGTAGAATCTGTACGGTACAATTAAGCCGTGTAAGGGATACGGTGGGTGTGAAGGAGAACTTTTGAACGAAGCGAAATCGCGAGGGGAAAGCAAACTACAACGACGAAGCAAGAGTGGGAAGGGGGGCGGGAGTAAGCACGCAAGCAAACCGAGAAACCATCCCAGAGACAGAAGGCCCAACAACCACCAACTCCACCACCACCACCACCAACAGAAGCTCACCGCGACGAGAACGGCATCTGGCCACTGACCGCAGACGCGCCCTGGACGGGCGAGTTCGTCGCCGAGCCCACGATCTCGTTCGTGATCCGCTTCATCCTGCTCTTCTCGTCCGCGAGGTGCTGCGTCAGCATCCCGTCGAACAGCAGGATGCTCTCCCGCTGCACCTTCCTCCCTTCCGCGCCTGCCCCCGCGCTCTTCGGCCGTCTCTGGCCCTGGCTGACGGCAAGGCTCCCCGACCCGCCCGGCGCCGCCGAGCTCTCGCTCATGCGCCCGCGACCGAACCCGGGGCTCAGCGGCGCACTGGGCACAGCGCCGATGGGGAGCACCGCGACGTTCGCGATGCCCTTCCCGCGCTTGCGCCCGCCGCTGCTCGAGCCCGCGACCGCGGCGGCGGCGGCGAACGTGCGCTTGAACGGGCTGCCCGGGGCCTTGAACACCCCGACCCCGGGCACGTTCGCGATCGGCCGGCGGTGGTGGTCGAACGTGAAGTGCGGGAGGGGTTCGACCGGGGTCCGGAACGAGCCCGAGCCGGACCCGGACGCGGGGCTGAGCTGCGGCGTGGAGCGGTTGCCGAGGCGCATGAGCGACGGGCGCGCGGACGCGCTCGACGCGCGGTTCGAGATCGCGGACGTGTGCGGGTCGACGAAGACCTGGACGGCCTCGGTGAACGCCATCGACGCGCGCGGGCTCGTCAGGATCTCGTCCTCGCTGCGCGAGCGCGGGCGGCCGTACGGGCGCGGGGAGAGCGACGGCGCGATCGACGTCGACGTGCGGTACGTCAGGGCTTGGGAGCTGGGCGTCGACGCTGCGGGAGGAGACTTGGGGTGGAAGCGGCTGCGGGCGTTCTCGCCGTCGAGCGAGAGCTCTTCCGACTCCTCGTCTTCGTCCTCAGAGCGGTCGAAGTCGTCGAGCGCATTGTGCATGTGCCCGCTCTCGACGAGCCGGTCAAAGAAGTCTGACGCAGGCGCCGGGCCCGGTGCGGGCGCGGAGTGGATCGCGGGCGGGTACGAGCGGCCAGGAATGGTAAGGGACAGCGGCGCGCCCAACCCGCGTCGCGCGGAAAGTGAGTCTCTGGCGCTAGGAGAAGATGGGCCAGAGGTCGGGGATTGGGTGAAGGAGGCGGAGCGCGCAGATGGAGGTGGGAAGTTCTCCGAGGCAGCGGTCGAGGGATAGTGGTGTGTCCCGGAGGAGCGGGTCGAGGTCGAGTTGCGGAAAACGGGCTTGACCGGAGGCGGGCGGGGAGGGAGAGGAAGCTCTGTCGTGGGGACTGAGGTCGAGACGCGCGGAGGGGGGAGGTTGACATATGGATGGCGAACAGTGGGGAGCCGCGGAGAAGGAAGAGGCGGTTCTGAGCCTGCGTGCGCTCGCCCAGCTCTCCTTGAGGCGACAGAGGGTGGACGAGAGCTACTCCCAAAGAGGGCATCGTTGAATGCTGACGCCGTCGGAGATGGCACCGAATACTCTGACACAGACACTGAAGGCCGTCCAGAGGGCACCGAGTAGGACATAGATGGCCGTGCCCCCATGTCGACGTCCGTATCCATGGGTGTCCTGAACGACACACTGTCGCTTGAATACCTTGACCCACTCTCTGTGCGAGAGCGAGATGTCGACAAGGAGGGCAGGCCAACTGGACTCGGGGTGATTGACCTGTACTCAGGGATTGGCGGAGGGGACAGTGTGTTTATCGCCCTCTGGGCTGCAAACTCCTCGGCTGCGGACAGACCACCGGGGGTAGAAGCAGCCTTGCGCACCGTATGATACGACCCTGAGCCAGACGAAAGACCAGCGGCGTTTTCCTCCGAAGGTGAACTCGACCTTTGCAGGTCAGGCTGTGAGACCGAGATGGCGATTTGCTTCCGTGGCGCAGGAGAGAGGGGAGACGGTAGTTGATTCGGAGTCTCCGCGCGAAACGGGAGCTCATCCCTGGCACTAAGGGGGGACCTTGGTCCCTCAGACAACAGTGAAGGCGGATGCACAGTGAGGAAGTGCGCATGCTGGTCCGAAGGAGAACCTGGGGCTTCGTCTTCCGAAAAGCCGAAATCCTCGATGATACGCTGCCCGATGTTCGGCTTCGGCGTAGGCTTGACCGTGGGGATCGGGAAGCTTGCTTCAGACTGCGCAGGAGGGGACACCGGGTCGCTCGATGAGAACGAGTGGTCCGGGGTCGACGTCAAAGAGTGGCTGACGGCCTTGTGCAGGAGGTCCTTCCTCCACCCCTCGTCCTCCGAGTTGATCGACCATACCGCAGGGCTCCCAGGAACGAGCCGATCCGCCAGAACGGCGGCTCCCACTGAGTCCATCGGCCCGAAGCCAAACGCCGTTGACGTTTGCATCGCGAAGGGGGAGTCCGCCGACGGCGGGGGCAAATCGACGACGTCCGTAGGATCGATCACGTCGTCGACGAAACGGTTCCGCGGCGTAGTGGAGCTTGGAAATTTGCGTGCATCTGCCTTGGTCCGGAGCTCCTTTTCGGCCTGCTTGGCAGCGCTCACTAGATCGTCCATCTGCTCGCGCAGGACGACCACGCGACTGGTCGGTGCGACAGGGGACGCTGCGGGGGCGGATGCGCCTATCTTGGGCATGCTCTGTTGCCGGTTGAGCAGACCAGATGCGGAAGGGGTGTCTGATGTTGTTCGCAGGATTGGTGCCATCATCTCAGCAGCAGAGGGGCTTCCGGGGGCAGGAGAAGTGGGCTTCGACTTAGTCTTCCCAAAACCGAAGAAGGTCAGAAAGCCAGATGCAGCAGGTTTGGGCTTCGACGTGTCCGGTCCATTCGAGGTGAGGGAGAACGGGTTGGGTTTCGCGTGGGCAGGCGGGAGGAAGTAGCTGTTGTTCAAAAGCAGTCGGAGCCGATAGGATACGTCGTCGGGATCGAAGTCCGGATGATCGGGTGTGACGATATCGGGGTAAGATACGTCAGCGTCGTTGAGGGAGTCAGTGTAGAGCATGGACGACTCGGTGCGAGAACCAACGGTGGAGGCGGGGTAAAGAGAGGACGAGGTTGACGACATGTGCGTCAAAACCGAGTCCCGGCGGTTCAGTTCGTCGACGGCAGAATTGACGATAATGGGGCTCGAGCCGAAGCCGTAGGGTGTTATCGGACTGGGTTGCGAGGACCCGTCCGAAGGGGGGTTTTGCCGGAAAGCCTGGCGGGGGAGACTGAGCCCGCGGGGCTTCGGCTTCGACTGGGACGATTGTTGGAAAAAGACGCGGAGACAAGACAGCACAAGACGCACCCCTTTGACCGACCCTGCGGCCGACTTCTCGCGCCGTCCACGATCCTGCTGCTCTGGCTCCGACGCATCGTGCGCCTTCCACGAAAGCGGGGCTGAAGGCGGCTGTGGGGGGTGGCCGTCCATCATGAGGAATGAGCTGCGCGCAGCGTCTAGGGTCCGGGACCTGCGCTTCTGCTTCTTCGCCTCCCGCACCCGCTGACGCGCACGATCGCGCTCGCGGGCGGACATCTCCTCCGGCTCGGCGCTGACGACGACGGGGGGCACGGGGGGAGCGTCGTCGAAGTCGAGGAAGCTCTCGCCAGCGTCGGAGTCGTAGGCGAGAGTCGCGGGCGCATCCTTCTCCTTGGTGCCTTTGCGGGCGGGAACGGCGATCGAGCGCGTTTTGGTGCGAGAACGGCGTCGGAGAGAGCTGGCGGCGGAGTCCTTGCGGGCGTGCGAGGAGGAGGAGGGGAAAGGCACCTCAGAGGGCGCGGGGGCGAGAGCAGGAGGCATAGAAGGAGGGGGTGCGCATGCGACGGAGCGTCGACGCGGGGCGGGGGGAGGGGCCGCAGAGGAGGTGGAAAGGAGGTGGTGGAGAGAGGGAAAGATGACAAGACGTCGGGCACGCCGGCGCGAGAAGCGGCGGCGAGGAGACAGTCGACTAGCGGCCGTTCAGAGAGTCCTGACGTCGGCGCTCGCGGGTAACGGCGGGCGGCGAGCAGGGACCCCGGACAAATAAGTACCCAGTCTGATGGCGATGCCCTGTATCCGTGCGCCACCTCCCCCTCCGCACACGCTCGACTCCCAAGCCACACTCCAAGCATCCGTCGACACCTGCGCGGGGGTGAGCGCTGAGCAGTGCGTCCATGCATCCCAGCAGAGGCCCGTGCGTTAGAAGCATTCGCGGGAAGGCGCGGGCGGGATCTGGGCCTAGTGTCGGCGTGAGATCAGAGTGGCAGAGGTCCAGAGCGGGGCATCACCCGGCCCTGGTGTAAGGCCGCTTTTGGCGATGAAAGTTCGTTTGCGCGTCTCCTTCCGTCCTACGGCTTGCTCTCAGCCACACGCTCTTCTCACCCCCCGGACCTATTCCCATGTCGTCGTTACTCGCCTATCTCCAAAGCTGTAAGACATTTGCTGCGCCCACTGAGTCTCACTGAGTGTGCCTTGCAGACCTTCCCGCCGGTCCCGGTTGGCTACCGACGTGGCAGCTCGTCGTCGCCGTCACCGCGACATTGAACACAGCGAGCAACGTCGCCTCGCTTGCACCGTCGCGCCGTCTCTACACCGGCATGGCCGCATTCGGTGAGCAGTCTGGGTGCTTGGAAGTAACGAGGTTACGCCCGCTCACCATCGCAACCGGACATTCATGCAGTCAACCCGCTCCAGGCCAGGACGTTCGCGATTTGGACGCTGACGTCAGCAGCCGTTCGCTTCTACGCAGCATACAACATCCACAACAAGCTGTGCGCCCGTCCTTCCCGTCCTCCCATCTGTCTGTCCGCTAATGGGCGCCGTGGCCAGCATCTACGACCTCGCCCTCTTCACCTACCTGTTCGCCTTCTTCCACTTTGCTTCCGAGATCCTCATCTTCAAAACAGCCAAGCTCGCGGGGCCTGCCATCAGCCCCGTCCTTGTCGCTTGTTTGTCTTGTTTCCACCTCAACACGTCTGATATCGCTCACACGCCTCACAACACCCACAGCTTCGTCTCTGATCTGGATGCTTACGCAGTACAAATTCTACGTACAGCCATGATGATGCGCACGCTCGGACGCCTGCGGTCGTTGCCCACTCCAAAATACATACTGTTCCGTCGCTCGTGCTCTCCCAAGTCGTTATGCTACTTTGTGCTTGATTCTGGCCCGACCCCTCCTCACCAGCCTTCTCAGCTCCGTTGAAAACGGCGTGTGCCATCACCTCCGGCGTACTTGCTGCTACCCGCGGCGGCCGAAGGCTATTTAAGCGCCAGTGCGACCCTGCGCTGCGGCCGGAACCGTCCCGTTTGATCTCTACTTCCCGCGCGCCGCCGTTTGGGCCTGTCCGGGCCCGCCCCCTGCGCTCCGTGGCCCTCCATCAGACTCCTCCGCGCGTCCCTCGAGTTCCCGACTACGCGAGACCCAGAGCGGGACCATGGAGATGTACAACTTCACAAGCGCGCGAGCAGAGGCGTAGTGCACGCGGGAGCAATCGGATTTGGATGTTGACTCCAGCCTTATCTCGTTCTTTAACCTCCCCACGTTGAGAACTCTCATCGCTTATCCTGGCCTCTCGCTCTTGTTGTCTTTCTTCCTCTAGCGGTGCGGCTGGCTGGCTCACAAGTCCGGACTCGCACGTGCGCCGCAACAGTGACCTTGTGGTCAGCATGATATCATCACGAGGGGTCTCGGATGGACGCGTGGACGCGTGGACGATGCGGGAATGGCTCAAATCCCAGTCTTGGTGCGTCCAGGCATGCTCTCTGACACTCGTTTGTTGTACCCAAAACATCTGTTGGCCTTCGTCGAGTGCCATGGCGACTGTGCGGTCCGAGCAAATGGCGAGCCTCTGCGGAGGCGTTCATAGTCCATCCGGGAATGCTTGCAAACCACATTGAGACGTGATTCTGTAGCAGGATCGCCATCTTGCCGTCAACGTTGCTGATGAATGAAGGCATAACCCATGGTCTTCAGGCCTCACGCAAGTTGCACATCATGCTCTGCGAGTCATGGCGCTGAATGACGTGTCCACTGAGAAGTTGCAGAACCATGCTCTATGACGTACAATCTATATGTACGTTCTCCCTCCTTTCAACTTCAGCTTACAACGGCTGTAGACAGGATTGATCGGACCGCCGTTCTGTGTGCGTAGTCGTTGAACAGTCCGCTTACATCGGAACTGCGCGTATTGCTTGGACCTTGGTGCATCTCACAACCCTTACATCGCAACGCACGTACACGAGAGCTCACACAGGACCGTCATGCACTTGGCGGGCCGTCAGCTCGTGCGCGCGGAACCCTCACGCACATACGCCGTGGCCCTTTCAACCAAGATCAAATAGCATCCCTGCCCCTTGGTGAGTGGTCTATTTCTAAAATTTTCAGCTCCTCGTCGATCGCCCCGGAAAGCGGGGCCCTGTGGGATGCACGACATGTTGTATGGCGCGGCGCTTGAGTGGACGACTGTGTGCCAGTGAGACGCGGTGCATATAGCCGCCTCTTGGTGAGTTGTCCGCTTATACGTCTAGCCTTCCTACATGCTCCCACCTCATCGAGACAGACCAGAAAGGGCCAACAGAACCGTCGCATCGTACACCTCGCCTCAACGCTGTTGCGATGAGCTACAAATGACCTCACTGCCCAGCCCACCGCTAGACCAGAGTCCGAGCGGACTCTGTGCGGTTAGCCTGCAGGCGTGGCTTCAATATGGCATACTCGGCAGGAGCCAGTCACCCGACGCACGCGAGAGACGGACGCTCTCACGTGGGGCGGGCGAGGAAAGGCCAAAGGAGGCGGATCCGCACGTTCATGCAGTGGGCTCGAGCCAAACAAGCTTGCTCGTGCCAATGGGCACGGACGGGACGCGCATGGGGGCAGTCGCGTCTTGTTCTCGTCCGTTCTGGTCTTCTGCGCGCGCGAGATGGCCCCGCGCTGGGCCTTCCGAGCGCGAGACGGCCGACCCATGACTGGGGCGGTCGTCGTCCGCCGTGCCCCCGCTCGTCCCGCGCCGCACACGGGTGATGCATCTTTTTGCAGCTCGCGGAGGCCAGATCACGTCACAAGAAGTCGGTCCGGTTGACGGTATAATGGCGCCGTGCACTTCGCGTAGGGCATATTTAGCTCTGGGGTAGATCGCCGGGTAAGCCTGCCGACGCTCGTGTTCGTCCTAGGGAATCGCAATCCAACACGCCAACGGGCAGCGTCATTGCGTGGCCCACGACACCTGTGTGCCTTTGCTCTTGGCTCATGTACGAATGCCATACGATCGCAGTATGGCTCGCTCTTGTGCAGAAGGCGCCCTCGTCCAGAATGGAGACCTGTCGAACGCGCCGACCCCAACTCCGATTCTGTCGTAGTCGTCCGGGCCCTGTCGCGGCCTCCAAGCGCGTGTGCGCATGTGCATCCCAGGTGTCCAAACGTCGCAAGTCGACGCGAGCCCGTCCCGTGCTGATGCAAGCATGGCGTCAAATGTATGTCCGTCCGTCCGTCCGTCCGCGCCTCTCTCTCTAAGCGCGCCGGGGTGAGTTGCTCGAGCCGACCGGGGATGCTGCAATTCATCGAGAAGGCGCTCTCCCGGCGGTCCCTCGCGCGCGGAGCCACGGCCCTCGCACGCGGGGGCGAGACGACCCGATCAACGTTTGTGTGCGGGCGGCCAACCAGGGGGTGCGCGTTCGCGAGGATGGCGAGCTTTTACGTGACGCCTTGGTCCTCATCGACATCAACGTCGCATCGGGTGGGGGCAGCGAGGGAGTGGGCAGGTGAGCGACTCGTTGCGGTTTGCAGGGGCCCGATTTTACGCGGGGGTTGCAGAGTGGTGGTCCGCCCGGGGGACAGTGCCTGTGGGCGTCGCCGCTCGGAGCTTGGGGACGCGCCTGATGCCGTCACGTGTGCGGGGCAGGCGGACGACTGGTGGTGGGAGCGACAGGTGGGCTGCGGAGACGGGGGAGCGGGAACCCAGGCAAAAGGCTATTGGGGAGTGAATGGGGTGCGCGGAGGGCCCACGCACGGAAGCGGACGGGTGGGGAACGTGCGAAGGGGCGCGAGCGAGGTCTGGAACAGAGGAAGGAGCCTGGCGAGCGCTTGTCGTGATCGTGCTCGTCCTGCCCCAGCCTTGACCCGGTCACGCCTCCTCCTCCCCCGCACGATGACTCGCCATATAAAGCCCTCCGATGGCTCTGCTTTGACTCCCCGAGCTCCTCCCCGCTGCCGCCCACGACCACTGCATACCACCACCCCCCACCATTCCCCGCCTTGCCTGGCATACATTCGAACATCTTAACCCCCTACCGTCTATGGCCACCCAGATCTCCCCCTTCGAATCCACCCCTCCAGAGCTGCTCGCCGTAATCTGCGCCCATGTCTATGCCGCCGGCCTCCCCCCTCTGATCCCCTCCCTCGACCCGCCTCTATGCGCTGACCACGCCGCCCCGCCCCTCTCGCTCCCGTCGTCCTACCCCTGCGCCCACTGGACCCAGTCCACCGTCCGGCGCACGCTCACCAGCCTCTGCCTCGTCAACCACGCCTGGAACGAGGCCGCCCGGCCCTGGCTCTGGCGCAAGGTCGAGATCCGCCTCCCGCGCTCCTGGCTCTCCATCGTCGAGGAGGTCGCCGGCGGCGACGACGAGGACGCGGCCGAGGCGCAGGCCGCGCTCATCGTCGACCGCACCCTCAAGACCGCCGAGACCGCCGCGCTCGCGCTCGCCGCCCGCACCGGAGAGCCGAGCGCGAGCGCCGACGCCGGCGACGCGGCGTCGGACCTGCACGACAAGGTCCTCGCGCGCCTCTCCGGCCCCGACATCTCCATCCTGCCGGAGCTGCTCACCCCGCCCGCGAGCCGCGACCCGAGCCCGCGCCGGCTGCGGACGAAGAGCAAATCTCCGGCGCGCTGGAAGCTCATGCGCTCCATATCGGTCGCCGTGCAGGACGTGATGGAGCGGGCGCACCCAGGGATATACGGTGAGTTTCTTGCTTTCCATGTGCGCCTCGAGGCATTCGCTGAGCGGTACCTATTGCGGTCGATTTGTCCCACAGTACCCCCGCCCCATGATCCGCACCCCGGCAAGCTGATCCGTCACTTGGACTTTAACCACTTCCGCACCATCGGCATGCGTCGCTCCGTGGAGGAGGGCGTGAAGAACCGGTTCGTCACCGGGGAGAGGCTCGTCGCAGTGCTCAAGGTGCGTCGCATCGTCCCGTGGACTACCGCCGATGGGAGTGACGGCTGCTCACGAACGTGTACAGGAATTGCCAAACCTTAGCGTCTTTGGCGCTACGGAATATATGGACGGGGCGCTCACGTCTTCTGTCATGAAGGAGCTGCTATTGCGCGGTTCCGTCGCGCGCGGTCGCGGTCGGCCATCCCGTGGCCGGGACGTAGTCATCCCGGATCCAAATGACCCGGAGCAAGAGGACCTGGAGCGCCGTCGCGAGTGCAAGGAGCTCGAGGCGGTCGACTTGACAGGTTGCGTCAGTGGGGTCTTTGTTGGTGCCTTGACGCAGTTCGTGAGCGAATACCTCCTTCTAACCTCGGACTCGGACTCGAGTGACGGTGAAGAGGATCCTCGCGAGCGCCCTACGCCACGCTCACGGAACGCCCATCGGGAAGAACCTCTGGTGCTCCCAGGTATGCGCCGCCTCGGTCTTCGCGGTGTCAAGTCGATCCAGCCGCACATTCTCGAGCCTCTCGTGCTCGCATTCCCGAACCTCACACACCTCGACCTTTCCTGCACACGCATCACCTCGGAAGGACTCGCCTCCCTCGGGGCGTCCCTCGCTGTCACCCTCTACTCCCTCGCGTTGGAACGCTGCAACTGGCTCTCAGGCGAGAGCATCCGCAACTTCCTCGTCGACACCCCCGCCACGCGCGCTCTCCGCGAGCTCTCGCTGTACGGCGACCGGACCTTCCCCTCTCCGCTCTCCGAGGACGAGCTCCGAGACATCGTCGAGCTCGCGCCGTGCTTCAAGTCCGGTCAGCTCGTGTACCTCGACCTCTCAAGCACGCCGCTCACCGCGCACATCCTCGGCGAGCTTTGCGCGCCGCAACCGCACCTCCGCTCGCTCGGCCTTTCGCACATCGGCGACCTGCCGCTACCGGCCGTAGCCGCCTTCTTGCGCGACAAGGCCCCACAGGTGGAGGTCCTCACCCTCGTGTCCTCGACACGCGACCTCGGCTACGGCCCCGACTTCGTCCCCGCGCGTCAAGCGACGATCGCGCTCTACGCGCAGCTCGTCACCCCGCTCTGCACCCCGCCGTTCTCGTTCCGGATCTCCGCGCCGTCGTCTCCGGCGGCGGAGGCGCCCACGCGCCTTCGTGTGCTCGAGCTGTCCCCGCTGCTGCTCGGCGCGCTCGGCGCGGGCGCCAGCGGATGGCGCATCGTCCGGAGCAAGGGTGGACGCGGGTGGTACGTCGACACCACGAGCGGATGGGTCGCCGAGGGGGCGGCGAGTCGGCTGCGCCGGGGCCTCGCGCCGGACCACCCTTGGAGGACGGAGCTCGACGCGCTCGCCGACGCGAACGGCAACGTGAGCAGCGGCGTGGGCTGGCATGCGCGGAAGATGGAGGCGAGTCTGCCCCCGCTTTCTTACGTCTTATACTGACTGAAGTTCTGCGCGCAGGTGTTGCACGGCGACGGGCTGATGGGCCGCGAAGCCGGGCTGTATGGCGCCGTGTCTTTCGCATACCAGGGATGAGCGTTCGTCGGCGTGGACCGGATACCCCACATGTTCTAACCGGAAGTTCGAAATTTTCGAAAAACAAAATGGCTGTCATTGTGACGCGTTATAATCCCCTCGCTCGGGCGTGCTAGTTGTTGGGGACATAAGGATCTCTATTGTACTGTAGTAACCCATCCTCATTGTATACCTCACTATGCTCATCGTACCAATCAATCTATTTCTCTGGAACCAGGACAGCCTGAGGGTATCAGAAAGCACTTTTCCGACATCGTCAGCCTCCAAAATGGAACCACTGGCCGCTCTACCATTGACCTCGCCGACGCGGGCGGTGACCACGCAGCCGATTGGACCACCTCGCGACAGCAGGCTTGTTCCAAGAGCAGGCTTGTATCGCTGTCCGCACTCGTGCCTGCGCAGTTTGGGGTCGAAGAACACGTCCATTTGGATCGTGATGCAGTGCGACCTACGCACGACGCTCTTCGCATACGTGCTCGCTCGCGAATAAAGAATGGAATCGCGTTGCTCTAACCATGATGACGTAGCCCCGCGACCACACAAGGCCGGTCCCGGAATTGACGAGTTGCAGCAAGTACTCCAGCACACACGACGTTGACGATCGATGCGAAGAACACAAACGCACCATGTAGTGTACAACACGGATTCATGACCTGCGATATCCTACACACCAATGGTATAGCTAAGTGCTAAAAGCCTGCATATGCATCGTCTGCTCAGGTCGGATGCGCGATCCGGCGTACCTTGCGATCATACTCCGCCCTCGATATTTTCCCCGCCTTGAACGCCTTGCCCAGCTTCCTGATCCTGTCGCAGTCCGCGCTGCTCAGCGTGCTCGGGTCCGTCTCCTCGTCGGGCGCGATCCCCAGCTGCACCTCCGCCGGCCACGTCTTCCACGCCTCGCGGGCCAACACGTCCTCCAGCATCCGCGCCGCGCGCCGGGCCAGCTGCGCCGCGATCGCCTCCGCCGGGCCCTCGCGCTGCATCCCCATCGCCTCCGCCTGCGCGCACGTCGCGCGCGCGCCGAAGCCGGTGAGCACGCCGTGCACCGCGCGCGCGGACTCCGGCTCGCCCGGGCGGCACACCGCGCGCTGCAGCGCCGCGTCGCGCAGCACGGACAGCCGCGCGTGCGGCGCGTGCATCGCGGCGGCCATGCGCGCGACGTCGCGGCCCATGAAGAGGCTCGGCGCCTGGCGCGCCTCGAGCACGGCGGCGAGCTGCGCGGCCTGCGCGCGCGGGACGTGCGGGAACGCGAGCGCGGGGTCGAGCCCGCGGAGGTAGGGCAGGCCGGAGACGAAGACGCAGAGGTTGAAGTGGACCATGCCGAGGTCGAGCACGGTCTCCTCGCCGCGCACGGTGCGGAACCAGAGCCAGAAGTGGTTCGCCGGGTCCTGCCCGAAGCGCAGCTCGCCGTCGACGAGGTACGCGAACCGGTCCCGGCCCTTGACGTCGACCGCGCCGCGCACGAGGCCGAAGTCGGCGACGGGGGACGAGCCGTACTGGAGGCGGACGCGCTTCGTGCCGCGCGCCCTGTCCGCGGTGGTGGTGTAGAGCGCGGCGACGAGGGCGAGGGCGACGGAGAAGGTGTGCAGGCCGAGGAGGTGGTCTTCGGACTGGATGCGGCGCCAGAGGATGCGGCGCACGTCCGCGGAGGGCGCGTCGCGCCACCACTTCTCGGATTCGGGGCCGCCGTCTTCGATGCGGTCGAACTTGTCGCCGAGGACGCAGAGCCTGACGATGCGCTTGTCCGGAAGCTCGACGACCATGGGGGATTGAAGAAGCTCGTGTTGGTGTGCGATGTGCAGTCCAGGGGCGTCGATTCGCAGTATGTCCACGAGCAGCGCGATGATGGGATAGAAGGACGAGAGTTCGATGTACTCGGTCATCTGCTTGCCTGCGGGGTGAAACGTTGGTGGCTGGGAGAAAATGAAGTTGATGATATCATACCGCACGGATGTTCCCGCTTGTGTTGTTCCCAATGCGCTGTTTGGCATTCTGAGCCACAGTAGGCGATCTGGCAAGGGTGTCTCAGGGGTGTCGCCACTGGCAAGTTGTCCGCTCGTACCTCTTTGCAAGAGCCGCAAAGCTTCAGATCACGAGCACTTCCATTCTTCCCACAGGCTCCGCAAGTGGAAATATCCTCAAGAGGGAGGTATACCTTGCGCTCGGCCGGGTTCATGGTGGTCAGGAGCACGCATTGGAGCCCAACGCACGGTCGATTTTGTGGACAATGCTGACATCATCTTGGTGAAGCGCCCAAAGACTCCTCTGAACGTGGTCTGCTCTGCTCGGTCGATGCGGTATTGGCAGAGCCGATGTTATCTGTCCAGAAGAGAGGGGGATGAAGAGATCTGAGGGAGACAACCGCGTCCGTTTCTCGACTCCCCCGGAAACATCACGTGCGACACTCTGGGCGCTTTTGCGACCTTCGCGTACTTCCGCGCGCGGCTGACGTCCAAAATATCTCTTTGTGGCTTTCTCTTGAGTCACCCGGTTAAAGTCGGTTCCTGAGGCAGTGGATCCTCTGCCATGGAAAGCGGTTTATCAATCGGTGCAATTGTGGAGGGTGGCAGCGAACCGCAACGGAACGAGTCGGTGCGTGGAATATGCACGCCACCATGGCCTACATTTAGCGTCGTTGACGTGCTCGACCATTCTAGGTGGACGCGCTACCAGTGCTTGTCATTGCCTGCGGACACCGTGGCTCGACGCGCATGGAAGGGTGGCACGCGTTGCTCCCGCTCGAACACTTCCCCTTCATTCATTCCTATCGGCTGCAAGAAACGTGGTAAGTGGTAAGTGAGTTTCCTTATGAAATCAATTTGAAAGCGGACATAGGTGTTGAAGGGATGATCGTCGGGCTCCTTCCTATGAGCAGTGCCTCTCTCGAGTATGTGCTTTCCCCGCCTTCTATCAAACGTACATACTGATCAGACTTCGCTTATTGCAGGACTCTTGCACGGATACGTTCTTTCTCCGCCTCGTGTCATCGCCCGACGTCGGCTTCAATGCATGGACGCTGAAGCCGAAATCTTCTCGCAGGAGGGTGTGACATCCCCAACACAATTCCCGCAGGTACTTCCGGGGTCTTTTGAGTCCCGTAAACGAGGCAGTCCGTCATGCAGGCGTTCACGTACGGGTCTCGCAAGCAAAGCCCCATAGAGGACCTATGACGACCTATGACGAGTGCTCGGTTGTGACATAGACGGCACACGCCCCACCAGACCCTGGCCCTTCGCACGATGCTGTGAGCAGACGCCCTCTTATCCAAACCTTATTGATATCCCTTGACAATGAGATCATCTAGACGCCTCACGAGGGGAGCGCCCGCAGGCCGGTGCTGCCATAGTCGCCGGAACAACCTGTCCCTGTGGACGTCGATCCTTGGACGGCGAGTGCCTGACTGCCGCGGTGAGCAACTTGCCTGAACGGGACTACAGATCATCAGCAATGCAAGGACTTCTCCTGTCGCTTTTAACCAACCTCCCGTTATCTGGATTCTGCAGCGCATGCACCCAGGCTGTGCGGACTGCCCGCACACGCGTGCGCTCGCCCCGACCCGGAGCGCGAGGATCTTCTCGGTCGCTTCTGGATTCCAGCTGAAGCGATAGGTACCAGTCAGCCGCACTGGTACGCGCTGCGCCCGAGGAAGAGCGCACCGCGTCGGAACGCATGACTAGAGCTCCCTGTGTAGTTCGATGCACACCCTGTGTTCTTCCCGACGCTGCCTCGCTGCGGAACATATCCGACGCATGCAGTCGGATACTATCAGTCCGCTCCGCACCCGGGCCGCATCTCGCGGACTAACGAAACACACAGGTCAGGCGTTCAACCATCCTGATATGAACATTCTCGGTGCATTGAAAGATTGCTCGACCCCGACCACGAGGAGGTGCCCAATCGCAAGCGATATCCGTCTCGACATACAAGGCAGATCGCAGGCGAGGCTGGACAATCCAATCCATTAGTAGTCTCACACCATGCTGTCATTTGGTAGGCTATGTGCGTGCTGCGCACATCCGTCATCTTCTGGCAACTACTTAATTCGTGCATAGCTCAGAGGTAAGACTACTACTTGTGGGTATGTCGAACGATCCCTCTCCAAAACCACACTTCCTTAGTACCCTGTGCATTAATAACCCCAGACCACAAAACGTATTTGTATTTTGCTGTCAGCGAGCACGGCCCGTGCCACCTCCTGCGTCAGGCAATCACCGTGCCGCGACTTCATCACGTCCTACGGCCCTGCGCGCGCGCTCCGGACAGTTGCTTCTGTGACCGCGGGTGCGTTGAACGTTGAACGCTCACTTTGACGTCGCAGGATACGTGTTACGCCTGAGAATGCACAGGTGCGGGGAGGTTGCGCCGCGGTGGTTCTCGTCGCGCGCCGTGCGATTGGACCTCTGTCACCGACAGCGCGACGGGCGCGGACACGGGGAGCGGGGCTGCACGGTGCATTGGTCTAGCTGACGAGCCGACAGGACTGCATCCATAAGTAGTAGAGGTAAGCGAGATTGGGAGCAGGACGCGCGCACCGCGCGTGCGCAGCACGGTGGCGTCTCGGGAGGATATCCGAATCGCTAGCGGGGACACCGCCTTCGGCGCGAGCTCGCGCCGCTGTCCGGCGTTGCACCGAACGAGGTGGCGTCCGGCGGCGTGTGGTATGACCAGCTTGCGAACGCTGAGGCCGAGGGAGATGCTCAGTGCGCGGATCACGGAGGGCGTGCTGGGCGCTGAGATCTGAGACCCCGGACGACGATTGTCACGCCGCGCCAGGGACACGTTGGTGTGCCAGTTGGTGTTGAGGTGAGGCAGGAGGTGTGGCTGAGTGGGCGGTGGCGAGAAAGGAGGGGGAGGCGGGGTGGTACGACTATGGGAGTCGGGAACCCGGAGAGGTACGTTAATTCCCGTTGGCGCGACCCCGTGCCAGTGCGCGGGGGGAAGGGCCTCCCACATAAGGTGACATAACGACCTTCTATTGTGGGCTACACAACGAGACTGACGTTTTGGGCGGCGCGCGACCCGAGTACAGCCGGGTGAGGCGGAGGGCCGACTAAAAATCACGGTTCTCCCACAGAAGGCCGGTGTGTCTTGTTCTTGTTCGGAACAATAGCTTCAATACAGGTCGCACGTATCAACTGGTTGCCAGTGCAGCAAATGCTGAATGTGGTTCTGCATGCCGGATGCAGACCGCACGAGCTGCGATGAAGGAGGAAGTCTATTTGTGTCAGATTGCGATGAAGACAAGGAGCGTTCTTACAGAGGATGTGTCCGCAAGGCTCCAAACAATCGAATTGGTGGTGATAGCCCCAGTACACCGTATGTCAGAAACGTGTGAGTGCTTCGACCCGGGCCCTGTGGGTGGCGATATCTGAGACTAGGACAACGTGGGCATATCTAGTGAGTCGAATACGGCGACCCTACGCGTGCACTGCACCAGGGAATTTGTGAACGACGCGGGTGAAGGAAACAGCCGGCCCAGACGAAGACTCCGCTTGGGCCTCGTTGCAGTCAGAGGCATTGCGCAACCGGTGGGGAAACCACTAGTGCTTGCAGCACATGCGGTGAGGCAGATATGGTCTCCGGAGTCCGCGTTCCACTTCACAGATCTAGAGGCGCAGCATTTGCTTGAACGTGCACACGATACCACGACTGGCACTCACGTCTGTGTCCTCCAACGAAAGCAGGTCATATGGGATCTGTCGCCGAAGTTCTGGATTCAAACCAGGCTGATTCTGGGCGCGGACACACAACAGTCGAGTCAGTGACGGCCTCGGCTGAAAAGAGACGTACTCGTATGGGCAGAGCCTCGTGGCTGTTCTTTCAGCTGGCCGGGACGTCGTCCATTATCTACCCAACCGGCAGGCTACCGAGGGCTTCGTGATTGTTCAAGCGGAGGCTTGGGTCCAAGATAGTGTGCCTCTCACAATGGCTAGAAAGAATACGTGTGTGGTAGGCTGCCGTCACAAACCACACGTGGGGGCGGCGATGTTTGAAGCGATGACGTGCATACCATGGCTGGAGACCCGAAAGACTATTGGATCTTTGTGTTGTCCATGCGCCATCCGTGAGGTGTGGAGTGGTCATTGTCACACGCGCCTCTGTGAGTGGTGTCAGCAACGCGATTGTCAGCCCCGTTAGGGCGACGGAATGTCACGCCCCTTGAGTACAAGGCCTGAAAATGGAGATTGACTTCAAGACTGCAAGTGGCTCACTGACCATGGTTACTGTTCACCCGGCACCGTACACTTAGGCTTTGAGTGGAAAGGAGATCGCGGGTGTGGGTGGGATCGCGAATTCAGATTTGGCGCGGTCGTAAAGAGAAAACAAGCCACTGCCGCGCATCTCGGTAACCTTCCGACAACGCCGAAGACGGTGAGACTTAAAGCTCAAGGAGTAGGAGGGAGAGGTGTGACGCCGAATCTCTTGGCGCACGGGGTGTTAGGGGGCGTGCGTCACAAACGGGGCAGCACTATTGTCACCAACGTAACATTAGTCACAAGGACCGAGCAGTTGGCGCGGTGGAGGCAGTTCACGCTCTTGCGGTGTCCGTCCCCCCATAAAGCCTTCGGCCGCTTCTTCTCTGCTCAGCCTCTCCGCCCGTCCTTGGTTCCCTTGTACCTTCCCGCACCGACTCACCTTATGTCCGAACCGACTTCGGCAGCATCGCCCACCCCTGGGGTTCAGAGGCGTGCCACTTTCGCCAGCGGTCCGGAGTCTGGAGAACCTGTGCGGCGTTCAACTACTAATACGAACATCGCTCGCACAACATCCCGGGCCTCTCAGCAGACCAACCGTCTTTCCCTCCTCCGCGTCCTTACAATGCCAGAACGCCCAGTAGGACCAGCCCCGACATTATGGCAAGGAATTCGAGCCATCATCACCATCTCCTGTCAGTTCTCTTTCTTTCCTCGCGTCACTTTCAGCTCACCGGCCCTCTTCCACACGCTGCAGGGATTAACCTCCTGCTAGTTTGCATTCCCATATCGGTACGTTGCACTCCATGACATCAGCCAAGTCCACCAAGCATTTACCTTGCTCGTCTCTCAGTGGGCATTGAACTTCACGCTCGAGCATTCGGACAAGAATGACACAATAATCTTCGTGTGTACGTCCTCTTCACCTCCCGTCTGCTCGCTCGTCGTCTCAAGGCGCTCCAGTCGCGTTTCTTGCCATTATACCATTGGCCAAGGTGAGTATATGCTACGTTCTTGGCTTCCAAGGTCTAACCACCGTTGCCAAGCTGCTTGCGTTCGCCACGGATGAGCTCTCAATGCGTGTAGGACAAACGCTGGCGGGTCTCCTGAACGCCACTTTGGTACGCGCTTTCTTGTGTTGCCTATGTGGCGTACTAACACTCGCCACAGGGTAACGCGTACGCATATTCCTCGCACGCTCCTTAGAAATGTCGCACTAAGTTTTTCATTGCAGTGTGGAGTTGATCGTAGCTGTAAGTTCTTGGTCTTCGGAGGTTGTTACTCCTCTAAAGGCATACCCCCTAGATCATCGCGTTGGCGAAGTGCCAGCTTGCAATTGTTCAGTCTTCTCGTGCGTAACCGAATGTCTGGCTACTGTCTTTCGAACCTCATCGAACACCCATTTACAGTCGTCGGCTCGATCTTGAGTAACCTTCGTAAGCGACAATCCGACCACAATAGACGCGCTGCTAACAATTGAATGCCATAGTACTTGTGCTTGGCATGTGCTTCTTCGCCGGAGGCACGAGGTTTTCGGAACAAGGGTTCGGTGTCAGTGAGTACCGATCCAATTTACTTCTCACAGAAGTGTTTGGGCTCATCGCAATGTGTTCGAACCCACAGGTGTGACGCAGCTCAACTCATCCCTGCTGACCATCTCGGTCATTGCGGTGCTCTTGCCCGCTGCGTTCCACTTCACTGCGGACGCCGCGATCAATGACCCTCTGGAGGCCAAGGACATTCTGGCGGTCAGCCATGGAGTGCGTGACGCCATCTTGTTGATGTTGTCCGTCATTAATGGGATGTTGGTTTCTAGGTTGCCATCATCCTCCTTTTCAGTGCGTAATATCGCACGATTTACCTGATCCCGTCGCTCACCAGGCCACATTAGTCTACGGCTCGTATCTCGTTTTCCAGCTTTTCTCGCACAAGACGTTGTACGACGATGACCATCCGGATATCTTCCGCTCCACCAAGTACACTCCACGAGAGAAGAAGAACAAGGAGAAGAAGAAGGACGAAGCCTCCCTCAGCGTCCCCGACGCACAGGAGCCTCACAACAGTAGCGCCATTCCTTTGCTGGACATGCACAGTCCCATTCACGCTACAACCACAGTCCCTTCGGAGAGCACAAGCACGCACACCGACCTCGAGATTGGTGCCCCACATGCTGAAGAGGAAGAGGAGGAAAAGCCGCAGATGAGCGTCCCGCTTACTATCGGTCTTCTTGCGGTCGTCACTGTTGTAAGCACATCCTCAGATTCCGCTGTCGTTTAAGCTAAGTTTTCGTTCTACAGCTTGTCGCTGTTACTGCCGAGTTCCTCGTTGACTCTATCAGCGGTCTCACGGATTCAGGAAAAATCAACAAGGAGTTTGTCTCATTGATCCTGCTTCCCATTGTTGGCAACGCCGCGGGTGAGTGTCCCTTGATACGCATCTGTCCTGTGCATCGTTCTTCTTGACGTGGACTGATCCAATTGCTCGCCTTTCAGAGCATGTCACCGCTGTCACGGTTTCCGTAAAGGACAAGCTCACGCTCAGCATAGGGGTCGCAGTAGGCTCGAGTATTGTAAGTGTTTGGAGGTTCGTCATCATGCCCATGTGCTCAACGTCTTCTGTTTCAGCAAATCGCCCTTTTTGTCATCCCTTTTATTGTTACGCTCGGATGGATCATGGGCAAGCCGCTCAGCCTACTCTTCGATCCTTTCGAGTCAATAGTGCTGTTCTTGACTGGTACGTTCAGCTTCTTCGTCACCTTCACTTCCAGGTTGCTCATCTTTCCCCATGCAGTACTCGTGGTCAACTACGTCATGCAGGACGGCAAGAGGTGAGTTTCTCATAATGCGCCTCGTGCGGTCTCGTCCCTTCCCCACCCTCACTGTGTTTCGTGCATGTCGCTGACGTCTTCATCTCCGTTACAGCAATTGGTTGGAGGGCATGATCCTCATGTCGTTATACTTGATCATTGCCGTCACGTTCTGGTACTACCCTGGTACGTGATGCGCCTGAGCGGCCCCATCTCCACGACGCTGACCAATCCTCGTGGCGATAGGTGTGAACGAACTCCAGGCGTCGCTCTCGTGCTAAGACATCTGCAAGACACGATCTCTCACGACCCAACACTTACCATTTCTAGACTCCTAATGTGTAACAAGTACGACCCTCGTGTCCTTTGGACCCTTCGTAGTAGTAGTCACGCTTTCGCTTTGGACATCAGCGCTTCTCTTCATCGTCATTGCATACCTTCTCGTACTGCATTCTCCACTCTTTCCCCTTCCTTAGGTTTCGTGGTACGTTACCCCTCGCCCTGCTGTCGACCCCAGCCTCTGCTCCATCTATCACCATTGCCACGCCCCCGCCTTCCCGCCCATACCACGTCGCATTGGTCTTTGCCCCCACCATCTCGCATCTGCCAACCCAAGGTCCCGGTTGTGCCTCCGTGTCGGTCCGTTCGGGCGTCTGGCGTTAGAGGTTGTTGCTCTGATTTATACCTCATGTATTCTCATCTCATGCTGTCAGCGCTAGGGCTAGCTGTGTCAATCGCAGGTCTTGATACCCCCGAACAAGGAGTTGGGACCGATGAAGATATGGTATTGTACAGAAGACACAGTTAGAGTACAAGTAATGTTTGCATGAAGCACAAGCCCACCGGTCCAATGGCATTGCGATAACAAGGCACGTTGCTGGCCGGCGTTTACAGCTTGGCCCTGGGAACGTCAGAAACGGCTAGTGTGGCTGCGGCAGCGGCGAGGACGGTCGCCTGACGTTCCTTAACCTTGACGACTGCGGGCACGGAGCGAGGAGCGGGCTCAGCTCTCACGTACATCGCCTTGGGCAAACACAAAACGTACCAAATATGACCTTGTCGCCTTCTTTCCACATTTCGGTGAGGAGCGTCTCGCCTGGGAAGACGACGCCCGCAAACCTAATAGACGAGAAGAAATGAGTCACACCGACGCGCGCAGGAAGAGCCGAGATGAGGAGCGTCAGACCGCAGCCGGGACACAACAAAGAGGAAGCACCACTCACCGAACTTTGATGTCCTTGAAGGTGCCGTAAGTTTTCAGGACATGCTTTCCCGCAACGCCCATCGAGCACAACCCTAATAACACGGGACGTCAGAAGGCGAAAAAACATCCCGATAGTCGTGGACCCCGCACTACGCCCGCATCCACTGTGGTCTGTACCGTCCACAATGACACACGGGCGCTGCGGCAGTGGCAGCACAGTGGACGAGGAACCGAGGATGCTCACCATGCAGAATGGGCTTGTCGAAGCCACCGACGGCCGCAAACTCTGGCAGTATCTGGAAAGCGCGGCGAGTCAGGCGGGTCCTGGTGGACCTGACACGTCCCACAGTGGACACACGGACACACTCACATGAAGGGGGTTGAGGTCCCCGCTCAAGCTACATGAATAGTGGAATGTCAGTGTCACGCCCTGTCCGGGGGCACCGTCTCGAGCATCGAGACAAAGGCTCTGAACAGCCGAACAACTCACCGGTACAGCGCGGCCTGTGTTGGCAACGTCTTCTCCTCCACGACGGCATCAGGCTTCCGCTTGGGGGGCGCGTTCTCCGCGGTCGCTGCTCCGCGGTCTAAATTTGCGGCAGAAATGTCGTGCCCGAGGGGAGTCGAGTACATGAGAGGAGAGCGTGTACGCGGAGATGAAATACGCACCCTTCCCCGTCCGCTTGCCGCCAAAACCACCGGAGCCACGGATAAACACGGTTGACTGGTTCTCAAATATAACCTGACCGGTGTGCTTGTCCTTGGTCTCGACGATTGCTGTGACTGCAGCCGCCTTGCCCTTGTCGAGCACCTCCATTAGCCTGGAAACGTCACCGCTGGCGTCAGTATCACGCCCTTCGGTGCGTGTTCATCTGCCACATACCGAACCTCATTGACGAGGTCGCCACTGGTGGGGATAGGGGCTTTGATAGCTAGATATTGCTCTCCGTGGAGCAACTTCGCCTGCAGGACGTTACCCCACTATCAGGATCCGAAGCCAAGGCCCTATGACGCATCGAATGGATCACTCACAGGGTTGAAATTAGGCAAGAAGTCGAAGGAGAGGCCCGCACTCGCGTTGAACTGGGGGATGACGCCAAACGTTGGGAGCGCGGCGAACTCCTCGTGGTTCTCGTACGTCCACTGGAGCTCTTTTTCCGTCGCCCCGATGCCCAGGTTGTAGAGGATCACATCACGCTCGGTGTAGCTGTACTCCACCGGGTCGATGGGCTCCTTCTTCGCCTCCGCCACGACTTCCGCGTCCTCGGGGTCCGCGTATGGGCTGTCCGAGCCAGAGCCGCTGCTGTCGTCGTCGGCGTTGCCGAAGTTCTCGGCGATCTGTTGCGACAACGAGATCAGTCGCTCCGGCTCTTTACGGCATGTGGGTAGTTTTCGTACCTGCATGAACGCTTCCTGGGTGCTCGCAGGGTTCGTGGCACGGTCATCGTCTGCGATCGCTTAAGCAGTCGGTGGAAATGAGAGAGATATATGCACTAACCGAAGTCAGTGATCAACTTCCACTTCGCCACAATGTGCTCGGGCTGGAGGGGATGGTTGACGGGGAATCCATGGCCACCAGCGCGCTGCCAGCGAATCTGGGCGACCCAGCCACCCGCAACCTGGAACAAGGAGCCGGTAGATTCCTGGTTGGAGTCGCTGCTGAGGAACGCGACAACTGGGGCAATATACTCCTCCTGTCAGGTCTGATCAACTTTGGTTCCACAGAGAAGTCGCCATAAATCCTACCTTTGCCGCCTCGACATTGGCACCGCTACCTCCATGGTCAGCAAATGGAGGGGAACTAAGTGGTAAACGCACTCACCGGCCAAGGCTAGCGTGCGCTCCTGCGGAAGGAATGACGACGTTGGCAAGGATCCCATACTTCTTCCCCTCGATGGCCACGGTCTTGGTAAAGCCGAGAACAGCCGCTTTGACGGCGGAGTACTATGCGTCAACACGTGAGTAAATGTACATAGATTTTCAGTCCAACGGCGAAACTTACGTTCGCAAATCCGGGCATACCGTCTGGAGAGTGTACGTGAGATCAAAATGTTGCTGCGAGGGTCGCTTTACTTACAAAGGCCAGACTGAGAGCCCATGGTTACGATGCGTCCATACTTCTGCTTGAGGAAGATGGGCCAAAGTGCCTTGGTGCACTATCGGGGCAAGTTGAGAGCAGGTAGTCGCGGACGAGTTATCGTGCAGCTTGCCTTGTATGTCGACCTCAGCCCCACTGCGAGCACCTCATCCCAGTCCTTATCCGACATTCTCTCAATGTTGGTGGGCCGAGCGAGGTTGACATTCGCGACAAGTACGTGTACACCGCCGAAGGCTTCCATGGCGGTTTTGACGATACCTTCCCCATCCTCAGCGGAGGTAATAGCCGCTACGGCCTTCCCACCAACTAGGAGTCTGTGCTGAGAACAAGGCGACCGTGCTAACGGAGAAAACCATACCTTTCTTGATATCCTCTACGATGGCTTGTGTACTATTGGCGTTCACGTCATTGAGCACGACGTTGGCACCGAGGCGCGCATATTGGAGAGCGTAAGCACGTCCTAGGGCAGAAGCGGCACCAGTGATGATGACAGTCTTGCCGTCGAAGCGGACTTCGGGTTCTGCCTGCGCGTTTGAATCGACCTTGGACGACTCCGTAACCTTGGCCTGAATGTCAAAGTCAGGAAGATATTGTGGGCTGAGACGGGGATGTTAAGTGAGTTGACCGCGCCCATGTCCACAGAGGTTACGTACTGCTCAGGCTCCGCAGAGTCGAAGTCTGTGATCTGTTCCCATTTCTCTTCAACCTGGAGGGACGTCATGAGTCAAAGCATAGCTTAGCGTCTTATCAGGCACACATACTGCTGAGGGAGTGAACGTCTTGTCAGTCTTGAAGAACGCGCCCTTGCTTCGCTCCCACCGGATTTCGGCAATATAACCCGCTCCAACCTCAAATATCCGCCCATTCGCGTCTGCGCCATCTGGGTGGGTAATTGCGAGAACGAAGGGCGCCACAAACTCGGGCTGCAGAATTCATCATAAGGAGGAAGTCAGAGATGAGGGTAGGGCACTACGCACCTTTAGGTTGGCAAGCATCTCAGGGGGCATGATGGTCTCTGTCATGGCCGACGCAGCCATCTGGGAGGTGTATGGGTTTCGCACGAACGCATAGAGGCCAGGAAGGTGAAGCTCACCGGTGCGACAACCACCGCCTTGATGCCATACCGTGCACCCTCCGCCGCAAGTGCCTTCGTGAACCCAACCAGACCCATCTTGGCTGCGCTGTAGTTCGCCTGACCAAAATTACCTGACATAAATCGTCAACCCGCGCGCGCGCGACGTCTGAGCTGAAAGCGACGCACCGTACAGTCCTGCCGCGCTCGCGGTGTTCACGACGCGTCCAAACCCCTGCTTCTGGAAGTATGACCATGCCGCCTTCGTACATGAGAAGGAGCCCTTCAGGTGGACGTCCATGATCTGGTCCCATTCCTTGTCGGACATGTTCTTGAACCTGCGCGCAGAGCACTGCTGAGACTAAATGCACGAGAAGTAGTGGAAATCAACGTACCCCTTGTCGCGGAGAATCCCCGCATTGTTGATGAGGATAGTGACAGTTCCGAATGTATCGACAGCAGTCTTAATGACAGCCTCGCCGTCGGTGACAGAAGAGTTGTTGACGACAGCCTTGCCGCCGGCTATTTCAAGACAAGCATGGTGAATGTGGCGTCAGGAATTCGAGGACCGAAACACACGCACCGAGGGTGATCTCGTCCACAACCTTCTGCGCTGCCTCCTTGTTGAAGTCGTTCACGACTACGTTCGCGCCCCTCGCCGCGAACTGCAGTGAATAGCTGGAAATATGACATTACTCTGTGAGTCTCTCAGTCGCTTTGCAGACAGAGGCAAGGGCGTACACTTTGCCAAGACCGCCGCCAGCGCCGGTGACGATGACGGTGTGGCCTTTGAAGGAAAGTTCGGGCATGGTGTGGGCAGGTAAGGGTGGGGAGGGAGATTGGACGTTGGACGTACCGCCGAGGCAGGGTCATCCCAAGGTCCATGTGATTTCCCCAGAAATCCCCGATCACGCCTCACGTGAATCGGCGGCAGTGTAGCTCTCTTCTCCCGGCCATTCGCACTCCTCGTTTCTGCGCTCATTCTCCGTCGAATCACCGACAGGACGTAAGCATCCAGAGTCGCAACACGACACTACAACTTCGATTCGATTCGCCCGCCGATAGCACCTTCTCTCCGCAACGCCGCGCGTTCTTCATCTCCCATGCCCAATTGCCTCAAGATCTCGTCTGTATGCGCCCCCGATCTCACGACGTGGCTGGAGAGCGTTCCCGGAGGACTTGTTGCTATTGATGGTGTTGTTGAAAGATTCGGATGGGGTACCGGTAAATGGTCGCTTGTCTTCCACGTCTGTCCCGCTAGCGTCGCCGCCTCATCTGGGGACAGAACTGGGACAGCGCACGCGTCTTTTCCTGGAAAGGCCGATGGAGTTCAGTCTCTCGTTGAACAGTCCCATTCAAAAGAAGCACACCATGAAACACCGCCGCCCAGTGGTTGCGGGGTTTCATAGCGAAACCTCGTGCGAAGAACTCCTTCATCCGGAGCCATGTGTCTCTCTTGGGTTGGTCGTCGGCCGAAGGTCTCCATCCCTCTACTGAGAAGTCGGGTGAGAGCTCGCTAAGAAACAGGGCCAGAAACTCGGCGAAGAACTGGGGTTCCAGACATGCGACGGACATCCACCGCCCGTCTGCGCAGGTGTACACCGCGTAGAACGGAGCGGCGCCGTCTAGTAATCCTGTGCTCCTCGTCTTGCCAAAGTGACCCGTGTTCAGCTGCCACAGCAGGAGAGGGAATGTGGACATGTATCGCACTCCCGACGTCTGTCAAGACCATAAGACCTTGTGGTTGTCAATAAACCGGGAAGGTGAGGTATTTACCATGTCGGAATTCACTATTTGCCCCAGACCGCTCTTGCTGCGTTCCATGAGCGCGAGCAGGATCCCGGTGGCGCACATGAGCCCGCCTGCCGCGAAATCCGCCATGATGTTCAGAGGAAATTCCGGTTTACCCTCTCCAGGAAGCATCTAAGATGGAATTAGTCTCTGGCATGTGCGTGTCGCATAGAGCTACTCGCCGAAAGAACTCCGCTCAATGCGAGGTAGTTGAGATCATGTCCCGCCATGTTCTTATGAGGTCCTACAATAGGAACGGTCAGAGCGAGGCCAGAGTCATAGCCGGCCGACCTACCTTCTCTCGGAAAACCGACCAGCCTCGCGTATATAAGCTTCTTGTTACTCCCGCTCTCTCCCAGGAAGAGGTCAGGTCCCAAATTGAGTCTCTCGAGAACCCCCGGCCGAAATGGGTCGATGAGCACGTCCGCGCCCTCGATAAGCTTCCTCAGGACGCCATAGCCCCCCTTGGTCTGTTTCGTTGGGCATCGTCAGTACGTGAACAGACTGTGTACAGCAAACGCCGCACCTTGGGGTCAACGGCAATCGAACGTTTGCCACGCGCGAGCACGTCCTTGGCTGGGGCACTCTGCCCGACCATACGGTCAACGCGGACGACGTCCGCCCCGAAGTCGGCCAGGATCATGCCCGCCATGGGCCCTGGCGCGAGGCCGGCGAACTACCGTAGCGAAGTGAGGAGAGAGCGTTAGAAATGCGCGCATTGGTGGACGAACCTCAACTACACGAATCCCCGCGAGGGGTAGGCATCTGGGTGATGTCATAGTTTGTGCAGGGGAACGACTGCCCCAGCAGCCTGAATGGTTGGTGGTTGAATGCCGAATAGAAAGGGCAGCCTACCCATGTGTCTACGCGGGGAACAACGCATCATGGGACTGCGTCGGTCGCAATCACCGGCCACTTTCCTGAACCGGAGACCCCGGTGCCAGTACATCGAATCACGCTTGTCCTCGGCTGCGGGTCTCGAAAACCCTTCTACGTTGGATTTAGTCTGTAATAACAGTACACAACCAGTACAGCAGCATACCAACACCAGAACCAACACCAATCCCATAGCTCTATCGTAAAGCGGCGTTCAAAACTATATGCATCGTGCGTGCGCTCGTGGTCTAATGGACAGCAGAAAACAATACGCGTCGTAAAGAGCAACACCTCATCAAGGTCGCAAAGCGAAGCGTGACTAACAAGACGTCATAACGTAGTAGGGCGGAAGTGTGCGGGGTCAGACGATAGCGAACATCCGCAAGTCGTGTCCACGTTGCACGAACCGGACGGAACGAGAGGGTCGAAAATCAAAGAGCCTCCTTAGCCTTCTCGAGCGTTTTGATGTCGCTGAGGGTGATCCCGGAGCGGTCGCACATGCTGCGGAAGATACCGTTCGGTATCTGGTAGAGGCTCGCCGGGCTGTCGAACTCGGCGATCTGGCCTGCGTCCATGACACAGATCCGGTCATAGCCAATGATCGTGCGCAAGCGGTCTGTAATATATCTGAGTATGGCCCGGCAATAGACAGAGAAAACAAAGGAACGTACGAGCAATGCACAAGATGGTGCGGTCTACGAACTCGTTGGCGATCGTGTCCTGAATCTTCCTGTCGGTCTCGTAGTCGACGGAAGCTGGAGGAACGCTGTCAATGTCTCCACAACTCGGCGAGGAAGCGCAACGTACCAGTTGCCTCATCGAGAATGATGATCTTGCTGTCCTTGACAAGAGCACGGGCAAGGGAGACAAGCGAGCGCTGGCCGATGGATAAGTTACCACCCTCATCTTCGATGGGGCTGTCGAGTGTAAAGCGGTTGATCGGGGTGAGCGAACCCTCGGATCCGTCCTCCACCGACTGCGGTGCAGACTCAATTTTCCTGTCTTCGACAACATGGGCACGCTTGAGGGCATCCCAGAGCTGCGCGTCGTCATGTACACCGAAGGGGTCAAGGTTGCTGCGCAGCGTGCCGGAGACTGAAAACGAAAGTCAGCAAGTTATTCAGCCCAACATCAAGATGGACACTTACAAAGAAGAGGGTCCTGTGGAATGATCGCCAATGCCTTCCGCAGGTCGTCCAGCCCGATCGCCGAGATGTCGACTCCGTCGATGACAATCGACCCGCCCGAGAGCTCCACGAGTCGGAAGAGCGCGGTCATGATGCTGCTCTTCCCCGCGCCAGTACGCCCCACTATGCCGATCTTCTCGCCTGGGCGGACCGACATCGTCATGCCCTTGAGCACCGCCGGGAGCCCTGGGCGGTACTTCATCACAACGTCCTTGAGCTCGATCGTGCCCTGGGCGGGCCAGGGAGCCTTCGGCTGCCGCTCGGGAATGAGGTGCGGGGATTCCTGCTCGAGTTCAAGGGTGTAGTGCACGAGGCGTTCAACCGAGTTGAAATCGTTCTCGACCTCGGCGGTCTGGCGGACAAGCCAACCGAACGCTTGCTGGACGGAGAGGATGTAGGAGAGCACGACGCCGGTCTGGGAGGGCGAGATCGAAAAGCGGGTGCCCACAGTGAGCATGGCGACGACGAAGCTGAGGAGGATGCCCATCATGTCGAGGCGAATACCGAGCCAGCGCTGGTTCGCTACGGTGAGCCAGTACGCGCTGCGGATATTGTCAGTAAAGGTCCCCAGGTGTACAGCGAGAAGCGTACCGATTCTCAATGTCGACACGAGTGCGGTTCTCGACGATGAAACGCTCGGTCTCCCCATAGGCACGAATGGTCGCCAGGCCTGACAGGGACTCAGAGAAGTGGCTGTACAGCGACGACCGCAAGACGGCATCCAGACGCTTCAGCTCTCGGGCACTGGCACGGTAGAAGATGGCGGCCCAAATGTATGCCACGGAGATGACGCCGACGGCGATGAGGAACCAGGGGAGTACGATGGCGATAAGGATGATGGCACCCATAATGTTCGCGAAGGTGGCCACGAGCATACGCATGGCGTCACCGAGGGTGTTGTCAATAGTGTCGATATCCTTGGAAAACCTGTTCATGATACGACCGAGAGGCTAACAAGATAATAAGTACAGGCCGCAAAAGCTGCGGAGACTGGAGATGCTTACAGTGGTCTCGAAGAACGACATGGGCGCATGCATGACACGCCAGATGGCATCCTTGTGCATCCGTTGGGAAGCGAAGTACGTGAGACTGGCGAAAGTCGCGCCCAGCATGAAGAAGGTGATAGCTTGTGAGATACCGAGCGCGGCGTAGATGCCCATGTAGAACGCGTCGCCAAAGTTCCACTTGACTTCTTGCCAGTAGACGAGCCTATATGCAAGAGGTCAGCACAGCCTACGAATTAGCACTGATGGGACTCACCAGTACGACGACATGACTTGCGCGCCTTGTAGCAGCGCTACCGAGAGGACAAGCAAGGGAAGGATGACGTATCCTTTACCCGCACGGATGTACTCCCCATACACCTTGCTGCTAACAGAGCCCATGTTGCGCTCCTCCACCTGCATTAAGGCCGCACCCTTCTGCGCCTTCCTCTTCTCTGTCTTCTCGTCTTTCTCGACATCCTCGCCTTCGGTGGCCTCCTCTATGGCCTCCTCTTCCTCCTCCTCCTCGCTCTCCTTGTTGCCGAACTCGTGCACGAACTGGGCAAAGTGCCCCTCCGCAGCCATAAGCTCCGCATACGTACCGTGCTCCGCAATGCGTCCCTCAGCGACGGTGTACACGTAGTCGACCTGAGGAAGGAAGTGGAGCGCATGCGTAACGAGGACGCGGGTCTTGCCCGGCTCCGCGTCCAAGAAGACGTTCTGGAAGACGTGCTTGCCGACGTGTGCGTCGAGCGCCGAGAGCGGGTCGTCGAAGATTTGAATGTCCGCGCCAACGTAGATGGCCCGACAGATGTTGATGCGCTGCTTCTGACCACCAGAGAGCGAGATGCCTCGTTCGCCAACCTCGGTCATGTCACCGTTCGGGAGGAGATCGAAGTCGGCCTCGAGGCACGCATCGTGCACGGCCTTCCAGTAGCGCTCCTCGTCGAACGGGCGACCGAAAATGATGTTCTCGCGGACCGTGGCGTTCTGTATCCAGGCGCTCTGCGGGCAGTACGCAACGGTGCCGTTGAACTTGACGATTCCCGTGGTGCGACGCATCTCGCCAATCATGCCTTCGAGCAGGGACGACTTTCCTGAACCGACAGGGCCGACGATGGCAGTTAGTTGACCCTTCTGGATGGCGAGGTTGACATTCTTGAGCTTGAAAGCAGAGTTCTGAGCAGCTGGCGTGGTCTCCACGGTGTCTTTCTTGCTGCCCTTCTTGCCTTTCTTGTCCTTCGCCTCATCGGGAGGAGGGCCTTCCCAAGCAAACTCCGCATCGACGACCTCGATGGCGCTTTCCATCTTCTCATCGATCAGCTTGGTCTCCGCGATAGTCTCCGCCACGAATACGGGCCGCAGGCGTTGGCAGGCGTTGTATGCATCGGCGGTGGAGCTCAAGGCCAGGGCTGGGAGAGAGCGTCAGTCAACTATCCCGGGTCATTCGCGTCGCAGACTCACGGAAAAACATCAGAGGCAGACGGAGAAGGTTAAAGATTGTGAGAGAGGCAAAGATGTTTGCCGGGTTGAGTGTGTGTCCGGTCACCGAGTAAACGACGAACGCAAGCACACTGGCCAGTGCCGGGAGCGAGATAGCAATGGCGTTGTTTGCAGACCGAATAACGAGCAGTGAACGAATGTACCTGTGCCAGAGTTAGCGCGGGGTTCCAACAGTTCGCCTGAGCGGTACGTACCCCATCTCCCTTGCGCGCAACTCCGCAATGCGGTCCAAATAAGGGATTTCCCAAGCAAAGTACTTGATGATCTTCATGGACCCGAGTAGCTCCTGAAGGAGCTTCGCGCGCTTGTCAGTCCACGCCATAGATTTCTGCCGAAGCTTGATAAACTGCTTCATAGCGAGGGTCTGGAAGGGACTCATAACTACGAAGAACGCAAAGCCCGCAAGCGCAGAAGGACCCAAGTTGGTGATGAGAATGATGAGGCAGACGATGGCCTGAACCGGGGCAGTGATGGCGAGTTGCATGAAGCTGCAGCAGAAGTCTATGCGCGATACGTCCGTGGAGATGTGATTGACCAGCTTGCCGTTGGTGAGGGTCGTACGAGCGCGAGAAGAGAGCTTGAGCGAGCGGTCGTAAATGGCGGTAATTAGTCCTCCACGAAGCAGAACACCGGTAGATGCGGCGCGATAGAAGAAGTGATGGGTGCAAAGCGACGATATGACCTGGAGAAGCAAGAGGCCGACGGAAAGCCCGATACCGACACCAACAGCGGGAGCATCTTGTTGACGCCCTTGGAGGTGGGCACTAGCACATATGTTCAATTCCATGGCCGAGGGAAGATAAAAGCTCAACTTACGTGTAAGACTGTGTGGCAAAGTTGATGATAGCCTGCACACACACACTGAGCACGCGGTGGAGAGGAACGAAGACGCACATGTGCACGCACCTTGACCAACAGCGGCGTACACACTTGCGCGACATCCGCGACGAGCTTGAGCAGCCCGCCTGTCCAGAACCACCATTTGATACTGTCGTTCAACGCCCAGACGAGGCTCGCCTCCTTCCTCCCGTCCTTCCCCCTCCACTGCTTCTCGCGTTCTGCGCGCTTCCCCTGAATCGACCACCACACACCTTTGAGGCCGGGCCCAATTTCTCCTGCGTCGAGTCGCTTGTTGTACTCTGCGGCGGCGACTTCGCGCGCCTCGAAGGATTTGATGATCTTCTCCGCAATGGCCGCAGATGCACGGCTGTCCTGAAGCTTGTAGAGGTCGGTGGCCTCGAGCGGGCGAGCATAGCCCAAGGACATAAGGGGGGTGATCCATCCGAACGTCAAGATACTGAACCAGTTGGCGTTAATTTCAGGGATTGGGTCAGCATCATCGAGCGACGCCTTGGGAGGAGGGACGTTCTGGAGGACAAAGAGGGACTTGACGCTCCTGCATACCGTGAACCGAGAAACGTAAGTTGTGTGTCCAAGTAAGAAGCGGCCATATGCGAACCATCGAGATTTGGGCTTAGCCACCTCAAGGGACCCTTCTTGCGTGCTGATGGACTCTTCTTTCGTCATTGACACCAGGAGCACAAGGGCGAACGCGAGGCAGGGAGCGCGTCGCACGCGTCGGCGAGCCTAAAAGCCGTTGGAAGGGCGGGCAAGAAGTGTGGGGGAGGGGCTGTCGAGACATCATACCGCGCCGGGCAGGCATATGTAGGCACTTGCAAGCCCGGCAGCACTTCCGCGCGTTTGACCCCGCTGTGGATGGGATGACCAAGCCGGCCCACGCGAAACCATCTTCCGCACTGCGGACCTGTCATTTTGGCGCTCCGTGGCCGGTGTCCCGAGTTCCCGTGCGAGTCCCCAGACTTGATCCTCCTGTCCAGGACATAAGCGTGTAATATGCAAAGCGCAAGCTCATTGTACGTCTACTGGAGTAAAGCATGTCACCGCGGCGTTGCTCGGCGCTCACTGGACACATGGTACCTTCAGTGTCAGATCTGGAAGTTTTACAGGCAAAATGATGTCCTCTCAATGCGTATCACCACGATTCATCCAAATTTGAGGAACCCTTTAGCCCACCCCACAGTTGCCGACCCCCGAACGTTCCGGAAGTTGTTAGTCATATTGTATGTTATGTTCCGGTCCACAACCTTGCGGAAGCACTCACTCGTGAGCCGATTTAAGGCCGAGTTGACACCTCTGTCCACCCCTCCAACGTTCGTGCTCGTACACTCCGGCCCACGAACGAGAATCATAAAGTGTGCTTGCCGCCCAGAGTACATAGCAGTCCGACAAGTCGTTGGGAGCTTGTCTGCAACATGAGGAACTGGGTTAGTACTGGTGCGCATCTATCTTATCTTGCTCATTGGTTGAGCCGCTGAGAGCATGTCTCGATACCATGAACGCCACGCTGGGCTTGTAGGGGACGCTGTAGGGACGGATCTCCAACGTGTGTGGTCATTGGAATGCTTGCAACGCGTGGTAGTGTGATGACCGCAGTTGGATATCCACGTTTGAGAGTTATGACTCAGCCTCTAGATACCTATCGGAGCCAGAAAACGGAAGCCATCCTACACGATGTTGAGACCGATTGTGTTCTCTGTTTGGCGCCGGCCGGCCGGCCGGCTATGTCGAAGCACAAAAGGCGGGATTGAGCACTTCTGACACTGACACACAAACATTTAGCAATCTAGATACATAACCCTGCGGCATTTACAACGAAGTATATTGTGGGTGGGTGTATGCAGCGCTAGTGCCAGGCGATCGCAGCTGGAGTGACCCCTCGCCCCACTGCTACTCACCCCGAGCGCGCATAGGCCTCCTTCAAATTCATCAACGCCGTCTATCGCACGCAGTAAGCCTCTATGCCGAAGATTTGGATGAGATCAAGGACCCACCTCGTACGCAGGCTTGAGCGGTTCCACCTCCGCATCTGACACCCTCAGGCGCTTCACCTTGTCCAGATGGTCCGCCTCCCTCAGCATGCTCTTGAAATAGCGCGCCTGAGAATCGGGGTGGCATCGTAGCCACCGTCAGCCTTGCACCGCAACGTGGACCACAATGGCTGGGCTACGCACCTCTTGTTCCTCAACGAGAGTCCAGGCGTCGCCTGCGCGGCCTGCGCGTGCCGTACGACCCACACGGTGGACGTACTTGCGGAAGTCCACTGGAACATCGTAGCTCACAACGTGCGAGACGTGGCTGATGTCGATGCCACGCGAGATGAGGTCGGAGCACACCAATCTGCGAAAACAATTCAGTTCCTACGCATATATCCACGCGGCCGCGTGAAAAGCCAAGAGAGCTGACGCACATGTGGATTTTTTGGTCCTTGAATTGCTCCAGAATGGACTTCCGTTCCACCGGGGCAAGGTCGGAGGAATACGCGCGTGCGACCACGGCGCAGCTTTCCTTTCCCTTGCGCATCTCCTCCTCGAAGAACCCGAAAAGACGCACAAGGCGCGTGGTGGATTCCGCTGACTTCGTGAACACCAGCGCATTAATGACGTCGCGGGAATGCACGAGATGAAACAGCATGAGAGGTTTCGTCGCGGAGTTGCACACCACCATGTGTTCCTGTGCAGGTTTATCAGAACAAGGGAAAATCGATCGGGGAAAAGACGAACGGTTAACGTAGCTGGCATGGTGAACTTCTCCATGACAAAGTCCAACACACCCTCTGCTTTGGTTGAAGCGACCTTGGGCCTCTGCACAACGATGTACTTCGGTTGACGCAAGCCAAGCGCAGAAATCTTGGCGGGATCTCGCGTTAGTGTTGCCGAGAAGAGGAGTTTTTGGCACGACGGTTCTTTCTTGTCCTCGAAGTCCGTTTGGACATGGGGTGAGACCCTGAGAAGCTGACGGAAACCCGGAGCAAGCGCATCGGCGTAAGGTCGCCCACTTCGAGAGGAGTCTGTAAACGCGTCATTGGTGCCAAACGCCGATGGTTCCGGAGGACGAGTAGCGGTGAGCACTTGTGTCAGCCAATCTTGGAACGATTGGGCGAGGAGGCGGTCAGCCTCATCGATTACCTGCCGAAAGACTTGTGAGTTTACTTGCAAGTATCCGGGGTCGGGAAATCATACCAAGAAGCGCAGGTGCTGTAATGAGAAGTTCGGTGTGCCATTCAAATGATCAATAAGCCGTCCGGGTGTACAAATAAGGATGTCAATCTTGCTTGATCCCCCCTGCAGACTGACCCCGCCGCATGTTAATGGTAATCGGGCTCGGCTAATACATTCCGAATTGCTCCAGGACTTACTCAGTATTTTTGTCAGCGACCAGCTGCGACTGCTCGTGTGAAAAGGAGTGTTGCCCGGTGGCAGTCCCGATCTGTCCAAAGACGTCAGAGTCGAACGCATATATCGAGTGATGACAACGAAGGATCCCGCACCTTCAGCCCGCGACCCTTCGCTAACGCCTCAAAAGTCTCTCGGACTTGAACGACCAGGTCCCTTGTGGGTAACACCACCAGTGCCCGTAGTCGAGTGACCATTCGCGACGACAAAACCTGAGATTGCCGTTGGGATGGGCTCATTCACAAGCCGAACGCACGGACGTACTTCGATAATGGGCAAAACATATGCCAGTGTCTTCCCGCTTCCCGTTGGTGCAGACACGCAAAGGTCTTCCGGTGGGTCGTAGGGCCTATAGAGCGAGCGCGAGCCAGGTTTTGCCAACAATAATGGGACAACGGCGGTCTGCACTGATCACTGCTCGTGCATACATTACATGCAGAACGAGGGGAAACATACCAGCAAAGAGCTCCGTAATGCCCAGATCTTGCAGCCTCCTCCTCACCTTCCCACTCAGTCCTGTCCGCTCGTCCTCCACCTCCAGCGAAACTTCAAGCTTGAGAATGGTGGCGGGATCGACAACCTCCGCCTCGATGAGGGCCCTTTCGAGACCTTGGAGAGCGAGAACAGACTTCGACGGTGCCTCTGGTTTTCTGGGCTGGGGAAATGCAGGGAGCGCGACGGGTGGAGTGGGGGATCTTGCGGGAGGCGGAGAAGATTTGACGACCGGCTCGTCCTCTTCCTCGTCTTGTACCTCAGCGGGAATGGGAAGTGCTTCTTCTGTGTGCAATTTTCGCCGTTTCTTCGGTCTACCGTCCTCCGTGTGCGTGCGTTTCGCGGGTGTGGGTGATGATGGAGCGTCATCTCCGCCCTCTTCGTCGCTGCTCGCGTCACTTGAGTGAGAGTCGGCTTGTGTCGCGTGGGGGAAGGTGGTAACAACTGCAGCGGTGGATTTACGCTTCTTGCGACGGTCCTTCTTGGCTTTGAGATACCTCTGCTTGGACTTCGTCTTTGTCTGACGCGTGCGCGGTCAACGTATGTGGTAGAAATTGATGAAGACGACAGACTTTAGGCACGGCTTGAGCTGAAACCGGCTGGGCCATGGTAGACCACAAAATTATAAGCAAGCGAGCCTGCCAGGAAGTAGTATCGCGCGAGTGTATGTGCAAAAGTCAAGCTTCAAGTGCCTTAGAAGTTGAAAGTTAGAAGCGAAAAGACGGAGACCCAAAATCGACGGACCGGGACGGACCGCAAGTCGGACCGAGACGCCGGCACGCATGGTGGCTCCATGTCTAGCGCTGGCAAACTGTCTTTGAACTCAGCTTTGCCTTGCTTCAGGGACTTTTGAACTGGCTTAATGCTGGCCTTTTCCAGGTACATTTTCCGCATATTCACGTTTGCGTGAAAACCAAGACCCAAGTTGACACAGTGAGCGATCCAGTCAATGTCCACAGGCAACCACGGAATCTCACCGCCCATTACTATCCATGTAATGCAATACGAGTCAGGTCATCAAATAGTGACAACGTCTGGCCGACCTCCGATGGTGGAAACTCATACATACAGATGAGGACCCCCAACGGCATTAGCTTTCCGAATCCTGCACCCACGTTCAATACCGCGACGACGGACCCCCGCACCGAACTTGCCGACTAATCGGCCACAATGTGTCCGACTTCCGGACGAGCGGCGATGATAATCCCGGGAACGTGCCCCTCCTGCTTTCGTGGCGTCGCGCGCTGCACAGTGCCATCGATGGCGGCACGGCACCAGTCCCGGACCCAACCTGAGGGCGTGTACGGCATCGTGCCCGGAGGTCGCGTGCGCGGGTGTACGGCTTCCGTCGGTCCCTGTCGGTCCTCTAAAGTCAAACCCCGAACATCTGTACTACGCGTCCCGTGCGGCAGAATTCCGGTGCGATCCTCCTCTGTCCTCGCCCCGCCATTCATCTCCGTCGCTCACGTCCTCGCACGGTGTCAGCCGACGACGACGGGCTCTGGGGCGTCCCGCGTCATCTCGTGTCACCGGGCCAGGCTTCCGCCCTGGCCAGCGAGCGAGGCGGGTGCCGGACCCGCCCATCTTATCACGATGTCATCTGCCGTCAAGCACCCGCAGAGACCCATCTGCGAACCGTATCTCTCCCGCGCGTTCCCAACGACGCCTCCGGATTGTCCGTCGCATGCCCCAGCGGCAGGCGTGAGGCCACTCCGGTGGCTTCTCTCGTGACAAGATCGCCTAGCTGGCGTCAGCAGTTTCCACTTGCGTCCCGCGCACGAGGGCGTCTTTCAGACCTTATAAGACCTGGTCTACTTTGATATCATGCCCTTGTAACTTCACCCCCTCCGAGCCCGCAGACATTTCCAGCCACCCGGGAAGGTCTTTGTGACCGAGCCTTCTGAGTCGACAACCCTCTCTCTTACGCCCAAACGTCCTTCTTTGCAGAATGTGCTGGGAAGAATGGTCAGGTTTCCCCTGCTCTCGCTTATGTCGATGTCGTCCTTACGTCCTTATTTCAATTACAGCTTTGGCAATCAGCATCGCGGCTGCCCGGTAATGCCGTCAGCCTCATTGGCGACCGCGCACTGAACTGGTCACGTTGTCCTTCCCCCAGCATTTCGTCATCCTTTACCGGACTGGCAACAAGGGAGACTGCGGACAGCAGTATTGTGGCCTCAGCTCGGCACACATCCACAAGACTCGCAAATGTGACTGTTCCAAGGTCAGCGAACGTTTCACTCCTCATGCTTCACTGGGCTAATCGGATCCGGCCAGACGTACTCGGAGAATCGAAAGGTGATGAGCTTGATCCAAGAGCCTTGTGACATGTGCAAGGAGGCAGCTCTTGCGGCTCGTGTTCGGCGCCGATGACCTGAGTGGTACACACAAATTCCCGGCTTTGCATCACGTCTCCTGCTGTCCACGCATTTGTATCTCCATCTGCTTTCAGTGTTCGTAATACTATTGACTGCCGTCCAGCTTTGACCGTACCCAGGCCCGCAGTTATTGGTCACATCGTGCACTTGACTCCGTGCCCCGGTTTTCGTGACTCACAGCTGACGTTCTTCGCGGAGAAGGAGTGGTGTGCACTACGAATTCCCCAGACCCCGCCGCGACGTAAGAGCCAGACGAGCAGACTTTGCTCTATTAAGTCCTCCGTCAAGTGACGCGATTCAGGGGCACAGAGGCGGGAGCGGGAGGACACATCCGAGACGCTTCCTGCCTTCTCGATGCCTTCCCGGCGGACGAGCCCTGCGCGATCTCGGGGGCGGACACGACTCAAACACGCTGTCGATTCCAGCAGGCGCCCGCGCCCCGCCGCCGGGCGTAGATTACAATGGGAGTCCCGGAGATAAGTACACTGTGCGCTGCACAGGGCCCTGCTGCAGATAGAACCCACGCTGAGCACCGTTCGCTGTTCGGAACGTCCGCACCATGGAGGCCCTCCGAAGGTCAGAAGCGCTTCCCGCCCCGCTTCAGCGGCTGCTTCGCACCGCGGCTCGAGCCCGCCTTCATGCGCGCGAGGTGCTTCTTGCGCTCCTCCTCGCTTTCGTCCTCGCTGCTCGACGACGCCACCGCCCCCCGCTTTGCCTTCTTTGGCGGGGGCGGCAGAGGCGACGACGAAGGCGCGCCGCCCGCGCCGGGGGAGGGCGGCGAGGGGCTCCTGCCCGCGGGGGGAGCAGAGTCTGCCGCGGGCGGACGCTGATCCGGGGAGGCACGCTTCGAGGGCACCGCGCGTGCCGAGGGGCTGTCCCGTGCCGCGTTTGCGTGCGGGTTCGCGTTCGCATTCGCAAGCGCGTCCCGTGCGCCGCCGCGCACCGTGGCTTTGCCCTTCCCGCGCAGGCTCGGCGCGAGGTCGTCCTCGTCATCTGTGTGTGAGTCGTCTGTCGCTGCGGCTGGTACCGGCTTCGTGGGCGCGGCGGCGGCGGCCGGTTCGTCGTCTGGCCACACGGGGCTGCTCGGCGGGTCCTCGTTCTTGTGCTGCACGGTGGAGGGTGCACACAGCGGGGCCGCAGTCAGCTTCCCGTTTATAGAATATAGTCCCCATGACCGTACCTTCTTGAACGCGTGAGCGGGAGAAGGGCTCGCAATCCGGCGCAGCGGAGGCTTCGAGGAAGGCCCAGCCTTCCGCAGAGCGGTGGACGCAGGGGGCGACGGTGGAGCGAAGTCCGGCGCTGGCGCGTCCGCAACGACGCGCGCTGTGTGCACGGAGTCGGCGCGCGGTCATGTGGCCGGAGCAAGAACCACCTACGGAGATCCGGCACGGCGTTGAAGATGGCCGTAATTCGGCGCAGCGTTGTGGCGATTAGCGGCTTTGAGATGACGTTCTTGATGTGTGTGTCTTGCGCCCGTCGGGCAGTCCTGCCTACCTTGTCGACGGCCTGAGGAGTGCGGGCTCAGTGAACACGGTGGGCACGACGACGAAGGCCTCGAGGAGAGACACGTACCTTCTCTATGCCGGTCTCAGAGCCACTCCCGACCACATCAGAAGCAGAGAAGGCGACGTGGGTCATGCTGATGAGCGGCAAAATGAGGTGTGTGGACAGGATGTCTGCTGACAGTCGGGGTGGGACAGCGAGTGTCTCCCAGCGCCACCGAAAGGCCTCGTTGCCCAAAGTAAAGGCAAGATCCTATCGTGACCGAGTTAGCCGCTGCATTGGGTACACCTGAGAACACTCTCACAGAGAACATTGTGTCTACGGCCTCGAACGACAGCTCCGAAAAGGCACCTATTGTGTGGACAGAAGTCATAAATTCTAGACATCTCGTCCTCCACGAATCTTCCTCGTTTTCAGACATCATTTCTGGCGCAGTATCCGGATTACAGTCGCGCCATCTTCGAGCGAACTGGTTACTCGATAAGACTGATGCGACGCTGGTCAGCCAAGTTCAGAGTGTGGCCAGAACAACAAACCTTCTCCCCACACGTTGCGGGTATCTGTGACCAGAATGCAGCATGTAAGATCTATAGTGGACGAGAAAAATTTCTGCGATGCGCAATGAAGTACCGCGTGAGAGTCTAACGTGGCAGTTGCAGGACTGTGACGAACCATAAGGTATGGGGTAGAAGATCCGCTGTCGTTCTTTGCGAGCCACTCCTTGGTGAGAAGGCGCTTCGCGTGCTCCTGATATTAAGAACTGTATGAGGTTTTCTAGTCTACACGCAGACACTTCGTTGCCACAGAAGGCTCACCTCGGACAAGTATTCCATGAGAACACACTGGTGGAGCCGGTCAAGATTTGGAACCAGTCTTTTGGGATGATGTGCCACAAAGGGCCTCGGCTGCGTCCCACAAAATGAATCCACGCAATATATGCCCACGGAGGAAAACCGAGGCCTCAGAGCTGTCTGCCACTGAAGTATCTGTTCTTGTCGGAGATGTTGGTTGAGGACAAGGGGCAGCAGCCACCGCCACGAGGCACACCACACGCGGGTCCAATCGACGCGTGAGAGAACTTGCCTCTTTAGGATGAGTTGATCCTTGTGAACGCCGGCGATTGCTCCGAGCGCCGCATACAGCTTGTCTTCAATCCACTAGCATCCGCACGTGTAGAAGTCCGGCTTGCGGCATGGAAGAAGGGGAGATCGACTCTGAAGATGAAACCCGTTCACACCTGTCTAGTCAAGCATCTCGGGTCGATACATCTGGATCAACTTATTCGCCTGCCTTCGAGTGGCCTACAGATGATGAAGATGCCCCGAGTCCCTCATATTCTGTACTAGGAGATGAGTCACGTCCAACATCGAACTCTCCTCATCCATTAGCATCACTTCGCCTCGTTGTACGTCACAGTTCTATTCTGCGCAAGCACCACAAACTTGCCCTCCTCGACGGCTTCTCAGAGATTCAAATCGGACGGGACCTTGCCCCTTCCGAGTCGGATACTCCGCGGGTCCGGTTAAAGGAGATGGAGGTCTCAAAATTGCACGCCACCATATACCGGGACCACGAGCAAGTCGCCTGGGCCATCGTCGACATGGGGTCGAAACATGGTACCTTCCTCGAATCTACCACGGTCTCAACGTCCGGTCCCAGCACGGCTCTTCAAGAACCCACACAGAAGGGGGTCCGGCTTTCCGCTCCGAGGGTCGCGAGCATGCCACGATCGCTGCGCCACCTCGACCAGTTGTCGATTGGGGGCACCACATTTGAGGTTCACGTCCATGAGGGCGAGCCTCCATGCGAAGCCTGCTCTCCTCAAGGCGACGTGGAGATCCCACTCTTTCAGCACCGCAGCGGAGATGGCACAGCCAGCAAGAAGCGCAAGCTCGACGTCACCGAGGAGATGCGGGTGGTGGCCCCTCGCGGCCGCGACCCCAAAAAGGCCATGGCCCTGCTGAAGCGCAGCCTCCTGTCGAGCGCTGCCGCGAGCTCGTCGTCGTCGTCCCCCGCCCGCCATGGCCAGCCGTACGTCGACCGGAGCGCTAAACGACGCGCTCTTCACCCCGATCATACCCCTGCGATCATCCCAACCGCTTCGGCTTCCGGAACTTCCTCACCATCCGCGTCAGCCTCTGTGCCGGCCACGCCCCCTCTCCAATCACCCCCACCGTCCTCGTTACCGGCGGACAACATCGGCCTCCGCCTACTCATGAAGCAAGGATGGCAACCCGGATCGGCGTTGGGCTTGGGCGAGAGGGACAGTAGTCCAGGGCTCGTCGAGCCGCTTGCCCCGCCACCCACGTCGGGGCGGGCGGGGATAGGCACCCCGGTCCGGCCTCCGGGGTCGATTGCCGCTGCCCAGGATGGGGACTGGAAAGACGACGGCAAACGGCGTCGGTGGGCGGAGTTCCGGCAGACGGATGACGTCGCGTGACTGGTCGGTGTTGACAAGCCTGGGAAGACCGGCGCGGAGAGAGAGCTTCCTCCTCACTCACTCCATGGAAACTTGAGAACATGAGTGTTGAGCTCTTGCGGAGGTAAGCCTCGCGTACTTCGCCATCACGAGCGCCACTTATGCGGGACTCAGGAACGTCCAGGTCGTGCGGAGATGTCTCGATGTTTGGTGGGGCACATGTGCATTGTACATCGAGTTCATAAGTGGTTCCCTTCGGCCGGGGCTCTGGGGCTGGTAAATCTCTACAAAGGGCAAATACTCAGAAGTGCTTCCGCGATGCCGTTCAACGGCCGATTGCTGCGGGGTTATTACGGGTTGTTAGCCATGCTATCCTCCATCATTAGTTCCTGTCGCGGAAGCGGCACTGGAGCGGGACGCCCGGGCCCAACCGTGGGAGGGCAACGAGCCACGGTTGAAGCGGCAGCCGGTCAATATCATCGACGAGGAGCACGAGGATACTTTCTCTGCGCGGGTTGCAAACGCGACAGAGTCTGTGCTCGGAGGACGGGTACCCTGCGAGGAAGCGAGGGAGGGAAAGCGAAGGATGCAAAGCGCACCAAACGTACGCTGGACGTATGAGCGATCCCCAAGAAGGATAGAGGCGTGATTGGGCATCATCAAAGAATGATGCTTGGTCGCGAGGAGCAGCGGGAACAAAGCGTTGGGCGCCGGTGTCCGGCGCCAGTCCCTGTGGGGCTGGCGCTGGGCGCGTTATTTGGCCCACTTTGGCGGTCACGTGCGCCTGCGACCCCTTCTAGGTTGAAATCGCGAAACGAACCTCGTCTTTAGTTGCCTTCCACCAGGCTGACACCTCTGTCCCCCGACAGCCTCCGCCTCTCCTCACCCACCACCCACGGCGCACCGGGCACCCCCTCTTTGCGGTCCTCCCTCTTTGTTTCGACATTCAACCGCCCCGGCATCCATCTCCGCTGTCACCCGCACTCAGCTGCAACTATCTTCACCGTAGATATACAAGTTATTCGACTCCATATGGCATCCAACCTTCGTGTATGTGTTTCCCCCATCCAAGCCCTTTTCTCGCTCATCGCCGACCACTGACATCGTGAACAGCTCCCCATGCGAAACCGCACCGGCCCCCAGCGTCCCAAGAATGCCGACGAGAACGCACTGGGCCGAAACGTCCGCCAACCCCCAAGCATTGCGCTCTCAGGAGCGAAAGTCGTCGCCGGCCACATCGTCAAGAATGGAGTCCAGCGTCCGGTCCTCACAGAGGTGACGACCACCGCCGTTAACCGTCAAAGCAAGGTTCGTCCCCTTCACGAACCCGGCTTCGTTTCCTTCTTTTCCTCTGTGCATCTCCGCCGAAGGAGAGGATGTGACACTCGGTGCACGATATGGCTGAGGGGGTGTTCGCTGGCCCCGTCGTCGTCTACCCGCCGCCCCCGCCCCCGGCGGTTGAATGGCGCGACCATGGGCGCCTGACGCGAGGACGCGACTGAGCGCGCAGGAACGCGTGATCGCGACCTTGCCACTGGCGTCGTCGGCTCCTCCTGTGCGGCATGCTCAGCGTTGGACTTGTTCGTGAGCGATCGCCTCCATCGTGCGCACCAGCTCCGCGCCAGTGGGCGACGTCCATGTCTTGATCCCTATCGACGAGGAACCGCGCCCACAAAGCGTCGACGGCGCCTACGCGTCATGTTCATATTGCCAGCGCCAAAGCGCGTCTCGGCGCCTCGGCTCGGGGCCACGATGCGGTTTCAGTTCTCGGGATGCAGCGCGCGCAGAACGGGAATGCTTACCACGTCGACTTCACCCACGTAGGACGGCAAGCTCTCTGGAAAGGAGAAGGAGACGGTTGAGACTGGTCTCAAGCGTACTCGTTCTGCGTCCCTCTATGCTGCCACTGGCCCTCAGCGCGTACCCCTCGGCCCTGGCAAGGCCCCCGTCGGTGTTCAGGTCCAGACCCGCGTCCCTTCGACGCGCACCCACCGCCCTCAAATCCCCATCCCAGTCTCCCGTCGCATCCCAGTCGCCCAAGACCCACCGACACAGACTCTTGTACCCAATGTCGCCGCCAGTCAAGAGGACGACATGGAGGTCGAAGATCATGCCGCTGCCGATGTCGTCGAGCAGTATATTCAAGACGAAGCCGATCTGACAGAGCTTAGCGACCGCGAGGAGGAGTTCCAGCACGCAGAGGCGTTGGCGGAGGACAGCGAGGACGAGGAGCCCATCACCAAGCGCGCCAGGGTATGGCCTGAGGTGTCCACCGTTCGTGCCCAGCGCTACCGGTCAGAGATCGAGAATATCAAGGAGAACTTCCACGATGAGGTGGACGAGTTCGACACGACGATGGTCTCGGAGTACGCCGAGGACATCTTTGAGTACATGCAGGAGCTTGAGGTGCGTTGTTTCTTGCGACTCGGCATCTCCGTATCGTTGCTCACCTTGAACATAGGAGGAGATGATGCCCAACCCTGACTATATTGAGGGTCAGACGGAGATCACCTGGGAACAACGGCAACAAATGGTCGACTGGCTTCTTCAAGTGCACTTGCGTTATCACCTGCTTCCTGAGACTCTCTGGATTGCCATCAACATCGTGGACCGCTTCCTCTCAAAACGCGTCGTCTCATTGATGAAGCTTCAGCTCGTCGGTGTCACTGCCATGTTCGTTGCTGCGAAGTACGAGGAGATCCTCGCGCCGTCTGTCGAGGAGTTTGTTTTCATCACCGACCGCGGCTTCAGCAAGGATGAGATCCTCAAGGGCGAACGCATCATGCTCCAGACGCTCGAGTTCAAGATCAGCCAATACTGCTCGCCGTACAGCTGGATGCGCAAAATCAGCAAGGCGGACGACTACGACCTCCAAACACGAACGCTCAGCAAGTTCCTCACCGAGGTAACGCTTCTGGACTATCGCTTCCTGCGCGTCAAGCCGAGCATGGTCGCGGCGATTGGCATGTACACCGCGCGGAGAATGTTGGGGGGTGACTGGGTATGTATTCGTTTTCTGTCATCTACGCGCTATAAATGCTGCGTGCAACGCGGTGACCACGCTGTGATCACCTTTTTGTTTCCGCGTGCAGCATGCAGTTCACGTGGTGTGATGTCGTACTGACACTGCTTTCTTCCAGAACGAGTCGTTCGTGTACTACTCCGGCTTCACCGAAGAGCACCTCCTTACTGGCCACAAGCTCTTGTGCCAGAAGCTGGCGGAGTCCAACTTCCAGGAGCAGCTTGTCTGCAAGAAGTACGCGACGAAGCGGTTCCTCAAGGCGTCCCTCTACGCCATCGACTGGGCTCGCACACATCTGCACGAAGCCATGCACGAAGAGATGAGCATCGAGTAAATGATGCACTCATCCTAAACGTGGACTCTTATGCAGACTATGCCTATGTTGTATGTCGACTCCGTCGCTGTCGCCCCGCATCATTACCCCCGTCCTTGTCGGTCGTAATCGCCTTTGTCCATGCCTTGTCCGCCCACGCTACGTCCCCTTCATCGCCATCTAGCCCCCATCGGCCCCCATATTCGTCAGCATCTTCGCCTCTGCATCTCATCATCATCCACAAGTGTTTGTTTATTATCACTATCATCACCGTCTCTCCACACTCTTGTTTCGTCCTTGGCATCTCATCGTTATGTTTGTCATTCAGCTGCTCTCCCCCGCTATCGGTTTGATCCCCTACAACCTTACAGCACGCCCCAGCCATGACGGACACGCGCCATGCCCGGCGCACTCATCGCGTCCACCATCTCCGTCCCCTCTCCACCTCTCCTATCACGCGTCTCGCATCTCTCATCGCTCGTCCTTATTTCACTCGTTTTGTCGCGAGTTACAGTCTTCGTCTTGTACGCCCCACACGCGCGGGGTGCGCCGAAATCACAAGTTGCTCTTCGCGCCTCTGCCGTCACGTTCGTTTGCCTCGGTTTCATACGCTACGTACCCTCATGACCGCCCTCGTCCGCTATGCCTCTCATTCTCTTGTCTCTTGTCCGCTCCGGCGACCTCTTTCGCTGTATCTCTTCTTTCGCGCTCACCCCGCCCTTTCCTTTTCCTTTGCCCTCGCTTTCCTGGCTCATTGCGCCAGAGCTTTCCCCCTGCACTTCCCAACATGGATTGCGCATGCCCTCTTTCCTCTACGCGCGGCTCGTCGAGACCGAGTCACCAGGTCGTCTATCGTCACCGCAGTCTTTTATCCCCAGTGCACCCAAGTTGCCTCTACCGTTCTCGGTGCATTCTATCTGTTACGCGCGTCGTTACGTACGTGTTGAATCTAAGCTCTCGGCTTCACATCGCTTTTGCATTGGACGTACCACTGAGCGACCTTTGTCTGGCTCCAGTGCGCGATAGTCAGACTAGCGAGTATTGCGGCGGTGTGGATGGGTTCTAGCCTGCTGTTTATGGCCCGGTCGTCGCTCCACAGCTGCTGCAGCTTACTGCTACGGCATCATTGCGGGCGGACCCTCGTCGTTAAAGCTCATCAAATTGGCAACATGAGAGGATGCGTTTCATTATATCCGCACCAGCAGGGTCGTTGTTACAATTACCGAGATAATTGATTGGGCACGAAGGCACAGAGGTTCTGCAGTGGGAGATGATGGGAAGCGTCGACGGATATGTAACACTCTACATAGCCGGCCAGCTGAGGACGAGCGTCGAGACGTCGACCAATCTGAAGGCGGACGTCACAGGATGAGTATTGGCGGAATCAGATGCACTCCTGAAATTCACATGCGATCGTGCCGGTGACGCAGGGGCGCGTGACATGGGTCCTCTTCCCCAGATCAACCACGTCTTCTCCCTACCCAATATAAGTCCCCTGTCTCGCGACGGTCCACGCGCATCCCTCTTTCGACCCTCGTATTCGCCATCTGGACGCGCATTCAGCAACATGGCGACCAAGGAGCTCAAAAAGTACACGCGCGAGGAGGTTGAGAAGGTGCATTTCACCAGCCGCTGTATGCGCTCTGTAGCACGCGCCTGACGTGGTCTCTATACAGCACAACACCGACGAAAGCTTAGTCCGTGTCTTGTGGTGCTCGTGCGCGAACGGCGGTCTCACACGTCTTGCAGTGGATCATCATCGACTCCAAAGTGTATGACATCACGCGCTTCAGGAATATGCACCCTGGAGGAGTGTCTGTTTTCTATGACGAGGATATTCGTGAGTAAATTTGGCTGGGGCTCCTCTATCTCCTCTCACCTATATTTTCAGCGGGCGGAGACGCGACCGAAGCATTCTACGGCCTCCACCGACATGAGGTCCTTGAGCGGCCTCAGTACAAACGGCTCCAAATTGGCGTGATCGAGGGAGAGGAACCGCAGGTCGAGGGTCGCATACCAGGTGCGATCAGCAAGGTGCCGTACGCTGAGCCATCGTGGCTGGCAGAGGGGTACTACAGCCCGTACTATAAGGAGGTGAGTTTTCGGCACCTGGATTTCGAAGCACTGTTCACTCTGCCCGTCAGAGCCACCGCAAGCTGCAGAGAGCCGTCCGCGAGTTCGTCGACTCCGTCATCTGGCCCGACGCTCAGATGCACGAGTTGGACGGCAAGCGGCCATCTCAAAGCGTGCTGGACAAGATGGCGTGAGTACCTCCGCTCTCTCTCGATGCGTTTCCTTCTCAGCGCATATCAGCGAGCTGGAGTTGCATGCTATGCGTATGGGCCCTGGAAAGCATCTGAAAGGGCGCACCTTGATGGGTGGTATCATAACACCTGAGGAGGTACGTCTGCCCGACTCGCCGTCGGTGGCCGGAGAGGCTGATTGCATACGTCTAGTTTGACTACTTCCACGAACTCATCATCACCCAAGAGATCAGCCGCTGCGGGGCGCGCGGATACGGTGACGGCCTCTTGTCAGGATGCGTCATCGGTCTTCCTCCTGTCCTCAATTTCGGCTCTCCCGAGCTCAAGGCGCGCATCGTTCCTGATGTCCTGAAAGGGAAGAAATTCATTTCGTTGGCCGTCTCAGAGGCGTACGCGGGTAGCGATGTCTTTGGCCTCCAGACCACGGCAACCAAGACCGAGGATGGTAAACACTGGATCATCTCCGGTACCAAGAAGTGGATCACAAACGGAACGTATGTAACCTGATATCAGTGAGAGAGGCCAGAGTGCTGATATCCATGATGCACAGGTTCTCCGACTACTTTACTGTTGGCTGTCGGACTGAGGACGGTTTCACCGTGATCCTGGTCGAGCGCGGCGAGGGTGTAGAGACCAAACCGATCAAGACTTCTTACTCCTCAGCAGCAGGAACCGCGTACGTCACGTTTGACAAGGTCAAGGTCCCGGTTGAGAACACCCTGGGTGAGGAGGGCGGAGGAATCTTCGTTATGTTGAGCAACTTCAACCACGAGCGATGGGTCTTGTGCTGCTCGTCCGCTCGCAGCCAACGTGCCATCGTCGAGGAGTGCCTGAAGTGAGAATATGCGGTTGCATCCGAAAATGCCTACTGACCGCCCCCGACAGGTGGGTGAACCAGCGTAAGGCGTTCGGTCGGCCGCTTCACTCGCTGGCCGTCATCCGGTCCAAGCTTGCAGGAATGATCGCCCGTACGGAGAGTGTGCACAACTGGCTCGAGAGCGTCACGTACCAGATGTGCAATATGGTGAGATATGAGCGGGTGCTTGTTAAACCGTGGCGCTTACAGGGTACGTCTGCAGTCCTACAAGGAGCAGGCAAATAGGCTCGCAGGACAGATCGCCTTCCTCAAGACGCACTCTACACGCAGTGGTCAAGAGACTGCGAAAGACGCTGTGCAGCTATTCGGCGGTCGTGGTATCACCCAAACTGGCATGGGTCAGTTCATTGAACACGTGCGTATGTGCTCTTCAATATTGGATGACCAGCTAAATGTCGTGCTGCAGAATTACCGCACAATCACCTTCGACGCGCTACTTGGCGGCGCGGAGGATGTCTTGGCAGACCTTGGTGTCCGCCAGGCAATGCGGGCAATGCCTCCAGAGGCAAAGCTCTAAAGATGTTTCCCCGACTTACGCTTCCTTACTCTTGTATTCTGATGTATCGCTATAATTATCTTCATGTCTCTCGTCACACCCCACTGTCTGCTCATAGATGCGACCATGTCATTCGGGTCGGATCCTGTAATCTACAAAATAGGAACTACATTATCGATCTATCTTAGCGCTCTAACGGCGGCGACGAAGCTCTGCTGGTGCAGGTGTGATGCCCTCACATTTCGAGCCCCACTGTATATGTCTCTGGAACCCGAGGACCGGATCAGTATGGATGCACGAAACATGAAGAAACCATCTGACGCACTTTGTTTGCACCAAACTGCAGCTCGAGCATCCCGCTGCCCGGGTAAAGCAGGCTGTCGACGAACTCCAACGACTGTTCGAGCCTCCACTTGTCCCCATCCTTGTCCTTCACGAGGCCCTCGAACCGCCGCGCGCGTCCCTCCCAGCGCGCGACGTGGTCCGTCGCGCACGTGTGGGCGATCGCCTCGCCGGTGCCCGGGCCGTCCGACGGGGGCGTCCCCGCGCTGAGGAAGCGGACGAGCGCGTAGAGTCCGGTGTCGCCGTGGCTCGTCCTGTCGCACCGGCCGATGGTGACGACCTGGCAGATGCCCCACTCGGCGTGGCGGAGGACGAGCGTCACGGGCGGCTCGCCCGTCCACCGCTGCGCCTGTGCGAGTCCTTGTCCTTGAAGTCGGCCCATCGGAGGGGGAGGGCACAAGACCGCGACGAGCTCCCAGCGGCGGAGCGCGAAGAGGGACGCGGGGCGGACGCGGAACGGCGAGGCGGGGCCGAGGTCGAGCGTCGCGGCGCGGAGGAGCGCGTCCGAACCCCCGCCGCCTGGGGGCGGGCGCAGCGCGAGGGAGACGTGCCTCCAGGCCCATGTGAGCGGGAGCGTGAGGCCTGGACGGGGAGAGAAGAGGCGGCGTCCCGGAGCGGCGCAGCGGTAAACCGCCCGAGAGGGGGACAGCGGGGAGACGGATGCGCGGCGAAGGAGGAGGTAAAGGGGCAACCCGCTACGTGTGCAAGAGAGGTCGGCGAGGACGTGGTGCTCGTCGATGGGGGCAATGAGGATGTGGGCGTGCACGCCATGAGGAGTGACGGAGGTAAAGCCAGACGTGTCATTATCCGTTGGGGAAGTGGCAAAGGTCTATGTCTCGTGTCAGATTGACCTTTGTGAGAAGGAGCAAGGGGGGACAACGTACTTGGTCGAGCGCGGTCGAGGTTGCGACTCCGACTGTGTGATATCTTGTATGTTGGCTATCTCTGAAGCACCCCACCATGGGGGCAAGCAGATGCTCGTACTGAGGCCACCCGAGCTCTGGAATAGGCTCATTTGCGAGGCGAGCTATCTCCTCCGCGCTACCGACGTCCTGGAGTACGTCTCCCCACATGACCATGGAGGTGTCCACCGACTTGCTCATGATCTCCTCTTGAAGGCGGTAGAACGCACTCTCCTCGGACTCCCCGTACAGCGTCGGCAGATTGATCCCAAAGAGTCCAAACAGCGAGTACGCCTTGTCTTCCACCCTAGTCGCCTTGCGCTGTGCCGCCCACGACATTCGAGCCGCGACGCTGACCTGGTGAACGTCCTGCTCGAGCCGGAGCACCGCGGCGGGGATGCCGGTGATCTTCTGCAGCTGGTCCGCCATCTCGAACCGCGTGCCGATCGGGGACCAGTCCTCGGCGAGGAAGACGACGCGGGTAGGCGCAACAAGCTCCTGGAGCGTCCAGCTACGGGTGTGCCATCGGCTTCCGAAGAAGTGCGCCGCGCCGGGGTCGTCCGCAGGGACGTCGCGGAGGTAGGCATAGCACACGTCGGCGAGGGCGTAGTAGCGGAACATGGAGTTGATCGCCTCGGTGACCTCCGCACTGCTCGTCTTGTCGATGCAGCAGGTGTCCACCCAGGCCCATTCATAGCCCTGCTTCTCCGCAAGTTTGAGAAAGCCGCGCACCTTGGGCGTGAAACGGTCGCGCGGGGAGGGGCGCGCCTTGAGGACGCCGAAGGAGAGCAGACGAAGGAGCCAGCTGAAGACTGAGAAGACGACGTTGTACCATCTCGGTAGGCTCGCGGGCTCCTGAGGGGTTGGGTGGAATGAATCCTCTGTCTTCGCCCATACGTGAGATAAGATAGCGTATCCGCCTGGAACTGCGTGGGGTCCAGAGAAGTGTCTGAGGTCCGCCGTCCGAGTGTTGAGCAGCCACATAACAAACTTGATCCTATCCAAAATTTGTCCAGCGGTCTGTTCCCGTCAAGATGAAGATGGTGTCGACAGAGACGGAAGAGTTCGCGCGAAGAGCAGAATTCGAGGACATGGTGGTAGTAGTTGGGTGAGGCAGTTCCTGTTTGACGTCGGCACGCGGGAAAGCAGTGGACTGGCGTCTGCGAACATCACCGTTCAAATGGCACGCGCGGCGCAGGCATGGGCAACGAACAACTCGGCGTATGTACACCGCCGTACGTGTGCTTGTACTCGAGCCCGGGCTCCTAGTCCCTACTGTAAGATCGTGACATTGTGTTCTCAGCCGCAGGGGTGATGTAAAACTATAAGTACCGGGTACACGAACGTTTGGCAATGCAGGTTGTTCCCTCCCTCCACCCAGTAGTTGCGTGCGCACTCCCGTCGCCGACTCTTCCGCATCCCGTTTCTGTTCGTCTGTTTCCCCGTCCACCGACTCGACTACGGGTCCCGGCGCCGTCACCACACCGGAACACCCACAGCGCTCTTCTCAGCGGGTGCGGTATAAATACTGGATTCACTCCTTCCATCTCACAGGCCTTATAGTAACTCGAGCAGCCCTTGCTCGCCCGTCAAACATAGGTGTTCGGCGCCAGCACTGACGTGGAGAGAGGTCAGAAGTCGAAGATTACAGAACACAATATACTCACAGAGTTCATGACAACCCACGGGTACCTTCAAGATGATTGCGAAACTGCATCTTCTTTCCCAAGGGGAATACCATCCACTTGCGTACTAGGACGATCGCGAGGTTTACCTGACGAAAGAACATGAGGCACTGTAGTTGTTATGCACAAAATGAACACCCGCACCTTCGAGTTTGTCCATCGCCAAATCAGCAAGGCGGAAGCCCTCTTCCGTGTCCTCGGTCAATTGTCGAACAAGTTTCGTATCGCTGGAATCAGGCCCCTCATGGATATCGGTGTCACTGAAAACACTGTTGAGGACTATGCTCTTCCATTGGCGCCAACTCGGAGTGTCGTTCTGGAGTAGCTGATGGAGGAGCTTCCCAAGCGACTCATCCCTGACTTCATTGTCCCCGATGCCATTGAATGAGTTCTTCACGGCGCGCGCGATGAATGCAACCGTCATTGTGCGCGTGCCCAGTTCTACTTTGACCGTGCCCGGGTCGCCGAGGAAGTGCTTCAGGAGAATCGTTCCCTGAAGGTGTTTGCGCTCGGAAGAGGAAAGGTAGAGGGTATAGAGCCACGACGCGATGAGGGAGGCGAGGAACATGAGTTGACCGAACACGGTGCATGCGGGGACGAGGACAAGTTGTGCGAGGAAGCTCAAGGCGAGCAGGACACACGCGAGGAAAAGGGGGTAGATGGAGTATCGTTCAATGTTACAACGGAACGCGCCTCTGGTGATGACGTCGATCGTCTTCTGGGGGCCGAGAACGACGACAATGTTGGTGCCTTCACCTCCCAAAACTCCGTCTCCGGGCGGGGAATCCGTACTTGATTGAGGGCAATCGACGGTGATGTCGACCAACCCTAGAACGGCGCGTGAGATACCGTTGGCCAGTGCGCCGGAGCAGATGAGACCGAAGGCGAACCAGTCTTCAGCAATGAGTAAGGATAGGATGCTTGCAGCAATGGTGATGCCGATGGGGAAGATCGTGAAGAAGACGACCAAGCGGCCTGGAGTTTTGGGGATTTTGTCGATGTTCGGGAAAAGGTTTCGCATGTCGACAACGGTCACATGGTGGGGAGTGGTTTTGCGACCCGCGGCGCAATGAATGATGCCCATGTCATCGCATTCCGCCATCAACAAGTTCGCGAAATGGCCCGATCTGTGCGTCACTGTCTCCGAGAGGATGCCGTAGAAGGACGGCCCCTTGAGATCGTTCAACCCGAGGAGGACGGCCGGGTCAACCTTGGCTCGGCGGGTTTTCCGGGCCGACGAGTCCAGCAACGTCTTGTAGAACTTCGGCATGGCGTAGCCGCCATGAGAGTTGTACCATCCCAACCACTGGTAAGTTCTGGGGAAGAACTGGAGGGAGCCAAGGAGCATTGCGGAAACGGCCAGATCGCCACCGAGGAAGCCTGCGAGGCCAGAGAAATCGAGGCTGAACCTGCTGTTGGCCGAGCTGAGACCATCAAGGGCGCGGTTGGATTGTAGGACAGGCATAGCGGGGGTGAGGCACTCAGCTGCTGGCCACGGACCCGTTTATACCGTTATCGTTCGCAAGTGTGGCATCTGGTAGAAGCCGTGAGCTCCCCTCTCAATGTGAAGAGGACCTTGCGTACCTCATGCTGAGCATGTGAAGACGGGTATTGTGCATCTTGCGAATGCGAATGCAAGCCGCTCGCGATCAGGCGTAGGCGATTCCGTCGGGCAGGCGGCACCGAAGACTACTGAGCTCGGGTGTGCGGCATGATCTTCGAAATGTCGTACTTCAGACATGGAAGGCAGCTGCGGGACGCATATACGATGACCACCTGCAGGATGCAAGACGTTACTGGAACGCCATTTGGGGTTGTGTCCACCACGAGTCCCACACGTCTGTGCGCAGTACTAGTCCACGCATAGATAGCCAAATACTGACACTGTGTGTGCAAACTAAGTTGTTCGTCGTTCCGTGGTGGTGGAGGTACAAGTTCATGCGTTCACGGTGCACTCCGCACTAGCGCTCGCAATGGGGGGAGATGACTGAGCCTCTGACATCGTGCTCACGATCGTCGACCATGCTCGACACCTTTCGGTCTCGCGACAACGTCAAGCACCCGCGCCGTGATCTTCCTTCAGCCCACCCGCATGCTTGGACGCCGCGGGGTGTCCACCACGCCTCGCCGCAGCATGCCATCCAACGCCCCGCCCACCGGGGTCGTCCAACGCGTCCCTATCTCTGCTCTTCCGCTTCCACCACGCACACAAAGCCTCATACATGCTCTTACTCCCGATCCTTACACCCCATCTCCGCACGTATGGCGCGAGATCCGCGCGGAGAAGCCCAGTCTTCAGCGTCGCGCGCGGCTGCTCGCTCCCGCTGCACACTTCTCTTACGTTGCGCCGTGCCCTCTACCGTTCCCCTATCGCGTGGACTATGCAAAGAAGCCAGCAGCCGCACCCAAGGAGGGCGTGGAATTGGATGGGAAGAAGGCTGAGGAAGACGATGAAGAGGAACTGGACGGCGAAGCACAAGTGCGGGCGACGGAGCAGTGGCTGGTCAACCGGGAAGCCTTGCGCGAGGTTCCACCTGCCGGCGGCGCTTCCGCGACGCTGCAAAAGTACGTCGCGGACGCGCGAGAGGGCGAGCGCATTCTCATCGGCCTTGCGGAGTCGGGGTTGCGTGACTGTCTGCCTGCTCTTGACGTCGGAGATGCCTCGACGCTGCTCGGTACGCCGTCGCTCTCTGCGCCTTTGGGTCAAGATGAAGATGCGCCTGTGCCGGAGGTTTCGGAGATCGTCAAGGCTGCCCGACAGGAGCTCATCGACGTGCTCAGCGGGCACGCGACACTGATGAAGACTGGTGAAGATGAGGTGGAGGCGCAGTGGGCACCATGGTCTCTGCGCTACAGTGGACATCAGTTCGGTACTTTCGCGGGGCAGCTCGGAGACGGACGCGCCATTTCTCTTCGTAAGCGTTGCTTCCCCGGTACTGGCCTACCATGCTAACCGGACCCGTAGTGGCAACCCCACACCCCGATGATGCGGACACGGTGTACGAACTGCAGCTCAAGGGCGCAGGGCGCACCCCCTTCTCGCGCATGGCAGACGGGCTTGCGGTCCTTCGGTCCTCCATCCGCGAGTTCCTTTGCTCGGAAGGTGCGTCCGCATTTACCACGTTCTTGGGGCGTGTATTCATCGCACTCCACTCCACTTTCAGCCATGCATGCACTCGGGATTCCAACCACGCGCTCGCTTGCGCTCATCTCGCTACCCAAGGTGCCAGTGGAGCGCGAGCGAATGGAGACCGCCTGCGTGCTCACGCGCGTCGCGCCTTCGTTCGTGCGCATCGGCTCGTTCGAGGCTCTCAATCCTCCCGCGCAGATGTTCTTCATGGGGGGAGGCCAGCAACGTGCAGATCTGGACGCGCTGCGTGTCCTGGGCGAGTGGACCGCTCGACGTGTGCTCAGGCTTCCCAGCATTCACTGGCGAGGAGATGAGGGTGTAGAAGGGTCTGGGGACGCGTGGGGTACGAAACTTATCCTGGAAGTCGCCCGGAGGAATGCCCGGATGGTGGCTGGGTGGCAGGCGTATGGCTTCATGCACGGAGTGATCAACACGGACAAGTGAGTGGTTTTCAGGTCTTGCGTTCTACGGTAGCTGACTTCCATATAGCGTCTCGATATTAGGATTGACTACTGATTATGGTATGTTGGATTGTGACGTGCCGATAAGTGAAGCATTCATGTAACCTACAGGTCCGTATGCGTTCATGGACGTATTCGATCCATGGCATATATGCAATCACACCGACGCGGAAGGACGATACGCCTACAAGGTAGTTCTCGTCCTTTCACCGCAAAGCGTTCAAGTTTCGAACTGACTTTTTAATTTTAGTACCAACCTTCATCAATGTGAGCACTCCCTCCAACGCTACGCTGTACCAAACTCAACGACTATTCTAGTGTCTTCGCACTCCGTGCTCTTCTCGATGCCCTCGCGCCCCTCATCGGCGCCGAAGACGAGCTCGGCGGGAAGGCTGTCTCCCCCGGCTGGGCCACCGATGCGTCCGAAGATAATATCAAGGCCTGGACCGAACGCGGGCGTGACCTCGTCAAGCCGCAGCTCGAGCACATCGCCACCGAGGACTGCGCAGTCGAGTACAGCCGGCTCATCCACAAGGTGCGCTTGACCCCCACCTTCGTCCATCTTCGGGCGACTGAGCCCCCTGCTCCACACCCACAGCGGCTCGGCCTGCGCCGCACGGACGAGACGGACGAGGTCACGCTCGCGCGCCCGCTCCTCGACCTCATGAAGGACCACAAACTCGACTTCCACCGCACCTTCCGCCGGCTGTGCGCGTTCCGCCCCGCCTCTGCGTCCGCGGAAGCCGACGCGTTCGCTGCGTCGCTGCTGTCCTTGAGCCTGGAGGACCCGGGCCGCCTCGATGCTGCACGCGCGCAGAGCGAGTTCGCAGCGTGGCTGCGGACGTACGCGGCGCGCGTCGAGAGCGAGTGGGACCTGTGGACGGGCGCCGATGTGGACGCGGAGAGAAGGGCAGAGATGGAGGGCGCGAACCCGCGGTTCGTGCTGAGGCAGTGGCTTCTAGAGGAGGTCATCAGGAAGGTTGACGAGGACGCGGAGAGGGGTAAACGTGTGCTGGGCAAGGTCCTACAGGTAAGTCTTTTGCTCAGTCCCCAGTAACATTGCCATCTGACGGTGGTGGAAGATGGCTTGTGATCCATTCGCGCCTTGGGGCCGTGAAGGTGTACAAGATGATAGCGAGCTCAGTGCTGAAGAGAAAGAGGAACGCAGGTACTGCGGTACGGGTGATGCCCGTTTGTTGGGATTCCAGTGCAGCTGTTCCAGTTAGACGGTGTACCAAAGTTCCCGTATCAATACCCATCTTGTATACGCTCCGCAGACCAGGCGGTTCTATTGACGAGTCCCCACACGAGCGTCCATACAATACATTGACATTTCCGCTCCAAGTTGTACATCCATCCTGAACTACCACTAGGTGGCGCTGCCGAAAATCTGGTACCGTCTGCAGATGCTGGGACCAATCTCATCGTACTGAGCCTTGGTATGGCAGAACGAATAGAACTCGGGCTATAGGGACATATCAGTGGCTGCGGGACCGTTAAGCAGAAAACTGCAACTTACCAAGGAAGCCATGAGCGATCCACCGAACCATACGGCGTAGCTGGGCAAGGAGTGAGCAAGCTGCGATGACTCAAGTAGCAGACCACCGACCGCTGCCGCTTGTGAGAAATGACTTCAACATCAACGCCAGAAGACTGCATATCAATGTCAGTAAATATCGTGCAGTGGTAACATAGAAGACATACGCGCAGCTGGCTGCCGCTGGCTGCGGCACTCGCGTCTAGACGGCTGTCTACAATCTGCTTCAGGTCGCGCTTGAGACGGTTCCCGAAGTGCTGGAACATGGTCGAGCCTCCAGACAGCACGATGTTCTACGGGATGGTCGAGCATGAGGGGATCAGTTTGCGAAATTGGAGAGGGGTTTGTTACTAACCTTATAGAGGCCACGACGAACATCAATCGGGGACTGCTGAATGACACCGTCGACAATCTCAGGAAGGGGGGTAAGGAAGTCGGAGGAATAGATCTCCGGGTTGAAGAAGATCTCGGGCGCGAGGAAGCGTTCGTAGCCGACGTCGATCTCGTATTTCTGCGTACCGCTCTTAGAGTACGCTCCGAAAAAACGCAAGGCGAAAGATCACTCACCCTGCCTGTCACGGTGTGCTCGCCTTCGTAGCGAGCAAAATACTTGTACGGCTCTTGGTCGTACTTCCTGAACTCCCTGACAATGTCCTGGCAGACGTAGCTGTACTGCTCCTTGACCTTTCCTGCCACCCTCAGCTGGTCCTCGGGGGGTACGCTCGCCATCTCCCCACGTTCACGCATAAGGTTGAGCACGAACTGCGTGATGTCGCGTCCGGCGATGGGGATGTGCTTGATAGCGCTGCCAATGACATAACCCTCCGCGCACGGGATAACGTGCGTCACACCGTCGCCCGAGTCGATGACTGTGCCGGTGAGGGTGCGGTCCGTGACGCGGTTCGAGGACCAGGACGCCGCGAGCGCGAGCACGGCCTGGACGGCGATGTAGAGGCCCTTGATGTTAAAGGACTCGAAGAAGATCTCCGCCGTCTGCTCGCGGTTCTCCGGTGCGTTCAACGGCGGCTCGGTCTACGGGGCGCGTGCAATCGAAGAGCATCAATGCGCGCTGCACGCAGACGAAAGAGAGCGGTACACGCACCAGGAGAAAGTAGTGGTCCTCGGGCTCCGCGCGCAGATACTTGAAAATCGTCTGCTCCCAGTACCGCTCCATGTAATCCCAGTTATCGATCTGGCCGTGGCGAATCGGATAGTTGATACCATAGCCGGGAGTCTGCGCGTTGGCCAGGGCCTCATCGCCGATGAAGAAGTCAAGGTCCTCGACTCCGCGCTTGGTAGCTAAATGTCCAGGTTTCGAGGGAACAGCCGGGCCTGGCCGATTCGACTGTGCAGCAGGCCCGCGAGTAGCAATTGCGGTAGGGAACACGCTGGGCTAGCATTGACCACGACGAATGTTATGGTAAGAACGAGGCTACTCACAATGATGGGTCCGAGTTTCCGGCGAACCTGATATGCTAAGGTTGAGCATGGATCAGAAAAAACCACAAGGCGGCACTCACCCAACTTTCGAGTACCCAGTACCATTGTCACAGATGATGGGGGCGAGGAGAGACATCGTTGGGCAATGCGCAGACACAGCGTCTCGCAGTAGCATCCGTTACCTCATTGGGGCTTCGGCAGCTGCCGAAGTATGCCGCGAGATATGCACTTTCGTCCATTTATGTCAAAACATATCACAGATTGCCTGACTGTGCCCACTGAAGTACATACTCCTGTTGGAATAACAAAAAGGCGTTACCTACAGCAATAAAATTCCAAATGGCTGGAATATGAGGCGACCCAGGCTCGAACTGAGGACCTTCTGTGTGTTAGACAGATGCGATAACCAACTACGCCATCGCCCCATATCCTTCATAGTCTTGAACAATCTACAGTGTCTCATAACTGCAGTGTCAGTATACGATGAGAATACACCCACAACATGGAACATGGCTCCGTTTACAAGCTCTGACTAGTAACCACTCTCGCCGCGGCTGCCACTGCTTCAATTTCAGCTATGCGGCGCTTCGCCTGTCACGATGATTGAATAAGGTGAGTTGTTCTGTGAGACAGGAACACGAACCGCTTGTACTTGCCCGCTGTCTATGACAGGAAGCGGCTCTAGGTGCTCGTTGTTCGTTGTGCAAACGTTCCAGCGATTGGGCGGATTCTCAATGTACAGACCAAAGTCTTCCGGAATGTACGGACCGTGCTCGGTCTGGAAGTTTGCTCGTCGCAATCGCTCCTCTAGAACGAATACAAAGTCAGAGGCCAGACACTTCAGTTTGAAATTGAAACGCAGGCGAACCTTCGACCCTGGCATCTAGCTCGGCGGCCATCTCCGACACACGACGTTGAATCTCCTCACGGTATTGCTGACGGTCAGCAAGCTCGAGAACAAGCTTACTATACGAGTACTGATACGATGTGTACTTGTGATGTAAGCTTTCGATCTGCTGCAGCTGAGCGTGCATGTATGACAAACGGTCAATGCTCTCATTCTGTCAAATACTATAATTAGCTTCATGGTCATGCAAAACATACATAAGACAAACCTCCACAGCTTGCTGACGTTCAAGCATCTCAGACATAATATCGCCGAGCTCGTCAAGGTCGCTAAGAGTATTCCTGTGTCCTTCCAAGTGCCCTTCGGATGTTGCCTTAGCATCCAGGAGCTGTTCGCTTGACGAAGTTCAGTAACGCGGTGCCGGAAGTGGCTCAGCGTACTTACTGATATACTTCGATGGATCTCAGACTCCCCTCCAGTTCACCCACAATTACAGGTAGTGCGTCGGCATCACCATTCATACCTGCACTCATAGTGAGACATCGAATAGCATGATATATGAGAGGAAGTACCCTGCATATCCTCCTCACTGAACTCCTCCCCAGCCTCAAAGTCGTGGAAGGCATTATCCATGTTGTTATAATGGTGAACCAATGATTCGAGCTGCTCAGCCATCTTAGAAGACGTCTTTTCTTGCGACTTGAATATGTCCCTGAAGGAGGGAAGTGGGACGTCCACAGGAACAGTCCCTCGAATGGTGTCTATCGTCTTCAATAGCGACTCTGGATAATCTGCCGTTGTAGCAAGGATGTCCTGCGGGGAATTCACGCGCAATTCGAAAGCAATCTCAAAGCGCCACTCACATCCAGCTCCTGCCTGTCCTTCTCGATGGTGTCCAGCATGTCCTCGATAGCTCCCTCGTCCACAAAATCCCGCAACGACTTCCACCTGCTCCGGTCCGTATGTCGACTATTCCTCTCTGCCCTCCTCGCAAGCGGCGAGCGGTTGCGGATGGTGTCGGTCGGGCTCAGCCGCGTACCGGGGCTCAACCGAGGAGGACCGAATGGACTGTTCTCATCGGTGTGGCGGTCGCGGTCCCCTTCGTCGTCCGAACCATGCTGGCTCCCGAACGGCGACGAGTCGGCGGACACGGAATGGTACTCTGGAGGGACGAACTGGGTGCTGAGGGTCTCCAGGATCGTGTCGAGCGCGTCGGAACGTTGGTTGCGGATGCCGTCCCACTCCTTGGCAAGCTGAGCGGCGCACGGAAGAGCGTGGCGAGAACGGACGCACCTCTACTTGTCTCTCTAGCTCTGATCGCTTTTGCTCTATGCTCTTTGCGACCTGGGCAGCGAGCTGTGCACGTTTATGAGCTGGTTGACAAACGGTTGGCCGTATGGTTGGGCAAGGCTTACCTTTAGTTGGTCCAGGACCGCGCCGGACATCCACCTGACCTGCGCATCCAATGCGAGGACATCGACCGTCACTTGCGCTGACGAGGAGGAGACCTCGCTCGCTCGGGTACAGAGATGTTGGCCTTGCTGCAGCGCCTTCTTTGCATGGAGCACCAGAGAGACAATGTGAGGTTGCTCTTGGTCGGTTGACGGCGATTGCGACATGGGTAACGCGAAATTTGAGGAAGAACCGGTGGCATAAGCTAGGAAAAGCGACCCAGACCGTGTTGTGGCAAGTTCCAAGAGGCCTGAGGGAAATGGATGGTGTAGCTGAGCGGTGAGATCACGCGCGCTACCAGAGGGGCCGGAGACGACGTGCTGTCGGCAATGACGGCCCGGGGCGGGGCGACATTCGATCCTGCTCATCCCACTTCAAACGAACCTTGTTTGGCAAGCGTGTATGAACACTTGCGTTCGATGTAGCGGCGCATGCATATCCCAAAAGCACATAAATACCATATTCAAGTACCCTACAAGACAACCTGTACTCGAGGAGCATATTCTGCGCCCCACTTTTGGACAACAAAGTCACTCGCAGCTGGAACGAGACCAGGCGTCAGCGTACATTCATCTAATTCAGACAGCGAGAGTGCAAGCATACTTTCCGCAGTATCACACACCCAAAGTCTCGCGACCGTCGGGTCGTGGTCACTGGCGCGCTCAGCGATCGACTGCGCCCAAGTGTTGACATGCACATGTTCGACATCGCCCCCGCGGGCAGCGACCGCCTCGCTCACGAACATGTGGTCGATCTCCTGCGCGTTCTGGTCGAACGCGTATGTGTAGCGCTCTGCAGCAGGAACGCGCGCAACGTCGTTGATATCCAGGAGTCTCGCAGAGAGGGGGTGGAGAACGGAGCGCGTGGCCGCGTACTCGTTCATGTCGCCCGCTACGATAACGCTTGCATGCTCGTCGAGGTCCAGGATCGAGCCTACGAACGTCTGTCCGGCAATGAAGGGTCAGACAGAACGCGAGGGGAGACAGAAATGCAACTGACTGCAGTGACGTTCGCCTGGCTCGTCCGTAACTCGGCGCGTCCGTTCACGGGCGGGCGAGCGTCGCCCTGCGTGGAAGAGCTGCCACGCTTTGAAGAGAAGTGAACGTTGACCGTGTAGAAACGTGCCCCAGAAGATGTCTGCCAGGCCGCGGCAAGCGGCTTGCGCGACTCTTCCCATGCGTCGTGCAGCGGGTCGATACGGCCAGGATTAAAGCTAAGGACAGATCAACGAGATTGCTAGAACGCCAAGACAAAGGGGCGTACGTTAACACTACGTTTCCGTCGTCGCCCGTCACAGCAGTGGTGCCAACAGTCGCGTTTCCGATGGTCCCGGGAATGAGGGAGACTCTTTCTGGACGCCATCTGTAACGGAAGGTTATCGAGATTGGTACTATCCAGCGCGTGAGAGAAGGACACATACAAGTAAGCAACCCGGATGTTGCTACCGGGGGCGCCTCCATCTTTGTTGTCCAAGGGTTCGACGTTCACGAAGTCGTACTGCACACCGCCGCTGGCCTTCTTGATCGCATCCGAAAGAGCACGAAGCGTCTTGTTGGCGCTTACCGTGCCGTCATTACGAGGGCCAGAATCGTCTTGAATCTCTTGTACAAACACAATATCGGGAGCGTGGAGGTAGTTTGCAGTGTGGGCAGCAATCTTCGGAATATGGTGGGATCGAGGAGACATGTTCTCAACCTACGATGAACACCTCACTGTTAGCATTGAAAGGAACGGTCTGCAAGCTTAAGACGCACGTTGTAGTCACCAATCCGAATCTGGCAAGGGTGAACGGAAGAATTGAAGGGTGCAGGGAGGACATCAAAGCTCGGATATTGCAGTATCTCTGGCGCGGACAATGGCAGGATGTAGTAGAAGCCAAACTACGCCGGTGTTACTAGCAACCGGGGCGACAATGATCCTCGAAGCATACCTGGTAAGTTACGACCCCGGTGATGTCGCTGAGCTTGGCTCCCATCACCACTGGGGGGTTTCGCGAGCCATCTAGAGCGCGACCGATGAAGATAGCCTCAGGGTGAGCGGGGGGCATTGCACCATCTGCTAAGAGTGAGAACGATGAAGGCAAGCAAGGTAGAAACGGTGATCACCCTTGAAGTGAACGGTCAAGCCACCGCGTTCATTCTTCCCCGTTACTGGCCAGTCTCCGTACACCCACAGAGAACCAAACCGGTCCTGGAAGTTTGTAGCTGTTGGGGATTTGATGGTGACGAGTTGACCCTCCAGACTCTCCCAGAAGTCCAACCCAAACTCCTCAGGGCGCAAGGTTGCGTTGACGTGCTCCAGGAGAGTCCTGTTGTTCGGCATAGAAAGCCATCCGTCCTTGCCGATGTCGAGCGACGAAAACTGGTTGTTAGGTGGGGTGCGGTCCCGGCCCAGGACGAGCGGCGGTACAACGTGCCCCGACGAGAGCGTCTTGATGGAGAGGATACGATCTATTTGTGTGAGAAAGAGGTCGTTGGGGGCTTTGCGGTACTCCGCTACTCGACCGGAGATAGAAACAAGGTCTCCCACGTTGGCGGAGTGCGCAGCGTTGCCGTAGAGGCGGAGACCGCTGGAAGCGCGTGGGTCATCTGAAGATTCCCCTTGGATCCATATTCCGTATCTGTCCTGTGGGGTTGCGTGAACACTCCGGCCTTGAATATTGAAGCTCGAGAAAGTGGGATTGAGGTACCTTCGCAGTCACCACGCCGGTCACGTCATAAACTAGGCCGCCAGAGTATGGCGACTGGAAGGCGACACCTTGTATGTCGGTGATGCTCATTGACCACGAGGTCATAGTCATAGCAAGGCACAGTGCAGCAGCCAGGGTGGCGTGTCCACGCATCATGGCGAAGTTGGGTGAGCAGGCACGCCGGGCTCTGAGCAAAGGGTCAAGTATATATAAGCCCGGGATATGCCGCCAAAGGGCGAGCCGCTTAGGTGTCCAACAGTGGTCCGCGTAGAGATGGAGACGCGGACTAGATGGGCAGACAAAGACGTGGAGGCGGTAGTTCAGAGGCAAGGTCGACAACAACCCCGCTTTGGCGGCCACGCGGCACGAGGCCGGCCCGACCTCCCCTTCTCCGCTCCGGCGACGATGACGGATCCGCCGCCTGCCCCTCTTCGCACTCCCCCACCAGGAGTCTATTCGATCCACCGTCATGCCTCGCTCGCCGTTGCCCACGATTTCCCTCTGTCTCGCGTGTTCCTCTTCCCTGCCGCCGCGCATGACCAAACGTGATTTGTTCTACACCCAATGCTGCTCCCGCCTTATCTGCCCGAACTGCATCTCATCTAACCCTCGGCTCACGCGGTACAACCCATGTCTCCGCTGTCTGGACGGTGTGAAGGCAGTCAATGTCTCGACCTCTGCAACCTCACACTGGGAGGGCGCGCAATCCGTGCGCGTCAACGTCGATGGATCAATGCGAGACGAAGACGTCTTTATCGTGGACGACGGCTCAGACGACGACGAGGACTACGAATCTGACGCCGAGGAGGAGCCCGGCGGCGGACCTGGCGCGAGCACCCCCTCCCCCGAGGTCCCGCGCGCACCACTCCAACAACATTTCGATAGTGTGAGCCCACTATCAAGCCGCCCAGGCTCTCTGCGCTCTGTGCAGAACCCTCCGTCGATATGCTCCGCGTCCGAGACGGACTCGATCGGCGAGCTCAAGAGCGCCCCGGGTATGCCGCCGCGATACTTCATCCACTCCGACGATACCCTGCTCGGCATCTCCCTCAAGCTTGGCATAGACGTGCGTCCCTCGTCCCCGCCTGTCTCCCTTCCGCCTTCCTCACTCTTCTCCTTCTCCTTCTTCTCTCGGCCCCGTCTTTCAGAGCCGCATTCTCTGCCGCTTAAACGGCCTCCCGATTACTACCCTGCGCACGACGCCGCACCTCCTGCACACCCGCGCCTTCCTCGTCCTTCCCCCGTCGGCCCCGCCCCCTCCTCCGCTCACGCCTGAACAGAAGGCGGCCGACGAGGAGCGCCGCGCGCGACTGGCGCTCGAGCGCGCGGAAACGCGCTTCCAGGCGATGACGAAGGAGACCGACCGCTCGGTCGCGAAGGCCTACGTCGCGCTCGCCGGACTTCCCGAGGAAGACGACGCGGCGGCGAAAGAAGCCGTGCTCTTCGCGGAGAAGGACAAGGAGAACGGCCTCCGCCAGCGCCGGGTCCGCGCCGGACCTGTTCCCGGGGAACCGGGTGGGAGCAGCCTCGAGGGCCGCGCGACGGACAATTATTTCGACGACGGGGACTGGGAGGCGCGGGAGCGTGCAGAGGGCAGGAAGGCGGCCCTCCCGGCGTTCCCGTACTTCCAGGGCTGTGAACGCGCGGCGGGGAAGATACCGGAGGGTGAGCCTAAGTCGTGGTGGCGCTGGTAGAAGTATTGATGGTCGTATCATGATGTGCTTGTATGGGATATTATACTCAATGTTGTACAACTATAGGATAAGCGGCGCATGTACGATAGACAGCAGTAGATAGTTCACTAGTGCTTGTACTTCTACGTACTAGAGGTAATCTCATCTCTGTAGATCTTGGCTTCGCGCAGGCTCGAGATTTTTTAGGAACCGGCAGGATCTTCTACGACTTATGCGTTCGTCGGGCGCGTTTTCGGTGCTTTCACTACCACGAGCTTGAAATCTTCGTGTACATTCAGAGTGCCCCGGATCCACACGAGCATCGACACGCGATTGTGGGCCATGCGTTCATGGTGATTGCGTTGTTGCGTCGTTCGATGCAAATATGTTGCTGTAGAGGCCAGTGAGTATGCAAACGAGAGAGATGGTGGAAATATTTCGGATCATTGCCATCGTCTTCGAGCAGAGAGGGATGAGCAAGTTCTGGGGCGAGCGCTCCGGCACCACCTAGCCTGGCCTCGGGTTGAACTGGAGGTTTGCTGCTGCGCCGGCGCACAAGTATCGTTGGTGGATAGGAACGCGAAGAGTAGAAGACTGCGGGGATGCCAATATACTCTCATTGCATTTCAACAGAAGCAACTGTGGACGTACAACCAAGGACTACATCCATGGTGACACGAATACCGGAACCTACAGTCCACGCATGAGGTACTTCGTCAAGCACTCAGTCGCAGCCTTCTTGATCTCCTCGTTCTGCGGCCCGGTCTTGAGGAGCTCCGTCGCAAAGGTGACCTTCTCCATAGAGATCTCCTTCTCCCTCACCGCGTCGTCATCCCCACCTGCACCACCCTTGGAGGCTCGCAGTACGGCCTCAGCCCGCATCAACTCCGTGCGGGCCTTACTCTCTTCCCGCTGTTGCTCCATAAGCTCCTTCAGAGATGCGCACGTGTCGAGGAGCGAACGGGTTGCGCTCGTGAGTTGGTCCAGCACGTGCGAAACCTCCGCGGACGGCAGCTTCGGATCGCCGACCGAGTCGTAAAGAGGCGGGGTGTGTGGCCTCCCGTTCACCGCGTGTGCTGTGGAGAAAGATACAGCCGGTGTTTGACGAGCGACGCTCGGAGTGGATGATGATCGCAAGTAAGAGAACTTCGTCTGTGAAGGGGTCGGAGAGGGCTGTGGGGGTGCAACGATGGGTTGAGGGAACTCCGTTGGACGAGTTGGGGTTGCAGAGGCGGGGTAGGCGTAGGTGTTTGAATGATGAGCAGTTGTGGCGGATGATATAGAGGGAGGGTTGGAGGAGAAAGCTGTTGACGAAGCTTCTGCCGCCGAAGGGCCCGCCGCCAGCTGTTGGTCGATGGATGCGCGCAGGCCAACGGGCATCGGGTGCGAGGAAGAGCTAGGACCTGCTCCGTCGTCAGTATATGTGCGCGGTGCATACGAGGTACGGAGGACGACGAACTAGTCTGTGGGTCATCACGGTACCTGCGATAGTGGATTGATCGGTCAGGTAAGCCGTAGTGCCTGGACTGCAGCAAAGCGAAGCGCACCGTTTCTTGAACAAATCGAACCACCCGGTTTCATACCACCTATCGATAACCTTCACATTCAGATTCCCGACGTTCAGTCCCGCAACACGGGCTGCTTCTAGCATCGCCTCGACACCAGGTTGGCGGGCATTCGGGTTCTCTGCGTTGTGCTGGCGCAAATGGTTCGTGCAGAATACTTGGAAGCCATGGACCTGCTTGAACACCTCCAGGTTGCGGTGATAACAGCTCTTGAGGGCTGTGTACGACTTCCGACCAGGGAAGAGCTCGTTGGAGCACTGCGAATCGATCGAGGGTGCGTGAGCCGATCGCTCTAACCTGGCTCCTCCTTTCCATTGAAGAGTCGGTCGCTCACCTCGCGGAACACAGTGTTCATCCTCGTCTTAAATGCATCCCAATGCTCGTCGTTATCCAGCATCCATGTGAAGAACCGCGTCTTCTCCTCTTCCGTCCAATGCTTCGCTCCACCATTGGGCCCAACATCCAAGTCCTGCACGTCGTCTGCGTCCAAGGTGTCTCCCGGACGGACCTTGCGCTTCTTCCCCGCGGCGTCGAGCGTGGAGACCGACTCGGGCTGCTTCCGCTTCACAGTCAGCGGCGGGGGCGACCCTACGTCCGTCTGAGTCTCGCCCTGCGTAGCAGCCTGCCGGGACTCGGCCTCCGGTGGCGAGCTGGGGTACATCATCTCTGGGGGTTGGGGCTGGGACCGGTGCGGACCGACGGGCGGGGGCTGGTGGGCGATGTAGGGCATGGCATGGTGCGGGTATCCGTCGGGGTGGGCATACGGGGCGTGCGCTCTGTGGTACGGGTCGGGCTGCGCGCCGGAGTCAGCTCAGCTCCGCATGGGGGTCCGCCACCAGCAACGCGTGCGATGGGACAGCCCTCGCGCTCCTGCGGCGACGCCCCGGGAGATCGCTGCGGGCGATGGGGAGAGCATCGTACGCACCTGTCCGGCGGGTGGTTGGCCCATCATCGCCGTCGGGGAGCGTGTGGCGTCCGTCGCACTGGAGGCAGCAGGGTCGGGCTGTTGGGGAGTATTCGCATGGCTGAATGAGCTGCGTACAGGACCGGGAAAGGGCGACGGTGAGCGTGGTGAGACCGAGGGGAGCGCGAGCACTGACCTCGACGACATTCTGGGGTGGGGCGAGTCGGCGACGCGACCAGCACCTCTGCGCCGAACCGGTTCGAATCAAAGAACAGTTGGCAGGCGCCTGGTCATATCGGAGTCAAATGAGGAGCACGGCCACGATCACATTTTTTCAGTCCGACCCAGACCGGGTTCAACAGAGTTCAGCACGTTGCTGTATCGCCGACCGGGCGGTGCCTCCGGTAATTTTCGACGATTCGTAACCTCGGACGCTCACATGCCATCTCGACATCCCGTGTGGATACATTTTCACAACGCCCGTCCACAGAGTCCCAGACTCAGCGCTCAGTCGTAAACGGTACACAAGTGGGTCATGTATAGACAGCGAATGTGAATGCAGATAAAGAGCGAACAACCAACATGGACAGCGAAAAGGAAAGAAAAAGTCTGGTGAGGCACCGACTACAGCGTCGGCTCGCGCCTTCCCCGTCATGCCCCGGAATCTCTCCTCCCTGTGCCGTTTGGCCGGTACATGTACGGATGTTGCGACGGTGCGTGGTTCGGTACGGTACTTGCCGCCGCGGCCGCCGCTCCATACGACGTTGTACCAGTGGGACGGGGCCGATAGTAACCTCGCTGATCGGCCGCCGTTGAGGGGGCCGGCTGGGGCTGGGGTGCAGGTGCAGGACTGGTAGAGAGGATGGACGTAGAACCAGCCATAGTAGGCAGAGGCCACGGAAGATTGTTTACAGCGGGAGAGGTGGTAGCTGCTGCTTGACGCGGAGTGGCGAGGGAGCTGGTCGCAGACGACGGCGGCCGTTGCGGTTGCATAGCAGGCGACGCATTGCTGACCGGGGTCGTGTGGGCGGTCATCGGACTGCGTGTGGGAGAGACCATGTTGGCGATTGCGTTTTGTTGCACGGGTTGGTGGTGCACCTGAGGCGGGGGCGGGGGAGGATGTGCGGGTTCGGGCTGAGGTTGAGGTTGAGGGGTAGGCTCTTCGTGACGACGTCTCTTAGTGCCACGGGTTGTGCTCTCTTTCAGCCCCAATGACGTCGCCTTCAAGAGGATTTGATGCCTACGCAGCGCACAGTGAACCCCATGTACAGGGAGTAGAAAATTATCGAACGTACCGCGTCCTGCTGTTTCCCCACTGGTGGATAACCCAATCCCACTCTATTTCTCCCTTGTTTGGGGCATTACCCATCTCCTTGCTCTGTTCGGCGAGCCTCTTCAGTCGGTCGGTCTCTTCTTCAGACCATGTACCCTGGTGACCTCCTGGTGCTGTGTTGCCCGTCGCCGCGCTGAAAGTGGAGATAGTTGCCGCATTTGACGGGATGGGCGGAGCCGGCGCGGGCGCGGGTGCGGGTTGTGGGACGGGCTGTGATGGCGTCGGTGTCGGTGTATGTTGAGGGGGTGCAGGGGCCGGGGCCGCTGCAGGAGCTGGAGGGGAGTTAGATGCCGGGGGACTTGCAGCGGGTGGGGGCGGCGCGGCGGCGTAGTATGGTGTTGCGCCCTGTGGCGGCGGGTAGTAGTACGGCGTAGTTGGGTATCGAGCACCAGCAGGCGGGGCATAGATTGGCGGGTAGTAGGGCTGGGCAGGCGGGGCCATGGGCGTCGCGTTCAAGGGCATCACAAACGTCTGAGGGTTGGTAATAACTGACCCAGGCGCCGGCGTAGCACCTGTCGGTGCACCGGGCGGGGGTGGGGGAGGCATGGCAGCATATGGAGGATACGTTGTTGTGGGGACGGGCTGGCCGACAAGTTGACTGGGATTTGCGAGCTACGCGGAGCTTGAGAAGACATACAACAGGAGGGACGAATGACATACAAGGTTGTCGCACACGCGTTTTGCTTCCGCGATGAGCATGAGCGGGTCAATTTTCGTTGCCGGACCCATCTGGTAGCATTGCGCAATAACCATAGGGGAGGCGGCTTTCTGTGACGCCAAACAGAGAGATACCATTGAGAAGCCAGTGAAAACACAATAAGGGCATGTACTCACAACCAGCTCTTCCGCGGCGTTATAGAACTCGGAGCACAAGTTTAGTGCGCGCCATTGGAATTCGTAAAACTGCTGGTTTTGCTGGGACATATTCGCCCCTGGGGCTGGAGGGTATTGGTAGAAACCCGGGTGTTGGGTATTTGCTGGAGCTTTGGATGTACTTCCAGAAGACACTCGGGGTTTGCGATTGCGAGAGCCTCGGGGGCGACCGGGCTTGCGCTTCTCAGAACCATCCTCGGCGGTTGCAGCGGAGTTCTGGTCTTGCGGGGCTGCGGGCTGTCTGTAGTCTGTAGAGGCTGGAGCCGCGGTTGAGCTTGTGAGATGCAAGCATGTTAGAGCCGAAGATGAGTGCATCTAGATTGGGCAGTGCTTACCCAGAGGAGCTCGACTGGGGATGAGCAGCGTGGACGCGGGGAGAGGAATGGCTGCTCGCGGAGTGGTGGGGGTGCTCAAGCTCGTGGTGGTCGAGCTCGCCCTCTGCGGCCTCGTCGTCGTCGTCTTCCTCCTCCTCCTCTTCGCGGTGACCAGAGCCGGCGCCATTCGTCACGGGAGCATGGGGGTGAGGGGCGTAGTGCGAGTAGTGCTGGCGGGGAGACGGGTGAGACTGAGAGACGAAGGAGGCGTTCAGGGCGTGCGAGAGAGGTTGATAATATTGGGGGTTGTCCATGATTTTGCGAGGACTATATGATAAAAGGCCGGAGATGGGTGTAACGCTGCGAGCAGGGCAGGTATCGATGTCGACAACAGCAACCAAACCCCGTGGGAACGCCCCTCCGCCGCCCTTGTCTTTCAGCGCGCCGGGCCCTTCATCGCCCTCCGCCCGCCCTCTCGCGCCCATAGAAGGCCCAGGCAGGTGCGCGGCCGACGCTGTGTGGCCATCCGCCCCCCAACATCCCCCCTGCGCGCGGGATACAGAGCGCGAACATGCATCCGGCCCTCAGCCTCCCCAATTTGTGCCGAGGACGAAAACCCGAGTGGACACAGCCGCCGACGACCGAACAAGGTTGCATCGTCACAGCACGCGTCACGTAGCTGCGTCACCGCCCTCAGATTCGGAGGTCGGGGGTCGTGACGAGTCACTCGAGCCGCACACGCGCGCCGTGAAGCGCGGGCCCGGAGCCTCCAGTCCTTGGACTTGAACCGCCATCTCGGCCTCAGCCTCCCCTTTCTCTCTCTCTCTCCTCCTGCCGACACCTCGCTGCCGGTGTGGCTCATTTTTGCACCACGGACTTTACACCCTCCACGCCCTCGCGCAATCGTTCTCAGCCCGACAACACGCTCGGTACGAAAGCGCCACTGCTTTCTGCCATGTCCCAAGCCGCTGCGTTCTCCAGCCCAACGCCACCACCTGGGAGCCGGGCAATAGCCTCTCATGCCCTCAGAAGAGCGGGCCTCATTGAACATGATGCCCGCATGAGGGACGTGTCTGAGAAGCCTGGGCGCAAATCCGCTCCTAAGCTGAACGCTAAACCTCGACACCACAAGCCCCGTGGCGTCGACTCAGTCCTGGGCAAGCCCCAGGCGATCCTTTCACAAACGGTAAATACTCACATCCTCGTCCGTTTTCTTCATTCCCTTGTAGCAGAGGAGTATCCCCGTGGTGTGCCCCCCTCCAAGCTTATTTTTGGCTCTTGTCTTCAAACACGACGCTCACGAAGTTCATCTTCCTTCTGTATCCTTCAACTTTCATCTCCGGCTCGACCAACATCTAGCTCAGGATGCGGGTTTCACCTGCCGGTCCCAACGCCGCGGCTCTAGTGAAGAATGGAATCACCCAGGCCCGTCACAAACGCATCTCTTTGAACGGGGGTGCAATGACCGAGAAGGTGATCGACCTGTGGAGGCAGTGGGTGCAGAGGCGGTGGAACGCGGAGGCGAAATTCCTCAATCTAGAGGTGCGTGGTGTCTCTGTCGGTGGACGCTTCATCTAAAGGTCATTATTAGCGCATCGCTCAAGACGATTTTTTGCGGCAAAATCGTATGTCAGTGCCATTAAATGACTCGTCGTCGAAGGAGATGCAAGTCATATTCAAGCTTGCTAGCAAGCTGAGGCCTGAGGTGAGTGGCGTGGGATCGAGTTCTTGACCGTGCTGACCTTCGATTGAGGTGGAGACGATCTCACTAGCCCATAATGGCTTCGAAAGTGCTCGCAGCTTGACGACACTCGCCCACTATCTGCCCCACTTGCAAAACCTTTCGTTGGAAGGCAACAAGCTTGTGGGCTGGCGAGATTTGGACTTCATCTCTGGCAGGAGAGGGCGACTGGAGAAGCTACGAGAGCTAATCCTGGTTGGCAACCCAGTACGGGAATTGGAATACAAGAACGGGCGAGCTGCAGGATACAAAAGGTGCGTCTATGAATGTCGTGTACCGGTACCTATATTCATGTTACGTAGCGAAATCGTGAGGAGATTCTCTTCGCTCGAAATGCTCGATGGAGAGCCCGTCGCAAGGGTCGGCTTTGATGCGCCAGCTTCATCATCCTCGTCGGTCGCAGCCCCACGTACGATGTTGTCGACCTTTGCCTGGAATATGGAACCATCGTTCATCGCGGGTGTCGATGGGTCCGTCGTCAGCAACTTCTGCATGAAGTTCTTCCCTCTTTTCGACAATCAGCGTACCGCTCTTCTTGATCTTTATGCCCCCAACTCCACCTTCTCTTTCTCCGCAAACACATCTATCCCTCCACGCGCTCGCGCTCAGAACCTGCATTACTCCAAAGAGTATCCGCACAACCGGAATTTGGAGTGGTCCACGTGGTTATCTGGCGAGCATGGTGGCTCACGCAACCTCGACCGTGTCAACACACTTCCCAAGGTCACTCAATCGTTACATCTGGGGAACGAGGCTATCATCAGGACGTTCTCAATCATGCCTAGTACAAGGCACGACGTCGCTGGTTCCGCAGAGAAATTTTGTGTGGACGCATTCCCTGTCCAGCAGGGCGAGCAGACGAACTTGCTCGTGACCGTCCACGGTCAATTCGCCGAGTGTGAGTGGCCTTCTTTTGCGAACGGAACACTTGACATTGGCTGAACTTTTTGGTTTAGTGCCATCGCAGGGCCTCCGGTCATTCGATCGATCATTTGTACTCGCAATTGCGCCAGAAAGATCTCGGTGAGTGAATGCGCGCTACTTTTAGCTGATGTGAGAACTGAGAATTTGCCGGCACTAGTGCGAAACAATGCGGGTGGGATGTGATGATTCTCTCGGACCAACTCGTTGTCCGCGGATATTCGCTTCCAGAATCTTGGCGTCCGGGTCCGCTTCGGACGCAAGCAGGAGACGTCTTGCCGTCCAAACAATTGCAGCAAGCACTGGCACCGGTGGTGAGTCTCATCAGGCATCGCGCGCGCGCGTCTCGTGTAGATGGCAGATCAGGGGTGTATAACAGTGACTGACTGCTTCTGTGTAGCCTCCACCTCAACGGGGTATGATGCAGGAGATCATCCTGCGCACCCGCCTCAACCTGCAGTACGCCGAAGAATGCCTGAAGAACAATGACTGGGACATAGAACGAGCGATGGCAAACTTCGGACAGGTCAAGGTGGGTCGGCCCGCGCTCTGATCCGACTCGACGCTCGACACGGCGGCTGATGATTACGTTTTAGGCGACTCTGCCAGCCGACGCGTATTTGCCCCAAGATGCGTTCCTGCCTTGAGCTGTGCCGCGCTAAGCTTCGGATGGATATACCGGCGTGCGAGTCCGGACGCGCAATCGGGTCCCCTCGTGTTTCTTGATCGTTTTGCTGGACCAGACTCTTCACACATCCCCTAGTACTCCGCCGTCCCCCAATTTCGGGCTCTCATCATCGTCGACCCTGCACTATCACTCGCAATATATGTAACCTACAGCCCACGATTATCCAGACGCATCCCTGTTGACTGTCGCTCCTCGTTGTTATCTCGCTTGCCGCACACCGCACACACTTTTTCATGCATCACAGCAGTACTACGTCGCGCCCACCCCTCATATATCGATATATCTCACCGTATTCGGCATTTGCTCGCGGCCTGCCTAGACGACTCGCTGGGCGGAGTGCGTATCGCGTGCTGGTGCCAGAGACGGGGACGTTTAGATGGGATGTCCCTTAATTATGAGACTTCTAGCCGACAAGCGAGGGGTTGAAACTGGAGACTCGGGTGAACCAGGACAATGGTCGCGTGCGATTGAGCAAAGACTCGGAGGAAGGAACAAACACGGGCGAAGACGCCGAGGCCGGCGTGGGAAGAAGGCGGGGTGCCCAAACGGCGGCTACCCAGTGTTTGGCCGCCTGGTGGCCCAAGGTGTGCGATTCTTCCGAGGGAGGACAAATGAATGTCCTCGAACGGGGCGTCGCGCCTGCCGTGCCCGCTGTCGCATACGATGCGCGTGCGGGGCACGAGGCATGTAGCCGACTCGAGACGGCAGGCGTCGCCCCAGAGCATGGTAGACGCTGATGCGGCGTGGCTCGCGCCTCGTGTCCCGACGCCCGCATCCTCCCCGCGCCTCTCTTACTTATACCGCCCACGGGCACGAGCCCGCTCCCTATCCCCGCTCCCTCCCACCGCCCGCTTTTTTCCGCGCCTCCTTCCGTCTTCCCGTCTTCTGCTTGTACGACCACTCGACGCCTGCTTGGCACCTCACCCTCTCCACCCACCAGCTCCTTACCCCCGACGCTTCACGCTATACCCCGCTCCCAACCCAGCTCCCCATCCATCTACCGATGACGATGTCTACCCACCCCCGCGCGCGAAGACGCACCGAACGCGCCGCACTGGATGCGGCCCTTCTCGACGCGGCCGCCCATGCGGACGCAGCAGGTGTGCGCGCCGCCCTCGAGCGCGACGCAGACGTGAACGTAACCGACGACGCGACCGGCCACACTGCCGTCACATGCGCGATCGCCGGAGACAGGTGCGTCTCCGCCTTCCCCGGTGTCCCCCATGGCCCCGCGCACGATGCTGAGCGGGCCCGATCGCACAGCGCTTGGGAGGAGGTCGACGTGTCCGACGCGTCTTTTGCGCTCCCCCGCCGGCTGGACGTCCTCCGGACGCTGCTCCGGAGCGAGACGATGAGCCTGTACGCGCTCAACGCGCCCGCGCGCGGCGTGACGCCCCTCGGGCTTGCGGCGTGGTTGAACGTCCCGGATATGGTGCGCGTGCTACTCGAGGAAAGCCGGGGTTTGGTTGCTGTTGATGGTACCGACTCTCTCGGGGTGACGCCATTGATGTGTAAGTGGTTTACGCATCTTGATACGCGATGTTGGCTTACACGGGTATTCAGATGCTGCTCGTGACGGGGTTGTCGAGGTTGCATCGTTGCTGGTGCGCATATGCGTTGGTTTGAATGCGGAGTATCGATGGCTGAGGCTTCTTTTCCAGCTATCACATGGTGCGCGCCCGGATATCCGGGATACACATCATCGAACCGCAGTATATTACGCACTTCGTCACCCAAAGTTGCTTTGGCTGTGCGAAGCCTCAATGCGTAAGCAGAGGCTCCGTGAATACTTCGTGAGTACCTGACCCCCGGTGAAAGGAGTATCCAGTCTGATATCCTCAGCAGAATGGCAACAAGCGTCAGCTACACAACTTACCTCATCCTCACTCTGCATATGCCCAATCCTTCGTCTCATCACCCGTCGACTCGTCTCACTGGCCTGTACCGTCAGAATCTGTTCTGCCGAAGTCCACCACTGCTCTCGCCAATGCCGTCATCGCTGGTGATCTCTCCGCTGTACATCAAATCCTCTTCCCGCCTTCACATCGTCCATCTGTACAAGTCAATCGTCTGGATCAGCAAGGATGGGCACCCATCCACTATTGTGTATGCTCTATGAATCCCTCCGTGGAGATTCTCGACGCCCTCTTTCTCGCTGGCGCGGACACCAGCTTGTACACTACCTCGAAACATGGAACGCCCCTACATGACCTCGCACGCCAGGCCCCAGAACCCTCCAGCCCCTTTAACGCCGCAAGACTACACGTTTTCATCCACCACCTCGTTCGTGAGCTACGCGCCCCGTTAGCCGCGACCGACGAGAACGACGAGACGTGCCTCCACGTCGCTGCGGAGCACGGGCAGAGTATGGACGTGCTTCTAGCGCTCTTGGCGTGCGACTCTCACAACACTGTCCGACAGATGAAGAACGCGCGAGGGTGAGCCGTTCAGCCTAGCGCGTGCTGTACGTACGCGTCGACTAACGAATTTGTAGTCTGACGCCCCTCGATGTCGCACGGCCTGAGCTTCGGATGGCCTTTGGCCCCGAGGCGGAGCCGGCGCGGAGCAATTCGGTCGCGTCTTTCCGCACCATTCGTCCGTCAACTACTTCGTCAACCTCAACATCGTCGTTCCTCAGCCTCATGGCTGTACCCCAGTCAACCTCCCACCGCCCGCCATCCCGAATGGACATGTCTCCGCTGGGGGACGTCGACCCCCACATGCTCGCTCGTCGCATTCTGGAGAACCTTACAATGGTCACTCAAGAGTCCGCCGCAGCGACATCTCTTGAAGCTGCGGGCCTGCGCGATATGCTCGAGGAGTCGTCGCATTTGGGCCAGCTCTGGGTGCAGAGTATGCAGGCGCGCATCCAAGACGCTGCGTGTGACCTACGCGACGCGCGCTCGCGGTTCAAGGAGGTCGATAGCTTGTTGCAGTCTACGACCAGCGACCTTGAACACGCATTCGGCACGTTGTTCTCGGACCATCGCGATAGCACCGACCGCGCCCGGAGACGGACCGTTGACTCAGATTCCACAGCCGTCTCAAGCAGCGGCTCGTCACTTGGCCGGAAAACGCGGTCCATGTCCGATCTGCGCTCCTCTTCCGAGAGCGTCAAGAAGGTCCCTGGTGAGCTCCCGTCGCTCACGATCTCCGAGGAAGACGAATTCCCTTCGGGCCCCGCAAGCGCCATCGAGCTCCCCATGGACAAGCCCTCGTCCTTCTTCAACGCTCTGCTCTCGCCTGTTCCCCGGGAGCTGCTCCACAAGCCGAGCGAACAGTCCTTCGACTCCGCGCGGACCGCGTCCCCGGGACAGTACAAGAAGGACGGTGCAGCAAGCGGGACGGCGAAGCTCAAGGCGTGGTTCCGGAAGAAGCTCCGTTTCGAGCTCCCCGATCTGCTTAATGAGACCAAGATAGTCGCCCCCGGCGAGCAGTCTCCTCGGGCTTCGCCGTTTTCTCCAGCACGGGAGAAGCAGGCCGTGGCAGCCGCGGCTTCGAGTGCGGATGCGGACTTAGCGGTTGCGCGTCAAGTCGTACAGATCGTGTGTAGTGATTTATCACGGATCGAGGGTGGTATGAATGATGTACGTGCCATTCAGAAAGTCTCGCTGACATCGTTTCGCTGACACCAGTTTGCTTGCAGGCGGATCAACTCCTGGCGCTTGCGTCCAACCTGCTCTCGCAAACAGACCGCCGGCTGAAGGCTATCATCGTCGTAAGTGTAATGACAAGCCGCCTCATGCTTCATCTCATCTGTTCTGTCACAGAACCGCCGGAACATTCTTGAAAACTCAAGGTTATGCGAACTCGATGACTCCGAAGACCCGATGCTTGCCGCCCTTTCCACCCCTACACGCCCCGTCAACCATGACTGTGTTCCCTTCCCTATGACTCGTTCCCGCGCCGACAGTGGCTCCGACGGCTCGCTTCTGAGCCCTTCTTCAAGCCCACCCATCTCGGCCGGCTCGTCGATGATCTCCCTCGCGGACACGCTCATTGACTCCGACGACGATGACCTGCGGACAATCCGCCGGCTGCTTACACGCCGCGTCGAGGCCCGCACGGACGGCGCGTTTGACGAGGTCGAGAAGGCGATGTCGTGGTTGCGCATCGTGCAGGACACGCTCCGGACCCTCCGAAGGACGCAAGCCGCCTCGCTCCCCCTCGTGCTCGCCCAGTAGCGGCCGTCCCGTTCCTTCATCGGCGCGCTGCCAACACCCCTGTACATGTACAGCCTCATTCACCCCTCCCCTATCCTTCGGATCCATGGCTCGCCACCGAGGCCGCGGACATGTATACTGGAACACTCGCATCATGTTCCTCAGCACGCTCAAAATATTGTTGTAGTTTAGGCTTCACGCCCATGCATGACCCCCACTCACAGCTCACAATCACCCCAATCCCCCCACCTATCCATCCCGTCCTTCATGTCCCAGCGACGAACCATCTATCTATGTTGTATATATTACGAAACTGTAGAGTTAGCCCGCTCGCTCATGTCGCTTACGAACGCTCCCGTGCTCCGTCCTGCCGCTACGTTTGCCTCGGCTCTCCTCTCCACATCTCATCCGCTCCGTGCTCGCATCTCGTCGCCTCCTGCTCCTCTGTATCTAGCTGATTCTGCTGTCGATAGTTCATAGACCGCTTTTCGCGTTGCTCTCGCTGTACATAGCTTTCGCCCTTCACATAGTTCACCCATTTGTACTGTAGCTACATCGTAGACATGCATCACCTCTGGCTCAGGCCCATGACCAAACAGGTTTTTGCTGGTGCAGATGCACCGCATCATCTATCTTTTTGAGTGTGTGCGTGCTAGTCAGCAATGTATTGTGCATGTTCTAGTGGATAAGTTGGTTAGAAGAGACCATGCATTTGTACACACCGAGATGGGCGCTTTGCACCATACTCTCCGAGTGGTCCGCGGCCCGCGGTCGTGCGCTCGCCTTGCCTCAGTACTAGTACTTCAACGCAGCTCTGCTCATCCCTCTCGCATGCTCGCATCATAACATGGCTACTTCAGGACCGTTCAATGCGCCAGCAGTGGTCCTGGAAGGCTTCAAGGAGCGCGCGGAGTCGCTGGCCGTCCAAGGTACGTACCGCTCGCACCGTTACCCCGCATGCGTTCTGAACGCTCAGGCTAGGCGACAAGCTCTTTGTCGGCACTTCCATCGGAAATTTATACGTGTACTCTTTTGGAGAAGGAGGAGGTCCTGCGGAGCTCGCGGATACCAAGAAATCGTTGTGTCGGCGGAGTATAGACCAGATATCCTACGTCAAGGACGTCAACTCTCTGGTCATTCTATCCGGTGCGTCGTCTGATTGCCTGCGTGGAGGCTATGTGCTGAACGTCAGCTTGTCAGAAACCCTGCTTACTTTATTCCCCTACCCTTCGTTCACCCCACATACCCCGCTGGTGAAGACCAAGGGTGCCGTATGCTTCGCGGTACACACGTGTATCGAGTACTCCGGCGGACATGACGGAGGAGGATTGGGCTCTCCTGGGAAAGGCAAGGAAGTACCTTCGGTGGTCACCAAGCTGGCGGTGGGCTGCAAGCGCAAGATCGTGATATATTCGTGGAGGGACGGAGAGCCTCAGGAAGCTCAGGTGCGTATGCCTTCCGAACCTTGCTTTTGCGATCCACCAACCCTGTGTAGGAAATCGTTGCTCTTGCCCATTCACCGCGAGCCATCGCGTTTGTCAATGGGGAAACCCTGTGCTGGGGACATACTCCCTCGGACTACTGCCTCACCTCCCTGAAGACGTCCATAACCATCGATGTGACGACCCCTATCCCCACCGGAACGTCTGGAAGCAGTATTGGAGGCATGAGTCGCACCGCCCTCACCGGTCTGGGTGGATACATGACGTTGGGTCTCGGTGCGAAGGCTAAGCCTAACGTGATAAATGTGCGCGACGACGAGGCTCTCATCGCCAAAGACAGTGAGCTTTCAACGGTTCCTTAACAGGAGCGTGTACTCAAACTCGATGTACAGACACTGGCTTCGCCGTAGGCACAGAAGGGAAGACTGTCCGAAGCGATTCCATTGACTGGCCGGCATCACCAGAAGATCTCGGTCAGTGCCGCATTGGTTCGCATACAGTGATTTGCTGAACATCTCACTGTACAGCGATTGTCAAACCCTACGTGTTCTCCATTCTCCCATCTGGTTCGGTTCCCATCTCCCAGCTTCCAGGCTCGTCCACCGCCACCGCATCGACATTCGTGCCCTCACCGGTCATCGAGATCCGCTCTTCCCTATCATTTTCCCCCGTACAAACAATACCCTTCCCGCCAAGTTCCGAGGATACCCAGGCCACCACCGCAACACACACCGTACGCTTGCTCAGTCCATCGCCAGGATCGAAGTCTCCTCTGTTCGTCCTCACCACGCCTGTCGACCGCGTGGCAGCGACGGCAGCAGGTAGTGCGATTTGGTGCTTCCGTATGAAGCCATGGATCCAGCAGATCGATGAGCTCATTGACGCGGGCTGCTACGCTGACGCTTTATCGCTGCTGGAGTCTCTCGATGCTGCACTGATTGTGGACAAGGTCGGTCCTTCTCCCCCCACCTGATTGTATAGGTTGCTGATTGCGCTTGTTCATGTAGGAGAAACGACAGCGACAGGTTCGGGCCCTCCAGGCTGTCGATGACTTCCGCAACGCAAAGTACAACGAAGCCATCGACGCCTTCATCGAGCTAGACATCAACCCCGCCAAAGTGGTTGCCCTTTACCCGGAGAGCATCGCAGGCCGGTTATCCGTTCCCCGGGACGAGTGGATTCCGTTGTTTGGTGGACCGAGGCTGGTCAAAGTCGAATGCCCATCACCGCCGACTGCATCTACCGATGACGCCGCGAGCAAGGCCCAAGACCCAGAGGGCGTCTCCCAGAGTCCGGACACGTCCTCGCCTCGAGTTCCTACACCTTCTGGTTCCGTTCGTGGACTCAGCGCGTTCAAGGGTCTAGAGGGCCTCATGGGTGGTGCGAAGGACGACGACACCGCGTCTATCCGAAGCGTCAAACGTCCTCCAAAGCCGGGTACGTCCCTGCACCCGCGTGCTTGCACCCCACGCCCTATTGACTGCCGCCTTCCGGCCTGCAGACAACTTCCACCGCTCCATCGAGACCCTGATGCGTTACCTCTCCGACCGGCGGCCGAAGATCGCGGGTGCGCTCTCCGCATTCCACATCACGCCCACACAGTCGCACGAGATGCCAGTGCTGTCCGCGACGTCGACCGCGGACCTGCTCGCGCTGCCGAGCGCGCCGCTCTCGCAGCTCACACCCGAGGAGCTCGTGCGCTTCGCGCAGATCGTCGACACCGCGCTCTTCAAGTCGTACCTGCTCGTCCGCCCGGGGCTGCTGGGCCCGCTGTGTCGTGTGGGGTGGTGCGAGGTTTCCGAGGTGGAGGAACTGCTGAGGGAGCGTGAGGTGAGCGAGCAGGAATCAGTTTTGTTGCCGAGGGCGTGGCTGAAAAGTCATTTTCTCAGAAATATCAGGAGATGATTTATCTGTACGGCGGCAGGAAGATGCACAACAAGGCACTGGAGCTGCTCAAGCAGTGAGTGGATTCGTTTGTCGCATGTCGCATGTACTGACCACTGTGTGGTACAGGCTCAGCGAGAAGGAGACGGACATGCGCGACAAGCTGATGCCCACAGTGAACTACCTGCAGCGGCTGGGTCCTGAACACCTGGAGCAGATATTTGGGCACTCTCGCTGGGTCTTCGAGCAGGATCGCGATACCGCGTTCGAGGTCAGCTTGCGTTCTTGTTCAGGACCATGACCACATTAACAATGACGGCTACTCTAGATTTTCACCTCCGAAGAGGTTGAGCTTCCCAAAGAGCGCGTCGCGGACTTCTTGCAAAGCTTAGACATGTCAATATGCGCGCGGTTCATTGAATTTCTCATCGCCGAACGCGCAGAAACGTCTCAAGAGTTCCACGATCGCCTCGCCGAGCTGTATCTATGCATGACAATGAATGACAGGAGGCGTGGTGGTGATGGTGGGTGCCCTTCATCATGAAAATCGAGGTGTCGACCTCATTGCCTTCCTCGTGACAGCGTGGAAAGGCAGCTACGAGAAGCTTCTGCACTTCATCTCCGATACGAGCATCTACTCCCTCGATCGCCTGTTTGGCTTGCTCCCATCCGAAGGTTGGTCCTTCCATCCCTGATAACCCCCTCACCCTCAAACGCTTTCCCGTAGACCTCTTCGAAGCGAAGGCCATTCTTCTAGGTCGTCTCGGTCGGCACGACGCAGCGCTCGAAGTGTACGTCTACAAGCTCCAGGACTTCCCCAAAGCCGAGGACTATTGCAAGCGCATATATCAACCGCATTCGCCCACTGCCTCCGTTTTCCTCACCCTTCTCCGTATCTACCTCCTCCCCGGACCCGCCGCGCCTCCCGGTGGGGCAGCAACACTCCTCCCGCCTGCGCTCGCCCTCATCAGCCGACACTCCCCGCGTTTGGACCCGGTTGCCACGCTGGAGCTCCTACCACCACTGGTGACCGCACGTGATGTGGAGGCATTCCTGCTCGAGGCACTGCACGCGCCGCGGTTCGACACGCGCGTGGTGCGGCACCTGCAAAAGGCACGCGAAGAGCAAGTCGCCCGCAAGCTAATGGTACTGCAGTCGAAGCGTGTGCGGATCACGGAAAGTAGGATGTGAGTGGTGCCTGTAGAGGCTGTGACAGCTCGCCTTTACTGATGGAGTGTGTATAGATGCCCTCAATGCCACAAACGCATTGGGAACAGCGTCATAGCCGTGCACTCCCCACAGTGCGTGCCGTTCGTGCATGCACCCGTGTTGTCACTGATAAAATTTGTCCAGCGGTGAAGTGACACATTACCAGTGCCGCGAGTCTTTCGCTCGGAAGTTGAAGGAGACATGGGTTTGATGCGTCATAACACGATCAACCGCGACTCATTTCTTTCGGAAATGGATATCCATATGACTCCACACTTTCTACGGTATTACTCATACATCGACATCATGCAACCACGCTCGCTTTAATTGTCATCCGTTCTACTCGTTGATCTTGCGAACAATGTTCATCTCCTAAGAAAGCAAGGGTGTCAATGTGGGGTAACAGTCGGATATTTGCATGTCACTGACCTGGTAGTTGGTCGACTTGCCTGTCTTGTCGTTCTTGATGGAGAAGCGCTGAGACTGAGCGAACTCGGTGAGCTCTTCATAGCACATCACAACATCAATTGCACTCACGCCGTCCTCAGCGTCGAAAACGTTCTCGACGACGCCGGTGGAGTGAGCAACATTCTCCTCGCCGCCTTGTGAAATGTCAGCACAGATTCTGTACGCTACACAAAGAGATCTCACCTCCAATTGGGCGGTACTCGACCTTGTCGCCCTTGACGTAGTGGACCATGGTGATTATGTGGATGCGAGAGTGAATGCGAGAAGTCGTCGAGGGCGTGCAAGCGTTGGCGAGTCGGTGGTCGGATCCCCAGGGCTTTATAGCATTCGCTCGCCCTGCGCACATGCGGTCATCATTGCGTCAACGTCGCGCCCCGCCCGATCGCTCTCACCGAGCTCGCTTGCATTGCAGGCTCGTTCGCTGCCGCTCCTTTCTCTGCCGCGGTAGTGACGCAATGGCGGGAAGCCCGATCGCGCCTGCCGCGTCACGCATCCCAGCGAGAGCGTCCGTCAGGCGCTCCACCTTCGCGCTGCTTGGGCAGAGAATCGAACCCTCGGCGGGAGCGGCGAGAATGGTTGATGAAAGCCAGGGCGGGGAGAGACATCCAAGAGGTGAGCGCTTCTTCCATGGGCTCACACATCTGAGCTACCTACAGTACTATGCTCTTGTCAAACTGTCTTCTGGTACAGAGTTTTCGCCCTATCTGGTAGAGAGGTACAATGAATGCTGGAAAACCATCGCCTCGCGAGAACACGCACTTTGCTGTGCACGCCCTCTTCAGTCGCTCTCGCTTCGGTCTGCACGTCCCTTACCTCACGATAGCTCACGCGGACCGGAAGGTGACTCGTTTGTTTCCAGTTGGATATGTGTAACGCCTGGTATCTACTGGGCATTACTACCACCCTTCGGTGCCACTGATGCATGGCAGCCCAAAAAATCAATCGGCGTATCCACGAGCATTCCAGTACTCTGAGAACAATCACAACGACGATGCCTGTGTAGAGTCAACACTGCTGTGAATCGGTTCAGCGATCAACGAGACCTTCAGCCGGATGAACAAAGTGCTGTCAGTGAAAGTTGTTTGTAGGTAGAGCCTAGTACTACAAGTTTGAGGGTTTGCGAAAGGGCACGTGCGAAAAGCATTTCATTCAGGTGCTCGCTAAATGTAGATCCATCGCAACGTTGCAGGGACGGGAGCTAAGTCACTTTGCCGGAGTGGTTAACGGGATCGCCTGCTAAATGCATACAGCGGTTGGGCTTTGCCCGCGAGTGTTCGAATCGCTCAGGTGACGCTTTTTGCTGCAGGCGCCCAGCAACTGGGCGTCAAGGCATGCCACCAGTGTCGCGTAAGCTAGAATACCCGACTCCCGTGTCTGCTCGTATCGTCTCTTGATTCCCCACTCCTCCCCCTTCCCATCTCCACCTCCATCATCTCCGGCATGTCCGAGCACTTGAACCGTGAAGAGGAGGACCTTCTCCAGGTATTTTCATGCTCCTCGTACGTTTCACACTGGCAGTCTGACTCCGACCTCTGTGACAGTCTGCCCTTTCGACCGCATTTTCCCCTGCCGACTTGCCTCGCCAGCCTGCAGCCCCACTAGAAGCCACGCAGCCCCCCGCACCATCTGCACCAGCAGCCTCGCCCACCCCTGCACACCCGCCTCCCGCACCACTGGACGCCGTGCCGGCGGCCGAGTCGACAGAGGACGTGTGGAAGGCGGAGTATGAGCAGAACCTCGCGGAGTGGCGCCGGCAGAACGCAGAGCAGCGCGAGAAGGCGGAGCGGACGCGGGCGGAGTGGGAGGCCGTGCGCGAGCGCGAGCGCAGGGAGGGCAAGTCGCGGGAGAGCGTGTTGAGCCTCGGCGAGAGCCACGGCGGGTGGGAGACCCTCGGGGCGTCCGCCGCCGGCTCGTCCTCCTCGGCGCCGTTGGCGGAACCGGCGAAGCGTGAGGGGGCGAGCGGAGGGGCGAAGGGCGGGGAGCAGGGCAAAGAGGTGCGTGCGGGGACGGCTTCGCGCTTTCAGAAGCACTGACCGATGTGCTGTGCGCTGCAGACTGCGTCGACGACGACCCCCCACCCGCGCACGACAAGGTCGGCTCGAACCCGACCTCGGAGCCCGATTCGAAGCAGGACAAGTGGGACTCGATGGCGTCCTCGATGACCTCCTCGTTCCCCTCCATGTCTTTCCCCTCCGACCCTCACTCACCCCTCTCCTCGGGGGCGCGCCGTGACCTCGCGCCAGCTCCTGTGCACACGCACGGACACGGGCACCATCATGGGCACCACGAGCATCACGACATCGCACCCCGGCAAGAGGAGCGGCGGACGGCGACGGTTTCGGTGTTCGATTCGTCACTGAGCCCGAAGACGCGCGCGCTCGCGCTCGTCTCAAGCTTGGCCATCAACCTGCTCCTGCCGTTCGTGAACGGGGTCATGCTGGGGTTCGGGGAGATATTTGCTCGGAACGTGGTCGTGCAATGGTTGGGGTGGAAGATTCCGGGTACGGCGAGCACTGCGGGGTCAAGAGGGAGTGGGCGAGTTGCGTCGAGCGTAGGGTTTGGAAGGCGTTAGAGAAGAGCATATACCATCGATGCGGCACAGAAAGTATGCCGCAATGGATCACGTCATACCTCCTGCTGCATGCATAGAGACGAGCGTATGTGACGAACTCCTCGAGCAGATATATGGTAATGCATGTGCCAGTTAATCCAGGCCTAGGTAGGCAAGGTCCAGACTCCATATGGGGTATCGTTACGACATACTTTGCAATACGCCTTGTACGACCTCTTCCTGTCTCGCGAGCCACACCCCGAAAGCAGGGGTACGAAGCCATCGCTCGTAGAATTCACGCTGCTTCGTATTACTCTTGAAAGGTAGAGGCGAACCATGGGCTTTGAGCGAAGCGAAAAAGGCAGCATCTTGGAATGGCTTCAGTCGTGCGGCTGCGCTCAGATTGGAGCGTGACTCGCTCGGGGTGGGAATGAGTGTCTGGAGGTATCTTTGCAAAGGAACCAAGAGGGCGTTCGTCCGCGCAGTGAAGTGTTGACGCATTGCCTCCGACGCCGCACGTCCTACAAGCGTCTCGGTTAGAGGGGGTTGGTATTCCATGTGCAAAAAACGTACGAGCTGGTTCGGAACCTCGACATGCCTGTTCCAATTGCTTGAGCACAGCATGGTCTCGCGATGTGTATCGTTTATGTGTGGATTTCCAGCCGGGTGCGGGGCCAACCACGATTCCCGGCGACGCGGATCCGTTCTTCAGAGCGGGCTGGCTATTTATTCACGTTTTTAATAATAAAAACTCGCATCGAGAGAATCTTGTTACTCACGGCAGAGCGCGGCCAAGGCTAAGAATATTTGGCCAGTGCTTGCATGCTCTCTCGAAGAATGGATTTGTGACACCGATCAATAATCCGGAGGGCGGTGTCCGGGGATTCACCAGGGCAATATGGTCGGCGTCGTGTATTGTGAAAAACGGCCGGAAGTCTCCAGAGAGCGGTATCTGCAGATAGCATGAAGACGGACTCTGAAATAACCACATATCAAACTTCACGTACCGGGCGAATAAGATCTCGTAGCCACCACACCGCTGCACTTGACATGGCTGGTGATGGGCTGAATATCAACATGGGCTCGCTGAGAACCACACATTCCCATATGGACCACAAATGCGACACTACGGCTTCGAAGTGGTTGATCATAGGAAGATCCGAAGGGCATATGGACGCCAGAATCTGCAACGAGCAATCAGAGTCCGGTAAAAGTGCGAGTTGAAACCAGACAAACCTGTAGATCTGTTTCGTTCAAACGAGCTGGTGTAATGGCTGACATCGATTGTTGCGTCTCGATGGCCTCTGGTAGCTCGACATGAAGGACGGTGCCAAGGAACCCCAGTTCAGAAGTAGTTCCAGGAAGAGGATCTGACCTTCCTTCCAAAGGGTTAGATACCGTATTAAACCAACTAGGGCGACTCACCAGTTGGATATGTTGTGGCATGCCGCCTCCAGCATAGGACCGCCGTGAGTCATGAATGATGGTGCAAGCTTGGAAATTAGGGTATAGAAGAGGTTTGGGTATGCGAGATGTGATAGAACTACAATTGATGTCTAGCAAGTACCATGAGACGAGGATGCTTTCGTGATGTAAGATACCACTGACCTGTTGGTACCCTCGTTTTGACGAAGCATCCTTGGTTCGCGTGAAACAGGAGAATCCGTATATGAACCCGTCCAAAGTGGTGGGTCGAGGAGCGTCCGATTCCCGAGGTTCTCCGTCTACATGACTTCGAAGACGCATGCGGAATGAATGCGTCTGCGAACCCTCTTCAAAGTGAGCGGAGTCTGGGAAGGACGAAAAAGCACTGACATGCCGTCAGCCTCCGTTAGTATTTCCCAGAGCCGGGCGCATATACTCACATATTCTGCGCCTCAGCATGAGTGAGGCCCAAAGGAGGATACATGCTAGTGATCTTCGGTCCGACATCCAGGTCGAAGTTGACTGAGATGGGTCTTCAGAAACCGTGCCCATACACCAGAGAATGACCACGCACCGGTCACAAGGCTCAGAATCCACCGTCGTAGCTTCGCTACCTTCTCCGGGCTCATGGCAAGACCGTCCAGGCTCAGCCTAGTTCTGTGCATGGCGCTGCGAGGGATGCGCGGCAACGTTTGGGAGCGCGAGACTTTCCTCCTGGGTCCCGAGTCTAGCTTGGTGGGTGGGCCGGTGTAGGTGAGATTAGGCGAAGACGGCGACCTAAGTGATCCATTTGTATGGGGCCCAAGAGATACCGGGGACTCTATGGCTATGGTCAAGGCCGCAAGTGGGCGCGAGCGAGGTGGAGGGGATTCCAGTGGGTGCGAGAGGCTACTGAGCCCGATGTCGACCTCGTAGTCATTATCCACCGCTGTCATGACTGAAACAGTCATAAATCAGAGGCTGTAGCGGCGTGTGTGGTGGGGGGAGAAGCCAAGGTGAGGTGCGCTCCACGCGCATTGGGTCGGGAGGTGACATCGGCGTCGACGCACTTTGAGGCTCGTCTCCATTTCCGTCTGCGACTTCCATCACCTCGTTGCATCCTCTCTTGCTCTGCCGGCGCGTGGCTCTCTGTGGCGTCTCCCCCGCTCCTCACCTCGAACACGCCTTGTGTGGGGCCATAACATGGCAGGAGCCAATTACATGGGAGGCAAGAGGTGCGTACCGATGAATACTAGCTCTCCAGCGATCATCACATAGACTTCCCTGGCAACTCCTCCGTGATTCGTTCTGGCGCATGTGCGCGTGTTCATTGCGCGCATATCACGACAGGAACGCCGCGCGCGCGAGGGTGAAGGACGTCACCGGAAAGGCTCAGCGAGCACACTTCGGCAAGAAACGCTTTGAGATCTTCAGGACGGGTTTGGGACGCAGCGGGGTAGCTTCAGCAACCTCAAGCAACACCACTGCGAGAGGGCCTCCGGATATCAACCTCGCTCACGCGCGGCGATTGCGAGACATTTCGGGGGCTCAAAGGAGGGAAGAGGGAAGCATGAGACCACAACCGGCGACTGGGCAACCACGAACACCAACCTTCTCAGCGAGCGATCCACGCAAGAAGTCTAAGATTCTGAAACAGCTCGATGACGGAGATGGTGGGAGTTGTGCACATCGACCTTACGCCATTGGGGACTAATATCGGGCTTTGCTCCGCAGCAGCAGCACAGCGGGCACAGGTCGAAGAGATACTCTTGGTACCAGATTTACTTGGCCTTCCTTCCGTGAAATCCGAGGTGGAAAGGAGAACTTTATTCAGAGTCGATGAAAGTTCTCGGGCACCTGACAATGAGAGGACGACTCTTCTGAGATCGGTGAGTTATCTGTCCGTGTTGAGTGTTTGTCCACTAGCGCTCACCACCATGGTGCGTAGAAGTATACCGACTTCGTCTCCTCCCGAGATGGGTTGGAACACGCTCGGTTGGAGCCAGAATCTCCGGTATTCTTGTCTATCGACGATTCCAGCCCGGCTTTCATACCTATGAACATCGACACCAGTCCTCCGAATTCACCGCACGGATCTAGCTACTTCAAACAACGACCGTCAGAAGTTCCCTTTCCTGACAGATCTCTTGATGACTCTCTGCTGTCTCTACCGAACCGTGTTCGCTTCTACTCCCCACTGAAGGATGCGTATCGAGCAACATCTCCCCCTTCGCGCCTCTCCACTCCGTCATGGCAGTTCTCCCCTGGCAACAAAGGACTAACAGATAACGTTGCGGTCGGCTTCCAACCCACCTCTTTTCAGGATTTTGGAACCCCATCAAGTCCATCATGTTTGGAGCTACCGGGGCCATCACTCAATGCTCGATTCCTCTCGGATGTTCGTAGTCCCACTCATCTATCACCACTGCAAGGGTCGCTCCCTCCTTCTGATCAAAGTGTTCACTCGTGGCTTCTCGATGACGATGAACTTGGCGAAATACCTCAAGCGAGTTTCTCTTCGTTGAGTCGCGAGTCTTCATCTGGTGGAAACTCGACTGTCGGTCTGCCGCTTACCGCTCCACCGCTCATTTCGTTCGCGCCTGGGTCTGGTGATGTCTTTGACTTCTTCAGTCACCGGCAAGCAGTCCCTCTGTGCGACGTTGTTGGCGATTTGTTCGAAGAGGCTGATCCCTGGCTGGAGCTGGACTCAGTACTCGGATTACCTTCAATGGTCATGGAAGAAGATCGCGGACTTCATACAATTTTTATACAAGACAGGACAGGCGTTGGATTCTCTGTATCCGAACCACGCCCTCAGCTCCTTGAGGGTTCCGCTGCGGTGACATCCCTGGATATCGCGGTCAGAGACCGAGATGCGGCGATGCTCGTGAGCCTTTCACAGCACGACCACCAAGGTAGCGGCTGTTTTCCCCATCTCCCCCAAATTATAATTGCTACATGGTTTTCTTAGCTGTATTTGCTGAGCTCACGCCCGAGGACATTCCTACAAATCACTCCATGGAAAGCATTGTGTCCTCCTCCTCCTCCTCTCCCGCCAGTCTGGGCTCATCCCCCTCCTTCGCGTATGAGGACACGTTTGTTCCAGCACACGACGCCGCTGTGATTCTTCCTGATTGTATGGATTTGGACGTGAGTACCCCGCATTAGTTTGTTTGCTGCTTACGGCTCAATCTTTGTACTGTCAGTGCGTTAACCAGGTACCAGGGGCAGAGGCTGACGTTGACGAGGGAGCGGCACTGGCAGTGGCGACGGATAGTGGCAACGTAGTGCTGATTGACGGTCCATGTCTGTTTGACGATGATATTTCTCCGGGTTCGGAGGACGAGTGATTTTGCATTACACCGGGCATGCTTGTGTGAGCGACCGTGGCCTACGCACTACCATTATAGCAGCAGTACGCGCGAAAGCGTGCATTTCAGACAGGAAAAAAATGGCTAGATTACAGCGCACGTACAACGTTCAAGGACGACCTAGGCCTATACTAGCGCAGGGATATGGCCGAGAGCGTGGAGGCTATGTACTTTGGTTTCCCCTTGGCAGGGCATCCACATACGAAGATATACTTGTGCTCGTCGGGAGCTCCGAGTCGTATCGGCCTCAGTGGTACTGACATCAATCTTCGTCTACTAGTGTTTGAAGCCCAGCTAAGAGTATACTATATGGCCATCTATGAACCAATTTGAAAGTTGTATACGTAGTAGTAGCGCGTCTGATCTCTCCTGGTCCTGGTCCGTCTTTTGTCTCTCCCCCCGCCAATATTTAGCCCTATTATCTGTCTCCGTTTTCCATCTTTCTTGTTCAAGCCCCGCGCGGCGTGTCCCGGTGTTCTCGAGCCTGCTCGTTGCCTGTGTGCTGGCTTGCGTTGCATCGCGCACTAGTCTGAGTCTCCCATCGCGTACGGAGGGTTCACGTGCCGCTCCCTTCGGTCTGCGCTCGGTCCGGTATGCGCCTGCGGTCTTCGGTGGAGAGGGGTCGCCGGATTTTTTACCCCACTCGCCATGGCGCCGTTCTGGCCGGACGTCGACTCTGAGATATGAAGCTGTGTTCAAACCGCGAAGTTGTAAGGTCCGGTCCGGTCCTGGGCTTGCTCGTTGCGGGAGGCGAGGGATGTGATTGGCTGGGAACGCAAAGAGACGCGTGGAAGGGCAGACTGAGCAGGCGACCAGATCGTGCCCATTCCGGCGATCACTATACCAGAAACACATGCTACCCCTCTCTTCCCCGCACGACATTTAGGCCTGCGCCCGCGGTGGGCCGTACGCCGACTCTCCCCCATCACTCCTCTTCATCCACCCCCGTTTGCCTTGCCCATCATGTCTAAGGAGCTCAAGGTCTTCACACGCGAGGAAGTTGCTCAGGTATGCTGCCCTTTCCCTCCCTTCCTCATCTCTCCCACCTGCTCAATTACGCCTACCAGCACAACAAGGGGGATGATCTCGTACGTCTCACCCTCCCATCCCCTAGCGTCAGCATCTCACTCCTCCCTCCATGTGACCACAGTGGATCATTGTCGACACGAAGGTCTATGATGTCACTAAGTTTAAGGGCATGCATCCCGGCGGTATCTCGGTCTTCTTCGAATCTGACATCGGTGCGTGCTTCCTTTGTTGACCCTGGCACGTGCAACATGTGGCAAGAGCACTCACGCGACCTCTTGCATGCCCCCTCGTAACAGCTGGGCAAGACGCGACAGAAGCGTTCTACGGTCTTCACCGCCATGAAGTCCTCCTCAGGCCCCAGTACCAGCGTTTGATCATCGGTACTATTAAGGATGAAAAGCCGTCCATCGAGGGGAACGTTCCCGGAAAACTCAGCAAGGTTCCCTACGCAGAGGTCACCGGTTTCACCCCTGGCTTCCACAGCCCATACTATAAGGATGTGGGTACCCTAGAACGGCGACAAACTCAGACCGCGTCTGACGAGTGGTGTAGACTCACAGGAAGTTCCAAGCGGCAGTGCGCAAGTTTGTCGACGAGGTTGTGACTCCTGATGCCTTGGTGAGTGCATGTTGTCTATCGCGAAAGCGACACCCGTTCATGTGGTCTTGTGTTGCCAGGCGCGCGAGGATGATGGCAAGCGACCAAGTCCCAGCGTGATCAACGCCATGGCGTAAGTTCTACTCGTATGCTGAGGAGAGTGATGGAGGTTAAGCGCTTAAATAGCGAAACTGGCATTCTCGCCATGGCCATGGGCCCTGGAAAGCACTTGAAGGGCCGCACAATCCTGGGCGGTGTCATTCAGCCAGAGGAGGTTTGTCTCTCGCGTTCTCATGTGTCTGTCTTGGCTCACACACATCGCTCCAGTTCGATCGCTTCCACGAGCTCATCCTTGCTCAGGAGCTCACCCGTCCGAGCTGCCGTGGCTACCGTGATGGTCTCAACTCCGGTGCTACTATTGGCCTTCCTCCCGTCATCCACTTCGGTCGTCCAGAACTGCGCGATCGCGTCGTCGAGGAGGTGCTTTCGGGAAAGAAGTTCATGTCTCTTGCCATCTCCGAGGCCTTCGCGGGCTCGGATGTCGCCGGCTTGAACTGCACTGCAACCAAGACTCCCGATGGCAAGCATTGGATCATCAACGGCACGAAGAAGTGGATCACGAACGGCACGTTCTCCGACTAGTGAGTAAATGCACGTGAAAGTGCAGTTCCACGGCTGAGTGTATGCACAGTTTCACCGTAGGCTGCAAGACCGACAAGGGATTGACTGTCATTTTCGTTGAGCGCCAAGATGGCATCGAAACCAAGCCTATCAAAACTTCGTACTCATCAACAGCAGGAACGGCCTACATCACTTTCGAAAACATCAAGGTACCAGTGGAGAACACCCTTGGCCCTGAGGGTGGAGGAGTATTCGTCATCCTCAGCAACTTCAACCATGAGCGATGGGTCATGTGCTGCGCCGCTGCTCGGAACATGCGCCTCATCGTCGAGGAGTGCTTGAAGTGGGTGAACCAGCGGAAAGCGTTCGGCAAGCCTCTGCACTCGCAAGCGGTCATCCGACACAAGCTCGCGGACATGATCGCAAAGACTGAGGCCGCTCAACACTGGTTGGAGAACATCTCCTACCAGATGGAACACATGGACTACAAGCAGCAGGCGCAGCTCCTCGCCGGGTGAGTGTATCTGATTAGACAGTGGATTGCAGAATGACTTATGACCATGCACAGGCCCATTGGGTTGCTGAAGATGTTCATCACGCGTTCCGCGCAGGACATTGCGCGGGACGCCGTGCAGATCTTTGGTGGTCGTGGGATCACGAAGACGGGCATGGGCAAGCACATCGAACACGTGAGCATTATTCTCGCTCTCTTGCGCCGCGCACAGCCGTTGATGACGTCGTGTTCGTTTTTCAGTATCACAGGACCGTTCCCTTCGACTCTATTCTTGGTGGAGGTGGGTCTTCGCTCTTTTTTCTTGAAAGTAGCAACTGATCCATGTAATACTCCACAGCGGAGGATGTCCTGGGCGACCTTGGTGTGCGGCAGGCGATTAAGATGATGCCGAAGAACTCGAAGTTATAGTGGTCGCGCGTGTTACGACGGCTTATTCTAACTTACTCTACACGTTGTACTCTACCATAGCATTATTGGATTACAAGATGGACCGAGGCATGGCTGCTGTTGTATGTGCTCTGTTTACTGGGTGGGCGCCATATGGAGTGCTTGTTTCTGGCCCGAGGAAAGCGAGAAAGGCGTTGCAAGAAGCCGTGCAGTTCGTCGACTGGCGAGCTTCGCAGCGCGAGGCCGGAGCGGGATCGGTGCTTAGTCATCCAGCGCGCCAAAGAACCGCAAACAAGACGCGGCCAAGAGCGCCGTCGCTGTCGTCTTGTTCTCTCGGCTCTCTCTCTCCCCACCTCCACCTCCACCTCCGTTCTCTCGGCCTGACTCGCCGCATCGCATATTTCTGCATTGTAATCTGGTGTCGGTAGAGACAGTCTCGCGGCGACGCGCACCTGTATAACTCTACACTTGTAAGGTCCTGCCATTGCGGAGGCGTCATCTACTGTCATTGTCGTCCTGTATCTGACCACTTGTATCCTGTCGCACATGTGCTCGTCCTGTCATCTCTACACTGCACAACAAGCAGATTTTATACTCCTCCCCTTGCGCCTGTTGACTCGCTTCAACTCTTGCGACCCTCAGCGCCTCATCACCCTCTTGTGCACGCGCATACATTGAGTCGCCATGCCTCCTGCCGATGACGACTTCGACATCTATGGTGAAGACGATGGCTTTGGTTCCGTTAAGGTCGAGGCGGTAAGCGTGCTTGCCCTGATTCAGTAAGTGCGCGGTGCTGAACAATACCCCTAGCAGAATGACGACGACTACAACCCTGCTCAGGACGAAAACATTTCTACGCTGGCCCCTGGGCATTCGCCGGTAGTGGGCGAAAAACGTCTTCGAGAAGACGATGAATCCGAGCAGCCCCAGCCACAAGAAGCTGCGCAGAACGGGGACGGCGCGCAAGACGTCAAGTCCGAATCTCCTGTCCCCCAACCGTCGAATGGCGGCAACGCAGTCGCGAACGGCGCGCCCCCGAGTGGAACGGGTGCGGAGGGGATGGGCGGCGCAGGCCAGAACGATGCGCTCTATATCGGCGAACTGCAGTGGGTCTGTACTCGTGTTCTTCTCCTTTCCACCTCCTTTCCTCTACCCATGTATGCAGTATTTCTGAGACTATCCATGTGCTTGCCACGCACAACCTTCATATTTCACAGTGGACCACTGATGAGGATCTGCGGCAAGCCGCGCTCAACCTTGGCGTTATAATTGACCACAAGGACATCACGTTCTCGGAGCACAAGGTCAACGGAAAGAGCAAGGGGTGAGTCTTTAGTTGGTGTATGCGTACTCGTGTGTCTTACTGTGTTCAATGCATGTAGAATTGCGTATATCGAATGTCATAGCGCCGAAAACGCAACGCTACTAAAGAATTGGTTCGACAATAAGTACGTCAGTATCCTCAGGGCTACATGGCTGTGGACTTACGTCCATGACAGCGACTTCCAGAACCGTCGGCCCACTGCCAACTTCACCAACTCTGCGAATGGCAATCCGTTCCGGACACTGCCCAAAGGTGAGACTATACGGTTCCTCTGCAAAATGATGCTCACCCGCCAGTTCCATAGAACCTCCCCCGCGCGATCGCGCACATCAAAACAGCACACCCAACAACGTCGGCCGCGGCGGCGGTAACATGCGTGGCGGCATGAACAACATGGCTAACATGCGCGGAGGCATGATAGGAGGGGCCATGCGAGGCGGGATGCCCAACATGATGAACAACATGATGGGCGGCTTCCCGATGAACAACTTCGCGAACAACGTGGGAGGCAACTTCAACGGCGGGGGTGGGCGTGGCGGCGGCATGATCCCCCAAGGCCCGCGCATGATGCAGAACGGCGGTGGGGGCTTCACGCGCGGCGGCGGCATGATGAGCGGAATGGGTACGGCCATTTGATTCTCCGTGACAAGTTCGGATTTGCATGTTGACTCGCGTTTCTCTTCCTTTGCATGTCGTTCCCGCTCTCGTTGCACTCGCTATCCCTGTCGTTGCACTCGCTGTCGACTCTCAACTTCACGTCGCCGTCTCAATCGATCGATACTCGACGGCTCGTCCACAGGAAATATGGGCATGATGCAAATGGGCCGCGGCGGCTTCAACGGAGTGCAAGGCCACTTCAACCCGGCGTTCATGCAAGGCGGCGGCGCTGGCGGCGGCCAGTTCCAAGACGGCCCCAGAAAACGGTTCAAGATGGAGGGCAGCGGCTGATCGCCTTCGACCAAGCCCAGCTTTCTCCACAGACACACATCGAGCGGCTCCTCCGGGGCTGCTCTGGACGCGCTAACATCCTCACACGGGTTACTACGATGTACAACTCTTGCTCGTCCCTTCCCCGCCTTTAATGCCTCGGCCCTCCCAGCTGGACTTCTGCCACACGACCTCTTACGACGCCTTCAAGCACCTCCCCGACCCGTCTCAAGTATCCATCCCCACTCACCCGCCCCCACCTCCCGACGCAAACCCCCCTCCCCTCCACACCTGGCTCCCCTCGATTTCCCTCGCACTCCGCCTGTCCGCGCCGCTCTTAGTCACGATGTCTTGCTATCGCGCGTTGTTGTCGTCCACGTCCCTGTCGCCCGTCCATGTAGTATATACCGCCTACTGTTTGAACACTCCAGTTCCCCCGTGATACTCACGTAGTGATCCGTCAAAGCCTGAGTGTTGCGTGCCGATTCGCGAGCTTCGGAGGAGACCAGACGCACGACGCTCTGACAACTACGTAGGGGTCCATAGTATTGCCCTAGTATTCATATTACAATCAGACATATACATGCGCCGAGATATCGTGCGGGGTGTGCATTGTAGGGGATCGCTACCTAACGTCTACAGTATTCGACGGACAATGCAAGTGTATGCGGAGCAAGACGGGGACGATGAGATAACGGTAGAGGCTGGGGCCTATGTCTGAGTACAGCAGGAGGAGCAGGAGACATGGAGAACATGCGACGGGGAAGCCGGAGTAGCAGTGTGGGGAGCGTACAAGGACGATGCGTGGTGCGATGCGATTGAAGACGAGAGACGCATGAAGACGTAGGGTTGAGCGTCGATGGATTGTGGTAGAGGTGGGGCTTAACGTATGGTGTGAGTGAGGAACAGTGGGTTGAGTCCGAGACTACGAGTCATGGCGTCGTGCGGTGACCGGGAATAGATCGAGAGGGTTCTTTAATAGTGGCCGCGCTTCTCCTTCTCCTTCTTGCGCCGCCGTTTCTCCTCCTCGCGGCGGCGTTCCTCTTCTAGCGCAAGCTCGTCCTCCTTCTTGGCGAAGCGCGCGCTGAGAAGAAAAAAAGATGATGAGCAAGCGTGATGACAGGACGATGACGGACATGAATATACCTTCGGAGTTCCTCTTGCTCTACGGAGAACGCGTCCGCCTCCATGTCTTCGTCATCGCTGTATACGTCGTTATCCATGTATTGCGCCCGGTCCTTGCCAAACAACTTCCAGATCGTTTTACTGATGTCGTTGTCATCTTCCCCGCGATTCGGCGCAGGGCGTCGTCGGGCAGGAGGCGGAGAGGGACTCAAGGACAACTCGCGGCGCTGTTTCTTCGCCGGCGGAGGTTTGTCGCGGGCCGACGAAGATGCCTTGGAAGATGCCAAGGGACGAACACCGTTGGCAGAAGACGTAGTTTTGCCGCTGGGGTGTTTGGGTTTGGACACGGCCATGGCTTTCATGGATGAGCTGAGACCAGACTTGGAAGGGGGTGGTTTCTGAGACGATGACGCTCTGGGGGGAGGGGGTTTCTGGGACGATGGGGCCTTCAAGGAGAATGTACTTGGTGATGCAGAGCCGGCGGTGGCCTTGGGTTGGCTGGTGGCAGACGGACCGATGGCGGCGGGAGTGTTGGCTCGGGAGGTGGACGCAGAGGTGGACGCTTTCTTGGGCGGCGGCTCCTTCTTCGACTTGCCAAACCAATCGTTGAACTCCTTCGCTGAGTCACCGTCGAGGACCTTGGTTTGGCGCATCTTGGCACGGTCGGTGACAATCTCGTCGATGGTACGGGTGTCACGTTTGTTGGTGTTGAGCTTGATGAGCATGCTCGCCTCCGCGAAGAGCCGTTTCTTGATGTTCTTGTCCGGCGACGCCGCCGAAGACGACGACGGGGTCTTCATAACGTCGACCGCGCCACCCGGCAATACTCGTCGCCCTGCCTTGGTGTGTCCTCCACCACCGGTCCTCTTCGCCGCAGCTTTGCTTCCACGGAGCTCAGAGTCAAGCCGACGCTGCCGCTTCTCCTCGCGGGTGAGCATCCCGAAACCAGAGGGTGACTCATCGTCGTCCAGCCCCGAGTGCCGCCGCTTCGCCGCGCCTGAGAGGGGATATCCGTCCTTGCCCTTCCGGGGCCCGTACCTCATCGCATCGCGCTCCGACTCCTCGCGGGCCTTGGCCTCCTTCTCCCTGGCCTCCCGCTCGCGCGCCATCCGCTCCACCCGCTCCTGTTCGCGCTTCTGCTCCTCGAGACGCTTGAGGCGAAGTTTGGTCTCGAGCTCACGATCCCTGCGCTCCTTCTCCTCAATCGCCTTGCGCCGCTGCGCCTCCTTGCGCTCGCGCTCTGCGAGGGCGTCCTTGATGCCCTGCTGGGATTGCTCCGTTTGAGACTGAGAGAGCCGCATAAGCGCATTCCAGCTAGTGGTAGCCATGGTGGCGCGGCCTCGACGGGGTGACCGGACTTGCTTGAAAAACGTCAAAAAAGCCGAGAGGAGCAGGGAAGATGATGGAGAAAGGGCCGGGAAGAGATGGGAGGAGAGAGGGAGAGAATAAGAAGGTGGGGATGGTGGCCAAGACAGTCTAAGCGGACTCTGAGTCGTGTGTGCACCGGCCGTGTTTGGAGCTGTTTGTTGCAGCCACCTCACCCACCTCGGAGACCGTCGGCTGCAGGACACTCTCGCGTCCTTTCGTTCACCTCTCGCGTCCTTCTCCGGGCTCCGCCCTTCCTGCAATCTCAGGCTGCCGTTTTCAAGCCATCTCCGCTCGCCTGCGACGCATGTTATGCAAAGACCTCGACATTAGGGCAAGCTGCTGCAGCGGAAATTTGAAGGCGCCTCCCGCCCGAGTGAATCACAAGGCATTGTGCCTCACCCGCTTCTGCATTGTGTGTGCGGTCGGGAGGCTGGATTGCTGCAGGCGGACTTCAGCGTGGCAGCCCCTCCCCGCGAGCCGATCGATGTGAGTCATTGCCAGCCCACAAAGGCCGGGGCTATCTTTGCACATCCTCCGGGAACTGTGTCACCTCTCCGGTCGCGTGCCGACCGGCGATTATCAAAGCTCTTGCGCAACGCAGCAGGTACTCATTCGCAAGATTGTTGCATGCGCCAAATAGATATCTATTTCCTTCATTCAACACGGTATTGGAAAGACCTATCAAGTCGGCTGACGTGTTGAGGTGGGTTCCTGGCTTCTACCTTGAAGATAGCCACGAGAACATGGCAGAAACACTTTTGAATATCGGAGCCACGTGCGAGTGCGTTCGTCCTCGTACTGCTGCGCCGGGAGAATTGACTGACACGCCCGCTTGATTCGTCTAGATTTGTCGCAGGGAACGCCCTGTCTAAAGTAGACCCCTCGACTACAGGCCTCCATCCGGCATGGCGCAAGGCTGATGCACACGCCGTCTTTGGCACCTCATGGCTAGAGGGAGCCTCGGCCGAGGAAATCGCATACCGGCGCGTAGGGGTGGAGAATATAGCTACACTGAGAGCCTCGCTCCCAAATCCTCTGCCTGCTTCAATGAGGTATGCGCTACGCGCCCGCAACGAGCAGTTCGCTGACGTGAGCTACCGCGTGAAGGCATCCATGTTCGAACCCGAGCCTCGGGGCGCGTTCTTTGGAAGGCTGGTTGTGCGTTCCTGAGACGTTAGGCTTCGCCCAAGGCCCGGTCTCGTTTTCAAGCATCGGATGGCACATTCTTGCGCAAGATGCTTTGTCATTCCTACACCGCTTGCGCAGCATAGCTGCGATCTGCTACTGCTGCGACTGCTCCTATGTAAGCTTGTCACCGGAAGCACTGTCATATGCCGCATCTCGAAAGCTTTGGCCATGTGAGTGCCGGCCTCCTTTGATAGAAGGGCTGCCTAGGCAGGCTCGGCAAGACCCCGGCACTCATGCCAGATGGATCCGCTCCGGCCCAGCTTGGGGAAGTGTTCCCACTTCTGACTCGAAGCCGTCAGTGGACCTTCCAGTCGCCGTATCTTCGCTCATCTGACCTCCGACATGCTCAGGATCATGAAGACTGCGCAAGTCGCCCGTACTGTCGCGGTTATGTCAATCGACCGGAACCCTATCCACCTTCGGAACACGGATCCCCGACGAGGTCGATGGACAATACTATAAATGCGTCCCAACGGTCGGCGGCACAACCGAGCAGCAGCATGTCGCCATTCTTGTTTGTCTTTGGCTCTCTCTACACGCTAGCTATCCTCTCCACGAACACTAGTGCAGCGCCTTCCACTACATCATGTCGCTGCCTTCATGGTGACTCTTGTTGGCCCTCCGACTCCAACTTTGCCGCACTCGCCGCCCGAGTCTCGCAGCCTCTCCTTCATCCTGTTCCCCCCGCCCGCCCATGCTACGCCGACGATCCCAGTTCCGCTGCGTGCGCAGCAGTCACGAGTCATTGGACGGATGGCGTTTGGCGTTCGGACCACAGCGGGGCGATGCAAGCTCCCAATTACGAGACATTCACCTTTCCCAACGGCACGATCGAAGCTTGCTACATCAACACCACTCTGGGTGTGCCTTGTGGACAGGGCAGCGTATCTGTCATCGGCGTTGATGCGCGAGAACCTGCCGACGTTCAGGCTGCCATCAAGTTCGCTGCGCAGCACAATTTGAGGCTCGCCGTGAAAAGCACTGGGTGAGTTTCCCGGGCATATTGGACGGTGGGCGCGAGCTGACCGATCGCTGACCACAGGCATGACTACCTTGGACGAAGCAACGGTAGAAGTTCTTTCCTTCTGTGGACTCACAACATGAAGAACATCACCATCCATCCTACCTTCACTCCCGCTGGCGCACCCAAAAACGAGACCTACGACTTCGGTGCGTCCATCTCAGTCTCGCACCAACACAGTACATGAACTCATTTTCCCCAGCTATCACACTTCAATCCGGGGTACAGTGGTTTGAAGCATACAATGCCGTCACGGCTGTAAATCGCACCATCGTCGGTGGTGCCTCCCCAGGCGGGTCCGTCGGAGCTGCGAGCGGTTGGCTTCTCGGAGGCGGCCACAGCGCTTTATCGCCGTCTTACGGTTTAGGTGCGCCGTTTTTCCTCCCTTCGATCCCCCTGTTCTTCCGTAGAAATCCCGCGCCGACCTTGATCCCGCCTTTCCCGCAGGCGTCGACAACACGCTCGAAATCACAGCCGTCACCGCCGACGGAGTGCTCGTTACTGCGTCCGCGTACCGGCACTCGGATCTCTTCTGGGCTCTCCGTGGGGGCGGCGGCGGTTCCTTTGCCGTCGTTCTCTCTGTGACGTACCGCACGCATCCCGCCGTCCCCGCCGTAGGCGTGTTTCTCACCGCATCGAGCAACACCTCCGTCCCGAACCCGGCTCTGCGCAGCGCCACCACCGAACTCGTGCGCCTGAGCCCCGCGCTGACCAACGCGGGATGGGGCGGGTACGCAGACTTGCAGCATTCCGGTTCGACCTGGGAGCTCACGCTCTTCGCCATCGTGCCGAACGTCTCGTGGGCGACCGCCAACGCGAGCATGGAGCCCTTGCTCTCTTTCGTCCGCGGCCTCGCGAGCAACTCCACCGGGGATGGGGGACTGACGGTGCTCATCGCGGAAACCTTGCCGTTCGGCAGCTGGGCGGAGTGGTACGACGCGCTGGGCTTCAACAGCACGAACTCGGAGACGTCGAGCGAGGTCGGGGTGAACGTGGAGCTCGGCTCGCGCCTGATCCCCCGGTCCCTTGTCGAAGGCGAGCCCGAGCTCGTGGCGGACACGCTGCTCGGTCTGGGTGTGGGGTTCCTATACTAGTACGTCCGTCCGTCTTGCTTGTTCTCATCTGCGCGTTTCACTTATGGCTGTGGTCAGCCTCGTCACTCCCGGTGGTGAAGCTGCGAGCTTGGGCGACCATGCTGCGGGTGTGAACCCGGCTTGGCGGCATGCCGTTGCGCACGTTGTTATCGGTACATCGTGGGCCGAAGGTACGAGCGAGGCGGACATCGACGTCCTTCGTGCTGCACTGGAAAGCGACACTGCGAAGCTACGATCCCTGGCTCCGGATTCGGGCTGCTACTTCAATGAGGTACGTAAATCATGCACTGCTGGGTGAACTCTTTTCACCTTTTGTGATTTCAATGCAGGCATCGCGCTTCGAGCCTAACTTCCAGCAGGCGTTCTTTGGCTCGAACTACCCTGTACTGAAAAGAATCAAGGCGAAGTATGACCCCAACGATCTGTTCATCGTCACAAAGGGAGTGGGTTCGGAGGACTGGGATGACTCTTTGACTTGTCGCCTGTAAATGAAACTTCTCGGGGTAGCATTCGGAGAATAACGGGTCCTAAGCCTCTTGGCAGTAGGAGTGGCAAGAGAGTACGTCGAGCTACTTGATCTATGATACTCAAGTCGACTTTTCTTTAGCATCTGCGAGTTCTAATCTGTTCATGCTAGACCTACGCATAAACAGCTCTACCCTACCATTACAATATGCACTCACGGTTCACGACCAACGAAGCTGCCCGTCCAGCAGCGTCTCTTAGGGTGTGGCGCGCAAAACACCCAATCTGAAACCTTCATGTCTCCGAGCCGCACCATCGACGCCTGGTACCTGCACACTGCTGCGCTCGGCGTGCAGGCTGTCGTCGGCGGCGGACGTTCAGGTGGCAGTATTACACGTCGCGGCTGAGCATAACCTGAAGCTCGTTGTCAAGAGTAGCGGGTGAGTGCTTACCATCCACTGCGTATCTCGGATGCCCCACAAAAAGCTACCGCACTTCAGTCTAGCGTATCACGGTCCGAGGCCTCCAGTGCCCCGTCGCGGCCGTTAACCGCACCGTCTCACCAAATCGGCGGTAGCACGTGTCGGGCTCCTCGCCGTGAGCTCGGGTTCGCGGCGCCCTCTCCCCGAGCTGGTGGTACTTGCGGCCTTCGTACGCCGCGTACGTCCCTTCCTTCCCCGCACGCCGAACTGCCACCTACCCCGCACTTCTCCCCGGCGTTCCGTTTGACTTTAGCCGTCGACGACGACCCGCTCGAGGGTCGAGATCACCGCGATCGCGAGCGGCACCGAGCCCACCACGTCCGGACTCCGCAAGTTCTGGGCGCTCCGCGGCGGCGGCTCGGCGTACGCCCGCTCGCCCGCTCATCCGTTGGCGCGTTCCTCGCCTTCGGCCGCTCCCGACAGCACCACGGCGCGCGCAGGCGGCGCTCTTCGGAGCGACGCCTGCTGAGGCGGGAGCGGTGCAACGCGCTCGGGTGCATCCTTCCCACTCACTGACTCGGCGGCTCTTGGCGGTCGGCCTGCGGCCGCGCAGTGGCACGCACGGTTGCAACGCTTTGCAACGCGTGGTTGGCACGGGCGCGGGACCCTGGAGCCTAGGCGCGTTGCCGACACGGACGCCCGGCCGGGTCCGGCTCTAGAGTGTAGTGCTGACCGCGGTCCACGACGATATTTTTCAGCCTTGGTGCGCGCCAGGTGATGGCGGGGTGAGGTTTGAACGTTTGAACCATGCATACCAGGGCGGCGGCCGCGCGGATGGAGGGAGAGCGCACTACTTAGTGCGGGTGTTACTACAACACCGACCGCGTCTTGCACAGGGATCCAAACACCAGTCGAGAAGAAAGGCGTCGATAGAGCCTCGCCCTTGTCTGCCCCCCTCGCATCAGCCGACAGTGCGAGACCGACATACGCCCACCGTGCGTACCAAAGCCAGTGCATGGCATCCTCCGCAGTCTACGCAAGAAAACGTCATATTGCTCGGTGATATCGATACAGGGTGATGTCGTCGCGTGCTGCCGTATATAACCATTCTATCCGAAAGAAGAGACCAAACGCGACGAAAGCGGCGGAAAGTGGGAGGGGAGGGGAGGGGAAGGAGGTCGTGCAAAAACGCCCGAGTATAAGTAACGAACACTGCACGGCCTGCTTTTTGAGGTCCGCGGGGAGCCTCTTCTGGTCTACCGGGAGACGGACAGCCCGCTCGTTAAAAGTCGTAAAGGGTTCGTGAAGGTTCCGTGCGTGCGCAGAATACATATATGTATGTGAATCTAGCACCGCACGCACCTCGCATGGGGTGCTCACGAGCTCCGCGCGTCCGACGTGTCCTTCTCGGGGAGGAGCGTCGCGACGAAGAGCGCGACGCACGTGACGAGCGCGAGGACGAGGTAGACGAAGTGGCCGCCCATAAGGTGGTGCTCCTTGTCGATCGAGAGCGAGAAGAGCGAGTTGGCGGTCGCGGGCCCGACGGCGCGCATGACGGAGACCATCATCTGCGCCATGCCGTTCACCGTGCCGAGCGAGGCCCGGTTCGGCGACGAGGAGGTGATGAAGATGAACACGCAGCCTGCGGTATGCGCCCGTCCTCAGTCGCGGCGGAAGAGGCTCGGACTCGGAAAGGAGCACGCACCGTACGAGAAGTTGATGATGATGGACAGCAGGGCCTGGCCTAAAGCGAGCGCCCAGACACGGTCGCTGAGGCCCTCGACGCGCGCGAGCGCGTTGATGAACGGGAACATGGCGAACACGGGCACGACGCTCGCGATGCCGGTCATGTACACGCGCTTCGTGCCGAAGCGGTCGTGGATCCGGCGGAAGAGGAAGATCTGCAGCCCCCCGTTGATGATCCCGTACACGGAGAGGATGTACCCGATCGCCTGCGGGTCCATCCCGAGCCCCCCGAGCGCGATCGGGGTCGAGTAGAACACCGGCTGGAGGGCGCGCAGGCTGATGTCGACGACGGCGAGGAACGCGTAGTTGCCGGCCGCGATGAGCACCTTGGGCGTCAGCAGGCGGCCCACGGGCAGGGGGCGCTCCGCGTCGTCGTCTGCCGTGGCCTTGATCGTCAACGCTGGGGCCGCGTTCTGCTCGACAGCGGCTTCGCGCGGCGCCCTGCGCAGGAGCTCACGGACCGACACTGGGCTTCTCACCGTCTAGAGGTGAGACGAGGCGATGATCAGGGACCGCGTCTCTTCCCCCCACGAAGGCGGGTGGAGCGACGCACCTCTTTGAGGAAGAAGAAGGTCGTGAGGCACGCGCAGAGCGAGAATGTCGCGGGGATAGCGCATGCGAGGAAGTACGGATACGCTTTGAAGAACTCGGATTCTCCGAACACTGAAGGATACCGCTCCGCGGGCCGAGAGAGCGAGCCGCCGATAATGGGACTGCAATGGCGAGTGAGCCTCAAATCGGGGGGATCTGCGCATATACGCACCCCAAAGTCGCCCCGGTAGACCAAGCGATTGGCATGAAAGCGTACGCCTGTGCAATGTTGCTTGGGTCCGTGATCTCGGCGAGCATGCTCTTCATGACCCCGATGTTGCCGTTAAGGGCGCCATTCAGACTACGACTGCTGGAGAATGAGCGGGGAGAGGCGGAGAGGGAAGAGTTCGTACTACGGACCTGACCACAGCACCCCAGAATGTCTTCGAGAGCCCGAAGCAATACATGGAGAGCGAGAGACCCATCAAACCTGTCATGATCACGGGCTTGCGCCCAATGTGATCTGATATCCTACTCCAGTGCAAGACGGTAAGCGCTTGGGTTGCAAAGAAGATAGATTGCTACAGAGGTTGTGTCAGAAATCGAGCATCAGCAACATAGACGGTCAAGAAGCCATTAGAGCAGCGTGGGCGCATCATGCACGGTGCATAACGCGCGCATATAGCCACTGTGGCCCGCCGCGAACGCCGTACAAACGCGCGAGCGCGCAAGAAGAACGATGGAAGATTACGGACCATGACGCCGACGTAGTAAGCCACCTTCGTTTCGTCTCCGTGCGTGATCCCAATGTTCCGGATGAGCTGCGCCCCGAGTGAGCGGAAAGGTGACACGCGAAGGAAAACGCCGCTGCGTTCGCACCTCAGGAGCAAAAGGATAGATGACTTGGCTCGTGAGCGGCTCCGCGAGCTGGAGGATGAGAATGATGGTGAACTGCCCCCAAGGGATGGTCGAGGGCTTGTTGCGATGCTGCTCTCCGGCGAGCAGCGGAGTCTCTTCGTCCGAGTCTCGGGGTCGTCCTGCAGAGGTCATCGTGGAGGGCGTGGGGAGGAAGGAAGGGGGGGCGCGGGGGCGGGAGGAAGGAAGAGGGAAGGGGCGGGGCGCAATCCGCGGCGGCTTGGACGGTTATACAGAGGCAGACGGGCAGGTCGGCATGACTCAAGGGAAGGCGCAGATTACCTAAATGAACGCCAGTTTCGTCGATGGCTCCCGCCGTCGCGCTGGCCCTGGGTGAAGGTCCCGCCGCGTTTGCCGGAGTGCCGCACTGGGGGCGCGCGGGCTGAGTCGCTTCGGTAGCAAGCTCCGTGGATGAGGGAGATCAGCATGTTATTCAGGTGGGCATTGTCGAGTGTCGGGAGAGGGAGGAGGAGAGGGAGGGTGCGAGTGAGTCAATCTCGCACTTCACGTGTCTTGTTGGGCGAGACACACGCTGACGTTATAGCCCATCAGAGGTTCTGCTCGTGTCCTCCAATCTTTGCTTGCAGTGGCTCGAAGCCGGCTGGCGGCCTCCCATCGGTCCGACGGTCCGACTGCATGGCGCTTAGGCGAGCGCTCTAGCACTGGCAGCTCGCACTTGTCCCGCACATCGACGCTCGTCCGCTCAGTCAGCAATCGCTGAGCAACCATATGCCACGGTATGTCTTTTGCGTTTTGAAACTTTTCAGGGGTTGACCCCTTGTCGTTCTGGAACTTGTCCCAGAGCTGCGAAAGCTCAATACTCATCATCCCTGTGTCCGAATGGCAATCTCTCCATTCTGCCCAACAGCTCATGGCGTCCACTCTTTGGCAGTGCCCCCAACCTTCATGCTGCACTCAGAACCCACCGGATGTGGACCGCCGGGGGGAGCTTGAGATGATTTGAATGCAGGTTCGGCTGCAATACTTATGAATCGCGTGTCCTTCGACCGCTTCAAGATGGTCGGTGATGGCCACCGCGAAGAGTGGTTTATGGTTCGTCCCGGCAGCTTTTTGCAGCACGGGCAGAAGCGGGTTGACCAGCGGTGTTGCAGGCTTCTCGGCGGCAGGTCTGGGAACACGTCAGGATTCCTGTGCCGGCCCTTTCACGAACTTGTATGAGGTTTACGAACTTCGAGCGATAGGCAGTCGCGTAGCAAGCCCCCTCCGGCACCTTTTCTCCTCCCCGCTTCCCTGCCATGTCCCCACCTCTCGGCGTCGCTTCCAAACCGCGCCTCCTGACGTCAGCAGTGCAGTAGACCGCTGCCGCCGGCTATGCTTCCTTCTCCGGAGGCCCACCGTCCGGCGTTTCAACACCTTCGACTTCCTCGCCTGCGAAATGCTCTCATGCACACGGCCGTTTTGGTTTTCTCGCGCCGGTGAGAACAAGAAAGTATCCCCCGACCTCCGCCTGCGTGCTCACCGCCGATCGAGAAGCGCACGTACTAGGTTCTTCGGGGCGCGCCCAGGCGCTCCGGAATGTCCCGCGGAGCACTCCTCCGGGGAGCGACCAAGTTGATAATCAAGCTAGCGGCAGGTATAGATATCGTCGAAGGTCCACAGGCCGTCATATAATGCCACTTACGACTGCCGAAAAAGATAGGTGAGTCCCGCGACAGATCCCTACCATTGGTCGAACCGCCCCACCGCAATCTTGCCTCAAAAGAAGCATATTGACCGTTTGTCCAGGCACGCCAGCACCAGGAGGTTAGATCGCACTCCTCAGTTTGGCGGGCGAACACAAAGGGGCTCCGACGCGGTTCGTGGTCCCCGCCGACGGGGTTATGGGTGTCGTCCGGCCCCATGAGCTGTGCGCGCGAGGCCACCGCCTCCCGCTTTCAGATCGACGGGCTGTACCTCGTGGGCCGTGTTGCTCGAGGCAATCACCGTGACCCCTAGGCCTCAACGTTCAACACTTCACTCAACGCAGGGCACCTGACGATCGGTTGGCCCCCTACCGAGCACCGAGCACCTCGGGGTGATGCTTCCGCGTTTGTGGGTCCCCCGGGCCGTCGCCCCACCACCTCCGTCAGCGTCCCGCACGACCCACACGGGTTTCGACAGCCTCGACAGATCCTGACGGCCCCCGACTGTGGCGCATCGCGCTGACCCCCGTTCGGTACTTTGGATCTTTCCCAGGGGCTCGCCACAGGCCCCCGCCCGAATCGTTTCGCGCGCGCGCGCCGGGACAACGCGTCGAGGCTTTCGCCAAACGGCGGAGGCCTTGGGATTCTACCCTGCCTTGCGGCTCGAGGCCGCGGGCGCGTCCGGGCTCCGTCGTTTCACCTCCCCGGGGGACGCCAGAAGGCGGATCGGAAGACGTGTCGAGACCGTCGCTCGCGTGGTGCACAGTCAATGTCCGTCTCTCCTCGAACGGGTTTACGACGTGCTCGATTTCCTGGATCCACAGAGGGGCTGTGTACGAGCTAGGACGAGCGGGATGGCGAAAGGGGCGGCGGAGAGGGGGATATCGTAGATTGGCAGGACGGAACGTGGCTGTGGCTCGCGAGCTGGACATGGTTTTCCCCACGTCCTCGACTGGGCTCGCACGCGCCGTCCGCGTGCACGGTCGGAGAGGAGGGATGCCAGACCGGGCGGCATGCCGCGATCAGTGCGGGCGGCAGAGGCGCAGGGTCCGGGCGGCAAGCGTGGATAGAAGCACCTCAGATGACGTACACTTGGCGCCCGCGCGCCCCAGGAAGCCAGCCGATCGCTGCTTCCTCCACAACATCGAATATTGATCTCGCCTCGAATACTTGCGCGAGCGGGAGTCGCTCCGACCTGCACGCGCGGGGGACAAGCTCTCGTCACAGACCCTTACGCTCGTGCCCGGTGCGCTCGGGGACGATACGGCGTCCGGCGCTCGCCCTCACTTCCCGACGGCGCGCAGCGCGAGAGAACAACGTCGTGCGCGCTACGGGCCGGCCCAGAGGCTTCGTAGGCACGTCCCAGCCAGCCAGACGAGGTGCGAGGCTCTGGCTGGCGCGCGCGCGAGATCCGATGCACCGGGGGTGCAGTCAACGGGACGACATCCGACCGATGGACGTTGCGGGTGATTCCTGCGGTCGAATTTGACGGGTCACATCCGGTCGCGCATCCTGACGGTTTACCCGGCAGGGGGAAAAGCGGTGCAGCAAAATACGAGGCTGAAATTCGAGCGGGTGGCTGCCGTCGGATATTGAATATTGAATATTGAATTCTACTCGCTAAACACGCCAGGCCACACCCGGCGCTCCCCTCGTGTGTGCACCTGCGAGATGGCAAAGCGTAGTGGGTGCGTTCGTGCGGCACGCAATCGCTTACATGAAGTTGGTCCGATCCGACGTCGGCTCGACCGATCGCGCGCTATCGTGGCCCTCTGACCGCGAGGGCTGGCACTTGATTCTGGCTCTTGTCGCAGACGTGAAGTGAGTCGCTTGCTAATCTGCGTGTGCTTACTGGGGTAAACGCGTATGTCTGCTTGCTCGTCGTCGTGCAGATGGAGGGCGCGACGCCCAATTTCCGGCAGACTTCAGCGAGAGGGAACTCACCGACGCTAACGGCGCGCGCGGGCCGCCCCGCCGAGGACCGGCCGGCTGGCCGGGGGGTCGCCGGAAGCTCCGGGGCGGGCGGCTAGAGAGTGGCCGAGTCCGCGCCGGGACACGGCAGCTGTGCGAGCTGGCCTTCGTCCTACTCTCCGCCTCTTGCGCGCGGCAAGCGGGCGTGGATGGCGGGGGCGACCTGGTGCGGTATATTGATCAGGCTAGTCGCGGCGAGCAGTGCCGCCAGTCAATATCCCGTTGGCCGGCCATCAGCCCTGGAGAGCCGCCGACCGGTAGCGACGATGGTCCAGCATCAGCCATGCACACGCGCCTTCGTCTTCGCGCTATAATACCGCCCGCTTCTCTTCTCCTCCTCTCCTCCTCCCCTCCCCTCTCCCCAGTCGTCTGCGCCCTCTCCCGACGCTCCGACGCCCCCGTCTCCCCCCCCCCTCTCCTCCGTCTCTTCCCCCAACGCGCACCCCAAGACTGCATACCGGCCCATAATTCCTCGCCCTCTTCAAGGCCCCCAGCCCCTTTCTGCTTTCCTCCGGTCCTCCTCCCCTCGCTTGCTCCCGCCAAAACACGCCCCCCAGCCCCGATGGCGTGCACTCTCTCATCCACCGCCACCCTCTTCGCCGAGTCTTCCTCGTCCGCATGCCGGAATACGATCACCATCCCGCTGAACATGACCCCCGCACGGACATTCAAGAGATCTCTGTCGCGCGCCTCCCCCCGCGCCGCTCCCTCACCCGCACCGCGAGCGTCGTCTGGCGCGGAGTCCGTGCCCCCCCACATCTCGCTCGCGACATGGCACATGTCGTCCTACTACGAGTCCTTCCCGTGCGCGATCCCCTCCGATCAGCTGCTCGCCTGCCTCCAGGGCTCCCCGTCCTCGACGCCGTCCTCCCCCGCGTCGCCGCGCCAGTTCGGGCTGCCGCCGTCGACGGACGACGTGCTGCTCTCGCCGCGGGGACTGAAGGGCAAGGGCGTCGCGCTCGGGGCGGACGAGGACGAGGAGATGGAGGACGCCCCGAGGACACGCGCGAAGCAGCAGCTCTCGCCCATCGGCGCGCAGCGGCCCAGCTTCGAGCCCACGTCCCGCCCGAGTCCGACAGGCACCTTCCCCACCGTCCAGATTCAGTTGCCAGGACGGCCGGGCCCCGGCCCGGTCCGACGACCCTCCCCTCCCGCCTCCCGCGCTTCTGCCCCCTTCCCCGCCCCCAAGGCTGCAGCAGTCTCTGCCGCCCCGCCAGGATGCCGTCCGCACACCGTCTCCTCCGTCTCACCCTCGTCTAGTCCGCTCGCGGCCGAGCGCCAGCCGGCTCCCTTTCTGCCGCCTGGTCTGCGGTCACCAGATGCGCCGCACGTGACCGCGGACGGCTTTCGCGTGCAACGTCCGCCACATGTACCGAGGGGCGATGAGCAGGCGAGCGACCTTGACGCGTTCGAGCGTCGCTTCGTCGCCTTGCCTCGCGACCGTGCCAGCATCCCCACCGCCCGCCGCAGGCGGGGGCCTTACGCGCGCAAGATCAAGGAGCACGAATCAACCGGCCCTGGCACGCAGTTTGGGTGAGTAACCCTCTCCCTCCCTCTCGTCCCCATGTGGGCGGGCGCGGCTGTGTCTTTGATTGCAGGCGCGCGCGCTCGGCTCGCCCCGTCGCTACGCTACCTCCCCCTTGCTTACAACACGGCCATCATTTGCTGCCGTGAGCGCTTGATGTGCTTTCCGTGCCCCTTGCCTTTCGGATGCGTTTCCGCCTTCTATCGTCTCTTCCACGTGCCCGAATGAGATGTGCTGACTGACCCGTCTCTCCCCCCGTGCCTCATCCGCGCCTCCGACCGACGCTCGCACTCGAAATCGGCTCGTCTCGTACTAGGCCGCTCCCCTGTGCCTCCTTCTACACCGTCGACTGCCGCTGTGGGTACTGTGCGCGGCGCCGAAGGGCGGGCGCGCTCCTCCAGGCGCGCATGACTCACACTGTCATCGGCCGCCGCTTCGCAGAGCTCCGGCACGACGACGCCCAGTGGCAGTATGAGGAGCCCAAGGGCCGCATCCGAGCTCTCCACGCCGGGCTCCTTATCAAGAAGCAGCGCGTCGCCGGCGGGTGGCCGTGAGCCTGCTGCGCCGTGGACGGATTCTGTTTTGCTCCTTCGTTCGCGGATGTCTTCTCTCTCGATCACAGATGTTGGTTGGACATTTGGGCTGTTGATTGTTTCCTGCTGCTCTTCCCTTGACCGTGACTCGATGGACACTCCCCTTGTTTGTTTTCTCTTTCTCTTTCTGCTCCCCTTCCGCGTTGCTGCTATCTCGAGCCCCATCACGGACGGACATGATTCAGACTAAGACCAGACGAGAACCATACCACGAGACCCTCCATGACCCCTCACCACGCTCCTGGACGCGTTCCGCCGCTTACCTTCGCTACCCCTCACGCACGTACGGACTCTCCTGACGATACGCGCCACGACCCGCTACCCCCGCCCCGGCCTCGATATGGAACCTGACTCTCGTGATACCTAAGTAGACTAATCGCTGCAACACCCGCATCCGCACGCCTGCACCCACGACCACGCACCCATCCCGTCGCTATCGTATATATTACCTACACGCACAGATAATGGACTGCCCCGAGCGCCGCGCGTCGCCATGTACTCTTCCCCCCGTTCGCCATCGACAGTTTAAATAGTCCGTAGTCCCCCCTCCCCGCCCCCCTAGCTTCGTCGGGTGTTGTAGGCTCCATCGCTCCCGTGTCGCTGTATGTACCGCTCAAAATCGCAACCTCCCGCTCCGTACATTCCTGCCTCCCTCCACACGCGTGCGCACGTCTGTGGGACGGCGGTCGCGCCGCCCACCCTCGAAGCCCTCCTCCGCGTCCGTGTGCGTCGTACTCCTAGCGGGCGATTCGCTGACATGATCCGCCCCTCTTCGTTTCTTTTCTAGGTCTCGCGTCTCGCGTGGTGCCCTCTCGACCCTGGTGCCCTGCGGCCGGCCGGGGGTACGTGCCGTTCCCCAAGCGATTACCGCTGATTACGCTGCAACGCCAACCCCCCCCCCCCCCCCGTCTATCTTCTGAGTGCTCCGGCCTGGGGGACCCACTGCCCAAAACCGCATGCCGGGCCTCCCGGCTGCCGCCAACGGACAAAACGCGAGCCGCGCCGCTGCCGACAATCAAACTCGCCCCAGCGCGGAAGGACTGTAAGTGGCGTGCGCCGTGATGGCCTCCCCCTCAGGCCTACTCCGGACAGTGCGCCCCACCTCGGAGAAGATCCTGGTCGATGTCGGCTCCAGGCGTCGGGGGCAGGAGAAGATCGTCATATTCCCTCGACCGGCACGCGACGTCTGCGGGGCCAGGTGAATCGGGGGTAATCGATGTCCCCGCCTTCCTCCGGGCGATCGGTCAATCATTCAATCATTAGCTCTTGAGAGCCTGAGACTCGAGTGACGACTCACGAGCCTTCGCCGTTCGTGCGTCTTTCTTTGATGTTCGGAGCACTAACTGCCCGATCGACCCTGCAGGCATCGACGCCGCCGGGCCGGGGTGACCTGCGGATCAAGCGTGCTCCTCCGACGGCGCAGCGCAGCGGGTCGCGACGGCGACCGCGCCGCCGCGATCCCGAACGCCCGACGAACCTCCGTGGGGGTCCGAGCCGCGCTCGGCACGGCTCGCAGGAACGGTGTGCACGGTTCGCTGAGGTCGTCCTGAATCCAATAATCATTTCCGCTCGAGGACCCTTGACTCAAAAAAGCGGCGCCAAGGCCGCAGGCTTGTTCATTGTCCAACGAGGCACCACCCCTCGCACCCGTGTGGCAGCTCGCACGGAGCGCATACGTCGATTGGTTTGGAACGCAGGCTGGAGGATCAGCGCGCAAGGATTCGCACGGGAGACACCGCCTCGTGCGTCCACGCGCCGTCTGCGCAGTACGCACCAAGCGTGCACTCGATGCCGCCGGGCGTGGCATCAAAAGGGCCGCAGGCGGGTGCGGGACGGACGTGCGTGGGTTCCAACTTCCGAGCTCTTGAGTTCGAAAATTCAGAACGGTCTGTTCGGTGACCGAGTGTTCGCGATCTCTGTCCGCGAACCCGCGGGTCGATCGCGGTGATGATGACGGCGACGATGGTGCATCAGGAATGTCGACTCTCGAGAGCAGGTCAGAGCCTGACCTTGGCAAGAGAGAGCCGAGGGGCGAGGTGTGCCGCCGGCGGCACACTGCTGCACAGCCAAGTCCGAGTCTTACGAAGCGGTGTCTCACCACTCGAGTGCCTCGCGCGGCCACGCCGGCTGACTTGACGACTTGAGGGTGAGCTGGTCGCGAGCAGCGTGCGGTCCCTGGTGCAGCTGCGGAGCTGCAGGGGTCGGGAGGGGTCGGGGCGAGTGGCGGCAGAGCTAGGCCTGGCTACTGACTTCAAACTTGCATGCCAGGTGCAGGGTCACATGCGGGTGCAGGGTGCGAGACGCGAGACTCCCGCAGCCGGGGGGGAGGGGGGTGCTGTCGAGTTTACGACATTCTGTAGCATGCGTTAGTGTGTGGTAGCGGAGAATTACCAATGGCTCGGAGGTAGTAGTTTCTGTGGATTGAGACAAGCACTGTGCCGAGTCCCGACCAAGGTTCAAACGCTCAAATCTTCAAGCTTAACTCATGTCGTTCGCCGCGCCTTGCGACATGGGAAGTGGGAGCATATCAGAAAAGCTGCAAAGTATTAGACTGCAGAGCACTTCGTGGCCGATGAGCTACGAGCACATGGATGTATACTCTCGTAATAATCGGCTGCGATCGATCCTGGATAGTGCTGAACAGGCGCTCTAGAAGTTGCATCCCAAGCGGGTCTAGCAAGGATGCCGATGAACCCAGCTGAGAAGGACGGGCGGCTTGGGAGTAGAAGGAGCTTCTTGCACGTGGAATCTGTTGGTTCAACGCAATAGATCGGCAGCTCGCCTCATCTCCGGTCGCCTTGCGATGGTCCAGGTGCCACCGAAGCGAGGAATCACGTATACGAAGATAAGCTCATTGCTTCATTTCCGTGCAAAGGGAGATGCATACTGGGTATAGAATAAAACACTGCTCGACTGGAAGCGCCAAGCATTGACATTACCTACCTCTTCGGAATGCGCTTGTCCGCCTGTGGCTCACGCGGGGAAGCCGCATGCAGCAAGCCTGCATTTGTCCTCGACTGGAGAAGTCCAGCGAGCATTGCTAGTAAGGCTCGGCTATCAGAGATTGAGAGCGGGAACTTGAAGGGCTACCAGACCGAGACGCTCGTGGTCCTAGGTGGGAACGTCGCACGCAACGCACTAAAGCATGCGCTCCTACCGCCATCGTGCAATGCTTTTGAGTGATCCAATCGTGATTCACCGAGTCCCTGAACAGAGGAGATACTCTTACAACAACGTTTGATACCTTCCTTCGTCTGAATGGACCAGCCCCCCCGTCGTTCAGAAGATGTTGTAGTATCGTGCGAGCGGGAGCGTCACCGCGGGCTCAATGTCCATGAGCACCCCGTCCGCGCGCACCTCGTAGCTCTCCGGGTCGACCGTCATCTTCGGCGTCAGGTCGTTCCACTTCATGTCCTTTTTCGAGATCTTCCGGCAGTTGATCACCGGCTGGAACTTCTTCCTCAGCCCGTACGCCTGCACGTTCCCGCTCGAGATCGACACCTCGGACGCGAAGTGGACCGAGTTGCGCGCGGCGGACTCGGGGTGCGCGCCCCACATTGGGCGCCCGATGAACGGCTGCACGGTCGGGATCGAGGCGTTGGCGTCGCCCATCTGTGAAGTGCCCGGACGCGGGTGTTTGAGGACAAGGCGCGTTACGCAGGGCACAGGCGAAGAAGCGGAGCGAGTCAGCACGAGTCGGGCGCGAGGAGGCGGCGGTCGTTGCCCCGTAAAGGAAAATCGCGCCGACGAACCTGTGACCAAGCGATGACGCCCGACTTGAGGACCATTTCGGGCTTGCTGCCGAAGTTCTCCGGTTTCCACAGCACGAGATCGGCGAGCCGCCCGGGTGCGATCTGTCCGACGAGATGGCTTATGCCGTGAGTGATGGCGCTGTGAATCAACATGAGTCAACAAACTACGTCGTATATGGCCCCCTCAGAGGCCGAAGGACACTCAGAAGATAAGGAACAGGAGGGTCACGCACGGGTTGATCGTGTATTTAGAGATGTACCGCTTCACACGCCCGTTGTCGTTGTCATCACGATCCCCGAGCGCGGCAAGCGGTCCGCGACATTCGCGCATCTTGCTCGCGGTACGCCATGTTCGGGTGATGACCTCGCCGACGCGACCCATCGCCTGGGAGTCGGAGCTGATCATTGAGATGGCGCCTGTATCGTGAAGCACATCCTCGGCCGCCACGGTCTCCGCGCGGATGCGAGATTCTGCAAACGCCAGATCTTCAGGAATGGACTTGTCGAGGTGGTGGCAGACCATGAGCATCTGAGAGCAGGCTGTGAGTCCGAGTTGTGGCGCTAGTATCAGGCGATGCGACGTACATCAAGATGCTCGTCGAGCGTGTTGCTGGTGTACGGCCTCGTCGGGTTTGTTGAGGACGGCAGGACGTTGTCGAGGCCGCAGACGACGATGATGTCGGGAGCGTGTCCTCCGCCTACGAGTACGGATCAGCAGGCCTGTTTCCGCATCCGAGCCCTCCCAATCAGCGCACCTGCTCCTTCCGTATGGTAGGTATGAATAGTGCGCCCCCCAAACGCCTCGATGGTACCTTGAAACGGCGTCAGGCATTTCATCAAGAGCAAATCGGGGCGGAACCTACTCTCAACGAAGCCGCTTTCATTAAGCGTGTCTGTGTGGATGTTGACCTGTACGTCGTACTTATCGCCGACATCAAGCGCACTGACGATGCAAGAAGGCGTCGTGCCCCAGTCCTCGTGCAGCTTGAGCCCGGCCGCGCCAGCCTTCACGATCTCCTCGAGCCCTTTACGATCGCTGTCGTTGCCCTTGCCCGTGAACGCGAAGTTCATTGGCAGGCTATCGGTGGCCGCGAACATGTGCTCCATGTAGAAGGGGCTGGGTGTGCAGGTTGTAGCGTTTGTGCCCGAGCTCGGACCTGTTCCTCCTCCAATCATTGTTGTGACTCCGGAGGCAAGGGCTTCGGTAACCTGTTGCGGACAGATGTAATGCACGTGCGCGTCGATGGCCCCGGCGGTGACGATGAGCTTCTCGCCGGCGATTACCTCTGTCGTTGAGCCGATGACGAGGTCGGGGTGGACTCCCGACATGACGTCGGGGTTGCCTGCTTTACCAAGGGCCTTGATCTTCCCGCGTTTCACTCCGATATCAGCCTGTCGTGGAGTCAGTGTCACTGTCTTTGAGTCGCAGAAGAGAAGACAGACCTTGTAGATGCCCGACCAATCGATGATGAGACAGTTGGTGATGACAAGGTCCAGTGCTTCCCCGGCACTTCTACCTGTCGCCTGACCCATGCCCTCGCGAATACTCTTACCTGTCTTAATCGTCAGTTCCTGAAGACCTGCACCGCATGCCGCCCATACCTCCGCCGAACTTGACTTCGTCGCCATACACCGCCTGCAGCCCAATAATGCTTCAACCAATCTGTCAAGCGCAACTTCTCCCTCCACTCACCATATCGCGCTCCACGACGACCCAAAGCGCCGTGTCGCCAAGCTTGACCCGATCGCCGACAGTGGGGCCGAACATCGCGACGTACGCCTCACGCCCAATGTCCGTGTCCTCCGAGACCTCGAGCGCGCCGGGCTCGGGCGTGTGCCCGAAACCTTTCTGCACAAGCGCGGTGACGATCTGGTCAGTGCGCGCGGGGTCGAACACGCCCGTCGCGAGCCGATTGCCACCGGTGATGAGCTTCGCGCCTGCGATCGCGCAGAGCGTGACGGTCTTGGTGTCCCCGGGCTCAAAGCGGACGGCGGTCCCTGCAGCGATGTCGAGGCGCTTGCCATATGCCTTGCCGCGGTCGAATATGAGAGCCTTGTTGGTTTCGATGAAGTGGTAGTGCGAGCCGATCTGCAAGGGTGGGTGAGCATCGTACACGCAAGATGTGGCGAGGGCAGAGAGACGGAGTGACTTCTTCAACTCCACGCATCTTCTTCCCACCGCCGAAACAGGGTCACGCACCTGCACTGGCCTGTCTCCATTGTTGGTGACGCGAAGCTTGACGCGCTCACGGCCGACATTGATAGGGATCCTCCCGCCCGCGACGACGATCGCGCCGGGGGCGCGCTCGCGCGTGTATTCGGCGACGTTGGTAACGGGGAAGGCCCCCTGGCTAGGAACGGGCAAGAACGATCCGTACAACGCCGCGTCCAAGTCTCCGTCTTCGGTGCAGATAGGGTCGTGCACAGTAACGAGGAAGACACTGTCATTGTGTCATCCACGGCCGCGCATGCACAAATCGCATATAGCCACATCCAACGCGTCAGAGCGCGATACGAAGACGACGGAACGCCGTACACACCCGTCGGGGAACGTCCCCTCTACCTGGATCTCATGCAACAGCGCCGGCACGCCGGGGAGAACGTGCCGCCTTCCCAGCAACGTTTTGCCATGCTGCATGAGCTCTGCGACAGAATGCTTGCCATCACGGATGCGCTCTTGGAGCTGGGATGCGATGAGGGCTACCGCCTCGGTCTGGTTCAGTTGGCAGCCACGCGCGAGGCGCTTTTGTGCAAGGGAGCCGGCCTGGGGATTGGCAAACGCGTCATTCAGTCAGCGGACATCGCGATGCCGCAAGCGTCAGCGGCGGCACCGTGCGGGATGCGCACCTGATGAAGGAGGAGCTTCGCTTCCTCCCTGGGAGTGATACGCATGGTGAGCTGCCTGAGTCAGAAAGGGAACGCGCGGTGAGGGTGGCGGGCAGTGAGTCGGCGGGCGGCGAGGCGGTGAGAGTTTGGCGGTGAGCGCGGAGAGATGTGAGCGGGAAGGTGCTGTGCGTCCGCCACGAAGTGGTGTTGGGGAGGCACGCTACACAGCAGAAAGCTCAGAGGACATGTATTCGCAGTTCGCACAGTGCGCTCGTCGAGGGAGATAGTGGTGGGGAGATAAGATGAGTTGATGCCTCGAGGCGGCGCTTGGCGTCAGGAGGGCGAGTCGGCTGAGCTCGCCCGCCCCGTCCGTTCGTCTCGCCACGACGCATCCTGCCTTGTTCTTCACATACACCAGCCTTTATCGTCTACTCGCCCCTCTCTCGCTCATCCGTTCATCTTTGGAATGGGGCACAAGGGCCCACCAGCGCCATCGCCTGTCCACCTGGCCGGATCACACTGAAGGGACTCAATTTTCGCGACGGACCATTTTCGACACAAGCATTTTAGACCCTCGTAATGGAGGCCGCCCAGGGCGCTGGATGGTCAGAGTCGAGGGTGCTCCGTGCGCAGGTGGGGAGCATGGTCGGTCAGCGGTCTGGACCCGTAAGTGGCGGTCGATCCTTTTGTTTTTTTGTGAAACGCGGAAGGCGACATATGCATCCGCCCGTCCCCAGATCTGCGCCCTGAACCCTCGAACGCATCCATGTGGGAGTCATGGCCGTTGTCCCGACACGCGTTTGCAGCGCCGTTGGTTGGCAGATATCAGATGATCAACACACCGGAGCAAGGCGCCTGAAGTCGAAGAAAGCGACAGAGACAGCATCCGAGAATGACCGACGTCCTGCCGGAGTGGGCGCGCCAGAACAGCCTGGGACAGCGCGGGGACCGTGTCCGAGAAGGGAGAGTGCCGGACGGAACACGGCGGGGACGGCGCGGGGCTGCGGAACGTCCGAGGTTGACTCGGGCAAGGCCACCGGCAACTTTCCATCCCTAGTCACGTGTGTGGCGCGGGCGCAGGATAATACCCCTCGCGGCGGAATCCGTGCGTCCGCCCATTGTCCTACACCCGTCTCCACCTGCGCTCCGCATCCTCCCTCATAAGTCCCCCTATGTCGTGTCTCGTCGCGCTTCCGCCCTCGACCGCCTCCTACTCTGAGACACATCACTCCTTCGTCCCGCGCAAGCGCACCATGTCCTTCTCCGCCCCCGCCCCCGCCGTCAAGCTCGCTCGCACCCCCCTCCGCCGCACGGGCTCCTACCTCTCCCTGGAGGACATGCAGGCCGCCACCATCACTCCCCTCTACGGCCGTGACGGCCCAACGCAAACATACACGTCCTCGGACAGCCTCGTAATCGGCAAGTACGACGCGCGGATGCGCAAGAGGCGCGCACCCTCCGCACGGATGCCCTCCATTCACACCCCTTCCTCCTCCGTGCCCAAGCCTTCCTCCTCCCCAGTCCTCACATCCCGCCGCACGACATCCCGCCCACGCTGCTCGTCGCCTCTCTCCCCTGTGCGCCGCTCGATTCCCGAGCGGCCGTCACTGCCCATTACAAAGAAGCGTGAGCCGGACCTCTACCGCGCGGCGATTGAGGCTCGCATGCGGCTCTCCCCCCTCGGCCAGCAGGTGCTCAAGATGGGCCCGCGGGTCGCGCTCTCCGTCATCGGGGCGACAGAGGCTCTGGAGTCTCTCGTCGCCGCACACAGTGGCGACATCGAACTGCCAGAAACGACATTGGCCGCTTCGTGGGTAGACGTGGGCCCAGAGGATTGGGAGATGGTGGAGCGCAGTACGTGAACACGTTCGAGGGATGGGCCTGCGTAGCGTAGTCCAACCCGGCCGCCGCCGTTGCTGCCGCGGTGGACACGTGCTGTCGGCTTTGTGGCGAGGGGGAGCACTTCGAGTTTCTTTTTGGAGTGCGAGCGTCAGGCTCGCACGACTGTACATTATTGGTCTTTTGGTGTGCGGGGCCAGCGACGGCGACCGCTAGTATGATCTCTCTGTTCGACTACATAGTGTCTCGCGGGAACTGATACGGACCGGTTCTTGCATATTACTAGCACACGGACTTGTAGATTACGGGCCACTCCTACCTGTATTACGTTGTATCTCCAGTGTAACTCACCATGCTTACTCCATACACTCATCGTTTATCCCGGTCGTTTCTGGGTCACATCTCACCGGTCGTTTGCACTCGGAGTTCGCCATCTCCTTACGGAAGCAAAGGAGCGGGGTGACGCGTACCTCCTCGGGTTGTGAGCGCTCCGGCGACTCTGAGATCTGAGTGGCGGTGGCTTGTGTAAGTACTTGCTGAGTCGGACTACCTCCGAGAACGCCAAGCGTGTCTCCACACCAACTGTCCGCCCTTCTATCCATGTATTCTGCTTCCTTCGCGACACTGCGTATCAGCCTCAAGTTGGCCTGAAGATGGACTCTCGATGCGCCCATTCAAGAATCTCACGCCCATCCTAGGTTGCCACGCGAAAGGCCCGTTGCAAACCGGATGCCGGTAACGATCCCGAGTTCGCACATTGGCTACCGTGGACTGCGGCGGGTAAGACTACTATAAGCCGCGTCGCGCTCCGGTGGGTGTATTTGTGTTCCTGTGCGGTGCTGTCTCTGTGCACGATGTCATTGACCAGTGCCCGCAGTGGAACCAACACGGTGTGCGTGGCATCTTTCCCATGTTCCAGGAAGTGGCACCGGCACAGCAGTCTACTACCGCCACTCTCAGAAACATCACAGGGCTTCCCGTCGCTGACATGCGCAGAAATCTTGCCCGTTGTCTCTCTCCTCCCGGCTATTTTCATGGCATGGTTGCGCCATAGAGAGACTGGTGATTGGTGGATTTTGGAGAGACGGACCTCAACAAGAGTGTCACCTAATTGTAGGCCAGGTGACGCGTCGTGGCCATCGAAGCGGGACTCGATGTGTTCAAGCCTGTTTAAAGTACGTCTAGATGTGCTATGTCCTTTGCTTGCTTCATGATCCCACGTCACGGAAGGCGTTCGAGTGACTTTCAGTGTTCGACCCCGAAGTTCAGCCTCGCGCTGTGAATTCACAGGCTCGTTCCTGACACCGTTCTTGACCCCGACACGGATGCAAATCCACCAACGCGGTAGCTTCATACCCGTATCTTCACTCCGAGGCCCTGGGTGTCGGTAGATATGATTGGCCCTTCTTTCCAGACAAATGCAGCAACGAAATGGAGCAAATCTGTGGCTGCATCTTCTGCCAGGTAGCACTAGCATCATGTCTCGGTTCCGACAGATCACGTCGTAGGATCATACTCTCCGAGAGTCGGAAATTAACATGTCAAGCAACTCGAGGACCCCCGGATCACGACAGGATAGAAGCATTGAGTCGAGCGTCTTTCGTCACCATGGTGCGCCGATTTCCCTGACTCTCGGCCTTCGCGATGATTGGAACCGCAGACTTCCGAGAATCACGTTGATCTCAAAGCATCAAATCCAAATGTCAATGTCACCCGGTTACAGTACGGTGGGATTATCAGGCCTTCAGCAGTCCACTAGTTATGTGCACTAAACTTCTCCAAAATGGGTGGGTACTTTTTCTAGGAATGTTCGAATTGAGAGGAAGTCCTGTTGTGGGTATGGGTATATGCTCCAGAAGGCAAACACTGGAACCTGTCTGGAAGGCTCATACAGTGAGAACCGGTCGTACACATGCCTTCTACAGTGCCGGCGGAGTTTCGTCCAACACCGTGACGCCGATACCCTGAGGCCTGAACTTTGGCGGCACGATCGTTTTGACATTGACATGTCGTGTGAGCGTGCCGGTGCCACGACATATCGCTCGGCCGTTGATGCTGCGCTAGGGTTGAGGCTGGGTCTCGCGATACTTACAGTCGTTATCAAAGCGATAGGCCTGTTTGTTAAACGACCAAACACAGGACCTTCAAACTCAAACCAGACTCCGCCCTTACCGACTCGACGCAGACATCGCTTCTTGCGTGAAGGGGTTGCCACGACCTGGTCATGGGTAAGCGTCGTGTCATGAATTCCGCTCCGTGATATTTTTCGAATAGACCTGCCAATATGATAACGGCTGTATCCAAGTGCAGGGCTCAATTCGACGTGCGTCCGTTCAAATACTGTCTGGAGCGCTCTAGGCTGATCTCTTCAGCCTAACCTGATTTTTTCACAAACGAGCGCTTCGTTGAGCCTCTCCGAGTTGACTTCCACATCCTTCCTTGACTTGCTTCGTCACCGTCGTGTTCTTCAAAGTTCAAGAACTGTTTTTATGCCGCCTCCGCTTCCTCGCGGTAGGCATGGGCCGCCCACCGACAGCAAGAGCCTTTTTTACCCAGGACGCATACAGCCATCGTCAAACTCCCAGCAGCTTTCCTGCTTTCCTGGACAGACCAAGGACTTGCTACTGTTTACAGCAAGTCGATATCTCCGAGAATCCGCGTACCATGCACATTCGGGTCGACCCACCCGCGCATTCCACCGTACGTACCCCCTCCCTAGATCTTCCGAGTTGGCCCGCCAACATCGACGGTTTTCCCGTTCCTAGGCATGCATCGCTCATGCCTACACGCGTGGTCGCCTCGGGTACCTCTCCCCGCAACGGTCCAGAGGGAGAGGCGTACGGCATACAAGGCCTAGCGCATCGATGGGTTAGACCCAGCACGCTGGACATGACCATCAGCAGCGCTGCACCGCGCGCCTTCCGACCCTGGTGCGTGCTTAATTGCTGGCTCCGCTGTCGTCCGTCCGACCTTCTGCTTGATCGCACCCCCTCAGCCAATCTCGAGCCCACCGCCGCCCCTTCCGCGTCGACAGTGCGGCCTCCCTCTCCCCAAAGAAGCCCGTGATCCTCCCACCGCCAGGGCTTCGATGTCCAAGCGCAATTCTCGCTCGGCACGACGCGGGCTGCAGGGCGGCACGGTACGCCCACAACTGCTTCCGCGCGCGTACGTGCGAGTCGAATGATACCTCGCTCCTGGCGTCCTCGTCCCTCGCCGGTTCTCCTCCACCGCTCCCGTACCTAGCTGGCCCGGCCAAGCCTTGCTCCCCAGCTCGCTCGGGCATCGGACTGCGAATCCCGAGCTTGCCCCCGGATCTCCCGCCGCGGCGTTCGAACGAACGCACGGGTGGACGGCTCGGGGCGCAAGAATACAGCCGATGCTGGAAAGGGCCCGGGGGACACTGACGTCGTGGGGGTCGCGCGATTCGCCGGAAGACCGCCGCCGGGCCCAGGATTCACCACGACGGCGACCCTGAATCCGTCAAGACGCCGTAGTAGGACCGTCGCGGAAGCACGCGCTGCGGCCTCGTTCCGCGTCGGTAGCGAAAGAACCGCGCGGCGCGCCAGTGGTTCCATGCCGGTCGCCAGGCGATTTAGCCATTCCCAGACGCAGTGAGTGGCATTGTATGCAGCGGAGGACGGGCGAGCGGGCGATGCCCTGCGCTTGTGGCCCTGCGTTTTCCACGCGGTCGTCTCACGGACGTAGTCTGTGGGGGAGAGCGGGAGCGGAGTTGGTGGTCCACACGGCGTCGTGCCAGGTCCCGCCTCGACGTCGTGCGTCGTGCACCAACAGTCCCCGGCAAAACAGTCACGGAGGCGGCCCGCAGATGTATTGCAGCGTAGTTCCTGGTGCGCACGCACGAGCATTTATCCGCATCTTGCGGCCTGGGCCTTTCACTTCCACGCTCTTTTGCGGTCATTCGCCGACCCGACCGTTATAGACGCTTGTCTGTCTGGTTTACCGTTCGTCCTCTTCCGACGTCGTCCAAGCTTTATGACCTACGCCCAGGACGTCCATTAATCACGTCTCACGCAGGCTCAAGCTCTCTCATGACAAGACGCCGCCCGTTGAACGGGGCAAAACTAGAGCCTGCCTCGTGCCGCCTCCAAATTAATCGGCGTTCAATAGCCCCACCCACTTTTCGCCGTCATACGACCGACTTGTGGGCGCCGTGATAATGTTCGGGTGCGCACGCGCTTCGCGCTTCTAATGCTCATTTCCCCCTCATCCATCTGTCCCAACCTGTCTGGTACGGAAGGCGCAGCGAGCGACTTCGTCCAGCGCACGGTTGCCGTGCGCCTCACGTCACCCGGATTCAAGCACCTGCCACCCCCAGGGGGTGCTTGCGGAGGTTACAGTTCGCGCTCCCCTCCCTCATCTCCGCCATACGCACGGGCCTGCCGAGCAATTCCGTCTGTCACCGTCGGAATTGCCGCCGCGACTGGCGTGAGTACACCCTCGCTGGCTTGCCACCCTGAGGCCTCCCGCCGCGGCCAGCAGCACCGTGGGTCCGCGACCCGATGCTCGCCGCCAGCGTCGCGGCAGTGAAGCGCTGGCTTGGTGCCGGGACCGGGGGCCTGGACAGCAGCGGGAACCTGCGCCACCCGCCGCGCCGCGGTGGAGCCTGGGCAGCCGCTCCGAGTGTGGCCCACGCCCCGCGCTCGCGCCCTCCCGCGATCCCGACTGGCCCGCCACGCACGGCGGAGGCCGCCCCGAGAAAAGCGTGGGACGGGGATCGTCTTCCCTCCGTACGTCCGCACCTTGAATCCCACCCGCGACCCCTCCTCCACCCAGCACCGGTGGCTGTTGGCGGTTCCAAGTCCCCTCGCTCCTCGCCTGCGTGCCGTAAGCTAGCGTTCAGGCGGGCAGCAGGGCCGCCCTTCCTGATCCTTCTCTTCCTTCGCCTTCCTGTGATCGCGCGCGATGGTCGATAGCGTGGGCTGCAACAGGGCCCCCGCTCGCTAAGGACATATGAGGGTGGCTCGCGCACCCTGCGCGCGGGAGGGGGGCTTCCCGACGTCAAATCAAACGTTCTATGCCACAGGCGATCCCCGGCAGGGTCCGCGCGTCTCCCCCGCGCCTCATGCGCACGCTCCCTCACTAGGTAGGACAGTGATCTGCTCTATTCCTCGTGGCTCGCGGCGGTGCACGCTCGCTGCCTTTTGCGGTGTGGTGTGGTGGGTTGTGGTAGCGATTACAACGTCCGGGTGGTGTGCGAGGGGGTATATGTTACAGCCGGGGACTAGAAGCCTGCAGCGTGGGCGTGGGTGAACGGACGGACGGGGAGCGGGGGAGAACGACAGCGGGGTGCGAGACGGGTACCGGGGCGGGACGAGCTGTATGTAGGTGCGTATGTATGCAAGACAGCGGACGGGGGGCAAAGCAAGAAGAACGAAACGGGCGCGCAATGTCGTGTGGGGGCGGATCTTGAACCCGATTTTGGTGTGGCTTGACGAGGGCGGGGGCGGCCGGCCGGCCGGCGCTATGCTCTGCGGACGATGTCCTCGAGCGGGACGGCCATCTCCTCTGGATTACCGATCCACCGGACAACGCTGTCGTTTGGCGTGATGATAAAGACTGCGGGACGCGCGCACGGCGGGTTAGCATCGCGTGTCCGGCCCGAGCGCGCGCGCGAGGCGTCGATATGGTTTCATTTGCCTCGCGAAGGCGGAACACGCACCCAGGGGAATCGACAGGTTTTGGCCGGGCTGGAAGATCGCTGGAGAAGGGGTGATGTCAGCGTTCGTCGCTCTCTGGGAGCGGGCTCGGGCACGAGGCGCGGGGAAGCTGCCAGGAACAAGGGCCGATCGCGTGGGCGGAACGGAGACGACGAGCGCGGGTCCTGGGACTCACAATTGACCGCGACCCGGTGGGTGTCGATGAAGATGGGGTACTTCATGTCGGTGCGCGAGGCGACGAAGTTCTTGACGAACCCGACGTCGACGGGCGCGTTCGTGAAGATCGTCTCGGAGTTGAAGGTGATGACCTTGATCTCCGGCCGGGTCTGCGCGATCCGCGAGAGGTCGTCGAACACGACCACGCACGGCTGTGATGTGTGTGTGTGCGGCGTCCGCCTTGTCAGCAAAGGCAATTAAGCCGTGTTTGTCCCAGATTGCACGCACCCTGCACCACCTGCATGCCCACGCCGCCCGCGGAAGAAGGAAGAACGCCCCGGCGTCAGTACACAGACCCGCAACGCCCCGCTAGATCCAAGCGCCGGAGGAAGCGCTCGGTCGGCGCTCGGGAACCCCGCGAGCGGGACAAGCAGCGGCGCGGAGCGCGCTCCAACCCCGCGCGGACATGGCGGCGCTGAAGCGCGCGCCCGCGCGCCCACTCACGGGCTTGGAGTGCAGACCGCGCGCCGCGCGCCGTGGAGCGCACTAAGGCGAGGCAAGGAACAGACGTACGAAGCCCACAGCTCGATGATGAGCACCTTGGCGTCGCGCCAGCCGTCCATCGAGCCCTGGACGTGTTCGAACCTGCCCGAGTCGAGCCAGCGGAGGTCGACCCGCTTGCCCAGCAGCGGGCTCACCCAGCCCGGGCGGAGGAACGGCGGCGGGCCCTTGCGGAACTGCGCCTCGAGCGCGTCCCAAGAGGGGAGCTTCGCCCGCGTCCAGAAACGCTGGACGGCGGCGGGGTCGTGTGCCGCCCCGAAGCGCGCTGTGCGCGGCGGAGGGGAAGGACGACGATGGTCAGCGGCGCTTCGGGGCTCGGCGCAGGGGGGGGGGGGCTCACCGATTGCGGCGTTCCAGCGTGCTGGGCGTGGAGGACGATCAGGGGGGCTGGTGAGCACATCACGGTCCGAGTCGCACCGCGGCGCGCGCATATATGCGGTCGCGCACCTTGGTCCCAGCGGTCTTCGTACAGGTTCTGGAAGACAGACCAGACGTTGGTGTGGAAGTCGGCCTTGACCGCGAGCTCCTGCGGGGTCTCCGGAGGCAGGGCAGGTGAGACGGGCGTGGACATGGAGGACGATGGGTGGGCTGTAGGTTGGGGAGGACGAGGTGAAGGAGCGGTGGGATTTATAGGTCGGGGTGGGTGCGGCGGATGCTGTAAGGCTGTCAAGGAGGGCCTGTCAAGCGGGAAGGAGAAGGAGGCGGGGGCGGAGAGGCGGGGCGCATGAGGGCGGCAGGACGAGGACGGCGGCGGAGGGTGGATAAGTAGGCAAAGGCGATGGACCCGCCCCTCGAGCGAGTTAACAGCCGCACGCGCAGACGCCCAGATATCTCGCCCGATCTGCATCGGGCAACGCACGCCCGCGGATCATCCCGTTAATCAATCATCTTTCGCCCTTAATTGAAGCGTGAGCCTGGGACTGCGCGGAGGACAAAAAGAATGGACGTTGTGGGGATTGAACCCACGGCCTCGTGCAAGTCACGTGACAATGAAGTGAACTCCATCTGGTGCAAAGCAAGCGCGCTACCACTGTGCCAAACGCCCATGTCAGAGGGCAGCTGAGCGGTAGACTCAATGGCCGGGTGCTATGTCTTCTCGTCGATTCATTAATACCTCCGAAAATTCGCATAATCCATGACTCGCAGTCCAATGCCCAGGCACGTTACTCTGCGTAAATAATCCACCGACCATCCCGAGCTGCCGCCAGAGCGCGACCTGGAGGACAACTTCTGCGTTTCTAGCATAGCGCGCACAAGAGAAGCTAGGATGACATTGCATCACATAAATACAGCGAGTACCTATCATCATCCGAGGCGACGTCGATTCCATCCCTCCCCGTCCGGCTGGGATCGTAGCTATCACACGCAAACGGAACTAAACTAATCCTGGCTCGTCTCCGTCGCTCCGCCCACCGCTGACACAAGCTTTCCAAACCCACAGACACAATCATGGGCGATCCTTGGCTGCGTTTGACGGGGCAAAACATCCGTCAAATGTGTCGCCCCCACCCACGGCGAGCTCAGGTACTCACATGACAGCGCTAGCCAGCCGGTAATTACTTGGGATCCCGCGAACTCGCGTCGCCCTTCTCGCCGATGAATGGCCAGAACACTGGGACGCTCCTAAGGGCACGGAACGTCAGCCCTATACAGATGTAACTCGTGAAGCGAGCCCTCTGTGTCTCCATCCTTTGGCGGCTGTCCCGAGCTCATGCAACGATACACGACTCGTCGCAAACCCTGAACCATGAATACTCCCGCCTTATGCAGACCCAACCGCCGCAAGTGAGGGCTCTCTGCCACAATTGGATATATAGGATCTTCTGTAGCGTGTACAGAGCACCGTCGAAGCATGCCGTCATTGCTCCGACGCCGTTCGTAGGTTCCCGAGACCGATAGAGCGGTTAAATAAACTCACCGTTTATACTCGTGCCACCTAGGGTCATCCCCGAATTTCTTGTCACCCGCCCTCTGGTGGAGCAGCAAAGCGAAATGAGCGGGTGCTTGTCACAAAAGTCGCGCGAACGCCACGATGCACACGCACCTCCAAAGGGGGAACGCCGGACACATTCCGTACCAGATACCACGTCAGGAGCGGGCTGACACCGGCCATCAGCCAGGCGCCCCTGGGAAAGGACGGCGTCCGGAGGGACTGCCCAGCAAGAAGCCAGAGGCCTGTCCAGAGACCAACTTCACCGACATAACTGTGCAGCACATCGATGGAGCTAAGCCAAACGGAGAACAAGGGCAGGCAGACCGCGCACGTACTTGGGGTGCCGGCTTATCCCCCACAGGCCAGTGGTGATGAATTTCTCATCGTGCTCCTTCCTATCCTTTGCGCGCCGCCACGCGCTCTTCTGATGGTCCGCGACTGCGTAGGACGAGGCATGAGATCGGGCATCGCTTATACACGGCGTCATCGATCGGGAGGGGAATCACACCTATCTCGAACATCCACGATCCGGCGAACACTGCGAGCCCCAGATAGTCCAGCGGCCCGAGACGCGAGTGGGCCGGCGGCGGGAGCGTGTTCACCTGCGCGCCGAATAAGCGTCTTCGGGCTCGCTTCCGCACCGGGTGCGGCGTGGTTCAACCTCGCGTGACCAAGACGCTCACCATGTAGACCGGTAAACCAACCAGAAACACCCACGTCGCTAGCAGATGCACGTAAGAATGCGCGGCAATGGATGCATGGAAGAGGAAGCAAGCACGGACCTTGTACCATCCAGAACGCGGTGAACGTCGTTGGTTGATGCTTCACCTTGTCGAATCGGGAGTCGCCGCCCGCTTTCTTTGCCCGCTGAATTTAAATGGCGTGTTCGCACAGCAGGGTCGGCACGGCATCAGATGACGACTACGCACCGCGAACAAGAAGCTTCCGAGTCTCGTCGTCCACGCGATAATCGCCAGATTGAGTACTATTTGCCTTGGCGCGAAGGAGGTCATAGGAGGCAACGAAGCGAACGGCTTGTGATCCCAGAACTTAGCCTTGAGGTGGGGATAGTAGAGCGAGAGAAGGGTGGTGGAAACAAAGCCCGCTGCTCCACCGAGGTCATAGTACATTTCGTTCTTCTGGGGAACAAATATGGCGGCAAGGACTAGATAACACGTCTGGTGAGCGGCAGCTTCCGAATGGTTGCCAAGAGCACATTGTATGCGACGTACCCATCTGGAGGCCATACGCCGAGACAAGAGTCGGCGCAAGCTTGGAGAAGAAGGGCATGGTGTCAAGCGCGGTGCGGGTGGTGTACAAGGGAGGAACGACGGGACGCAGTCAAGGTGTACGCGACTGCGGGGAATTGAGCACAAGATCGCGTCCCACCAACAGCGCGTCAACGGTACGTCACTAGTGCAGGTCATCGCTGTTGTCACGTGGTTGTTGTGCCTGCGGACATCATGATTATGATATTCAAAACAATCTGTAGCAGGCGCGAATGGGACGTACCTGAGCTCCTCATATTCCCTCGGTTGTTGGAGGAAAGGAGAGCGGCGCTTTTACTAGTGTCGATCATGTGACGCGCTCACGTGCACAACACGTCCTCGGAAAATCCTCAATTGCAAGACCCATCCACGAATGCCGTCACAAATGGAGAACTACCCGCCGTCCTATCCAAAACGCAATCCATTCGTCTCCCCTGCTCCCCGATATACTGCCAGAGCGGCGATCGACAACCTTGGTACGCAAATCAAGCCATGGGGTACTATGCGCATGATTCACACGAAGGGCACATTCAAAGCGACGGACGTCGTTTCTCTTCTCGAAATACAGGAACGATAGGCGTGGACAGTCTTGCAAAGACAACTTGCATTTTACGGGCTGAAGTTTTCACAACTTCCTCCAGTGTCTTCTGGGCGCCTGCTATCAACCCAAATAGCGCATGCCGTTCTTACAAGTTCGCAAGCGGTGCCTGAAGGCTCGACTACCGTTTTTGCGGCTCTTGCAGCGTCGCAGTTCTACCTACGAAGACCACCAAGTTACACTTCATAGGGAGATAAAACCACTGTGGCGGGTTGGGTAGGCATACGGGTTGGGGTCTGACACGACTGATGTCGCGCCCGACCACGACTCGAAAACATCGGTAATGCAACTGACCACTCAGAACACCAAACCAGTGACGCACTACCTAACGCTTCCGCACATCAGGAAGTCGATATCGGGGTGACATTCAGCGACGAGTAGGAGGTGGGCAGTGCTTGCGTGAAATACCACTCTATGGATCAACGACGTCGACAACGGCAGGAGCGCCTCAGACGTAGGATGCAGGTTGTGGAGAGGGGATCAGGGCATCGAACGACGAGAGAAGACGGGTGGCGTACGGGATGAGCTGCTTTGCCAAGCCAAACTGCTCCTCCAGACTCCAGGGTGGCCGAGGGGAGTGATAGCCGGGAGGCGGGTGTCGAGGAGTGCCGTGCCGCAGCCACATTTGCATTAGCATGCAGGGGAAACGCCGGCTGAAGCATTGATGATTTATACACAGGAGGCCGGCGTGTCAAACAGTCTCCAGAGGCCAACGGTCTTCAGAGACTGTTCTTACCGGCCACCGGATTCAGGCTGTCTACGGGGGAAAGTTGCGCACACGGAATGTCACAGCAGAAGAGGGATATAGACGATGGCACTGAGCTGGAATATCGAAGACCACTTGCGGCGGTCCCCGTCGACACTGCTACAGAAAGAAAGAGCGATGAACATATGAACACAGCCGCACATACGCGGCTGCAAGAGCAAGTCACAACAATCTGGACGATAAGTAGTCATACAATAAACGGCGTGAAAAGAGAGTACGTCGAGCCTAGGGTAGTACACACCAGTCCAGTGAGACATCGTCTCCCCACGCACTCACATCTCGACGTCTTCATCCGCCTCCCCATCCGCGTCCATCTCGTCTCCGTCTTCCTGCTCGAGCGGCTGCATGGGCTCGATTGCCGTCGCCTCCTTGACCATGAACGCGGCCTTGCTGCTCCGCGCGACCTGGCCCGCGACCTGGGCGAGCACGCTCAGCGGTGAGAGCGGTTCGTCCGCGATGTGCACCATCGGCGACACCTTGCTCCGCGCGAGCTCGCTCCCGATCATCGTGTCGTCGCTCGGGACGCTGTGCCGGCTCGCCGCGGTCGCGCCCGTCACGGGTGTGTCCGCGTCGTCGTACTGCACCGCGTCCCCGGCCTCGACGCCGTGCTCTTCTGCGCCACCGCCGTCCATGCGGGGCCCGCCGCCGGCCTCCTCGCTCTCGTCGTCCTTGGGAGCGAACTTGCGGCGAGGTCGGGGGCGGGGACGAGGGCGTCGTGGAGCAAGCTGGGGCACCTCTTCCTCTTCCTCTTCTTCTTGCGCCCGCGCCGCTGCCTTTTGGGCGGGCGTCATCGGGGCGAAGCGGCCGTTCACCGAGCGCGGCGCGGCCTGCACACGCAGACGCTGGAGGCTGGCCCGTTGGCGAGCCGAAGACGACAGGGGATCCGGCTCGGGCGAGGAGTCTACCCGGCGGCGCTTGCGCGGAGAGACTGAGCGGGAGGCCGAGTCATGCTTCTCGAGGACCTGGTCCATGCTCCCACGGCGGGAGCGGAGCTGGCGCGCGGGGCGCTCGAACTCCTGCGCGAGGCGCGCCGCCAACGCCGCGTCGTCGTCGACGGAGTGGGTGGTGGTCACGGAGTCCACGCGGCTGCGCTGACGACGTCGTTCCATCGTCGGCTGTTCGGAGGGGGGCCTCTGTTGGCGAGGGAGACGACCGCGGCGGGGGGTAGGGGTGGCAATGCCATTGACAGTTGACGATAGTTGACGAGGGCGCCGAGCAGGAGTGGGGCCGTCGACGGCGAGACTCTGTGTCTTCTTCCTCGGGGACCTTCGCTCGACGATTTCGACCTCAACGCTAGGGGATCTCGCACGTTGGCCTGTAGTCTCCGTGGTCTCGGATGGGGCGACTTCATGCGCCGTGCTGGCCCGGACGATCTCGACAACATCGTCATCGAAAAGTGAGAACACCGCAGGCGAGTCCGTGTGTTCCCTGTTCCTCTGCTCCGACGGCACGTCGCTGCTGACGGCGCGACTGTGATCTCCAAATGTGCCAACGCCTTCCGTCGCCTGGGTCTTGGCCGCACGGGACAGGATGAATGGACTCCACTTGAGTTTCTCCGGCACGAGTTTGATGTACCCCTTCGACTCCCAGCGGGTGAGGAACTCCTCGACGCGATCGGGGTCCCACCGAACTTTGTAGGTAGTGGGGGGAACGAACGGGCCCTTCACCTTCTCGTCGTCGTGGGTGATGGTACGCTGGAGATGCTTGCGAGCTATGCCGTTTTTGCGACCCTTGGGAAACTTCACGGTCTGCCCTGGAAGCGGCTTCGGAGCCTGAGAAGAGTCCAAGACGGCGATCATGCCAAGCTGCATTAGCGTGAAGTGGATGTCTTCGATGGTCATGGAAGTCGCGGCGCTGATGTCTGCGTGGGGCCCGATGAGCGTGAGGAGATGGGACTCAATGGGGAGACTGACCTTCCAACCGAGGATTAGGGAGAGCGGTATCTAAATAGCGCATTAAAGACAGTGTCCAGTAGTTCTTGTAGCCTAACGCTCCAAGTGCAGAAAGAGGCTTCTCTGGCGAGCCCGTCCGTTGTTCCTTCTTCGACAATAGATAACCTGGTACATCGTCAGAACAGGAAAGAGAGTGAAAGCAGAGCCAACGTACTGAAGTCAATAAGTAAACTCCCCCAGCCCTGCCTCTGTCGAACCGGCAACGTCATGATGCAACTAACGTTGTAGTTCTTCGGGCTGAGCTTCTCCTTGCTAAAATACCCAACGAAGTGCGCCCCGTCATCATCGACCTCAGTAATCACGTAGAACAAGAAAGGCTCCACGTCGTAGAACAGAGACTTGTGGTCCAGGAACATCTTCGAGAGCAAGCATAAGTTTTGGCAATATATCTTGTTCTTCCTTCCATCGACTTCAAAGATGGACACCCTTCCGTCGCGGTAGATTTCGTCACCAGGTGGATGGCGGACTTTGCATTTCAGCTGGAGAGCGCAAGAGTCAGCACAGCACGCCGCAACTATGCCGCGACTCCCGCTACGCTCGCCGCGCGCATTGTCGTTGCGGATTCGTCGCGATGCCTCCTCGCAGCATGACGATCACGAAGAAAGGAAACACACCTGATGGCGGGAAGCACTGAAGCGGCTCTTCATGTACTTCAAGCAATACTCGCACATCCAGAGTCTGCCTTCGGGAACCGCGGCATATTCTTCCGGGAACGGGGCATCGTACCAAGTGTCGATGTCGTACTCGCCAAACCGGATTTTGCGTATTCGTAGGCCGTTAGGAGGGTGCATGAGTTGAGAACCAGGTGTGGTGGGTGCAGGAGACATGGAAGTGCTCGGAAGGCGCGGGGTTGGAGGAAGGGCATGAGAACGAAGGGGTCGACTTGAAGGACCTGCGATGGGTGTTTCTGGAGGTTCGGGAGGCGGACGGACAACCAACTTCTGCTAGCACGGCGATCAGGATCCAGGGTCGACGTATGAGAGTCTGCACGTACCTCTGCACTCGCCCGACTCCGCTCGAACCTCTGTATATCGATGTCTTTGATGGCTGTCTCTCGTACGCTCCGATCCTCGGGGGCCAAGATATCGTCGAACATCCCTCGTTCTGAATCGTCCGCGTCTTCTCGAGACTTCCCCTTGCCACGGGCGGGCACTCGAAGACGGAGGGACGGCGCTTCGAATGCCTGAGGTACTGGTGGCGGAGAGCTCATGCGCAGACGGAGTCTTTTCGTCATTCCAATAGGGGTGGCGGGCGAAAGGTTGTCATCTTCTTCGTCCTGAATGACTTGCTTCCCCTTCCTGCTTTTGCGGCCTGTTCTCCGGCGAGGCGTCGGCTCCCCTACAGGGTCGACTTCAACTTCCGAAGCATCGGTCGTATTCGCGTGGTCCGTGGGTTCTGGGGCGCTGGATGATGGTGGAGGGTCATGTCGAGATGATGAGGCCACAGAAGCTTCTCGTATTGACGGTTCTGGCTGGACGTCGCCCAGTACTTGATCGACGATGGTTTCGTCAGGGAGGTCCGATTGTATTGGTTCTGAGCCAACCGGGGGACAGGAGGGACAATTCCACTGCCCTTCGGGCGGCTCGCGAAATGGGGGAGAGAAACACGACATATGCCATCCTAAACAGAGTTAGTACGGAACATGAGGTACTGCGTGCATACACACCTCGATCGCAGAAGTCGCATATGAGCATCGAGGCCTGGACACCGCGTCAGCCGCTTCGTTGGGTCTGCACAGAAGAGCCGGATCATACCTCTTTCCCTTTCCTCCTGCACACGCTACAGCTCTTACATGTGGCGCATTGCCACTCGTAACTCCGCATCGCATCGCCCATGTTGTCCAATGCCATGCATGTCGGGTGCCCTAACGGCTCTTATAAGCGGGAGCGGCACGAGAAAGTACCAAAACAGACGCACCACTTCGACCGCAATCCGCGCAGCTGACCATCTGCTCGACCTCTCCGTCCTTGTTGTGGTCGTCATTGCCATGACAGAACCCACACTCCTCCTCGCGGATGGGCGGACGCTTGCGCTTCTTGTATGGTTTCGCAGGGAGGGGCACCCGCTCGCGTGGCTCCTCTTGCTCTTCCAGCATGTAAACAGGAGACGGCTGGGCGAAGGGATCGCCTTGCGGGCCTTGCGGGTAGTGATCGACGCGCGGGGTGAGGTAGGGCTGTGCGTCGGACGGGGGTGGTGGTGTCTGCGGTGAGAACGGTGTGAGATGGGGTCGGCGCGGAGCGAGACTCGCGACGCGACGCGTCCGGGAACGACCGCGTCGCGTACGTGCGAGCCGGCGGAGGCGAGGGGTCAGGGACTCACCTCTACGCGTGCGAGGTCGTCGTGCTCGGCCGTCAGGGCGGGGTCGAGCTGGGGCTCGTTGAGGGCCGGGTCAATCGGGATGTCGCCACTAGCAGAGAAGGGGGTGCCGGTGTCCCAGGACAGCTCGCGGGTGTCTGCGCCGCTGTCGGGGAACGGCAGGCCAACCATCGTGGGCAGCACCAAGGAGAGAAAGGAGGGGGGGGGCGAAAGGGCAGGCGCGGGGTGAATGCGCGCCGTCGACAACGGTGCCGGGCTGGATACGAGTTGTTTACACCTTGTTTGGCGATGTGGGGTGGACGTTTTGGGCTGATGCTCTTTGGCCCGCTCCTCAAGGCCGCAGTGCACCGGACCGTCTTTCAGCTGGGGACACACACAGATCAGGAGTGCGTTGGGAGCATCGCGGCCTGCGACGGGGACTTTCTGCGGGCTCGCTGACACAAATAATTTGTCGCCCCAGGGCTGGGGACGAGGAGGACCCCTGGGAGTGCCGGTATAGGCAGTCCGGCGATCCTGCTCGGGGCGAGGTGGGAGGCGGGGAGGACGGCATGCAAGGCTCTGAACGTCGCGTAGAGCGAGCCTCCCGTGTCCCTCCTCAGAGACCGGGACCTGTGGTCTCTGTTCTCGCTCAACGACCGAGTCTGGATGCAGGCCGCGGGCTGGCTTGGACTACGCCGGGACCGGGGTGTTCCGGGGGACTGCACCGCTGAGGACGAAAAGGCGCCCGCGAGGGACCGGGGTTTCACGCAGTGCACCACTTCGTGCCCCTCTTTGCTCTCGCTCTCTGGCCGCCAACGCGCAATGCGGACGCGATACACACGCGCAATCGATCTGCATGCATCCGTAGAACATGCAGCTGCAGAGCTGTGCGGTCGGCGGACACGCCCGAGGGAGGAAGACGGTGGTCAGTATCGAGGGGTCCGTGCGTGCCGATAGCATAGACGCCCGGAGCTCGGGCGGGAGGTGGGGGCAAAAAGCAGCGAACAGAGCACTGGAAGTCTCTGAAAACCTGCCAGGCAGCGAGCGCGACGTCCAGAGAACCGGCTGATCGTCAAAGAGGGCGCGAAAGGCGGGGCAGGGGCGGGGAAAGGCTGATTAGCGTGCGGGTGGCTGAAGGGCGTGGCTCTCTAGAACCAAACAACAAATAAGGATGCCGTGGGCAGCGACCCTCTCACTCAAGTCTGCTCTGCGCTATATCAGTTAGATAACCCCCCCTCTCCCTCTCTCCTACCACCACCTCCTCCGCACAGCGAGCTCCTCATGCAGGCCGTGGTGCACTCGATGGCTCCCCAAATGCTTCCACAGTACTCCCACCAACCTCGCCTGCCGCCGCCATCCAATATCGGCGCCCTCTCCACCCCTTCCGTCACGGCTCGCAAGCGCAAGCGGCAGCAATTCACGGTCACCTACAGCGAGGTCCAGGAGGTCGACAACACAGGCAAGCTCCGCGAAGTGATTGTCATCGACGACACTCCCCCACCGCCCACCGTCTCCCCTGCGTCGACCCACACGGCCATGTACTCGGCCTCCCTCCAACCCGCCGTCTTTTCTGCCCCAATCCGCACCCGCGCTAGAGCTGCCGCCGAAGCACAGGCTCTCTCCGCCAGCACATCCTCGGGCGCAACCCTTGCTGCGCCCGCCCCCAAGAAACGCAAGCGGGACCCGGCGGATGACGTTGGCGCCGTCTCGAAGAAGGCGGTGACGAATGGCCAGACCTCCAACGCTATCGCTCAGCGAGCCCAGGCCAACGGGAGCAACGCAGTTGCAGACGACGTGAGTCTGGCTGCGATTCTCGCTACCGGGTGTCGCTGATCCATCTCCTTTGCGCTGCAGAAGGGCCCCGCGACCTGGGACGACAAAGAGGGACACTACATTATCACCCCAGATGACATGATCTACAGGCGCTGTGAGTACATTGACCTCGCGCCGCCGAGTGGTTCTCACACTTCACTCCCCCAAGACCGCACGGTCCGTCTGCTGGGACAGGGAACATTCGGCAAGGTCGTCGAAGCTGTGGACACCGAGACCAACAAGAGAGTTGCTATCAAGATCATCCGAGCAATTCCCAAGTACCGCGACGCGAGCAAAATTGAAGTGCGGGTCCTTCAAAAGCTGAAGGAGCGAGACCCCCTCAACAGACAGTGAGTCTCATGCACCCTCTGCGTGTCATTGGCAGACTGACGTATGACTGTCAGCAAATGCATTCATTTGCTCGCTTGGTTCGACCATCGCAACCACATTTGCCTAGTTTCGGAACTCCTTGGCATGTGTGTATATGATTTCCTCAAGGAGAACGACTTCGCTCCCTTCCCTCGTCAACATATCCAAGCATTTGCAAGACAACTCCTTGGCAGTGTAGCATGTGCGTCGTCATTTCCGTCTTTTTTTGCCTTAGACGCTGATATCCGCGAATCTAGTCCTTCACGAACTTCATCTCATCCACACCGACCTCAAGCCGGAAAATATCTTATTGGTAAACAATAGTTCTGATGCTATCGAAATCCCCAGTTCGTCCAAGGTAGGTGTGAACAGCAGGCGTGTGTTCTGTTTGTTGACATTGCTTCCGTTTGTAGCGCAGTGCGCCAAAGAGGGTGAAAAGGATCCTTCAATCAACGGACATCCGACTCATCGATTTCGGGTCTGCGACCTTCGAAGAGGAGTACCATTCCAGTGTCGTGTCGACAAGGCATTATCGCGCACCTGAGATCATTCTCGGTACCGTGGAATCCTTTTTCCAGCTTCATCATCACGCTCATCGCATCATTCTGATAGGTCTCGGCTGGTCATATCCTTGTGACGCCTTCTCGCTCGGCTGCATCCTCGTCGAGTTCTTCACTGGCGTGGCGCTGTTTCAGACACACGACAACTTGGAGCACCTGGCCATGATGGAGCAAGTCATGGGCAAGATGCCTGAACGGTTCGCCCGGTCAGGTGCTCGCGCGAAGCCAGAGTACTTCAAGGAAGGGGGCAAGCTCGATTGGCCGAAGCCGAAGGCTTCGAGACAAAGCAAGAAGGACGTTAGGTCATGTCGTAGTCTTCAGGTACGGATTTGGCCTCGACGGCACTGGGCGAGCTCTGACGGATCTTGCAGGAAATTATCACTGCGACAGATCCCATTAATCGGAGTTTCCTTGACCTGGTGAAGAAGTTGCTCACGTTCGACCCCGCGCAGCGGATATCCGTCAAGGAGGCCTTGGCGCACCCGTACTTCTCATTGCCAGTCCCTCACGAATACTGAACGATCCTTGATGCCCCTCGCCCGTGCCCCGATCTCGCTTTCGCTTTCCTCAACGGTGTCAGTCTCGGTACGATATGGACAGGCCCATAGCTGCCGTTGTATACTCCCCACCCCGTCCGCATACAGTATTACTATCGCCGTCGCATGGCCGCTATCCCGTCAGGTACTAGTTGGAGCCCTTCGCCGTTTTATCTTCTGGAAGCCCCGCCCGTGTACAACACGCAATAGTGGGCAACGCAGTCTGCCTGCTTTTCTTCCCCGACGCTGGTCCTCATCCCACCCACTCCTTCCGTCCGTCTTTTTCGGTCCCGGTCGCCGGTGTATGTTTGCCCCCCACATTCCCTGAAGCCGTCCAAGTAGCCAGCTGTATCCTGTTGCCGACGTTGACCGCGACACCCATCCGACCGCATATTGCCCCGTCCGTCACCCCTCCGTTGTCCAATGCCCCCATCTTGTATCTATCCTAAGCTCATGGTTCCTTGTTTCGTCTACTAAGCATATATACATAGATGCAGCGTCGCCCTCGCAGGCTCCACAACTCACGCGCCGCTCGCCGTGCCATCAACTGCGACTGCAGCTGCAGCTCGTTGGAACCGCAACCGCGGCAGGTGCGCGGCTGGGCGAACGTGCGCCCACCCACTGAGCGCGGGGGGAAGGTGGCGATGGGGTCGGGATACGGGCGGATGGGACGGCACGCAGATCGGCTCGCTCTACGGACACAACTGGTACCAGGCTTGGTCACCGCCCTCGGCCCCCGCGCGCGGGTCCGTGCCCCATGCCCCAGCTCCCACTGCCCAGGCGTCAGGCCTTCAGGCGGCCGATATCAAGCGCACCCTCAGAGGAGTCACGTCGTCAACGATCCGGACGCGCCCGCTCGTCCGCAAGCATGCTCGGCAGCGTGGCCCGTGCGCGGAACCTCTGGCGGCGGCATCTGCTCCTGGCCCACGCCGGGCGCGGCGAGCATCGATCCGCCGCGGCGGGCCCGCGTTGCTCAGCCCGGCATCTGTCCCGGTACGTACTGCGAACGCACGCATGCACTCGCCCGCAGCGGATCTGCAGCGGAGCCTCGATCCGGCCCTCGCCGCCCGTGCCGTGGCTGTATAATAACCCGCGCGCTCTGGGGCCGCCGCTCTCGCCGGATGGAGATACGCACACCGAGGAAAATTCAGTACAAGTACTGGACAGTCTGCAAACCGCGCACCGAGCGCGGTCCCTTTGGGTCGCCGGATGCGTCCGGGCCGGAGCCTATGAAGGTTCGCGGTGACGCGGCGGAGGCGATGCACCGTCACACACGCCCATTTCGCGCGCGCCTGGGGCCCGCGCGGCCGCAACCAGCGTGAAAAGAAGGACACCACAAACGCTTGAAAGGCTGCGCGCACGCCGGGGCGTCGATAGAGACGGACGCGGGCAGCACGGCGTAGGACTACCATCGGCAGCACCTCACTTGGGCTCCGTGGGGCTCCGTGGGGCCGTTGGGAAGACGGAGGCCGCGCGCACGGGTGTCCTGCTGCGGTGCTGGCCGAGGTACCCCCTGCTCGAAGTTGGGCGGCGTCACGAGTGACGAGCGCACGCACCGTCCGAACCTCCATAACCACGAGAGCAGCCCCAGATCCACAGTCGCCGGCCCACCGAGTTCCCACTCAGCAGCGGCGGCGACGGCCCTTTGTGCCCCGAGAACAGGCCGGCGCGCGCACCAGCCCACCGCGCGCGCGAGCTCAGTCGGGCTTGTGACTGCGCGTCCCGCCGCACGCGACCATACGCACACGGACGCTGGCTTCTGGAGTCTTCTGGCGTAGCACCACGGGACCCTCGGCGACCGCAAGCCTTCGTTTCTTCCCGCCCACCGCCCCGCCTCGACGCGCCGATTCGAGGCTTGCGCTTCAAGTCGGGGGAGGCAGAGGCCGAAGGTCATCGATGTTTGTCCTCAGTAGTACATAAACAGGCACCGCGCCGCACGCGCCTTCCCGCGTCCCGCGCTCCTCCCGCGGCCCCCGTGCCTCAGCTGCCAGGCCCCGACCACGGTCGCGACTCGGCGCCGTGCGCTGCTTCTCCCGTCCACTCGTGCCCGAGACGCCGCGGCAAGTCGGCGGTGCGCTGATCCTGATTAAGATTGCGGGCGCCTGAATATGCCGTGCGTGGCCGCAGGGCGCACGGGAAGGTCCCGCCGTTCGCGCTGCGACGGAGTGCAAGGGCTCCTCTCATACGAAAGAAGCTTCGGCGGAGCAAACTCGAAAGGACGATCAAACGTCCAAACTCCCCGAGGACGCCGGGGGACCAGCGCGATCGCCCACCCGCGCGCGCCCGCACGGCGGAGGTAGCGGTCGTAAGTGGCTGCAGCAGGTGAACACTATTAGTAGTTCTCGCAGCTCGAAGGGCGCGTGACCTGCTTCTTGCCAAGATCAGGCGACGGGCCCGTCCTCTGCCCCTTGGCCGGTCTGCCTAAGAAACGCCGCGAATTCGGCAGCAGCCCGCGCGCGGCGCGAGCTGCAGACGCAGACATCGCAGTGCGACGACGCTCGCCGTGGCCATGGGAACTCGCCCGAGATGCGGAAAGGACGACGGGGCCAGCCCGCCGAGGCGGGGCGAGAACGCCAGCCGATCTTCAGGGCAGAGGGACACGCGTGTCTCATTTTGTTAGCTCTTTCCGACAATCCAACGGAACTGCAACTCAGGTGTGCCCTCACGCGTGCGCACAATGTGCGGCCGACGAGCAGGAAGGAGTTGGAGCAAAAGGTCGCGTTTCGATTCCGTAATGAGCGTGGCCGAACTAGGTCGGACCCGTAAGCCAAGTGTACACAACAGCGGCGGGGGCGGCCGGCGCAGCAGCGCGCCCTTCCGTCCTAGATACGTCGAATGCGAGCTATACCAAGCTGACCCAAAGCAAAGGATGCGATAGACGGAGCGCGCAGGCGGGGAGGACTCCGGCAGAGCTCACAGAGCGTACGCCGTGCGCAGTGTTGGGGAGGGAACGGGGTGCGTGTGAGCGGGCAACGCGGGCTCAGACAAGCTTCGCGAGCGAGATCGTGTTCTTCGTGACGTCGGTGGAGAAGTAGGCGTTCTTGAGGAACACGTCGCCAACCTGGATGAGGCGGAAGGGAAAAGAGACGCGAATTAGCACCCGAGCGTAGCAACCACGGCACGCGATTAGAACAGGAGACGCACCAGCCAGGTCGTGGCGTCGATGATCTGGCCCGAGGAGATGCCAGAGATGCAGTTCGTGCCGGTGTTGTCCGCCTGGGCGAAGACGAGGTCCTTCGTGCTGATGTCGAACGAGGTGCCGCCGAACGACAGCGCGACGGTCGAGTTGGTGTTGCACGGGATGACAAACCCGCCCTGGCCGTCGGACTGCGCGCCGGAGATGAGCTTGTGCACCGCATCAGCGTCGGCAGTGGGAGCGATGATGAGGGTGGTGCCGGTGTCGAGGATCGCGGTGCGGCCAGTGAGCCCAGTGTCGGTGCCGTCGACGGTCACGGCGTCCATCGCGCCCTCCCAGAAGCCGGCGGCCTGGCCGGAAGCGGCGTTGTTGAAGGTGGTAAGCGTCGCGGAGTCGAACTTGGTCTCGTCGAGGCCGCCGAAGGTGATTTCGCCGTCGTTGGTGCCGTCAGAGACACGGGAGATCTTGTACGAGGTGATAGCGTCGGTGATGAGGCCGGCCTTGGCCATGGACTCGACGGGGGTCAGGACCTGCTGGTTGGAAAGGGTCTGCACAAACAGTGAGCATGTACGGATTATGCGCGACAAGGAATGGAGAACCGACCGACTGAGCGAGGCCCATGAGACCATCGAAGGGAACGGAGGAGTCCGAGAAGTCGGTCGACTCAGTGGCGGCGGCGCCGAACGAGTGGGCAGAGAGGGTCAGGCCGGCGACCGTGATGTCATCCGTGACGATGGTACCAGTAACGTGGCCAGTGCCGTAGGTAACCTCGAACGCCTTGCCGCTGTCCTTGAAGGACGAGGAGCTGGTGGTCCCGAGCGTGGTGTGGGGGCCCTACAGTTGCGAAATGAAACGATGAGTGCTTGGTTGTGGTTCGACATGCATTGAACCCTTACACAGGTGCCGCCACCCTCAGACTGGCAGCTCTCGCCCGCGACCCAGAGGTCCGCGGAACCGGAGTCCATGAGAAGCCTGTAGTCCTGAGGAGGGGTGCCCATCTGGACCGTCGCAATGTAACCGACGTCGCTACCCCTGCGATCGCGGTCTGTCAGTACGTCTCCACCGCTACGAAACACGCGAACGAGCACTCACTCGATGTCAAGACCGAGCGAGTTGTTGCCGGTTGGGTCGCTGGCAGGCGTGAGGTTCGCCTTGGCGGCAGCAGCCGCGGTCGAGCTGCTGACGACGTTGGTGCCGGCGGCGGCGGCGGCGGTGGCATTGCCGCCCTTGCCCTTCTTCTTGCGCGCAGCCTCGTTGGTGTCGGTTGCCGGGGTCTTGTGCTTGTGGCCGAGCGCGGACAGTTCCGAGGTCTCGTCGTCCTCCGCGTCTTCGTCATCGGCCTCGTCCTCGTCTTCCTCGACGAGCGAGTTCGGGTGAGACGCGGTGCCGCCGCGGTTGAAACGCTTGAAGTGGGGGCGACCGTTCTGGGGGATGTAGAGCCGCTTCAAAATGGCCTCCTCGAGGTCGCGCTTGCTGGGCGGGGAAACGCCCTTCATGCGCGCGATACGACGCTGGCCGCGGTTGATGTGCTGCTGGAGGAGCTACAAGCAAACGCGGGATGAGACGATAGGACCGGATCGGAGGACGGGCGCGGGGAGGGGGCGCGGAGCGAGTCTGGAAGGAGAGCACATACCACCGAAGGATGAACATCTCCGCGGTTCTGGTGGATGCGGGTGAGAGGGAGGGTGATGGTCTTGGAGCGCTTGACAGGCACGGCCTGGACGTCGGCGGCGGAAAGAAGGAGGAGGACGCTGGCGAGCAGGGTGGAGAAAGAGAGAGCGAGCTGCATGATGAGGACCGGCCGGAGACGCTACAAGGAGACAGAAAGAAACGCGAGAAGGAAAGGACAAGGACCCGGCCTTGGCGAAGAGGGGAGAGAATGGCGAGCAGCACTGGCCCAGCACGGCTTTATACGCTGATTGTCGGCAGGCTGCACGCCCCACTCCTCGCCCTTCTCCCGCTTGCTCTAATCCCCCGGCCAATTATAGCCCCGGCCCGCCTCCCCGCCCCCGCCGTCGCACTTCGTCGTTGTCGTCCGCCCTCGCGCCCCATGTTCTGTCCGTCCACCCATTATTAGCTAATACAGCTCCAGGACATCTCGCAGGACCTCACCTGCCCTACTGCATTTTGGGCAGCGGCCCACATCGCCTGATCGACACTTGGCCGCTCGCCGCCTGCGCCGCAGCCCCCTTCCAGGCACGTCCTGCCTGATCATGAGGCAAATCTCGCGTCCATATCTCGCTGTCAAGGCAGCACAACGCCTTTCCGTTCCTACGCACTATGTAAAAGTAATACGCCCCTACAGGCAAACATGCGCGCTGGCCATCAGAAACCCTACCAGCCACCGCGCCCACGGGCTCCAGTCTCGGCCAGACCCCGTCGCCCAGTTTCTAACACGATCACAGACGCGCCTTCGCTGCCGCATCTTCCGACCGCACGCTCGTCGGCAAAGTGTCGCGCCCGATCGCCCGAATCGCCGTCCTGTACATCTCCCGCTGCCAACCGGAATCACGTCCGCGTGGACCCATCAGGGATTTAGACATCAGCGTACGCCCCCTCCGCAGTCCGAGCCCCGATGCCGTGATCGCGCACGCACCTTGTTCACCCCCCACGCACCGCTCTTCGCCAGCGGCGCCAGTGTGCTCGCCAGAGCCCCCGCCTCGGCTAGCAGCGTCTCCGTGTCCGCCGCGGCCGACGTCTTGTCAACGAGCCCGAGCCCGAGCGCCTCCTTCGGCGTGAACCGGTGACCCTCGAGCACGATCTTGCGGTACACGTTCGGGCTCGGGGCTTTCTCCTGTAGCACCGCCATGAGCCCCGTGGGGATCTGTGCGCCGAAGTGGATCTGTTCGCGGTGCGCGGGGTGGCACGGGGCGTCAGTTTCATCAAGACTCGAGAGCGTTCTCGGCGCGGCGGGATCGGCGCAGGTGTGCTAGGAGTGCGCACCTCGTTCATGGAGAGCCAGGAGTTGCGCTTGCTGCCGTCGAACATGACCCGGTAGTCGCAGGCCATTGCCATGCCCATCCCGCCTGCGAAGCCGTGGCCGTTGACCACCGCGATGACCGGGACTGCAGGAGCCTGCAGTCAGCGTGTACCGATGCTGGGCCGTTAAAGTTGCTCACTAGGGAACGTCATTAGCCGGACCATCAAGGGGTTGAAGACCACTGCGAACATGAACATATTGTCAACCATCGGAACGGCTATGGTACGCGAGACACATACGGGGGAAGAAGTTCACAGTGAAATTCGGATCCTTGATCAAGTTGTCCCAGTCAAGCCCTGCGCATGCCCACAGACGTTAGCGTTCACAACAACGTTCACGCACCAATCCGTCCGCGCACATCAAGCGGCGTCCATGCGCGCACGAGCATGGACGCCATGCATGGAAACGGGACGCACCACGCACCGTTACTGAAGAACTTGTCCTGCTTCCGGTTCCCCACAATCATCAACGCGCCATGGCACATCTCCGGCTGTTTCTTCGCGACGCCCGCCCGCCAGTTCTCGCGCCAGTGCCGCTCGACGGTGTCCAGGGCAGGGAGAAGGCCGTGGGTGATGAACTTCTCCGTCATGCGGTTGTCCGCGCCGTTGTGCATCTCAATGACCCATGTCGAGGGCGAGGCTGTGGGACGCGCGTGAGAGGTATCCGTTGGCGCGACGGCGAGCATGGACACAGGGCGATGAGCACTTACGGTTCGTGACGGTTATAGAGGGAGAGTCGGCGGGGAAGCGTGCGGGGTAGGACATCGTGGTGTGTGGTCGTGGAGTCGGAAGTCTTAGACAGGGGTTTGAGTGCGGTCCGGGTGGCAGAATGCGAAGATGCCGGACGAGCGCACACTTAATCCGAGCGCGTTTGCAGACGTCCCCAACGCAGTTTCACATGCCAGAGCGTATTAGTGGTGAGCTTGGGCATCGTGTTGCGCTCCTTTGCTTCGAATATAGGGGTAGCACAGTGATCAGTTCGATGCCGACGCGTGTAAAGGAGCAACGAGCCGGATGGTCAGAAGAAAGTACGGCAGATTCACAGTGGGAAAGTGAAACGGTTTTTGTCACGTGATTGTATGGGCGCTACCTGCCGACGTTTCCGCCCGAAGCGCACCGGCCTCGAGCAGCTCACTGTCGTCCACGACTATCACTCACGTTCCTTGGTCATGCCTCTCGACGCCGTCTATCAGGAGGAGCTTAAAGGTTTGTACCCCTTCACGTGCGTTAAGGGCCCAAAATTCTCATATGTCTGACAGCACGGCTCGCCGAGCGCGAGCACCTCATCCGCGAATCCTGGGTCCGCGCCATGGAGGCCAAGATCGTCCGCCAGCAGCTCGACCGCTGCTACCTGACGGAGGGCGTTAATCACCTGGAGAACTGCAAGGAGTACCGAGAAAAGTACCTCGTCATGTTGAAGGAGAACCGGGTGCGTCTGTGACAGCACTCTACGCCCCACACATGTCTGACTGGTTCATGCGTGCTTTCTCTGCTATATACAGGTCCGTGGATACAAGCACATCGAGACCTAGTTTTTTTTCAATGCATGCCCGTTGTTTTTTTCCGCGCCCCGCTGTGATTCGTCTTGCAAGTGCTTTCGAATGAACCATGCCAGCACCGTGAAATCTCTCTCCCAGCCCGCTGTCACAAGTCCGCATATCCGGCGTAAACGAACCCGAAGTTCCCTATCTCCTCACGCTCATATTCAGATGCAGCAGGAAGGCATTATTATCAAGCCAGAACTACGGTACGCCGGTGCTCGTCCATAGCCCCATGGGATATCGCTACCTCGGATCCAGTGTCTTCATCACAAGATGTCGCTCGTTCATAGCATCTGCTTCCACTTTTTCTCCTGCTCGTCCATTCGCTCCGGACAACAGCATACCTCCGCTACCCTCACTGTGCTCCCTAAGAGCGGGTGCGCTGTACAGAATCCCTCCATACTGTATCTTCCACATTCGTCGTCGGTAGTTGCTCAACGTTGCATGCCTCTTACCGCTTCCTGTACAATGAGACGATCGACTGCGGAGCCATTCGGTTCTATGTGTGATATATAGCAGAACATAGCCACCTCGTTATGCCCTCTTACATATCACGGAGTGCAGCGGGATGGCAAACACGGCAATGCGATTATTTGGCCTGGGTAACAACACTTAAGCGAACTCGAGAACTAACACTACATTTCGTACACGCCATCGTATCAACGCAAGAAAGAGTTGGCGAGGAGAGTGCCACAAATCAGGCGTTGTGAATTGTGGACAGCCGAATTTGACCGGATGTCATTTTGGAGGTTGTTCGACCTTTCGTCAGAACTCGATCTACATGCGAGAACTCAGTAGAGCCGTGGATCGAACACTGCGCACTCACCTCGTCCACCACAGATGGCATGTCCTGCAAGGCCTTTCCCAGAAGGTGCACCTGGCCAGCGAATCCTCTACAGTTGCCGCACCAAAGCTCGCTGGCGGTGAGCGCTTGCTCCCACACGGCCTCCGGAGACTGTGGAGAGAACATGTAGCCTGGGGTATCTTCGATGGTGGCAGCCACATTCTGGATTTTGTACTGCAGCCACGCTTCTACCCCGGACGGTCCCAAGACAGTCTCCGGCGTGATGTTGACTGTCAGGGTCGCTTGTTGAGCTTCAGCTGCTTCATGGACGTGGAGTGGGTCTGCGACGACCACTGAGGGGTGTGGGGTGCGGGACGTGATCCCAAGGAGCAAGCGTTTTCCGGCGGCGGAGCACGCCTCCCGATACTTGATGAGGCGGTGGTAGGGGCCGGCTGGGAAACGCTGCATGTGCTCGACGTATAGTTCGCACAAAGGAATCTTCAGCGTGAGCTTCGCGAGACGCTTCGAGAGGGTGTCCAAGCCGGCAACAGCGGCCAAAAGGTATGCATATATAGGATCCTCCGTGGCCAGAGCGAGGAACCTGTCCCCAAGGTTCGTGGCATCGAAGGCAATGCCATATTTCGTGGCTACGACCAAGAGTTCATGAATTCGGGAGGGAGAGACATCAGTTGGGATGGTGACCGGGGAATACGAGTGGCAGGCGTCCAGTACAAACGACAGTGTCTCGCCCGTTTCTTGAACTGGAACTCCTTGGATATTATAGATAATCCTTGTGCTTCATGGTCCAGTACTTCAGTCCGTGAGTAATTTCACCTCGTATCATGTGATGCTCACCTATACACTGAAGCTTTTTTGCCCTTGCCCTTGGTCCTGCTCTTCTGTAGGTCTGACCTGGAAACCCCTCGCGGGGCTGCCTCCAAATATGCATGGAGACTCGGTGATGCTTTACGGATCCTAGCTTCGTTCGCGTGGAACATAATGCCATCAGAAGACTGGAATATGAGGTCTGCCTCAGGAAACGTCGTCTCGAAGGCATACACAATGGGTGCAGGATGGGTTTGCGCAGTGGGTGTAGATCCTTTTGTATCGCACTTCCAGAGCTGGAACGATGAGGTCACATTTCCACGAGCTCGCCGATATTCCCAGCACCGGTGGTAATCGCCGGATGTGATGGCTTCCACGGTGAGGAGAGGGGTGAATGGATCCAGCGCATCGTTATCGAAGGTAAGGTCTAGAAGCCGACGCGCCACGTCCTCCAGCCTATTCCGGCATGCGACGAGCCACACTTGAGGCCACTGACTGATTCTACATGCGCGTGCGACCATTTCGTCTTCGATGACCGCTGTGGGGAGCACGAGGGCGTAGTCCATGCCCAAGCGGAGAGCTTTCTGGAGGAGGTCTAAGGTGAGGTCGGTGAGTCTCGGAGTGATGATTGGATAGCATATCCGTAGGATGAGCTCGATGGCGTCGCTTGCGGCAGGGATATCAAGGATAGTGGGACTGCCTTCCGACGCGAGCAGTCGCTCAAACACGGGAGAGGCCTCGAGCAGGATCTCCTTCCGGACGTGAAAGCCAACGGCGTCGAGGGATCCAAGGACTATCCCTGCATCAGGTTTGTCGAAAGGAGAAGGGGCTTTGGATCGAACGACGAGTGGTGCAGTTTCTTCCGAGTCGATGGGTTCAGACGCTTGGGGAAGCCCGTCCGGGTCGATGGCCAGTTGCACAAATTCGTCTGAGTGGACAGATTGGAGAGAAGGGGAGGAAGGAGAGCAAAGCTGCTCGAGCTCTGTGGCCATGGTGGTCGGTCCTGCGTCGAGTTGACGGGTAGCGTTTGAGGGGACGCGATGTCCAGAGTACGAGGTGCCAGAAGTGCTTCTCTACCGCAGCACACCCAGATTACGTGCAGGATCGTGGCAACTTCCGGGCGGTAGAACGCGAAGATGCTGGATGAGCGCACTCATATCCGGTAGCGCATAACGCATAGACCTTGGGGCAAATAATGCATAGTATTCCTACAGGTTTTGGTGGCGGGAACGCCGTGCTTCTCTCGGCCTCCTTCGCCGATCCGAACCTACTAATGTGCAAGTCCGAACTGAATGGAACTCACAGTAGGGAGCTACTATACTTGAACGTCGAAAACTGACTCGGAATGAGCATCCACTCTTCATCCAAGATACACTTCTGGATGAATGGGAAGATATAGAAGCGCGAGAAAACATGAATTACTCACCATGCAGACGATCTGTTGCATTTTCGTCCATCGTGCGACTCGACAGTCGCCACCAATGAGGAACGAGAAGCGGAAGCGACCGTTGAGCGCGGAAAATGGTGTGTAGTAGAAGTCGTGTATTTGTTAAGGTATAAATGCACGTACCGATACATGGGAGAGGTGGGAGCGTTGAGAGCAAAGGGCACAAATGAGGTTATCGGGCTGGCGGAGGCGAAGCTCAGATCGCACCGCCCCGATGCGGCCAGGCCGGACCGCGGTCCTACTCGACAACTTGATCGAATTTGGAAATTGGTGGGCAGTGGACAACGTCACCAACACTTCGTCAAGTTGTAGAACATACATATATATGCAGCTACATAGCTCCCACATCACTCTCTTTGATAAGGCAGGATCAATAGCAAGGATTAAGAAACTTTGTATGGTCGGCGAGTTGTAGAGGTGTTTTAGATATATTTATATCCGAGGCAGCGTACGCCAGTGCTCGTCCATACCCAAGCTGGGTGTCATTTTGCGCCTCGCGTGTCCCTCTCAAGTACAACAACACACGTACTACTTGCGGCCCTTGCGTTTGCGGCCCTCGGCCCCGCTCTCAACGCCGCTCGTCTCATCGCCACTGGTCATACCGCCAGACTTGCCCTTCCGCGTGGTCTTCTTCAGGTGGTGCTCCGGAATCCACTCCTCCTGGTACCCGCCTGCGCCGGTCGCCGTGACGGGGCCCACGGGAGCGCTGACCTGGGCCGCGGCGGACTTGCGCTTCTTGGGCTGGGGCGCGAGGGTAAGGTAGGTGTAGTAACCGGCGCCGCCGAGGATGGCAAGGACCATGCCGTACGTCGTGAGCCTGGTGCACGGAGAGACACGTAAGATTTTAAACACGGGACGGAGGCGGGACGAAAGACATACGCCTTGAAATCAAAGAAGGAAGACTCGGGCTCGACGACCGTGACGATTGAGTCGTAAGCCATGACGCGGTAAGTTTGACCCTGTGCACAATATGAGGCCTTGTGCCCTCAACGCAAGAGAAAAGGGGGACGAACATCGACTGAGTGTTCAACCCACACGTTCAGCCTATAGTCACCAGGCTAGAGGGCAGGCAGTCGCCGTGTAAGCACGGATAGAGTGACAGGAACACATGAGCGGATACCTTGAACCTGACATGCAGTCAGTAAGGGGATGCACGCCTCAAGAGTGAGAAGTCACTCACTCGCTGTAAAACATGAAGGGAAGCTGAAGAGGAGTGTTCTCGTGCAAGGGGAAGCCAAAGTTGGAATGGGTGAACTGCACACGGGTCGTGAGCACACGAGCAGCGAAGCGGCGTGCACACGTACGTTCTTAAGAAGCTTGCCAGAGTCCGCGTAGTGGATGGAGCCCGCGACGTTCTTGAGTGTGACATTGCGCTCGGCATCCTTGTTCTCGACGTTGACGATAATGGTGTTCCGCTCACCGTTCACGACGTCTGCCGTAGCACCCACGCCCCTCCGTCACTTCCAGAACGCGTGCGAGGTGGAAATATACGCACGACCAAAAGCATTGCTCTCCGGGAAGTGAGCAGCCGCGACGACCTCGGGCTCGCCATCCACAGGAGCTGGAGAACAGTCCCAGGTGAGCCGAAGTGAAAAGTTGTGCAGTGGGGAGGGGTGCACAGTCACGTACAAGCGAGAACGCTCTGAATGAGCGCGAGAGAGCCGACGAAAAGACCGACGAAACCGAAGAGACGCATCCTGGGCCAGACCGAAGAGAGTTTGAGGGGAAACACAGGAGTTGATGTGGAGTCCGGTATATGTGCCACGTCCGCCTGCCGTATCCGGAAATATATCACGTGGTCGCGAACCTCACTATCTAATCTACAGGCGCCTCGTTCTCAACTTCACCCAACAACTCAGGAGGCAGGCAAGCAATAGCCATCGATGATGTGCAAAAGAAGCCCAGGATGCCGAAGCCAACGACCCAGATGAGGTCATTATAATGATACAGAGGGGAATGCAACATCTACATCGGCGAGAACATACAGTACCAAATCTCAACCCAGACAAGTAGCGGAGAGCCTACGATGGCTTTTTGAGTAACTCTTTTGCCAGGTCTCCTGGCTCGCCGGAGGTGTCTGGTAGCCAAAACGCCTACAACAACAGCCCAATTAGCAATGACATTACGACATTACAGCAAGAACACTCACAAGTTCTGCTCCAGCAGACGCTAACATTGCCAGTCGCGGGTTGAACTTCACGCACCGTGCGGGCCCTGGATGACCTTCCAGCACCATGGTTGGCAGCATAGGTTTCACCTCCGCCTTGGGGTTCTCTTGCGGCGGCAAGTTCGACACGTCCCATACGCATATCCTCCCGTCCAGGCTCCCGCTGACGATAAACTTGCTGTCCGGGGTCCATGAGACCTCCTCTCCGCTGCACCCTTTCGTCGGCTCAATGGTGATCTGCGCATCCAACCGTCTCCGCTCCAGACCCTTGTGCCCTTCAAGCTTCGCGACGAGGTAACCGGTGAAGGAGTCGACGATGTAGTGCGCGTCTCCAGAGCAGCCGACAAGGATGTACTTGCCGTTGGTGGAGAAGGAGAGCGAGGTCATGAAGATGGCGCGGGGTGGGTATGTGATTCGCGCGAGTGAGGGGTCTTCGAGCGTGATGATGAGGAAGGGGGCTTTGTCGAAGTTGGAGATGTCGTACAGCAAGATGCGTGAATACTGGTTCATACCGACCGCGAATACAACGCCATTCTGATCGTATGCAACTACCGGGGACGCGGGGAGGTTGAGGATCCCACGGCAGCTCGGCGAGCGGAGGTCCCAGACGCGTACAGTCTTGTCTAGGGAGCCGGACATGAAGCCGTCGTCCGTCGGGGACATTTCAAGGGAAATGACGCGATCCTTGTGCCCCTTGAAGTATTGGAGGTACTTGTTGTCGTGCAGGGCATGGTACCGGATGGTGTCGTCCTCCTTCGTAGACGCGTACACGATCGCAGAGTTTTTGTGCGTGAAGCGTGGAAGGTCGACGCCGTACTTCTTCGAGTACAATATTTTTATCTGCCTGTAACAAGAGTAGGGGCGACGAGGAGAAGAGGGAGCGTTAGTCCACGCCAGTAGCGTCCGCAGGACAAAGAGAACTCGCTTCCCGGTTTTGCAATTGTACAGCCTAAACGTCTCGTCCTCCCCGGCGGTGATAACCTGGTCCCCCCTATCGTCGAAGCTAAGCCCTGTGATGTGGCGCGGTCCCTGTTGCGCCTGAGGGGAGCGTCCGCTATGCCCAGGCGAAAGCGGCGCAGAGGGTTCGACGGCGGTCTTGAATACCTTGGCCGCCTTCATCTTGCTCTGTCCATCCTTCATCAACACGATGAAGTATGACGGGGTCAAAGGACGTGTACCATTACTGTCGGTGTGAGCGAAAGCGGCGCCGGGGGGTCATGGCTGCTCATCGTCGGCGGTGGTAGCGGAGGTGGGATGAGACAGAGTGATCGAGACGCCTGCTCGAGTCGCGTTCGGCCGCGAAATTTCGAGCGTCTGCCTGATTCTCCCGGAGCCACCTCCACTGTGTCTTGTCTCTATCCCCTTGATACCCGCGAACATGTCGAACCCCGGAGAGCAGGAGGAGGCCGCGAAGCTGTGGAAGGTCAATCGTACGATCCATGAGCTGGTGAAGGACAGGGTGCGTCGGTTGTACCGGCAAGGTGGCTTTAGCTTTGGCTTAGGCTGGGCGTGCAGGGGTTTCAAGTGTCGGACGAGGAAATCCACATGGATTTGGCTACTTTTCGCCAACACTATGCTAGCCAAACTGGCGTGGTTGAGTGAGTACACCGTCGTCTTGGGTCGCGTCATTCTCACAAGCTGTTTGTCAAGCCGGAGTCAATTGAATTTCTTCACGAATCACCGTGACAATGTCCAGCACCAGATATTCGTGTTTTTCACGGATGAAAAGAGCGTCGGTGTCAAGACAATGCGAAAGTGAGTGCTCGGACATCGATGTTACGCGTCTGCATGCTCCTTGACACCGGCCGAATCAGACTGTTGGGCATTCTGGAAGAGAAGAACATTGCCCAAGGTGTAATCGTCTTCCCAGGGAACATGACGCCCTCGGCACGGAAGGTGAGGGTCCTCCATTCTCGGCCGCTGTCGCTATGATAAGCGTGCCGACCCCCCGTCCAGGTCATAGTCGCTATGTCGAGCACATTCAAGCTGGAAGAGTTTTCAGAGTCGGACCTATTGGTCAACATCACTCACCATACCCTAGTCCCGAGGCACGAGGTTCTCACCGCCGAACAAAAGAAGGAACTGCTCGAGACGTAGTGCGTGATATCCCCCCGGTGTTTTGGAGCTCGCTAACCTACCGTTATCTGAAGCCGGTTGAAGGAGACGCAACTGCCCCGTATACAGCTCGCGGATCCTGTTGCACGCTACTACGGGCTGAAGCGAGGCAATGTCGTTAAAATCACAAGGCCCAGCGAGACGAGTGGACGATACGCCAGCTATCGCATCTGCTTCTAGGTCCCTTGCTCCCTATCATTATTTCTCGCCCCACGCCGTCGTTGACCTCCTCCTCCAGCTAGGTAACTCCGCCTTCCAGCATTCTAGACCTCGATTGTCATATGCTATGTAGCCATCTATTCGTTGTCTGTTACCTGCATTGTACATTTCTCCGAAGTTTTTCTCCGCAATCCAGTCCTGTTCCACCGGAACCGGGCCAATGGTGCCAATTCTCAACAGTTCGGGCGGGTGAGTGTTCTCCTGTCACTAGTCCGTTTTATGAGTATTGATGTCGACGATTTGTCTGTCGTTCGCTCAGTGAGGGTCGAACCCGTGTCCTATTGGGAATAGTGCGGTTGGTCACCCTTGTTCTCCACATTACTCGGATCTGGTGCAATAAGGCGGTGGGTGAGTAGCGTCTTCCCAGCCTGCTTTGACATGATGGAGCACCGTTCCATTCGTCGCTCTCGCGCACCTGCCCAATATCAGCCTCGCCCTTCCACGACTTCGGCCGCTGCAGTCTGTTGACAGCCGTGAAACAGACTGCAGCGGCAGGCATTGGGCTGGTGAAGGGACTGAGCAACGGACAGTAGCACGACAGCTGTGTAAAGTCGCTCCGCCGGAGGCTAGAAAAGGCCTTGCTGTCCCTGCTACATGTCAAGTTTATTTTGACAACTTCTGCTCACGGCGCCGTCCGATGTCGCCTCGTTCCCCGAGTTGCTATGTAGAGAAATTGCACTGTGTTAAGAATCCGTCTGGAAGGTTGAGCCTCAGGGGCTGTCCTGCCGTACTGTTTCTTGTCTTTCTGTCGGACCGTGTCTGTTTCTATGTTGCAATCCCGGACCCGTGTGGCTATCCCCTGCATTTTCGCGGGAGCCAGCGGGTGATCGACTTCGCGTTATTCGGGGTGTCGCTCGGGCATCCCCAACCGCCGTCCCCGAGCGTAACTGTCAGAGCCCCTACGTCTTGGCTGCGCCGTTGCCGCAATGCTTACTTCGGCTCTCCGTCCCTGCCTTCCAGGTGAGTCTTACGACACGCCTCACTACACACTGGACGGCTTGCTGACCTTGCCTCGCCGCCCGAAGTCATAAGCACGGCGGCGCCGGCGGCGGACATCAGCCCGTTAACCACCACTTTGACTCCCGCCGAAATTTCTGTTTCGGTGCATCCCGAGGTGTCCGAGGTGTATCAAGAACCTACGTTCTCAAACCGATCCGCTCCTCCCGGGCTCAATGTGGCACAACGCTCGGGAAGGGGCGGTCGATGCGAAGGAGTCCTTGATGAGCTGGCCATGCGGGTCTTCCTATGGCGTAACAAGGTGCGTCAACGGGATGTAGGAAACATGAGATGTTCCCTAGTAAGCATCCCATCTTATATGCGGTTCTGGTGCTGAATCCGCCTTTGTTCCAGGTTCGTACTAAGGGATTTCTTTTCGAACGTCCCGACTCCTGGGCTTCCTGAGAATGGAATAACCAGACTTGTACATACAGCCTCGTATGGTACGTCTTCGTACCCCATTGCCAAATATGTGGTCGATCGTGTCTCGAGAACCTGGGGAGGAATCGAGGATCCTCGTCGACTTCCCCGACGCGGGCGTCTCGGTCGTCTGGTATGACATCGTCCAATCCCACGCAGCGCCGCCATCTTTCAGCTCGTCTTATGCGTGGCGTCGTTGGTACACCCTCGGCTGACGAAGACTCGATGCAATTCCAGGGTTTTCTTACATTGGGGGCACCCACCCTGTTTCCACCAGTGAAACATTGCCAAACGCGAGGCGAAGACGCGTACCAATTTGATTCTTCCGCGGCTCGAAGTCGGCTGAACCGCATATCGACGCCATCCAGCGCCTTGTGTTGTCTCCCGGCTTTCGGGTTCGCGCAAGCCGACGGCACAATCTCCGACCTGCTGCGCACGTACTCGCACCCGCACAAACAGCAGAGGACAACGGCAAAGGTCCGAGGCGATAGCAAGTTCCCGCAGCGTGTCACGTTGAGACCGCTCGCCTGCCCGCACCGAGGCTCACCGTGTCCCGACAGAACCCGGCGGATTCCGGACGAGGCGGAACCGTCGATGCGTCGAACCAGATCCCACGTGGGGCGCGCTGAGCGGGATGCACGCCCGCCCTCGCGCCGACGCCGTCCCTGCCAGCGAACTGCACGCGAGTGCCCCCTGAGTCGGCGATTGCGACCGTAGCTCTGGAGTATCGCCCGGCGATCGACCTGTCCTGGTCTGCCATTCCACCAGGCGTGTCCTGCCGCGGGCCTCCAAACAGACGTCCCGTAAGTCCGAAAATTTCCTCCGACAGCCATGGCGCGCCCGTTGCTGACTTGCGCCCGCAGTCACGGTCGCGTCTACGAGTGCGTCTCCACGCGCCCACCTTGCGAGAGACCACGAAGAACCATATCACCGACGGTATCGGTGCGCGCCAAGCATAAACATGGGCAGGCCTGTGCACCTGATGCGCCGCGCACTGCCTGTCCGCCCTCGGAGAGTGCGTACAACGCGGGCTTCCGTGCGCGTGTGGGTGACCCGCAGGAGTTGATTCGCGCTTTTGATCCGGTACGCTCGTAAAGAGATCTGATCTTTACACACGGGGCCTAAATGACAGAATTCTGTAGGTCCTGTGGCAACTGAGGGCCGATTCTGCGCCAGCCCATCGTCCATGCCGCCGATCGAGCGGTGTGCCGCATCCTCGGCAACATGTCACCACTCTTGTTTTGGTCGGTCCCTGCTCATGCGCGCAGCTAGATGGGCTGTCTGGTTCGATGTTTGACAGGCGAGGCTCCAGTCGTATCGTATAAAAGAACCCCGGCCAGGTGCCCAGAGTCTCATCGCAAAGGATACATTCGCCTTCGCAGCAAGCCCACCACCGCCTTCAGCACTCAGCACACCTGAACGCTCGACCTTACCCCAACAACACCAGACCAATCCCCTCGTACAGCTTCCCAGCCCAGCCCAACAACCTCCGCACAATGGCCCCTACCCAGTTCACCCTCCCCAACCTCTACGCCATGTGCCCTCTCGAGGGTTCGACGAGCGAACACTACGAGAAGGCCGCGGCCGAGTCCCGCGCGTGGGTCAACAACTACCACCTCTTCAAGGGCGCGAAGCTTGCGTTCTTCCTCCAAGGCAACAACGAGCTCCTCGTTTCACACACGTACCCGTACGCGCCGTTTGCGCAGTTCCGCACCTGCTGCGACTTCGTCAACCTCCTCTTCGTCGTCGACGAGGTTTCCGACGAACAGGACGGCATCGGTGCCCGCGCCACTGGCGAGGTGTACCTCAACGCCATGCGTCACCCTGACTGGAATGACGGCTCCGTCCTGGCCAAGATGACACTCGAGTACGTTCTGTGCCTGGCTTCTTCCTGTCACAAATAATGATCTTCTCGCCGCGCCTACGCGTCATACGTTTCTGCACCCTAGGTTCAAGCAACGCCTGCTAGAGCACGCCGGCCCGAACTCCTACCGCCGTTTCCTTGTCCACTGCGCTGATTACATCAACGCCGTCGCCCGCGAAGCAGAGCTGCGCGAAGCTGGCGAGGTGCTCAGTCTCGCCGACTTCGAGCCTCTCCGCCGCGAGAACAGCGCAATCCGCCTGTGCTTCGGCCTCTTCGAGACGTGCCTCGGGATCGACCTCCCCGACTCCGTCTTCCAGGACCGTCAATTCATGACGCTCTACTGGGCTGCCGCCGACATGGTCTGCTGGGCTAACGTGAGTCCTTCCCTTCGACCCGTCTCCCTCGGTGCTCTGCACCGCATGCTGTTCAATCGCCCCTGGCTGCCGCTCAGGCCTAGCCCCACAGCGGGCTCGGAGCCGGCTCTAGCACCCACCCGTCAGTGATAGATTGCTCACCCGCCCCCCTCCACCGACAGGACGTGTACTCGTACAACATGGAGCAGGCCCGCGGGCTCGCGGGGAACAACATCGTGACCGTGCTCATGCGCGAGCACGCCATCGACCTGCAGGCCGCCTCGGACCGCATCGGCGCGCACTTCGGCGCGCTCATGGACACCTTCGTGCGCACGCGCGCCGCGCTCCGCTCGTTCGGCAGCCCCGCGCTCGACGCCGCCGTCGCGCGCTACGTCGAGGCCATGGGCCACTGGATCATCGGCAACCTCGACTGGTCGTTCATCTCCGCGCGCTACTTCGGCGCGGAGCTCCCGACGGTCCGCGCGACCGGCGTCGTCACGCTCAGCCCGCGCGTGCGGCTCGATGAGGACTCGGACGTCAGCGACGACGCGGAGGAGGAGCAGGAGGACGCCAGCGCCGTCGCGCGGGAGCAGATCAGGGCGTAAGCAGCCCCATCGGGTTAGTCCTCCGCACGCTTGGTTTTTGCTCGCTGCGCCCGCTGCCAGATGGGCTTGCGGGTGCGCGGGGCGAAGGCGGAGAGAATCTGGGCGCTGACCGTAACTTGGGTTCGTGCAGATGCGGGCCTTGAGGATGGCACGGTGGCGCGAGGTTCTCACGCGCTCCTCGTTGCCCATACCACCATCCGTGATCACGCCACCTACCACCATCCCTCATCACGCCGCCGCGCACGGATCGTTTTAGATCCGAGATCCGGTGGTTGTGTGAGCCGCTGTGGGCTCGCGCCAGTCTGTTTGGTCGTATGCTCTGGGCGCGAGCTTTTTCTTGGATCCAGTCCTGTTTCTTGGACCGCACCTCGTGGAGATGTATCTGTAGCGTGTATTTGTTTGAGATCGAGGGTCTACCAGACTCGCTGACCCGTTCTGACCTACGCCTTCTTGTATTCATTAGCGCCTCGCGATGTGCTCCGTTGGCTTATTTCACACTGCTGATGTATTCTGATGTATTACATCCTATCCTAGAGTACGTCGAGACTTAATATAAAGGATTCCGTCACTCCATGAACGTCCGTTGGTCGGCATGCAGTGCCATCTTTCCGCCCAAGTCTCGGCATGCTTACCATCTGGTGGTTGCATGTCCCAAGGTTCTGTGGTCCTTCAGACATTCATGTCCGACTTCATCATTATTGTGGTGACATGTGAAGGGGTCTTTCATCGGTCTACGCACCGAATAAGTCTAGTCCTCTGGAAGTTGTGTGAAAAGCAAGACAATAGCGTTTGTACTATTGAGTGGTCGAAAAATCAGCGGCTGACCCGCATCCTACTGTGCATCGGAAAGCCTCCGGTAAGTTCTACCGTCGCCCAAAGCGTCCCAGTGCCTCAACCAAACATATGTCGTGATAGGGTATAGAGTAAGGGCGCCCCATTCCCCAGCATACTGGGAGCACAAGGTGTCATCGCATTCCGGTAAGCACACCCTTCATTCTGTCGTCTACCATGCCAAGACCCGTCTCTTATCATCCTGCAAATGCCACCACATGCAACATTGCAAGAGCCTATATGACGACGCAGATGTCAGCTGAACTTCTCCTAGATACCGGGGAAACCCGCGAGTCCATACCGCGATGCTCCACAGCGGACGAGGGTCCATCCAGGCGTCCAGAGGTCACCTCAGGGACACAACTTCCCTGCTGCGCCCTCCCCGTCGGGGCTCCGGGAAGATTACCCCTGCTCCGTGCTAAATCTTTGTCGCCACTACAAGCCTTCTAGGCCAGGGCCGCATGCCTGCACACGTCTAACAACCTCAAAGTTCAGAGGTATCGTCAGACTGCTTGAGTGCGACACTCCAGAAATACCACGCGCACCTGCTGAAAGCAGCGTCTTGTGCGCACTAAAGGCGTCCATGACAGACCCACGTCGAAGCCCCGACTCCGCGAGGCCCGCCTCCGCGGGACAGTCGCCATTTGCTGTGCCGACGTAACTATGTAAGGTGCGCGTCGGATCTGGAGGGGAGGGGCACACCTTATGTGACTGCGCGCCGCGGACGAGATCCCCATTTGCGCGTGGGGGCGAGAGCGGCGATCTCGCTGGCGAACCTCGGCCCAGTGGGCCTGGCGGCGGCGGCCGAGCGTCGCTGACGCGATCGACTGTCGACGGACCTACCACGGCGAAGGGCGGCGGCGGCGGCGGTTTACCCGCGCTGCAGACCGAACTTTCGAGAGCGCCTCGCCCGCTCTCGGTGCGCTTTAGCCAGCGGTAATCTAGGGAAGAGAAAACAGACGTTAGGGCAGGCGAACGGCGTGGGTGAACGGCGCACTCGAACGAGAGGTGCACGTCGTCATCCCGCTGTGAAGGGCAGGCTGACCGGTGGGGCGTGCCCGCGTGCCCGTCAAGGGGCGTGATGATTTGTTGAATGGCCAACAGACCATCCGCGACACATGTTTTGACGAAAGATAGACGGGGTTTTAACTGAATCAGGAGCACAGAATTTTCGGGGCTGGACGGCATGAGTTGAGTAACCGTCACAGGCCATGTGCAAGCGCCTGCATAGCCGGTGAGGTGAAAACTGTAAAGAGTGAAGTCGGTGAATTGACCACTGCGCAGTGACTCACAGCGAGTCACGATGTGAACGGCTTCCACAGGAGCCGAGGTAGTACGCCGCTTCTGTAGGAAGAAGAATGGTGGAGCTGGAAGAAAGTCGAAAGATTGCACCAGGTCTAAAGATGGCCGCGTCAGCGATCCAGTGGATGGCATGTAAGCAGAATTCCAAGAGCCAGGCAAGGTAATAAGCGAGGATCCAAAAAAGAGTCAGGCACCTACTTTGTAGCAGAATATAATCAGGTGAATAGGTCAGAGATTGGAGTAATCTTGAGAACGAGTCAGTCGTTGCCTCATAATAAGAGTGATCTGGCAAACATCAGGATGATCTCCATTGAGCCGTCGAGTTCGGCGTGAAGAAAAAGTCGCATTTTGCAACGATGTTTAATATCGTTAGAGTAGAAAGCTCCACATCTCTGTTCCGGTCAAGTGGAAGCTGGGTGGAAGAGACGTGAGAGGTAGAATCACCGTTTCTGGAGAGACCGCCCATATCCAGCATAGGTACTTGGGACTGAATTGGCAAAAATTGCTATGCATTCCTCGACTGCCGATGGACGCGGTTGTGGGTGGCGGGAGGACTGGCATGTAGCCGCAGAAGCTCTAGCGTGGGGGCTTCTTCGACCGGGGAGCGGATATGCCGGATGCTAAGGGTGCCGCTAGAATTCACATACAAGTCAGCGATGCCCCAGGCGATGTAGATGCGCCCTTTCGAGGGGTACATTAAGTGCGGAGGTCGAGTGAGTCGGTGGATAGTCGACAGAGGCAGCATGCGGACGTGACGGATCGCACTGAGATCCCAGATCCGGACAGATCCGGAAAGGCACCGGAGAGGGTCGGACCTGCCGTTTTCGCTCGTGGGGCGCACCGCTTTGCTGGCTCGCGCTCCCCGCCGCTTGTCCTCGACTCCTCGCCGCTTGGTTTCAGCCACACGCTGAATCTTCCCGGGGCATGCTTATCGCGTTCACGTTCACGTTCTCTTGCATGGCTGCGCTGCTCGTCGGGAAGAAGCAACTCTACCATGCCACAAGGTCGTAATATCAGATGGCGCCCACCGTTTCTTCCACCCGCCCGTTTCACATGCGCCCACGCTGCGTGTGGCAAAGCTCGGTATTATGGTATGATTATGATGGGAGTGGTCCGGAGGAGAAATTGCCGGGGCTTGCAGTCAGCTGCTTGCGTTAGTCGTGCACCCAGCAATCTCTGGACAGCCACATGTCAAGATCCCCGTGCCGGTCATTGCCTACTTCGTATGTTTCGCCTCATATGTCGTCCCAACAATGAATTTGACAAAGATCTCGCAGATCCAAACGTCTTTCCCATTCGTTCCTGCCCGCTCTATTGTCATTTGTATACGGAACCATCGTCCAGCACTCCCGCCTTCCAGTCATCGAGATGCTGGACTGCGCACTTCTCGGTTCTCTGGGTGGGTTCCTTTCCTAAATATGTCATGATCCACTGTTTTAATCTTCTCGTTTATAGACGTCCTCTTCCCAGGTACCTTTGCTAATTAAATGGAGTCTAGCCTTCGCCCCTCGATGCCGTTTGTCTCATTTGCGACACAGTCCCACCGCATGGGGTGATTTCTGTCGCCGGAGCCTGGGATACACAACATACTCAACGTCGCCCATGGCACTCAGCACCATCCGGCGCGCCCGCCAGCAGCGCCCGCCGTGTCATACCGTCATACGTCGTCGCAAACGCCATTCCCGACGATGTCGGGCCTCTGACCTCACCCACGTGCAGCCCCGAGCCCTACGGGACTTGCGCTTGAACGCCCGCAGCTTGCGCCTGCGTTGTCCTCTCATATTTCGTTTCGCGCACACTCAAGTAGCTTTTTCGGGTGCGTTCTCATACACAGCGCCTTCAGAAGGCCAATGCGGGCTGACGACATCCACCCGCTCCCCGGTTCTAGCGGCTCGAAATGCGGCACCGAAGCTCACGGCGGTCCGCCCATGCGCGCCAGTCTCAATGGGCGTCTTTCCACGGCGGTCCGGCACGAACCAGTGCTCGCACCGGGAAATACGCCCTGTCCCGGCGGACGGTCGCCCCGCCGAGCACTCCCGGGCTCGGACATAACGAGCATGGCTACAGTGGCCTCCTCGACGAGCGGCTTCCTCTGTCCCGGGGCTCGTCTTGTGTAGATGAAACTCGCGCGCCAACTTTGACGCGGGGCGGCGAATGTTAGGTCGGAACGCCTGACACAGCACAGGGAACCGCTCAATGTTTAGGACACGCCGGCGGAGCCCGGCATATCATGTCTAACATAGAACGAGGACGTCGTTCACATGTGGATTTGTAGGTGGGCCCTCTCTTATAAAACCTATGGCCCGTGACTGACCAAAACACAGAATCCATCCCTCTCTCCTCCTCACCAGTCTCCTCTCTCCTCTCTCTTCCACCCCCGCCAAACCTCGAGCAAACAGTGCACCTACCCCTTTATCCCTCAGCACTAGTTCGAGTCTCCTCCGATCTCGCTATGTCTTTAGCCACCGCCTCCACTTCCAAGTCCGCCGCCCCCAAGTCTTTCGTGCTGCCCGACCTGCACGCCATGACGCCCTTCGTCGGATCCTTCAACCCACACCACGACGCGGTCTCCGTCGAGTCCTCACAGTGGATCAACAGCTACCGGGTTCTCTCCGACCGCAAGCGTGCCTTCTTCCTCCAGGGCGGGTCCGAGTTGCTCTGCTCGCACGCGTACCCGTACGCGTCATACGAGCGCGTCCGGACATGCTGCGACTTCGTCAACCTTCTCTTCACCGTCGACGAGATCTCGGACGACCAGGACCGCAAGGGCGCGTACGAGACCGGCCTCACGTTCTACAACTCGATGCGCGACCTCGAGTACGACGACGGCACGACGCTCTGCAAGATGACCAAGGAGTGAGTACGCTTCGCATTGCCCGTCGTTGTCCGCCTTGTTCTTCTGTCCGCCGCGCGGTCCGATTCCGTCGAGGCGCAGCCCGTGCCGAGGTCGACATCTTGTCGCATCTTCATCTTCTCCCGCGCTGGTCCGATATCCCCGCCCCGTTCCTGATGGCCCGACTGACGCCGACCTGCCCCCTTGTGCAGATTCACCCGCCGGTTGCTCAAACACTGCGGCCCGCGCACGTACCGCCGCTTCATCAAGCACTGCAAGGACTACATCGAGGCCGTCGCGCAGGAGGCCGACCTCCGCCAGCACAACACCGTCCTGCCCTTGGACGAGTACACGACGCTCCGGCGCGAGAACAGCGCGGTGCGGTTCTGCTTCGGGCTCGCCGGCTACGCGCTCGGGGTCGACCTGCCCGACGAGGTCGTCGAGCACCCCGCGTTCCTGGCCATGCACCTCGCCACCGTCGACATGGTCTGCTGGTCGAACGTGAGCCGCCCCGGGTCTCCCACCCCTCCGCCACCCCGCTGACGCCCTCGCCCCCTGCAGGACCTCTACTCGTACAACATGGAGCAGGCGATGGGCCACACCACGAACAACGTCATGACCGTGCTCATGACGCACCAGTCGCTCGACCTCCAGGGCGCGGCCGACGCCGTCGGGAAGCACTACGCCTCGCTCATGGACGTCTGGCAGACCTCGAAGGCCGCGCTGCCCTCGTTCGGGCCCGAGGTCGACGCCGAGGTCGCCCAGTACGCGATGGCGATGGAGAACTGGGTGATCGGGAACCTCAACTGGTCGTTCGAGACCCAGCGGTACTTTGGCCGCGCCCGGCACGAGGTCAAGCGCACGCGCGTCGTCGAGCTCTACCCGCGCCGCGTCCCCGAGCCCGAGTCCGAGTCCGAGTCTGAGGACTCTGACGCGGAGGAGGAGACGCAAACAAACGCGTAGGCGCGGGTGCGGTCGTGCGCCACACGTCGGGTCCCGAGGACTGAGGTTAGCGGCTGACAGGGGGCTTGCACGCTCCCCCGCACCGCCTCTCCCTGCCCTGGCCCGTATTTATCAGCCGCGCTGCGGCTCCGGTGGGCGACGGTGTGGTCCCGCGGCGGTGTGCTGTTGTTCTCCGGACCACTCGCTCTCTCGGAAGCATACAAAACCATTCTTGCCTCTCGCACTCTAATTTACCGCATGTATGACACGATAGTGTTCCAGTCTCGTTCCCCGGTTCCCTCGCTCATCTACCATATGTTACTCTCTACGTTATGAACGCTGTCTGCCTAGATCTTCTACGATCTTGTCATGCATCAAATGTATATATTGGATCCCGCAGTGTCCCAATGTGATGTATTGGCTGGGTTGAACAGCCTTGTCTATCTACTATATTTGTGAATAGTCCGAGGTGGTACAGTTGGATGTATCGCTACAATTGTTCAGCAGGCGCACCGATGGCGTTCAAACGAGCCCTCCCCCGCCGTGCGAGCGCCCGCCCACCCAAGCGCCGCGCTCAGCCCGGCCGGTCTACCAACGCGCGACGTCCGCCTCCGCCTCCCCGAACAGGCTCGTCTTCTTGATCGCGAAGTCGCCCTCGGGCTCCGCCTCCTCGGGAATCGCGCCCGCGTAGTGCTCCGGGAGCTCCCGCCTGAGGTGCCGGAGGATGTGCCGGTTGATGAGCTCGAACTCGAGCAGGAAGCCGTCGTGGCCCTCCGGGCTCGGGATCATCACCAGGCGCGCGCCGGGGATGCCCGCCGCGAGCTCCCGCTGCTCCGCGGGCATGAAGAGCCCGTCGCTCTCGATCCCGATCACGAGCGCGCGCGGGGGCTCCGCGGCCAGCGCGCGCGCGACCGCGTCGTCCTCGCTCTCGCCAGACGGGGAGGAGGGGGAGAGGGGGCGCTCGCGGGAGACGTCGTGCGTGTCGAGCTTGCGGGTGATGTGGATGTAGCAGTTCGCGTCGAACCGGCCCGTGAACTTGTCGCCCTGGTAGCGCAGGTAGGACTGCGCGGAGAAGATCGGCGGCCGCGCCGCGCCCGACGCGGGCGAGGTCGGGCGCTCGCTGGCGGTCGTGGGGGAGGTCGCGGGCGGGCTCGACGTCGTCGCGGGTGCGGTGGCGGAGTGGAGCGCGACGCTCGACCGCGGCGTCGACGGGCGCGAGCCCTGCGAGACCCGGAGGCCGTCGTTGTGCGCAGCGAGGGTGTCGTCCGCCGAGGGGGACTGGCGCGGGCTTTGCGGCGGCGTGGGCATCGCGTCATCGCTCGCCGTCGGGGGCACCGCCGGGCGCTGGGGTTTGCGCCCGAAGCGGCGCTCGAACGAGTCGCGGGAGCGGTAGGTGAGGAGGGCGGCCATGCGCGCGGCGGCGAGACCGGAGGAGGGTTGAACGTCGTAGTAGCCGTCCTGGTACGTCGGGTCGCTGTATATGCTCTGCCGCTGGGCTTCGCCCCAGCTGATGCACCAGGCGGAGTGTCGTGCGGAGGTGGCCATGGGGATGATGTGGCGGACGAAGCCTGGAGGCGTGCAGAGCGGCCACTCGAGGACGGCCATCCCGCCCATGGAGCCGCCGATTACGACCGCCACGGAGTTAATGCCGAGGTGGTCGAGGACAAGCTTGTGTATCCTACGTAGCATGATGAGTCATGGAAAACTCTCTCACTGTAAGGAAATTGACTCACCGAACGTCGTCCCGGATGGTCGTGAGAGGGAACTCTGGACCGTATGGTTTGCCTGTATCAGGGTTGACGGTAACAGGCGAGGCCGATCCGTATGGTGATCCAAGGACGTTGGCGCAGAAAATGAAGTATCGGGTTGAATCGAAGACTTTCCCGCGGCCCATGAGAGGGCCCCACCTGGAAATCAAAGTGAGCAACGGTGATCGACGACAGCACTACTATGGAAGACAAACCAGTCCTCTACGTCTGAGCTGCCAGTAAAGGCATGACAGATAATCATGACATTGTCCTTGTTGTCATTGAGGGCTCCCCACGTCTTGTAGGCGACGGGGGCATCCTTGAGAACGTATCCAGATTCTAGAGTAAAAGAAGGAACGGTAAAAATGCTCTGATCAATCAGCTGGGCGAACGGAGACATGGGGGGGCAGATGTGGGTGGAAGAAGGAGGATCAGTCCGCCGCTCTACCCGCGAGCCGCTTTTATTTTGGGCAGCGCGAGGTGCTCGAGCAAGTTGTGTGAAGGGAAACTGTGAATTGAACGAAGACTGCCGGCCCGGAGGGAGTCACCAAACGCCGGCCGTATCCGGGCCACGCGTCCCACGCTCCCCGCTGCTGGCCACAAGGCTGCTCGCCGGCGCCAGCAACGCCGCGGGCTGCGCGAGTGGCAGCACTGGTGTCCAGCTTCCACCCCGCACACTCCTCGAATCGCACTGCTTCATCTTACAACCTTCCTGGCGATGGAAACGCTGTCCGCCTTGCTTGCTGAACTAGAATCTACGACGGGACTTGGCCCGTACCAACTCCTCCTCGGCTCGCTCACAAGCCTCTACATCGCCCTCCGCCTCCTCCGCCCACGCCGCCCGCGCTTGAAAAGGCTGCCCCCCGCTCGGGAGCGCGTGCTCATTCTCGGCGCGTCGAGCGGCATCGGGCGCGCGATCGCGCACGAGTACGCCGCGCGCGGGGCCCGCGTGTGCGTCGTCGGCCGCCGCGAGCGGCAGCTGGGCGGGGTCGTGGAGGAGTGCACCGCGCTCTTCCGCGGGGGCGCCACGGGCGAGGCGTGGTCGTTCCGCGGGGACTTTGGGGACGCGGAGGACATGGTCGAGCTGCGAGACCAGCTGGAGAAGCGTGCGTCCCGCTGCGCCTCGTCGTCTGCGTCCGTACGCTCGCTCAACGGTACCGGTGCTGTCGTCAGGGTGGGGCGGTCTGGACACGCTCGTGGTGTCCGCCGGGGTGTCCGCTCTCCGGCCGTTGCTGGAAGTAGCCGGGCTCGAGAGGAGACACGGCGCGTTCGACCCCCCACAAGTGTCCGTCGAGGGCGTCAAGCACACCGCGCAAGTCGCAACCAAGGCGATGGAAGCCAACTTCCTCGGCCCTCTCGTCTCCGCCGTCACTTTCGTACGTCGACCGCTCCTCCCGTCCCCCCGCGTCTTGTACGTTCCTTACGCTACCACCCCGTCCAGATCCCTCTTCTCTCCCAGACCTCCCCCACGCCCGCGATCTGCCAAATCTCGTCGCTCGCCGCGCTCTGCCCCGCGCCGACGCGTTCGCTCTACTGCGCCACCAAGTCCGCCGCGCTCCTCCTCTACCAGGCGCTCGCGATCGAGCACCCGGACGTCGCGTTCACGAACGTCATCCCGAGCACCGTCGCCGGCGACTTCCGCGCGTCCGCGGTCGACGGCGGCGCCGTGCGCGAGCTCGACCCGAACGTGCACGGCCTCAAGGTCGTCGACGTCGCGCGCCGGGCGGTGCGCGCGATAGACGGGGCGGAGCGGTACGTGCTCATGCCGTACGCGTTCTCGCGCTTCGGGCACTTTGGCTACTGGCCCTTCCCCGCGGCCGTGGAGCGCATGGCGGCGCGGAAGTACAACTTCACCGCGCCATGATGTATGTTACGTGTCCGCTCATGGTTGGGTGTATGCACATACTGAGTACCTCATTGTGATCTGTCTGACATTGTATAACCATTCGATTTATTGGTAGCGAGTCACAGTATCTGTGTTGTCCTACAGCAGAGCCACGGCATACAAACGGAGTGCCGCAAACGACGACGACAAAACAGATGAGTAAGGTCCCAAGACATCCACTCTCTTCCACCCTTCAAACCACCCGCCTCTCGCACCGCGTCTCGTTGTGCACGCCCTCGCAGTTCATATCACAATACGGCATCGCGCACCGCTTGCACTTGTACTTCCCCCAATACCCGCACACCGAGCACAGCAGCCGCGGTGGCTCCTTGGGCGGCGGCGCGGCGGCGCGCAAGTAGGTCGGTACACTGGGCGGCAGCTGTTCGATACCCTGCAGGCCGCGCAGGGCGTCGCGCACGACATCGGGCGGTATTCGCGTCCGCACGCAACGCGCGCGCGAATGCCGCCGTAGGTGCCGGTGAGTGGATGGTCGTGTGAGTGAACGAAGCGAACGTCAGCGCCCTGCGCGGTTCGCCGCCAAAAACCGGCAACACGCACCGACTCCTCGACGAGCACGCCGAGGTTCTTCTTGTACAGCACCGCCGTCCGGACGTTCATCGACGTCTTCCGCCCCGCCTTCGCCTTCGCGAGCCCAGGCCGCTCCCACTGCCGCTTGTCCGAGATCGTCGCGCGGCGGGCGCGGCCCTTGGCGGTGCGCCCGCCGTGGACGCCCACGCCGGGCTCCTCGTCGTCCTCGTCGCCCTCCGCGCCTGGCACCCCGGTCGGCTCGGCGTAGTTCGAGCGCTGCGGGGAGACGGCGGGGCGGCAGAGGTCGTGCGGCGAGGCACGGGGCGGTCAGTTGAGAGGCCGAGCGGGGGGCGCCACGCCAGCGCGGGGCCAGGAAAGGGGACAAGGGCGGGCGTTCGCGTCACCGCGCGACGGGCGGTCCGGGGGGGACGTCGACGTGCGGTCGAGGGGGGCGGCAGAGGACGGTCCGTTTGGGCAGGAAAAGAGGCGTGTTCGCCGATCAGCGCGCGTTTGGGTGGGGAGGACGCTGCGAGTGGGCACGGACCTCGAGCTCGTCCAGGTGGCGCTTCGTGCGCTTCGCGATGACGTCCGGGTCGAGCGCGCTCCCCGTCGTGTGGGCCTTCCTAGCAGCTGTGGACGGGAAAGCGCGTGCGGTGAGCGCAGGCCGCCCAGCATCTCCGCGACCCGTCGGACGGCGGCGGGAGACGGTGCGAGATGGACGCACGCTGTCGACGTGGAGGCATGTTTTTCCCGGGACTAAGAAGCCGTTGAGGTGGGTGGTGCTGAGCTCAGGGCCGGAGTCGAAGAGGACGCTGTAGATGGATGTGGAGATTCTGATCTCAGAGCCCCAATCCCGGTCGGAGGCGACACAGCTGAGCGCTGTAGTACCTTTGCGCGGACAACCTCTCGGCCGGAGTCTACCTGCGCAGCGCCAAAGAAGGATCAGGGTGAGCCACAGGCGCACAGCAACCCTTCGAGGGAATAGACACTGACAGTAGAATTAGTGCGCGTTACCGTGCTCGTGGTTCGCGTCCAAGAGGCGGATGGAATAAACGCCCACCGCGTGCGGCACACCGGCGGCCCGGTCCACCGGTCCCCCACTGAGCGAGTCGGGGCACACACTGCGCATGCATCCATACCCGTTCAGGGAACATGCGTACTGAACGCCTCCCGAACCAGCGCCTGGTGTCCGGCAGAAACGGTCCCCGGCGGCGCCGGACAGCATCAATTGGCACTCAACGCACCCGCGCGTGTGCTTCTGGCGTTGCGCTCGCAATTTCCGAGCGCGTCTGGGCCAGCGGTGTAGCGAGAGCAGGTAAGTTCATTGTCTTCCCTACGTTCCCGTTGCCCGGCCCCATTCGTAAATGCGGACGGATGACGACGATGCGTCCGCAACTGACGCGGCAGCTGTGATGGTGGAGAGATGAAACGCAGCTTAATTCTTGAAACAGCATCAGCGCTCCCTTCAGGTGACATGGCCCTATTCCTGGGCGAGACACATCACCGGGTATTGGCGAGAGTGACCACACGGTCATTGTAGCACAGAGGAGATCCATGACACGAGGCGTACAGATAGTACAACACTCATCAAACATCCATTCGTAATATGCACAAGAAAGGTATAACATAACCATTAAGACATGGTACCGTCAGCAATGAGTTAGTGGGGGCTGTGACACGAGACAGCAATGCGACAGAGCAACGAGACGAGACGCCACGGCTGTCATGAGGGGGTCGTGATACGTGCACGCGGGACGCCGAAACCCAGAGCCAAAGAGAAGAGGTGGTGGGTAGCGGGTCGCAGCGCCTAAACGGCGATCTCCTTCTTTTCGTCGCTGGCGGTGGACAAGGTGTCCGACTCCGTGCGGAGACCCATCTGGGCGGTGTCGTAGCCGTTGGCTTCGAGGTACTCGCGGAACTATGTGGTCGACCTGTCAGCACCGCCGTGTTGACAAGAAACACCCGCCAGACACATACCTCCTGGTCTTCCTTCTCCATACCATCGTGCGAGAGAGGGCTGATGAAGAAGAACGTGATAATGGCGCTGAATATCGCAAGACCAGAGCCAATCCAGAAGGGTCCGGTCTGGCCAGCGTTAGGGTCGTTGGGGTGCCTCTGGGCGAAGTCGTCGATAATGCTCTGCCAGGCTGTACAGGCCGTGAGCTTCGCGTAAACGGATGGATGGTGCACAGCTGCTTACCCCAGGTACCAGCGAATGCACCGATCTTGCCGATCGCGGCGGCGACACCATAGAACTGACCCCGGACAGCGGTGGGGCCAGACTTCGCGGCAAGCATGCCGAGGCAGTTGCCCGGGCCAAGCTCGCCGAAGCTCAGGAAAATACCGTAGACGATGGCAAAGGCAGCGATGTGGTTGACGAGCTGGTTGTAGAGACCACTCATGATGAAACCGATGACAGCTTGGCACAAAAGGCCAGTGATCTGAGTATGATCGTCAGATTTGTGCATAACACGGTTTCGACACACTGACCATGGTGTACTTGGGACCGAGGAAGTCGACGACGAAAGCGCCGATGACAGTTCCAGGAATGTAGAACAAGCTTCGGGGACATGTCAGAGCATGTCCAAACTCGGTGGATATGACGACTCACTTGATCACCACAGACCAGCCAAAGACGACCGAAAGACTGGAGTTGCCACCAGTGATACTACAAGAGAATGAGCATACGCGGCGACTGTCAATAAACGATGACTCACGTGTCGGTGACGGTCGAGCTGTACAGACCGAACTAGCACATAGAATGAGTAAGCCTTCAACAAAAGTTGATTATAGCTCGAATAAAACTCACGGGGTACCTGTAACAGCATGAGGACCACTTCTTGACAGACTTGGAGAGAAAACTCACGTAATGAAGTCGTAGACAAACCAGGTGACGGAGATAGCCGCCAAGCGGACCCCGTAACGCTTGAAAATGAGCATGTAGGGAACCTTCGCGTTCGCCATGGAGTCCTTCTTGTAGCGAGCGGGCTCCTCCATCTTCAGACGCCAGAGAAGGACGGCAATCGCAGGGATGAAACCAAGGCCAAGGGAGATGCGCCATACAGCACGCAGGTGGTTCTCGCCGAAGATCCAGAAGAGAACGAGGGGCACAAATGACGAAACAACGAAACCAAAGTCGATCATCGTGTCTGCGCCAACCGAGTCAGTGTCACACGACCACCCCGAAGGTCCAAATACCCGGACGAAAAGCGGCCACGTACTCGTCGCAAGCGCAAACCAACGGTGCTGAGCATTCTTGTTGATGCCAGGCTCTTCCGACTGCTCCGAGGCGGCGACAGAACCACACGGATATTCCGCGCCCACACCAATGCCAAGGAAGAAGCTGTGTAAGAATGGTGATCATTACAAATTGCAACTCGGAGACATGGCGCATGAAGTGAGAGCGCACCGACAGAATGAGAGCATGGCGAGGAGACCGTGGACGCTGTGTTGAGCGCCACTAGAGGCGGAGGAGAGGAGGGAGAAGAAGGCGACGATGCCCGTTGCAAGCATCTATGTATGCGCACAAGCGAGCTGAGCACATTATATGCGCAGAATATAGGATACACCCACCATACCAAACTTCCTGCCCATCCTGTCCGAGAGGTAGCCGAAGGAGAGCATACCAACGACGGTACCAGCGAAGGCCACACTAGAGATAGTGTTGCTGTAGTTGACGTCGACCTGTTCCTTGCCATAGATACGCTTGAGCACTGTAGGACACATTCAGCGATTTCCAAGCAGATCATGCGAGGTTTACGCACGGGTGTTGACTGGAAAGGTTTATCAAGTTAGCAAATGTGGCTGGGGAGTGCGGACATGGGGAGACGCACCCAAGCCAATGACACCATTGGCGTAACCTGGCACCCACAAGCCCGCAGTCAGGAGACAAGCCTAGCGCACATTTTGCCATTTGGGCTCACCGTCGGAGAAAAGCGCCGTTCCACAGCTGGGGACGAGATTACGATGAGTGCCAAGACGATCGGGAGAAGGATTGGACGACGGGACGTACGCGAAGATGAGAGAGACCTGGGAAAGGCTGGGCTTCTTGACTACCTCGGACATGGTCGTCGTGCGCTACGCTGGCTCTGGGGAGAGGGGGGGAGACGGCGGGGGCGAAGGGCGCGAGCTTGCACGGATGGAAGGGCACGTATATAACTTTCCTCCCCCGCCGTCCAACTTTTGATCGCTGATGGGACCGGCTGTCCGGAGAGCGTTCCTGGTCGGGTTCCCTTATCGGGCCCTACGCACGTTCGTCTGTCTCTCCCGCTGCAGGGACGTCGCGGCAGAGTGCCGGTGCATTGCTGCGCTGCTCCGACTGGGTTCTCTCTCCTCTTCTCCTGCAGAGATAAGCTCAGCTATAATAGCATAACCAGGCCTTCTCCCCGGCACCTTTCCGCACTGTTCTGCACGCTGATACCACTTATCTGATAGTCTCGCGTAGTCTCGCCCAGTAAAATCATGCCATCGCTCGCGTCGCACTCGTCCACCGGGCCACGCGCCGCCATCACTGTTTGTAAATCAGTCTGCAAGTTTGCTTCAGTGTCTCAAACGACACGCTCAACCGACAAACGTTTGCGTGGTCCCACCGCCCACTTGGTAACAAATACACATTCGAAACGGTGCAGCGTGGAGGCTTGTCCCAGGGCGCGATCGAGACTGGCCAGACCTTCAATGGACGGCAGTAAGTTCTGACACTCCCAATTCACGACCCGTGCGTTCAAGCGGAACGTGTGTGAATTGCGAACCTTTGGTTACACCACGAGCGACATAACCTTGTCCTGGCCTTCGCCTTCGCCATACTCGGAGGGAAGCAAGCTCCGAGACAGCACGTCTTTCATCGGAGCGGTGTCATCCTATCGCCCAGCGCGTCCCTTGATAGAGACCCAAAAGCCTTGAGGTTGGGGGAAGAAGTCGGCTTATCTCGGGAGGACGGCTGGTGACCTCAATCACAATTGCAGGAAGTAAGAGAGCCGGAAGGTTCTTTGGACAGTATTTGATACATTGCAAAGACCAGGTAATCGTTGCACAAGACGTCAAAGATTCTAGATGCCCGGCTAGTGCTGCATGGGCTCTGAGCCACCGTTGCCCGTTTTCTTCGCCAGCTCGCTCCTACCCCCGCATATACGTGAGTGGGGTGACGCGGTCCACCGTGCATATGGATACGCACCTAAGCTGTACACTGAAATCGTCCTCAATGTCATCATCATCCCAGTTGTCCTCCCAAAGCTTGTCCCCGCCCGACTTCGCAGCGCCCGGAGCGGTGCCACCCAGATGTGCGAGGTCCGTTTGCGAATCGTCCCAGTCTGCACACAAGCACGGATGAGTCTCATGCGTTTGACGACAATGAATCCGAGGCCCATTCAAATCATGCCTTGGGCCACAAGGTGTATGCAGGGAGGGAGCACATACCTGCTACAGCAAACTCCTCGAATTCGTCGTCTTCCTCCAGAACGCCAAGGTGCGGGACGTCATCATCCTTGGTATGCTCTACCGCAGCAGATGTGCTCTGTATGGCTTGTGATGTGGATGCGGAGGCGGACATGGTGGGGAGGAGCAATGGCTGTGGACACGGTGCACTCAACAGTACGCATGTAGACCCAGGGACGCGTCATGCCCGTTCAGGCGTGAGAACGCTAGATTAGGCGCACCTCAGACAGACAAGCGCCCGAGTTCTTTACCTCCGGCTTCCAGTTAGGCTCACTCTGATCGGGGCAAAAGCACATTGCAATTGGGATTTCTTAATGCGAGTGCTCTTGTTCCAATTTTTCTTTCTGTAACTGTATATCGATGCGATAGCTTCCTACTTGTAGTTTACAGAACATCTGACTTCATCATGTCCGCCATGCCGGGCCAAGTAATAACCTCAATGACGGCCAGTTGCAGATCGAATCTCGACATCCTTTTGGTCGTCATACACCCCACTCTCCTCGTATGCGCGGTCGAGGTCACGCTCCTGCTTGAACGCATCGACGCGCTTCCCACGTGTGCCGCCGGTGGCATCACGCTCCTCGGCGGTCTGGCTTGACAGCAAGTCATCGACCTCACCTAAGCATAACCTTCAGTGCCAATCAAACCACTCCAAACACTGAGCGCACCGCTTGAGATCCTCCCTGTTTCCTCCGAGCGCTCCGTCTCCTGATCCTCCTGCAGATAGTTACGGTTCGTCGGCTGGTTGTCTGCACCGCGCGCCCCAATGGGCTGGGTCTCAGGGTCGGTGCAGTCGTCGAACGCGGCGTGGTCTGAGCGAGCATCCGCCTGGGAATTGTAGGTCATCTCGTCGACCTCGTTGCCAGCGGAGGGCTTGTTGTAAGGACCGCGCGCGTCTTTGACCATGATGAATCGCAGACGAAGGTTGAACGGTGAATGCGGGGTTGTGAAGTAGGTGGGCGGTGAGAGAAGTTAGTTCACAACTGCGACTCATGGGGCCGCTCATATACGAGCTCTACAGGACCACTCATATCGGCACGACGTCACTCCACGGTACATCGAATGGCGGAACAGTGAGCGGACGAATGACGTCAAAGCGCAAGTATTGAGGCTGGCATCCATCGAGCTTGCTGCACAGGGGTTCAACGGCCTCCGCAGCTCATCGCCCAAAATACGTCATAAAAATCTAGTACATAGCTACAAAGTAAGGTCAATTGATGGCTAGTGACTAGCACTTTGGGCCTGTGGCACAAGACGCTTACCCGACATCAATCTCTCCATCCATCACGTCCTCTGTGTTTTCTGAAGCCGAAGTTAGCTGACTCACCGACCCCCTCATAGCCCTGGACTTCTCCTTGTAAGGCACTCGCATCACCAGCGGGTGTTTGGGCGAGCCTTGGATACGTGATGTTGCACGCGTGCATTCTGAATCTCAAAATGGTCTGAACTTTGATCGGCGAGTCAAGTCCTGTTCAGGAAGATCCCGCTCTCGCGTGGCTTCATCAGAACAGGCTCTGCGCCGGTGCGCTTGTGGCGGGGCAGAACTTCAAAGAGCGGTCGCATGCCGAGTCAGGCTTCATCGCGCACGCTAGCCGAGCTTCCGACCCTTCGGGCAGATCCCAGAGCTTTATTGTTGTTTCCATGTGCACGCGTGAGTGATGCTCGATATTGCTAGCCACGCGTTTCATCTTTGGCCCTTTGCTTTACCGGGCGCGTCCCCGGGTCCCGCGAGCCTCCGCCATTTGGGCTCACGGCCAAAGCCGCAGGCCCGGGCCTGGACGGACAATAAGAACCCCAGCTCGCGTCGTACGTGTTCCAGGGACTGCCTCCGCACACTATCCTCCCCTCCCCTCCCATCCCACGGCGCACTCAAACCAACTCAAACCATGGCCTCCACGACAATCCACGATTTCCCCATAGAGCTGCTCCAGGCAGTTTTCGTCTTCGCCTGCGCCGACGGCGGCGCAACCGGCCATGCGCTCTCTCTCGTCTCGCGGGCCTTCCACGCCGCCGTCCAGCCCTTCCGCTACTACACCCTCCACCTCGCCGGGCCCGCGCAAATCACCGCCTTCGCCGCGCAACACGCCGCCGACGGGCCCGCGTACCCCAAGGTCCGCCACCTCTTCCTCGGTGCGCGTCCCCCGTCGGCCCACACCCAGCACGGCGACCTCGAGGCGTGCAGCTCTAACCCCCGAGGTGACCGCGCGCGCGTGGCGCGCACCATCCGCGCGCTACTCGCACGCCTCGGGCCCGACCTGCGCACCCTCGTCGTCCTCTCGCCCGTGCCCCACGCCGAGCTCTTCGCAGCCTGCCCAGAATTCACAGAGCTCCGCGATCTCACCGTCGCGCGCTGCGACGACGACGAGAGCGGGGACGGGGACGGGGACGGGGACGAGGGGGCTGAAGCCGCGCCGGCGTTGCGCGCACGCCTCTTCCCGCGGCTCGCACGCCTGCACCTGGCGACGTGCGGGCGCGAGCTGCCGCTCGCGCGCGGGGCGGGGGCGCCGGAACACCTGCTCAGCTGCTGGACCGCGCTCGCGCCGGACGTGCGCGAGCTGCGCCTCTCGGACGTGCCCGACCGCACGGCCGCCGTCGGGCTCCGTGCCGTTCTCGGTGAGTGCTGTTCTCGTTCCCCCGCGGCAGGACGGGAGGACTGACGGCGACGTTCGACCCCTGCAGCGAAAACCCCAGGCGAGTCGGAGGGGACGGCGTTTCCGCACATGACGCGGCTGTGGCTGCAGCCGTTCGCGCTCTCGGAGGTGGAGTTCTTCAGGGAGAAGGTGACGACGCGGCGGTGGGAGCTGATCTCGGCGCTGATCGAGCTGGGAAAGGGGTGCAGGAAGGAGACGAGCGTGCTGCTCCTCCATCCGGAGATCGTGCTCGGGACGTCTTGCAGAGACCTGGACGCAGAGCTGTACCCCGCCTGGCGGGCGGGCGTCGTGGGCCATGAAGGGTACTGGAAGGGAGGCGTGCAGGTTCGCGACATGCTCACCTTCGCGCGGCGTCGGTAAACGTGCGAGGAGGAGACATTGTAGCGACTTAGTAGAGCACTCCTGGAGAACCGTGTCATCCGGACTTGTATCACACGAAAATGACTGTATCGTTTATGGCTCGTCTTATAATCAATGCATATATTACTGATCGCACCTCGAGACTGGCTTGGTGCTCAATAAAACTCGGTGTTGACAAGATATGATCCTTGGGAACAGTTGAGACCATCAATATGTTATTTTTCTAAGGTGTTGGTTATGAATTTATGCCTTATGTGGCTCCTATCGGCCGGCTGGCCTAATGGTTAAGGCGTCAGTTTCCGGCTTTACGCAGGAAATCGTAGCTGAAGATTCTGGGTTCGAATCCCAGGTTGGTCGCTTTTTGGTTTCCAGCCATGTAGGACTCTGTCCCGCAACATGCAGAGGAACGCAGCGAGGGAGTGCAGAACAAGTGGCGGGCCCGGAGCACGGAGGAGCACGCGGGCGCTAGTCACACGCCGCATGTTTCGGAGCCGCCGCGGCGCACTGCAGGGAGACCAGCCTTGTCCTCCGTCCTGTCCCTCATCTGCACCCTGGTCCTTCCACCTCCTTATTCGACCTACGCTCTGTGAAGATACTGTGCTTGCGCCGGGATGGCGTTCTTTGGCACGTCGACATCGACGCTTGGCGCCGCGAACAGCGCCACTGAGAAAGACATCGAGGTGAATGATCCCCCCACCGATTCCATTTCCTCGACGGCCTTTTCCCCGACCGCGGACTACCTTGCGGTCGGCTCGTGGGACAACAATGTGAGTCTTATTTATTGTCGACGCGTCGCTCGACGGCATTGACCGCATTTGCCACAGGTACGCATCTATGAAGTCGGGGCGAACGGCCAGACGCAGGGCAAGGCCATGTACTCGCACCAGGGGCCCGTGCTCTCCGTGTGCTGGAACAAGGTGCGTCATACTCCTCTCCATCTCCTCGCGGAAAAGACGCGAACCGCGAACCCTCGGCCCGCAGGACGGTACCAAAATTCTCTCCGGCGGCGCGGACAACGCGGGGCGGATGTTCGACGTCACGACGGGCCAGGCGTCGCAGGTGGCCCAGCACGACGCGCCGATCCGCGTCGTGCGCTGGATTGAGTCGCCCCAGGGCGGGGTACTGGTCACCGGCAGCTGGGACAAGACGGTCAAGGTGCGTGGCGTGTGTGTCGTGCCTCGCGGGGCTGGAGCTGAGACGAGAGCACCCGACAGTACTGGGACCTCCGCCAGTCGACGCCGGTCTCGACCGTGCAGCTTCCGGAGCGCTGCTACACCATGGACGTCGTCTACCCGCTCATGGTCGTCGGCACCGCGGAGCGGCACATCCAGGTGTTCAACCTCCAGAACCCCACCACCCCTTTCAAGGTAGATTCTCCCGCAGATCCCGGTTTCATTGCCGTTTACGAGCGGTGCGCTCCGCTTCCCACAGACCCTCCAATCCCCACTAAAGTGGCAGACGCGCGTCGTCGCGTGTTTCCCCGCCGCGAACGGCTTCGCGGTCGGCAGCATCGAGGGGCGCGTGGCGATCCAGTGCGTCGACCCCGCTCCGCCGCATTCTCCCCGCTCACCCACAGCGCACAGGTACGTCGAGGAGAAGGACGCGTCGAACAACTTCTCGTTCAAGTGCCACCGCCGGGACCAGTCGCCGACGACGAAGGACCAGTCCCTCGTCTACGCCGTGAACGACATCTCCTTCCACCCCATCCACGGCACCTTCTCCACCTGCGGTGCGTTTCTTTTTCTTTCCTTTCCCTCGCGCCCGCCCGTGCTCACGCGCACCTGCAGGCGCCGATGGGACGATCAACTTCTGGGACAAGGACGCGCGCACGCGCCTGAAGTGTGCGTCACCCCTCCTCCGCCTTTCCGCGAATGTGCACTCTTGCTCACGCCCCTTCGCCCCCCTGCCTCCCACCTCCCACCCCCGTCGCTTCTCGCCTCTTCCACCGGTGCGCGCAAACGACAGCCTTCGACCCCGCGCCCGGCCCCGTGCCCTGCGCGGCGTTCAACCGCTCGGGGACGATCTTCGCCTACGCGCTCGCGTACGACTGGTCCAAGGGTCACTCGGGCATGACCCCCGGGCACCCCAACAAGCTCATGCTGCACGCGTGCAAGGACGACGAGGTGAAGCGCAAGCCGCAGAAGCGGTGAAACCCCGTCGCCCCGCTGCACCCGCCGCTTCTCCTCCTGCAGAAAATACGTGCATGACCTACGACGGTGTCCTTTTAGTTTACTGCTTGTCAGATGTCTCGAGTCCCCCATGTGATGTCGCTCTAGTTTTTTTTCCTAACGTTGTCATTTTGCTTTCTTGTATCTTCCCTCCGAACCTGCAGCACGTCTGTACTCGACAATTAGCAGCCATCTCCGGCCCTTCGTGCACGCCAGGAAATGACACGGCGGTACAAACAATGTGTGCATTAATTCAGACGGGCTAAACGACAATGCAAGCGACGAGAGTATTAGATCGTCATCCTCTAGGTATGAGTACGTTGTCCACATTCCCCGGCCCCTCGCGGCGCCACGGGAACAACTATGGTATCTGCTGCAGTCTTAATATACATTTGGCGGCAACGGGAAGGCGCAGGTGGTGGGAGAGGGGGGAGGGGGATACTTAATCGTTACGATGTCATGAATAAGCAACGTGATAGATAGATGCAGGAGACGATGTGCGGAGAGATAAATGCGGAAAGCAAGCCAAACAAACACGGAGAGAGCGTAAATGCTAGGAGGCGCGCCGAGTTCATTGCTCCTTCCCAAGCGCAGCCTTTTGCTTTTTTGCCTCAGCGGCTTTGATGTCGAGCATAGGGTCAAGCGCGGCCTCCGGCTGCCGGTATGAGTTGCCCATGCGATCTGCCCACGTGAAGTACTGCGGGGGAATGGGAGAATTAGCACAATCGCCAACAACCCATATCAAACGGCTGCGAACATACCTGGCCGTAATTGACCGTGAAGTACAGATGGTGCAGAGTATGGTGCGCCGGGCCGTTAATGATCTTCTCCAGCGGATGCCCGGTGATCATGTCGGAGTCGTGGATGAAAATGGACCAGAAGTTGACAAACACGAAGAGACACAGGTACAGGGTACGCTGGATGGGGAAGAGATAGATGAACATGTGGTAAGGTAGAGATTGCACGTAGCCGTCGAGGGGGTGGAACGCGTGTGATGCAAACGGTGTAGGAACTGCATAAGACGCATCAGCGCGTCGCTCTCGAATGAGAAACGGCAAAGTAGAACTCACTCAGCCACTTGTGGTGAGGCTTGTGGAGCCACTTGTAGAAGATAGGGAGGTGCTCCCAGCGGTGAATCCAGTAGATGAGGTAGTCCGTGAAGACGAGGAAGCTAGTGGCCGTCAGTCGATTATGCAGGCAGCGAAATAGGATCATTGTGCAACTCACAAGAACGACGAGAACACCAAATATCCCCATCCAAAGTCCCCTACGTTGTCGTACAGTCGCGAGTGGCCACGAACCTCGCCGAGAAACCAGGGGAGGGTGTATAGAATCATCAAGGGGAATGCCCTCAAACTGCACTGGATCTCGAGCTTGACCTGGTTTTTGAGGAAGCGAGGGTGCTTCATCATATCATGGTTGAAGATGAAGTAGTAGGACAAGGTGGCGAAGAGAAAGTACAGGACATGGATGCCCGCGAATGTGAGGATGAACAGGGAGATGACTTGACGGGGGAGATAGTCGCGGGGCCACGCGGACGCGAGCTGCCCGACAGTGTGCAAAGGGGAGGCGAGAGTTTGCTCGGGGACGGGGTGGGGGATGTAAGAGATGAGCTGGGACCACGCCGAGGGTTGGGAGGCGGCAACTGGCGCGACGTGAGAAGTGGCATTGTATAGGCCGGTCGCATTCGCGGTGAAGGCGGACATGGGAAGAAGCGCAGCCCAGGCCTTGTCGAGCACATACTCGTCCGCGAGGTGGAGGACGATATCCATGGCGGCGCTTGGAGGCGGGGGGTGGGGGGCGGGGCAGAGGCGCAGCCGACTGAACGAAAGTGGACGGCTGGCGTTCGGAAGGGCGGGGCGTCGGACACGACGAGGACGAGGAGGTCAGGCCCGCCCGGAGCGGCTTATATTCGAGGCGCGCGCTGCCGATGTCGTTCCACCTCGCATTTTCGGCCGCCCGATTGGATAAAGCGCCCATCTAATCTCCCCCGGCCTCCTCGGTCTCGCTCCTTCACCCCTGGGCCCCTAGCGCCTGCCTCGCCCAGGCGTGCCCAGGGCGCACCCTGCTCCCCCAGCTCCGCACATCGAACCACCTTTTCGCTGTCTGCGACTCTACGCCGCCCGCCTCGACAACGTCGGGGCTGGCCCAGCGGTGCCGCAGGACCAGCCTCGCTCTCGATAACCAGCCTGGCCAGGTGCTCACCTGCTGCTGTGTCGGAGTCGTACGATGGGCCCCTCCCCACCGGGTCACCTGTCGGCGTCCGCGCTGGACGGCGCCGCGACCAGTGATGTTGTCGCTGTCCGGTTGTGCGCTTCCCCCGTTTCCGTACGCCAAGGCGGGCCGCCTCCTGAGACTCTCCAATCGCCATCGCTCGGTCTTCCCATGGGTGCTTACTCGAGTGACTGATGTGGTTCCCGCGCGGACGATCATGGCGCTTGATAAGACCAATCTGGCGTCTTTGGAGGTCCGCGAGGAGTCTTTGGAGGTCTGCGAGGAGTCTTGGTGGCCGAACGCTGCAGAAATGAACAAACGACGAGCGAGCAGAGAGGGGGGGAGAAGGTGGAAGGCAAGTGCTACGCCCCACGCGTCTCCCTTGTCGTTCCAGGATGCCTCCCGCACGGAGGGGCCGAGTTACGGTTAGTTGTACGTCACCCCATCGATCAGCGCCCACCCACCCTCAACTGCGCGCTACGACAGCTCGGGTGAGGTGTTGGGAGGTTGGAACGGCGATGGTGAGGTACTTGTGGACCATACTTGTCAATAACAACATAGAAAGAAGTGGGCCCGCTCACAGCTATCCAATTCAGTATCTTTTGTCGTTACAGCGCAGTGAGTCATGATCATGAACGACGACGACTGACAGTATGCACGGCCCGACCAAGAGAGAGATGAGGAAAGAGAGGGCAAGTGCAGGACGTCAAAAACTTTTCCCTTTCCCCAGAGCCTCAAACCTTAAGGACCCGCCGACGATCTCGTCCATCGCCGCCCCAGTGGCGGAGGCTGCAAAGGAAGGGTACGTTCCCATTCCGGAAGAGCCACCGTTCACCACGGGTGATGAACGTTCCTGAGAGGCCACACACCTTGATATTTACTTCCGCGAAGACGTCGCTTGCGCATGCATTACTATCTACAGATGAGCCTGGCCTATGACCATGTTCGCCCAGCGTTCCAATCACATTCCTTTGCCGATTTCCGCCTTCACAGATGCGCGAACCCGTCCGTTGCCTGTGAAACCACGTCAGCGCACGCTCAGATGAGTGTCACCACGGAAGGTGGCGTGATGATCGGCGCACCTGGACCAACAGCTTGCTCGTCCCAGCCTCGCGCGACGAATGGCCCGCATCGGGAACGATGTGCAGCGTCGCCTCAGGCCAGACCTTCTTGAGCGCATAGGCTGTTGTCGCTGGGCAGACGACGTCGTACCGGCCCTGGACGATGACGCAGGGAATATGACGGCTACAAGTGTCGGATGAACGCATGCCTCGACGCCGACGGACGATGACCTACATCTTGTCGATCTCCTGCTCTGCGAGCAACTGCCCGTCGCGCATGAAACCCTGAAAAGTCCTCTCGTCAGAACGCATAACCCAGAGCAAGCACGGAGAGGCACCCACGTCGTTCACAAAGTAGTGGTTCTCTATCCTTGCGAACGCTCTGTCAAACGCACAAGCCGCCAATCAGTCACTGCACACGGGCACGCCGCGCCAGCATTCAACACCCACTCCGCAAAGTCGTCCTTCTCCGATTGCGCGATCTGCGCCGGGTCGACGTAGAGCTTGCTCGTCGCCATCTCCCACTTCGTCCACGCCCGCGCCGCGCGGAGGCGTGTCTCATCATCAGCGGAGTTCAGCTGCGCGTGGTACGCGAGCACCATGTCGTTCCGCTCCGCCTCCGGGATCGGCGCCACGTACTCCTCCCTGCGGCGCGACATCAGCATGCGCCACAGGTCCGAAACGCAGATGAGCGGACGCGCTTACCAGGCTTCTGGGAAGAGATGCGAGGCGCCATCCTGGTAGAAGAACCTGAGCTCGCTGCGTGCGCCAGCGGGGCAGCGTCAGCGACGAGTCATGTTTGAAAAAGTTTGGCAGGGAGCGGACGGACCTCTTCCGGAGGGTGAAGATGCCGCTGGACAAAAATAAGTTGACCTCTTGAGTCCAAGCGCAGAGAGGGAGTGGGCGTCAGACGGCAACGCACCGGAGAACGAGGCTCTTCACGCGGTCAGGGTGCGACTGCCGCAGCGAGGGCCTGTCAGCGTTGCATGGCTGGGAGGCAGGTCTTCTATGCATTCACCTGAGCATATGCAAGGGCGAGCGTAGAACCCTAGGGGGGTGAATGCGGAGTACAGGCTCATTTAGAACGCTGGATACAGTGAAATACGGTTGCAACTCACCCAGGAGCCACCAAAGACATGCCACTTCTCGATGCTGAGTTGCTCACGGAGCTTCTCAATATCCTTGATAAGGTCCCACGTTGTATTCTCCTCGAGGCTCGCCATCCTGTCCCGGTCGCCGTTTAGGCATGCTTCGTAGAGCAGTTAACCCCACCGAAACGCACGGGGTCGACTTGCCAGAACCGCGCTGGTCCATCAGGACGATCTAGAGCGGCATTGTGAGTTGGCGTTCATCATGTTTTGACTTCGAGCGCACCTTGTACTTCGCAGGGTCGAAGAATGAGCGATCCCTGGCATCGCAGCCGCCTCCGGGGCCGCCGTGCAAGAAGATGACTAGATGACGAAGACATGGAAGATGCACGGCAAAGATGGAGCATCGCGGTCAACGCCGCCGCAGAGGACGATCTGATGGACGGCTACACAGACCTGGGGTACCCTCCTTGTTCCCGCTTATCTCATAGCTGTGCACGTTGTATGAGCCTCGAGGTCCGGTTCGGAGAAAGATGGAGCGGGCGAACATACTGGAGGGTGTGGAGGTCGGATACCTTTAGCTTGTCCGTCAGATGAGGTTCAATGAGCGGGTACATGGTGTTCATAGCGCGAGCACTGTGGATGTGTGATTGTGGCCAGAGCAGCCGAGGTGGAGACGGAGGTGTGAGTGGGTGGTGAGGAAAAGTCCAAGGATTGGGATGGGGAGGGAGACGGACAGCTCGCAGCGTCCTAGCCCGGAACGGACCGAAAACCATCGAGGGCTGTTAATGCGTTCTCGAAGCAGCCCAAACCGTCGATCGATTGAGGATCAGCTCGTCGCAACAAAATGGAGGAAAGAAATGACGAGAGGGGGATTCGAACCCCCGCCCTTTCGGACCAGATTGTGTGTCACCTTAGTCTGGCGCCTTAGACCGCTCGGCCATCTCGCCTTGTAGAGTAACCAAATTTTAAACGCTACAATGGCGAGACAGGCCCGGAAACTTAGGGTTTGTAAGCTTATTAGTACGTCGTACTTAGCTAGGCAGCTCATCTACTATCAAAGCGTAGTAGCCTAGGTTTGAACACGGTCCCCAAAGCACTCGATCCGCATGCACCACTTGTCTCCGCAGTCTCCTCGCCAAGAACTGCGCTCCGTATGATCATCCCGGAGGGCGACTGTCAGTTCTAGGACGACATATTTCAAGCCTTGAGGCTGCCAAGTCCCAACCCTACTTCATGCCGTCTGCCGGGCGACTACCGTTGAGTCCGTCCACCATCTGCTCAGAGTCCAGCTACAAAGACTGCATCTTCTTATTGCAAGCGCTTCTTGATATGGACGTTGCAGACATCAGCAGATCTGGTATTTCGCTACCCAATCAAGTTCAACGACGTCAGTTCCTACGAACGCGCGTCGCACGTCCGAGTAAACATTAGACATCGCTCCCACCCGGGTTGTCCTCCTCACGCCCAGCTGAGTCATGGCTCGATACGAAGGTCGCACTGCATCCTCACCTTGGGCCCCGATACCGAAGGCTAGGTTAATAGGTACGTAAATGTGCATGCGCTCTTGACCGCTGCACACATTGATATTATATCGATCGCTGGATCCACCATGTTAGCTGCTGTCATGCCTATGTGCAAGAGACTGCATGACAAGTATCACTGGCCCTCAAAACTCGCCGGTAATGAATGTGAGTTGTACTGCGCGTCTAGTGTTCATTTCGACAGCTCATCATCATGCGATAACCCAGAACTCCCTCCCGCTCGGATATGATGACTCTCGCCGAGTGTCCCAGCGGTGCGAGACACGGGAAATGACAAAGCTTGCGCTCACCGGTCACCTACTGGCGCTCAGTTGGTCAGCCGCAGAATACAAGTTCGAGGCGTCCCTCGGATGCAGTGCATCATCTGCTGGGGTTAAAAGCTCGAGATCGGGGAGACACGCATTGCTCCATACAGCGGCCCTAATCTCTTTCAGAAAGACTCCTCGCACCCTTACAACCATGGCACTTCCACAGCAACATCAGGCTCTCGTCTTCGCCTCTGCGGACGGGTCCCTTCAACTCCAAGGTGTCGACACTCCTACTCCCGGCGAAACCGAGGCGATTGTCAAGGTTGAGACGACCGCCATGAACCCCGCCGACTGGTGGTTCCACGACAACAGGGCAAGCATCAAGGAATGGCCATACATCGTGGGCTTTGCGGCCAGTGGGACCGTGGTCGCGGTTGGCACGAACGTTCGCAACGTCAAGTTAGGAGACAGAGTGTAAGCTTCCGTGCTTTCGCCAGGATACAACTGCTCAATCGACCCCTAGGCTTGCTCAAGGGGGTTTCACGAAGCAGTCCAACACCTTCCAACAATACATCCGCAGCTTTGCTGACCAACTTGCCAAGGTCAGTAGGCTATGTTATTGCGGTGACTCCAACTCAAACACCCGTGGCGTCCAGATTCCAGCTAGTATGAGCTTCGATGAAGCGGCGACAATTGCGACGCCCGCCCCCTCCGCTGTCTTGCCGTTGTATCACCCGGGCCCCACCGTCGTGAGCGCCGGACTCACCGCTCCCTGGCGCCCTGGCGGGCGTGGCAAGTACGCAGGCCAGGCCGCTGTCGTGCTCGCAGGAGCAAGTTCGGTTGGCCAGATGGGTAAGTCTCCCCCTTTCTCCTCTCCCCGTCCGCGCCAGTACTCACCCTCAGCACCCTCAGCCCTCCAATTCCTGAAGCTCTCCGGCTTCTCCCCGATCATCGCCACCGCATCCCCGCACAACACCCCCCTCACGCTCTCCTACGGCGCGACCCACGTCCTCCCGCGCACGCTCTCCGACACCCCCGCGGAGCTCGCCGCCGAGGTCGCGCGCGTCGCCGGCTCCACGCCCATCGCGGTCGTGTACGACGGTGCGTCGACCGCCGCCACGCAGACCGCGGGGCTCGCGCTGCTCGCCGCGGGCGGGACGCTCGTGCTCGTGCACGATGCCGAGGTGCGCGCAGAGGCGGAGGCGAAAGGCGTGAAGGTCGTCGTCGGGAGCGGGGTCATGGCGTTCCCGAAAAACCGCACGTTCGCGGCGGAGTTCACGAGGGCGCTCGAGGGGATGTTGGAGGAGGGGACAATCAAGGTGCGCTGCTACTGCGATTATCTTGCGAGCCTGGGATTGAAGTGCTTACGTTATTTTTCCCAGCCGCTGGTGCCGGAGGTCGTACCTGGAGGTCTGGGTGCGATTCCAGAGGGGTTGGCATTTGGAAAGGCGGGCAAGGTCAGCGGAAAGAAGCTGGTATTCCACCCTTTCGAGACCTAGGCGCGTGCCAGTACTAGTAGTGGATTCGGGAGAGTAGTATCGAAGCAGAAATGCATGACTTTGAGTCCGTTAACCGAACCAGTAAACTGCCCTTTAGTGCTTCATCCTTCCATCAATGATCGGATCCGGCCATGGCGCCGTGTAGTTTGCGAAACAGTCGTACTCGAAGTCGATTTCCGCAATGCGCTCTTCCATGCCCTTCACGAAATCGTCGAGTGCGCAAAGGCCGTCCTTGTCGGGAGCGCAATGAGCGACGCCCGTGAGCGGTACCACTGCGTCGTTCAGCAGGAAGCGGATGAATGAGTCCGAGCCGTTGCTTGGGGAGCTAGTCCGGGAGGGACAAGACATGACTTGTCCGACGAGATTGGTGGCGAAGGGAACCACGTGGGATGAGAAGTATGTCTGCGAAGTCATCCCCGTCAATCAAGCACTGGATTTGGATGGAAGATGCACTCTGGACTTACCTGATTCTCTTGAATGTGATCCACGGGCGGAGGCCCGGCAGCGGCCATTGAAGTGAAGTTCAAGGCTGTAAGGACTGCATATTTTGTGCTCAGCGAGACTGCGGAGACAAGGAGTACGTCAGACTCACTAACGGACACGACAACGTCATGGGTAGCATCCACATAGATCGGTTGATTGACTGGGAATGTGATATTGCTACTGTCTAAGGTCTGGTTGTTCGTGGTCATGTCGAAATTGTTCAGAGGGGTGTGAGTCAAACGGGCGACGAGTTCTTGGATCCATCCCAATCCTTGAGCCGCTGACGTAGGATTGCCGGGTCCGAAACTGTACCATACCTCAAGGTCTGCATCACCATGTCAGTCAGTGGAAGTGGAAGACGCAGTCCTAGATGACGCTCACCTATGGCGTATTCATATCCCCTCCACTCGTCATCGGTGAACAATTCACAGAAGGCAGAGTACCCAAGCGCGATCGTCTCGTACGGACAGAGCTGCTGCATGCCAAGAACGGCCTCGAGGTCGAGATCGATCCCTTCGATGTATTGCTGCAGCCGAGGCACCGTTTCGTTCAGATACACCGCCGTCCAGTTTGAGAAAGCCAGGATGCCGAGATTGGAGTCGTCGTTATTGGCATTTGGGCAGGCGTCCCAAGGGTCTAGTGAGTTGTAGAACCCATCGTCCTCGATCACAATGAGCTGGTGGTACGAAGACTCGTACTGCTGTACGCCGAAGAAGCCTGCCGCAAAGTTAAGTCTAGGTATTTCAGTATGTTAGCCGCGCGACCTTCACGGCGAGTTGAAGGCTGCTCACGCAGAGTCCACCATACGGGCTATTAGGTTCCGTCAGTCGCAGCATCGTTCCCACAAATGAAGCTAGCTACCATCGGAGGTCGTACGAAACACCGGAAGTTCGGTGAAGTCCTTCAAGAGGTGCCCGTACTTCGTCCGGAACCCGACCCCCAGATTGAACCTGCAAAAAGCGCGTCGAACACCTTACTCATTCAGATCAAGACACAAACTCACAGCTGCTGCCGACCAAACGGCGTAAGTATCTCCTCCCCAAGCTTGTACGTCCACGTGTTCAGGAACTCGAGCGGACCAGTCGCGTTGAACCCGGTCGACGTCGCGGCCGCGTTGACGAGCCCCGCAAACTGAGACGGAGCGGACCCCCCGGTCGGGTACCGCGCACCGTGGCGGTGGAGCAGGTGCACCTGCGTGAGCTCGCACCCGGCGGGGACGATCTCTGACGCGTCAGGAAGGCCGAAGCTGTCGTTGCCTTCGAGCGACCACCACGGGCTGAGGTTGCCCCAGGAGCGGGCCCGGTTGAAGGCGGTAGAGTCGCCATTGCCGGGATAAGTTTCGGTGCTGGACGGTGGGGATATGACGAGTGGGTTGATATCTTGTTTGAGCGGCCCAGCTGGGGCAGTCTCAACGAGCCAAGGTTCGTCTCCCGCTGGCAAGGAAAGGTCAGCGTCGGATAACGGGAACAGAGTGCAATACATACTGGGAGTCGGGCCAGCATGGCCCACTTGCGACGCATCAGGGAAGAACGCGTCCAGAGACGTCCCCGTCGCGCCAGGGGGTGGGAAGACCGCAGAGACAGTTGAGCCAGCGAAGCGCGATGCTTCGCCGGGCTGTGGCAAGCAGGCCACGACGACGGCGAGTTGAGCGGCGACAAGGAGAGAAGTAAAATCCATGGGAGTTGCTGAGGCCGCCTGGTCTGCCTTGTTTGCAGTGACACGAGGCTGTATTTATGCATTCCGCATGAAGGCGCCTTGGGGTTGAAGCGGACCGCCAATTCCCCCGACGTCGGTGTCCATGTTGGGAGGGAGCGGCCGGTCGGCAAGACATTGGCTATACCCTGGGCTGAGGGTACGCCGGAAGCAATGTGGTTTCGCACATGGGTCGAGGGTACGAAGATGGTGGGTTGAGGGTTGATGGTAAACTAGGCTACTCAGCCACCTAAGACGCCAATCGGAGACATCATTACCATGAACTTCCGGTCACGCGTAGCAGTCCAATCGGCACCCTGTTCAGGTTAGACGGAAGCACAAATATATCCAGCTATCGCTGTTCAAGACGACAAACTTCATAGCGTACATACATAGATGGATTTGTTCGTTCCTGCCAGCGCGCGCTCGGACTTCACACGTACAGCCACTTGCCCCGTCCCGTGGCCCACTGGGAGAGCTCCTCCGTGCCGACGTTCTCGAACCGCGCGCGGATCGAGCGTGGCAGGGCGCCGTCCTCCCTGTTCGTCCCGGGTGTCATCGGCGGCGACAACGGCGGGCTAGCATCTGTCTCGCCATCGTCGTCGAAGTTGATCGGGTCGTAGGGGGATAGGATGCCGAGGCCGGAGCCGCCAACGGCAGTGATGTATGGCCGGAAGTCCTGCGCCTCAAGAGCAGAGATGAGCGAAACTAGGCTTGCGGCTTGGAACTCGTCTGGCACGAGGGTGACAGCGCAACCTCCGCCGCCAGCACCAGTGAGCTTAGTGCTCAGACCGAACGGCGCGGCAGCGGTTGCGGCACGGATCGCTTCGAGTGACGGGTGCGAAACACCGAGCGAGACGAGGTGGGCATGGTTCTCGTCAATCAGAGCCTACAGAACGGTATCAATAACGGATAACAGCCAAGGAACAATACACACATACCGAGAGACCAGACAGGAGCACATCGCGCGGCACGTTAGGATCTGCAAGCGCACGCCGCGCCTCGTTGCTAATGGCTTGGATCTGGTCTAGTAGCTTTTGCACAACCTCCGGCTGCTCAGCCTTCATCCTCGAGACCCCGGCAACGAGCGCCTTCGTATCTCTTGGGACCTTCGAGTCCACAAGCAAGAACTTCAGTGATTTGAAGCCCTGGATCTGATCCATCCCGCTGCGCTTTCCGAACCCGGGCCGCACGTACGCGAGAGCCCCACCGAAGACAGCGACCGAGTTATCGACCCCGGAGGGGTTCCCATGCAGGACCTTCTCCGCGATGAACGCCCACTTGTTCGTCTCGACAGCGACGTCTGGGGGAATGGCGCGTTGACCACCGTGTGAGATATGGACGTGGCCGGGTTCTCCAGGACCGCCTTCGCGAGTGGGAGGAGGTACAACAGGGAGCTCAATGCGGCCATGGAGGATGATGAGGGCAGTCGCAATGCAGACAGAGAAGGACGCGGAAGAGCCGAGACCAGCGCCGATGGGGAGGGTGGAGCGACAAATGAAGTGGAAAGTCGGCCTACGACATGCTATAAGCGAAAAACCCACAGTTGTGGAAAGAGAATATGCACCTGTACTCGCCGTAGGACATGGTCATATACAGGTAGAGGAAGGCGAGAGCGGCGTTGTGAGCCTTGGGTGGCATGTCGCAGTCCGCAGGAAGCACTCGAGAGTTTATCGCGTCGACCAGTCGTTGGTCCAGTACGTCAGGATGGCTGTCACCCTTCGGAATGGACACCAAAGCGTCCCACGGAAGACTGTCGACGTCCCATTCGGCCTTATAGTCGCTGATGTCCGAGAAATGGACAGACACCTTGCGGTCGTACCGCGGGGAGGTCAGGCCGAAGCACCGGAGGTCCACAGAAGCTGCTACGGCAGTCTGTATCAAATATTCGAATCAGAAACGATCCAAGAAAGTAGATGAAACCCAGACTTACCACGCCGTGAACGACCGCGTGCTCGCCGAACAAGATAACTTTGCCCGGGGCGCTGACGAACCACTCGCGGTTCGCGCGCTGACGCGCAGCGTGCGACTCGTTCAGCGCGAGCTTTTCGACGGCGCGGCTGATGGGGTTCGGGATGCGGATGTAGTCGTTCGCCGCAAAGGCGATCGAGCCGGCCTCCATCAACGCGTGACGGAGATCGTCGAGCAGATCCGCAGGGTCTTCGATTCCGACACAGAGGCGGATCAAATCCTCGGGGAGACCCCGCTCTGCACGGGTGGCAGGGTCGATCGAAGCGTGCCTGTATGTAGCATTCAATCCTGGAGTTCGGGGCGTCGTCGCGATGGATGCACTCACGACATGACGCAAGGCATGCTGATGAGACTGTTAACGCAACCAAAACTCACGCTGATGCCCCAGAGACGGGTGGCACCGACGATGCGCTCGCTGAGCTCCTTGTCCCCAGTCTCGAAGGACAGTACAGCACCATAACCTAGACCAGCATGAGCCCTGTGCAGAACTGTGATTGCATTGCATCAAGGTACTCACCATTAGATATGCGGTCGTGGACGTCCTTGTTCGGATGGTTGGGAAGACCGGGGTAGTGGGTGACGAAGCCGAGCTTGGTGAGCATCTGAGCGACGAGCATGGCCGTAGACTGCTGACGGTCGAGACGGATGGCGAGAGTCTTGGTCCCGCGGAGGAGCAGGAAGGAGTCGAAAGGCGACAGCGCGTTTCCGACAGAGTTGATAATAAAGGCCATGTCCTGTTTCACCCAACGCTGTCAATACACCTCTCTGCATGAGATTTCAACTTCACTAACCTTTGCGATATCATCCCTGTTGCAGGTGATCACCCCAGCCATGAGGTCGTGATGTCCACTCAAGTACTTTGTCGCGCTGTCGTACACGATGTCCGCTCCGTGCTCGAGCGGGCGCTGCCAGTACGGGCTCATCATCGTGTTGTCAACGACGACGAGCGCGTCCTCGCACGTTTCCTTGACGAGCGCGCTGATCCGCGCGATGTCGACCACCTTCAGCATCGGGTTCGTCGGCGACTCGAGCAGCACCATCGCCGTCTTGCCCGGGTGCAGAAACTCGGTCACCGAGTCCGCGCGAGTCGTGTCGACGTGGTGGACGGTGACGCCCATGTGCGTGCGCAGGTAGGTGAGCAGCCGGTTCGTGCCTCCGTAGAGGTCGTCCCCGGCGATGACCTCCACTCCAGGCTTGAGCAGCCGGGTGATCACGTCGAGCGCGGCCATGCCGCTCGAGACCGAGAACGCATGCTGCGCGGACGAGATCTTCGCGATGTGGTGTTCTGCATGGCGCGAGGTCAGCGCACCCTTCTCGACAACAGACGGCGGGCACCCCCAACTCCCACACCATCGAGTCAGCGCGCGGCCGCCTAAACTCCACCCCCACAGCCGACGGACAGAGAGCAACACCGGCCCTCCACTACTCGCTCTTTACCGCCGCGCGCAGACGCAAGAACGCAAAGCCCGGAGGGAGGATGGGTAGAGAATACGCACCGAGATGGGACCGGGTCGGGTTCCCGGACCTGGTGTAGTCGTATGCCTTGCCGATCCCCTTGAACGTCGCGGTCTGGTAGATTGGGACACTCGAGCTCCCGTGCTGGTCCTTGTGGTCTGCGTCGGGTGAGTCCACGGTCGCGCAGAGCGTCGAGAATCGGTACGGCTGCCGCTTCAGGCTCAGCGCGGGTGAGTCGGGCTCCGGCGTCGGGAGGTCGGGCGTCTTGTTCCGCGAGCTCGACGCCATGACTGTATGGGGTGGGGGATGCAAGGAGGGGGAGGAGAGCAGGCTATCGGAGCGAGGGATGCAGAAGGTTTATATGCAGGCCGTTGGACGAGCGCGAAAGCCTCGCGGTTGGCTTTGGTCTTCCAAGTCTCGAATCGAGCCATGCACAATATCCGTGCCCATCACGTGCGCCCCGATGGCGCCATGTTCTTGCGAGCGCCCGCCATTCCGGCCGCCATGGCCGCACTGCTTCACTGTCACGCCTACATAAGTACGCTCCAAAGCAAACTCGCATATGCATGGTATATATTATCCGAACATTTTCATGTATGACGGGAGCAGCAATACAGCAACGAGCCCAGGAAAAATACAGTTACTGATGGTGTCTACTAGACGAGGCCAGGAAAAACGTCCAGGACGAGAATAAAACATTGTGAACCGGGGCAGTGGTAGTGGACTAGGAAGCTATAGTGATGCGACAACGCCAGAGGGCTGCGTAGGGCCGGAGACATAGAATATGACAGCGGGGAGTGACGGTGAGCGAGGGGGAAGTGCGTGCATTAGCGGCAGGCTAGGTAGTATTGGCAGACGACACCGGCGCGAGAATGGTATGGAATGCGATGGGAAAGACGTTATGTGGAGATATGAATGCGTGACGACATGAAAGTAAGATGTGATATGTACAGAGGGTGTGGCAGATGGGGAACTTTCGCGTGCGGAAAGTATAGCGTACCTATGTGCGGCGCGTGGCGATGGGGAATGAGCGACGAAAACAGGTGTGACAACGAAGTGCGAGCGGTATTTCCAAGCTACCATACATTGGTGTATTGACGAATGTCCATGTGCGAGAGAAGAAAGTGGTGGGGGTAAAGTTGGCAGGTCATGAGACACCTAGCTGTTGGAACATTGAGTCTAGCGTCTTGAATGCTACTGGTTTCACAAGGCTGCAGAACGAATGTAAGAACAGTAGTCAACTAAACACGGCAGGAAACTCACTATCCGTCAACCCCCGCTTCAAACGCTCTCCGCTTGTCTTCGAGAGACGACATTCCGGTTAGAGCAAGGATGCGCGCAGGGTGTGTCCTGGTACCGTTCTCGTTTTTCCGCCTCGACTCGATCTGTCGTATCTGCGCGGTCGCGCCCACGCCGTCCAAGATGGGCATAGATAGATCCAGCAATACAACACTGGCGCATAAAGTCAGCTCACGATGTCCAAATGGGATGAAAAATACAGCACTTACTCAAAATAGCCCTCAGTCTCGAACGTGCGCACCCCTTCCTGCCCGTCCACGGCTTCGCGGTACTCGTAACCCATGTTCCCGAGCCACCTGACGCTGCAGCCCCATTGAACACGATGCATCAGCACCCCTTTCGAGCGTTCGCAGCATGCCAATGCCACTCACAGAAGACTGCGCAAGATGCTGTTATCCTCCACCACGAGCACCCTCAGCGGCCCCGCACGCTCGACAGTGCCCACTGAGCTCCTCAACAGCGTGCCACCTGTGCCCACCGCGATCGTCGGGCTCGTCGGCGCGGCCGGCTCAGGGCTCGTCACCTCGGAGCGCCCCCGTTCCTCCTGCACAGTCGCCGGCATGTGTTCCCAGCTCGTGAGCGGGTGTGCGGTGACCGCGCGGGGACCCAGCGCAGGGCGCCTGGGTGGTCGACCCTCCAAGCTCATGCTCCACCCTAGCCGCGATCCCATGAGCGCAGCGCCACCGCCTCCACCACCGCTACCGCTGCTTTCTTCGGAGTACCGCCGTGCGAGCGACGAGGCCTCGGGCAGATCGTACGACGTCGAGCGCGAGGGCGAGTCCGGGCGGACCACGCTGGCGCTCGCGAGGAGCGTGGGAGGCACCGCTCGGGGCCCGCGGCTGATGTTGAGCGCGTGGAGGGAGAGCTTGAGGGCGGCGACGAGGCGGCAGGGTCCGACGGGTTTGTAGACGATGCGGCAGAAGCCCCCGATGTGCTCGTACTCGTTCACGATCGACATCAGCCGCGGGTCCCCGCGCGCGGAGGAGAGGATGATGAACGGCCGGGACGCGTCCTTGCGCTCGATCGCGTCCGTGACCGGGGATGGGTCCTCGTTGATGATCGCGATGTCCCCGCTCGCGTTGTCGGGCGCGAGCGGGATATGCCAGTCTGTGACGATGTACTGGACGAGCACGTTGCGGAGGAGCTCGACGCCGCGCGCGGAGGTGTCGAAGGCGAGGAGGGAAACGGTCGGCCGCGGGCTGTGTTCCAGGATCTTGCCCATCTCCGTGGCGCACGAAATTTCGTTCGCACCTTCAAGAACTTCGGCCTCGAATGTGATCTTGATATCCGTGCCGACGCCTTCCGCACTCCAAACGTCGACTTTGCCGTCGACGCTGGGAGACCGGACGATGCTATTCACAATGGCCAGACCGAGCCCGGTCCCTGTCTGTAGCGGGTTCTCCTGCGTGAACGGATGGAAGAGCTGGTTCTAATAAGCCATAAACGGCGTGAGTAAGTGGCCAAAGAAGCACGGGCGGCGGCCGTACCTTCAGGAAGTTCTGGCTGATTCCCTGCAACAGACCGAGATGAACCTCATGTCACATCACGAAACCACTGCTTGGGAACACGCACCTTGCCCGTGTCGAGCACCGCCAATTCTATCCTAACCTTCCCGGACGGCGTGTCGGTCGAATGAGGCAGCTGCCGCAGCATTACGTGAACAAAGCCGTCCTGAATTCAATACATGAATCAGTGACCCTTTCGCATGCGGCCTCCGAGGGTGCATTTCGACTCACCGATGTGAACTTCAGGCTATTCCCGAACAGGTTCATGAGGACGCGGCGTATACCGCCCTTCTCACACCGCACTGTCCACCCCTGTGTGACGAATCCGCGTGAGCCTGCGACATTGGTACGGGCGAGGCAAGGCACATACAGCCTCGCTGTGACCGATGTCAATGACAGTCTCGACATGTTTGTGCGGCGTGACCACGGCAACCGGCTGGCGGTCCTGCTTAGGCGGCGAGTACACGCTCCCGATCTCGCTCGTGAACATACGTGCCCGATGCCCAATCCAACACCCCTCCGTGGCCTCCTCAATCAGCTGCATCAGGTTGACCCTGAGAAGCGCACATGGCATGCGTCAGACTTTGATAACACATATGAGGGCGGAGACACTCGTGAGACTGACTTTGTGAGGTTGATAACGTTTTCGACGCCACCCGCCTTCGAGTTCCCACTGAGCTTTGTGAAGTCCAACACGTGGTTGACGGTCTCGACGAGCGACGTGCCGCATGCTTGTACTGTCTGCAGGAAGGATGCTTGGCTGTGATCGAGTGAAGTTTCGGACAACAGCTCCGCGGACGCGAGAATCTGGAGTAGAGCTGTGATGAGCCGAATGTCTCAGGACGAATTAAAGCCAAGCTCTAACCCCATGCAAAGGTGTGCGCAGCTCATGTGAGATGCTAAACAAAAACAACGTTAAGCCAATTGGCGAGCTATGCGCTCGCAGCACGTACTTCGATATGAACAGCCCCTTCGCCTTGTCCGCCAGGACCATGCGCCGCTTGAGGACGGCAGAAAGAATGATGACCCCTGTGCAGATGTTTAGAACTCCCATTCTGGTGATAGCGGCTACCAGAAGCTAACCGATGGCACGCAAGTACGAAAGTTCGTGCCCCTCGAGCTACCGCATGATTTCGAAGATCAAACTCTATTCGATGCCAAGATTGAGTGAGACTCACGAATGGCGTTGTTCGCTCCCCCGTGCTGTATGCACACAGCAGGGCGAATGGTCGCTTGTCGATGTTGTATATCGGGACCGCAAGCGCGTACTGTAACCTTGCGGGCAAGAAGGGTCTCAGGCCCGAATGAACAATACCCTCGCAGACTTTGCCCTCTGGGAACTTCTCGAAAAACTCGGCGAGCTTCCGATGCTCGTCCTTGCCCAAACTCCGGCTCTGCGTGGGCGAATCCGACACATCCGCGTCGTGTATCGTGGTCGAGACCGCCGACTCCGACCCGACGGTCTCTAGTACGTCTATGTGTGAGACGTCCACGACGATCGCACCCTCCACATCAAGGGTTCTCTTGACGAGCTTGGCAGCTTGCAAGTATATGTGCTCCATCGAAGCCGAACTTGGTGACCTGTTCGCGCCACCTGGCTTCTCGTCTTTCAGCTCCCTGTCGACCTCAAGACACTCCCGCGTGAACTGCTCCATCTGCTCAAAACAGTCAGTAGCCAATCACTGAGGAGCATTAGACGCTGACGTACAGAAATTTGGATGCGGTCCCGCACACGGAGCTGGATCTGGTGCACAGATGTGAGGTTTTGAGCTGCCAATGTCTTACCTGATCCATACCTTGTCTTTCCAAAGTTCCATTTCTCGCATGGCGACTTGCTGTACAAGGGCTCCGTCAGGACCGAATTCTGTGCCTAAAGATAGAGTACTGACCGCGAACTCCTTGAAGGTATGTCTCTGCCTAGGGCTGAACTCCCGCCGGGGAGTGTCATCCATGATCGCAAGTCTGAATGAACGTGAGATCACATATACTTCCAAGTGATAACAATGTGTCACTGACGTCCCGATGTTGTACCCGTCCGATGTTCGAAGGGGGCAACCAGCGTAGAACCGGACGTGCGCATGGCCGAGAACAAGTGGCTGACGGCAGGTAAGTGAGATTGGGCCTCTGGCACCACCAACAGCACGTACATTCCGGGAAAACCGCCAGTCGTCCTGAGCATCCAGTATGACCGTAGGCTCGCCATCACTGCGCATGGTCAGCAAAGCAAACATGTTCGCCACGTCACCGACGTACCGTTGCAAAATCGCGTGAGCGCACAGAGAGCTCGTCCTTGCCATGTTGCTTACCCCGAGTCCGGCTGTATGTCCACGACGACCCGTTAGGTCTCGCCATCCTCGCATGGCACCGCACACGAAAGTACTCACACTCGAACTTGAGGAACCTGGAATCCGCAAATCAGCGTCAGTCAACACATTCCACTACGTGTGACAAGCAGGTGGGACACTCACTGTTCGTTCCCATCGATCAGCGTGATGATGACGATGCGAGTGTTGAATACGAGCTTGACGAGGTGCGCAATCCGGTCGAAGTTCGGGTCCCGACCCGTGCCCCAGATGTTGTACTGGTACAACGCTCGCCGGCGCTCCAGCTCGTTGGGCGGGTTCGGCGGCGCGAGGTACCCCAGCTCGAGGAACATCTGCTCCTCTTTCGCGGCACGGCCCGCGAGGTTGTTGACCGCGCTCTCGCTGGCCGGGCGCGATGCTCGCAGCCGCCGCTCGTACAGCGACTGCGTCGGAAGCGGGGCGCTGGTCTGCCGCGTAAGGCATATCCGGCGGGGGAGGGCAGGCACAGTTTGGGGGTCGTTATCAAATGGTGGGGCTGAGACTTGCCGCGAGATGTCGGTCCCGGGTCGCACCATCACTGTCCCAGAAGTGGAGGCGGAAGAGAGGGTGTCGGCAACCAAGGGCGAAACATCGAAGTGCGCGATAGAGCCAAAGTAGTCTTCGTCGGCCTGCTCGGGTGAGGCAGAAATGACAGGAGCAGTGGCGGGTGCAGGGACGGGAGGTCGCTCGGCCAGCAGGGGCGAGCCGACTTTGATTGCTCGCAACCTATGTCCGGCCGGTGGGAGGGGCTGGGGGACGTCGCGTGTCTCGCCGTCATCCGATTCCGCGGCTTCCAAGGAATCAGTATCAGCAGCGGCAGGGTCTGGCGACGCTGACGCATCCTCCACGTCTTGCGTACCTTGCCAAAAGCTGCTCAGACGACTCTTCCTCACCGCATTGGGGGACATGAGCGGGAGGTTCTGTTGGGCGAAGACGTCTGGATGGGAGCCCGGGATGGCGGTTGTGACACCCCGCATGGGATCGGTGAGCTCGTGCTCCGGGGAAGGAAGGGCCAACGGCGCGACGGAAACACGGGCCGCAGCCAGCCGAATGGCGGCTGCGGTCGCGGTCGCATCGACGGGTGTGATGGGTAAGCGCGACGGCCCGAAGGTAGAAGCGTGGAGCGCAGAGGATGTGCGCATATCCGCAAAGGAATTGCGCAGGCGGTGCGAAAAGGGCCCCAGGTTGAGCGGGAGATTGAGCTGCTTTGTCGGCTTCTGGGTGCTTGTCGAGCCATCTGAAGACGTCGAGCCCATCAGGGGAGCCGAAGTGCTTGACAGCATGGGAGGCATCGGGTGGTCGCGCTGGGCGTCGACCAACGGCTGTTGCTCGAGCGGAGGAGGAGCGGTGCGATGTACAGGAGGCCCGAACGGCGTCTCGGCCGGTCGCCAGTCGGGGATCAAGTCTAGGTCTGGAGAATCGAAGACGGACCGCAATTCTGAGTCTCCGACGACGAGTTCTGGAGTGGCTGAAGTGGAGAGACTCGGTACGGTCAGATGGGAGCGGGGCTGGAGAGGTGTCTTGAGTGGATCCCATCGGCCGATGGAGTACGCGTGGATGAACGTCGCCCAATCATAGTCGGGCTCGACAGTGGTTGAGTCCCGTGCGGAGGACGCGCTGTACGAGAGATGGGACTCCTCGCTTGGCGACGGGTCGAAGGGTGATGGAAGAACATCTGGTTACGCATACCGGATCAACGGTCATGTCTCCAGACATCCCACAAGGTAGCCAATACCCGACGCACCTAGGACCAACATGCGGGACGCTTCTGCGCGCAGACCCGCTACGGCGGCATTGGCTCTCCGGTTTATATCCTGAACGGAGCGATCTTCAACATGACGAGACGCGGAGCGAGCTGCTCTGTGCTCGGGCGAGGACCAGAAGGCATTTGTATGCACCACCTCTGAAGTCGGAGAGTAGTTCGAAGGAGTGATATCGCCCATTAGTGGGGCAGGGGGGAGCAAATCGCGCTTGTCCTCAGCTGTGGAAGCGGTGGATGGGCGTCTGCGCGTCTTGGATGGCTTAGGGGGCGGAGCGAGGCGCGGGATGGCTGGAATGATCAGGGTGGTGGTGGGAGTGGAGGCAGCGAGGGTGAAGGAGATCTCGCCCGCCGCGGAAGAAGAGGTGGGAGGGAGAATCTGCTCCGATCGGGCGAGCTGGATTGTCGGGTCCATGGAGGAGCAGTAACTTCGACCAGCCGGGGTTGTGGCGGACGGGGCGTGAGGTGGCTAGTTTGAGTGCGTGAGCAGCGACATGGACAGTACGGGGGTGGCGTGTTGGGCGTGTGGGAGCGTGGGAGGAGGTGGTGGAGAAGGAGGAGGAGGAGGAGAGCAGGTGGTAGAGCGAGTCCTGGTGCAAGCCAGTGCGGGGTGGGCTCGTCCCTGGCGGCGCTGATCCCTGCCCGGCGCCTCCCCCCGATGCCCGAGCGCCCGGTGGCTGTGAGCTACGTCATGTCCCCTCCTCGATCACCTCTCCTGCCTCCGCCCACCGCCGGACTCGCAGACGAGCTCTAGGGGCATGCAGATTCCTGCACGAGGTACACCAGACCGTGTCCCAATTTTTTTCTAGACTGCCACCCTGTTCTCTGCGCAGGCAGGCACAACCTCGCGCGCCTAGAGCCTACGTCATCGCGGTCTTGACGCCAGCCGGCCTCCACAGTTGTCTGAGGGTCCCGAACAGTACGAACACGGGAACACGGCAAAACAGTCGGCTCGTTCCAGACGGTCTAGATCCCCGCAGAATATTCAACCTTTCCTCTTCCTGCACCTGACGCGGCTTCAGCTTCCACGACACCGCGGTGGCCGAGCCAGCATTTTGGTGGGCTTCCCTACCGTTTCACCCTGTGGAGCCCTTCCATCTTCGTAAAATTCTCCTTTCACAGGCTCAGAGCTCAAGCGCTCAAGCTCAAGCTCGTAGACCGGCGCGCATTCCATGGATCGTGGCAACGTAGCGTGCTAGCTGGATGTGAGACTGTTTCCGACGGAGTGCGGGGCGGAAAGTTCCGTAGCCCGACACCGGCCGGCCCCTCCCGTCGAAGGTCGACCTCAAGCTCATGTGACGCGTCACGGAGGACCATGAACTTTGGCCCACGATGTGACGGATATAGTCTTGCCACCGCCGACCCCGCTCGTCACGCTAGTAGAAGAGCTTGATGACTTTAGTGTACGCAGCCGCCGAGGGCCATGAACCGTACTCGACGAGGGGAGCAAGCCTGACACCGTCAAGTTGTACCACTTCGCTGCGCAGCTGCTCCAACCTACTCTTGTTAATCACTATTTTTGCGCGCTTCAGGCACTGTCTTCTAGGTTGTGCCCGGTGCGCGCTACTCGCGTCGCCGACGTGGTGGCTTCTTTTCAGGTTGCGCATGCCCTGAGAAAATTCACAAATTACAACATAGAAACCACCTTTCGGGTTCCGAAGGTCGAACCGGCGCTGTTCCTGCGAATTTCAACAGAGAAGACATATATTGAAGCCAGGAAGGGAGCCTTTGACCTGCCCGAACGGGGCATTGCAGGCTGCGTAGAACCTGCGTAGAACCTGGGCGTTTGGAAAGTCCACGGGTCCTCACCGGACGTACAACACAGGCGCGAGTCGGGGTGTCATCATTTACATTACACCTACGCCCGCACAACATCCAGAAGCACGACCATCGCCCACATGTACAGCGGCAGCGTCAGGTTGTCGTTCTGCACGCTGAAGGCCTCCAGGCACCCCGCCAGCGCCGCCGCGACAGCGAAGCGCCCCATCTGTCACGCAGAGCGTCAGCCTCCCGTGCGGGCGCGCGCACGGCCTCGGGCGACGCACCTCGAACGGCTCGACGAGCCCACAGGCGCGCAGGAGCCCCGCGCACGCGCACACGGAGAGCACGAAGCCCGCGCTGCCCTCGACCGTCTTCGGGTTCGCGGCGGACCATCGGAACCGCCCGAGCCGCTTCCCCACGATCGACGCCTGTCCGGCGCACGCGAGCGGGGATCGGGGAATCGTGATTGGTGGTAGCAGACCGAGCGTCGGAGCGGCGGAGAAATGGGAGAGCGGGCGGGCGATCGGCCACGCGAGGTAAAGTCGGAGCGACCGGGGAGGCGGAAAGGAGACCGGTGAGCATTGGGAGCGCGATCAAGAGACATTGGAACGCACCAGAGCGTCGCCGACCCCGAGGACGAGCGTGCCTGTGAATTGCGGGAGTCGCGTCGGGCTGTGGTTCACGAGAGGATTGGGTCAGTCTCAAGGGTCAAGAAAGGGAGACGTGAGAGGAGACCGACCTTTCGAACCAGAGCGAGTTCGCACACCCGGTGAGAAGATAGAAGTGGCTGAGGATGGCGGTCCCACTGTCCTTCGAGTCTAGGAACTCATTCAAGAAGAGGTGCACCGCCGCGCCGAACGGGTACAACGCAAAGTAGCGCACGTATTCCGCGAACGTGAACAACGCAAACGCGCCGCTGAAGGCGAGGTGTGTGAACGCCGGCTGTACACAAGCGAGACCACGTCAGTTGAAAACACCGGAGGTAGCAAAATGGGGTAAAGACGGGTAGCCGGCGGAGGCGCAGGCGATGGTTAATCATTCCATGAACAGAAGCTTGCGCAATGAAGGTGTGGCACGCCCGATTAGGTACGGTAGCGGAACGTACATCGCCACAAGGCTAGGTCGTCCATGACGATAAAGAAAGGATGCCAGCGTCGTTGACGCCACCCGTATCGCTTGGCTTGTCGTGTGTATGAGCGGAGACGAAGGGACAGTTGCCGTCCCCTCGAAAGTCCCCCGCACGCCTCAGCGACTCGTGCGACATCCTCGGGCACGGCATGCCTCCGACAATCAGTCGCACGATCGCGCTGTATCCCAACGAACAAACGAAAAGTACAAGAGAGTGACGCACGTCGATCGCAATCCCAGGCACGAACATGACCACCGCGAGCGCGTGGAAGTACTTGCGCCGCGCGTTCACGCTCAGCGTCGGCACGTGCTTGTCCGCGGCATCGAGCAAGTCCGTTGCCACGTTCGAGAAGTTCGCGCTGTTGGGTAAATCCGGGAGGTTCGAAAGGTTTGGGAGGTTCGGGAGGTTGGGCAAGTGCCGCCGGTAGGACCCCAAGCCTTCTCCAGGGGGCGGCGTCGCGGACGCGCTGCTCGACGGGTCACCCATCTCCGCAGTCGCGGCGGCGCGCGGGCCCCCGTTCGCATCGGCCACAGGTGCTTGCGGGTGAACGTTGTGCCCCGCCGTCCCTTGGCCGTTCGGGACGACCGCAGCAGGGGCGATCCCGGCGGTGTCGTGGCGCGGGCTCGTCGGAACGACAATCCCGTCCACGAGCCCGGCATTGAGCTGGACGCTACCGGGCGCCCGCCCGCCGATGGCCCATTGGCGCCAGCGGCGGCTGCGCGCGAGCTGGCGTGTCCATCCGGCGACGCTCAAGCTGATGAGCAGACCCCAATAGGCCACGAGAGCGGGACGCGTCCACTTGTTCTCGCCCGCGAGGAGGAAGAGCGCGAGGTAGACCCACGGGTTGCGCCCGTCGAGACACCATTGCGCCCAAATGCCGATGAGGCCGCCGACGATGAGAAGTGTGCCGACGTAGAAGCCGAGCGCGAGCAGCCGGCGGTGTTTCATCTTCTCCTCGGGGTAACGCATCCGGCGGACAGGGCGTTGAGCGATGTGGCGCGAGAGGTAAAGGAGAGGGGAGAGGAGGAAGCCAGTGAGAAGTGAGCCGGGAATCAGTGCAATCTGGTATATGAGCAGGGGGGTGGGTAGGCGGAATGTCTTGATGTATGGGGTCACAGCGGGGAATAGCTACAGAGACACGAGTCAGATGAAGAGATCATGTGAAGTTACTTCAACGTACTTTGGCAAGTGTGATGTTCATTAGTTCCATGAATAGGATGGTGGCACCGAAAGAAACAAGTGCACATTCTCCGAAGGTGAACCCTCTGTGCGCAAAACGAACACAAGAATAAAGAGAGAACTGAAAGAAAAGCGCGCTTGCAACCACTTCGTGGTAAGACATGCCTTAATGCGCACTCATGTGAGCCAACGGAGAAGCAATGGTTAAAAGGAGTGACGCACTCTGCCAGATGCCTAGTTTTGCTTCCTTCATCGCGATGCGGACACACAGGATCCACAAGGTGACGCTAACCGAGAAGAGCGCATACAGGTATGTCCGACGAGTCTCCTTTCTGGGCACTGAGCTAACCTCGCCTTCCGGGATTACGATCTTTCTCCTGTGCCGAGCTTCTGTAACCCAAGAAGCAATCACATGCACGAGGAGAATGGTAGCGCAAAAAGTGGCCTGGCTGACAGCGTAGCGCCTGGACCGCAAGAGGGCCTCGAGTGGGGTGACCGGGTGTTCAGCATTAGGTAGTGTCATGGGAGGTTCAAGAAGCCAACCGGGGGGCACAGGGTCGCTTGGAGGTGTCGAGGATGACATGTTGAGGGAAATATACAACAAAGAGGCAGCCATGAGAGGTCCAACGAGCAGTCCAGTGAGGATCCCGTCGTCTTGCGAGTTTCTGAGGTGCTGTCAGCATGATGACATTTCACGGAGATCTGGACCACTAGTTACCGATAATTTTTAGGCACCGTCATCCACACGTAGCCTGTGTCCCGACTTCTTGGAGAAGTATCGTTGTTTAGACTGAGGGGGGAAGGAACCCGTCTATTGTCTCGTTCGCCAGGTCGGAGAAGGGGCGAAGAGGGGTGAGATGGTGGTGTTTGTGGACGTGAGGCACGGTCTTGAGTTGTACGAATCCACGTAACTCTAGTCCATGTACAGTACAAAATGGATGCGATGACTAGTAATGCAAGTTCTGCGGCAGGATGAACACGTCAATATCATGACACAACACATGGTTTTGAGAAAGCTGCCATTCCTGCCCAGACACAAACGAACAGCGTGTAACGAGCCGAACTGGTCGGTAGAAATCGACCGCGAGAGTCGCAGCAAGAAGTCACTCTCGGAAAATCACGGGATCAAAGTGATCCCACACCGCCCATCCAGCAAGCCCGAGGCGTGGCTATTCTGTGTCTCATGTGAAAAGCATACACGGCCATCATGACGCCGATGCATATGGTCGGCGTTGTCTGCTAGAATGGCCTCGAAGGAGCTCTCGCCCGACGCTGACAACACCGTTGCTGAAGATACTCCGAGGCCACCCAGCATCGACCCGGGCAACACTCATGATGTAGCACGGTTTGTTTCGCCGCTGTGGACGCACAGGAATGATGGCGAGGATATGCAACGCACCTATAGATATCCACATATCTGGAGAGAAGGGGCCGTCCGCAAAGGCCCCAATTTTCACCGCCGCGAATCCCACAGAGCACAAGAGAATGACGTTCTCCAACGCCTGCCGAGTGTCGAATGACGCTTTGAAGCCGAGGCCCGGCACCCCAACGCTCGCCTTGCTCGGGAAGAGCGAACGAATCGCTGCGGGCGCATTGTACTTGCTCCGTGCGAACAGCGAGGGCGATCCTGGACGAGTGTAGCCGTTCGTTTGTCCGTCCGACGGTGGCCTGACCGCGGGGGAGCGCGAGCGCGTGAACGTCCGTCTCTCGAAGAGCTGGGAGGAGCTCTCCCGCTGCGAATGGCTCGACAGAGATTGGCCGCTGCCCTGGCGGGTGATGAACGTCCCCACACCCTTCGAGTCGCGCCGCTGTGGGCCCAGCTTCTTCCGCTGGCTCGGCTGTCGTCCGCGGGCATCCTGGCGGCCGGTGTCCGTGCCCTCGTCCTCGCTCGAGAGGACGCCCGAATCGGAGCTGGAGCGTCCCACGTCCCAGCGTGAACCCCACGCCGAGCACAGAGAAGGAAAGGAGCGCACCTAGATTCGCCGGCCTGGTAACTCGAGCTCCACCCTTGTGTCTGCGACGGCTCTACGCGCGGGGGAAGGGCTCCTGAAGGCTGCGAGGGCCTGCGGCGGGACGCGCGCGCCCGCTTGGACTGGGCGCGCTGGGCGGGCTTCCGGGCAGGCGGGGATGGCGAAGAGGACGAGCGAGGCAGTTTGGCGAGCGCGGGACCGGCAGAGGGGGCAGTGGAAAGCGGGAGGGAGGGGGTACTCGCGGTGGTCGTCCGACTGTAGCCAGATGGCTATAGACCGAAAGCTCAGAGTCACAGGCCTTCGAGTCCGACGCAGCCTCTGGACACCGACTCGTCTGGCGCCTGCCCGGGCGGCGCGGACCCCGCACGTGGCCGGCGTCGATCAAATACTTACGCGATGTCGGCAGTGTCCGGACGCCCATGAGCCAGCCACTTTCGCGTCGGGCGCGACGCGTCTCGACTCCCTTCACGAGACTGAGTCCACCTGCCCCCCTCTGCCCTCTCACTACGCGTCATCTTGGACTTCCGTGTGGACACAAGAGTCTCAAATGCCCAAAAACCCCGAACCCGTCTTTCTGGAAGATCTGGAGACCCCTTCAACCCTGTCGTCTTCGCAGACCTCAGTGAAGGAGAATGTCTCGGTCTCTGTCCAGGGAGACACCACACCCACCGCGACCCCGACGAAAAACGCAGCTACACCGGAGAAGAAAACAGCCACGGGAGCTACAAAGCGTCAGATGTCTATTTCAGATATGTTCTCCAAAGCCCCCTCTTCCACTCCCCCTGCTGCCAAGAAGGCCAAAACCAATGCGCTCAGCGCCAACCCCACCCTCAATTCTATCGCATTCTCTTTGGCGGAGTTTGAGAAGAGTCTCTCCGATGAAGAGAGGAAACTTCTTGCTTTGGAGTGCGCCACAATGGGCAAGAGCTGGTGCATAGCCTCATACTCGTGTTGGCGACACGTCTGACTGACGCTCATTAGGTTGAAATTGCTCCATACAGAGATCAGGAAGCCTTACTTCTTGAAACTCAAACGGTTCCTCTATGATCAGGGCGTCAAAGGCCCCGACGATAGTGCACCAAAGCTGAAAGTATACCCGGCGCGTGAGTACCTCGTAGCCAATGAGCCCATGGTCCCATGTCTGACCAACAACAGCTGTAAACATCTACTCTTGGTCGAATCTCACACCACTTGGGCGCGTCAAGGTCGTCATCATCGGGCAAGACCCGTATCATGGCCCAGGACAAGCCCACGGTATGTCGAATGTTTTGGCTTCCATCTGTCTTGCTCACGTCCGTTAGGGCTATGCTTCTCGGTCCCGCCCGGCATCCCCGTTCCACCTTCTTTGCGCAACGTACGTGGTGCGCCGTGATATTGTCTTCAGAAGCACTGATTCGTGTCTTAGATCTACTCGGAGATTCGTAACGAGTATCCATCTTTCGAACCTCCGAAGCACGGGTGAGAGTGATTGTGTTGTCCCACTGTGTGTTGTTCCGCGCTCACCTTCTCCTAGAAACCTGACATCGTGGGCGGAGAACGGCGTTTTGCTACTCAACACAGCACTGACAGTTCGCGCCGGTGACGCTGGATCGCATTCGAAGCAGGGATGGGAAGAATTTACGGACAAGGTGGTCGAAGTCGTCGACAAATTCGGTGGTGCGAACCTTGGAAGCAAAGGAGCCATGGCAGGCCGAGGCCGAGGCATTGTCTTCCTCGCGTGGGGCGCTTGGGCTGGTAAGCGTGTGGCAAAGCTAGACAAGGTTCGTCTCGGTCACCGTCCCGACCCTTGCTATCGAGCTCAGTCTGCGATCTCGGTGTTCGGGCATCCAGAAAAAGCACCTTATCCTAACCAGCGTCGTGAGTGTTCCTGCTCAGTCAGCTTTAGATAAGTGCCGTACTGAACCCTGGCTGCGGCGCCTGGACCTTCCTTCGGCTCGTCGTTTGGGTTTTGCAGCATCCGTCGCCGCTTAGCGCGAACCGTGGGTTCTTGGGGAATGGTCATTTCAAGAAAGCCAATGACTGGCTGGAAGAGAAATATGGCCCGGATGGATGTGTCGACTGGACCAAGCTGTGACCGTTGCATCTCGTTCATCGGCGTTCTCTGTACAATATTCTGTTTATTGTGCTTCCAGGTGAGTATCACTCATTGAACGCAATATCGGCGATTGATCTCACTTTGTACCTCTCCGTACGACCCACCCACATCGCGCGCGGCTGATCCACCGATAGGCACACGGCCCTCCGACCTGCCGGATGCCTCAACCCTCGTTGTACCCTGGCGCCTCGCGTCTCGACCTGGCCGCATTGCTGGCGCCGGTCACCCAAAGCTCCGACGCGGTAGCCCACGTCGCCCTGTCATCGCTTGTGTCTTCGCTGTCAAGAACAATAGGGCGTGTTGGTGGCGGCGGTCGTCGTCCTATCACATGCCCACACACGTCAATGCCCGTCTTATCCCAGCCGCAGTCTCGTCTCATGCGGCGGGTATGCCGCCTTCTTCTGAACTCATTAACACACACCATAATCACTCGCCTTGTCTATCGTCGGCTTCTTGCGCACCGCTGACTGGGTCCAGTCAAAAATTCGCCTGTACATCCACTCTCATCTCTTGCTTACTGCTGTACCTCAACGCCGTCGCGTTGATTTCGGCCACGCATCGATGCCATCGCTCTCCCCTTGCACCGCTATTTCAGAATAATTGAGTTCGGCTACACTGAACTCCTACATCTCTGTAGCTCTCACCGTACATCCTGTTGCCGTCCCCCGTGCTATCGACTTCCACATCACGTTTCCACTCATCGTTCGCTGTTCAGACATCTTCGGATGCACTTCCAAGTCTACCGCGCGAAACCCCGATGGACCGGACAGGTCCCATCTGTCAAAACTCCGGCACGCGCTTTCATCGTACCACAGTCCAGCCATCTTCTCCGTCATAGCGCGCAAAGGTCGCCCTTCCCGCCGCACCCGCGGTCCTCCATCGAAGGCGCGCCGCGCAAAGGGACGAGTGAGCACGCTGCACGCCGCCCGCCCGGCACTCATCACAGCGCAATCATGATCCGACGCGCAACGGCCGCGCCCTCGCGCGACCCAAGCCCGCAACGCAGCCCGCATGTCCCGCGGGCGTGCCCGCGCAGCCCACGCTCCCGTCCTGGCGGGGGCGGCGTGATCGTCGGGCTCTGATCGTGGCACCCACACTGATCTGCGAGCGCGAGCCCAGTGTTGTCCGGCGTCGAGGAGTGCGGTGCATCAGACAGCGGAACCTAGCTAGGCCTGCCTCCTCCACACCCGAACGTCGAACGTCGTGCTGCGGGCGCCAGGCGGAGAGCGTAGCGGCCGGATGCGCTGCCCACCTCCCCGCCCGAGCGCGCGCCTGCTCGCCCATGAAGCACGAAATCGCGATGGTCGAAGCCCCCCCGCGGCTTCTCGCGCGCGCGTTCGGCGCTGATCCCCGCGGGGGACCCGCTGCTTTTTTGTCGCCGGAGGCCCACTAGTCGTTGCCGATTTCGACGCGTACAGCACCGCGCGCCGAGCGCCGAGACATGGTCCTGGTGCGCGCGCGCGCGCGAGCGGTGTTCCTTCTGAGTCCCAAAGTTCCGGCGACTACTCAGTACTCAGGCCTCAGGTCTGCATCCGCGCCAAACAGATGGGGACTGGAGTCTGGGTGCAGTTCGCAGTTCGGAGGACTGCATTGCTCCGTCGGGCGCTCGCGCGACCGCACCGGTTCGAACCGCGGGGCGCCCCCCCCCCCTCGTTTGCGCCACCGGATCCCCGAATGCACGCCGGCGGGCGGTGGCGATCGCGACGTCGATCATTGCCAGTGCCGGGACGTCCTTACTCGCGCGCGCGAGGACCCCCGTTCACTGGCGCATCGGAGAGAGAATAGCGTGCGAATCAACGACGCGCGCCCTTGCGCGCGCTGTGGAGACGACAGCTCCTGAAGGCCTGAAGCTTGAAGCCGCGACGTAGCGCGATCTGGGGGCGTTCGTCGCGACCGACGCCACGCACCGCGGTCGTCTCGAGCAGGCAGCCATGTGCAATTCGTTCTCCTTCTTCGCGGACTTTGGCGGGCCGCCGGACCCACCGACGTTAGTAACTTAGTACAGGCCACCCGCGCTACGCACGCGAGTCCATGAACATGTTGGGACGCGCGCAACCCGAACGCCGATGTTTTAGACCCAGACTCCACTCGCTGCGCGGAGAAAGTGAAGCTGTACGGCACGGTGACACTCTCGGATTCATGTGGGGCACCTTGCGAAAGCCTGCGAGCTTCGCTGACCGAGCAGACGACCCTTCCTCCGAGGCGCGGCGACCGAGGGCGACCGACCGAGGGCCCACAAGCGGATCTGGAGATGCATCGCAACGCGCACCGCGATCAGGGACCCACAGCTCCCCGACCGGGGAAGTACGTTGAGGTGCGTAGGAGATAGCTGCTTAAGTGCGCGCTTCTGTGCTTTGTCACCGCACACTCGAGTCGCCAAAGCCAGAGGTGCACGCCGGTCGGGATTCGACACCTGTACGTGAGTCTTTGAGAATCTCCAGCTCGGGCGGGGAGGGGCGGTGTCGAGGCCGTGGGTGGGCAGGTGTAACCGGGCTTGACCACGCTCGGTCGACAGCGCACCGATTGAGCCTTCGGCATCGGACGCGTCATGACTTGCGTCGCTCCTCGCTATTCCTTCCGAGGCCGCCTTGAATCTCCGGCAGGGCTCGGAGTAGGCTACCTGCTGAAAAATCATGACTCCGGAAGTTATCGATTCGTCGGAGAAGACGTGCCAACCACTGGTACAAACCCGACTAACGCGCAACGACCGCCATACCGGCCCGGGCGGTCCAGGGCACCGAGCACGACGCACGTAAAGGCCTCAACGGCGCGCCCTGAGTCCTGAGGATTTACGGCTGCAAGGTCCCCCGGCCACGGAGGCGAGTAGTGCCAGCCCGTGCCCGTGGTTGAGGGCGGCATGTGGCCGACCACTGGCAGCAGAAGTTCAGCTGACTGGCCAGCAGAAGCGCGCGGTGGGGGTTAGACGCACGTCCGGGTGCGCACCCGCGGCGCTACGGTCGCTGCTTCCGAGAGCTCCGTACGTACGCACGCTTCTCCTCGATCCGCACCCTGAACCCAGAGTTCAAACGTTCAAACGTCCAAACTTGCGCTCGGATCCCGCTCGTCCGCTCCAGCGCGCGTTCTCGCCTGGGTTTCGGTGGGGCCTCCAGTCGCCCGCCGCGGTAACGCTTCCTGGGCGGCGATTCCTCCCGAGCCCCGACGTTCTGCGTATTCGGATTGACATCTTCTTCTGTCGAGTCAGCAGTGGCACGCCCTCGCGCATCGCACGCGAAACGGGTCTCGTGAGAGTGCTGAGGCCCGTCGGAAACCCGCCCGATGACGTCGGCGGCCGGGGGACCCGTTTGGCGATTTCGGATATGGGCTCCATACAGGAGGCCGGCGTCGCGATTTCCGAATCGCGCGGCGCACGGGCCAGAACTGGAGTGCTGATACGTCTCGCCCGCACTGGGCTCGGGTGCGATGCGGCGCGCGCGTGCGCGCGTCGAAGGTTGAACGTTCGGACTGCGGTCTGCCACTGCTGCTCGCCGAGAGCATCCCGCCACGCGACCGAGTGGTGATTGCGCTCGACGAGTGATCGCGGCGGGACCACAACCCCGTCCTTAGACTGGTGCACGGGGAAAAGGGAAAGGCCTAGACAGAGAAGCCCCCTATAGACCTCAGGCATGCTCAGTTAGCAATCAGCTCGCCGTCCACCGCGTCAGTGACGCAATGCCCATACCGACCCCACGTGACCCCGCTTTCGATGAGCAAGCCGCCGCCAGACGTCTGGACCATGGGCTCCCACCGCGCGCGGTTCGACGTCTACCGCCGCACACACCCCGCGCCGCTCCGACGGCACACGGGAACGCGTGCGCAGCGCCCACGCGCGCGCGCGATTCCGAATGCGAAGCCCGCGAGTCGTCGCGAGCCCGCCAGAGAAGAGTCCCCCGGTCCGGCCGACGAGGTGGGTGGACGCGGGTGCTGGGCGCCGGGCGCGAGCGCGCGGGTTCGACCGTGCGTCGCCGTCGTGACTCCCCGCGCGGCGTTCACACGCGGTGCAGAAAGGGCGGGCGGGCGGGCGAGAGAGGTAGACAGATAGAGTGAGAGCGTTTAGAATACAGTCGGGGCCCCAGGCGGGGCGTGCCCTGCGCTGGCTAGCATGTACGTATCCTGGAAGCGGAGTGCTCGACCGATACGAGGCGGGCGTTTAAGGGAGGGAGAGCTGAGAGAGGCAATAAGCGTAGGAGTAAAATGCAGCAAATATAACCGTACAGCGAGAGGACATGCGATGAAAACGGGGAGGTGGTCGATGGTGTGGGGAGGGGTTTGGTGTTGCAAGCAGGGGTGGGGCAGCGCAACAAGAGCGACGAGAGGCGGGGGGGATGTACGGCGAGGGGGGAATGCGGCGAGCCATAAGCTAGAATAGCGATACATACGATATAGGGCAGAAGCTCCGGAAGGCCCCGAAAGCGAGAAGAGAGGCGGCGAGGGTGCGCACGGGCTCGAGGCAGCGCCAGGCACCAGCCCTCAGCCAGCGCGCCGTCAAGGTCGCGTCTAGCGTAACCGAGGATACCTCCGCTCCGGGTCGAATTCCGCTAGTGGTGTGTCGACGACGCTGAGGAGCGCGTTGGCGGCCGCGGCGCGCGAGGGCTGGCCGAGGCCGTGTTGTGACCCTGCGTGAGCCATCTGAAGCAATGTCCTGAAGCCATCGGGCTCAGTAAGCGCACGTCGCTGGAGGTAGGGCGCGAGGTCCGAATCGTCGCCGCCCGATTGTATTGATGGGGGTAGTGAAGACTGCGCGCCGAGGAGATGGGAGAAGCCATTGAAGGACCTTCGCTCTTCGGACGGGAGGTAGCCAAACGACTTGTCGTCGCCGGCGGAGAAGGCTTGTGGGGCAAAGATGTCGTGTGTGGGTGGCCGTGGTAGTTGGGGGAAGGGAGAGCTGTTGTGGGATGCGGACGAGGAGAGATTGAAAGAGTTGGTGGAGGGCCGGTCGGAATCCTTCTCTCCGAACATGGAATCGTTCCAGTTGGCGGGATCGAGCGCATTGGGGGAAGACGCTTGGGGAAGGGACAGACCTGGGCCGATTGGATCGGGGGACATGGAGTGCGCACTCCCAGAACCGGTGGATAGTGGTGACTCGGTGCGGCTCATGGGGGGTAGCGAGCCGCCGCCGGATGCGATGTTGGAGAGGAGGGCGGAGACGTTGGGAGCGCCGTCTTTGGCATTGCCGTTCTTGGGCTTATCCTTGCCTGTGGGGCCCTTGCCGAGTGCAGGGCGGTTTGCGGGTGGGAGATTGAGGGCGGCGCGAAGAGCATTGTTCTCCTCCTCGAGCTCGGATACACGGGACTCGAGGGCCTTGGAGGGAGGTGAGCGGGGGCCGCGATCGGCGATCTGGAGTGCTCACCTCGAGATGGGCAGCCCTGCGAGCACGAAACGCTCTCTGAACGTCTCTGGCGCGATTGGGTGGGAGGTTATCGTTGCGCTTGCGGCCGCGCTTGGAGGAGGACATTGTGGCGGTAATGGTGGGCGAGCGGGAGAGGGGTAAGGCGGCGGCGGCGGGAGGAGAGCACAGCGTGCGGTCGGCGGTCGGGGGACGGCGGTTGCGGTTGAGGGAGCTTAAGAGAGAGATGGAGACGCCGGGGGCAGGTGCTGGGGGTGGATGGCCATTTGGACGATTGCCGGGGCATTTTGATGGCGGTGCTTCGTCGATCAACTCTTCCTCCTCCTTCGCCCGACCCCGCCTGCGAGCCGATGTCGCCGCCCAACGACGCTCGCACCCACCGCCGACCGCTGGGCAGGCGACATCAGCAGCGGTGAGATTGCCCATCAGCGCAATGCTGCCCGACCACCGCGCCGCGCACTCGCAGCCCGTATGCTATCGGTTTAAGTCGCCGACAGTCCGTTTGGCGGTCCGCCTTCCGTTTTGGCCAGGAACCCGGAGCGAACCGCACCTGTGTCGTTCGGTTCGTCTCGCTCCGTGCCGCTGTCCAGGCGGTCCCGGGCCATCACGCGCGTTCCCGAGGCCTAGGGGTCCTCCCGCTCTCTGGGCGGCGGGCACGGGGTGGGCGCCCGGGCCTAGCAGCGCCGTCTCCCTGGTCCGTCGCGCGATTCTCCCGGGCACAACGGAGGGCGTGCGAAGGGGCGCTGTCGCGTCGACGGCACACGTCGTCGGATCGTCCAGCGCGCGAACATCGGCCTGACGCGGGCGCGGAGGGGGAGGCCATGTCGGCGAGCGTTGATTCCCCCTCAGACACTTGCTTTCGGGCACGACGGAGAACAGCCGCCCAGATAACCGCCCGTGCCTGCCCGATCCGGCCACATCGTCGCGCACTCATCAGCCGCCCAGAGCCTGGAGAGCCGCCGGCAAGCGCCTCCTGACTCAGCACGTCCTCCTTCTCTCGCCCCCCGTACTTCGCGGACAGGGTCCACCCCAGCACTCGCGCACAGTGCCCCCTCGCGACCCCACAATCAGCACGTCCCACGCTGCTGTGCTTGAGCTTGAGTACTCTTTTCCCCATTAGTCCCCCTCCCGCCGTTCCAGCCTCCTCCATCGAACCGGAACCATGCATTGAATATCGGCATCTCCTCACCCACACAGCATCTTCACCTCTTCTGTTCTGGCGTCCCAGACCGCCCATCCCTCGCCGGTGAACGTTGATCCCTGCCCATGCCCCACCGCGAATCCGGCCCAACGACCGCACCCACGCACACTCCACAACCCCGACTGTGCATCTCGAACTAACTGCGCTCTGCTTCCCCGGCGGCACGCCCGTCGAGATATGCTAAGGCCATCGCAACCTTCTTCGTTCCATGCGGCCGCTGGACTAACTCGAGCACGCCATCGCGCACTCTCCTCATAGTTTTCGCCGCGAGGAGGGTCAACGTTTCAACTTTCTCAGATGGTCCTCGTGCGCCTGATCAAGCACCGACCAAGCGGCTACTTGACCGCGGGCGAATCTTGTGACGTACGCGACCCCGCTTCTCGATCGTTCAATATTCATTGTTATCCAGCCGCGCTGCAGCGATACGCGGGCGGGGAACGAGCCGCTACGGCGACCTCGCGAGTCGCCGCGTCGCATCTATCAAAGACACCTCCCGCCCACCATCTCCGCCGTCCATCTCCTCCGTCTTCATCTTGATTTTGGCTGCATACGAGGCGCGAATTACAAATACCGCACGCTCGCGTGCGCGCACTCAAGATTTGGGAGGCCCTTGCACCGCCGCCCATCGTTCAAAGTCCCGCGTGCCGGATTTCCAATATGTTTCGCGCGAACAGGGGCCCCCCATGTGAAATACGCACGGACACACGGAGCGCACGATCATGCTGCTGCAGTGCCGCCGTGCCAGCCTGCTGCCCGATCGAGCTCGCCCTCGCCCTCAATTCGCGCCCACCAGCGCTGGGTGTTTCGACCGCCCCGCGATCACAGATTGCCATCCGCCCGATGAGTGCGGGGTCGCCCGTGCCGCCGGCAGCGCGACGCCACGCCGACTCGTCGCTCTGCGACTGCGAGCCTGCGATGGGCCCGCGGCGCGCGACCGTTGCGGTTTCCGCCACGGGCGCAGGCCCCTCTCCCCCGCCGGTGCGCCCCTTGTTCTCGCTTCGGGCGAGGTCGCGCGGGCGAGCGTCGACGCGCGCCGCCCGCCGTCACCACGCTCAGAGCGGCGGCGGTGAACGTGATGGTCGTGCGGTTCTCCTCGCGCGCACGGGCGCGTTCGGCGCGCCTGGCCGCGGCCACGCGGTGCGACCACATCGACATTGTTTCGCTGTGCCGCGACGCGGTGCGGAGAGGCGCGAGTGGTGATTTTGACCTTCGCAGCGCGCGTCGGAGACGAATCGATGACGGGCGGCCTGCCGCACACCACTGCTCTGAACGTTGGATACGCGCCCGCGCCCGCGCACCGATCGCGCCGCGCTGTGCGCGGATCCGCGGTGGGTCCCGCCGCGACGCCCGCGGTCGCGAGGAGCTCGGTACGTGTTCCCCGGCGCGTGCGCCTCCGCCCGTGCATGTCGGGGGGCGGGAGGGGCGGCGCCGCATCAGCGCATCAACGCTCCGCGAAAAAGCGGGTCGTCCCGCGCGCTTGATCTCGTCGGGTCTCACTCGAAAGCTTGAGGCCTCCACACAGCCAGTCCGCGATCGCGATCGGCACATGTACAGTCACGGTCCTCAGTCCACGGAATCCAAGGAGACTGGCTAGCTGGAGTCTGGAACCGCATGTGCGCGCGCGCGCGCGCGCCCGACGCCGCGACTAGGCGGGAGCCAAGAGCAATTAACCCTCTGACGACGCATGCCTCCGTCGGCGGCTTGCTCCATCGTCTCCGACTCTCCGTGCGGACCTTGCGCCACGCTCTGCCGGCGGGTGCCTGTTGAAACCGCGGTGCGCCACATCGTCGCGCCGAGGGCCCCGAGGAATCGGGCGAGTCGCGAGCACGCGCGAGCCCCCCCTCGCTCCGTGCTGCCCGGATCTGCCGCCGCGCGTGACGCGACTCGCGGTGGTCCAACGATTACGCGCCACGACGAGGGCAATGAGGGCGGTGAGGGCGGTGAGGGCGGCGCGGACGACGGCGGGGGAGGCGCGCGAGCGCAGACGTACGGCGCGCCCGTGAAGGGCGAGCGAGCGAAATCGGCGCGTAAGTAGTGAGTTACGTCCGCACGTCCGCCGCCGCCGCGGCGCCGGGGGTGGCTAACGGAGAGAGTGTAAGCAGCCGGGCTGCGCACGCCCCACGCCCGAGCTCCCGCGTCGCGAATCCAGACGACGATCGACGTTCTCGACTTCCCGTGGGCTATTCTCGCAACGCAGCGCCCGCCGGGCGGCGAACCGTAAACCGCGCGCACACGCCCGCGCATGATGACCGTGGCGGCGTGCCGTCACTGCGACCTGGGCCTTGCGTGCTGTAATAAACGCGGACCCGTAGCACCGGGAGCGCGGGAGTCAGGGGGTCGGCACCACCGACGTTCGTCGTCGAGGACGGCCATCCGGGGATGTCTCGATGCGCAGCAGTGCCCACCGTGAGCAAGTACTTCATGCCGCAGGCACGATTACGGCGGTCGAGGGCAGAGAAGCACTGTGGCCGTACGCACACGTCGCCTCGTAGAGTAAACTCCTTTGATCGGGATTTGTGTGCAGGATGAGCTGGGCTTTGCTAAGGTGTCGGTCTCGGGCGGCATGTCATCTCGACGAGGCGGGTTCGGTGCGCACGACGAGTCAGTACTCAGTACTCAGATCCGGACTCGGTGCGACCGGCGAGCTCGAGCGAACGCACGCGCGCCGCCCGCACTGCGCAGCGCTACGCCCGCGACCGCACGTATGGCGCTCTGCCGTCGGGATCTGCATCAGGATTAAACGCAGACATAGGCTACTGTACTCTAGAAGCATGCAGTCCATGCTGATAACACCTCCGCGCACAGCGGGGTCGCGTCACCGCCACCGCCCCATCATCCTTCCTGCCACCTTGTCGCTCGCGTTCGGGTGACGCGGGCGAGCCAGGCGCGCGCCCCGTCGAACCTTCTGAATTCCCGCCCGAGGTGCGGTTCCCCACCCTCCGACCGGTGCTCGCTCAGCAGAGACCCGTTGACCGACCGGGGCACTCGGGCAGCGGTTATCCGCAAGGCAAGCCAGTTGTGAACTTCTGGACCGACCGACCGCCGCCGAGCCCTCACCCCGCAGACCCACCTCGATCTCCACCCAACACCACGGCAAGCGGAGAGCTCGGAAAGACGTCAAGCCGGGCCCGGCTTTGTCGTGGTCCTCGCCTCCTTCCGCGCCGCGGCGGCTTCCTTGTCGCGCTTCGCGAACAGCTTGTGGCGCGGGGCGGCCTCGCGCGCGAGCTTGCGGTTCGCGCTCTTGTTCTGCTCCACGTACGACATGTGCTGCGCGCCGGAGAGCGCGGTGAGGCTGCCCGTCGTGCGCTGCACCGCCGGTGCCTTGCGCGTCGGCAGCCCGAAGTCCTTGGAGGTGATCGTGCCCGCGAGGTCGCCCTCGCCGGCGCGGACGTCCGTGCCGAGCTCGGCCTCGGACTCGTTCGCGAGCAGCACGGATGAGAGGAGCTCGATCTGCTCCGGCTTGGTCTTGTACACGAGGTCGGGGAGGTCCTCGAGGCCGTCGAGGTGGGTGATCACCTTGAAGGCGTAGCCCTGGTCGATCAGGAATTGCTGGCGCTTGGTCGAATAGAACATCTCCTGGGTGTCCTTGGAGACGAGTGAGTAGAAGAAGGCGTTGAAGCCCTCGTCATTTCGCCGCTTTGCCCGCAAGATGCGGCCTGAGGTCATCGGCCGAAGAGTTAACGGGAGGCGGGCGGATCCAAATACGGAGCGAGATACTCACCCAGCCGTTGTGCTTCCTGCCGGCGAGATCCGAAATGCGAAGAGATCTGGATGAGGCAGGTGGCCTCGGGCAGGTCGATGGAGGTATCGCCGACCTAGACGCTGTGTCAAAGAACGCAAGAACACGCAAGGCGCAGAGAATACCTTCGACAAGAAAATCGTGTTGACAAGCGGGCTGTGTTGGAAATGTTGCAGGATACGCATGCGCTCCGTCTGGCCCGTACCGCCATGAATGTACAGCTTCCCGAGTTTCTTGGCGTAAGCCTAGGGGCCGGACAACGCCTCGTATGAGGTCCTAAGATAAAACGAGGAGCGGGTGTACGTACCTCTAGAGCGAAAACGTTGTCGGAGAAGACAATTATCTTGTCTCCCCGGTCCTCGTGGTACTTGATGAGGAACTGACACGCCTGGAATTTCCGTGGGTTCATGCAATATAGAAGCATTCGCTTGCGCGACTGTTCTCTGAGATATTCGCGATAGAACTCCGGGGTCATGGGACACCATACTTCGGCACACTGTTCAAGATGTGAATTGATGTCGAGTGGCGTAGAGACGCAGCTGCTTACCTGTACATTGGCAATGTGTCCTTTGGCTGCAAGTTCCATCCAGTTGGCTTCATACAGCTTCGGGCCAATCATGTAGTTCAGATCCGCGATTTTGTCGTCCTCTCGAACCAAGGTGGCTGAAGTGAGGATGAGCGGGTGCCAATATCGCGCGACGGAAGAATTTGTTATTCGTACCTGTGAGACCGAGCTTTGAATGCGCCTTGATTGTAGTCACGACGCGACGGAACATGGCTGCGGGGACAACGTGTACTTCGTCAAGAAGGATGAAACCCCATTCGCGCGATGTTAAGAAGTCCATCATCTTCTTGGACTCGTGAGAGCGATTGTGGGTGTTTGCAACCATGGAGTACGTGGAGACTACGATTCCGCTATCCCCAGCGAACTGCGCATTTCATTCAGTTTACACAGATACCAGCGAGTAAGACGGAGGGAGGATGAGCATACCTTTTCTTTCTGATCGGCCGTGAAGACGGCAATTTGCTTGTCCGTCACATTGGACCACTGAATGAACTGTTGGCGCCATTGCATCACGGATACCCTGCAGCGCCGTTTCAGGACTGCGAGAGCATGCATCGCATGAGAAAACAAAGACATACGACGAGGTACAGAGCACCAGGCATGACTTCTTGATGGTGCAAGCTGCAGTAATCCCCACAAGGGTCTTCCCAGCACCGCAGGGTAAGACAATGATCCCCGAGCGCGCACGACTGCGAAGGCGTCAGCGACAACGGAAAACAACGAATTCCCCGCTGGTGCTCACCCATTTCCAAACATCTTGCTCAAACTGGTCTCTTGGTATGGCCGAATGACGGTGGATGGCTTGAGGTCGATCTCCAGATTGGCATTCACAGTGTCGTTTCGGAAGTCGTACTCCTCGAGCATGGGGTACTCGAGCTCATTGCACCGCTTCTTCACGTCCTGTGATCGTCTATCAGTGACGACGAGGACATTGCAAGAGTGACATTTTCTTACATCTATCTTCCCATCGTCAATTTCAAAGGCGTGGACATTGTCGTCATCTTCCTCGACCTCATCTTAGGAGGTGTCAGTAACGTACCCCTGCGAACGGAAGATCTGCCTGAACGTACCCTGATCAACTCCAACGACGGATGTGAATAGTTCCGCATCGGTCTTTCCGTTGATACCAGCCTTGCCGTTGGCGTCGTTCTTCTTCTCGGCTTCTTTGGTACCTGGGATCACAAGGTTTCCCTTCACTGGCGCTTTCGAGGTTGTGAACGTCGCTGCGCGGATACTGTTGTCCACCTTTTCAGAGTGCACACGCGCACCCCTGATAGTCCCGTCCTTCAAGAGGAACTGGAGCGTCTCCGGATGGCTGGATTCGACGAAGTATTTATTGTGCTTCAAGACGAGCTTGACTTTACCGTACGATAGTGTTCTTTCTCGAATGAAAGTAGTTATGGACTCCGGGACAGGCACCTATGAGCGCATGAGCCTCGAACATGGCATCTGCGCAGCCAGAGGGCACTACCTTTGACAGACGGTTCAAGACCTTACGATCAATCAGTCAGCGCAATTGCAGGTAGACGAGTATTATGCAAACAGACTTCTATTATGTCTTCCGTTTGTAGACCAACAGACACGGCGGCATAGAGAGAGTAGGATGTAAGCTTGTATTCATGAATGAACGCAGGTCTACAATGCAGTTGTAACACCTCGATGACTACATGTAGCGGGTGAGGTGCGCACCTGCTGACTGGCTCAGCAATGGCGACGAGAAAGTCTTGAGCTTGCTCGGCAATGGGTGAAAACGCCTCCAAGATGATGTGACCATCTTCTGGGCTGATCCAAATGGGCCGAGAAGCGTGATCAAGCTTCAGGTGCAGCCAGGAGAAGTCCAGCTGCTGGAATATATGCGACACGAGAGCGTCTTGCTGCCTTCTGTGTGCACTTAGACTGGACCCCTCGCCATCCTCGCCATCCCTCGGACCTCGTGCATCGGCAAGTTTGCGAGTAAGAGCCGTGAAATTGATGGTCGCACCACGCGGGACGAGAGGAGTTTCCGGCGGAGACTCGATCTCGACTTCTTGGAAGTTGTCCACATCTACGTAGTCGTCATCGTCCTGGCCCTTTTTGCTTCGTTTCGCCGGGTAAGAGGAGTCCGCGGGACCTGGGGGAAGGTGAGCCTGCATGCTCTTGAGTATTCTGAGACAGTGAACCCCACGAACGCTTTTCTCAAAGTGTTGTGGGGGATGCTCAGTAAGCGATCCAAGGGAAGGGACGTACCATCTGCAGCTCGTTTGTTCGCTAACATCTCGAGAAGACAACTCTAGCCGTGTACGAAGCGCAGAAATGCCCTCTCAGATATGACCCCAAGTGAGGTAGGAGTGGACGAGAGATGGGGTGGCCAGTCAAGCGGTTGAAGTCAAAGTGCCGCCACAGAATGAGCGAGTGCTTTCGTATTAGTCAGCACAAGGGCGGAGTTTGAAAGCTGACTCTGGTCGACGCAGCGGCTGCCTCACTGCTTTGACCTGTCCCAAATCTTCCCTCTCGCCCTCGACTGCTCAGCAATGTGGCGACCCGCAACCCGCGAAGTGACAGGCACCAACGACAGTGAGTATATCCTCCTCTTTAGTAAGGGCGATTCTGATTTTTTGTGCAGTCCCTCTCGGAAACCGCCGGAGGTTTGGTCCTGCGCCCGTTGAAGAATCGGCGCCGCCCCAGCTAGCTCAGGCATCGCCGTCAGCCTACCCTCGCCAACAACCTCAAAACGACAGAGAGAGCTCCCGGTCTGACCGCGACACTCCTCCTGCCAACGGTGCCGGTAAGTACACATGGCTTCGCGACGAACTCATCATATCCTGGCTGCGCTTGGCTCCCATTTCGACGCCGGTGATCTCCCTCCACCCTTCATTGCACTTTCGTGCGACGCGACTGACATGACACCTTACTAACGCTGTATTAAACGTCTTGCTGCAGCTACTGACCCTAATGCTCCCCGCAAGCGACGCAGCCGCTGGGGAGATGCTCGGGCGGACATCCCAGGCCTTCCCACCGCCATCAACGCCAACGGTGTCTCCCAGGCGTCTCTGGATAACTATGCCATTCATATCAGGTTGGAGGAGATCAACCGCAAGCTTCGGTTGAATGATTTCGTCCCTCCTGAACGCGAGCGGTGAGTTCCTTTGCGGGTGACAAATTTCAACATGGTCTCACTCGTGCTGCAGGTCCCCCTCCCCTCCCCCTACATACGATGCCCACGGTCGCCGTACTAACACTCGAGAAGTCCGGTATCGCAAAAAGCTTGAAGATGAGCGCATCAAGCTCGTCGACCGTGCTATGAAGAACGACCCCAACTTCCGCCCACCGGTTGAGTACCATCAAATGAAGCGCTCCCAGCGCCCTTCTGAGAAGGTCTATATCCCGGTCAAGGAGTTCCCGGAGATTAACTTCTTCGGTCTCCTTGTCGGTCCTCGTGGCAACAGTCTGAAGAAGATGGAGCGGGATAGCGGTGCGAAGATCAGTATTCGTGGCAAGGGCAGTGTCAAGGAGGGCAAGGCCCGTCCAGAACAGTACGCCGAAGACGCAGAGGAGGATCTTCACTGTCTTGTGACTGCTGACTCTGACGACAAAGTCGCTTCTTGCGTGAGGCTCATCAACAAGGTTATCGAGACGGTGAGTTTCAGACTTTCACCTTGAAGTTCCGCCACTGATCTGGCATCAGGCCGCCTCCACCCCCGAAGGCCAGAACGACCACAAACGCAACCAGCTGCGCGAGCTGGCTGCGCTCAACGGCACCCTTCGTGATGACGAGAACCAGATTTGCCAGAACTGTGGTGGTATAGGTCACCGCAAGTACGATTGCCCCGAGCAACGTAACTTCACAGCCAACATCATCTGCCGAGTCTGTGGCAGCGCCGGTCACATGGCTCGCGACTGTACAGTGAACAGGGACCCCAACGCGTCGCACGGAGGTGGCCCTCCCATGCTCAAGGGCGGTTTCGACTCGGAGTACGCCAGTCTCATGGCGGAGCTCGGAGAGACAGGGAAGACCAGCGGCGGAGAAGGCGGACGTTGGAACGGTGGTGGAGACCTTGCAGGTGGCGGCTCTAATGTTCCTCCATGGCGACGCCCCGAAGTCTGGCAGAGCAGCGCAAACAACCCCTCTAACAACCAAGGCCCCGGAGGCTTCCGGCCACCTCCAGGAGCATATGGCGGCGGTCCTGGGGGCTACGGTGGTGGTGGTAGCGGTGGCTTCGGTGGCGGATATGGTGGTCCCAGCGGCCCCGGCGGCTACGGTCAATCTGACTACGGCCAACAAGGCTCCAACTACTACCCGCAGTCACAGTCGCAATCACAAGACTACGGCGCTGGTTACGCACAGTACTACCAGAACCAGTACTCTCAACAGCTCAGCGCCCCCGCTCACTAATGGCCTGCCGACGTCACCACGCTCCCCCGACCTTCCTCCTCGCTCCCCAGCAGGTTCCTCCCGCTTCGTCGCACAGATCTTCTCGCGCATCCCGCCTTGGTTCTCAGCTCTCCCTCTTAATCTCTAACAGCGACGCGGCGGCAGTCGGTCTTCGGTCTTCGGTCTCCTGATCCTTTCCCCATCCCCCGGATTCCCGTAGCATTGGGTTTGTACTCATCGTCGCATCCTCTAACCAGACGTATCCTCGAGGACTCCGCACCTTACCCTGTAACTCACTACTAGGTCTTTGACCGGCATGATGTATTGTCGAGAGATTCAGTAATGCATTGAGTGTTCGAGCGCAATAAAATGTACGAGTACATTAATGTGAAACTTGGCTATGTAGTGGCCGTGCTCTGCTTCTTCTTTTTCTTTGCAGGACGGTGTCTCGTCGCTTCGTCGTCCGATTTGCGTTTCAACTTCGACTGACCCTCTGATTCTCCTTCTGCTCCAGCACGAATGAACAGGCTCACGAAAAACCCATTGGTGCCGTCTTCTCCCGGAGAACACCGCACCAGACGTGAAGCATTGTCTGCGTCCGTATGAGATTCGGAGCCTCGGAGAAAGGTGCGAAGTACTCACCGACTTCCCCGTTCATCTCTTCTGCTATACCTCTCCGATGCCAATTAGGCAATACCTCCTCCCTATGCGCAAGTTTGAAGTGGCCCACAACCGCCTCCTCGGTTTTAAGAGCCTGTCCCACGACATGTTCGTTTTCGATGGCGTGTATACTGCATGTCGAGTAAGCAATTCTCTTCACTGACGGGACTACAATGCTGGTCAGCAGCGAGTACGTTGGCACAGGAGAACGCTTACATTTCATGGCATGCCTGATCATTTTTAGTTGGAACGCGGCGAGCTTGTTGAGACGTTCGTAGTTCCCGTCACCCTCTTCCTCTGTATGCGCTGAATCAGTGGGACATGCTTCGAACCACGTATGAAGACCCACCGTTGTCCAACAGATGGTCCATTCGGTTGACGATACCCGAGCCGCTGCATGATGGATCGAGAAGACTAATATTATGGAGTCAGCCATGACCCGTGCAAGACGCCGAAGACTTACATGTGGGTCACCCCCGCAAATTTGCTATCTTCAGGAGAGACAGTGAGGAAGTCCAAGTTCACCGCTTCGACATTGCTGCAGTGCGCTCTCGCCAACATGTTCTTCAACGTGGTGAACCGTTTGCGATCTCTTTCGAACGCGAAGAGCTGAAATGAACGGATATGAGATTTAGGCTCCCTAGTGAGATGTTTCGCCGCACATACTTTGCCCTTGTTCTGCATAATCGCTGACAAGTGCGAAGTCTTGTTTCCCGGAGCGGCCGTGGCGTCGATGACTTGCGCGCGGTCATTTGATGGCGGGCACAGGACATGCGCAGGGAAACATGACGCTTTGTCTTGCAAAATAATCTTGCCTGACAAGTAAAGCGGATCTTCGGTGAACTTGACGCTTGGATGGAAGGCGAGAAGGTCGGGAATGTGGTCATCTATCTTGAAGGCTTTCCTGTATATCGACGTGAATAAGGAAGCAACAAATACTGGAGGATGGGCGACGTACTTCGAGGATAATGGATCGCCTTGTTCGAAGCCCTGGGCCTCGAACACCTTGAGGGCTTCATCCAGACTCCAACACGTTAGGTTCACCCGTATGTATCGCGGTATGGATGCTGAAGGTGTGTGCAGACATGTAGATGTGCGTGTAGAGCATTTACGATTGCACTTACCTGCCCTAGAATCATCAGTCTGCGCCAATTCCTCTTGGGTCTTCGCCCCCCTTTTGATTTTCAACCGTTGGAATTCGCCATTGAGCCTCGTGCGGTGACGGAGTACGGCCTGCTTGATAGGCCCATCGCCGGCTTGAATACCGCGGGCGAGTAGAAGGTCGTGGACAAGCACGAGAGCAAGGTTGCGCGAACTCAACTTTTTCTCTTGTTTGAGCAACTGGGCCGCATCAATGACTTCATTCAACACCTGCTTGTCTACGCTAGCATGAGGACGACGTGTTCTACTCGGAGAGGTTTTGTGGGAGCTCACAACCGTTCACTCACACTTCAGAGTTTCGATGACTAGAGCTGCCGTTCTTTTTCTGTTCTTCTCTGGCACCGAGGCCAGGACCCCCTTGATTGAGCCCTTCTTTGCATCAAGCTTATCAAGAACAGCGACGGCTTCGAAGTAGAAGTTCATTCAGGTAGACGTGCTACGACAAGGGATGAGACAAGAGCCCCAACGTACGAGGGCGTGGTGAGACGCGCAACTATTGGCCTTTTCCCTCGCCCCACGTTCTTTCCGCAAAGGCCCCAAAGTAAGGTTGAACCTTGAAAAGTGGTCAGCGAAATGATCATCAACGTCGAGCAAGAGCTCAGAAAACATGTGTTCGTCAAACGAGGAAGTGTTCCCGCTCCGACAATGTAGATAAGTATGCAAAAGGCATCATAGCAGACAAGGCAGACGAAAGTGCGATGGCTTACCTAGGAGAAGGGGTCGGTGCGGTAGGAGCAAAGGAGCGAGGAGGAGGCGTGGAAATGAAATGCACGGAAATTTATGGAAGACGCCCGCCTTCCGATCACCGATCGAAATTTCGTTTGGGCATGCGCGCCATTCCAGAAGCTGCTCGCGTAGGACCGTCCGGCTGCAGCCTCACCTCCAGTTTCAGCCGCCTCATCACCCACCACCACCCGCTGCCACCGACGTGGCGTTGCCCAAAAGTACGCGACGTGTCTTTTTGTGTGGCCGTTGTTGCTGAGCCTCTTCTGCAGTGCCCGCTGAAACGGCACTGTATGACCTTCTAGGCGTCTCCCCTTCCGCGACTGAAGGTCTTCCGTCCCCATCCCGTTTGGCGCGGGGTTAGACTGACATGTGCTGATTCGATAGATGATATCAAGAAGGCGTACAGGAAGAAGGTGAGTCTATACTCTCAGTCTCTTGTTTCGGTGTACTAAGTATAACTTCCTGAAGGCGAGAGAACACCACCCTGTAAGTCACGGATGCCTCCGAAAGCTCTGTGAGCTGACCCCTGGCCCTTTCTGTGCAGGATAAGGTATGTAAATTCATGCATATATCTCGCCGGACGGAGTTCCTTAGGCATGCAATCCAGAACCCCGACGATCCTAATGCCGGAACAAGATTCCAAGAGATGGCTGCTGCGTATGGTCATATCTCCCGTCAATCACCTGCTTACTCACAGCGACCTCAATTTCAGCTACGAAATTCTGGTCTCAGCAGAAACCAGGGAGTTATACGACACGTACGGGACGGAGGGGATGTCGCGAGGTGGTGGTGGTGGTGGTGGTGGAGGGTTCCCAGGAGGTATGGATCCCGCAGACCTATTCGCTGAGCTCTTCGGAGCGAGTATGAACTTCGACTTCGGACCGGGTTCGCGGGGACCGAGGAGGAGTAAGGGACAAGACACCAACATCCCGTATGAAGTCACACTGGAAGACCTTTACAACGGGAAGACGGTGAAGATGAACATGGAGAAGGAGGTTGTCTGCAACACTTGCAAAGGGTGCGTTTTGTTCATTTCTAGTGAGGTTCGAAACGATTCAATATTATGGGAATAGTACGGGCGCGAAGGGTAGCGCTAAGCCGAAGCCTTGTGTAAAGTGCGATGGCAAGGGATGGACGAATGTCACCACAGCGGTATGTGCCTTCTTGTTTGTCTGGCGCTGTGTAACCATTGCTATTAGCTCGGACCGCAAAGACTTGGGACGCACAGAGCAACATGCACAGAGTGCGATGGGCATGGAGAGAAAATTCGAGAGAAGGACAGGTGAGTCTACTGCTCTATAGCGGTGATACGTTTCCGAACTCGAGGGGCAGGTGCAAAAAGTGCAAGGGGAACAAAACAGTCAAGGAGAAGAACCGACAAGAGATTTACGTCGAAAGAGGAATGTCAGATCGGCAACGAATCGTTCTTGCCGGTGCCGGCGACGAAGAGGCAAGTTGACGTCGATGCATCGACCCGTATGTTCTAACTTGTTATCAGCCTGGCATCCCACCTGGAGACGTTATATTCACCCTCAAAATCAGCGCACATGAATCGTTTGAGCGGTCAGGAAATGACTTACTTACAACGGTGCACATCACGCTCTCGGAGGCACTGCTGGGCTTCTCTCGCATCCTCTTGACGCATCTAGATGGTCGTGGGGTGCGTGTCACTAGCCCACCGGGCAAAATCATCAAGCCCGGCGACAGCATTATCCTTCGGGGAGAGGGAATGCCCCAGTACAAGACCCCAGATCACAAGGGGAATTTGTATGTCATTCTAGAGGTTGACATGCCCGATTCAAGCTGGCTTAAAACTATCGACCATGATGTGAGCGTTTCCCAACGACTCTATGTCGTTGCTAGTGCTGAAACCCGCGTGTAGGCACTTGCTGCGGTACTACCACCAAAGAAGGCTGAGATGGATCCGAAGCCGGCGGTAGTGGATGAAGTACCGTTCGAGGAGAGTGAGATCGTGGACGTGCGTGAACGGCCTTTCCCCGCTGGTTCCAACTTCTTTGATCACGCACACGGTTTCCAGTTCGGTGAAGGCGAGGAAGCCGACTGGGAAGATGACGAGGACGACGATGACGAGGACGACGGCATGGAGCCCGAGTGTCGCACTCAGTGATTTTCATACACGAACCCCCACGACCCTACAACTGTTCAAGTTTTTTGGAATCTGGTCACATACGCATATGTATACTACCACACTACTAGTCCTTACAACCATACCCTGCTCACTCCGTCGTTATGTTCAGTCTCGAGCCCCGAGTGACGCTGACTGACAGCGAGACCGGCGGGGTGTGGCCGGACGTGGGTGTGGTATGCCGTCCGCTGTGTTACGGTGGCTCGCACGGTGGCTGGGACAAGGAGACCGACTTTGCTTGACGACACGCGGGCCAAAGCCAGCCAAATAAGGCGGGTGTATGCAAACAAAGCCAAGCGCGGCGCGCGCTAGCGCTGAGACAGGGGCAGGCAGTCGCGCGGGTTCGCGACGTAGACCACCACCACGACACGCGACCGACGCACCCACTACATGCCCCACCCCTTCTTTCATCCCCACGATCCCTCCGCACGCTCTGATTCGTCTAGCTCTTCATATCTGACTGCGCTTATTGCCGCCTTTAAAACGCGAGGTACATGTCATTCTCGAGCACACCTCTCGGTCAAGGCAGACGTCTAGATCATCAGACCTTTCTCAACAAGAACAACTCAAACGCACCCCAACGCCGTGGAATACCTAACTCTTATTCTTACGGGTGCGTGCGACGCGCATATAGCCCATCGCGCGTGTCCTGATAGCAGATTAGAGCACCAACTACCGGCTCGCGCTCACCCCCCAAACCCACCAAAGCCCCCCTGCCTCAGGCGGACGACTCTGAGGAGCCCGCCCTCGTCCGCTTCGCTCGGCTCAAGCAGCGCGAACAGACCCAACCCGATCCGTCACAAGCCACGGCTTCCCAACGCCCTCCCGAGTCGTGGAGTGTCCGCGACACGTCCGTGAACATCGTCAGCGCGTTCCATCAAGCCGCAACCACATCCTTCGATACCACCCAAGGCAGCGCCAACATGAGTTCTGCGATGACCCCGGACGAAGCCTGGGCGTCGGGCGCGCGCAAGCAGCCCATGGTTCCTCGCAGTACGTCTGTCGAGTACGAAAAGGAAACCCAATCCACCATCAACCGCCGCCTCGCGCCTCCCCCTAGTCGAGGACCACAAGCGCGAGTCTCTCGTCCCGTCTCCAAAACCTCGTCTTTACGCCATGTCCCCGACTCCGAGGGCGAAGAGGAGGCCCAGCCCAACGGACGCGGGAAGACCCCCCTTCAACATGGCATAGACATGGTTCGAAATCTTGTTCCTGCGACTTTCCTTCTCCGTGAAGGCTCTCCTGCGCTCGGAAATGGCCATGACAGTATGCGCGACCAGTCCAGTTACGACTATTCCGCGGAAGAGCGCGAGTTCCAAGCCGGGAACGCGTCACAAAAGCCTCCGTCGCGGAGAACGGTCGCTGCGCACAAGAAGAACAGGATGTCTACCGACAACAGGGCGTACCGTCCGTCGATGTCGGATCTGGACGAGTCGGATGAAGATTTCGAGGAGGACGGAAAACGCACGAGGCGAAAGAAGAAGAAGGCGGTCGGCCCCGGCGGCGGCCCTCTCACGACACTCCCTGTTGCCGGTTACGACAAGCGAAAGAAGAAGAGAAAGGGGACGAAAACTAATGGGGCCAATGGAGATGAGGAAGATGGGAGCACAGACGATGAGCAGGGGAGTGAGCAGGTGCGTAGTCTTGACGCCTATGAGCAACGCGGTTTCGCTCATTAGGATTATAGCGATCACAGCAGGGTGCCACCGCGTACCAGCGTGGAGCATCGTTACTTCGGACGTCAGTACCCCCACAGCCTCGTCAACCATCCGTGCAGCCACATTACGACTCGAGCAACGTGGATTCGTCCATGGACATCGAAGGGCTCGCTCCAGTATCGGAGACGGAAGAGCGCCCCCCACAAATCGAGCCCCTGTTCCCTCCATCATCGTTCTCGGTAGGCGCTACGATGGGACGTCTAGTCCATGGATTCGTCTCTTATCTTGGTTGGATCGGGGGGTGCCTTGGCAATGCCGCGGCCGCGACTGCAAGAGGGCTCATCCACGCCAACGTCATCAAGTACTTCGCCGTCGGCATTACACTTTGGCTTGTGTGGATAGCGGTCAACAGCGGAATGCTTGACCTAGGATCTATTCCTAGATCTATTCCTATCTTCAAAGGGAGTCCGGGTCCTTACCATGCTCCTGAGGTCCCTGCTGCGGACCTGGCCGCTCTCTCCGCTCGGCTACTCTCCTTGGAGAAGGCCGTTGCGAGCCTCTCTCTGGAAACGGACCGTTCACGCGCATACATCGATGGGGACGCCAGGCATCGTGCCGATATGACCAGCCATATCGGTAATCTCGAGACTCGGATCCAGAAGGAGAGCTCGCGCGCGCAAGAAGCGGAAAACAAGTTCCGCTCTAGCGCGAGTGACAACCTCAATGTTGTCAAGAAAGAAGTCACTCAACTTGCTTCGCAGCTGCAAACCCTGCGTGACGCAGAAGCCAGGAGACCCTCCATTGGAAGCGACGAAGAGGCCCGTGCCAAGCTCAAGGCCCTCGACGAGCGCGTCGGGAATGTGGAGGGCGGCGTCAAGGAGGCGCTTGAGGTTGGCAAGAATGCCGCGAAGGCGGGTGCGGTCGCAGCGAATATCGCCGACTGGTGGAACAAACTTGCCACCGGCAAGACAAAGACTGTCACTGTCAAGTCATCCGACGGCCAGGATGTTACGGCGCTCATCAACCAGCTAGTCGATACCGCGGTCATGCGCAACTCCAAAGACAGCATCGCTCGTGTTGATTTCGCTCTCCACTCCGGCGGCGCGAAGGTTATTCCTCGGTATACGAGCGACACCCTCGAAGTTCGCCCATCCGGGATTGGCAGCTCAGTGCTCGGCTTCATCAACGGCGGCAGCGGGTATGCTATCGGTCGTCCACCTGTTACCGCCTTGCACCACGAGATCCACGCGGGTCACTGCTGGCCTTTCGGTGGTCAAACTGGTCAGCTGGGAATCAACCTTGCAGCGCCTGTCTACATTTCCGACATCACCATCGACCATGTCGCTCACGAGGTCGCGATGGACCTGCGCTCCGCGCCGCGCCAGATGGAAGTATGGGGTCGGGTGGAGGGGCAGGACAACATCGTCAAGATCCACGAATGGCGCGAGCAACGCGACGCACAGCGTCGAGCGGCCGAGGAGGCTGGTCAGCCCATTCCCCCCAACTTGGTGGACGATGGGCAACGTCCGCGCAGCATCCCTAAAGATCAGGACTTCATCCGCATTGCGAACTTCACGTACAACATTCACGCTCCCGAGTTCATCCAGACGTTCCCCGTTCGCGACGAGATCAAGGAGCTTGGCATGGACTTCGGCATTATCATCCTCCTCATCAAGAACAACTGGGGCCAAGACGAGTTCACATGCCTTTACCGTATGCGTGTTCATGGCGAGCGCCTGGGCGAGCTCCCGCTACCATACCCGGAGGAAGACCTGGCGTAGGCGACGGACATGGATGATTATGAAGTCTGGAGTTGAGAGGAAGGAGGAGCAGTTTTCTGCACGATTGTCCGTTCATTCATCCATACCCCATGCTTTCTTAACCTCCCACCCCCACCCCCACCCCTAATCGCGCCCCAGTTGTGTATGCATCCCCCATGCTCTGCGTCTCCCAAGCATCACTCAGCTCTCCGCACACCTCACCTTCATGACCGCTATGACCTCTCGATTACCCGTTCGCCTGCTTACCGTTCCCCTTTGTTTAATTACCTCAGTTATTCTTTCCCGTCGTGCATGCGACCGTTGACGGGACCACCCCTTGTTGACGGGCATACCGTTCCGCTCTTGCTTGATCTCGGTAGTTACAACCACCCCCGTCATTCTCTCCCTGGATCCCTTTTTCTCACTCACTTATGTCGTATCTGCTCTCTCCGTCGCCGTGGTCACCCTGCTTTGAGAACGCTGTCTCAATGTATTAGTACCGAATGGGACGAAGGAATACGATTACTCGCTCGAAAGCAAGCGTCGAGTCAGCGGGGATAGAATGGGGTAGGATCTGTAGTGAAGTGGCGATAATAATACAACTTCCGTTCTCGTTCTTCAATCCAAGACGCATAACATATATACTCAGCTATACTCAGCTCGAAAGATATGTACCACGACAAGCATCTGCCGCTCTGCCTCTACCTCCCTGCGTGTTTCACGACGCGGACAGATTGAGCTCCAGGTCGAGCTTCCTCGCGAGCTCCGCATCCCGCTCCTCTTGCTCCCTGAACGCGGCCTCATCCTCCTCTGCCAACTTCCGCGCAAACTCTGCGTCGCGCTCCTCCTTCTCGCGCTCCTCCTTGAGACGCCGCTCGATCGCCTCAGCCCTGGCCTTCGCGCGTGCGTTCGCCTCTGCCTTCGCTCGAGCTTTCGCCTCCGCCTCAGCTTTCGCCTTGGCCTCTGCCTCTGCCCTAGCCTTCAAAGCTTCGGCTTCAGCCTTCGCACGGGCACGGGCTTCCGCGTCCGCCTTCGCGCGCGCCCTCGCCTCCTCCTCCGCGGCCGCCTTCGCCTTCGCCCTCGCCTCCTCCTCCACCCGCGCCCTCGCCGCCGCCTCCGCCTCCGCACGCACCTCCGCCTCGATCTCCGCGCGCATCCGCGCCTCTGCCTCTGCCTTAGCCTTCGCCTCCGCCTCCGCCCTGACCTTCGCCTCCGCCTCCGCCTTCACGCGCGCGTCCTCCTCGGCCTGCGCCTTGGCCCTGGCCTTCGCGTCGGCGCGCGCGCGGGCCTTGGCCTCGTCGCGCGCGCGCTTGTCCGCTTTCGCGGCGGCCTCGGGGTGCTTCGGCGGGGGCGCAGCTGCGGCCGCCGCGCCGGGCGGGAGCGGGAGCGGGGACTGGTAGCGCGCTTCGAGGTACGGGTCGGGCAGGTCGAGCGCAGGGTCGCGTGGGGGGCGGGAGGCGGGGTATGGCGCGTACGGGGACGGTGGGGGGTACGGTGGTTGTTGTTGTTGAGGAGGAGAGTACGGCTGCTGTTGTTGTTGAGGGGGGTACGGCTGTTGTTGCTGTTGAGGGGGGTACGGTTGCTGCTGGGGAGGCGGGTACGACTGCTGGTGCTGGGGCGGGCTCGGCCGCTGCTGGGGCTGCTGTGGCGGGGAGTAGGGATATGGTTGGTTCTGGGGAGGGTATCCTTGGCTCTGTGGGGGGTAGAGCTGGTTCTGGGGAGGGTATGAGGACTGCTGAGGGGGGTACGGCTGCGGCGTGTGCGAGGGGAACGGCGGGGACTGGGGAGGGTACCCGTACGCGGCCGGCGCGGGGGTGTTCGAGCCGGGGTAGGGGCTGCCTCCGTACGGGCTCGACTCGGGCTGGGGTGTGTGCGACGGGGGCGGGGGTAGGCGTATCCCGTCTGCGCTGGGGGGTACGGCGCCGGGGCCGCCCCGTAGGAGAAGGAGGCGCGGTGGGCGTCGTGCTCGGGGAACGCCCCGGGGATCGGCGGGGAGCCGTACGGCGCGGCGTTCTCTGCTGGTGCGGGTGTCGGCGACGGGAAGAGGGGCTCGGGGATCGACACCTGCGACGACGGCGTGCGGCCGTGCGAGTGTGCGCGGGGCGGCGCGGAGTGCGCGGCGCCGTTGGATGGGCGCAGGTATGGTGGGATCGAGTCGGTCGGTCCTTGGAAGGCGTTCGCCTGTGTGCGCGGGGGCGACGACCCGCGAGGAGGCGACGTTGAGCCTTGCCCCGGGGCGGCGTATGCGGCACCCGCCGGGCGCTCGGGCGAGTGAGCAGCGGGTTTGTGCGGGGCGCCACCGCCTGGACGGAGGAAGGCGGGGATGGGTGGGGGCGCGGCGGAAGGGCTGGTAGGCTCTTCAGGGAGCGCGGGGAGGGCGTCCTTGGTCGGCAGCGGGGGGGTGTGGCCGCCCGCCGCGCCGTTTGCGTAGGAGTAGGACTTGGAAGGGGTCTTGAGCCGGTCCTTGGGATTCCACTTGGAGGCACGGCGTTGGAGAGGAGGTGCGGCGGAGTAGAAGGTCATCTCCAGGAAGACTTCACCACGGTAGCCACCGTCGTCCGTCTTGATTGGGACCCAGTCTAAAGCGAAGAGAAGGTGAGGAGGGAGGAGGGGCGGAAAGGACAGGTACTCACCATCGAATTCGCCCGAACTCAAAGTTTCTGTGATATCTACCGATCCCTGACCGACAAGCTCGTCCGATCTAGGCTCCTTGGAGTAGCAAGCGATCTCGAGCTTCCTGGTCTTGTCGTTGGCCACCTTCATGATGGGGAAGCGAAGCTCTTCGTCCCAGACCGGGTGTTGGCCCCCTCTGACCTGAACAGCGGTCTTTTTGAGATCACCGTCGAGGGTAGCCTGGGCATAGACATCTTGCTTGTGGATAGTGTGCTTGTCTCGGAGATTGCGAGCCTTGAGGACGACGACGACGAGGGTGCCGAGCCCTGCGCTCATGGTAGAGACAAGAAGAGGGTGCTAGAGCGGTTTGATGAGTCTCGATTGTCCGGCCAGGCACGAAACTGGATATACTCACCGGCTGAAGACCCAAATGGAGCGAGCGCGCCTATGATCGGGGCTGGGGCGTAGTCTGGTATGCACGCTGGGAGGGGGTGAGAATGGAAGGGAGGTGGAGGTCGCAGTCGTTGGAGAGTGGGCGCGCATGGCGACGAGTTTATCTGGCCAAAAGTGCCGCGAGGACAAGCAGCAGGCATGGCAGCGTCGGGCACAGCCGCCTGCACTGAGCAGCTCGGCACAGGCTGGCGAGCGACATGCATCGCCCTCGGTCGTTCTTGCGGTCGACGGGGCACTGGCACTCGCAGCAGCTCTGAGATCTGATTGCGCAGGCTCTGTGATGCTCACGGGCGAGGGCGGAGGGATGGACACGAGGACGTGCCCGGGTACTTGAGGCTGCAACTTCAACCTCGCATGACCAAATCCGGCTGGCGTAGTCGTCGGCCCGAGCTTCACGGGCTCGGGCTGTTCCCCGCGGTGTCTCGGCGTAGCTCGGCGTGCGCAGACTGCAGAGATCAACTTGGAGCCCGGAAGTCACCATCAAATGCGGTCGTCGGCTCTTCGGCGTGCGTCGAGTGACCGTGAGAACGGAGGGGCAAGTGGGACTCGGCTCGGTTCGGCCGCACCTTGGACGTCGTTGCAGACGTCGATTTCTCCCGGCGGGCTTCTTGACGCCTGCCCACGGACCTGAGTGGATGGACAACGATTCCACGGAGTGAGTATATAGACTCCAGCGCGTTATCGCATGTCGCCGCCGGTCTCCTCGCCCCGCCAAGCCCCCTCCTCGTGTGCCCGTGCTGCCCTCCAGCACTCAGCTCTCTCCCCACATGATGGGCCAGGACAAGCTGCCCAAGACGGACTCCCTCAACTCCGACGTCGAGAAAAGTGCAGCTACCCATGTCGCTCACCCGGAAGCCGATGAAAAGGCAGTGGCCGCAGCCACTCAACCTACCCACCGTACCCACATCGACCTCGATACCGGCGATGAGTTTCTCCGCTTTCGCAGGCATTGGTGGCAGCTCTGGTTCGTGTCTGCCCTTTGTACATGTCCTTTCCCACAACGACCCACTGATTTTATTTCTTCTCCCATACAGGCTCCCCAAGAACCCGCCTCCACCTGCCCCTCCCTCCCTAGACACCGCGCCTGTGACCCCGCTAGTCACCGCGTCGATTATCGCTATTCTTACTTACACATGGATCAATCCCATAATGGTACGCAATCTATCGCAGTCCGCCGAAAACCGGATGCTGTTTACGTTCACGAAATTTACGCTTGCACTACAGACCCTCGGGTACCAGCGCACGCTGCAGGCGACCGACCTTCCCAAGATGGACGAGAGTCGCGAGGCCGGTCTGCTCGGTGACCTGCTCGACGCTGCTTGGGCGCGACGCGTCGCAGCCGCCAAGGACTGGAACACACGCCTCGCCGCCGGCGAAATATCTCCTTCCGCGTGGAAACGCTTCGTCTGGGCGTTCAAGGCGCTGCGCTCTGGCAGCGCCGATGGCGCGAGCCACCGTGAACGGCGCGTCGCGCTCGAGACCGCGTGGCGTGAGGTCGGCGGCAAGAAGGAAGCCAGCCTCACCTGGGCTCTCAACGACGTACTCGGACGCGACTTCTGGTTTGGCGGTGCATTCAAGGTCATAGGCGACACTGCGCAACTTATGGGGCCCATCCTCGTCAAGCAGATCATCAAATTCGGACAGCAGCGCGCCGCGGCGGCTGCAACCGGAGGGACGCCCCCCAGCGTTGGCACAGGCATCGGCATGTCCATCGGGCTCTTCGCCCTCACCGTCACCACCAGCGTTTGTTCTCATCAGGTACGTCGCCTCGTCCTGAGCGCCAGTGTCCGCGCGCAAGCACGCCCGACCGCGCCAGAACGTGGGCGCGAGCGGCCCGTATGCGGCAAGTGGACCGGGTGTGTACTGACATGTCTTGATCGCAGTTTTTCTGGCGCTCCACGACCGCCGGTCTCCTCGCCCGCGCTGCTCTGACCAGCTCGATCTACAAACGAGGAGTGAGTCTGACAGGCAAAGCGCGCACGTCTCTGCCCAACGCTGCCCTGGTCACCCATATTTCGACTGACGTGAGTCCTGCCTTTCTGGGACATTGACGGAGCTCCGCAACGGGGCTCAAGTAAATTTGGACCCTCACTTACTCTTCGCACAGGTCAGCCGCGTGGACTCGTGCGCGCAGTGGTTCGTGAGTACTCCGTTCTTATCTGAGTTGACAGGTCTGTAATCGTGTGCCCGATGATTTCCCGGTGCCATTTTACAGCATGCCAGTACGTACCAGTTTCTCCATATTGTCTCTCTCTTAGATGGAACCTCGCTCATGGTTATCCAACCTACTTAGCATGGACGGCTCCCATCCAGACCATAGTCTGCCTGATTATTCTCTTGGTCCAGGTGAGTAGCCGCAAAACTCACAGGTATATGCGCCAATTGTTCACATCTGCAATCAGCTCGGACCATCGACATTGGCTGGTTTCTCGCTGTTCTTGCTCCTTATACCGCTGCAAGAGCGTGTCATGTCATTGCAATTCAAGACCGGCAAGAAAGGGCTCGTATGGACTGATCGGCGTGCCAAGATCATCCTGGAGGTTCTGGGTACGCTGTTGCGAATATCGTTTCGTGGACCACCTCATGAATGTGCCGCTCAGGTGCCATGCGTGTTGTCAAATACTTCTGTTATGAGAACCCGATCCTGAAGCGTACGCGCCTGTTCTCGCTCTTCGCTTCGCAAAACTAATCACCACCACAGGTGTCTTCGACATCCGCCGGCAAGAGCTCAACAATATACGCAAGATTCAGCTGATGCGCTCCGCCAAGTACGCCCCCTCCCCCTCCAACCCTTCCATCTCCCTCCGCACTGACAGCCCGTCCCGCCCACAGCATCGCGTCCGCGTTCTCGGTGCCCATCCTCGCCGCGACGCTCGCGTTCGTGACGTACACGTCGACGACGAGCGCCTTCGACGCCGCGATCATCTTCTCCTCGCTCTCGCTCTTCCAGCTCCTCCGGCAGCCGCTCATGTTCCTCCCCCGCGCGCTCTCGGCGACGACGGACGCGCAGAACGCGATCATCCGGCTCACGAAGGTCTTCAACGCCGAGCGCGCGGACCCGAGCGCGGCGATCGACATCCGGCCCGAGCAGAAGCTCGCGCTCGTCGTCCGCGGCGCGTCGTTCGAGTGGGAAGAGAGCCAGGGCTCGGGCGACGCGCTCGGGGGGCCGAGCGCGAAGGGCGCGGGCGGGAAGAAGGACAAGGACGAGAAGAAGGACGGGAAGGGCGGCACGGCGACCCCGGCGGCGGTGGGCCCGCCGTTCCAGGTGAAGGACGTCGACTTGGACATCGCGCGGGGCACGCTGGTCGCCGTCGTCGGCTCCGTCGGCAGGTGAGCCGAGGACGAGGGGTTTCCGAAAGGACGCGGATAGCGCTGATTCTGGGTTTGTAGCGGCAAGTCGAGTCTCCTCCAGGGCCTCATTGGAGAGATGCGCAAGGTCAAGGGATCGGTGGCGTTCGGCGGCCGTGTGGCGTACTGCTCTCAGTCGGCGTGGATCCAGAACGCGACTCTCCGGGAGAATGTCCTCTTCGGCCAGCCTTTTGAGGAAGCCAGGGTATGTTCTCACTCTAACCCTCGTGTATGCGTCCCGCTAATGATGGGCGTTTGGCAGTACTGGAAGGCCATCGAGAACGCCTCGCTGCTCCCCGACTTGCAGGTGCTCGCGGATGGCGACCTCACCGAGGCGAGTCCTTGCATCCCCGCATAGTCGAATGTCCGTCTAACGCATGCGCACAGATCGGCGAGAAAGGCATCAACCTCAGCGGCGGCCAGAAGCAGCGTCTCAACATCGCCCGCGCCCTGTACTTCGACGCCGACATCGTCATCTTCGACGACCCGCTCTCCGCCGGTGAGCGTCCTCGCGACTTCCTTCCCCCGTCTTAGCACCCGGCACTGACCCTCGCGCGCAGTCGACGCCCACGTTGGCAAGGCCCTCTTCTCCGACGCGATCCTCGGCGCGCTCCGGAACCGCGGCAAGACCGTCGTCCTCGTCACGCACGCGCTGCACTTCATGTCCCAGTGCGACTACATATACACCATGCACGGCGGCCGAATCTCCGAGCAGGGCACGTACCCCGAGCTCATGGACAGCCGCGGGGTGTTCTTCCACCTCATGGAGGAGTTCGGCGGGCAGACGAAGGAGGAGGAAGAGGAGGAGGAAGGCGACATTGCGGACGCGCAGACCGCGGGACCGACGATCCAGGTCGAGGACGCGAAGAACAAGGCCGAGGAGGTCGGGCAGCGCAAGGGCGCGGGGACGGGCAAGCTCGAGGGGCGGCTGATCGTCAAGGAGCGGCGGACGACGGGTTCGGTCGGCTGGCGAGGTGCGTGTTGCGCCGTGTGTTTTCTAAAGGGGGTGTTGGGGACTAACGAGGGGGCACGTAACAGTGTACGGGCAGTACCTCAAAGCAGGTCGGGCGTACATCACGCTGCCGATTCTCCTCTTGTGCATGGTGTTCATGCAGGGCGCTTCGGTCATGAACAACTACACCCTCGTTTGGTGGGAAGGGAAGTGAGTAGTGTTCTTTCTTCTGTATCTATGCACGAGAATTCATGAGGATATATTAGCACTTTCAACAAGCCCAACACATTCTACCAAACCCTCTACGCCCTTCTTGGTATCGGCCAGGCGATCTTCACTTTTGGCGTGTAAGTATCCATTGTACACCACCTAGACCGCCTTCTAACCGACCTCTAACCGACCATCGTAGTGGCGCTGCTATGGACGAGATGGGTTTCTTTGTGTCGCAGAACCTTCATCACAACTCGATCCGCAACATCTTCTTCGCTCCGATGAGCTTCTTCGATACCACAGTAAGAGGCGTTTATGTGCTGTTCTGTATTTGACGAAACTAATGTGTCGCAGCCTATGGGTCGTATCCTGAGCGTGTTCGGCAAAGATGTCGAGAGTAAGCAGTTCAACGATCCCTCGTGCGACATGTGAGGCTGACCCACTTCCCACAGACATTGACAACCAGCTTCCGGTCTCCATGCGTTTGCGTGAGTATCGTACACATTTGTATTTCCGCCGATCACTGACGTTCGTCATAGTGGTGCTCACTGTCTTCAACGTCATTGGTAGCGTCGTTATCATCACGATTGTCGAGAAGTACTTCAGTAAGTTCACGTCCGCTTTTTCCTCCTTTCTCCCTCTAATCCGATGTCGTATCAGTCATCGCCGCCGTCGCCATCGGGATCCTCTACAGGTATTTCGCGCGCTTCTACTCCGCGAGCGCACGCGAGCTCAAGCGTATCGACAACATGCTTCGTTCTCTGTTGTACGCCCACTTCGCCGAGTCGCTCTCCGGCCTCGCGACCATCCGCAGTTATGGTGTAGTCGATCGTTTCCTCCGGGACAACGAGTACTACATCGACCTTGAGAACCGAGCCGGCTTCATCACCATCACCAACCAGAGGTGGCTCGCCATCCGACTGGATTTCTGTGGCGGCGTCATGGTCTTCATTGTATGTCACGCTTTCCTCTGCTATGTTCTTCGTGGCCTCTAACATCCCACTCTATCAGGTCGCTCTGCTCGCCGTCACCAACGCCACTGGGATCAACGCTGCCGAGATTGGTCTCGTCCTCACGTACACTAGTGCGCGTTCTCTCCTCTTATGTCTGGAATAAGACTGACGACTCTTCCGCCCTGGCAGCCTCCCTCACACAGCTGTGCAGCTTTGTCACTCGTCAGTCCGCAGAGGTGGAGAACTACATGAGTTCCGTCGAGCGCAGTACGTCCCGCCCGCCGTCCCTCCGGGCCCCGCTCACACAGCATGCAGTGCTGGACTACAGCAGCAAAGATCGCCTGCCGCAAGAGAAGCCGTACGAGATCGAGGACAAGAAGCCGAAGGCGGACTGGCCTGCCAATGGCACCATCGAGTTCAAGGATGTCACCATGCGCTACCGCGACGGCCTTCCCCTCGTCCTCCGCGGACTCTCCCTGCGCGTGAACGGTGGCGAGAAGATCGGCGTCGTGGGCAGGTGAGCGAGGCCGGTACAGGGTCCTGAGCGACCTGCTGACTGCGTTTGCTCTGCCGCCTCAAGGACCGGCGCCGGCAAGTCCACGCTGATGCTGGCCCTCTTCCGCATCGTCGAGCTGGCGTCCGGGTCTATCGCCGTCGACGAGTGCGTGCGCCTCGTGTCTTCGCGCCTGCGGCTGTCCGGCTGACCGTGCCGTGCATTATATTAATTCTCCCACAGCGTCGACATCTCTGAGATCGGGCTCAAGGATCTACGGAGCAAGATCTCCATCATCCCCCAGGACGTGAGTATCGCGGAAGCGGGCGTAGTCCAAGTTACATGCTCACACACCAAACAGCCTCTGCTCTTTAGCGGCACGATCCGCTCAAACCTCGACCCCTTTGGCCTCTACGTGAGTCCCATCGTCTCGACTCTGCGGCTCACAGGCGCTCACGTTGTCGTGCCCATGAACCTTCGCAGACGGACGCCCAGCTTTGGGACGCGCTCCACCGCTCGTACCTCGTGGAGTCTCCGAAGCCCGGAGAGGAGGGCACCGGGACGCCGAGCCGGTACAACCTCGAGTCGGTGATCGAGAGCGAGGGCTCCAACCTCAGTGTCGGCGAGCGCAGCCTGCTCAGCTTGGCCCGCGCGCTCGTCAAAGACTCCCAGGTCGTCAGTGAGTATTTGTCTGCCAATTCTTTGTATGTGCGCGGCTAATGATCTCCACTAGTTCTCGACGAGGCTACGTAAGTCCAACTAAACATCTCTCTTTCTCTATCCGTGTCTGACACCAATTCCAGCGCGTCCGTAGATCTCGAGACCGACGCGAAGATCCAGCACACAATCCAGACGCAGTTCCGTCACAAGACGCTCCTCTGCATTGCTCGTACGTGCATGTTGCTCGCTGCCAAGGCCCAAATCTCACGTTACCGTGGTAGATCGTCTTCGAACCATCATCTCGTACGACCGCATTCTCGTCATGGACGCGGGCAAGATCGCGGTACGGAACATTATCTGTTTGTCCTCCCAGCCCTGGTCCTGATTTACTGCTCAGGAGTTCGATACGCCCGAGAACCTCTTTAAGACCTCCGACAGCATCTTCCACGGGATGTGCGAGCGCAGCGGAATTACTTTCGACGAGATCCGGCGCTCCCGCACCAAGATGCAGTTATGATGTGACGCAGTCTCTTCCTACTAGATCCCGACAAGGACGATATAGACATGACGCTTACATAGGCGTTCAATACACCATGAACTATAGCTTCCCTGGGACATGTTTTCTCCCCTAATTTCTCTATACCTTCGCAACAGCATCCCGGCATGTGCATAGTCCCGCAGTAGTCATCCCGTCGTCGTAATCGCTTTCGTGTATGTTCCTTCGTTCTGAGTAAGCATCACGTGATGTTTTTCCAGTTCGCCGGACCACACCTTCCCAACGTGCTCATCGATACTTATCGCCTGCTACTAACGGCCGTGCGGCTGCGCACCCTTCGCCCTTCCCCGATTGAACCACACGGAGTCCGCCAGGCAGCCCTCTTGACCGCCCGGGAGCAGTTTTGCCCCCACCATGCGCGAGCCTGCACGCAACCCCTCCGCCGCGCCGCTCGCCCTCGCGCCGGAGTGCCACCTCCCCGGCGAGCCTCGTTCCCGTTTCACGGCGCATCGCAGCCTAACCCTCTCTGGCCCGCCTCGCCTCGCCGCACCGAACGCGCGAGAGGGTATATAACGGCTTTCCATTGTCATCGAGGGACTCCAATGGACTCTCCCCTCCTGCACCCTCCCATGGGGGGCCCGCTCGCTGATTCTCGAGCGACGGCCCCTCACGCTGGACTGGTGAGAGGCAACCCAGTCTGACGACCCTCTCGGCCAGCAGAGGGTGCGTGCTTCGGTGTTCCACCCTCACCGTCTCCCCGTTTGCTGACGCGCTTGCTCTCTGCAGGACGTCTCCGTCAGGACGGCGCGTCGCCCGGCGGGCTGCTGCCCTTCCTCAGCCAGTCGGCGGCGAGGCGGCGCGGGGACGCGCAGCGCGCGGCCTTACCTTTGCGCGGCCGCATTCGATCGCGTCCATTCCAGGGCCGCGCCAGGAATCGCATCCTTCGGCCCCCGCATCCGTCCCGACAGACCCACGGCGCCGCCGCGCTCGTCTGGTGCGTCGAACGAGCCCGCTGCTCCGCCGCACCCGCACCATCCTCACCGTCTCTGTTGGCAGCACCTCGGCCGGACGGCGCCGTCTCCGTTATCGCCTTTCTTCTTCACTGTACAAAATTTCGAACAACGCCCTACAAATGCTGAACAAACAAGACCCCTACAAATGCCAAACAAGACCCCTCCTGGAGCTCCCCCGTCGAGCCTCCCGTACGTCCGCCCCGCCCTGCCACCCCTCTCCTCTCCGCCTCTCTCTCCCTCTCTCTTTCGCTCACCCTCTGACGCGCCGCAGACTCCGTTATCGCCCCGTCTGCGGCGCCCCGTGCCCGCGACGGTCTCCGTTATCCAACCTCCCCGCCCAAGCTCACCTCTACACTCGCCCGCTGCGCGAGGTAGTGGGTGACCTAGGGCAGCTTTCAAAATGAAGTACCCCAGGACATCACAATTTCCCCAAAACACACAACTGCCTCGTCCTCTTGTCGCTCCCTCCTCCGAGGGCAGCTTCGAGACCTCAACTCCTCCTCGCCTGCGAGACAAGGCCGCGGGCCGGACGGTAGTAGACGGGACTGAGGGCTGCCGCGTGAGGCGCGGTCCACCCGGCGTGTGTACTACATAGCAGTCTAGCACGGAGTGAAAACACGTGTATCGCGCGGCTTCGGGCAATCGCAGTTGGCGTCGTGCACACGTTTCCACGTTTGAGCGACGGAGAGGGGCCAGCAGGGGGACTTGGCAGAGCGATTGTGCAGCCCCGGCCGAGCTTCGAACGCGCGCAGACTGCATCCGAAAGTGAACACGTTGTGACCATATGGAACAAGAGACGACTGCTACCACCCCCGGACCGACACCGTACCATAAATTACACGATAAAGCACCGTATACACGTACACCGCCTGGGGCGAAAGGGTTATGCGCAGACTACGATCGCGACCATGTGGTTGCGAGAACACGAGCAAAGAAAGAGCGAAAGGAGCGGGAGGGGAACTATCGGGAGGTGTAAAGGAGGGCGAGGCACATCGTGCCGTAACGTAACGGGGAGCACCTCCCCACGATGTCCGTTGAAGGTGGAAACGAAGCACGTACACGCGCGCGAGCGGCTGCTTTCGGCTGTCCGTTTTCCACTTTCCATGTACAACGACCGCCACGTCCCCCGCGCGATCCTCTCTCTCCGACAGCCACGCAGCGTCGACGCCAAGAGTTACCAAGAGCTCCCCGTGGCCTCAAGAGTATCGGACCCCGATCACAGCAGCCCGGCAGCCTGGAGCGTCCGCGTCAGGCGCAGCTCCGCTTCAGTCAGGGGCCGCCTCTGCTCGTCCTGGTCGTCGTCGGCCGACGGCCGTTGCACAGCATGGGGCGCCTCGTCGTCGTCCCCGTCGTCGTCGAGGTGCCCGAAGCCGAACGCGATCTCGATATTGCGCCGCACCTGCTCGTCGCGCGCACGCTGCTCGGGCGAGAGCGGCTCGTCGTCCGCAGCGGACGCACGGATGGACGACTCCCAGCGCTTGACGCGGTAGAACCCGACGCAGGACGACAGCAGGAGGAACCAGCCTGGCACGCCGCGTGAGCGCTCGCATCCCACGGAGAAGGACACGAAGAGAGACACGCACCGAAGGTCATGAGGATGAGCGCGATCCAGTCCCGAGAGGAGATCGCGAGCTGCAGGTCGAGGTCCGCGAACGGGTCCGTGGTGTTGTACGCGGAGCCGTTGTGCGCCTGCAGGAGCACGTTGCGCGTCTCGTTCCAGTACGCGATCTCCTCCGCGAGCGTCGTCGGTGTTGGCGCGGCGGGGTCTGCGGGTTCGGCAAGCGCGATGCTATTTTTGAACGCGTTTCCGTATTGAACGAGGCCGAACTGGATGAGGGTGATGCCGAGCCCGGCGCGGGAGCCGTACTTGGCGGCGTTGGTGGTGTGGAGGAGGTAGGTGAGCACGAAGCCGGCGAACTGGAAGAAGTAGGAGATGAACGCGGTCATGATGAAGGTGAAGACCGAGCCCGAAGGCAGGTCGTCGACAATCATGAACGCGTTCGGGTCGAACGTGCCCGCGGGCGCGTGCACCGTCGTCTCCCAGTACGGGGGCACTGCGTCGGCCTGCGCCTCCGCGTAGGTCTGCAAAGGGCACGATTAGCAAGGCCTCGATTTTGAGCGACACCGCGGGGAATGCTGAACGGTAAGCGGATATTCCATTTCGTGGGGAGCGGCGCGTTATAGACGCTGCCGAGCTGCCGGCAGAATCCCTTGTGACGATATCCGGACACCCTTCTGGACACACAAGGGAAACCAGCCCGCGCTTCCAGCTCAGGTACGCCCACAAGACAGCATACATCAGCATGGAAGGCGAGGGGACGCCGTTCGAGGGCAACCGCTCTCGACTTCAGACGCATTTCGCGCCGTCTGACGAGCGCGAGGCAGTGGGCGGCGGGCGGGAGGGGGGGAGAACACACAGCATTCTAAATACGCACCGGCGGGGTCTCTTTCTGCACCTCCTCCGGGACGATGTGGACGTTCCCATCGACGTCGGTAATGGTCACTGGCCGGGAGGGCTTGGCAGCGACGTTTGCGAACACCCCATCGTTCTCCGTTCCACCGCCGACTACGCGGTGGCCGGGGGCATCTGTTGGGACGCGTACGTAGTGCTGAGGGAGGAGGGCGCCGACGGTGCGTCGCCAGAACGAGCGTGGTCGCTGGTTCTGAAGGGGGGGTGCACGGATGGCGGATGGAGAGGGGACGAGGCCGTTGGAGTTGCCAAAGTCATTGGGGAGAGCGAAGGCGGAGGGGCCAGGAGGGGAGCCAGGCGGGGGGTAGTCGTAGTCACGCTCGAAGTCGTACCCGCCGGGGGCAGTCTGGGACGTGGAAAGCACCTCAGGGAGCTCGTCGCTGTCGAGTGCGGGGTGGTAGTGAGAGTCGGAGCGTGGAGGGAGGGAACGGGTGAGAGGGGTACGCTCGGAGGAGTCCTGGCCCTCGTCGTCGCTGTCGAAGGCGTCGTCTAGCTCGCGCTGTGCATCTTCGGGGGCGTAGCGGGGATTGGGGACGGGAGCGTAGGCGGGGGGCATGGGTGGAAGTGGTGGACCGGTCGTAAGCAGCGGGGTCGACGGCGGTGGCAGACGCAATCAGGCGACGCCTCGACTAGGCGCTTGGCCGAGGCCCACCAAGCCACTGCCCCCGCCCGCGTCTGCTCTCAGACGCCCCCGCGCAGGCTGCCTCTCGATTCGGCCGCAGTGAGCTGCACTCGATGACACGGGGCGACCATCTTTCTATTAAAGCCGAGAGGAAGACAAGTAAGGTTTCTCTCGCCCATAGAAACCCACAGGAGTGCTTGTTCTGACTGCACGTGGATTTTAAACCTCAAACGGCTCCCAGAAAAATGGTGGCCCCGGCGTGTGAGACAAGTGTCCGCAGAGACACTCGAGATCAATCGTCGTCCAGACGCAATGCGCTTGAAGCGTCATGCACTCTCAGGCACAGGGGCCTGTGATCCTCTTTGAAGTAGCCCAATGAAGCCCATGCTGGTGAATGCACACATCCGCCAGTGATCTCGTATGTTGAGAATCGTTTGGCGTTGCAGGAGTCGGTCAGACCAGAGATGCCCGAGAGAATCGGTGCGAGATCGCTCTGGCTTACGGCCCGACGTCCCGCGAAACCGTTCAAAGTTTGGCCACGCCTGCAAGTGTGGCTCTTTGGCCCGGAAGGTCACGAGTGGCGAGAAGAGCAAGAACGAAGGTTCCGGGACATTACGGCCTGGTGACGAGGGCGAGAGTCATCGTTTGGTCAAGGTTGCGGGCCTGAGCCGTGTGGCAGGGAAACTACGCACCCCGGCCGGACCGAGGGTGCGGGCGAGAGGACGGGTGGCCTTGGGTGAAGAGGGCGACCCACGTTCGCTGATGCGGATCCGAAGCCTCTGCGACGCGCGCAAGGCCGAAAGCGACGAGAAGGGACGAAAGTCGGGGACGATCAGCCGGAGAGAGCAGCGATGGGCGATTTGTCGAGCGCGGGTGGCCCGAGCCTCCTCCGCTTTGGGCCGGCAAAACGTCGGCAGCGCCCGCGCGTCGGCCCAGGCGCGAGTCCGACCCCTGCGCCCGACAAAAGTGATGTCACATGCATCATCGATCAGCTACAAGAGCGTAAGTAGACCATCCCCTCTCGCCCAAACCACTCTCCTCTCTGCCACGGCGAGACCTACCGTCCCCGATGTCCCCCGTCGCCACATCCTCCGAGCCCGCCCTCGACCAGCTTCTCGACGACAACGACCAGCGCCATCTCATCGTCGTCTCCAACCGTCTCCCCATCACCATTAACAAGGATGCCAACGGCGAGTACCACTTCAAGATGTCCTCCGGCGGCCTCGTCTCCGCTCTCTCTGGCTGCAAAAAGTCCATGTCCTTCACCTGGATCGGCTGGCCCGGCTTCTTCATCCCTCCCAAGGACCGCCCCATAGTCGACCGCCGCCTCCGCGAAGAGTACTCCTGCCAGGCCGTCTACCTCGACGATGACGTCGCAGACCGTCACTACAACGGCTTCTCCAACTCCATCCTCTGGCCTCTCTTCCACTACCACCCCGGTGAGATGAACTTCGAGGACGAGAACTGGCTCGCCTACCGCCAAGCCAACATGGCCTTCGCCGAGGCAATCCTCACCCAGCTCCGCCCGGGCTCCATGGTTTGGGTCCAGGACTACCACCTCATGCTCCTCCCCCTCCTCCTCCGCACCCTCGTCGACGGCCCCCAGAACGTCGGCCAGATGACCGCCAGCGAGGTCGACCGCATCCTCGACGGCATTGACTGCGAGGAGATCATCCCACGCCGGATCCCCGACATCAAGATTGGATACTTCCTCCACACCCCCTTCCCGTCCAGTGAGATCTACAGGTGAGCCGTGCCTTCTTTCTGTTCTCTGCCTTCTCCGCGGCCCCGTCTGTCTTTCCGCCTCTCGATTCCCCCGCGAGCGCCCCGCCTCCGTCCCGGATCCCGCTTCCGTCCTCCGGCCCGGCGTGCCGTGTCTTCGCGTGCTCGGCCGCGTTTTGGCCACCGCGCATCGCGCACACGCTGATCGTCTGCCCTCAGGATTCTCCCGGTCCGCCGCGAAATTCTCCTGGGCATCCTCTATTCAGACCTTATCGGTTTCCACACCTACGACTACGCCCGCCACTTCCTGTCCTCATGCACCCGCATTCTCGGCCTTCCCACGATGCCGAACGGTGTCGAGTTCGAGGGCCGCCTCGCCCACGTCGGCACCTTCCCCATCGGCATCGACCCCTCCTCGTTCATCGACAACCTCAAGAAGGACTCCGTCCAGAAACGCATAGCCTCTCTCGAGCAGCGCTTCGCTGGCTGCAAGGTCATCGTCGGTGTCGACCGTCTCGACTACATCAAGGGTGTCCCTCAGAAGCTCCATGCGCTTGAGCTCTTCCTCAGCCAGCACCCAGAATGGATTGGCAAGGTCGTCCTCGCCCAGCTTGCGGTTCCCTCCCGCCAGGACGTCGAGGAGTACCAGAACCTCCGCGCGACGGTCAACGAGCTCGTCGGCCGCATTAACGGCCGCTTCGGCACCGTCGACTTTATGCCCATTCACTTCATGCACAAGAGCCTGCCGTTTGACGAGCTCTGCGCGCTCTACACCGTATCCGACGTCTGCCTCGTGACGTCCACCAGAGACGGCATGAACCTGGTACGTCGCGATCGGCCGCTCCCCGTCCACACCACTGACATTGTGTCCCGCAGGTCTCGTACGAGTACATCGCCTGCCAGCAGCAGCGCCAGGGCGTCATGATTCTCTCCGAGTTCGCGGGCGCCGCGCACAGTCTGAACGGCTCTATCGTCGTCAACCCTTGGGACTCGCAGGAGGTCGCGGACGCGATCTTCGAGGCCGTCACCATGGACGCCGACACGCGGGCCGAGAACCACCGGAAACTGTTCAAGGTGCGATTTGCTCCCCCCTTCTTCACCGTGTCATCGCGTACTTACCCGTGGACACAGTACGTGAACAAGTACTCGGCTGCATTCTGGGGCACGTCGTTCGTGAGGGAGATGTCCCGCATCGAGCTCCCCAACACCGACGTCAAGCCCGTCGCGGAGTCCCCCGCAGACTCGGTGCCCGACACTCCCGCCAAGCCGTCTGATCCTCTGCCCGCTGCATAGAAGTCTCGAGTTTCCACCTCGCGCGTGCTTCGTCAGACACTGCCGTGCCGGTTGTGATGACAGCGAGTGCGATATAGAGTTTCTGGGGGCGGGTGGTCCTCGGACTGGGTTCGCTGGGTTGTACGCACTTGTATATAGATTTATCTCAGGTTTCGAGGATCGCAAACACACCACACACGCCGGGAAAGGCAGTACATAGCAGGATTCCCTTATGTCTCTTGTAGTACCATACAGCGCACGTCGCGCACCCCCTGTCATCCCTTCCTTATGTTGTAGCTGTACTACGTACTTATTCCATTGCGCTGTTCTCGTTGGCAATATACACACGTATCAGACACGTGCACCGAACGACGAGTTCCCTCGAACTAGGCTGCGCGACTGAGTCGCGACGTACGATGACGAGGGACCGATACAGGCGCCGTCTAAGGGTCCAACGTTCAGCAAATGCAGCGCGATTGATAGTGTAAATTCACTCACGGGGGGTTCTCGCGTCATCATTGGGCCCTGTGGCATCGGCGCGGAAGAATAAGGAGGGCTCGGCGGCCTTGAAATAAGGCCCGCCAGCGTTGGAGGAAGGCTCTGCGGCACCAAAGGAGGGCTAGGCGGCACCGGAGCAGGGTTTGGCGGTGGCATTAGAGGAGGGCTCGGCGGCATCGCCGGGGGTGGGGCACGAGACGGCGGGACGTCGAAGGGAACCTATGCAACGTAAACGCGACGGCGGCGCGGGCAAGTCAGTTCGAATCCCACTACACAGCACGGCGGCAGAGAGAGAAAGAGAGAGAGGGTGCGCACCGCGTCGATCGCCGCCTTGAGGCTGCCGTGCAGCGCGGCGACGAAGAGCTCGGCGAGCTCCGGCGCCGCCGCCCCGCCGTACCCGGACTCGCGCGCGCTGCAGGCGTCGGCGAGGAGGTGGCCGAGCAGCTCGCGCTCGAGCCCGGGCGCGCGCGCGAGCTCGTCGTCCGGGTCGAACTTGAGCTCGCCGTGGAGGCGGTCGAGGAACGCGGACCACCGCGGGTGGAGCTGCACGCCGCTCACGCTCACGAACTTGGTCACGGGGTCGTCCAGGCCGTACTTGCTCGTGCCTCTCGTGCCCGCGCCCGCGCGGCGGACCGCGTCGCGGAACGCGGCGCTCGCGGGCTGCGACGCGTCGAGGAAGTGGAGGCTGCCGCCGGGGAGCCGCCGCGCGCCGTGCGGGAGGTGCTCGTCGTCGTACACGCCGTACGCGTGGCCGCAGACGCGCGCGCGCGCGGCGTCCGCGCACCGCCGGCGGTAGTCGAGCAGGCGGTGGTAGTCTTCGCCCGAGATGAGCTTCAGGCGGGGGTCCCCGGACAGGTACATGCGCTCGCGGAGGGACGCGCGGGCGGCGGCGTGCGTGAGGGCGGGGAGCTCGAACGCGCGCGCGAGCGCGTAGACCCCGACCGGGCTGCGGTCGATAGTCGTGCGGGTAAGGAGGAGGGCGTTGGAGACGCACGTGCCGACGGCGTCCGCGCACTGGTAGGTGCGCCCGGCGTCGAGGAGCGCGCGGAGGGCGTCGAGGTCGGTGGAGCTCGCGCCGGCGGCGAGGCGGGCGAGGAAGGGGAAGGGGAGGGTGCGGGAGTAGAGGATGGGGATGAGGAGCTCCCAGACCGCTGCGGACTCGGAGGTGACGATGGGCCCTGTGGCATCTGGGGAGGGGGGCGCGTCTGTTGTCGGGTCGGGTTGCTGGGGGGCGAAGCGGGTGGCAAAGGAAGGGGAGGCAGCTGCCAGGGCGTCCTTGTGGAGGCGGAAGTCGACGCGGTCAGACGAGCGAATGACGATGTCGCCAGCAGTGCGTGTTCGGTAGAATGGTACAGGAGGGGTTTCGGGGATGAAGATAGGTGGCATCTCCGATGACGTGCGGGAGATCTTGCGAGCCATTGATGATAGTAAGGCTAGAGACGCGGACAGAGCAGTGCTAGTTGTTTGGGGTCTCGAGATCTCACCACCCGTTAGAGTCCACTGCGTGAGCTTATAAGGTGTCAATTTACCGCAGCGTCGTCGGCCGCTGCCGCGGCATTCTTTTCCTGGCGCATACCGCAGTGGTCTCGAAGACTCACCTGAGTTGCAACTTCTTGCATAGCGGCGGCCACACGGCGATCTTCTTGCTGCAGGTGGCTAACACGGCGACCGTGTGACTCCTTCGGAGAGACACGAGCAAAACGTTCTATGACGCTTATAATGCAAGAGTCGGAAGGGTGAGTGATATCAGTCCGGAACAAGGGACTGGCGGCTCGTTCTGAGGGATATAAACCGCACCGAAGAGAGCGACACGGGTCTAAGTGGCAACTGCCCTTGCCAATTGTGCTGATTTACATGAGCCATAGTACAAACACCTGCGCAACGTGCGGACGTTCCTCGACCCACCCATATTCTCAGCGCGATACACAATCGTTCTCCCTCTCTACTGCATCGCCTACTAGTGTTCAATCTCTTGAGCTTCCCAGGGTGAGGACAATGTTTTCCCGAATGCTTACCTGCAGTACGTACACCGGATATCCTGGCCCTTGCACTGGTTCCATTCCGTCGAATCGGACCTGGGCGGTAAATTGAATCATCGTCACTCCCAATGCATTCCCGAGGACCTACCTTATCAATAGCCTCCTTGAGGCAAACGTAGACGGTCTCGATCAAGATTTCAGCTACTTCCACGGCATTTGCGTGACTCGCATCCATCGGCCCAGAGCATCGCATGATACCATCCAGCAACTTTCTGGTGAAGGAGGGAGAGCGCACAAGATCTTCAGTGGGCTGATACTCAAGATCGCGGTGTAAATCTTCGAGTGCTATCCACCAAGATTGATGGAGATGGGCACTGTACCCCTGATCATAGCATTTGGTTGTTAGGTGGGTTGAGTAGGAAATAGTGTTCATATTTGAGCCGGACAGTATCGTGATTGCATTCCATAGCCTCTTTGACGCGTTAGACCTCAGGAAATGGGTCGAGCTGGATATGTTGTTGCTGCCAGTGTAAGGTTGGTCGATTTGAGGGGCGGAACTATGAACCGTTTCCCTGGCAGCATCCGCGCATCGTCTGCGATGGTCGAGAAGACGATGATAATCCGACATTCTAGCCATGTATTCGAGCGACGGCTCGGTGGGGGAGAAGTTGAAGGAGAGCTTCGTGCTGAGCGAATGACGCGCCGCAAAGCGCGCGAGGTCCGGGCAATCGAACGCGCACGCGAGCGCATACACGCCGACGGCCTTCTTGGCGACGACGGCTGGCTCGTGCATGAGCGCATCGGCGACGCTGGCTGAGATGCTGGGAGCTTCGTACTTGCGCCCTGCGTCTAGGAGTGTCCGAAGGAGGTCGATGTCGAGGAGCCCATCGCTGCCCTTCAGATTGGTGACGAAGTCGATGGGAACTTTGGGAGAGTAGAATATGGGGATGAGGAGCTTCCATACGGTGGTGGGTTCGTCAACGGAGACTGAGGTGATGCCGGAGATCAACCGGGCAAGAACTGGGGAGGCGCGGGAAAGGACGTCTTTGTGGAGAAAGAAAGTCCCGGCATCGATGTGTCTCGTATAGGAGGGTTGAATGACAATGTCCCCTACTAAGGAGTCATCGAGGTAGAAGGGCGGCCGCAATCTGTTCGCCGTTGGGCTTTGCATCCTCGAAGCTAGGAGTGCGCGATGCTGGTGTTGGAGGTTGAAGATACTGGAGGGCCGTCCCACGAGGGACGAATATTTATCATGGGAACGTCTGCCGCAGCACAGTTGCATTTCGAAGCTGATGCGAAGTTTGAACGCACACCTCTCAACTTCCTGCCAGCTGACAGGCCAAAGCGACGGACGAGCTGTAATCAAGCCACTGGATAGCGCAGATATATGACTGAGGGCTGGTTGAGGTTAACTGATATCAGAACATATATATGCAAATGTTAGTACTTGTGGCGTGACCTCATTGTGAGGTGACTCTGTGACTGAACGCGTTCTTCCCAAACGCGACTCGTCACGCGTTTGTGACGGACGCCACTGAGGCCGGGAGGGCGCACGCTGCACTACTCAGTCTCCTCTGCCATTCGACACCATCACACACCATCAGACCCATATCGCACTGATGTCTCTTTGGGTGGACAAGGCACGCGCGTACTGTTGAGGGATACTCAGACAGTCTAATGATTCCATTCCGTCCTTAGCATAGACCACGGTCTCTCGACGGACTGCATTACCACGAAGGACTCACCTTGCGTTTGAAGGCATTGGTATGTCTACCCTATGTCTCATTATTTTATTGGCGTTAGCTTGACTTTGGCTGCGTAGGCTGCATCGGGAGACTTCCCGCATATGTTGTTCTATGGCCCCTCGGGAGCAGGCAAGAAAACACGGATAGCAGGGACATTGCTCGAGCTGTTTGGAAAGGGTGTCGAGAAGGTATGTCATGTTCATGCTTTCTGTTGATTGTCGTCGCCAACGCTCTCTACCGTACAGCTCAAGATTGACCAGCGTGTCTTCCTCACGCCGAGCGGGCGCAAGCTCGACGTAAACGTCGTACAGAGCAACTACCACATAGAGTTGACTCCGAGGTACGCCTCATGCCTTCGCTTCACTATTTCCCACCGCGAACGACTCGGGTGTTTCCAGCGAAGTCGGCAACTTCGACCGCGTCGTCATCCAAGATATCCTGAAAGAGATTGCGCAGACGCAGCAGGTGGACCTCAGTGCGAAACAAAAGTTCAAACGTGCGTTATGCGTTGTTCTTCTCTTCTGCCACAGTCATCAACTTTCTTGTGCCACCTTCCTTGTGTTCACGCAGTTGTTGTAATCCACGAGGCCGACTCGCTCTCCCGCGACGCACAAGCCGCGCTCCGCCGGACAATGGAAAAGTACATGTCCAACCTCCGCCTCGTCCTCTGCGCGAACAGCACCAGCAAGCTCATCGCACCCATCCGCTCCCGATGCCTCCTCATGCGGGTCGCCGCGCCCAGCACCGAAGAGGTACGCCCCGCGGCTCCCTCCTCCCGGCCCCCGTTCACTCCGCGCGCAGATCGAGAAGGTGCTCGACCATGTCGCGAAGCAGGAGAAATTTTCGATCCCGGAGGACACCCTCCGGCTCATCGCCGTGGACTCGAACGGGAACCTGCGGAAGGCCGTCCTCGTCCTCGAGGCGCTCAAGATGCAAAAGTGCGCCTCCTCCGCCATTGTCGTTGTCGTCATCTTGTGCTCACTTGGCCTCCGCGGCTGCCCCCCGCCCGCGACGCACAGCCCGGACCTGTCCGCGAGCGGGCTCGCGATCGCAAAGCCGGACTGGGAGACGTACTGCCACAAGGTCGCGGACATGATCGTGCAGGAGCAGTCGCCCGCGCGGGTGATGGAGGTCCGGGCGAAGCTCTACGAGCTCCTCGCGCACTGCATCCCCGCCTCGGTCGTGCTCAAGGTGCGCTTCAGTCTCGTGTCGCGTGCTCCGTGTCCCTTTTCCTTCCTTTCTCTCGCTGGCCCTTTGCTGACGACGCGACGGGGCAGACGGTCGCGGACCGCGTCGTCGAGCAGGTCGACGAGGCGCTCAAGGCGGACATCATGCACTGGGCGGCGGTGTACGAGGTGCGGATGCGCGTCGGGAACAAGAAGATCTTCCACCTCGAGGCGTGGGTCGTCAAGGTCATGAGCCTGTACAAGGTCCGTTCGCCGCCCTCCCGTCCTCGTTCCGACGGCTGACCGAGTTCCGGGCACGCAGCACTTCTTTTTCGGGTTCGACATGGAGGCGGACTTCGACGACTGAAGGTGCCCCCCGCCCGACGACCGAATCTTACCGCTACGTATGTGCCCCTTGCTTTCGCTCGCTGTTGTATCGCCCCCCACGCATTTTGTATATCAGCCACTCTCGCAACTACATCACGCGACACACTATTGTCATTCCCTTCACGCAGAAGAGTTTCCCGTAGTGCACCAGACTGGTGCATACATGCTTAATGCATGGTCGAAGCTGCAGACAAGCACGTACTTCCACCCGGCTATCATAGAGGCCGGTACCCACGTTGAAAGTCCAAAGATCTGACACATAAACACGCTGGTGCGACCCGAACGGCTTTTGGCATTAGTTGATTGCCGGTGGTATCACAACGCCTCGGGAGGGCGCTCTTACTAGCTACGTATACTAAAAAATCATACACCATTACAGTAAGCAGGTAACAGGCGACATGGGCGCAGCGGGGGCGAGCAAACAAGCGGAAGAACAGATACAGCACGACCGGTTACAAATACTAGCCCTCGTCGTCGCTGCCGTCGTCCCCGTCAGGACCAATGTCGAGGTCCATGCCCCCGTTCCACTCCCGCTCCCACAGAGGGGTCCCGTTCGGGTCAAGGTGACTTGGGTCGATGGCGGTCGCCGGGTGGCCGAGCGGGAGGACGCCCCGGGCGAGCTCGAGCCGTTGCTGGAGCGCGGCGCGCTGAGCGAGCAGGTCTGAGATGTGTTCGATGGCTTAGGGAAGCAGACATTAGAGTCAACAAACGTCCACACGCAGCTCGTCAGTGTGACGGCACCAGCCCTCGTGGTGCGAGACCAAGCGAGACACTCACTCTTCGACAGCACCACGTTCTCGCTCTTGGGCCCCGCCCGCCCGTCGGCCTTGTCGCCGTCGGCCCTGCCCTTCTTCTTCTTCCCCTTCTCCGCGCCGCCGCCGCCGCGCCCCCTCCCCTTCGCGGCCGCGGCCTCCTCCTCAAGCGCGCGCGCGCGCTCCTGCTCGTCCTCCGCGCGGATCGCCTCGCGCAGCGCGGGCACGACGTCGCACAGCGCCTCGTACCCGCGCCGGATGTTCGCCCGCCGCTTCTGCTCCGACTGGATGTGGTTCGCGCGCTTCTGCGACGGCGAGAGCAGCGCGGGCTTCGCCCCGTTCGCCGCGGCCACCGCACCCTCGCCCTTGCTCTGCGCGGCGGCCGGCGGCCGGCGGGGCCGACCGAGGCCGTTTGCGCTTGCGCTCGCGCCACGCGCCCCCGACACTACGGACGACGGCCCGGGCGAGTCGGGGAACGGGCTCGACGAGGTGGATGGCGAGGGCCGGGGGCGCTTGGACGAGGTTGGCTCGGGTGGGTTGGACCCGGGCAGGGGCCGTTTGCTGGACGTCGGCACTACAGGTGCAGATGCGGACGAGGACACGGCCGACGGACGGATGCCACTGTGGGGCTGAGGCGGGAGCTTTGAGGTGGATATAGGGGGCAGGGTGAACGCGGGGGCGCTGGCGGCTGGGCCTGTCGTGCTCCCGCGGAGGGGCGCGATCTGGAGGTGTGCTGGGGGAGGGTTGAAGAGGGAGTCGGCGGTGGGGAGGGCGCGGTCGGAGGGGGTGGAGCGGGGGACATCGTAGTCAAGGGCGTAGCGGGCGGGGGAGGAGGAGCGGACGGCGGACGGGGGGAACGAGTGCTCGGGAGGGGGGATGCTGGGCCAGTAGTTGGGGCCGGTGCTCGAGGGAGGGGGTGGGAGCGACGGGGCTTGGTGGAAGTGGGGTCGGTGGAGGGCGGGCGGGGAGAGGATGGTGGTCGGGAGGTCTAGGGACATGAGGTCCTTGGTGGCCTTTGCGAGGGCCTCCTTGCCCTGGACATGGGGGACGCGCTCGGCGAGGGAGTGGTCGACGGAGCCATCGGGGTTGACGCTCTGGTCGAGGTCGACGGCGGAGAGGAAGGAGGTGAGGTAGACGGCCTCGGCGGGGGAGAAGAGAGCCATGTCGGCCTGCATGGTGCCCACGGCGGGCGGGCAAGGCTTGTGATATTGCCCCGCATTCCGCAGACTATACGACCCCGCGCCGGCGTCTGCCGCCCCCTCTCTCGTCCAGCAGCGGCCGTCCCCGCTCGATAATCAGTCCGCCCGGGGCCCCGCCCCGCCACGCCGCACGGAGACGGTTGCTCTCCGCCCGCGTGTGTTGGCCTGTCCAGGCTGCCTCCCTGCCCTCCTGCCCACGCCTGCCGCAGCCCGTCAGCGACTCGACTGTTCATCTGACCTCTTCCCATCACCTTCCTTTCGTCCGATCGTCTCTCCTCGGCCGAGAATCAAACTGGTCTCAGAACGGCTGGAGGGACGATATCATCCTAGTCCCGTTTCACCAACCATCACAGCGAGACCACGCCCACGACGGCCAGTACTTCAGCCAGTGAAGACGCTCCTACGAGGCCAAGAGCACATCCGTACGTCATCCCATATTATGGAACCCGAAGTTTTGCTTGCCCAGCCGTCTGATCGAAGCCAATTTATGCTTGTCTGTGCATCAATCGGATGAACAGCTTCAACCACCGAACTGCCCTGCGTCAAGAACGAGTGGCGCTTCCCAGACGACTTGTGACTAGTGTACGTAAGGTTCACAGGGCAAGAGTGTAGCTCACTCATGAAGCCTGCTCGAAAAAGCGAGTTGTTTCGTTGCAGGTCAAAGTGCCATCCTGGACTTTCCCCGTCACACGGGCCCGCTGGTAGACCACAATGACCTCCACTTTTTCTTGTCTTTCTCCTTGGACGCCCTCGAGGGCAGAATTCTATGGCAGGCGTACAGTACATGAGCTGGTTCTAATCTGCAGCACCTGGTTCACGAATCGACCTCCACTTTCATAAGGGGGACAGCCAGCTGCCCATCACCGTTCAAACGTTCATCTGAACAGTTCGCCTCACTCTCTTCTGTCCTCAAGCTCCGCAAAGAGTCCCTCCCGAACTAGTCTCGTTCCCAGCGCTCCGCTCCGCTTGCCTGTGGTGTCGAATTAGGCCGATGGGCAGCAGCATGGGGGCGGCGCTACCAGAGGTTGGGGAATGCGGATTTGCGTTGCTGTGGGGTTCGCAGGAGACAACTGAAAGCCTCTGCTAACCCAGGAAGCAGGAGCGCGACGGCGCACGAGCAAAGCGCGGACCAGTCCCGGCGCGGGATGATCTGACGTCATGGTGCGTGGGCGGAGGGCGCTCGTTTCGAGAGCGCGGATGCGGCCAGTCGCCGAAGGCGCAGAGGGGGACAGCAAAACCATCCTGAATGGCCAAAAATGGTGAAGGTAGAAGTCGAGATGGAATGGAGGAGCGGGGCAGGTCTTGAGCGCGATTGCGCTACGAACAGTTGGCCGATTGCGGCGGTCCCGGGTGCGTTGGAACGCGCTGGAGAAGATGCATCGAACGAGCCCAGACGCCAAGCGAACGGACGAGAATCTGTGAAGCAATGACCGAAATCCTGACGAAGGACGATGCTTGAAGAGGATGGGGGACTGCGGACGAACCGCGGGACGGGGTATGGTGGTAGCGGTGTCATTCGAAAGCCACCGACGAGGGGGTGAGGGCGGCGAAAGAACGAGGGTGTTACGTGCCGTGTTCGTCGAAATTCAAGCCCATCAAGGTCAGCCAGGAACCACCAAAACCACCGAGTCCTCGGGTTTCTCCTGTCTGCGCGGATGTGGGGTCGTTGGAGAGAGGACGTCCGGGATAGGGAGTCCTCTGCTCGGGTGTGATACCGGGTCCAACGACGAGCAGCCAAGGTGGCTACAGCCGTGTCGCAGCCTCCGCTAGAGAGCCGGCGAGAGACTGGAGGCGAAGGGATCTTCGCCTACAGGCTTGACTCGAAGGGCAGGGTGAGCGCAGAAAGATGTAAGGATCCGGGGGTGGTGTTCCTCGGGTGAGTCTTGAGGCCGTCGCAGGTGCGTTAGATCCACGTCTATAATGGGGGTACAACACGAGGGGTAGCGACGATGGTGGTAGTAAGACTAGCGTAGCGTATGCCGGAGACTCGTGCCTATAGTAGTGACCCTAACCCAGGACCGAGTCCTAACAGGGACCGATGGATGTTGCGGGAGAGGCGAATCGCAGTACTGGTGGCTTGCACCCAGTCTCGAATGTTCTTTACAGTACTCCTATGTATGATGCCCTGCAGCTTTCCATATGCAGACGCACACGCACTAGAACTCCGGGATGTTGCCATCATGCTGCTCGCTCGCGCAATGCAGTGTTCGCACAACTTGCGGTGGCCGCACGCGTCCACCCCAGAACGCTCCAATGTCGTTGTACACTTGTATTACACTGGACCTGGCAAGCCAGAGGTTTGGTACGATTCTACAGAGAAGCGACTCAGAGACGAGAGCGGTGATACATGGACAAACGAGAGAGCGGAGGCGATACGTGGAGACGACAGGGGACAGATGGGAAAAGGCAGTAGCGGCGAGAGACGGGGAGACAGAACATAACGCGTACGTTGAATTGTGAACTGCAGGAAGAGGTGGGGTGGAGACGTACGAGATTCAATCGTACATACGTATGCGCATTATACGGGATCGACGAGACGGTACAGTTCTTCATAGAGGACATCTGCCGAACTACCGTCCTGTGCAAGAACACGGTGCGACTCGGGGTCATGAAATATCGAGTCCTCGAGAGGCTCGGCCGCACCCGACAAGTGCGCGACTTTGCAACAAGCGGCGTGGAGTGCGAGGTAGTCAGGGTTGGGCAACTCCGAGTGGTCCTCTTCAGGACGTGGGAGCCCGGGAATCCCGAGATCGTCGCGAATTTTGAACGTGACTTGAGCGGGCCACCCATTCCCCGCTCGAAGTTCTGGTGGATACGTTTTCAGGTTGTAAGTGTTGGGCTATCCGTGGGCGTTAGCATGTAACAGTCTGCTGAGTGTGACAGAGCGACAGACCTCGCCAGTGCTTTCATACCAAAGGCACAAGCGGTCCATCAGTGTATGACTCTCTTCGGAGAGCGTCAAAACATTGCTCAGCCGGTGACATTTGTGCCCGTTCAATTCCTTCAGCGCGTCAGGATAGCCAAAGCGTTCCAAGATCGACCAGAAGCCCGCCGCCAATTCACGCTGCAAGGAAAGTCAGTGTCTGTCTCAAACAGGGAAATGGCATGTCACACCTTCGCCTCGGGATTAGCGGAGGGCGTGAATTTATTGAGAGACTCGGGTATGATATGTGAACAGTGCGTGGGGGTAAGCCGACTCGCAGCGCCTGGTGGGAATTTGGTCCAGTGCTTGCACCACATCCCCAAGTCAAATTTCTCGGTCAGCATACACTGACATCCATCACGGAAGAGTGCCTTGCGTGAATGGTGAGTGATGCGGCTTATACATGTTTATTAATGCAGGATACCCACAAGCTGTTTGGCTTGCGAGTGATTCTGCGGGGTGTGGATGAGCTGAGGCACGATCTCTTTCGCAAGTCCATCGAACGACGGTCTGGAGGGATGAGATGACGATCTGGGCGTGGGTCCCCCGGTAGATTTGACTAGAAGCGCAATTGATGAGCAGCAGAACATCGAGACAGTGGTAGAGGAAGCTCACAATGCCGGATATAGTGAACGTAATAGAACTGACCAAGGTCCACGAGTCGCTCATACGATCCTTCGCACTTCTCGATATCAACTGAAATACAACTACGCGCCATCTCGTTGACAGGTTCGATAAGGAAGCCGCCAAGAACGCCAATGTAGCGTCGCTGTTTTGAAATATCCTGAGGGTTTGGACCTTCTTTCTCGATCGCCGTCCGTTCCGCTGGGAGGATGTAGAGGATATATGCACTGAGTGATTGTGGAGGCATTCTGGACACCGACTCGTCGTCTTGAGGGGGCAAACGGTGCGAGACCATGTCGGACATGATGGGCGGAGGGAAAGCAAGGGAGAGCCCCCGTGGCCACTCTGAACGTGAACGCCCACAGCCTGGACCCCGTGCACTGTTGATGAAAAAAATAACAAAGACCCTGTGCACTGCTTTGAGCAATCGATGCCTCCTACCTCCTGCTTCAAGAGCAGTTGGTTGCGTTCACTATATATGGAGCCACGCTGCATTGCGGCAACAAGAACCTAGAGCATTATGCATTGAACCCCAGGTGCGTGTCTGCTCATTGCTTGTATATGCTGGCGATCAACAAGCGCCGGAGCAGCCTGGCGCTTCTCAGACGCTCGTCAGCCGCCCGTTCTCGCGTCGGAATTCGACCACCTGTGGCTCCCTCAATGAAATGAGTCAAAACAAACTTGTGGAATATATGTGTGTGATTGTAATGAGTAGCTGTGCGCAAAAATTATCGAATTTGGTTGGCTGAAATGTCCAGGAGAGCGTGCACTGCACCAAGTGGGTTCTCAGATGAATTGGCGACATCCGCCCCCCGTTTGCTCGTTTCAAATGAACAAGAGGCTTCTAAAACTTTTGGTATAGATTTATCGGACTCACATCTATGATATATGTGACATTTTAGCAGGGATCAGTATGTTTCAGCAACACATTGGCCCTGGTATCTTGGATGATTGCACATGATGGACCACTGGAAACACTATGGTGATATTCTGTAATTGTGTAAATGGATTATATTCAGCCAGACCAAGCATACAACATCTTTATGTTCATGTTGACACGATTGAGTGCATTGGAGGGTCTTGCAATGCACATCAAGTAATGAATTGAGCAACACTAGTGACAAGTGGCCTCCATGACTCCATCCACCCACCAAACTACCTGGGTCAGTTTGTTACTGAAACATACTGATATCTGATAAAAGCTCACATACATCGTAGATGTGAGTCCGATAAATCTATACCAAAAGTTTTGGAAGCCTCTGGTTCATTTGAAACGAGCAAACGGGGGGCGGATCATCGTCGCCAATTCATCTGAGAACCCACTTGGTGCAGTGCACGCTCTCCTGGACATTTCAGCCAACCAAATTCGATAATTTTTGCGCACAGCTACACATTACAACCACACACATATATTCCACAAGTTTGTTTTGACTCATTTCATTGAGGGAGCCACTGGGAGCCACAGGTGGTCGAACTCCGACGCGAGAACGGGCGGCTGACGAGCGCCTGAGAAGCGCCTGTCCCAATACTTTTCGCAGGGACTAGTACACTCGAGCTGAGTGTGCTGCGCCGACGCATTCGGCGGCGCCCGTACACCATGGCACCTTCCCTTCACTGTTCGTCGCCTGCTCTATCACGGGTGCGGCCGGGACGTCGGCTCGCTACGATATGACGAACCGCATCTCGGGATTGGGAGGACCGTCTGTCACGGGCACGACCGCAGTGACCGCCCTCGACGAGATTATCGCGAAGCTGACGATGGACCTGGCTGCGACCTAGATAGTGGGGTCGATATGAACGTGCAAGCTCGATCAGTGCGCCTTCGACACTGTACGACTGACCAGGACGATGCCAAGTAGGAGCAAGCGATTGGACAGCGGCGGTCGATATGCGCGACCACGGGTGAAGGCGGTACTTGGGCGCAAGACAATGAGCTGATGTGTATGCGCGGTGACGCCAAAATACATGACGGATGGTCCTAGAGCGCGAGAGGATCTTTAAAGGTCTCGTATCCAAACAGCCTATCCAAAGGTAGGTGAGAACCTGTGTGAATACGTTAGTTAGCATTCCGAATTGGCGACGGAGGAGTGACACCCACGTATTATGCGTGCTTTCCCTTCCTAACTTGCAACACGACGGGCACACTCGCCCTCGCGGTTACGAAGAAGCCCTGATACTCATCATCGTACCGCGCCATATCGTACAGCCCGCCCAGCTGCCCGTCGACCGCCACCTCCGGGGCTGTACGCACCTCGAATCGCTGGAGGAGCGAGCACAACAGCGTACCCATCTCCTGCATCGCGAGCGCACGCCCGACGCAGTTCATCGGGCCCTGCGAGAGCGCGGTGAACGCGCTGCCGTTGTGTTTGAACTCCGCAGCCGAAACGCTGCCGGGGAGAGCGACCTTCGAACGGAGCCAGCGGTCGGGCCAGAAGCCTTCAGGCTTGGGGTAGAAGTTGCGCGGGTCGCGGTGGACCCGAAGGTGGGTGCCCGGAGGAAAGTAACTGCAACGAAAGTAATCAGATGAGCGAAAAAGAGCTCACAGTGAGCCATTAATGGCAGTCCCTTGTCCGTCTGCGGGCACCATACGTTGTGTGCCACCCGGGACGGGCGGGCGGCCACAGGTGGGAACAAGCGTAGACCTTCGTTGCTGGAAATAATGTCAGAGAGATCGTTAGGGATCAAGACGTAGACTCGCAAACCAGTCGGTCGGGATTCTCCTTACCTTTCTCCCGATCGGGAAGATATCTATGTGGTGTGATAGGAACAGCGGAGTTCGGAAGGCTGGTCTCGTCCCCAGCCGTTCTGTACCGCACCCCGCCACTGCCGCCTACGCAAGCGACAGTTGAGCTCCCTCTCGCCGACGCTACTGTGCTCGTGTTCGAGGCGCTCGGTTCGCGCCTCCACGGCGACTTTGAGCTCGCACAGGCAGATGCAGGGGAGCCTGGCGTCGAGCATGGGATAGTCGTCGTCGACATTGACGCTTTCTATCGGGGGGCGGACGCGCTGGAGGACGTGCAGGTTGGATACTTGCATCGTGAGGTTTCTACTGGAATGGAAGAGGGCGCCGGGGTTTACGACGTGACTGACGCATCCTCGGTGTTGGTGTTCAGAAGCGCCAGGAAGGAGGGAGCAGAGCATCGTCTGGCTTGCAACGTGGGTCCCACCCTGCGCGTTTTTGTTCGTGGGTGCAATACAGAGGGAAGAGTCATGGTCAGGCTATCGGGCTGCACACACGGCAGAGTCAAGGACGTGTTGTTGGAATCTGCCCGCATACATAGCAAGCTCGGTCGTACGGTACCAGTGCTTAGTCATCGTGTAGATAGCCGCCGTCCCTCGTCCCGCACTCGCCTCACGCGTTTGCCCTTCACCACCACCTCGTTCTCCCCCGCGTCCGTCTGTACTCGCCTCCCGGTGCCCATAGGGACCAACCGCGTCGTATCGATTGCCTTTACCCCCTCGTCCGACCTCGTCCGAACCGCCGACTTCTAACATAATGTTCATAGGGCGCGAGTGTAGCTCTCTCATGAAGCCTGCTCGAAAAAGCGAGTTGTTTCGTTGCAGGTCAATGTGTCATCCTGGGTTTTCCCCGTCACGCGACCACATTGACCTCCACTTTTCCTTGTTTTCTTCCTTTAACGCCCTCGAGGGCAGAGTCCTATGGTAGGCGTATAGTACATGAGCTGGTTCTAATCTACAGGACCGGGTTCACGAATTGACCTCCACTTTCATAAGGGGGACAGTCTGCCCATCACCGTTCATCTGAACAGTCCGTCTCAATCTCCACCGTCCTCAAGCTCCGCAAAGAGTCCCTCCCAAACGCGTTCAAAGCCCCACGCCCCCGCCAGATGCCCTCCCTCGTACTCCACCAGCTTCGCGTTCCTGTAGCTCTTCGCCAAGTATCGGCCCATCCTGAGCATGCTCGTGTCCTCCCTCCCCGCCATAACCACGACCCGCTTCCGCGCATGCTCCTCGTCCATCTCCGCGATCCTGAAGCCCCAGTCCGCGTGGAGCGCGTCCGCGGTTCCCAAGAAGCCCGCCCACGACGTGCCCACGCTCTTCACCATCCCCCCGCCAGCCTCCGCTCGAACTCGCCCTCCTGCACGCCGTTCCGCGCGCGCCACGCCGCGTACGCTCCCTTCTCCTCCTCTCCCATCTCGTCGAAGTACAGCCCGCGCAGCATCTTCTCCGCGTCCTCGACGGTGCGCAGGCGCGGCCGGAGCGCCGCCGCGGTCGCGCGCGGGAGGAGGTGCCACGGGAGCCACCGCGCGGGCGGGCCGACCCCGAGCCAGTCGCGCCAGCTGAGCGCGCGCGCGTACCCCGCGTGCTCCGCGAAGGGCGAGAGCGGGGCGCCGAGCACGCACGCGACGACGTGCGCCCCGGGCGGGAACGCGCCGTAGGGCGCGCCGAAGACGATCTGCGCGGGGCAGGTGCCGAAGGAGCCCCCGGCGAGGTAGATGCGCAGGCGCGGTTCCGGATCCGGGCGCGCGGAGGGGGAGGAGGGGGAAGAAGACGGCCCGGCGAAGTGCGCGGGGTAGAGGTGCGCGAGGAGCGCGCGCGTGTCGGCGACGACCGTCTCTGGGAAGGTCTTCCTCGGGCCCAGGGGAGACGTCGCGCCCCATCCGGGCAGCGTCGGCGCGAGGTAGCGTGCGCCGCGGGTGCGGATGGGCAGCGAGGGCCGGGCGGCGTCGCCGACGCTGAACAGCCCGTGGAACCACACGACGAGGATGGTAGCGTCCGCGGGCCCGGAGTGGGAGTACGCGAGAGTGCGCCCGTCTGGGAGGGCGAGGGTGTCTTCCGTCGCAGGGTACGGGTCGACGGTGGGAGGACTGAGCTGGCCGGGTTGGGCGAGCGGTTCCGTCGTGGCGTTCGTCGAGGAGGGCATCGCAGACACGGGAAGCTTGCCAAGCGGCCGGAGGATGGTCGATAGAGCGGTGCGCGCGGGCGATCGAGTTGCGTGAAACGCACCCCGGGCTCCAACCTTTATATGCCGAGAGAGTGCTCACCCAGATCGTCGGTTTGTGACGACTTCTGCTGCGGCTCGGGAGGCGATGACAGCTGTCGTAGACCTGTCGATGAAAACGAGGCGTGGTTCATATGACTCCAAAGTGCATAGGCGAAGCACAGTAGAGCTAGTAGCGGCTGGACAGGCGCAGCCTCCGAGGTGATCGACATGCACAATCGCAGCACGCACGGATCTTGTACTTATTACTCCAGCGGCACCTGCGGAAGAAACCGTATACAGCCAGCGCTGTTCGTCGGCTCGAACGTTCTTGCCTGAGTGTACTTCAATGCTTTCGGCTTCGTATTTCTGAGATAGGGCTGCCTAGGGGAGAGAGTTTCCGAGGCGCCAGTGTATGCAGAATCAATTCGACGCGTGTAGCGGCGCCAGCTTGTCGACACGTTGCCTCAAGACTCCTGCGACGCGCACCTCAGCGCGACTCAACTTGCCCAGGTCGAGACAATTTCACAGACGTTCATTGTTTTAGACGCTGATACCGCATCAACAGATGCCGCATGGACCAAACATGCACATCCAGGTGCCATCGAGTCCCCGCGAAAGCCCCATCCACAAACTCCCACAAGAAACCTTCATTGAGATCTTGAGATTCGTCCGTGAAGCATATACTGAGAAGCCAGTATTCGATATCATACTCAAAACCCGCATGAAGTGGTCCAACACTCTATGGCTTTCACTGCGAACGGTTTGCCGTCACTGGAATGACACTATCACCTCCGAGAGGTGGTTCTGGTCCACGATCTACGCCCGCGGAATCTACGCGCCGAACTGGATGGAGCTGCGTCTCAAGCTCTCCCGCGGCGTCCCTATCGACGTTGTCGTCGAGCTAGCAGTGCACGGTAGTATCAACGACGAGAATGACGAAAAATGTCCCCAGCTGGCACCACTTATCCCCCATGCCGCACTCCTTCGCTCCCTCGCCATAGTCGACCTCGGTCCCGAAGACCGCCCATTCGTGGACGACTTCCTCCGTTCGACTACGTTCCCCACATTGTCGATCCTGCATCTGCACATGGTTAAACCTTTTAGGTGTTATTGTTCGCGCTGGAGGGCGGCGCTGGAGCAGGCGGGCGTCCAGGACGTGACGGTCGCTTTGAGGGCCGTGGACGGGGGCGGGTGAGGAGTGGGAGGGGCTGCGCGGGACCAGCAAGGGGACCAGACGGACGGCGGGCGTTGGAAGGTGCTCGCATGTGCGGTCTATCATTAGGGTCCACTCGCTACACGGTGCTCGCATGCGTCTCCCGCGCCTCACATCCCACACGTCGCGTTCCACCGCGCGTCCCCCCAGCCGTGCTCGACGCTCGCCGCGTTCGCGTGCACAAAGTCCGCGAGCGCGCACGACCCGAGCCTCTTATCCGTCTTCGCGCACATCGCCAGCGGCACCGGCGCGTCGTTGAGCAGCAGCCGGATCTGCGGCGCGCCGCCCGCGCCGCACGCGAAGCGCTCCCAGACCATCTTCGCCGCGAAGGGCACCTGGGAGGACGTGCGGAACTTGCGGCTCGCGCGCGCGGGGCCGGACGCGGACAGCGGGGGCTTGTCCGCGAAGAGGCCGAGCGCGGTGAGCGCGAGGTCGATCGTGGTGTCGTGCCCGAACTCGAGGTACATCGGCGAGGCCGTCCCGGTCTCGTTCGTGAACCTGCGGGGCGCAGAGGTCAGTGTCGGGATCCCGGGCGGCGTGGATATTGGAGGAGGAGGGCGACGGCTACGCTTCTCGAGAATACAACGGCGTGCGCAGGTGCACCACAAAAACAGGAAAGAGACTCACCGCTCAACGAGCTTCTGGACGTAAAGCCCGCCGAGGACGGCGCCCATCGGCGTGGGGAGGTTGTACCCGAACGCGCCGTCCATGAGCAGGTCGAGCTCGTACTCGAAGTCCTTGATCTCCGCCGGGGTGAACGCGCCGCACCAGGGCGAGACGCCGTGCGCGGCGAGGTCGTACGCGCACGCGTACAGCGCCCCGTGCACGTTGTCCGTCGTGAAGCCCACCCCCGGCACGACCTTGTTCAGCCGCTTCGCGATCCGGGGCAGGTACACGCTCCCCCACTCAATCGTCGCCTGTGGTGTCGCGTCTGCAGTCAGCAGCGGGCGCGCGTACAAGAGTGAGAGAGGGATGCAGGCGGCGCACGTTGTTCCCGTAGTTGTAGTCCCACTTCTTGCAGGTGCCCGTCGGCGTGATCCACGAGACCGTCGCGTGGTCCTCGTTGATCGTCGCGAACGCGGACGCGTTCATCGCGCCCCACCCGCGCCCGAAGTAGCCCTGCGCGAACCACTGCGCGCTCTCGAGCACGCGGTCCTGGTTGCCCGCGAGCACGCCCGTCGCCCGGAGGTGCGGGTACGCGAGCGCGAACCTGTCCCGTGCGTCGCGTCAGTCTGAAACCATCGCACACAGGCAGGCGGGCGGGCAGGGGGCGGGGAGACGCACTCGACGCCGTGCTGGAAGAGCTGGAGCCGCCCGGGCGCGGTGAGGTCGTCGTGCCCGAGCGTGCTCGTGTAGCCGGCCTTGAGGAAGGCGAGGTCGGCGGGCAGCCGCGCCTTCGCGACCGCGCCCGTCGCGTTGCCCAGCGCCTGGACGAGGCCCGTGATCGACGTAAGCTCAGAGGAGAGCGGGTAGCGCGAGCCGTGGCGCGCCGCCTACCGACGTCGTGTCGTCAGCGCGTTCGTTCGCCGCAAAGAGAAAGAAAGAAGAAAGAAAACGCACGAGCATGACTTGATCCACCACGCACCCGTCCGGGAGCGTCGTGGTCATCCCGGACGGCACGGCCGCGGAGCGGTAGGGCGAGAGGTTCCCGAGGTGCGCCGCGTAGTCGAACGAGCCCCGGGCCTCGGGGGCGGCGGCGGACGCGACGGCAGCGAGCGCGGCGGAGACGAGCCACAGCGAGAGCTTCATCATGCTGGCCTGCGAGGAGCGAGGGTGCGATGGGAAGGACCGGGTGCCGGTGCCGGGTGAGGGCTGCCTAGCTGTGGTGTCGGGGCTCGGGGTGAGGCGAGTCGACGACGCGCGCGGGGTGCGCCGCGTGCCGTCTTATATCCAGCAGCGTCCACGCGCACCGCGCGGTCGCCTGCTAGTCGCCGGCGCCGTAGACGCTATCCTCACGCACGTCGGCGCGACGCGCACCGCCATTTGCGGCGCATCAGCGACCGGCCATCGACTCTTGGGCTTGGATTTTGAACGCCAAAGTCGTTGTGCCCTAAAGCCCGACGAACGTGCTCGTGTGCGGTGAGTCGTTGGCCGGCGGGAGGAGGAGGGCGTTGAACGTTTCAATGTTTTCTGACTTTTTTTAGGTGGGCACAGGCACCACGGACGGCAGCGGGGGCGGAGGGCTGATAGGCCGTGATGAATCGCGTGATGAGACCCTCGAGCCATATGGTGGTGCGCGCCGCAAGGTTTGGGCGGAGACAGCAAGACGTGTGAGCGGATTCAGTGGATGACGTTCAGAACCAGGGACTGCGCTGTCAGGGTCAAAGAGATTGCTTACAGCTGCAGTCCCAGGAGCGCCCGGAACACGGAACACGGAGCCGGCCATGCGCGGGTCAATGGCTCGCGCGCCCTCTTGTTTCTTATTCGTGTAAGGTACTTACAAAGGTCGTGTGCGATATGATGACGGCCTTTGATTACATGTCTGGTCTCCGGTAAAACATGTCCTTGGCGCCCTGGAGACGGAACCGGATAACTATTAAGAGGAGACACCAGGGGGACACCGAAGCAGGGGCCTTGGCCGTTCGAAACCGGTCATATGTGATGGACGATGGTTGCCTGGCCGGAAGAGCTTGACGCTTTGACTTCCAAGTCCGCGACGGCGGGTGTATGTCGGAGGCACTTGCTTCCGGCGATGTCTTGGTTATACGGTAGTACCGTTCACGGACTCCGCTGGGCCCGCCGCAGTGGTGACTTGAACGGCAAACGGCAACGCGGACGAGCCGGAGACGCCTTCTCGTGTCCTAGGGTTCCGAGGAAATGATCCCAACGTCAGTCACGCGAGTACACGGCGGGCGGAAGAACGAGACGGAAAAAGGATACGCGAACCACAACTCCTTCCAGAGACCCTGCGCACGGCCGCCCGGAGCCACACGAGGAGAGAGAGGACCGACGAACGTTGGCGACGCCGACGGGCTCGGGAACGCGCGCAAAAAAGGGCTCGGTGGTTCCATACTAGTATGGAGCAAGGCAAGAACATCGACGAGCCGGCGAGGGGTGCGCCGCGCTCCCTTCGACACGGGTGGCTAATGTACAGCGAACGCAACGGGCTTCCGCGAGCGATCCACGGCGGAGCGGGGCGTGGTGGGGCGTGGGGCGCGGGTGGTGGAGTTGGCGTCGGGGAGTAGGGTGCGGTGAGCACGTGCGAGGTATATATGGGATGCGGGGGGCGGAGAACCCTGAGCTGGGGACTACTAAATGGGCGTGGGCGGCGATGTACGGTAGCGGTATGACATGGGGACGGGGCTCGTCGGGATGCGGTGCGGTTCGCGGACGTTCAGGGATTGAAAAGGCGAAGATGTAGTGTATGGCGTGGCGTGCGGGGGCGATGGGATGGGAGAGCAACTCTACATTGGTGGTGTGACTAGTCGGAGACGTGGAAGTGCGAGAGAATGGACAGATGAGAGCAAGGACGTGGCGGGAGACTGTCTGTCGAGATGCATGGAACACTGCTGCACGGCACGGCGGGGGCGAAGCGACGGCGGAACGGGCGGAAAGATGGCGACGCGCGCGCGCGGCAGGGCCGCAGCGCCAGCCGTCGCCGGGGTCGGAGCACGCGAGGCAAACGCTGGGGAGACCCGGCCGACGTCGAAGAGAGTGCATTTTGCGGCAGCGGCGGAAACGCACGGACGGCCTCCTGCAGCCGCGCCGTCCGGAGTCTCGGGGGGAGTGTGGGTTCTGCATCTGGATCTCTGTCGTCGGTGCCAATACGGACGTCGTCGGCCGGAGAATGAACTCACCTCCAGGGCGCGCGGTCACCGCTTCGGCGGGGCGAGCGTGGAGAGCGAAAGCCCCTGCGCGAGCTCGGCCTTCCAGGAGAGCCGTCGGATGGCCTCGGCGTAGTCGACCCACTCTCGCCGGCGCTCTTTGCTCTCGAGCCACTCGGCGTCGAGGTCGGCGACGTCGAGCTCGTAGAAGTGGTAGGTTGATGACGCGGACGGGATCGTCGTGACGAAGCGCGTGATTGTGCCGCGGACGCCCGCTGTGAGGGATAGGGGCGGCGCACGGTGACAAAAAGGGGTCGGGGCGAGGCGCGTCGCGCGCATTCGTGCGGGTGGAGGCGAGGGTAGGTGGGCGGGTGGGCAGGGCGGGGTGGACGCAGACGCGGTTGGGACGGGCGGGAGGAAAGCGAGTGGTCAGGATTGAGGACGGTAGACGGATGGACAAAGTGTGAGACCTTCTTCCAAGGCTTCCCGCGAGGCTGCTGCTTCTAGCACCCCGTCCGTCGGCTCCCACCCTCCTTTGGGCACTGCGCGGTTCGGTGCGGCGGGACGGAGGGCACAGACGGTCAGCATACAGCCAGCGCAGCACGACGGGACGGGGGGACGGGTGCTGTGGGAGCGCGAAGTGGGGGGAAGGGGGGACACTCACAGACCCAGTTATTTGGCCGCTTCCTGCTGGTGATGACGAGGACCTTGCCAGCGGCGCGCGCGATGGGTATCGCGCAGCAGACGACGCGCGGTGTTGACCGGCCCTTGTTGCTCATCGTGGCGGGGGCGGGGCGGGGCAGGGTGGAGTGAGGCGGGGGTGGTATAGACGGGTGGTCGGGGCGAGAGGGGACGGGGTGCGTGGCGGGCGGCGGGAAATGCGGGTTAGGAGGAGAAGGCGGACGGGGTGGGGTGGGTCAGGAGCGGGTGCCGGGCTCGCGAGGTCGGGCGTCGGGGTAGGCGGGCGCGAGTTTCAGTGCGGAGCCGGGGAGGGAGTTCTGGGTGGCTCGGCAGACTTTAGCGTTTACGGTTTCCGGTGTGGTGACGAGTCGAGGACACGTAAGGGCGCGGGCAGGGGCCTGCGCAGGCTCACGCACGGAGTGGAGGAGGGGAGGAGAGAGGCGGTGACGGGGCGGACGGCCGGACGACGATTTTGAGACGCTGGCGGGAGGGCGGGTGTGTGCAGGCACAGGTCCGGGAGTGCGAGGGAGGAGTTTGGTGCGTGTCTGACGAGCCCCGCGGGTGGTCGCGCGAGCGGCCGAGTGACGTGTGTGGGCGCCGGTGAGTGGGCGGGAGCGGAGAGCTGGAGGTTTTGTAGGCCGGCACACGAGCGGTGGTCGGTTTATGAGTGCGCGCACCGCGAGGGACGGGGCGCCTCGCGGATGGACGATGGAATCGCGGCCGAATCGCCAGCTGGCAGCGCGAGGCCACCGCCGCGCGCGGCCCCCAGGCGCAGGCCGTGGGCGGCGGCGCGAGCGACGAGCAGCCCAGCGAGCGCGGCCCGCAGCCAATCGCCCCGCGCACGTTCGCCGGGCCCCAGCCTCCGCGCGCCAATTGCCCCGGCATCCGACGGCCCCCTCCCGCCAGGCCCACCGTCGACCATCGATCGCGATGGCACCCGGGCGACCAGCCGCGCGAGGCTGCTCGTCCTGCAGCCCTGCCAACACCCGCGTACTGCTTCCCAAAACCCTCTTCTCGCTTCCTCGATCTCGATTTTCGATTCAGACGGCGAGATTGGCACGCCCCGCCCCGCCCGCGCAGATCCCACCAGCCCAGCGAGGCAACGTCCGATTCCATTAACTTAGTCAGCCCTCCCAGCCCTCCGACGCCCTAAGGCCGCGCCCACCACGCCTTCTCCATCCGCATCTGGCAGCGATCTTCGCAAACTCCGCCTCCGAGCCACAATCTTGCCCGTATCGGACCATGCGTCCAATCGCACACACTGCGCCTCGTCTCCGTCCACCCCATGACTCCCACCGCGCGCACGCCGTCTACTCGTTCCATCTGCACAACCCAAAACGAAGGGTCCGTCAGCATCGCCTGTGCACGCCAACAACGTTGGCCGCAGAACCAGAAGCACTTACGCAACCAAGAACATGCACCCCACACCAAAGAACATCGCTGCAAACTGTATGGTGCGCGGTCCGGCGTGAGCACGGAAGACGGCGATGTACGATGCGCAATCACCTCCCGCAGTGCTTGCTTGCCGCTCTTGCTGTCCTCCAGCAGCCTGTTCCCAAATCGATCAGCTCAATGCACGCGCACGACGACCTATGAGCCGTACGTACGTGGGCAACACGGCCACAGCACCGATATACATGAACCCTCCCGCCACGAACGGGATCACCTGCATTTCGGCGGCCCTGAGTTATCCTTCCGCAGTGTTCTGGATAGTTGGAACCTACAAGGTCCGCCAGCTGCACAGTCGTACCCAAGAGACCGGCAGCCGTCTGCCGAAGCGCAGCGGCGTAGTTGGACGCTTCAGCCTCCACATCCCCAGCCGCGGACAGGTTGCGAATGCCGATGCCCATGAAGGTTCTGTCCCCCGGCCAAGGAGAAGACGTCAGCGTGGTTGCAGCGGCGGACGCGCCATACTAGATAGAGCAGTGCGTACCCGACCTAGTGGTGACATGACCGGCGTTTTCATAAAGTCAGCTCTCAGGCCCATCGGACATCACCGGTGCGCGGAAAACAGAGGGACGCCGGTGCGGGCGGCCCAGCGCGGGACCGCGCACAAAGCAGGGCAGCCACGTCCAGCGCAGCGACAGCAGGGATCATGACGTACGAATGCTCCGACGGCGGTCAAGAACTGCGACTGCATGGCCTGCTTCTTGGTGAATCCACTCCGGATAAGGATCGAGTAGTCGGCGATTTCGTGTGGGATCTCGTGTGCGAAGCACGCGAGGGTCGTCGTTGCCCCGATGAGCGGCGAGGAATAGAAGGACGCCGCCATGCTGCAAAGGACATTGATTCATGTCAGACGTGCGCCCATCGACCGCGGGGCGAACGTGCGACGCCTCGGGGCGGGCAACGAGGGGGACGTACGCGAGTCCATCAGTTCTACGAAGAAGCAGGGGCCCTTGGTGAGCGCGAGCCGGCGGCGGTCGAACGGCCCTGCGGAAGACTTACATGTTGTGTACGAAGTCGCCAAACAGGTTCAGGTACGCAGACAATTTTGAGGTCTGCTTCGGAGCGTCGTGCGAATCCCCGGCGGCACCGTGGCTCGCCTCATGCTGATCTGACTTTGAACGGGCCTTGAGACCGCTGGCGTCTGATGACGAGGACACTGCAGTGGAGTGACCGTTCGCGCTATCGGCCGACGGCTGCGCGTGCGAGTGCGAGTGGCTATGTGAATGGCCGGCGCCCTCCTCATCCCCACCCAATACCCGGAGCGTTTTTTCCATGATAAAGAACGAGGCAAAGCCGACGAAGATGCCCAGCCTGCGATGGGTCCATGCGCGGGTAGGACGTTCCAATGAGCAAATCGTGCACACGCGTGGGGAGAAAAGGTCTGCAGAAGCCTGCAGGACCGTACGTCCACGTACCCGATCAGAATGTTGCGCTTTTCCTCGACCATGAGGAAATGGACGCCGTCATCTTGGTGTTCGCCCATAAACGAGTGTGGGACGAGGTGGAGGAAGACGTCCGAAAGAAGACCGCCCGTCTGGAGCACAAGGATAGCCGGGACTCATGTCAGTGACACATGCTCGTCCGATGGAACGCGGCGGAATGTCGGACAGGAGCCCCGCGTACGTACCGCGAAGGCGGTCATGGTGTTGAGGGTGCTCGGGTTGATTTGCGCAGGGATGAACGCGAGGATGAAGTTCGGTACTCTGCGCGGCGCGCCGGGAGTTGCATGGTCGCCGACAGAGCAGAGCACAGAATTCGCTCGTCAGCGCGGGGAAGGTGGCAGAAGATCGACGGAAAGGGTACGGACGAGGAGATGTAGAACGTTCCCAAGACTGCCGAAAGCGAGGACGTCAGTCATAGTCACCGGGCGCGACGCAGCGAGCACGTTCGTGGCCATGAAGAAGGCGGGACAAGACAGCAACGCACCAGAGTTCCACCCGGGACCGAATGGGAAAAGCCACGCGAAGACGGTGCGCATGATGGGTGACTGCGCCGACTCAAGCTCCTCCTTCAGGGCGCCAAGGCGCTGTATAGGCTCGCATGCTTGAATGTCTGCGTCCTGGCGCGCGCGAAGGAGGGAGTGGTTGAATGCGAGTGAGACGGTCGTCGTGGGCGCGGGGAACGAGGGAGGCGGTCAATACAACCGTGTCCGCACTGTCACACGTGCGGCCAACTCGGGAATGTACACGTACCGAGACGACGAGGGCGGCCTTTCCAGAACCCGCGAGGTGCGAGGAACCCGCCGCGAGGCTGGCGGCGAGTGCGAGGAGGAGAAGTGTCCGACGGTACGAGCGCGGGACAGGCATTGTCGGCGACGATGGCAAGCTGCTTGCTGAGGGCGGCTCGCGTCGACGATGTGGCACCGTCAGCGCTTCGCTTCATCTGCCCGCGCCCGCCGGCGGCTGTGGCCATCGCAGACTCTGAGACTCTCGAGATCGGTCGCGTACAACGATGACTCCGCGCTCATCTTCATCACCAACCACCTCCAGGCGGCCGCGACGCACCACCTTTCCTCCGAGCGACCACCATGACCGCGACTTATCCCACCGAGCAAGAGGCCGTGTTGGTCGCGGCCGCTGAGCAGCTCATGGTCTCCACGATGGCGAGGTACGATCCTTCGCACGACGCGTACCACGGTCAGGCTGCCATTTCTCTCCTGTTCCCACGACCCGTCGGTCTCATGCGCCCCGCCTGCAGTCCGACGCGTTCGTAAGACGGCACTTTACCTTGCGCGTGCCGTGTCCCCATCGCTGCCCCAAGACAAACAGCCCGACATGCTCGTCGTCGAACTCGCCGCGCTCCTCCACGACGTGCTCGACAAGAAGTACGTCTCCGCCGAACAAGCCGCGGACCCGTACGGGTATTTCCGTCCCTACTTTGAGCAGTGGGCGGCGGAGAGTGGGCTGGCTCTTGTCGCGGACGGGCGCGCGGAGCTCGTCGCGCGTGTGGTCGACAATGTGTCCTGGACGACGGAGAAGAAGCGGCTCGCGGCAGGTGGGATCGGGGACTGGCATCGCGAGTGCGTGGAGCTCCATTGCGTGCAAGACGCAGACAGGCTCGACGCCATTGGCGCGTTTGGTGAGTCCTCCGTCTACGACGTGCGCGACTGGAGGTGACACGCGCGCGTACGAAGGGATTGTACGTTGTGCTGCGTTCTCGGCTGCGACGAACCGGTGCGTTCTCCTCACCCCGCTTTTCTGTGTCTTCCTGATTTTGGCACTGTTTAGCGTGCTGCATGCTCCACAAGACGATCCTGTACATGATCAGACGGCCGTCGCACATTTCTATGACAAGCTTCTGCACATTCGTGAGAAGTTGAAGACAGAGCCTGGCAAGAAAATGGCGGAGAAGAGACATCAGCTGGCAAGTCCTACTACTGGTCATTCTCGGCTCGCACTAACAGCCTTTAGATGCTTGACTTCCTGCAAGGCATTGACGAGGAGTACGAATCGCGTGTGTAAGAGATTTATGCCCGGTCCTTCAACAGGTCGTGGCAGTTACAGAACCCAGTGCCGTATCTTCGCGATTACCCCCTCCATTGCTATACCATCGAGTCTGCTATCATGTGGACGAGGACATCCTGTTTGCGCACCTCCACTGTTACAATGTAAACCAGGTATATGTCATTATGTACATGGACTGCATTGCTTCGAGCAATGCACCCACGATTACGCGACGCTACAATACACATCAGATACGCTACAAGGCGGGTCAATAACGATACAGTGTTCGCAACTGTCCGGCAAGCGTCACAGTGCGGGTCCGGACATAGAGAGCGCGTGAATTGTCATGTCCGTTCGTGCTCCTAGAGCGCAGTCTTGCTCGACTTGAACGTCGGCGGCTCCGGCGACCCTGCGCGAGAGCTCTCAGCAGACCGAGGCTGCTGGGCATACCGAGGGAGGCTCCCGACGGGCTTGTTGAGGAAGAACCCTGCGCACGCAACTCTTATCAGCGTCTCCCGAGAACAAAGCCGACGATGGACGTACCCCGCTGCGCCGCCTTCTTCTCCCCCTGCCGACCGAACCCGAGGCCCTTCTCGCCGTGCTCGGCCTCGTCCGCCTTGGCGCCCTTGAAGAACCCGCCGACGAACTCCTCGGCGGGGCGCACGAACTGCGGGCGGAGGTCGCGCACGTCGCCGCCCTTGCCGTACAGCGGGAGGACGCTCTTGCCCTCCTCGCGCCACGAGAGCAGCGCGCGCTTCGCCTTGACGCGCTCGCGGAAGAGGCCGAGGAACATGTTGACGCACCCGAGCGAGAAGAGGAAGAAGGCGGCGACGAGCGTGAAGTCGTCGACGTGGTGCGAGAGGATCGTGGCCCCGATGAGGCACTGGAAGATCCCGAGCGCGCCGAGCCCGAAGTCGGGGCCGAGCACGGGGAAGTACTTGGCGAAGAAGGAGGACGGCCAGCCGACCTCGGCGAGGATGAGGACGACGACTTGGAAGATGATCAGCAGCCGGTTCACGACCGCCCAGAACACGCCTGCGGGCTGGTTCGGGACGGTGGAGCCTCTGAGGGGGTGTCAGGACGGGGTGCGGGTGTCTCGCGCAGAACGAAGGACGCACTCGATGTAGTCGCAGTCGGCCATGTCCGAGCTGGGCTGGGACATGGAGCGGTTGACGGCTTGGACATCGTTGACGAGGACAAAGATGCTGCTCGCGAAGACGAGCAACAGGGAGATGATGCTCAAAGCGCGGACGACGTTGAGGCCGATGAAGATGTCTGTTGATAATCAGCACGGTCCCGTATCGAAGGAAGCGCACAACTCACAAGCACGAGGAGGAAGCATTCTGAGAACTTTGAACGTTGACGGATCGTGGTACTAAGTCGGAGAGGATGTGATGGAAGCCCGACAGAGAGAGCGTAAAAGCGAGTCGTCCCAGTTAACTGTAGAGAGCGTGATGGCCGTGTGCAAGAACAGAAGCCGTGAATGAGGGAGACTGGAGGAAAGTGGGGCGACCAAGCACCCGAAACGAGAAAGTTGAGGTGAGGCTGAACGCCTTGAAGGACGTCGGACGGGAGAGACCTGACTGGTGGTGGACCACCTGTGTGCCACGCGTCCATTGCTCTTTATGGTGCGCCACAATGGGCATGGCTTGTTTGGCTGCATTGTCGAGGCTGCTATTGTTCACCGTGGCGGAGGCAAAGACAATAGGCCGCGCTTAGCGCTCAGCGCTCAGCGGCGACAACACCTGCCTTTTTTGGCTATTACCTCAGCCTACCACGTCATTCGCACAGCGCTGGGGGCTTCGGCGAGCCGTCGCCCGGACGCCCCCCTCGTGTCCACGTCTGGCATCGAAGCACACGAGAACAACAAGGTTGGAAATGGATGGCAACTCGGATCAAAGGGGTGAACGTTTGAACGGTGAACGTCCTGAATTTGTCACAAATTATCGATACAACGGGCATTAGCCGTACGTACAGTCCATCCGAAGCCGAGTGTAGTCTATGAAGGGGTATCTGTCCGTAAGAAGCACAAGACCAGAGTTGTATCATCTACATAGAGCCTGGGAGATGTAGAACGGTCCGATAGTAGAGGTTGGTGCATGAGCAGCTGTAGTTTCTGGACGCTGGTCCCGGCCGCCAGGTTCCCGAGAACGTCGACCGCTCGATTGCCGATCGCACCACTCCAATGTGGATCAACCTCGTGCCCCAAGACATCGCCCACCGATTCGTCGACTTCGTCTTGAAGTAGTACGGATATTGCCCGTGAAGCGACGATGTCCGTAGGTCGATGCGGATGGAGGTACGAGCAGCCGCGCACGAGATTGTCGATACCATTGGAGTACACCATGATCACGGGATGTTGATCCCAAATTGGTTGTAGATCAATAAACCGGACCGATGGGTCGGCGGTTATGTAGGGGGGAGTGAGGATGTTCTTCGTAATCTTCCGACTGAGAGGTGGTATTCCATACATGGTGAGGTGGCGAAACAGGTTTGTAGAGTAACTGGCGTCAAGTTTATAGGCGTAATCACCTATACCTGCGGCGACCACAAACAGTAAGTAATGGTCCACATATCCGACAGACATGCTCACTCCGTGACATTGAAAGATCGCTCAATATTCGGCCGCCACGGATGACATGAGGCTCCCCGGGGTGCTTGCGAAGAATTCTCTTGCGTTCCCGAGGATTTGTCAACACATGCAAGGCGCAGGGCTCATGCACCCAGCGTTTTCCATTGGCGTCGGCAGTAGACAGAGCTGAAGAAGTGTCATCGACCTTGTGCGAAAAGCCACCTATATGCGCACTCACCCACGGTCGAGTCGCCGACATTAATGGCCCACATGAGCCGGTAGTCGACATTCACTATGGTAGCTGCCAAGGTGGTCCCTGCGCAGGCGCGCCACAGTACGTCGCCGTATTCCAGGACAATCCCACGAGTTTGGTTCTCTGTGAGTGCTGTGGGGTCCGGACAAACGGTGCGTACAACCTCGCCGAGCTCGCGGTCGAACTCCCTCACACAACGTCGCAGTTCCGCAGTGACATTCGCGGATTTCTTGAGCATGTTCTCGCGATCGAGCTTGCCGCGCCACCCCACCGATAGCGTACGCTCTATAGTGGCGCGTAGGCGGTTTGGGAGGTGCGAGGCCGTGTGACGGGCCGTGCTCGCTCCTCCATGGCCTACACGACGCAGGAGATGTTCGAAAGCCTGGAGGGGTTGAGTGAGCAAAGTGCACGTACCATCACAGACCGCAAGTACCAGCCACTCCTGCCCGCGTATATGGTATCGCTGCACTACCAGACGATCTTGGTTTTGCCTGCTCGCGAGGGGCTGAAAGGTGGCAGAGTGGACCCGGACGCCGCGGCTGAAGGCGACGTTGCTGCATGAGTAGTACCTAGCCAGTCTCTTGCGGAGCTCGTCGAGGCTGGACATGCAGGTAGAGCGTAGGGGGAGAGAGTGGAGAGCTGCGCGCCATCGTGGGTGCTTGGTGGGTATTCGTGCTGGGAGACGATGGGCACACCGCCCGGGATGATGATTTCGGAGACAAGCAGGGAGACAACCGGCGCTTCGCCACTTATGATCTAGCCTGCGCCCGGACCGGACGGCTCTCAGCTCTCGCGTAGATCACTGCTCCTTGCCTTTTTGCCATCACCTCCACAACGCCTGCCACAAAAATCTGCTTGCGCAGCCGCCCACGCGATGTCAGACTCCAAGAGAAAGGCAGACGGAAAAGATAGGGGCAGGAGACGATTCCGCACTGTGAGTCCATGAATCATCACTTTCCATTCCAATCGTACAACATCTCCACAGGATGGCACCCCTATCTGGGGGCAGAGAAGCATTGACGGACCCGGCGTATGGGTGACCTGTGTCAAAGGGAAGGAGAAGCAGGCCGTTAGCGAACTGTATGAGGTGTTCGAATCTGTGAGCAGGATGATCAGGCTTTGTATCTCCGGTGTTCTGACGTGCGCGATCGCACAGCTTGCAAATAGACTTTGGCCACAGAAGGGACCCTCAGATGGGAAGGATCCTGACGAGTCTGACGAGGATGGCGGCGGAGGGGCGGACGACCTGGAGAACCAGATTGCAAAGGAGCTCGCGTCCATGAAGCGGCCGAGGAGAGAGACAAGGTTCGGTATGTCTTTTGCACCACATCGGCTCCATCAAGACTCACGTGGTGACTGTAGCTAACTGCCTCACGAATACCCCCTGTGGTGAGTGTCAATCAGATTTTACGCTGGACTGTCCGTCTGAATGTCACGGTAGTGGTGTTCATCTCCTGCAAATCACCGGTTGATCCCGTGATGCTCGTAGCCACGCTTGTGCAAGACGTCCTTGACACGGGTGTCACGAACACACGGTACGAGTCCTCTAGTCTCTGTGGCATCTCGGTCTCATAGCCCGAAGCTTCTCTCAGCGCCTTACTCCTGTCTCTGCGAGCTGTGCAGCGAACATACCAGAAATACAATCGTTGTGTACACGAATCGTCAAGGCAGCGCTGTCGCCTGAACCGTCGGACAAGAAGTTCACGGTGAGAGCTTCTTCGCCTGAGTGTCCACATGGCTTGCTGAAAACGCCGTAGTACAAGATCGAACTGCGCATACGGAATCACAACACGCTCAAGCGGGACACACTGATCCCTGAGATTGCAAAATGTGTGCCAGAAGGGCACACAGTCTCTCTGGGCAGTCCCGAGCTGTTTATCCTTGTCGAGATCTTTAAAGTTTGCGTTCTCTCGGTCTTGTTGTCATTGAAACTCACATATTATACAGAGCGTATGCGGCGTCAGCGTGGTGAAGGACTACTACAAACTACAAAAGTTCAATATCATGGAAATCGCAAATGCTAAGAACTTAGGCGACGAAGGAGCTGAGGGGCGTATTGCCAACAAAGTAAAAAGGCCCAAGCTTACGGATGCTGAAGACTCTGAAAGAGCTTTGAATGGTCAGGAAGAATAGAGGAATAGTTATTATTATGTACGTTATTGTAACTTGAGTGCCTACAGCGTGCTTGAGAACAAAGGCGAGATGACGTCTGTCCCACGCGAGACCAGCTACAATGTATGATTGTTCATAGTGTTGAGCGTTTTGTGGTGAGCAGCCAGTTTTATTTCTCCGAAAGACAGTCGCAGAATTTCCCCCTCCACTATAGTAGTCAAACACACCGACATGAACAAGTACCGCTTCGATCTGATCTGGTTGCCGTATCTGGGTCGACATACCCTGCGCGTGGTCGACGGTGGTATAGTGACGGGCATTTGTTGTGGAGGAAGAAAAAGGAGATACGAGGACGTCTCACAAGGTCCTGGAATCAAAGTTGTCAGTTACGAAGTAATGAGGGACGGGTGGTAACAAAAGAGAAACTTGAGACGAACCTAATTGCCGTCGAAGAAGAGGACAGCGTTGGGGAACTCGACCTTGATGACGTCGTTCCAGAGCCACTCGATGGGGGTGCCGTATGTGATGTCGGAAGAGTGAGCCGACCCAGTGCCGCTAGTGAGCTGGGCCACGAAGTCGTTGTTAGCACCAACGATGGCAACCCCAGAGTCACCACCTCGAGAGAAGGGACCCGAGTCACTGTCGTACGGGCACACCGCCATCCCAACCGAGTCGAAGTTGCCAAAGAGGCTGTAGCGGCGTTCGCGCGACTCGAAACCATTGAGACGGCCGACGGTGGTGCGCGTTGTCTGGCCGCGCTTGATGACGAAGCGGGTCGGGTCGCCCTTTATATCTTGACTGTCGGGCTCCCTGGTCTGAGCGGCGGCGAGAATAGTTTGAATCAGATAGAGGCGATCCTCAGGGTAGTCAAACTCGGAGGGTGCGTCGTAGCGAGGGCACAGGAGACTCATAAACTTGCCGGATTCGATCTCAGTGCCTAGAATATGAACAGTTGAGTTGGGCACTTGCAGTCGGCCGGGTCAGCACTCACCGAGATCGATCGCGTTGCCCCTCAAGTTCGGCATGAACTTGCGCTTGTTCAACTTGATGACGCACACGTCGCATGTGTACCCGTGAGGGGGGTTGAGGCCGGTGATGGGCGGGGGACCAGACGACGTGGCCGATGACGCGGTCGTCGGCAGCAAACCAGTCTCTCTTCAACAGCGCCCAAAACTTCCTGAGCTCCACTATCGTCGCCTCCGTGTCGTTCAGGTTCTGCTGATACGTTGCCAGGTCCTTCGCCGCCTGTTCGTCGCCGCCACTCGCCTTCTTCGTGTACGCCTTCACTCTTTTGTTCAAGACGACGACGGTGTTCTTCAGCGTTCCAATGAGGGCTTGAATGGACGCAAGGAGGTCATCAAGGGCCTTATTGCCCATGAGAACGACGTTCTTCTTTGGAACAGCTGTGTAGGCGTGGTCAGAATCCGGCTCACCTCCTGCAAGGAGAAATGGGAAACGAACGCACAGGAGTTGTAGCGGTAGAGGGCATTGCCCTCCGTGTCGGGGAACAACACGTGGCGTGCGGTGACGCCATAGAGGTCCTCACCGATCTTAAAGTAGAAGCCAAGGGTGCCTTGCATATGTAGCGTCCTCAACCCAGCGATGGGCAAGCTAAGAGAAGTCGTTACCCAGTCGATGACGCCCTTCAGAGGATGGAGGTCGTTGACTGGGGCGTAGAGGATGGGACCAGCGAGAGGCCAAGCCTCCGACTCACGATAGGCGACGTCGACATCGTCGATCTCGTGCTTCTTGAGAAGCTGGAGAATGTCCTGGGTGCAGTTGAATGCGGCGTCGCCGTTGGTGCTGTCGGGAAGGACGCCAATCCAAATGGTGGCGAGACTAGTAACCGCCTTGGTGCGACTATCCTCGCTCTGCTCCTCCCATCTGAAGCGAACGAGGTCGACCGAGGTGTATTTGATGTCTTTGCGGTCGAGGAGTCCGGCCGTCTTGGGAGGAATATTAGTCCGCAGGTTGCTACGCTTTAAGAAGGTTACGAACCCCGTCACGGATTACTTCCCACAAGTTGTCCTGGCCGAGTTCTTCATACCCGTGAACGGTGAGGAGCTGCATTTTGCGCAGGTCTTGCGATGGCCCGGAAGGTGGCGAGAAGATATCAGTGGACGTCCGATAGATCAGTTTCGGAGCATGCTTCCTATCGCCACGAATTCCTTGGTAGTAAAGATAGGCTTCGAGCTTGGAGACGCCATGGCGCGAGGAGTCGACCCAAGTCAGGCTGGAGGCGTCGTCGTCGTCCCACAGCTTGAGGTGCTCGTTGGGCGAGGAACCGCTTGGGCCGACCAAGTGACGCTTGGACTGCGTGTCGCAGTCCCGATCGAAGCCTTCACTGAAGACATACTGAACCCAGTCGATGGCTAGAAGAGGGTATGAGCGGGTCAGTATAGAGAGAGATTGATAAAGTGCAAAGGGACTCGCATTTGTTAGCTCCAGACATGGCGAGAAGTAGAACAGTCGACGAAGAACAGAGAGGGACCGCGTGGTACGTGAATAAGTCTTGATGATCGCACGCGGGGCAGAGAGGAAGAGAAGGAAAGTGAGAGCTGCGTTGCTCGCTACTAGACGACAGTGCGTGAACTAAGTGCTACTGGAGACAGGAGATTGGACACTGCCATCATGGGCGTGTCGGGAACAAGTAATGCGGAGCGTAACAGAATGAATCAAGTGTAATGGACACATAGCAATGGAAAGGCGCGCGGATGGTGGGTGTACGGCTAATGACACTCCATCACTGCGGCCAATTCTGAAGCTGAGCGCTGAAAGCGCCTGCCGCGCCGCGCATCATCAAACACCCCAATTTGGCCCCGATGGCAGTCCGGGCCAGTGAGCCGGATTTTGGTGAATGTATTTCTTGTCAAACGTGTGCAAGGTGCATTCTCCTACTCCTCAAGGCGTCGCGGATGATACTGACAATATAGAGGCTCCCTGGTCCGCCTCTACAGATAACAGCGCTCCAGGTATCTCCGGGGCGGGCCGACGAGGCAGACTCAGACCCTCAACGGGCGCTTAAAGTGACGAGACCCCTTGCCACTCGCTAATACTGATCTTTCTAACACTTCCAAGCCTCCTGGTCCCCGCACCTCGCGTCCTGCACCTAGCCACAGCAACGGCACTGCGCGGTCAGTGTCCCTCCCAACTCACAATTCACGACCCCACACGGTCTCGCTGCTACCATGGGTGACCTCGTCGATTCCATGCTTGATCTTATGCGGCGTCTACCGCCTACCCATGTCGAGGAAAACGTCGCCTCCCTGGTGGCCATGTGCCCGGACTACGCGGACGACCTCCTGGGTAGCGTGGACCAGCCGCTCAAAGTGATGACGGATCGCGCGACGGGGAAGGAATATCTTGCTTGTGACTACAACAGGGATGGTGACAGCTACAGGTGCGTGCGCCGCTGGGTGCATCCATGTATGCGGCGTCCTGAGCCTCTTGCAGGTCGCCATGGTCGAACGAGTACGACCCTCCGCTCGAGGATGGGACAGTCCCTTCGTCCAAGCTCCGCAAACTAGAAATTGCGGCGAACGAGGCGTTTGATACCTATCGTGAAATGTACGTCTGTCTCCTTTGTTTGCGTACCCCATCTCCGACACTTGCCTCTCCTGCATGCAGGTACTACGAGGGCGGTGTCTCGTCAGTCTTCTTATGGGATCTTGACGATGGCGGGTTTGCTGGCGTCGTGTTACTTAAGAAAGGTATGTCTCTCATACTCGTGGTCGGCTCATTTGCTGAACTCCTAACAGCGCTGGTATCCACCGCCCCAGGAGAGCCGTCAGGCTCCTGGGATTCCATCCATGTCTTCGAAGCAGCAGAGCGCGGTCGCCAGGCGCACTACAAGCTTACTTCCACCGTCATGCTCCAGATGGTCGACCGCGCGGCGTCCGCACGCGGCAAGGACGAGGGTCTGGTCGGCGTGCGGGGAAAGCTGGGCGCGGACAAGGCGGAGGAGGGCAAGCGGGACGGGGAGGTGACGTTGAGCGGGAGCATGACGCGTCAGCAGGAGCAGGACTGGCCACTGCAGGACCACACGTCGCACATCTCGAACACGGGCCGGATGATCGAGGAGATGGAGATCAAGATGCGGAACCTGTTGCAGGAGGTGCGTGTGCTCATCAGGCGCGATGGAGGTTGCTGGACTGGTGTTGATTATCTGCGCGCGTTGGGATCTAGGTCTACTTTGGCAAGACACGCGACGTGGTGTTCGACCTGCGCTCGCTCGACGACCTGGAGAAGGCCCGCCGCCAGCGCGAGCTGCAGAAAGAGCTCGTTGGATTCATCAAGCGGTGATGTGTGGATGGGTAGCTCAGTTGAGGAAGTAATGGCAGGATTTATACGAAGTTGTACGGTTGTGTACGGATTCTCTCGAGTCGCTCTCTCAGGATCGTTGACCTTGTCCTCTGCCAGATAGCACGCTTGAACCCAGTGTGTCCACGCTATCCACCGTATCTTCGACGGACTTGTCACTGGATCAAGCTTGCCAAACATCGAGGTCGCGGTATGCTTGGCGACGAGCAAGGTCCGCGCTCACGTGGATAATTCAGTCTACGGACCCCCGTGCGAGCTTCTCGAACTGCTATCACGCGTGATGAAGGCGGGCGAAAAACACCGACGACCGTACTGACGTTCCTGAGATTTAGTTGCATCCAGTCAAACGAACATGGGAAGGAACGCGATATGCGTGCCCCTCGTGGTACACAAGTGACAAGCGAGCCCCGCATTCTCCGCATTCACGCTCCGCGTGACCCTCGCGCGTCATTTGGCCTCTGGCAACACGATTTGCACGCCATCTGTTCAGCTGGCTTGCAGTATTTAACGCGGTCGCTGCGTGACTGCGTGGCACTTGGTGTGCAGATATTTGTATGTTCGAGGTGAGTTCCATGCAAGACTAGGTCTTACACTTGTCGAACTCATGCTCCCATTGCCGGACTGCGCTTTCGTCGGCCGCCGTTCTCGCTTCGAACCTTGCCGGTCCGCGTGAGGTGTACGTCATTGATCTGATCGTGAGTGTGCTTCCTCAACTTCCGGACCATATTCACCGCTGACACTGCCAGTGATTGCGCTATTCAAGGCCGACTGGGGCCGGAGCACTCTTCTCGACCCTAGATCCTCACTTACCCAATCGTGCGCGATATGCTTCACGTGCTCCATACAGGACACGGTGACTTTGCGGATAAGTAGCTTCAGAGCCGGTAATATTTAAGGCGTGAACGTCCTCCAGCCCCCTGCTTCCCCGCTCTTCCTCGATTGCTCCCCGGTCACCGGAGGTTCCAACAGCCGCTCCAGGACAACCCGTCGCTGCTCCGCTTTCAATTCCTATGTCCGAGAAGGTCGGTGTCGTGCGCTCCACCAGTTTGGAGAAGGACAGAGTCTCGGTAGAAGAGAACGTCGGCGGGCCCCCGAAACAGCTGGCATATGGCGGAGACGACAAGTTGCCCCCGCCCCCCACGCTCACTGCGGAAGAGGAGAAGAGACTCTGGCGCAAGATCGACATGCGCATCTTGCCGATCCTGACGCTCATGTATCTATGCTCATTCTTGGACCGAGGGAACATCGGTGCGATGTCTTGTCTCTCCGATGATGTTGACGTCTCGAGGCTCACGTCTGACTCAGGGAACGCGAAGCTGCAAGGTTTAACGACACAGTTGAATCTAACCGGTGACAAGTACAACATTGCTTTAGTGAGTATCGTCTGTCGGTGGATGCGTAGCCACAACGACTGACTATCGTCTCTCAGACCATGTATTTCATTGTACGTACATTTGTTTCGCATGAGGGAAATATCATCTCAAAAAGATGCTTAGCCTTACTGTATCTTTGAATGTCCGGCAAAGTAAGCCACCCGCAACTCCTCACATCTTGATGGCTTCTTAACCTGGTTCTTCTGCTAGCTTCTTGTTGAAGAAGTTCAGGCCATCGCGGTGGCTTCCAGGGATAACGGTGAGCCATCCGCTTTCTTGCAGATTAGAAATCTCATAACGCATCCTAGCTTTTGTGGGGCGTCATTATGTCAGTGCTGTACCTGCCAACTTTACGAGCTCTCGACTCAGTAGCTATTCTCTCAGGACGCTCATGGGGCTTGTAAAGAAGTTCGTCCTTCCATCCGCCCCACCTTAATACCGTCTAAGGGTTCGTTGTTAGCTATCCGCAACTCGTCGGAACCCGTGTCTTGTTGGGCGTGGCGGAAGCGGGCCTGTTCCCTGGCGTGGTATACTAGTACGTTCCCTTGACGAAGTGCTCGGTCAATAGTCCCCTGTTGAATATCACCCGGCACAGTCTCTCCCTTTGGTATCCGCGGCACAAACTCCAATACCGGATCGGACTTTTCTACGGTGGAGCGAGTCTGGCTGGCGCCTTCTCTGGGCTGCTGGCTTTCGCTATCTCGTTCATGTCCGGCACTGCTGGCCTTCTGGGATGGTCATGGATCTTCGTAAGTTCACTGAAACGCCTGTCATGCGTAAGGGCGTTTTTGACCGGCTGCGCCTAGATTCTTGAAGGCATCCTTACGGTCATCGTTGGATTCGTGGCTTTCTTCGGTGCATTTTCCCTGGGTTCAATCCAAGGCGGGTCATTGCTGACCGAGACTTGTAGTTCTCGTCGACTTCCCTCACACGGCTACTTTCTTGACTTTGGAGGAGCGGGCGTGGGTTGTTCATCGGAAGAGTATGACTTTCCGTTCTCTCGACACTTCTCTTGATGTTTACGACTTTATGCCCAGAATACGACAACTCGTCTGTCGGCGAAGAGGAGCATTTCGAGTACAGGCATATTCGGGAAACCTTACTCGACTGGCAAATCTGGTTGCACATTCTCCTCTACATGTCCATCGTGGCGCCAGGCAAGTGTCCCGCTTTTCAGAGTCTGGCCTTCTGGCCTTATCATTGTCCCTAGTATACGGAATCTCCCTGTTTTTGCCGTAAGTCCGTGTCGTTTATGCAAGTAGCCATAGCTCATCGCACCCTCAACAGATCTATCATCAACGGGTAAGGGTCTTCTACCCAACAAATCGATTTTCTAGAGTTCATGGGCGTCGCATTTAGTTTCGGATTCAGCACTGCAATCTCTCAGCTGTTGACCGTCCCGGCCTACCTTCTTGCAAGTACGTCCCGCACGTCCTACGAACGTGTTGACCTCTTCCAGCAACTAACGTGTTGCGTTGCGTTCAGCAATCGGCGTTATCACCTGCGCGTACTGGTCCGACAAACTCCAAATTCGTTGGCCTTTCGTGCTCGCAGGACTCATCACATGCATGGTCGGCTTCGGGATCAACGTCGCCAATGTGCCAATCGGAGTCAAGTACTTTGGGACTTTCCTTTGTGTTATCGGCGGTTATTCCTCATTCCCTGGCATCGTCGCTTGGTGCGTAGTCCATCGAATTCCCAAAAGTTCTTCCACGGCTAATCCTTCACTCAAGGCTCGGGAATAATCTCGCGGGGCACTATAAGCGTGGGCTCGGCATGGCCCTGCACATCGGGATTGGCAACTTCTCGGGGGCAATTGCAAGCAATGTATATCGCAGCGGAGACGCTCCCCGGTACATTCTTGGCCGTGAGCTCATTCTGTTTGTCTCTCAACGCTCACGACTGAGGTCGGTGGTCTACAGACAGCCTCGAGATGATGTTCGTGGCCATCGGACTGATCACCCTGCCCATCATCGTCATCTCGTACAAACGCATCAACGCCCAACGTGACGCCGCCATGAAAGAGGCCGATGAACGTGGTATCAAGTATTCTCCAGAAGAGCTACGCAGGCTCGGAGATCGTGCGCCGGACTTCCGGTACACGATTTAACGCTACTCGTTGGTTCAAGGCACTTGAAGCTTCAGCACTTATTTGAAACTAAGACCTGTACGACTATGCATTGACGAAATTACATGACGTTTACCCATGACCGCCCAATGGTACCATCTACCTAGATGTCGGAGAATTCCGGCGTCTCCAAAGACCATCTATGAATCGAAGGTTGCGCTCTAGACACTCCCTCTTCCTGGATGTATACTATCCAACGGATGGCCGCGATTGAACGACAGCTCACCATATGAGTTCAACGACATTTCCGAGTTTCCAGAGAGCGACGCATAAGCCTCATGAAGATCGAGCATGAAACGACACGTAAGGATGGCATGCAAACTGAACATCACATACGTAGGAATCATCAGCACCGGAACCTTCGCGGGAAATGAACGAATTCACGTACGTTGTCGCAAGCCCAAGCAGCGAATCGTGGAACTACGATAGTATTCATTAGATCAAGTGACATAGATCACCTCGTAACGTACCTCGGGGTAAGCTGATGAGACTGGATAGCAAATCAAGTTCACAACCGTTAAAGCACTGGAACGTGCGAGTAAAGCTCAGACAAGCTTGACAGATGAAAACCACGGGACACTTGCACAAAATTGATGGCACCTACATCATGAAGGCGCGTCAATCCTCCGAGTCCTCGTGACTTGATTCTCAAGAGGGCTTACCGTCAACAAACAAAGTGGTCTCCAGCTTTCCAGAGAACCCCTCGATGCGAGCATTGGGTCGAACCCGTCGCCAAGTGAACGAAAAGACGGAGAGATTGGTTGCGATTGCCGTCGAATGTCCGATCCATCCGCTCGCTGTAGGGTGGATGAGAGCGGAACGCCGTATTTATTTTACCAGGCAAGGCTCACTACTATGCGAGCATGTCAACGAAAAGAAACAAATCATTGGGCAATACTTACGCGCGCCTCGAAACTTCCGCGATGGTGAGCATCAACTGAACGTGCTCGACAGTGTGAGTAGACTTGGGTATTGAGACGGTCAGAATATTGTGCGCACTCACAATTTCCGTGATAGGGAACACCATTCCCAAGGCGACGATGGCGTGCAAGATTCGCAAATCTTTCCCGCATAAAGCAGCGGTGCGAAGTGCAGTGAACACTACCAGCAAAATGTGGGCTCAACGCGTCGCGTGCATCTTGGTGCATGGGACTCACCGACCGCGACCACGTTCAAAACTATTCTACTAGCCACCTTCGTGTCTACAATGACAGAGTAAACTCTACTTTCCGGACCCTTCAAACAACTTGTTTAGTCGACCACAAGGGCATGTTTTCGGAAATGAGTCACTCACGGTGCTGGAGTTCAGTCGGACGTGGTACTCTGACCATATGACTGCGGTCATGGTCATGGTCATCGACAAGAACAACAAAAGCCGCATCAGCATATAATGCATCGCGGCTATGGAGTTCATCCGCGGCCAGATGTAAGACTTTTCGCGATGAAGGGCGACAGCGGTTTCATATAAAGTCAACGCTATCATTAACAGGGGTCAGCTTCGAAGGACCCTTGGGCTGTAGTAGCGGAGGCGTAGAGACCGACCTATGCACGCCGTGTCCACGTATTGGGGGGCCGTCTCCATTGTTGGGCCTTGGAACGTGGAGAGCGTATCGGCGGCGAAGAAAGAAGCGAGCACCGCTGCTTTAAGAGAGCTGCTGCTAGAGTGAGTCAGCCATGCGATGCACCGGTGAGATCGGCCATCCGATGTACCGGTGAGATTGCGTTCCATAGACATTATTTTCCACCGGCCGCGTGAGTTCGTCACCTCACACATCTCCGGCGGCTGCGCGGCGGCTTGCTCGGTGACCAGAAGCACGCAACGGACGCTCGTAGGGATCCGTAGAAGTCAAAGCATGCGATGATTGTACATTTGGTACGACAGCATTTGCGCACAGCCGATTGGACATGATACACGGTCTAGTGAGACCAGCAAGAGATAGATGGAGAGAGACTAGATAGTGACCTGACAGAGAGCAAGAGAGGGAGCGGAGGAGTTCAACTGTTAGGCGATAGGTTCTGCCCCGAGGAGCCAGAGCCGGCGAAGCGCATGCTGACGTCCGGGTCCTGCATGATGTCCATCCAGCTAAATCCTATACGCATCGGAGCCATCAGCGCCCCGTGCTCAGCGGAAGCAGAGAGTCCCACGGGACGCGCTTACCTGGCATGACAAGGGACCACGGCTGCGAGGTGATGGACTGCATAGACTGCACGAGCTCCGTGTCGAATGGCAGCGGCGGGGAGAACAGCGCAGGGTTCACCGCTGGCTCCCCGAACTGCATGTCGTCGAAAGCTTGGCTTTCTGGAGGGAGGGCGACGTTCATCTGCGATCCCGGTTGCGGAGACGGCGGCTGAACCTCGACTGGCGGCACGCCATCGACCCCGTAATCGGACCCGGTCTCGAAGTTCCCGTCGACAGGCGGGCTGAGCAACTGATTGGAGGACGGCAACTGTTCGCCGCCATCGTTGGTGCCGCTACCGCAGATCTGCGCGGATGGCATCTCGAGCAGGCCCTCGAGGAAGCGAGAATATAGCTTCGGGCCATGGCGGTCGTCGACAGCGATTTCGGGGGAGCCGAGGAAGTGTGCGACTTCGGTGACCATCTCTCGCATTTCCACCCGGGTCTCATGTGGGATAAGGTCGATGTAACGAGGGTGCAACAGCTGCCATGAAATGTGAATTACTCAGTGGAGAAAGGCGTACAGGACGCTGACCTTGATGAGGAAGGCGCAGGCAAAGGTCACAAATACACACTCTGCATCGGGTCCGTGCCTCAGAAATGGCCCTGTGGCATGCAATGAGCGGATAAACCAAGAGAGGTAGAAGATCTGACACACTCAATTCGGGTACTCCAAGTTCATGCAGCAACGTGTTGAGGAGGTCTTTGCATGCGTTGAAGCACTGTGGGGAGCATGATGAGATCCATGTTCAGACCAGGGAGTGCAGAACACGTACCCGCCAGAAGAAAGGCTCGTCAGGCTTCTGACTCCCCTCGCGACCGTACAGATGGGCGAACGAGAAGGACAATACCGCCATCCGGGCATAGTAGATCGCCAGCTTGAGCAAGGATGTGCGGAACTTCGCATACAACTCTTGGCAACCTTCTTCGCGTATACGGTCGCTCCAAGTGTACCACAAAGCTTCAAGCTTGTTGTCGGTCTTGATGGTTTCGGCGGCGACGTCGATGTTCTATAGGCGTGTGAGCATTGGGATCGGAGTTGCAAAGAAGTCGCCGACCTTATTCAAGCCCGCGGGATGGTCAGGGTCGCTGAAGATTGTTAGCCGGAAGTCGGCTAAAACTTTGAGCTCAGCGTTGTAACCACACAGGTGCACGTCGAAGCCGGGGATGTTGTAGGGAGAGCTCTTGTAGAAGAACTCGGAGTGTGTGGCGAGGTAGTCTGTATTCAAGACCATGAAGTTCTTCCCATATTGTGAAGATATTGATTTGTCGACGTTGAAGCAGTTCATCCAGATACGGGTTCTGTTAAGTATCTCTCTGGCATGCATCTCGTTTTGCGGCTCAGCGGTACTGAGATAGTGCAAGTTTAGATCTTGAGCAATCCTGTGTATGCATGGTGAGGAACAATTGTGGTACAGCATGAATGCAGAAACCAACCTAACTGCGAGACCAAGGTACACCCAACAACGATCCTCTTCCCATTTCCTCGCAGGTACGGGATATAGGCTGAGTAGAATGTATGCCACTACAGTTTCAACACTCTTCTGACCACCAATCAACGTAGAGCCAGCGGCGAGACGTGCACAGTTCATAGCTTGTTGATAGAGATCTGGACGTTCGGTATAGAATCTGGAACATATACCAAGAACTTGTCTGCGTCAGCATGAATCGCTTCAATAACGCTTATGAGAACAAACACTCACTAACGGTGAATAAAAATGGACTCCTCCAATATGTCTTCTGGGCGGTATACAGTACTGGGTCCAGGATTGAACAGCTAGGATTGACGTAATCGAAATATCTAGGAAGGTGTCAGTGTTCGTACGTGAGTTCCGCTGCAGAAGGACTTACATTTTGAACAGCTTCTCTACCTCTGTTGGACTTACCAGACCGCTGCGCAGAATGTACGGAGTCTGGTGTTGAGCATACATGATTGGCCGATCGGGACCAGGACCTGACCCAAGTACAAGTTAAAATGAGATCGAGCTGGAAAAAAGTGATACCGCTCACTGGAAGCACGGAAGTAATCCTCGTTTGCAACCCCGTACTCTTCTTCGTCCACAGTGCTGACACTCCGGCTCCGACTTGATTTGCGGCTCCTCGACTTGCGCAAGCTGAGGGTCGCAAGCATCCCGATGGGTGCCGCGTCGTGGGGCAGCATCGCGAGCCTCTCCCTGTTCCTCCGTCGCGACAGATGTGTGTTGTTGCTGGATGAGTGCGTGTCGCTCGTCGGGTCCCCCGGGCGCTTCCGCCCGCGCTGCGGTTCACCGGACCTAGCGTCAACGTCCTGAACAGCCACCTGCACGTCGCTCTTGGACTCGTCGTAATCGTCAAAGAAGTCGACGGCCTCGTCGTCGCTGCTGCTGTCGTGCCACCCAAGCACATCTTCGCCGATCATGTCTTTTGTTACACTAGGACCACCCATGTTGATGTACCCTCCAAACGCCTCGATTGACTCGCGTGCCTTCGCGATCCAGTCGAGTACATCGGGTTTCGCGACCTGCAGGCCCGGGGGCTCTGGAGACCCGCCGAAGTCGGACGCGGTGAGATCGCGACTGCTCTGCGAGCGGTGTGTTGATGATGGGGGTGACGCGGTCGGCGCGTGCTCGCCTTTGGACCCGGCGCGCTTGTTCGCGTCTTCGAGCTGCTTCATTAGCTCCTCAATCTTGGTCGCCTGCTCGCGGATCTGGCCCAGGAGCAAGTCGCGACGGCTGCTCGCGACGGCATTGAGCGCGCGGAGCACAAAACTTATCAAGTAGACTCACGGAGGTGCTCGGCGTTTCTTGCGGCCCGGAATGACACAATCGTGTCCACCGTTCAGGCAACGTTTGCAAATATCGGGATCCGTCTTGAACTCGCACTTCACCTGCGCAAACGTCAGGCAAGTTCGCGCAGGGGACGACTACAAACCGTATGCGCACCTTCAGTCCTTTGCAGCGTGCGCATGCGCCGGCACTGCAGACGCAGGAGAGGGTTGGTGGGTTGGAGACGCATAAGAAGGGCGCGCATGACTCACGGTTTGCTAGGCTTCGCGCCACCCTCCTTCTGCTGCGCCGGTCCATCCTCTTCGGCGCCCTCCCCATCACCATTCTCCGAGGACGCGTACCCCTCGTTGTCGTCTAGCGCGCGCATGCGCTTCGCTGCGTGCGGCACGCCCATCCCTTGATCATGATAAGGCATGCCTTGCCCGGCCATTCCGTGCGTCGGTGAGGATCCGAAGTCGGGGGGTGATTGAACGTTGTACATTGGCGTCCGCTGCACATCGCCCTGGAAATTTCGCATCGTCGGTGTACTTCCAGGGTGTTGTTGCTGCTGCCCGAGCGGGAGCTGCTGGGCTTGCGCGAATGTGAATGGGGAGTGGTTGTCGCCGAAGAAAGGAGAACTGGGCATCGAGCCGGAATGGTCGCCATAGCCCATGTTGTACGATCCTTGTTCGCTCTCGAGAAAGAACTGTCCCCCGCCGTATGGGGGACTAAAATGCTGCTGCTGGGCTTGGTTGTTTGCGAAGGTGAACATGGAGTCGTTTCCGCCCGCGAACTGCTCGGGTTGCCCCTGCCCAAAGCCGTTCATAGGAAACGAGTGCTGCTGCTGTTGCTGTTGTTGCCGCTGCTGTAGCTGCTGCTGCTGTAGCTGCTGCTGGCGGAGGCGATTCAGGTGCGACTGAGGTAGCTGGACTTCACCCTGGAGGATGTCGTAGCGAGACGGGTCGATGTCGTACTCATTCTCGAGCTGTAATGGCGGCTGTTGCCTCATATCATGGTTCGAAGGCCAGTCGACATCGAGGAATTGAGGATGTGGGGGGTGATGCGCCATGGCGCAGCTCTTGTAGATGAAGCGAGCAGATGGCTCCGAAGATCTGCAGTGACCTGCATAGCACCTCAATCCCGCGGAAGACAGCATACATGACGCATATACGCACTCAATAAACGGCTCCGGCAAAACGCGTATCGGGTACGGGAGTAGCTGAGGACACAGAACGGGGAAGAGCGCAGAGGATAGAGGTAAGAGGACAACCAGGCTTCTGCGCAAGGCGCATGATGTAAGTACGGCGAGAACGACTGGTGTATAGACGCCCGTTCAGCTATAATCGCCGCTTAATTCCGGTAGGCGCTAGATCATCCTTCTCAAATGTCAATACATACGAGTATCGGTAAGCGCAGATTGCTTGATCAAGCAATTAGATACCGATCCAATAAGTAACTGGTGTATGGATGATATGTGAGGTGCTTACCAGTATCAGGGCGATGGCTAGAAGACTGCACTAGGTGACCCGCAAACGCGCCGTTCGTGTTTAGAATATCTGTTTGCTGTTCGCTCTGTCTGCTTCTTACAGGCACACACGTCAAAGGTTTTGCAATAACGTACTGGAGGCTATAATCCTTGGTTTTTTTGTACAGACGAGCAACTTCATGGCTTGTGCACTTTTTCATGCCGTGCAGTGCGAAAGACCGGTACTAGTCCCAAGGTACTCCGACACCTCGACCACGATCGAAATGTCAGTGACGTCATCATGATCAAGCAATCGGTGCTCAAGATCGCAAGATCGTCCAAATGCAGCACTCGATTACAGGCAGACCGCACAGGCACACTTGGCTGTACACGGGCTTTACAGACATGCCCATTTTGTCGGCTCATCCACCCCCCTTAGCCCCCACATCAAATAAACAACCGACGCTCAACGCAATGCTCTTGCCAAAAAGGAAGGGGCGGTTCGCGACGCAGTTCCAGTACTCCTGGAAACAGTCAGTTGCAACTGAGCTTATGTATATACATGAACTTGTTGAAGACGGGGCAGGCACGGACTTAATGGCGCAGATGGAATGAATGGATCCCTGATATAATAAGTACAAGGGGTAGATGCAGTTGGCCTCGGCCCTCGAGCCCGGTCGACTCTGTCGCCCTGGTCCGGGTCAGGTAGGGTCAGGTCCATGCGTACTTGTGAAACCTAATTTCGAGCGAGAGCTGACGAGACAGAACGCATCATCAGTCACATCATACTTGATTCCCCTCGACGGCAGGCGGTTCGTTCTCCGATAGCACGCGCGCGCGGTAGGTTGACCGGCTGCAGCCTGAAGATATCTTCTGAACAAAGCAAGCCTGCTGACTTGCTACCCACCTTGGAGAGTGGAAGACACGGGCCTTAATCCATAATCGCCCGAAGTACTAGTGGCGGGTCATAGACCGTGACCGAATGAGCGCTCGGCGCCGGACGGGTGTGATGGATCAGAATCATGGCCGCTCGGACACATTCTTGATACACAGCGGATCCGGCCGTCGTGCACAGGAGTGCACAGGCTGGCACGGAAGCAGAATGAAGAGCGAGGAGTGGGCAAGTGCAGGTTTCTGCAGACGGGGTTATTGAAGGCGAACGCTGTTGACGACGAGGAGGGAGAGGGTGCGAACGAGGAGCGGACCGAGCGGGAGCGGATGGGAAGGCAGGGGAAGGCGGGATGCCGGCTGGATGCCGGCAGCGGCAGTTATCAATTCCACGCGAGCGCCAAGCGCCCACGGGCGTTCAGGCAGAGCGTCCTTCGTGATGGCGACCGGTCCTTTCTCCCTCCACCACCCTCCCCCGCCGCCCGTCGTGCAAGACGACGTAGACAACCCAGGCGCACCTCGCCTCCAGGGCTGTCTCCGGTTTCTTCTTCCCCAGGTGCGTCCACTCCCCTCTCTCCCACTCCTCCTTCCCGGCCCCGTCGCCGTGTGATCGAAACATTCCACTAATTACGTGCCCCGGCCCCCACTCCAGTCTCTAACCGTCCCGCCCAACCCCGGGCTCATCCCCCTGTCGCTCATTACTTCACCACTCTCGATCGGTTTCCCTCCGTCTCCTATCTATCATGCACATCTTCCCCTCACACAAACGCCGTCAAGACACCCCAATCCCCGGTCTCAGCGGCGAGAAGACCGTCGACCCCAATAACGTTGGTTCGACTGGCGCACTCGCCTTGAACACTGCGGCCAACGCAAACGGTGGTGTGACCTCTGCCCCCCCTCTCGCAACCACCTCCATCATCCTCACCTCGTCGGCGTCCACCACTTCATCCTCGACGCAGAGCCCTTCAAACTCAGCTGTTGCGTCCTCGGCTTCAAATTCATCCATTCCTGTCGGCACTGTCATTGGCGCATGCGTCGGAGCGTTCGTGGGCCTCGCGGTCCTCATCGTCATTTTCCTAGCATGGTACAAGCGCTCGACTGACAAGATGTCGGCCTCCGCTGCCCGCTTGAATGTCGCTTCAGAGCGAGCGCAGCAACGCGCCGACGCCCGGTCCTTCCGCCAGCTCGACGATGAGAAGCCTCAGCAGCGTGGTGTTGCTCCCGGTGCGCCTCCCCCGTCCAAGTCTCCCTCCCAGCAGGAGACGGATGAGAAGAACTTCTCCATGTTCAAGAAGTCGCCGAGCATCCGCACCGCATACACCACCCGCGAAGATGAAAACGCTTACGACCTTCCGAAGCTTGAGTTCACCAAGTATCACCCTACACTTGCCGAGGAGCTTGCGCTCGAACAGCCCGACAAGCCGTTTGCCGCTACCGCCCGGGGGGTGTCGTGGGATGGGGAGACGCTCGGTGACGATTCCTTCCTGTCCATGCGTTCCGTCCGCCAGGAGTCTGGGACCATGTCGCCCACCATGGTTATGGCAAAGACGACCCCACCCGCGACGGCATTCGCTGCTCAAGTTCACCAGTGGGAATCCGCCGAGGTCTTGAACACGGACGACGAAATCGCCGCGGCTGCCGGTGTGCCCACGTCCCTGAACCCCTTCGCGGACATGATCGAGGAGCAGCCCCGTGCCCGCAGCAACAATCCTTTCTTCAACGCCCGCGACATTGCCACCAACCCGAACCGTCAAAGTCGTGCTCGCAGCCGGAGCAACAGCCGTACGAGCCGAGGAGTGTCTATCATTCGCCCAGACTCTCGCGGGACCATCACCCAGGCTTCGATGAACCCCTTCCTGGACATGCACGAAGCGATGCCGACGCACACCGTCGATATTACGCAGGCTGTGGAGCCTCTCAACCCTCCCACTTTGCACAAGACCAATGCCTCCGTTTACTCTGGCTCCTCGTTCGGCAGCGAGCGTGCGATGGCGTCACTCATCGCCGCGCTCGACCTCTCCAAAGGGGAGGTTGAGGACCGCCTCCGGATAGTGTCTATGCAGGGCTCTACCTATTCCGCCTATTCAGCGGATGAGACGGACATCGTCCCAGAGTTCCCACTCCCACCAGGCGCGTCCGCCCCGCGGCCATGATTGCGGCCTCTCGTCGCTGTATCCACGGGCGGGCTGTCCCCCTGCCGCCCCGCCCCCGAGCTGTGCGCGTGCGCCGCTGTCCCATCCTTTTTTCCGACGTGCTAGCCGCCCCTTGCTCTTTGCGATACTTATGGAGTCTGGAAGCACTCATCTCATTCCCGCCGCTCCCCCGCGATGTACGTGACTGCTACATATACGTTCCGCTGATGCCCTACGCCCCCTTTCGCCTTGTTCTTTGCTGCCCGCACGCCGGCTGTTGTTCTCCTCGCCACCGCTCCGCGCGCCTGGTCATACGCGCGCGGCACTCTGGCTTCCGTCGAGCACGGACCGTTCTCGTTGTGACAGAATTAGCGGCACTCCCTCTACCCCCTACGCACCTTACTTGCTGTGCGCAGTGATGCGCACATGTAACGACCCCCTCTGGCCGGCCGCCCTTCCCTCTCCTACCCGCCGTCTTTCCCCTTCGCGCGCTCGCTCTGCTTCGCTTCTTGCAGGTGGGCCTGCTCTTATTACCCCATGTCGTTGCCACCCGGCCTGGCCCCCCGTAGTGTACTCCATACCGCCGCTTTATTTATAATCCGCCTCTGCTTTGCGAATCGCCGCCGTTCCGCCGATGCGTCGCTCTTGTCAGCCTCTTAACGCTCTGCATGTACGTTATGCGGGTGCGCGCGTGTACATACATGATGCACAGTTGGAACCCGGCATTCAGTCTCAGCTTCGAGCTGCCATTCGTGTCTCTCTCCATAACATGCGTGTGGCGGCTAAGTATAGTGAGACTATGCGAGCGCCGCTGGGGGTGAGCGCAACCATCCACTGGAGCGGATCCTGTCTGTCCAACTGTCAATATCTGTCAAACAGTCCAAAGTACTGAAGCGGGGTGCAACCACTGATAAGGATGCCCTGGGCGCCGGAAGCCACTAGTGCAAGCCGTGGGCCTGCAGAATTTTGTGCGCAACCTTTTCATACCATGACCGAAGGACAAATGATTCTCGAACTCTGTCCGTCGTAGCGCTTATGTTGGCTGAAATGCAGGTTGCGACTGCGGCGGCGCGTCGCCGCTCGTCGTGGTCGACCCCCCAATCCGCAGCTGAGTCGCCGGGGCTCGGTCGCCGTATGCGCGTGTGCTGTAAGGTACATACACCAGCGCAGGAGGGTTGTAACGTCACTTGTCGGCCGGTGTGGGGTCTGGACGCCGCGCACAAGACAGTACAGGTCCAAGATGCCTCAGAACAAGCTCAGATGAATCCCGCCAAGTGCTGACGGAACGCCGGGCGCGGGTCATCAAGTACTTATGTCGGAGATGGCGACACATAGCCGATTATTGAAGGCGTGTTCCGTCGCCCTCCGGAGCGAATGGCGAGATAGCGGGATGTTGGGCGGAGTTATCGAAATGCGCTTGACCGCACGCGCGTCGCACAGCGATGGATGGAAAGATGGAGCACGGATGCCTCCAATCAGCCGGCAAGCGGGCGGCGAAGCCACCCTCGCAGGCTTCGCTGCGAGTCGCGCGCGCGATGCTCCACGGACGCGCCCGCGTGGCAGATGGGGGTGCTCGCTGCGCCGACGCGGGGGGGGCGAGTGGGGGACAGGAACGCGCGCGCGCGCGCGAGCCGGAGGGCGAGTTTCGAGGCGCGATGGGCGCGGAGGCGGTGGCGGATCGGGAGGCGCCGGCTCGGGAGGGCCTTGGCAACAGCAGCCCCGAGAGACAACCGAGAGAGGGCGCGAACAGGCCGGGACGATTCTCCTGCTCCATGGGCCCATAAAGCGAATATACCCGCTCCTATCTCCCCTCTGCTCCCTCCGCCGTCCTCCGCGTCCTGCCGACGGCTCCTTGGTCCCCTCGACCTCCCCTCGCTCCACGGCCCTCCCTTGAGACGACCCCGTCTCGGCCTCGTCCCGATCGCACAGCTACGGCGGCGACCTCCACCCGTCCGACCCGGACACGCCATTCCTTCACCCTGCGATCTTTTCACGCCTCGGGCTCCCCTCCACGCTCCTCTTGACCGACACGTCCAACTAGACTCTCTACAACACATGGCTCCCCACCTCTCCGTCCGCCTCATCGCACGCGACGGCTCCGGTGGTTCTGGCCTCAGCAGCATCATTGTTGCAGGCATTATCATCGCGGGAGCCATCGGCTTCGGCTGCGCCGTCTGGCTCGGTGTCCGCTGGTACAGGAAACGCGCCGCTGAAAAGCGCGCCGAACGCCGCGGGTCCGCCTTCGACCACTTCCAGGAGTCTGACGATGCTTCCGAGAAGTCTAGTGCTGTAAAGTATGTGTACCCATAAGTCTCGTGCGCATACATGCTGTCCAACGAGGAGGTCCCTGTAACCCCTCGTCTTCACCCTCACTTGTCATGCGCCGTCGTCTTAATGCCGACGCTAACATGGAATTATTTTCCAGCCTTGCTCGTAAGAAGACCACCGGCTTCTCCAGACATGCAATCAACTCTCAAATCATCATGCCCGAACGCGCTGTCCTCCGTCCTGGCGCGACTCGTGACGAAATCATTGAACACTACACTGCCGAGGGCAAGCTCCCTCGTCCCTTCTCCCGCATGATGATGCCCCCAGCCAACGTCGAGTCCGACGAGCTCGCGCCCCCTCCCTCGTTCGGCGAGCGGACTCCGAACGGCCGCCCTTCCTCCACCTCCTCCTGGCTTCCCCCCGCTTTCCCCCTCGCCGGCGGTTCGAAACGCTCATCAGCTATGTCCATGGCGTCCTCGCTTGGTAGCAACGGCGTGCCGCAGAAGAAGGTCCGCCAGGTGTTCGACCCCGTGCTCCCCGACGAGCTCGTGCTCTCCCTCGGGGACACCCTCACCGTTGTGCAACAGTACGACGATGGGTGGTGCATCGTCGGCCGCGACAGCACCTTCAACCCCGGTGAGGCCGAGCTCGGTGCGATCCCCGCATGGTGCTTCCTTAAGCCCGTCAAGGGCCTCCGTGCCGAACGCCCCATGCGTGTCTCAAGTCTGGGCGTCACCATCAACCTCGACCAGGGTGGCGGGCCTTCGTTTGGGCCGCGCGACAACGTTATGTCCTGGTCCAACTTCTGATCTTGCATCCTGTCGAATTGCGACTCCCGACACCCGTCCCTGTCATTCCTTCGCGCCCACTGCGTCGGGCGCGTTTCGCTCGTCTCCAGGCAGACGCATCCCCGGAGGATTGGTGCGTGGCGCTAGCCTCACGAGGCCGCTGCGCCTTTGTTTGTACCATACTGTCACCGCCCCTGCCCCCCTCGCCCTCCCTTCGCTCGTATACCTCCCCTCCCCGATCGTTCTCTAGGACTTTATTCGCTCCACGTGCACACATGTTTGGAACTTCGGCCACTGCATGTGACATGATGCCTCGTTACACGCTGCAATGCTACTATCGCCTGTTTACTCTGCCTCTCTCCCTGCACCTTGTCCCCCCCCTATTACACCCCTGCACGGTCGCGGAGCTCTGGTCACCGCGCGCAGGCTCAACTTATTGCTGATTTTACGGCTCTAGTATAGTGCGTCGTCGCCTTGGCGCGGCGGTCCATGTATTCTGACCGAATCTAGACATTGTGAACTGAGTAACTGCGCGATCGAGGGTGCGTCGGAAACTACATGCGTCAAGGACTTGACTTGGTGACAAGATGATGTCGGACAAACTCAAAATTGGAGATCTCGACAGTCGTTCAGTATACACGTGCCCGAGGGTTCATGATCTCGAAAGGCGCGTGGCACGCCCCTTGCCTCCGTTCCTCATCTCGATTTGATCCTCCCACCACTGCGTCTCAAGATTGCAATCCCAAGCTACCAAACCTCAAGCTCTGCATGTCAACCGCGCCTCCACCACCAAAGCACGTCCTCCGCAACCACGGCGCGCCCGTCTCCGCCCTCTGGGTCTCGGACGACAACGAGCGCGTGTACTCGGGAGACGGCGCCGGCACCGTCGTCGCAACCTCGACCCGCACGCTCCGCGCGCTCGCCGTGTGGGCCGCACACACCGACGGCGTGCTCGGCGTGCAGGAGTGGGGGCCGCGCGTCATCACGTTCGTCCGAGCCCGGTGTTCGTCCCCCCCTGGCACATCGAGGCTGACATCGATCCTCTTTCGCAGACACGGGCGGGACAACAAGCTGCACGTTTGGACGGGCCCACACGCCGCCGAGCCCGGGGCTGCCCGCCCAGCGTGCGCGGGCGCGGGCGCGGTCGACGTGGACGCGGGGTCGGCAGCGCTGCCCGGCCTGCACGTCCCTGCGCTGCTGTACTCCCTCGACGTGAACGCGCTCAACTACTGCCGGTTCTCGCTCCTCGTGCCCGCCCCGCCGATCGCGGGGTCTGCGCCAGGGCCCGCTGAAGAAGAGGCGCTGCTGGCGGTGCCGAACCTCGTCGAGTCGGCATACGTGCGTACCCTCCGTGTGTGGGGTGCATGTCGCTCACGGCGGTCCGCTTGCAGGCGGACGTGTGGACGCTGCCCGGGAAGCAGCGGTTGCACGCGGCGATCGGAAAGGGAGGGCAAGACCTCGCCGCGGACGGGCGGGACGTGCGCAACCCGACCGGTGACGGCGTCCTCCACCCCGCTTCAGGCGTCCGTCGCACTGACCAGCCCCCGCAGGCCTCATCATGTCGATGCACCTCTCGGCGGCGCCGCACCCGAGCGCCGCGGGGCGCGCACGCCTGCGCCTGCTCGCCGGGTACGAGAACGGGAGCGTCACGGCGCGCGAGTACGCGCGCGACGGCCGGCCGCAGTCCGTCGAGGGCGTCGGGTGGAACGTGCTCTGGACGGTGAAGTCCCACGTCGAGTCCGGTACGCGCGCGCGCGATCCTCGCCCGCTTGTTTGCGCTCACCGTCGCCGCAGTGATGGGCATGGCCGTGTCCTGGGACGGAACGTTCGCGCTGTCGGTCTCGGCCGACCATCTGATCGGAAAGTACAACTTGCTGGTGGGTGCGGTTCCCGTCTCGCGACCACTCCACGTCCGATTATGAGGGCTGGATGTAGGAGGCCGAGCGGCCTGAGACACTGCAGTCCGCCTGTCAGGCACATCGGACGAAGACACCGGGGAACGCGGCGGTGGCTATTCGAGACGATGGCCGCGTGTGCGCCGTGGGGGGCTGGGACGGCCGGTATGTGGTCGAGGCCGCCGTTGGACAGACGCTGAATGGAACCGACCGTGCAGCGTCCGGTTGTACTCCACGAAAACGTTCAAGCCTCTGGGAACCCTCGCATATCACAAGAAGAACTGCCAGATGGTCGCATTTGCGCACGTCGCGCCGGGCGGAAGCGATCCGTCAGAGGACGAAGACATGAGCGAGGCGGAGGAAGCAGAGCGCGCGCGGTGGCTCGTCTCGGGCGGACAAGATAGTCGAGTGGCGATCTGGAGTCTGATGGACTTCTCAAAAACATAGATTTGAGTTTTCCCCTTCATCTACGGGAGCTGCGGCGGGCCCAAAAAAAGGTGTGTCCCAGGGAGGATTCGAGCCTCCGTCTTCACGGTTCTGTGAGTGCCACAACGTGATGATCTAACCACTAATCGACAAGGACCTGGGAAGAGCTGGCTCACGTGCTTTCGTGGTCGGCGCGTGCGGACCCAGGGCAAGCTAGGTACGCGGGTCATTATATATATTATACCCCGCCCCTCCCCGTCGCCGTCTGTTTTACGCGACCAGGTCCTGCCTCCACCGCCACCTCATTTTGCCCAGAGCGCCGATTCTCCGCCTTCCTTGGATCGCCGCCCTTCCTCACTTGCACTAGCAGAGTAAGTAATCACTGTTCATCTGTTGCCGACATCCCCGGGCCCTATTGGCAAAGTGGGAGACGGCGAAGGCGAGTCGGTTCAATTATGAGTCTATGATTACCTCCCAGAAAACTGATTCAAAGCGGGACGCTTCAACCATTCCTATCCGAGCCGAGTCCGCCCCTTCCTCTCGCGCGGCGCCACCATCCAACTTTTCGCGCGCGCGTTCGACGACGCGCCTTTCACCCGTGCGCTGGGCGGCGTGCTCAGGGTCCTTGGGCCTGAACCTGCCTCGACACTTCTGCTGCACTCGCATGCCGTCCGGCGAGCCAATCCATATTTTGCGCGCGGGGCCAACCTCCGTTCGGACCGGTGTTTCGTCTCCGAACGTTGGCTTTCCGCGCGCGACGGGAATATTCACGCGGTGAAAAAACGTACTTAAGGCTAGCGCGTCGGGGACAACGCCCGGATCCTCTCCTCGCTCGCCCCCGACGCCCTCTCCGACCAGTCTCCGGAAACTTTGCGGAGCTGCGGACGGTGAAAGAGCGTTTTTTTCCCTCCTCCCGCTCGGTCTGGTTAAAAGAGTGGGCGTACCACCATGGCTTCCGCAGTGCACCTACCGCCGGACGAGCCGCCCTTCTCGGTCAAGCTGCCTAACACGATTTGGGTCTTTGGCCAGCCCATCCGCGGGGAGCTGACTATCGACTACCGACGCGCGCTCGAAGAAAATCTGGAGCGCGTCGTCCTCGAGCTCCGCGGCACCATCTACACGTGAGTCCCACCCGCTCCTCCCCCTCTCCCGACCCCCGTCCAGCCAAAGCCAACCTCCACCCTCTTCTCCTCACCTCATCTCACCTCTCCTTCACCACCCAAATACAGCGAGAGCAGCACGACGCCCGACGGCGACGGCGCGTACGAGACCTCCTCTACCGACGTCCTCCACAAGTCCGCGACGCTCTGGCGGCGGACCGACGCCGCTGCCGTCCGCCTCCCGTTCGAGTTCGCGCTCCCCGCGGACCTGCCGCCCGCGTTCGCGTTCGCGTGCGCGCACCTGCACGCCGCGCGGGTGCGGTACGCGCTCGTCGCCACAGGCTTCCGCGCGGGCCTGTTCGCGCGCGACCGCACGGTGACGCTGCCGCTCGCGGCCATCCCCGCGGACGCGCTCGGCGCGGGGCTGCGGGCGCGGCTGAAGGCGGGGTGGCCGGACGCGGCGTGGGGGCGGCTGAAGGCGGAGCGGGAGGTGCGGCGGCATCCGTGGAGCGCGCCGGGGACGCTGAGGGTCGAGGTGCGTGCTCCGTCTCGCTCGTTCGCCCGTTTTCTTCACGGGAAAAAAGCACGTACGAAGAGCTCACGCGCGCCCCGCCCCGCCCCGCCAGCTGCTCGTCCCGCACATCGACACCTTCCCGCTCTTCACGCCGGTGCCGTACACGGTCGTCGTCCGCACGCTCTCCGCGCGGGTGCGCCTCAAGGGCGACGACTGCGAGGGCGCGGAACCGTTCCCGCCGCCCATCCGGGACGCGGCGCCGCTCGCGTTCGCGCTCCGGCGCGCGGTCGACATGCGCACGCCGCTCGGGCCATCCGCGCCGGAGGAGCACGTCGCGGACGTGCTCCCCGTGCCGGGCGCGGGCGCGGGCGTCGAGGTGGAGGTGGGCGAGCGCGTGTGGGTGCCGGAGCCGGGCGGGCGGCGCGAGGGCCGCGGGCGGTGGGCGCAGGCGGCGACGTTCCGCTCGCGGATGTTCCTCCGGTGCTCGCCGTCGTTCGTCACGGAGGAGGTCAAGGTCAAGGTGCGTGTTCGTGTTCGTGCGTGCGTGCGCGACGCGGGCTGATGGGGCGCGGTGCGGCAGTACGTGCTCTGCTTGAAGTGCGAGTTCCCGGGCGCGGGCAACTGCGTGCGGATCGAGCTGCCGATCAACGTGGGCTCGGGCGCGGTGCGTCCGATCTCGCTCGCGGGGGACGTGGGGCCGGGGTCGATGTACATGCTCGACCTTCCGCCGTGAGTCGCGGTCGCGCTGCTGGGTGCGCTCGTGCGTTCGCTGACGTCTCTCCGCGTGAAAATCCAGATCATATTGGGACCCGGCTTTATGGGACGATCGAGAATGACTGATCCGCAGACACAGAGAAGCTCTCGTATCGAACCCCCGGTGGAAAGATCGTGCGGGTTATATTCTAATGCGCCCCGAACACAACACATAATCGGTATGCCGTGGTCCACTGTATCCCTCGCACTTACCTGTAGTTTTATCGCACACGTACGGATACCTCCAGAAGTACTTAATATACCTTCCCCGGGCACACCTGCATAGACGCACGTTACTCTTACATACTCACACACTGCCGTATTCATGAAAGAGGGCAACGGCCCCCAAGTTCCCTGTGTTGGAGACAGCTTCTAGCGTGCGCGGAGAACGCGTTTGTCTTCTGAGCCTCAGCTCGCATTTGGGAGTACCGCTGCCAACATCTGATGCGCAGCGAGGGGTTCGTCATGCGGCTCATTTGTATTGCATTTGTAGACACGGCGACAGTCTGATGCCAGAACATATGGTGGCCGTTCTCCGTCGGCGCAGCCTCTGCTGGGAAGACCCGTCGGGGGCAGCCGCGAGAGAGTGTGGCGGGACGTTGAGGCGGCCGGCGCCGGGTCCCTGGCGACGTCATGGTCTTGACACGCCGCGTGGACGACGGACGTGGGGCTGTCAGGCCAGAGCAGGGCAAAGCACGGGAGAAGCCGCCACCACGGCCAACCACCTCGGTGTGCGGTCGCGTATCTGTGATGCAGTGCCGGCGGGCAAGAAACTCGACTTGCCGAACCTGAATGTCTCGTATGTACGGCGCCACAACGGTGATGACGTCAGGCCGCTACATCCTCTGCGGCTCGACCCGGAGGCGAACTTCACACGCGTGCACCGTGCTCAGATCTGTTCGAGTGACTCGCGCGCTCATCAAATATCAGAAGAGGATGCGACTGCCGACGGAGAGAGCCTTCTGAGAGAGGCCTGAGCGTTGAGCGCCGCATGGCTTATTGGTGGCACCGGCGGACGACCAGGGCCAGGCAATTCGCGCCCCCGCCGAATTACCAAGCATCGCGTCGCGGTTGAAACGACGTCGACGTTGAAGCCTTGGTAATGTGTGACGGGCAGATCGATCTTGGCGTGCACGCTCGGCGGCGCAGCCCTCGGGTCCTCGGCACTTAAGCCTTCGAACGTCGACCCTGCGCGCCCGGAGCCGGGGCAGAGCCGGCGGCGGAGTCGGCGGCGCCGGGGCAGAATACAGGTGGGTCGAGGTGTGACCATATGTTGGTTGAGTCGGCCAAAGTTGGGCTCGGCCTGGGGCAGTGAGTACAACTGACACGGCTGCGACGGCGCGCAACAGACGTTGCGGCGAGGCTCCATCGATCAGGCTTGGAACAACACCACGGGCTGACAAACGCGCGCGCGAGAACGCGCAGCCGCATGCGGAGCACTGCGGCGGTTCAGGGCGTCGATGCAGGGCCCCCGGGTGCAGACAGAACAGATGCTGGAGCACCCTGGAGCACCGCGGTGGAGTGAGGGCGGAGGTACGGCCGGCGCGCGAGCCCGGCGGGGCGGCGGAGGAATCCGCAAGTCAAAGGCAGAATCTAGATTCGTTTTCAGGGCGTGCACTGGATACAAAGCATACACCCAGGGGTGGGAACGAGGATGCCGAGGGATTTTCGTGGGCGGCGTGGGCGTTGGTCTGTCGCCGGAGGCGGGCGCCGACAGGATGCGAACGTATTGCCAGCGAGACAGGATGGACGGGTCGATCGAAAGGCCCAGTTGCGCAAGGGCCGCAGGCGAATGACGTGCGCCAGACTCCAGTGTTCTGCAGTCCGCTTCTGTCGGTTGCTGGTCATCGTCCCGCGAGCTCGGCATCGGCGATGGGGTTGGCGTGGATCGTGACCTGCAGTAGACGAGTCGGTCAGCGCGGGACGTCGTGGTTGATGAGCGGTGCCCTGAGCCGGCGCAGCCACGGACGATAAGATGAGGTTACGTACGTGCGTCGTGCGGACCTCGCTGAGCGGCCTGTTCTTCGGATTGACCGGCACACGTTCCATGGCGTCCAATGTCGAGTCCGCACCATCAATCACCTGCGTGGACGCGAACGGGCGCGGTGAGCGGACGTGACGGAGCGCGGGGGCCTGAGAGGGCGCACCTTGCCGAATATCGTGTACTTGCCGTCGAGATGTGGCTGCTTGAAGTAGGTGATGAAGAACTGGGACTTGTTCGTGTCTGGGCCGGAGTTGGCCATCGCGAGGATGCCGCGGTTGTTGAACTGTGTGTATGCGCGGTCAGAACTAGGTCCGGGCGTGCGCGACTCAACGGACCTTGAGAGTGGAGCGAATCTCGTCGGCGAAAGGTTTGCCCCAGATGCTCTGCCCACCCTTGCCTGACCCTGTCGGGTCGCCGGTCTGGATCATGAAGCCCTTGATGTTACGGTGCCATAGGGTGTTGTCGAAGTAGCCCGCGGCGCAGAGGGCCAAGAAGTTCTGGAGCAGAGACAGTCCGTCAGACGTTCGCTCAGAGGGGCGTCAGCGACCGGGCGCGGACCTCGGCGGCCTTGGGGACGGCGTCGCAGAAAACCTCGACCTGTGGGGGGCGTAAGAGCGGGGCAGGGGAGAGGACGGAAGGCGTACTTTGATGTCGCCGTGGGTGGTGTGCAGGGTGACTGACTGGGGGCGATCAGACCATCAGCGCGGACTGCTGGGACGGGGACATCCGACGGACCATGGGGGGGAGCCGGTGCGCGGGGCGTGGCGGGTGAGAGGCGGGGACGCGTGCTCGAAGCTGCCGCGATCGGGCAGGTGGCGATGGTCGCCGGGGCGGAGGAGGGCCCGCCGCGATGTGCCGCCGTGGTCCGGGTTCACGCGCACGCCCACCGCCTTCTGGCATCAGCGCTCCCTGCCCGTTCGCGACATGAACTCTATAAATCCATGAAACCCCCGCCGTCGGTCCTCCCCTTTCCTCGTGCCCCCCGCTCACCCGCCCCCCGTGCCGCCTCCCATGCTCACCGCATCCCGGCCCCCGTCCGTGCACAGCACGACCACCGACGGCGACCCCTTCAGCCAGCTCCTCCGCCCCCCCGCGACCGAGACCGAGCACGAGCGCGTCGCACGCCTCCAGCGCGAGGCGGACGCCAAGCGTGTCAGCGATCGTATCGACGAGGACCTCAAGATCGAGCGGGAGCGCTTGAGGAAGAGCAAGCAGGACATCAGGGTGAGTCCCTTTACTTGTCGGATACACCCTGGGCAGAGCAATGTTCGCATGTTGGGATGTCCCGTTTTCAATGTTTTCTCACCGTCGCTCTCTGCTGCCGGCGTGCTCTTCGATGCCAAGGCCGACGACGATGCCCCGAAATCCGCAAACCGCTGCTGACCCTCGCTCTCCAGCTGCTCCTTCTCGGCCAGGCCGAGTCCGGCAAGTCCACCCTCCAGAAGCAGTTCCAGCTGCTCTACAACCCGCAGGGGCTCGACGAGGAACGCCTGTCCTGGCGCACCGTCATCTACTTCAACATCGCCCGCCCGGTCCGCCGGATCCTCGAAGCCTTAGAGGCCTATGGCGACGGCGAAGATGTCGACGACGAGATGGCGATGGACACGCAGCCCTCCGGCATACCCGCTTCCGAAGGTGCGGACCAGAGAGTGCTCTCTCCCGCGCAGGCAGGCCTGGAGAAGAAGGTCGCCGAGCTCCGCGAGCGCATGGCCCCCCTCCTCGCCGCAGAAGCGACCCTCGCCGACCGCCTCTCTGGTGGAGTGAACGTGTCGGGCTCAGGCAAGGGCAGCGTCTTCGTCCGCACCGGATGGCAGTCCAAGACCTTTGGCCTCAACTTCGGCAGGAGTCGCGAACGCACGAGCAGCGGCGGGCGCTCCAGCTTCACCGGGCGCTCCTCGGTCGAACAGCAAAAAGGCGAAGTAGAGCTTCAGACCCGCCAGATGACAGAAGAGGACAAGTTGATGGCCAATGTGGGGGCCATCCTCAGCGCCTGTCAAGGAGACGTCCGGGAACTGTGGACGCTGCCCGCGGTGCGCAAGCTGCGCGAACGTAGGCGATTCAAGCTCGAAGAGTGGGCAGACTAGTGAGTGCTTGGCGAACCACGGAAGCTCGCGCTGTCATTGTCACGAGTGATTGCTGATTCGTGGATTGACAGCTTCCTCAACAACCTCCCTCGCATTTCTTCATCCGGCTATATCCCCAGTACTGGTGCGTTGTTAGTCTCCCGCCTGATACGTCAACTAATTGCAAATTCACCTGCAGAGGACATCCTTCACGCACGCATACAGACTATGGGTGTCGCGGAGCACGTCTTTGACATGTCTGTTCATGGGCGCACAGTCCGCTGGCACATGTATGATGTTGGTGGTGCCCGTGGCCAGCGCCATTCCTGGATCCCGTACTTCGATGATGCGTAAGCACCCATTTTTCCATGCTTGTAAACGAAGCTGACCGTCGCTCTCATGACCAGGACCGCAATCATCTTCCTGGCTCCAGTCAGCGCTTTCGATCAGGTCGGTACCTTGTAAAGCATGCTGTCTCAGGGACATATGCTGACTATATGCGGCACGAACATAAAGTACCTAGACGAGGATCCGAGAACGAACCGAGTGGATGACTCGCTTCAATTGTTCAAGCAGATCTGCTCGAATGCTCTGCTGAAACGAGCACATCTTGTTCTTTTCTTGAGTACGTATCTTAAGTGCCTTCGCTGCCACTTCGAGTCTCATCCATGCTTCGCAGACAAGACCGATATCCTCAGGCAGAAGATCGACGCCGGTATCAGGGTCAACAAATAGTGAGCCCATTCCCTTTTGTCCCGCACCCGCCCTGACCTTGTGCATAGCATTACTTCCTACGGCGACCGTGCGAACGAGTATGACGCTGTTGTAGCGTACTTCAAAGCGCACTTTACTCAGGTCCACCGGAGAAACAATGAGAACAACCGCGTGCTGTTCACACATCTTACCAGTGTTGTCGTACGTCTATCCCACTATCTCTTTGGGAAGCGCTCTGATTTTCTTGCTTTCAATAGGACACCAAGGCCATGCAGAGCATCATCACTGATGTGCGGGATTCGATCTTCCGCGGCTACCTCAAGTCCGCTGCTCTTGTTTAAACGACTCGTCGCTTTTCTCGGGACCACAAGGGCAGGATGAATGTCGTCGCCAACATACTGGGCGCGATGTTCCGCAAACACACGAGATCTAATCGTCCCCCTTAATCGGTCCGCTGCACCTTTATTTCGCATGTACACCTCATTCGCCATAACATTATTGCCTCTCGTCCTCGGAACGCCACAGCATTTCGCACACCGCCTCTGTACTACCATCCTCTCCTTCTCGCGAGCTCTTCACGCTCTTGATCTGGATCATGTTGTTTTCTGCCACGCATTTCAAACCTGCCCTTCTCGACGTATATATAGAAGTCTCCGGGACACTACGAAGCATCTTAGGACTCCCCTCGGTGGTCTTCAGCCGCTCTTATCACCCCCTTTCCTTGTACCCACACCTTGTAAAAGCTCTCTCTTCGCTGTAATAATCTGGATCACTTCCCGCCCTTTGCTTCTGTGTGCACACCCGGCCTACGCACGCTTCCTGATTTTCTTGTCTCCAAGGGTCTAGTGGCCCTCGGAATTTGCGTCCGCCGCCACACAGTTGCAGTCCCTGACCCCCTGCCACCGCACGGTGTTTGTGCACAATTTTGTATGAACGTCGCGCCGGGAATTTGCAAGTTGCAGACGCTGCGCCGACACCTCAAGGCCTCACCACCCGTCTCGTCCCGACTCCCGTCCCCCCACTGGCCTGATGGACTGACCCGCTTCGCGGAGCGCGGAGGCCAAATCTAACGGAATCGAGTGCCTCGAAACATGCGGCGCATTAGAATTTGTCAGCGACGGGAACAGGTCGGTGGCGCGCGTGGGGGGCAGGGCGGCGAACCTTCTGTGCCCTTGGACACCGTCAAACTGAGTCAGCTCGAACGCAGTGGAGACAGCTTGCGTGGTCGCCAGATCGCGCTGCCGCCTTCGCAAGTTCATGCAGCGACGACGGGATTTGGGGATCCGAGTGGACTGGCACGCCGGGTTTCTATGGGCGAGAGAAAACCTTGTCTTTCTCTCGGCTTTAAATGTGACACCAGAAAGATGGTCGCCCCGGCGTGTGTGCGAATTTTGGGGACGTCGCGGCGCGGGCTGCCTCGTGTCGGCGACACATGGACGAAGGGATGTATGCACAGGCGCACTCCCGAACTTGAGGTAGCTTGAACACCCGGAGCCCTATAGCTATGCCGCCAATGTCCTTGCACACAACAGTGATCTCCGACGACGTGTGGTTACAGCTTGAGAAAGGCACTAGTAGTGTACATCTGGGCATCGCAGGCACGATGCACGCGTATGTGGTTAGTCTGACCCCAACGCCACTGACGTCTGTGGCAAAATACCCGACCGACCCGACCGACGCCAAGGATGACTTAGGTCGACGCTCATTCATCCAGCTCGTCCTCTTCGTCCTCTTCTTCGCTGTCTGCCGCGGCCGTGCGTCGTCCACCGCCCATCATATCTTGCTCGACCATGCCGACGACGGCATCGACCGCCGCCTTGGACATGCGAGGCATTGCACCAGGCCGAAGGAGCGGGTGATGCGCGGGGTCAAGCTCCTCCACCTCGTCCTCGTCCTCCCCCTCCGCTTCCGCCTCGTCCCCGGTCTCCTCGTCGCTCGTGTTCCCCTCGCCGTCGTCCCCATCGCCTTGCTCGTCTTGGCTCGCATCGCTGTCCTCGTTGCTCTCGCTGCCGCTGTCTTCTTCGTCGTCACTGCTCATCGTGAAGTCCTCGTCCTCCTCGTCCTCGGTGTCCTCCGCGCGCGGATCCTCGTCGTGCGTCTTCGCCGCCTCCGCCGTCTCCTTGCCCTTGCCCTTTCCCTTGGTGTTCGCGTCCGGTCCGGATGACCCGCCGGGAGCCTCCACCGCCGCACGTCCAAAGAGGTGTTTCCGCGACTTGATCCACCGCGCGATGGGCTCCTGCTCCTTCCCGTCGACCATCCCGAAGTCGACCTCGACCACCTCCACCTCGTCCTCGCTCTCCTCCCCGTCGTCTCCTTCTTGCTCGGCCTTGCCCTTACCCTTGGCTTTGTCCGCCTGTCCCTGGACGACCCGTCGAATGAGGACGGAGCACGTGCGCCCTGTGGCGCTCAGCGTGCGCACGCCCTGGACGACCGTCTCGCCGCCATGCGTCTCGGCGGGCGCGAGGTGCTCGAGCGCGAAGAACTCGCACGGCTTCCCGTCCCAGAGCACGCCGCGGTCGAGGAACCAGAGCGTGCCCTCCTTCGCGCCGCGGTACGCGCCGGCGCCCGTGCCCGCGGCCGGCACGCCGTCGGGCCCTGGCGGCGGGGCGGCGACGGCGCTCTTGAACAGCGCCGCGGACGGCTCCGCCGCGGGCACGGGCAGCGCGGCGAGGAAGGCGCGGAGCGCGGGGAGCGACGGCGCGCCTTTCGCGTGCGTCTCCGCGGAGGTCGCGAGCGGCGCGGGGAGCGTCGCGTCGAGCCCGAACACGAGCTGCGCGGCGGCGGCGGTCGCGGGGGACGCGGGGCCTTTGGGGACGGGCGCGGGGACGTCGGAGGAGAGGAGGACGACGGACCAGTGCGGCTTGGGCTTGCCGCGGGTGGGGAGGAGGAAGGCGCGCTGGAGCGAGGCGAGCGGGATCGGCGGGTACTCGTCCTTGCCCGTGGTCGGGTGCGTGAGCCGGATGGAGGCGCGGTGGACGGCGAGGGTGACCTTCTTGCGGACGGGGGTGGTGACGGAGACACCGTGGAGCGCGAAGACGCACGGGTCGTCTGCAGCGGGGGGTGCGGGAGATACCGCGTCCGCGTCCGAGGTCTTGGACCGCTTCGCGTCGGAGGAGTCCGAGCCGTCGTCTTCGCGGGGGCGTTTTTGGCTGGGGAGCGGCCGCTCGCCGCGTTTGAGGTCGTCCATTATCCTGAACGCGCGGGGCTGGAGGTCTTCCCAGCCTGATAGCACGCAGCTCCTGGGGGCTGAAGCGCCCACGGCGAGGCGCAGGATGGTGTCGACAATAGTCTTGATTTCGGGGAGCAGCGCGTGGTCTAGTTGTTTTCGAATGTCATCGGGAAGCAGCGGTTGCAGAGAGTCCAGATACAAGGTCATTTCGGGGTGAGATGAGAACGGGAGTGGGAGGGGGAGGAGGGCGATGATGACGACGGTGAAGACAGCTAACTCCGATGCAGCTCGCAGGTGGCGTGCCCAGACGCGAGGTGCCACGGTCAGGTGACAGACAAACGCGTCGTTGGCTGCAGCGCCAAGCGCCTATCCTCATGACGCGTTGTCATCAACGGCGACGCTGCGGTACATACGTGTGAGCAGTCAGTTTTTCAGTCAAAATACTCTCTGTAAAATGAGGCGAGCTGATATTTTTTGTACTCAATAATTATCCGACGCCGGAACCCGCATAACTCTGCGCACGCGTGTCACAACATCTAGGGGTGTCAACGCAGGGATACTAGTAAGCTCACCCGTTCTCCGGTCGAGAGCTAGGACGAACACAGCGTGACACCATGCGAATCGCCGATATGCCGCAAACGCTGTCGCTGCTCGGTGCAGGCGCGCACATATCATCCTTGACAGTCTACACGAGACTGCTCATGCACCCAGCTACCGGTAGTCCCCTCGCGATCACCGTCGTAGCCCCAAGTACGCACTCACACTTCAATGCGTCTGGCACATCTTTTATTCTTCCCGCAGTCACCCCAGGAGCAGCACTGCAGCACCCCGCGCGGTAACACTCAGCACTCCGACACTCCGCCGCGTCCTCTCCTGGCTATCGCGTCTTGCCCCACTCCCATGTTTGTCCATCATATCATTGTCCTTCATCCCCCATGTTCCTCTTCTCGGCTCAGTCGCTACCTCGCCTCGCACTACTCCCCTTCCGCTTGTTACCCCACTCCACATAGAGAGTTTGACCGGCATCGTCATCTCTGACCCTATGACCAACTCACCGACATCAACACCACACACCGTCATGTTCGTCCATCGTCTTTCCCGGCGCCCGTGACATATCTCTCGCAGATCTCCCGTAAATGTCGGGTCAGTCGCGATGCGTATTGGCCCCCGGCACAGTGGCAGCTGGTAATGATATGGACCAAGCCTTTGCAAGCCGCAGTTCACCCCTATCAGGTCGTCAACAGTGAATCATCATTCAGCACCACGAAACCTCATAATACTTGTACATGTGATGCTAAGTCACCTCAATCAAGCAGGTTCTCCATTCAACGCTCTTGTAGTCAGAATAGATACCAAAAATCACCAACTGTAATACCAGCGACCTCGCCCGTTTTCCACAGGACGCAAAGGCATAGCCCATTGACCAGAGAGTGGCTTCCTCCAATTGACAGTTTAAGAAGGAGGACTGTGGAAGAATCCGTGCTGGTGAGCGCGGAAACCCATCCCAAGCGCAGACAACCACGTACACAGGGGCGACAGTAGTGGCCGGGCCCGGAGCAGCGCTGAGCGCGGGGAACGGCGTGGCGGCGCAGGCACCCTCAACATCCGCGAGCGACTTGCCCGCCGGGAGCGTCGCAGCCGGCAGCTTCATCGCCGCGGGGACGGGGATGACTTCAGAGCAGTCCGTGAGCGTCCGCGGGTTATGCCCGAGCGTCGCCAGCTTCGCCATCACCGTCTCGAACTTGGTCACCATCAGGCTGTGGTCGGCTGCGTGCGGGGCGCGTCAGCGGAGGGTCGGGTACGGCACGAGGAGACGCACTGATGAACGACTGCCACTCGCACGCGGTGCGTGCGTCGCGGGCGATGTTATTGTCCGAGAAGAGCCGGAGCTCGCCGCCAAGCGGGGACATGACTTCGCCCACGTTCGAACCGTTGCCCGGGAACAGAGTGCCCTGCAAGAGGGTCTCGACAAAGAACTGGGAGTCGAAGGAGCCGGGGGTGGAGTCGAGGGGAGTTCCCTGGGAGGTGCAAAATTTCAATGTGGGCGCGTGCAAGGTAACGATGGGGGCTACTCACAGGGATGGAGGCATCAACGTGGTCCTGGGCAGCGACAGTGTGCGAGATCAGGAGGTCGACAACCTCGTTGGGCGAGAACCCAGCGTCACTCATCCGCGCGAAGATCTTGTCGTTGTCGTCCGAGGGCTCGGGAACCAGGAGGTCTGGAGACGGCTTCGTGACGTTGGAGCGGCCAGCCAAGAATTGGAGACGAGGGCCACCAGCACAGTTCGACACACCGACGGCGCCGGCGAACTGAATGCTGATGATAGATCATTTCAACGGGACACTTGACTCGCCTAGACAGTGAAGTACTCACAAGTCGGCGAAGGACACGCCGTGGGCGAGAGCGAAGGGACGCTGGGTCTCGACGATATCGTCAACACCGCCGTTGGCGTCTGACAGTGGGTCTCAGTGAGGTATTCAAGGTGAAAGTGGATGGGGCTGGGGCCTACGGAAGTTGGTCTCAATGTCAGCAAAGTGCATGATCGAGCCGTCAGCACCTCCGCCACTAGTGAGATAGGTCAGCTGTCTAGTATGCTCCGGAGCAGAACACGTACCCGAATTTGCCCTCACGGAAGAGCTTGGGAGAAAATCCGATAGCATCGTGGAAGGTCAGGCGAAGAGACTAAACATACGCAGTCAGCGGTGCTGTCGGCCGAAACGTACGAATAGGTTACCTCATGAGTCTCCTCGCCGCATTCGCCACCGTCGAAGCTGTTGATGAGCAATCAGTACGATGATGTTGGTTGAAAGGCGTGGTCGTACAGGTTCTCCTGGAGGTCGTCGAGGACATCAAACCAGACACAGCACTGATCGAGCACGTCAGTGACGATTAAAAGGGCGGTCGACCCGGACAAAGCTACTTACAGCCTTGCTGCTCGCGCGGCGACCACCGCTGCACACAGCTGACGGGGAGGGGACAGCAGAAACGGTGACCGCGAGGGCGGCGATGGCGAAGAAGGCTTTGGAGAACATCGCTGGCTGCTGGTGTTGAAGATACGCGCGGAAGCGCCGGCTACGATTAGATTAGATTACGCTATGCGTTCGGATGATACCTTTGTAGTTCCTTATCTCTTAGTTCAGCCTATCACGCCTTACGATACTCTTAGGTCTTTGTTCTTGTCATGTACTATTTACAGCGCGCGCGCATACAGCGCTAATCAAGCTTCGTTTTCCCTTCCCCGAACCTGCGCGAACTTATACAGGTTATGAGCCCTGCTTCGTTCTAAAGCAGTATCCACTCAGCCTCTTGTACACACCTTAGCTTGACATCTCCACTCACTATGACTTCCAACACCGACAAGATCAACTCGTTGCTCCGGGCGAAGATTGAGCCACTCTCGGGATCGAGCGACTATCCCCGGTGGCGTCGGCAATTCTCAGGGCTTCTCAAACTCGTGAAGATCTCGGACATCGTCCTCGGTCACGAGACGCGCCCGAAGCTAGCCGACGACAGGAGCAACAGAGCCGACGTCGAAGCCTGGGAAGACAAAGACCTCGCGGCGCTTGTCGGTATGCAACTCAAGCTCGGGACGGCGGCCGCGGCGCTTGTATCGGACGCGGATACGAGCCACGACGCCTGGATGAAATTGGAGAAGAACTATCAAGTACGCGGCGTGGGACGCATCATCGAGATCAAGAGGAAGATGATGAACTCACAATACTCTGATGGGGAGGACGTGGACGAGTGGGTGCAGAGGATGGGTGTGTGGCGGTCGGAGTTAGCGGACATGAACCGGACGATCTCAAACGATGAGTTCTCACTTCTGCTTCTCTGCGCACTCCCGGAGTCTTGGCGCGGCTTCACGAGCTCGATTCAAGAGAGCGCGCTCCAAGACCCGGACACCATCATCGGATCAATACGCGATCACGGAGCGCGCACTCACGCAACCGAGGCCGCGTTCCTGGCGAAGCAAGGTGGGACCGGCGGGAAGCGGAGCGGCGGGCCGCCGCACTGCTGGAAGTGTGGGAAGGTCGGGGTGCAGAGGGATTGCCCGAACCATCGTCCGTGGGGCGGTGGCAAAGGGAAAGAAAGGGAGACGGGAAAGGATGAGAAGGCGTTGACGGCGAAGGAGAAGAAAGGGAAGGCGGAGGAGAGTTCGGACGATGAAGGATACGCCTACGCTCTCATCGAGACGGGCGCCACGATCAACGAGGTCGCGCTTACCGCTATGAGCGCCGGCGCATGGATCGCGGACACTGGCACCACATCACACGTCGCGCGCGAACGGCGCCTCTTCACCACCTACTCACCCGTCACTGGCAAGTACCTCCAAGGCGCCGGAACCACCCCCATCCTCGGTCGCGGAACCATACGTTTCACTTACAAGCACGACGGGAAGACTACCACTGTCGACCTGCTTGACGTCATCCACGCACCCGGCATTCCGCACAATCTCATCTCGATCGGTCGCGTCGAAGCGGCCGGACACACGGTTCAACTAGCCGGCGGGGAGATCAAATTCCTCAACCGGAAGGGGCGCGCTTACGCCTCTGGACGCCGCGGGGGCGGCTACCTTTACGAAATGGACGGAGCGCCGGAGATTCCGGAGGTATCGTACCCGGGCGCTGTTTCCAGACCTATCCGCAAACGAACTTACGACGAATGGCATGCCATACTAGGGCACCCGGGCTTGAAGGTCGTGGACACGATGATGCGGAAGGAACTGGTGGACGGACTGGTGGTGGACAAGGGGACGCCCGCGCAGGAGCAGTGCGAAGCGTGCGTACAGGGGAAGCAGACGGTGGCACCATATCCGGCGGCGTCGGAGACGGAAGTGGGAGTGATCGGGGAGTTGATCGTGCTGGACACGTGGGGACCGGCCCGGACGGAGGGGATAGGACACGAGCGCTACGCATGGGTGTTCACCGACGTGCACTCGCGTATGTCGGAAGCGGCTTTCGGGAAGGAGAAGTCTGAAATCAAATCACATTTCCACGAATACCGCATGCGCCTGCAAACTCTCCACGGCGTCACCATCAAACGCGTCCGCTTCGACAACGCGAAGGAGTTCCTCGGGGGAGAGTTCGGCGCTTACCTCAAGGAACACGGCATCACGATCGAGACTACCGCACCCGAGTCTTCTGGCCAGAACGGGATTGCCGAGCGCGTCTTCCGGACCACCTTGGAGCGGTCGCGCGCCATGCGCATCGCTGCCGATCTACCCAAGTTCCTATGGCCACAAGCCTTCGCACATGCCATCTTCCTGAAGAACATCCTCCCGACTCGCGCACTCAAGGACAAAACACCCTACCAAGTGTGGCACAAGCGGAAGCCCGACGTCTCCGAACTCCACGCCTGGGGTGCCGAGTGCTGGGTTCTCACGTCAGCAACGAAGCGATCAAAGCTTGATCCGAAATCGGAACCGATGCGCTTCGTCGGGATGGCTCCGGGGAGCAAAGCCTGGCTATACTGGGACAGGCACGCGCGGCGGATCGGAAAGTCACGCAACTTGGTCTTTCGCGTACGGAAGCCCACTCCGCCCGCGGACGAGGACGAGGACGTATGGGAGTACATGGAGTACTTCGCCCAGCCGCTCGAGGGGGAGGATGTGGAGTCTGGCGAGCGTCAGGACGAAGAAGAAGGGGGAGAACCCCGAGGAGACGCGGACCGGACACCCGCACCCGAACTCGCGATCGCGCCCGCGCCTGAACTCGCGCCCGCGCCTGCGCCTGCGCCCGCGACCGCGCCTACGCCCGCACCTGCGCTCGCGCCCACGCTCGCGCCCGCGCCCGTACCGGAGGTCCCGCGTCGCGCGTCGCGATTGGCAGGCAAGCCACGCCTAGACTACAAGGCACTTGCGCACAACGGCGAACGCGTCCCCATCACCGACGAAGCACTCATCACGTGCTTACTCTCACTCTTCGGTGTTGAAGGGGGAGCGGGGAACGTCATCGAGCCGCGCAACTTGAAGGAGGCGCGCGCACAACCGGAGTGGCCAGAATGGAGGCGCGCGATGGAGAGCGAGCTCGCGCAACTCATCAGACTCGGGGTCTTCGAGATGGTGCAGCTACCGGAAGGGCGGAGGACAATAGGATGCCGCTGGGTCTATCGCCTGAAGGTCAACGCGGAGGGCATCATCCTTCGATTCAAGGCACGGCTGGTCGCGCTCGGGTACAGCCAAATCTTCGGGCTGGACTTCTTCGACACATACGCGCCAGTCGTGCGAATGGATGCACTTCGGGCCTTGATCGCGATCGCAGTGCACAAGCGACTCATCATTCGGCAATTCGACGTCGTCGGCGCTTACCTCAATGCCGACCTCCAGGAGGAGATCTACATGTGCCAGCCCCCGGACTTTGAGGACGGGACCACGAACGTGCTCAGCTTGAAGAAGCTCCTCTACGGACTCAAGCAAGCCGCCAATGTCTGGAACATACACATCGACGGGGCACTCGTACAGGACATGAAGTTTATTCGCACTGAACCGGATCAGTGCGTCTATGTCCGGCCCGGCGGCGAGCACGGCATCGGACTGCACGTGGACGACATGGTGGCTGTGGCTCCGAACGAGGCGGAGATGGACGCGATCAAAGAAGGTCTCGAGCGTCACTACGAGATCACGGATCTAGGCGAGCCGCGTCTACTCCTTGGACTTGAAATCTCGCGCCCTATCGGATCACCTGACGACCTCACGCTGCGACAGACGAACTACCTACGTCGCGCGCTTGAAGCACACCACATGTCAGAGTGTACACCGGTGAAGACGCCGATGGACCCGAACGTCAAGCTCCTGAAGACGAGCGAGGATGAGGAGGTGACCCCCGCACAAGTCCATGAGTACCAATCAGCGATCGGTACCTTGATGTACGCGGCACTCGGCACGCGACCGGATCTCGCGTACGCCGTACAGGCGCTGTCCCAATTCTGCTCGCGCCCCGGCCCAGTGCATTGGACGGCCCTCAAGCACGTCTTCCGCTACATCAAGGGGACACTCGACTACGGTATCACTTACCACGCGCAGGGGGAGCTGGTAACGAAAGTGGCGTACCAGCACTTGCGCCTCGAAGGGTACACCGACGCGGACTGGGGCGCTAATCCGGTGGACCGGCGATCAATCTCCGGATACGCGTTTCTGATCGCCGGTGGACTTGTCGCGTGGAGCTCGAAGAAGCAAGCGGTAGTAGCGCTATCGTCGACGGAGGCGGAGTACATGGCGGTGTCGTACTGCGCGCGACACACGATCTGGATGCGCGCACTTCTCGCGGCGCTGTATCTGAAGCAGGAGGACGCGACGGACCTCAATGCGGACAATCTCTCAGCCATCGCGCTCTCCAAGAACAACGTGCATCACGCGCGTACCAAGCATATCGACATCCGGCATCACTTTATTCGCGAATGCGTAGAAGCCGGTACTATCAAACTGAAGCACGTACCTACGGAGGACAATGTCGCGGACATGTTCACGAAGCCGCTTCCACGCGACCGCTTCCACATGCTGCGGCGGCAACTCGGGATCCTCTCAGACGCCGAGTTGAGGGGGAGTGTTGAAGATACGCGCGGAAGCGCCGGCTACGATTAGATTAGATTACGCTATGCGTTCGGATGATACCTTTGTAGTTCCTTATCTCTTAGTTCAGCCTATCACGCCTTACGATACTCTTAGGTCTTTGTTCTTGTCATGTACTATTTACAGCGCGCGCGCATACAGCGCTAATCAAGCTTCGTTTTCCCTTCCCCGAACCTGCGCGAACTTATACAGCTGGAGGGGAGGGTGGTCGTCGAGGTGCGACTGCTGGGATACTCTGAGTGTTGAACATTGGATATCGAACATACGTACATTAGGACAGTTTACGCATCCACATGGACTCTGTGAGAGACTTCCCATAGTTCCATATGTCACTTCACTGCCTTGTAGTTCCTTATCTCTTCCATTTCGTTCTTCTACGCTTCTCTCTTTGTTCCCTTGTTCCACTTACGGACTTTCTTTGTCTTGAGCGCACAGCCCGCACAGCATCGTATCCATCTTCTGTCT